TCGTGAATGGTACTCCCGGTGGGACATTGCCATAGCCGTAGTCCTGGTCGTACGACCGTGGCTGTTCTTCTTGGTATGCATGAGCAGGGCGTGATGGGAAGCGAGTCGTACGATCGGGTACTTCCTGGGTGTCGTTCGACCGTTCCCTACTGTCCCTTTGCGGTCGGTTGCCTGTTACGGGGGCCTCGACTGTTTGTCGTACGCCATCTGGTGCGTACGACTGCTGTTCGGTCCTTTGGTGTTGATCGGGGTTATCCTCGATCCGTTCCGGAGGCAATTCGTTCATACGACTTGGTCCGGGTGTAAGGGTGCTCGTACGGGGTGATACACGAGGTGTTCTGACAGCCTCGGAGTTTCCAAGCGGGTGTACGAGCTGTTTGTCTTGCGTAAGGCCGCTTGGGAAATGGTATCCTCCTTTTTCAAGTCTCTCGATCATGGCACGCTTGAAAGGTCGTGCGGCGTGCCCGAACTGGAACGTGGTCCATCCTTCAAAATCTTCCTGGTATGCTCGTATGAGTGATCGGAGCGTTGAGATGCCCTGATACTCGGCTACGAGCTGACCAATGTACGTATTAATGTGTTTTTCGTTAATCGGTTGTTCGAGATCGATCGTACGGTCCCAAAACTCGAATGCTGTCCCGGCTCGCCAAGCATTAAGGGTAATATCGCTCCCCTCTGCCATTTGTTCGTGCGATAGGCCATCTTGTCGGAGTTGTTGTTCGTCGCCCGGTTCGTGCGCACCGGTAGCTACGCTTTCTGCGGGAGGTGATAAACTCATTATCGATGTGTAATGGCACACACGTGTAATTCTATGTTCGTACGGAAGGGATAGGACTCTTTCAGACTTGAGCACCTTCGTACGAAGAAGAAAAACGGTACACGTCTTCTATTCGGGAATAGGATCCAATACAACGTCTCGCTACGTACTATTGTACGAACTTAGATAACGTTGTCTTTTTACTCTTTTCACACGAATAGGATCTAGCACGACGTCTCGCTACGTACTACCGTACGTACTCAGATAACGCCGTCTCTTCACTCTTGCCAATCTGCGTTCATAGCCAAGTGAACACTGATCAGTGTGGAATGGCTTCTCCATTCATTTCTTTCCGTACAGTTTGGGCGACAAATAGATCTATTCAGCGCTATCGTACGAAAGGAAGAAGGGATTCTTCCCATCGTACGCGATCTACAGATAGGGGTTTGGCCTATACGGTTGCAAGCTGCCGACAGCCACGGTGTGGCTGTAGTGGCTTGCCGTCAGTACGCCGGTAACTAGCTAGACTATATGGTCGTGCGAGACCGCGGATAACCATATTCCAACAATAAGGAGTTTAGTAACTCCCTTTACTAGATAAAACTAGTATCGTCCCCGGAAGAGCCTTGTTTATTTTATACACCCGATAAAAAGGTCTTTATACTCTTTTATATAGATAATATTTTATATTTATTTTATAAAAACTATAAAGCTAAGGCTAAAGGTTTAATAAACGACTTAAAGGGGCGGTATAAAACTAAAGACGAAGGAAAGATAAAGTATAACAAGTATGCTAACACGGCATTTTGGTAACGACCTAGCCTAGGTGCTAGCCTAGCGCTTAAGCAGCGTACGGAGTACGCCCCCGTGCGTAGTCAGTGTAAAACCCCCGCTTCGTAACTAGCGATGGAGACATTCTATTCTCCCCTCCTCAAGAATAAGTCTTTGAATATAACTACTGCCCGAAGGAGCTTATCACCTGGTGACTTTACCGTAATTGTTACAATTCATGTTATTAGCTCTTATAACTTAGTGTTATCCGCACTTATACTCTTATAATAAGCATAGAACTTAAAACTATATAATATAATATAGTTAATTACTTTAGTAAAGTTAGCTTTTATTAATAAACATCCTAGATAGTATTAAAAGGCGCGCTTATTACAGATATAAACCTATAATTTGCTAGTTATAATAAGGCGGCATTTAGGGAATGGACAAGTCACCTAGCTATAGTCAGATAGTAAATGGCGTTCAAAGTTAGCGGGCGTCAGGTTATCGCAACCATTATAGCACTCCTATTCATGATATCCCGCGAGATGCTTATGCAATTTGCTACAGTGCGGACTGTTCATAGGTAACTACGTAGGCAATGAGAATGTGTGATGTGTTCTGAGGTCAGCCCTTCCTGGTCTGTTTCTTAGTGACGGGCATGCCTAGTCTATTGCAAAGCAGTTAACATAAGAAGCCTGTCAATGCACTCATCCGTGACTGAATACTATACTGCTTTGTCATTATTCTGTCTTCTCAGAAATAGATTCCATCTTGAGCTACTTATATCATTTAACGTATTTCAGATCTTACTGCACCTTGGCATCTGATTCAGGTATGGTTACCTTGCTTGCAATCGATGTTTACCCTAGGAGTTATGTGCTAATGATCAATGTAATAGTGCCGACATGAATTCCGTCTACATCATGCTTAATTGTTCAAGCTCAGAAACGACTGGCAGCGCAGGGAACATAGATGACGATGGACCACTCGGAGGAAAGGGAGGGAAGGGTGGCAGTACCAATAAAAGTCGCCAAGACATAACGACCGGCATTTGAAACGCTAAATAGAAGAGGATTGGTTACGACTTTGGATGTGGGCATAATGAAGCTATTGACAGTTCCTTTCGAATAGTTCACGCCATACTTGTGTTGTTAGCTCGAACCACCCTTGCTCATGGTCCTGTTTTCTTGTATCCAGCTAAGAGAAGTGTTTGCACTGATAGTACCGGAGCATTAAGAACACAAAAGTAAACCCGTTGGCCCCGAAAGCAACATCTCCTTCAATGATTGATGTCGTCCACCAAGGGCTTGAGGATAACATTTGTTGTTCATCTCCTGTATCAAACGTGATCTTGGGATCTTGGTAGGTGTCACTGACTATCAAAGGAACAATAGTACTGGTACATGCTCTTGTTCGTGCGCGTAATCTCCCATGTTTCAAGACAACCAAAGTAGGTCCCCATCTTAGTCGTTCTTTGAAATGGGTGGATATGTGACCGTTCTTTGCGAGTTAGTGAGACGGTCTTCAGATCATTAGGCAACGTACTGTTTCATTGGCAATTTTGAAGGCCAGATCTTCGACCAATGGGGGACACTCCATTTCGTAAGCTTCAACTTGGGCAATCTGCATTCGTCTTATTCGGCGACCAACAAAACGCAGTCGGCCTGCTTCCGTGATACTCGACTGGACACTAAGAGAGACAAGTGGAAAATAGAAATTTTCCAACCATGCCAGGGACACTATCTGGCCATGCTCTTCGCCGTGACTCGGACAGGTGGTCTGGGACAGTTGGTTGATGAGCTCATTTAGTGGCTTGCCCGTCTGGAGACCATAGACAGGACTCAAGCTGGCTAGATTGCTAATCCCCAGATCCTGACAGATCTCTTTGTACCTGCTCCATCCATACGTTAACGAGATACAACCGGGTAAGCTCCAAAATACCATACGGCTGATAGAATAGCAAGCCTAGGAACGATGGCGTATTGGCTAGGGGAATGTCGGGAAGTGATATAATCCGAAGCAGAGCGCTTAAAATCCTACTGAAGCTTAGCCTCACTCATCCGATGACATACCGAAAGCCTCTCGTTGCTTCCTCTATCAATTTATAGTTCGCATAGTAACTAAGCTGACACCAGTGAACTCTTACTCCGAAGCCACTCGAATACTTTAAGACCGCAAGAACATCCAGGCACTGAGTCGCTGTGTGGTGTACAGAAGTCATTTGCTACTAAGTTCATCACATATGCCAATCTTGCTGCTCCTGATCTTTGTTTTAGTTCTGCTTCGGAACGCCGTATGTTGAGACAACGCCTTCCTGTCGATCGCCTAGTTCGTCGTAATAAAAGACAACAGCTTCCAAAGACGAACGCGATCATCCAATTCTGAGCTTGTTCGTGCTCTATAATAGACGCAATATTCTCATTGTTTCCTTTTTCTTCCATAAGACGTGGCATAGGGAGGTCCAGAAAGATCCGTATAGGCATGATCAATGTTTGGCATACCATGTTAAGCGCAATGTTAACGGCAGTGACAAAATCTGCTCGGATCGCAGCTTGTGATGGCTGGGCTTGAATCCACTGAAATTGGCTTAAGTTGATGACCTCTTCCCACTGTAATTGTTGCAATTTCTATAACTTAAGCCTTCCCACAACTGCCCAGAATCCGCATGATTCCTAGAGCTCCTGAAATGCTATTTGTGTTCTGTCCTTACATGCTAACAAACTGTTATTGCCAATGGTAATCCAATACAGATTCTTTGACACCCCTCTATCAAATCTTCAGGCAGTGCCTATACGCAGCAGATCTTTAGCCGAAGTGAAGGGTCAGAATTGCTGGCTGGGGTGACACGCAATTCGACGGCACCAAAGTGCTTGCTGGATGATACTTGGAAATAAACTAAAGATGGCTTGAACGGCGACAGCGCTAGTATCCCATAATCTCTCACTTGTTGAAGGTCTCGAATCTCGCAAAAGTCCACGGCGAATAGTTGCTGTATTCCACCCTTTGGCAGACCATTACGCAGCCAGAAAGCCGCCTTGAGTTGTTGTTGATGTTTTTGTTGTTTTGGGAGGCGAAAGGTGGAATATATGTTTGAAAGCCGTTATTGGATTCGATCCGATCGATAAAACAATTGTGGCTGCTGTGGCTGTGGTGGCTTGCCAGCTCCCAGTCTCCTTTTCCGAGGGCACCGACTCCGTCCTCTGTCCAAATCACAAAAGTCGTTCCGCTGAAGGAGGTCTGGATCAGTCCTGACGACAGGTTCGAGTTCGACAACGAAGACGACTATAATGATTATATGCTCGAATGGAACCGACTTGAATTGGAGCAGGAGGACGAAGAGTGGGCAGAATACTATCGTGAACGCCAAGTGGAATCGTTTCGGAGGGGCTATGCCGACGACGGAGGCCCCGCATAATAAGTAGTGAGCTCCTTACTGCGCTTGTGGGGTGACGAGCGATCCCCACTAACCTTAATGAACTGGCGGACCCAAGATCAAGGGATCCACCCAGACGAGAAAGCTATAAGGAGCTACTCGTGGCAGCTCAACTTGACTTCTCTTCTCTCCTTTCATCCTCACGCTCCATCGTCCACCTGAGAAAGGCCACAGCCTGGAGACGATACGCCCCTGGCTAGACCGAAGACCAGACCGGCAGGAAAGAAGCCTACGTGCTTGCATTCGTCCCTGGCTAGACCGAAGACCAGACCGGCAGGTGACGCGCTCCTGAGAGACCGCTGTCCGGTCCTGCAGGAGTCCCATCGTCGACGAGACTGTAACCTCTAACCATGCTAACGAGTTGCACCGACCAGGGCCTGAGTGCGGCGTATTAACGCCCAATGGGAAGCTTCCAGGTTGATTACCAAGCCAGAAGGATGCGCTGAACCAGTGACCCCTGGCTAGTCGCGCATATTTTGCGGCTTCCCGCGGGATCCTACCTGTGTGGCCCTGGTGGCTCACTGGCTGACCCATGCCGTAGCGGTCTCTCGCTGATTTGGCAACCCCGGCCCATCCGACAATTCAGTGTCAGCCAAAACTTCCGCCTCCCTATTCTCCCCCCCCCCCTCTGCCATCTACCTAGAAAAGTGAGAAATCGCTCTCAGCTGCCACCACGATACCTATTCGCCTCGCGCACGACGACGCGGACTGCCCTTTTAAGCCTGCACTCACCCACCGGCTTTCATCCGACCCCAATTGACACGAACCCCAGTCCAGTCTGGCTCGTGTGTACCACAAATTACTGGGTGGGCGGAGGTAGCGATTCGGCCAGCGAGGGTCAATCTGGCGGACCTCTCGGGTTGACCGTGCTCTGCCCGCAAGCTCACATACCATGGGAACGCCTGCAAACGAGGGCGACCTGGGCGACGGCAACCACGGAAACAGGCCTATCAACAAGACAAAACGGTCAAGATGGGCAACGCGCAAGCTGACGGTCAAGAGCGGCAAGGCCAAGCGGCTGTCGCTCCTGGGCCGCACGCACAACAAAAGACACTCCGACGAGAACAAGAAGGCGTCTGGAGGCCCCGAGTCACTACGGCAGCTAAATCAAGACCATGGCGGCCCCGAAGAAGAGGAGACGGAGGATTCCGGGCCCGGGCCCAGGACTCTATATTTCAACCTGCCGCTCCCTGACGACTTGAAGGACGAGGATGGTGAACCGGCGCAAACATACGCGCGAAACAAGATCCGCACAGCGAAATACACGCCACTGTCCTTTATACCCAAGAATCTGTACTTCCAATTCCAGAACGTGGCCAATATTTTCTTCTTGTTCATCACTATAATTGCTGTAAGTTCGTTCTGATATGAATGGGTCTCCCCACAAACAACGGGAAGCTGACAGCCTTGGCCTAGTTCTTCCCTGTGTTCGGCGTTAACAATCCCGGCCTCAACTCTGCTCCTCTGATATTCATCATTGCAGTCACAGCAGTCAGAGACGCTATCGAGGATCGGCGGCGGACCATCTCGGATAAACAGCTCAACAACTCCCCAGTATATCGGCTGTGCGGCTGGGATAACGTCAATGTGAGGGAAGACAACGTGTCGAGTTGGAGAAAGATGAAGAAAGCTACCTCAAGATTTCTAGACATCATTTGGCATTCCATCGAGAGCTTGTGGAAGAGGAAAAACAAGGGCAAGGGGCCAACCGGCATCGGGCATGATGGTCCCCGCGCATCGATCGAGACGACAAGGACGGGGAGAATGTCGTTTGTTTCGGCCCGTGAAAATATCCAGATGACGCCAGTTCCGTCTCCACATCCTCGGCCGGACCAGCTTCAGCCGCAGCCTCAGCTCCAGGACCCCCGGGAGCGGCCAACCTCGGCCTTTCTCTTCCAGCCCAGCGAGGTCAACATACGAACAGTCAAGACAGACTTGATCAACTATGACATTCAAGCCCCAGGCAAAGCACGCTTCCATCGGAGTGCGTGGAAAGATCTCCAAGTCGGTGACTTTGTGCGCATATATAATGATGACGAGTTCCCCGCTGATGTTATCATCCTGGCGAGCTCGGATCCCGAAGGCGCCTGCTACATCGAGTCCAAAAACCTGGATGGGGAGACCAACCTGAAGTACCGGCAGGCTCTTCGCTGTGGGCGATCTCTCAAGCGTGCGAAGGATTGTGAAAGAGCACAGTTCCGGATCGAAAGTGAAGCACCACAACCTAACTTCTACAAGTATAATGCCGCCATCAAGTGGAATCAGAAGATCGCAGGCCAATCGCATGAGATGTCAGAGCCTGTCACGATCGATAACGTCCTCTTACGAGGCTGCAATCTGAGAAATACGGATTGGGCTCTCGGCATCGTCATATTCACTGGTCACGACACGAAGACCATGATGAACGCAGGAATAACCCCTAGTAAGCGGCCTCGCATCTCCAGGGAGCTAAACTTCAACGTCATCTGTAACTTTGGCGTCATGTTCATCATGTGCCTTATTGCCGCCGTCGCTAATGGCGTCGCCTGGGGACAGAACGATGCATCACTGCGTTATTTCGACTTCGGGTCTATTGGAGGATCACCAGGCATGAGTGGGTTCACCATATTCTGGGCGTCCATTATCCTCTTCCAGAACTTGGTTCCATTATCGCTCTATATCTCGCTCGAGATCGTGCGAACTCTTCAGGCCGTTTTCATCTACAGCGATGTAGAGATGTGGTATGATCCGATCGAGCAGCCGTGCGTACCGAAGTCATGGAATTTATCCGACGATGTGGGTCAAATTGAGTACATCTTTTCCGATAAGACGGGGACCTTGACCCAGAATGTCATGGAGTTCAAGAAAGCCACTATAAACGGGCAGCCCTATGGCGAGGCGTACACCGACGCCCAGGCTGGAATGCAGAAGCGGCTGGGAATTGATATGGAGAAGGAAAGCGAATTGGCAAGAGCTGAGATCGCCGAGGCTAAAGTGAAGGTGCTCGAGGATCTTCGGGAGCTTCACGCCAACCCTTATCTGCATGATGAAGACCTGACCTTTATTGCCCCGGACTTCGTGGAGGACCTCTCCGGAAAGCACGGGCCTGAACAGCAGCACGCTACCGAACGATTTATGCTGGCACTTGCGCTCTGCCACACAGTCATCGCTGACAAGGTCCCAGGAGACGTACCAAGGATGATATTCAAGGCACAGTCACCGGACGAGGCCGCACTCGTCGCAACAGCCCGTGACATGGGCTTCACAGTTCTCGGAAACACTAGCGAGGGCGTAGATCTGAACGTCATGGGCGAGGAGAAGCACTACCCCATCTTGAACACAATCGAGTTCAATTCGTCCCGTAAGCGTATGAGTGCTATTGTCAGGATGCCAGACGGCAAGATTATACTCTTCTGTAAGGGTGCAGACAGCGTCATCTACTCACGGCTGAGGCGGGGAGAGCAAGCTGAGCTGCGCAAGAGAACCGCTGAGCATCTCGAAATGTTTGCCAGAGAAGGTCTCCGGACCCTCTGCATTGCAGAGCGGGTATTGGACGAAGAAGAATACTACGACTGGCGTAAGATACACAATGCTGCCGCCACAGCACTTGAAGAGCGCGAGGAGAAACTGGAGCAGGCAGCCGACTTGATAGAGCAAGAACTGACACTCTTAGGTGGAACAGCCATCGAGGACCGACTACAAGACGGAGTTCCGGATACCATCGCACTACTAGGCGACGCAGGCATCAAACTCTGGGTGTTAACCGGCGACAAAGTGGAGACGGCCATCAACATCGCATTTTCGTGTAACCTCCTGAACAACGACATGGAGCTCATTCATCTTCGGGTCGAAGAGGATGAGAACGATAACACTCCGGACGAGGAATTCATTGACCTGATACGGGCTGAGCTTGACAAGCACCTAGCGGTGTTCAACCTCACAGGGAGTGACCAAGACCTAGCGGAAGCCCGACATAATCACGAGCCACCAGGCCCGACGCATGGCTTGGTCATCGACGGTTTCACCCTCAGGTGGGCACTGCATGACGAGCTGAAGCAGAAATTCCTCCTCCTCTGCAAGCAGTGCAAGTCGGTTCTGTGCTGCCGCGTCAGTCCGGCCCAGAAAGCGGCCATCTGCGCCATGGTGAAGACAGGTCTTGACGTCATGACTCTGTCGGTGGGAGATGGTGCAAATGACGTTGCCATGATCCAGGAGGCAGATGTGGGTGTCGGTATCGCGGGAGTTGAGGGTCGCCAGGCCGTCATGTCGTCCGACTACGCCATCGGCCAGTTCCGATTCCTCCAGAGACTGATACTGGTTCACGGTAGATGGTCCTATCGAAGACTGGCCGAAACCATCAGCAATTTCTTCTATAAGAACATCATTTGGGTGTTCACACTCTTTTGGTTTCAAGTCTTCTGTAACTTTGACGTCACTTACGTCTTCGACTACACCTATATCATCCTCATTAATCTGCTCTTCACCTCAGTCCCGGTCGTCCTTATGGGCGTTTTGGATCAGGACGTCTCGGACACTGTCTCGCTAGCCGTGCCTCAGCTATATCGCCGCGGCATCGAGAGGCTGGAGTGGACTCAAAGAAAGTTCTGGTAAGCACCAAGCCCGTGACTATTTGGTATATTTCAGTGCACTAAAAATTGGGACAGGCTCTACATGGTTGACGGCTTCTACCAATCCATCATGTGCTTCTTTATTCCGTACCTTACCCTCACTGGCGGCCCGTTTGCTTCCGTCAACGGTTTGGATGTGGCGGAGCGAACACGCCTTGGCTGTTATATTGCGCACCCGGCCGTGTTTACCATCAACCTGTACATCCTCATCAACTTGTACCGGTGGGACTGGCTGATGCTTCTGGTCATCGCCGTCAGTGATCTGTTGATCTTCTTCTGGACGGCCGTCTACGGATCCAATATGTCTGCGGCAGCCTTTTATCAGGCGGCGCCACAAGTCTACGGGCAGCTATCGTTTTGGGCAGTCATGCTCATTACGCCAGTCGTATGCATATTCCCTCGATATGCGATCAAGGCGCTGCAGAAGGTGTATTGGCCGTACGACATCGACATCATCAGGGAGCAGGTACAGCAAGGAAAATTCGACCGCCTCCATCCGGCCAAGGAAGCGGAGGAGAAGGGACTAGAGGGCACAGCCTCGGGGTCATCGGATTCGTCCAAGAAGGGCAAGCACGCGCAATATCCCAGCGTGGACGAAGACAGGCGACCGATCTATCCGCCGTCAGTTGCGACGCATAATACGCGGACACAGAACGGCAGCGACGGAACCAACTCCATGCATCACCATGCGCCGTCGGTGGAGATGTCGGTTCGAACGTCGATAGACAGGGCCAGGCCGTCGTATGATCGAATTAGGGCCTCGATGGATCGAGTGCGGGCGAGCTACGAAGCTAGCCACGACTTTACTACAGCGGCACGACTCACCGAGATCGAGTCGTCGCACTGTGCGAACAACTCGCGCAACCGTACGGCGGCCAACAGCAGTCGAGGTTTCATGCAGGGGCGGCTTCGAGGCCACTCCATTATATCCAACAAGAGCAGACACTGATGGGTCGCGGCGACTACGGACACCATTTACAATTACGCAGCTCTCCTTAATCATTCCGTCACTGTAACATGGACTATCCCCTATCCTGGGTCTTTCATTGTTGTCGTTATGTTGATATCCCCGATCTTTCATGCACCTGACGATCTGCATGAGCGATCTACGAACCTGAGGAGGCGAGAAGCGGCTATCATAGGCCTGTGTCCTATGTCTCATCACGTTATTGTTTTTTTTTTTTTCTTATCAGGCGTTCTGGGCCTAGTGGAGAGGGCCAGTCGTCACACATCAGCCGGCGTTTCGGAGTAGGAACTCTACATGATTTTATGGCTTTTATTTCCCCTTTTCTTATTGGAAGTTTATCTGCATCCAGCCAACCGACTTAGAAGGGCGAGAAGAGGAAGGGAGTAGAGGTTGGGGGGCCATGATGCAGTATCTCGCGAGACTAGGTGGTCTCGGTGCAGCCTCGCAGCAAGACCAGTTTTGTTTGCTTCGGCAGAGATTGGTCTCTGTGTTGGCATTGTTGTTTTTAGAATTAGGGCTTCCACCACAACGGCGTTCAGAAAAGAGGGAAATGGAAGACGGCGAGGGCAAAGCGGGCAGCTGTGGCTTTTTTGGCATGGCGATTTTGCATGACCTGCGGGCTGTACATTAGTCGAAGCATACCAGATACATATAATAACGGTCAGCTCGGAGAAGAAGATGAAATCGTTATCTACAAGGCGTGCCGCTGATGACTACTGTATTCCCCTTTTCTCATCGACTATCAATGCCCTATTAAGCCTGTCATGTAGCGAACCGGGTATTTACGCCAATGCCCCCCATCATTGGCAATCATTACCCTTGTAGGAAAGCAGCTGAGGACCCTTGACATGCGCCGCAAAAATGCCAAGACCGGGCGAGGGACAAAGCTGTCATGCTCAACAGCTCTCCCGCTCCCACTCCCGCTCCCGCTCCAGTTGCCGCTCCACTCCAAGAGCTCCCCTCCAGGCCTCTAGTGAAATGATTCTCTTCGACCTCGGGTCTTGCTTATAGTAGCTCGCCATTCCTTCAATTGAAACATATTGAGGCAGATCTGGGTGTCAATCCCAGCAGAATGGACTTGCAACTCTTGGAGGACTGGCTTAACCAAGCCGAACTGGCCCTCCAACAATGGCTGTAACGACACCCTCCTCGACCCGGTCCATGTTGACCCTGCTCCAGGCCAATTGAAGTCGCCCACTACGTATGGGCGGCCCTCTGGACTGCCTTCGGGGCTGCTGCACTGTATCGAACCTACCGTCCCCTCGACAAGCCACGACTGTAATCTGTTTCTGGTCCCAAGCTGCCCGAAAGGGAAAGAATATTAGAGCAGCCGAGTGTGAGGGTACCCATAGCCAATTTCTCTCATTGTCCAGAGTTTTGCCCTCATAGCCTGCTCTCTTCTCTCTAGACGTCCGGGACCTCGGCCATCCAGTGCTACAACCCAGCAACAGGACAATTCCTCGGTCTTATCAACCCCTCGACCCCCCCGCCGTCGACCGGGCTATCGAGAAGGCCGCCACGACACAGAAGATATGGGCTGTTACGAGCTTCCGCGAGAGACGGGCTGTCCTTCGGAGCATGCTGCAGCACGTGCTAGACAACCAGGAGATGATCTGTAAGGTGGCATGTCTGGACTCGGGCAAGAACATGGTGGACGCTCAGATGGGCGAGATCCTAGTCACGGCTGAGAAGCTGCAGTGGACAATCGAACACGGCAAGAGGGCTCTGGCACCATCAAGACGGCCCACCAACCTGCTCTTGTCGCATAAGCGGAATATAGTCAGTCATCTATGAGCCTCTGGGCGTCGTCGCCGCCTTGGTTAGCTGGAACTATCCTTTCCATAATCTCTTGGCCCCAATCATCTCGGCCATCTTTTCCGGCAATGGCATATTGGCCAAGGCTGTCCATCCATCCACTGGCAATAGCGCTAAGAGACGGACTTCTGCGCGGTTAGAGTCTAGAGGTTGGTAGCCCAGGGTCATGATTTTGTGCTGCCGATGTTTCTGGGGTGATTTAAGAATGTAGTTACGGGTGTTAGGACGCAAACTCTGGGGTTCCTCGAAGTTTGGCAAGAATTTCGTATGATTGTCAGGCAAAATTTGTATGGCTCGAAATATTACCTGAAGAACGCCGAGCAACTACCAGGTATTGACTAACCAACGTAAAGTGTGGCCCCCGACCCCTACTACATAGCGCAGACGGAGATAAACACTCTGTATATATTTAATCTCACCTAGCGCAAGATGGTTAATATCCAAAGTATCCCACTCCCCCCGAAAATGACAGGAAAGGGCGCTGCCGACACCGAGCCCACGGTCTAGGGCATGATCCACGACAACCTCGCCAAAGCCGAGCGAGAAGCCAAGATCCGGCGAGAAGTTATCGAAATACTCGCTAGATCGCTCGATAGCTTTATCGACTCCTTTAGTGCCCCTAACAAAGGGGACCACAAAAAGGTAGCAAGGGACCTCGCCCGAACCCTAGGGCAACACCTAAATGTAGCCGTCTTTGCGGAATCTAGAGGCAACCTCACCGCCCCTATTAGACCCCGGAGTACACTACGCTCGGAAGACTTAGGTGCCCCCCTTTAAAGCGTAATAACGGGGACGTCTCTCGTGTTTTTTTCCGTCCCGATTATCTTCTTCTTCCTCATCGAGCGAAGGTATTTGATACAACAGAGAAGTTGTTGGAGTGAAATTGATCGGGGCAATTTCTGATAAGATTTCATCGAAGCGTCGGAGGATGTTTAGGGAGATTGCTGGCCACCCTGATAAAGAGACAAATACTAGGCAACAAGGGATAATGCGGCTGGAAACCCGCCACGCCGGAAGTGGTTGCATTAAGTCGAATAGGAACAAGCAAAAGACTAAAGTAAAGGTAAGAATGAGCAAGAGAGTTGAAAATATACTGTGTTTCTTTTTAAAAGAAAATGATGCATGTTCAATCAATAATTTTACTAACAAGATCTTGCCAAGAAAGCGATACATCTATTTATAAAAATATGTGTACATAGTTATCTAGAGATACATGATGTCTGGAGTTTTGTCCCTGCGTGAGTAATATGGTTGGACCCTTGAGGTATAGGAATACTAGATTTACATGAAACCAGTAACTAATCCCTCCGCACAGTCGAATAAGATTGAGCTAGTGCCAGGCCTATCAGAGTGCAACAAACATCATACGGATCATACTATCAGCTTCGCCAGCGCGACAGAACCTAGATCGGCCCATTCCGGACTACAGAGCAACTGCCGACTGTATCTCGTGCGCAACGCACGTGCTGTTTTCCAAGTGATCTCCATCGGATGCGAAGCCTGCATAACCATGTATGAGTTTGTTACGGGGCTTGCATTCGGAAAGCTGACTGAGTAAGCGGACGGCGTAAAGTGCATCACTCCTATTCGTAAAGGCTAAATAGACCAGCAGAAGGAGAGGGGCAAAGGTCTTCAAGCTGGATTTGATTGACGAAATGGCCGCACCTGGACAGGCTGCAAGAGTCCCCTATGTGTACCAAATTATTAACTTAAGTTAAATTGTCGGCTTTGTGAATTCTTTCATCAGTGATCATATGGGTCCGTCGGATTCAACCTATGGACTTAAGATGTTTCGTGCTTTGCCTTAAGACTTCCTAGATGTTCTGTTGATTGGAATCCCTGACCCGCTTGCCAGCGCGGGAATGAACTCTTTGACTGTACTTTTGGTAGCGATCATCTTCCTGATCTTACTCAATTGGAAATGCAGGTGAGTGGGTATTCCTTGCTAAATAGGACGTCAGCTTCCCAACCGGGAGCCCTTGGCTCAGACTGGATGAATCTTCACAGATGGTATGATACATGGTGATTTCACGTGACGCCCAAGTGAAAGGCACTGCTTTATTATGTATTGGCAACATTTTGATTAGGCAAATCGTACCACCCTATCAACGAAGGGCTTCGTCATATCTCTGCTCCGCATCCTTGCATGAATATTCGGTAAAGGCACTCGTCGCCGACATTCCGTAGTACCCCGCCAATATCAGTCACCTATGTTTATCTGTTTATTACTTACATATATGTCGATCGTACAGTGCAATGCTGCGGTAGCATCCCCGTCTGACCCCAAATATCCTTCGTGGCCCGACTCGAGCTTCGCTATAAAGCGCTCTTCGTTCCCTTCAACTTGAGACCTGCATGATGTGACAGCGACCTGCCTAGCCATCATACATTCCGCACTCGACAGGCTTGTGTGGTATCGCGGCGCACGGTCACCATGCTTAACAACGCAGTTTCCTCCAGCGCCACTTTGGCTTCACTCCTCGTTTCAATAGCCACGTGTGCATGCACGCCCAGCAGAAACATCTCCCGAGATGTGGTCATCATTGGCGGCGGCGCCTCGGGCTCGCATGCCGCTGTATGGCTGCGTGACCAAGGCAAGAGTGTCGCGTTAGTGGAAAAACAAGGCGTGCTTGCAAGTTCATCGCTAAGTTTCTTGGACTTGTATATGAGTGATGATTGCTAACTCACAAATAGGGTGGTCACACTGCTGTCTACAATGATCCGGATACGGGCAAACCAATCAACGTCGGTGTGCAGAGCTGGATTGAGTATGAGAATACCATGGACTTCGTGAAACGCATGGGCGTGTCCACCAACGGCTCCATGCAGTTCACCACGCTCACTAGCAAATTCATTGACTTCAAGACTGGCCTTCCCGTCGACGGCTATGTCTTGCCCGCTGACACTGACAAATATGCCGCGTTCCAGAAATTCCTCGACATTTGTGAGAAATACCAGGAAATGGTCCTCCCAGGCTTCTTCAACTTCCCAGATGCCAACTCCATTCCAGAGGACCTGCTCATGCCCTTCAGCCAGTTTGTAAACAAGCACAACATCTCAGCCGGCGTCCCAGGTATCTGGGAAGCCACTGCAATGGGACTCGGCAACACAATGGATGTGCCTACATTGTACGTGATGCAAGCCTCCGGTGTGCCAATGGTTCGTGCCCTACTTGGTATTGGAGCTGCCGTTGTCCCACCTTCCGGCAGTCTTCACGAGCTTTACGAGGCGATTGCAACCTTTCTTGGTGACGACGTGCTCTATTCAAGCACGGTTGTCAAGTCAATGAGACACGAGAATGGTGTATCAGTCCATATAGCCAATGTCAATCAGATAGTGACTGTGATTAATGCCAAGCGCCTCCTCATTGCTATCGAGCCCACGGTGGAAAACATGGCACCTTTTGCTCTAGACGATACTGAGGCTGAGGTCTTAGACAAGTTCGGCTTCGCCACGGTATTTGCCGGTATCCTCAAACACCCTTCCTTAGAGCTCAGTACGTCCTACTCCAACACGCTCCCCGCCGCCGCGCCCGACAACTGGACTGTCTACCCAACCGCGTCGCAGGTTGGGCGCATCGACTATCTGGGTGAAACCGCGGACCTCTTCCAGTTTACTGCAGTCGGCACAGAACAGGACACGGCAGAATCCATGCAGGTTCTCATCGGCGAGACTATCGATACTATGATCGCGGCAGGTACTCTTCCCGCGTCCAATGGATCCGTCAGCTTCCCGGCGTTCGCCAACCACGGCATGATGCACTCGCGCGTTTCGGCCGACGAGCTCCGTGCTGGCTTTATCCAGCAGCAGTACGCTCTGCAGGGCCACCGCTCAACGTATTACACAGGGGCTGCATTCAGTGCGGGTTTCTCAACAATCCTATGGGCCTTTAACGAGGAGCTCCTTCCCAAAATTATCCAAGAAATCTAGTATCGCCGTCTTCGTATATGAATATATGTAGATAAAAACATAGTGAATATTGTTTCCTTCTATAGACCTATAATGCCTCAATGAAATCAAAATCTCTTTGACATTGTAAAACAGAATATTTAACTAAATCTTTGAACACGAATCAAAGATGCTTCCTTTCTTCTATGATCATAATGTTACCTGACGAGGAAAATCCGACATTCTACCTTGACTACTACGCAGGTTCGGTGAATACAAACACTAGAGCAGAAAGACGTGCGTCGAATAATCGAATTCAGTGAGCAGCTACTTTGCGATTTTGCCGTAGGAGGGAAACCCCCAACAATTGATGCCCTATTCGATTTGATAGACAATGAGGAGAAACCAGGCAAGTTTTTCGCACAGTCACTAGTTATTAGATGCCTATCGTGCTATAGCCACGAACCCTTACACTGCTGACCCTTTCTGGGTGCTGCCTAGAATAAAGATAGAGACACAGTTTATTCAAAGAAATAATTGAAGCTGTTGGACCAGAATTGTTGGATGGGTTTGTCTATCTATATATGTGGGATTTGGCGCCATAGCCAAGCATGCCTGAACATCCCTGGGACGGCCTGTAGCTCGTTGCGGCCATGGCCACTTTCAACCAACGACCCAGGCCTGTTGGGTTCGGTCGCATTTTTCATATAATCCGTTCGTCGCTGGGTGCAAATTTTTTTCATACCTACTTGGTTGTTAAGTGCAATTTTCCACATGCTAATGTTGGTTCCAGACCGTGACTAACGTTGGGCCGGTACACTAGTCTTGTCCTTCTGATGAGGTGTTCGGTCGTTCTTGGGCTGTCGGAAGATTTAATTGAACGAGTGATGAAATTGTGTGCACAACCGTTAAATGTAGAGCAACGACTGGTGTGCATCCATGTTCCAAATCACTCATGGCCCGAGCACGATTGAGGCATCAATGTGACAACACTTGACGTTGAATAAGCAAGATTTCTTAACAATGAGAATCCATTAAAGCTTTTGTAACAACCACAAAAGTATAAGTATCTACCCGAGAACCAGAGGTTGACTTCCCTCACTCCTTTCACAACAAACAATCTTCAGGACTTCTGAGCTTTACAGCACAGCAATCAGACTGGGCATTTCATCACCTTAACATTCAGCTAGCCATCACAATAAACCGCTTTACTCGCAACATTCTCAGAATTTCACGAGCAGATAAGGTCAAATCTTGCCCCATACTGGATAAACCTGGTGTTGCCACTTACCTAACGGCGGTCGAGAACCCAGAAAGCATACGCATTGAGCGTCGCTGAGAACGATTTGCCTGACAAGCAAACGGTTGCCGAGATACTTCAAAGACTTCAGCGAAATCGCACAGTCAATAGCAGTTCAGAAACCTCAGAAAGGTTTCTTTCGGGCACGTATCCTACTGGAGAGCGATTCACGATGACTGAAGCCATCACCCTGTATGAGGGGCAGCTACTGCCAGCGACGGAAAAGATCTTAGATAAAAACAAGGTTCAATCTTACTCCATCAATCTCACCAGCGGACACGACGCCAACCATTCTCTTATGGTCATAACGAGTATCGGTAACGCCGCCCAAGCACATGCTGAAGCACTAGAGTCCAAGAAAACGGAACTCCTCTCAAAGGAATGGGATGAAAAGATTAGCTTCAGATTTATAGCCGGTAGGAGGGAGTTTTGCTAGCGGATTACCCTGCCGGTGAGTGAAGCATTGGAGGAACGTTGAGAATAGAGGTGAGTATACCAACGAATAATGGTTGAAAATGACCACCATGAATCGCGGGTGTTTAGAAATCCGAGAGTCAGGCGTTGATATAAGAAGGGTCTATCGTTTGATCAGAGACTATTGAAACCAAGAAACGTTGCACAGGAACATGCAGAGTGCTTCGATTAGTGTCAGAGCTTATCCGGTATCGGACTGCAACTGGGTATATAAGGGCTGTATTCCTCCATATGTGATAGAGAGAGGGCTCAGCGCGTCAATACTAGCACCCTAGCACTCCCTTGCAATAACACCGTCTGACAATTAGTGACCGGATGAATCAAATCATGCTCAATCAAATAATCCGCTACTGGATGCCCAACTGGACCAAATCCTAGTGTTCTTCGTTGGCTTGCTTACATTTGGTGTCGCATTTTTTCTCTTACAGACTTAGAACATTCTTTTCTATACGAATATCAACAAATATCTTAAAGCGTCCAAATCTTGATGTTGACCGCCATCGTGGTACACACCTAGCAAATATCTAGTCCGCAACTATTGTGCATGATCGTCCGCAACAAGTTCATGAGAGATATATGAGAGGTCATTATTTCCGCCTACGAAATATGAGTGTACCAATTGCGTACTCAGCAACATGTCATGAGGAAGATCAGCTACTCCATATGGACTAAGAAAATATCATTCGCTTCAATTTGCGTTCCAGTTCCTGAACTATATGCTCAGGGTATGCCCCTGCTACAGTGACCTCTTTATTGACTAGATATTGCTGTAAATTAGAACTTGCATTATGTACCAATATATCGACGAGCAGTTTGCGGAAGTAGGTAAGTCCAGTTGAAGAACTCACCCACTGCTCCAAGACCCTAGAGAAATTCCCAATCTCACCGGCTTCGTTCAGTTCCCCGGCTTACCAATACGTAATTTACACGCGCTCGTTCAGTTCCGCTCCGGCGATTCGGCTCCCAAGTCCACGCGTGAGTCATAATGCTGCTAGAGAAGCAGGGTAGAGGTCCTCTTAGGATGAGGAAACTACCATGTTGGTGTTCGAAGAAAGCAAAGGAGTTGTCATAGTCGACTCTTTCTGTATATTTGTGGATCATCGTTTCTCACTTCACTGTCAAGGTGATGTTGCCGTGGATTATTTCGGCTGTCATTCTGAAATGACAACTCTGTTCTGAAGAATTTGACTACTTACCCGGTATCAAGACCGTTCCGAAATCAGACTTCTGTAGTTGGTTTTAGTACCAACATAGGAAGAGGGACTAGTCAAACCACCACCACTCTCACCAACGTAACTGCTTTTAGTGGTGAGATTGAAGGTCATGTTTAACTCAACCAGATCACTGGTGTTCTGTAAAATGGCATGGATTGCAAGAGGAATTGATTGTCATGACCGAAGTCCGCAGCCATGGCATGACACATCCATCCCTCTTTAAGTTAATCCATATAAGGAAGGAGTACATGAAACGGAAGATGATCGTGATTCGTTGCCATTGGCATTTCGGTCAACTATACATTACAAAGGCTCCGTTCTTCTAGGAAACGAAGCACCCAATTCTCATCCGCTGGCTACTCCGATCAGATGAAATTGACCATACTCTCAACTCAGAGTCATGCAGAATCCATTTTGAGTATTCAACGCCAGGCAGTTCCTCATCCACCGTGGTCTAAAGTACCTCAGCAGTGATGTCGTTTTCCGCTACGGCATGGACGAACTCCACATCCTCCAATTTGTTGACCTTTTACAGTCCCTTGTTCCCTGCCATCGTCGCTCCTTCAAGGTAATGGTCCGTTGTCATCTGATGGGGCTAAATACTTTTTGACACATTCCTGTATAGAGCCTCTGGTGAATTTGTGGTATGGCGTGGTTTATGCCTTTGAGCTGCTTCAGACCCGAGCCGATTGTCCAAGTTGCGTGTGCCCGTCTTGCAATATCGAGAAGTTTGGCCCGGGCTGATGTTTTGAAACATCCAATATAACGATATATGGTCATACTTGTGACTACTGTAAGTCGGAAACAATAAACGCCAAGTCTAATTCTAGTTGAGCAATACGTATTCGCGGGTTGCTTGTCGGACCTTGAGTTGGGAGACACTCAAAATGGTGGTGCTGCAACCTCACATGCTCCTATATTCATCCGCACGCACCTGATTAGTTTAGATTTATTATATTCTATGTTCAGCAAAAGCTTAGTGTAATCTGCTCGAACTATGTTTCTGCGAGGTTCATGTCCAAGAGTTTACTGTTCATCCTATATCCGCTCTTCTAGTAGCTGAGTGTTCCAAATGAGATCTCTGATATGACACTGTGTTTTACGCCTATCACAGAGGATCCAGACTGGTATATAATGATAACCGTGATCATTTGTTGAAAATAGGCGATCAATGAGTCTCATATAGTTACCGCTATCAAGCCTCCGCGTAACTTCTGGACCGATCGCTGAGCTGCATATATCAACCACACTAATCGCGAAAGCTATAGGAATAAGCGTTGTAAATAAGGTTCCTGATGATGGACGTCACTACTCTATAGGATCGTGATACTAATCAAATGTGTGTACATTGATCCTTAGTAGAGTGTTGTTCAGTGGCGTGGTTCCTCAACTTTTTTGAAGGATCCCCGAAGGCTCTCTCCTAAGCGTGGACCGTGCACCTCAGGCATCTACCTGACCGGTGGCACTAGATGATCCTTACCTGATTTCAGAGCCTCTTTGCCTTTCTGCAGCAACTATGTCGAGAGCCATGAAGCAGTCATTATTACCTGCAGCCGCTGGGCTAGTCCCTCTATCTTGCTCCTGTCGGAGGCACTGATGTAAATAGAACTTATTCTTTTCGCTGCGAATGTTCTAGGACCATTGCCTCCATGATTTGCGGCATCAGCGAACAGCAGTTTCCAACGACAGGCTATTTATTTGATTGCTGAGTAGACCTCTGAATTACGCTCCCTGAAGCCAATGGAATTGCAACGATGTCAACATCCCAGGTGTGTACAGCATGATTGATTGCCTTGGAAGTTTGTCAGCCATTTCGTCAAGTGCAGCGGGCCGGCGAGAACCTACAGGGGCAATTCTCCCAATTTCCTTAGAAGAAATATGAGCTTCTTCCGCAACTTTTGCGATGTAACATGGACGTTTTCTGATGATCTAAGCATCAAATCGACCTTGTGCATCCCATGTTCATAATGCTCAGTAACATCTTTGGCATCGCTCACCTAGCTGCGGCACCATTTCCTCGCACTAGATTCTCGCCTTTAATGAATTATGATTTGATCAGAGTGATCATAGCCTAACGTGACGGGTATATTGATAACCAGCCAAAAGCTGATCCGTAAATGCCTTGTAGCGGGGACAAACAGGCATCTGTGCTACCCAAGTTATTTCCCTGTATTTATAATCCAGACTGGTTTCTGACATGTTCGCAACGCTTGTGGGCGGGATCTGATATGCCCGGGGCAGGCTACCGTAGATTGAGGTGCGCTCTAAATTCTCTCTGTATGTACTTCAACTGTCATCACTTGACTATGCTCCTTTCACGTGCCCCGAAGGCAAATATCCCAAATCGCGCTCCGTTCCTCTGACGTCGTGCCTTATTCCAAGTCTTCATATGGCCATTCGGTGGCTTCACGTATAACCCGTTTGGGCCCCTCGCCATACCTGGAGGTGGAGATTGAGGTTCCGGTCTCTTTGGCTTCTGTGAGCAACTCGAATTCAGCTGCTAGTAACTATGTGCTGCGGTTGACTGGGAAAAGAAACACCTTACTTTGCTGGTCCAGGGAAAACGCATGTTTGGCACGCTTCAAACTAACAATGTCCACACCTGGTTGATATCCAAATTTGACTTAACTGTATGGTTAAAATAGGTGCGAGTAAGTAATTTGACAGAACGAACGATAGTGAGTTGGTATTCACTAAATACGTTAGCTGTGTGCCGGCCTGGTCCGGCGCTAAGGCAGGCAGACGATTTGCCAAGCCACCGACACTCACGACAGGGCTGAGGGCTTATACACAGCCGCAAAGATGGAGGCCGCGTCCGGGCGTCGGGATCAGGAAGCGGACCCTTGTCGTGCGGGGCAGTGGCGCTGCTAAAAAGCTGTCGGGATGAGGCTGACACAGTCTCTATGCTAGTTTGATCAAAATCAATCCAGAACGGTTGTTGTTCCTTGCCCAGTGATTTTCCGTCTGTTCACCGCATTAACGTGGCACAAGAGATTATTGGTTGGATGTCCAAACGCTCATCGAAGGGCATTAGCATCATCGTCGTTACTTAGACATTGAGTCAAATTACTCGGCTGGTAGGTGTCGTCGTCGAATTAAGATGGTATATCAGTAGCCCGGCGATACCGTAATAGTTTCTCTGAGGGCTACTAATATCCCTCTACCAGAGTTGTTCAAAGAGTGAGGCTCCACCACCAAAACGGTAATAATGTGCATTCTTACTGCTTTACTTGAACGGGTTGCTTCGCAGCATAATGAGGACAATTCTTAGCTCATCAATTGCTCCGACAGAGAGGGACGAACGGCAAATCAGGGCTAAATATAAACCTCCTTCGGGTTATCATTGGTGTGGAAGAAAGTCTAATCGCCCGTACAGAGCTAAAAGTCGTGGGTGTGAGTGGGCCTCCTCACATATAAAGATTATAGACTTGTAATACAATTGGACCTTGAATTTCGGGGCGGCTTGGCTTATTAGCATCTGTTTAGCTTAGGTAATCATTTCCCAACTTGATGGCATACATATATTTATACTTTTTATGTATTTGCAAACTCACTCGAGTATTTCGCTACTTGATTTGGTCATAATTTAAGTAACTGACGTTGAAAAAGTAAAATAAGCCCTGTCTTTGTATCTACCACCCCATACTCCGTGATTGTGTTGTTAGGTTGTACCGTGCTAGTCAAGCAGATCGGCTGCTTTGATCAATATTCACTTGTTGATTTCTCCACTAGAGGCTATAGAAATCAAATCTCAGGTGCAAAGAGACTATATGCGGTCGATTGCATAGGTGTAGGGATAACTAGATGCCTCCTTGCTACGGAGTAGGGTAAGATACGTGTATCAAGTCAGATGTATCATTTGAAGCACAGACATTGCCGTAGATCAGTCTTAAACTACTGCGGCTTAGTAGAGACCTACTCAGTCCTTGCTTGTTGATCAATCCGAGTAGTACAAAATGTCCCGAGGGTTCTGTATAGTAGCATTCCCGATGCCGAATTTCTAATTTCGATGTACTTCATGTCGATGTACTTTTGTATTCAGTGTAGAAGTACTTCGACTTCGCAGCTCTAGCATGAGCCCAACGAGACTGTGAATATGTTTCATGTCCTAGAGTTGATAATATTTTCTGTCTACCCGGACGATCCGAAGCTTGATGATCAAACTATAACCCATGCTGATATCCAAAGGGTTTCTGTCTTGCCAACAAAATCGAAATATCGGTTTACGAGGTTCCCGGCACGGACCTTACGCGGGCGATGCGCTTTCCAGCCACGATGAGAGCCATAGACCATCTTCCGGAATACGCCATCGGAGCTGTTCCCAATGTCTACGATTGTGCTTCCCTGAGATGCGCGTTCATCGCCAACGTCGGTGGATCCAGAGAGCAAGTCGCCATAGAACTGGCGGGTAACTTTGGGAATGTCAAGCTACTTGTCCAAAACATGGCGATGGTCATGGAAGGCGCGGAATCAGATGTTCCCGACCAGCTGAAAGGATGCATCCAGTTCCTGAAATATGAGCTTTTTGATCCGTAGACGGTACAGCCAGATACCTATCTGTTTCGCATAGTCTTCCGCAATTGGGGCCACAAATACGCTGTCCGAATCCTGAAAGCGCAGATTCCGGCCCTCCGACCTGAGGCAAAGATCCATCCAACACAGGGCGGTTCTTACCAAATTGGCTCATTACCTCTTGGGGAATCAATAGAACACCAGAGTAGGGGATCATCATCTCAAAATAATCTTCATAAATTATGACCAGTGTGTCACGGCGAGTGTTTTGGCTGCCGCTGACGAGACTGGCAGTTTTAAGGGGGTAAGTATCCCGACGACTGCCAAATGGCAGGGCCTTGAGACCCTGAATCTGGACTGTGGATGACAGAAGAGGGGCGGCTCCTTGGGACGTTTCATTGAAGCTGGCCGGCCAGGATACTAGTTGACTTTTCCGTCTTTTTCTCAAATAATCACTATCCTATATGTGCTCAAAAATCTACAGAGCCAAACCTCCACTGTTCTTCTGACGCGGCTCACCGACAGCTTCGAAAGTGTCACTCGTGATCAGAACACCTTGAACGGCGCTGACACCTTCCCGTACCCAAGTGACATTGTGATTCCTCTCAAGCATACTTGCGGTCGAGGCATTGTCAAAGCTGTACTCAACAGCAAGAAGGTTTGGCATGAGTTGATCGTGGAATCGAGGCTCCCTGATGGCGGTGGTCATGTTCATTCCTTGTTCAAGTATATGCCAGACGACCTGCGTGGTTGAACTGATAATCCTGCTTCCGCCTGCTGCGCCTACGCTGACGTAAAGGGTGCCGTTTGGGTGTTCAACAATGACGGGCGTAATAGAGCTGAGAGGCCGTTTGCCAGGTCGAATGAAGTTTACAGGTGCCGGTGCATACCCAAACTCGTTTGACTTTCCAGGAATTGAGAAATCGTTCATCTGATTGTTTAGGATGATGCCCGTCTCAGGAACCATGACGATGTTGCCGAAGAGAGTGTTGACGGTTGTAGTTGATGAGACAGCCATCCCGCTGGCATCGACAGCAACGATGTGTGAGGTGCCATGGGACGGCTGTGTGTAGTACGGTTGTGCCAGATAATGTCCAACTGGTTGAGTGGTATTGTCGAAGATGTGCGCTCTGGTTGCTGCAGCTCCAGAATCAGATAGCATGACAGTCTCCAACAAATCAACATCTTGGACAAACCTAGGATCAGCAAGCTGTTGATGGGCACCATAAGCAAATCGCATAGACTCCACGAAGCGGTGAAGAGTAAGGTTCGATTTGGGTGTGTCATCCGTGGGAAAGGTCTCCATGGTTTTGAGTGTACTGAGACAGACGGCTCCACTTGAAGGCGCACCAGAAGAGAAGAGCTTGTAGCCGCGGTACGTGATGTTGATAGGCTGTCGGACAATTGCCTCGTAATTTTCCATGTCCTCCAGCGTCATGGTGCCGTTATCTGCTTGAAGGGCTGCAATTGTATAATTGGCGATGGGACCAGTGTAGAACACTTCAGCACCACCATCCGCAACAGCGTCAAGAACATCGGCATAACGTTTCCGAGTCATGACGTCCCCAAACTTGACCAGCTTGCCAGACGGTGCGAAATCAATAGCCCAACTCGGGTCCTCGACCAGGAAGTTCCACTTCGCAAAGTTGATCGCGTAATCCATGTAACGAACGAGATCTTCCGTGACCTCAAAGCCATGCCTTGCGACATTGGCTGCTGGATGAACGACGGACCGCCATGGTAGGCGACCGAACTTCTGATGAGCGATTTCTAGCCCGCGCAGTTCACCAGGCACAGCAGCTGCGAGACCGGAAAAAACGCTTCCTCTTTCATTTCCAAGGTACATGTCCTGAAATGCCGCAGCTGGAGCTGCTTCTCGATAGTCGATGACAGTATAGTTGCCGGATTGGTCTCGGATGAGACTGAAGCCGCCACCCCCAAGACCAGAATGCTGCATTCCAATGACACCCACACATAGTTGTGTACCAACCCATGCGTCTACAGCATTTCCTCCGTGAGCGAGCAAGTTGATGCCGATTTGGCTACACGCTTTACTTTCACATGCAACTCCCCCCTTGGTGTCTGTAAGCGAATGCTGCACGGGATTCTGGTTGTCTAACGAATGCCATGTCGGGTTCGCGTGCAGCCCCGATGCGGCCAACACAAGCAGCACAAGACTTTGTGGCAGTGACTTTAGCAGGGCTAAGGATTTGTGAATAATGAAGTTGTCTGCGAATATTTTGGGTTTCCTACTCACCCATATTGATTTGATTTGTAAGCCAATACATGTCATGCACGTGCCCAGGCTGGTGATATAAGCAGAATCCTGAAACGAACGGAACGCCAGTAGAGTCGCACTTTGAGTTTTCAGTAAATCCAACAGACTGGTTACATGCAGATGTGAACCGTCATATTCCAGGGCAATACTTGAGGTCGATGGCGTGCGCGGAACTTGATGTCGTGATCACTCCGACGCCATGACCTCCGAAAGACACGGTAATCCTTAAGCCGACTCAACGCCGATCAGAGATAAGCCACGGGGCAGCGGGGCTTGATTGCTAGGCTACTAGGTTCTTGATAAGGATGCGATAAGAGCCCCACATACGCTTGCTGGCCCCACCTGTGAGAGGCAGCCAATCGATGCTTAGCTGAATGAAAGCTTCTCATGCTGGAGACTTTTGGATTTTAGGTGCTTTTGAAATTTTGAGCCTCAAAGCTTGCAGGTGTTCGCTGTCCAGTCACTCAGACTGGAAACTCATCAATGCGATTCTGTCGCAACTTAGCAGCAAAGTTATATTTCAGGAGCCGGCCTGTTACAATTCAATCAGCTTTTTCTGTTCAGGCAACAAGATCATCTTCGATCATGGCTTCATCTGCCCTTCCAGTGTCTACTGGCGCCCCCAGCAATGGAGTCCACCAATCACAGCAGGGCCAGCAGGGCCAGCAGGGTCAGCAGCGTGCTGGCGGAAAGCGGGCATTTCAGCAAGGTGGTCGCAAAAACAAAAAGGCCAAGAAGCGTGAGAGAGATATGAAAAGTGGCTCGCACGAAGAAGTTCTGGGGTTGGATATTGAAGCACTTCTTGCGTCCCAAAGATCATCCCCTCCTGCGGAAGGTGCTGGAGAAGAGACGGTGGCAGCAGGAGAAGTGCTTCCGGAACCAGGAAGTGAGATTGAGCTTGACGTTGTCGAACTATCCTCGACTGGTGATGGTCTAGCACAGCAGAAGGGCTTCAAGCAGGTCTATGTTGTTCCATTTGTGGTTCCCGGCGACACCATCAAGGTCAAAGTCTATCGTCACATGACAGAAGGTTACACTGTCGCGGATCTGATATCAGTGCTCAGCCCATCCCCGAAGCGTGACGACAGCCGAATCCAATGCAAGTACTTTTCAAAGTGCTCAGGGTGTCAGTTTCAGATGTTGGACTATTCCGAGCAATTGCGATTGAAGAGGCGTATTGTGGAAAAGGCGTTTCGCAACTTCTCTCAATTACCGCCGGAGCTTATCCCCGCCATCCAAGACACTATCGGCAGTCCTTTGCAGTACAACTACCGGACGAAACTCACTCCCCATTTTGATGGTCCAAAGGGTTGGTTCAAGAGGAAAAACGTGCAACCTTTCGAGAGCCGACCAAATGTCGGCTTCACACCCAAGGGCACCAGCAAAACCATGGACATTGAGGATTGTCCCATTGGTACAGATGCAGTGCGATTAGGCATGAAGCTCGAACGCGACAGAATGGATGTTGAATATGCCAAGTACCTTAGGGGTGGCACCATCTTGCTTCGGGAGGACACCAAACGAGTCAAGAAGGACGCATCATCGATGCCGGAAGATTTGGCGTTGCCAACAAATGCTATCAAGGTGGAGGCAGACCACTACGTTGATTACAAGACCTGCATTACGGACAACAATGGCACTTCCACTGAATATATCGACGACTTTGTGTTCAAGAATTCTGCGGGCTCATTCTTCCAAAACAACAACTCTATTTTACCAAGTTTCACTGAACATATCCGACAAAACGTCTTCCCACCGACGACCGGCGCCTCTGCAGATGCATCACCTAACCCGATCAAATATCTGATTGATGCGTACTGCGGATCCGGTCTCTTTACCGTCACGCTCTCTTCAGTATTTGAAAGCAGTACTGGCATCGACATAGACCCTAAGGGCATTCAAGCAGCGCGCATGAACGCTGAGGCGAACAGCGTAGCTTCGTCCCGAGCCAACTTCATTGCAGCAGATGCAAACGAGTTGTTCAAGAGTGTTAGCTACCCTCCCGATGAGACGGTGGTCATCTTGGATCCGCCGCGAAAGGGTTGTGATGCAAATTTCCTTCGCCAACTCTTGCAGTATGGGCCCAAGAGAGTCGTCTACGTTAGTTGCAACGTGCATACACAGGCCAGAGATGTGGGTATGTTAGTCAGGGGAGAGGCTGGAGATGGGGAGGAGGTCGTGCAAGTGGAGGGTCACAAGAAGATTAGGTATGAGATTGAAAGTCTTCGCGGCTTCGATTTCTTCCCACAAACAGGTCATGTAGAAGGCCTTGCGTTACTGAACAGGGTCGAGGATGACACGACAAATGCTAGTGGGGTAGCTGACACGTCGCCAACATCATAATGCCCGCGACTACTTACAGACAAAGTACGATTGAATAATATTACTCCACCTTTTGGACTCTGACCTCTCAATATAACACCACGCAACTGTCCATGGGAAGAGACACGCCGTGGGCTGAGTTGAAGTCTTTAATACCAGTTGCTGCGCAATTCCATCACTCCACAGCCGACCCTTTGCCTGATCTCTTACTTTTCATCGGAAGGTGGGACGCACAGCATGATGAGATCGAACGGGGCAATGTGTATCGAAGGAATTATCATTATCGATTTTGTCTGCCGCCTTACTAACGGAGCATTGGTTACAAGGTAACAATTAGCGTCGGAAGCTTACATGCGATCACAGAGTGGAATCTCGGCTCCTCCAGTTCCAGGGCTGATTTTGTACGGCTTCGGCCGCTGCTGCATAAATATCTCCACTAAAGAGACAATGATAGTCTGGGGTCCAATTCAACCCCCTGAAATAGGACCCGTTTGGTGGGCCAGGAATATTTCACGATTCACTTGAATGAGGGGTTGGCTTCCAAATTTTTTTTAAGTGAATCCACGTCCTCCAATATTGGTTATTTTTTCCAACATTGTCATATTCATCACAGTTGCGATGGTCCATATTTTCTTGTGAGTCGCTTATAGAGACATAAACTGCTCAGGGCATCTAACACTCCTCAGCGTTGGCGCCACAGGCCACATTGGTGGCACTGTCCTTGATCAGTTACTTCAGAAATATCCGAATGCGACTGTCAAGGCTCTCGTTCGAGATGACCAGAAAGCCGTGCGTCTCTTGAAGAAGTATCCCAAGACAGACTGCGTTATTGGCGATTCTGAAAGCTTTGATATTCTTGAGAAAGCTAGCCGAGAAGCCGACATTGTCATAAACACTTCGCCGGACATTACTCACGATGAAGGGATCAAAGCAATTCTGCGGGGGCTAAAAGACCGTACTGGACTAAGACCATACTACATCCACACTTCTGGTGCTTCCCTTATCTGGGATGAACCTACCGGATCCAAGGATGCTCGCTGGTGGGATGACATCCAAGACATCCAAGACATCAAGGCATGCAAAGGCGAGGCTTACACCCACGCTGCAACCGACAAGATCGTATACGATGCTGCGGCTAACTCGAACGTGGCCATTATTTCTCCTGGATTCGTCGGTGGTCTGAGTCCTTCCATCGATCATCCCACACCTATCACAACACCGGCTTTGTTCCTCACGGCGCGAGCTTTCAAATCAGGGTGGCAAATCTCCCAGGGAGAAAACTCCCATGCATGGATCCACGTTCACGATCTTGCCAATATGTATATTGTTCTAATCGATCACGCGGTTGCTACTCTTTCAGGTGGCGCCCCAGCGTCTGCGCCATTCGACGTATGGGGCCCGGATGCCTACTATTTCGGTGCTAGCGAAGTTATCTCGTTCAATCAATTTATGTCACAACTCGCTTCTGTTTTGAAAGAGCAAGGAGTTATCGAAAGCACGGAGATCAAGTCCGTCACTGTGACTGAAGCGGCCAGGGCAAGTCTCGCCGGAAGTGAATATGACCCCGATGCGCCACCACCGGCTTTGGACTCATGGGCAATGCATATCGCCATCATGTACGGTATCAATATGCGGATTGGTGCTTCGAGGATGAAGAAGCTGGCATGGAAGCCAGAGAAACGGTCAATTGTTGACACCTTCCCCGAGGTTGTCAAGGAGTACCTGCAGTTGGAGAAGGCAACAGACAGCAAGTAACGGGCAATCAACTCTTTACTGGTTTTCAGCAAATACATTTGGTTGCAACCATCGAGGATACCGTGGCTACGGCCGACCACCACCTTCTCCCAACGCCCTGTGGCGAGTATGTTCACGTCAGTCTTAAGACTAGACGAGTATACGCATCAGTTAACGCCTCGACAAGCCGCTTATCACCTACTTGGACACATGAAAGATAGATGCCAGAGCTGTTCAAGTTACTTTAGACCGTATGCTGAGCGATTTTGCACTCATTCCCTCTACACAATAGAACCCTTCAAATGCCAGTTCTAACTCATTTACCAGGAGAGTCAGGTGAGCTTCCCCTGACTCATGAGCTACTGGCGAACAGTTGGGTTTTGCTATCATCTACGAATAGCCCTGAGGGGCTGCTGCGACCTGCTCCTCCATTGTTTGGCTTTGTGTTACTTGTTCCAGCGGCGCCTAATCCCGTGGCTTCCCTTGTTCCTGTCAAGTCTGTTATTATTATTGTTGCTGCCGATGCTGCAGCATCTCTAGCAGCATTCGCAGCAGCAGCAGCTGTGCTGTGAAATATAATAGCATTCTGAGGAACAGCGTACGGTGCCTCACCATACCAGGTTTCATCTTCAAGTCCGCCGAAGTTATAGTTGTCCTTGAGCTCATCAGATACTATCCCCAGATCAAAATAGATATTCCTGATCTCCTGCTCCATCCATTCCCTTATGCCGACGATAAGTCCGCCCCATTCCCTGATGCCCAAGATCATGGAGTCTGCCAATCTCATGAGAGAGCGACCACCATTTCTGGCTGTTTCGGGGTCCCGGACCTGGCGGGCTCGGTTCCTGACCCTATTGAGCTCACGAGCTATCCACTGTCACGCCGAATTAGCATAGGTGATGCCCCTGGATAGTCAAAGCAGGCACTTGCGCAGTGCGTTCGCAGCATTGCCCATTTCACACAGCCTCGCAAGCCTACCCAATTATCACAGAAAAAAAAAGAGGAACAACTTACAGAGAAAACGCGACCAGCTGGCGTGACAGCGATGTGGTAAGGAATAAGGGGATCGACCTTTGGCCAGGATTCTGGCAAATTTGAGTTCATCCCCGTTCCTGCCAAACCAGGCGGCAGTTGGTCGAGATATCCTGTCAAGGCTTCTGCGCTACTCATGGGTTCGGCACCGAGATTGAAGGGGATATGCTCCGTCTGAGCGGCTCTACACATAGGCTCTAAGGTATGGTCATCGGACTCTTGTTGGCAAGGGGTAACGTTGTAATAGTTGTTCACAACTGGTGCTGTACTACAAGTAGGTTGGTCCTAGGGAGTCGCGATAATTAGTCCCAGAAGTTTTCTCATCGTGCTTGTCCTTGCTTACATGGATAGTTCCCAGAACAGTGCCTCTGGCGCTTACCCCAGCTCTTCCAGGGTTTCCTCTATGGTGAGGGATAGGGGTTGAAAGATTACCGGTAAATACGTCAGGGACGTGCGGATGTTCGCCGCATCGAGGTGGAGCTACGCCAGCAGGTTGCCGATTAGGCGGTAGAGGCGCTTCTAACTGATTTGTGATCTGTTAAGTGATTAGTTAGGCCACACGAAGGGAATGATCGTAAAGCAATCGCATCAAACGTGTATGAGGTATGCATCACGGTATTGGCTATCAAAGTCTTGCGACACAGAACTTACACCTGAGACATCAATATCTGCTAGCCTAGCAACCCTCAACCGTGGATTGGCCTGTACATCTGGATGCAAGGCGGGATCCTGGGGATAGTGTCTCTTCAACCTGTCTTCAAGTCTCTTAAGTCGGTTCATAAGTTCGCGGAATCGGAGCCTTTGATAATCTCAGCTTGCAAGAATATTAAACATATACATGCCGTTGCCTACCTTATCGCGTTGACATCGTAGACATGGCCGCGATTTCGCATGTCAAGTTTCACTTGAGCCCATCGATTGGCTTGCACTGAACCCATTTTCGTGGCATCTCTGCGTCTTCGTCGAAACCCTCCCCAGAGCAATACACCCAGGATTAGATCCTGATCGGCCTGTTCATTCCAGTTCTCTTCGTCGGACATATTGTGGATCAGATACAAGAAGAAGAAGAGATAGTGCAGAATTTGACACTTGAACGATTTGTATCGTAAATATCATCAGTTCAAAGCTTCTGCCTGACGAGTCTTCGGGTGAGTCTCGTTGTTTTAGTGATCTTTTGATTTCTATGACTCCGTTTCCGGGCCACACAAAGGCACCGAAGAACAAAGCCGGCACTCGAGCGTATTCAAGAAGGCCGTTCCTCACCCAAGGCATAAATCTTGAATATAGATCCTGCCTAGCCTCTTTGTAGCACATTGAGTGTCAATGTATGAGTGAAACATAGCGTCAATTGATTAACATTGAACTAGCATCTCATATGCATACGCCTGAAATACTCATGTGAGAATCCTATCCAATAATTACCATGATAAAAGCATATTATACAATTTATCAATCTATACCGTTCAACATTTCAAGGTTGTGGTAACAACGCCTGGGTGAAAAGTGATTTTACCAGATTCGGAGGAGTATTACACGAACAACATGACAGTTCATTGTCCAACACTTTAGCCGGCTTAGAGAAGCACAACAACGTTGGTTAACTGCTACGTCTTTATGGCAAGACAAAACTACACCAGGCTAGGAATTGCCGTTCGGATATTTTTATTATCATAGAAAAGAGCGGGTCGTCCACGGTTTTGTCAGGGCGTGTCATTTCAACAAGCTCCTGGAATATGGAATGCACGGGCTGGCACCCCTGCATTTGACTCAACACCTGTGTTATCAAACATCAATCCTGGACTCCGGGATGAGCCTTACCTTGGGATTAACCCACCATATTTCTCAGGACGAAGACGAGCAGATCGCAGAGGAGTTGTGTGTGTTATTTACTGGTTCCTCGAAACTTTACAATAGGAGCAGTACAATTAATGGGCGAGCCCATGCTTTGGAGTGCATTCATATTGCAAGCCATCGTATCAGAGGTCAGTACCAATTAGATCTTGAGAAGAAGGCAACACAGGTTTTCAATGTCGTATCACCTTCATAGCCATAATGTAGGAGTATGGCACTGAGTGATTGCACGTGCAAGTTGCCAATAGCCCAGGTCGGCTTAACCTAGTAGGCTGTGCCCTAGCCCGGGGGAACAGGGGGTTTGTGGGGAAGGTCAAGTGACGACCTCAACCTGCCGATTGCATTCCGACCTGAACCGTGGCCGTCAGTCGTGTTTGAGTTGCTTCTGGGTTTGCATGACCCGCGGTGCATGTTATCGAAAAGTCGCTGGCTAAGCACGGAAGTCTCTCCAGTGCAGCATCAAGACCGATAGCTCAATAATGGACGAAATGCTGTAATGCGCATCGATACGTTCTGGGAAGAGCCTTCCGCGCCTCTGGCAAATGTTGAGTGCATTTACTCAAGCCGCAGCACGGTATTGGGCATGGTATAGTGTTCAATCGGTTCCGTGGCTGTGATAAACGAGAAAAAACAACAGGTTACCGATTCGAAACATCTTCCCATTTTCTGCAAGACATGTGTTTGCACACCCACGATGATCTGAAAGTTAGATTGGACGCTAAGTAGCACCAAGTGGCCTGGACGATGCCGTGGAGAACAGCCTAACCTTAGATTCTTAGCCTCACTCAACCTTTCTCGTCTGGTCTTAACTTTTTCCATCAACCACCCAAGATACACTTGATATGAAACCAGCTGTCCTAAAGCCACGCGAGATCATCAATCAATGAAGAGGAATACCACCATCAATAGAATGCCTTCATAGAACCGCATGCGACGAATACTCTAGGAGGAACCTGCCGCGCATGGCACACCATCGCACTGGAGAATCCGCTTTCAGTTTCATATTCACTCACGACTGTATCTGACTGTCCAACCTATCGTCTTCAAATGCCAGCGTGGAGGGATACGCAATGGCCGACGGCTGGGTCGGGCCTGGATCCACTTCGTCGAATGCCGACCAGGGTAAACAATGCGTGCCGCCGGTGCCGGCGAAACAAGAGCCGCGTGAGTCTATCATCCGTATCATGAGTCTTGGCTAATACGCGATGACAGTGTGACCGCTTCCGACCGTGCTCTCTTTGCTTACGTGCCAATGCTGAATGTGAGCCAGCAGAGGTGTCGCAATCTGCGACGGGCAGGCCTCGGCGTGCTCAGCCGCGTCCTGCAGCATACACACCCACGTATGTTTCAAATGGTGTTACCGTTGATGGGCACAACTGACATTTGGCAGAAGGGGACGCCTACCCACCGATAGTCCCGTTGATGGGTTTATGTTACGGATCCCAGTAGACAGGGCTTCATCCTCCGACAATCGCGAGGCGAGCAGTGATGCCGACAAGCAATCACCCCAGGTGATTATTCCAGAATCGTCTAGGCATGATGTCTCATCCACCCCTACCGCCCCAGTATACGGGGAGTCGGAATCAGCGATGGGTATCGTTCGGAGGGTGAGTGCGCTGGCTGTTTGAAGCTTTGATAAATTATACTGATGAACTTTCTCCCAGATTTGTAGACTTGGGAGTCAAAGTATTGACGGCCAGCCAACCTCAGCCATTCCTGATGGGGAGCTGGAGACTCACACGCCACAAATTTCCAATGACAATCAACGGTTGCCTATTTCGTCCATCTTGAATTGCCAGTTTCCTGGGGAAGAAACCATTCGGGCGTTGGTCGAGGATTATTTCGACACAGTCCATTGGTTCTCATTAATCATCTATGAGCCGCACTTCCGCAAGCGACTCGCAACAGTTCAATGTGGCTACGCCTACTCTTCAGACACCCCATTCATTCTCTTGCTGTGCGTTATGCTCTCCATGGGAGCCTGGTATCGCTCCGCCCGTACCTCCGGGCATGATGCTACAGCATGGCGCCTCTTGAGCAACGAACTTTTACAGGTTGTCGAATCGAGGCTTATACACATTATGGATCACCATTCATTGACAGCCATACAGACCTGCATATTACTAGGTTCCCATCATGTGTACCATGGCCGACCAAATCTATCCTTTTCGCTTCTGGGTGCGACAATTAAAATAGCGCATGCCCTGAGTCTCCACAAAGATGTGGATCACGGGGATCTGGGTGATATAGAGGAACGAAAGAGAGTTTGGTGGACGATTTATACTTGGGATAGGTAATGTGTGCTCCGCATGGGTTACATCTAGATCCGCTGACTAAATGCAATGGTTCAGATTCGCCTCTATTTCTTACGGAAGGCCCTTAAGCATCGATGACCAAGATTGCGACGTTTCTATGCCTGGCTCATTTGCTGAGTCGCCGTATTTTAAACAAAGCTCTCTTGGGACTCAACCCACAAGTATACTATACTCGCCATATCAAATCGAACTGAGTAAACTCTACGTACTCACATCACCAGTTCTGAAGATGATCTTTGGGACTTGCAGCACACGACCATCCAAAGACGATTTTGAGCTTAGATATACCCTCCTCATCAATGACGTGGTCCAGAAGCTTGTGATTTGGCACAGTCAGTTGCCATCTTACTTAAGCTTAGATCTTGATCAAGATTATCAGCCTGGGCAAACTACATGGGAATCTCGAGCGCACGTTTTGCAGTCTTTGGCCCTACAACTGACCTTCGACAATTTGCTTATAGTAATATATCGACCATTTCTATCACGGCAGGTTGAGCGTCTATCAAAACCAGCCCTCAATGCCCATCTAGACGCACATTCCACCAGTCCCCATGACCTACACAGACAGTCAGTATCACAACGCCCTTGCGATAATGGTTTGACTGCCGACATACTGAACTTGTCCGACAACGTACCTAAAGGCGTATCGGAGCATTGGTGGAACGCAGCGGTTCGAACCGCGCAAGTAACCCATTTGCCACAACTCACCCAACTCGCGACTGACAGTCATCTGGTGGCATTTATGGCCATGAATCTATTTCATTCGGCAATAGTCCTTGTTTTGAATGCCCTCTCCGATCCTCTGTCAGACGGTGTGCAGGGTATCAAGCGAACAGTTACAAGAATCCTTCGCCTGCAAGAATTAGTAGGCCGACAATCGACTCTCTCTAGCCAAAGCAGTGCCGTTTTGAAGAATCTCATTCGTCTACTGCTGAAGAGGGAAGGAGAAGCAATGCTTGATTTCTCACCATCGATTTCTCTGTCGAGTGACGCCCATGTTTTGCAACCGACTTGTGTCTCCGAGGGCAACATCATTTCCACCGTTGAGGATGCCTTGCGTCTTTCCTCAAGGGAAATCCAGACCATCGGTCATCAAACTTGGAATGGGACGGAGCCTGCCACATCAGATGCCCAACATCTGAGTGAAAACCTAGCATCTTTACAACAAGGTACGACCGCCATAGTTCTAAATAAACGAGTTAATTGAGCTGACCATATAGTATTTCAAACTCCTAATGGATCTGGGAATCAACATGAAACCTTCAGAAGAGTACCAGAGACTGATTCATCTGCCCTGGATAGCGCAGCACACTATCCACAAGCCCAGGGACAGCCATGGACGTCTTTTGGAGAACAAGGCGGACCAAGTTTTGCTAATGACTTGCATCAATCCAGCAACTCCACCGAAATCGGAGGCAATAACATGTTTTGGCTGTGGGATTATAACTGGGACGGACTTTTTGATGGAGGAGGCAGTCTATCGTGATAACCACTGCTCTCTCAAAATGGTTTGACGTAGCCCGCTTTGTAGTCCTGTGTTATGCGAGACAAGAGATAACCCGGCTATCATGACTCTGACGTCTTGGCGCTAAGTCCAGGGAAACCAAGACCGACGAAGTATCCAGATCAGCAGTCGCAGATGCCTTACGTGATTTTGGAAATATCTGGAGGGAAGCGTTTGGTATCCAACACAAAAGGGGGCGAATCGTATTGACTGAGTGGAGTCATGAGAACATAACATACTCGTCAATACCCAAAAGGATGACGGACCTTTTTAACGAGAAGCACGGTGGAATTGAGCGAGGATTGCAGTTAATTGAACCAAAAGTGAAATGCAAGCCTATTTTAGCACAAGAGCACCGAATCATATCTAGCTCAGCGAAACGTTCTTAATATTATTCTGAAACGGACTGAGACACTAAAAGGTCATCCACATAGTTCTTGCAAGAGATGCCAAACAATTTCCCTTTTTGCGAGTTCTGGTTCTTCAGGTTCCCTTAGACCGTAACGCTGGACAAACGAGTTTCACATCCAGTCATAAACCTCCACAATTGGTTGCATCCAGTCATAAAACCTCCACAATTGGTTGCGCTCTAGCCATCCAGGTGTGCTGCGGTAACGACCACATCATCTTCTGATGCAAAGGCCTTGTCGCCGAATGCTAGAGCAATCTCTTCGAGGGTATGATGGGCTGTCTCGACGTAGTAGAAATAAGTCAAACCGGCCGAAAAGAGGCAGAATCCAGCTATTACGACGTAATAATACCCGCCAATACCTGCGAAAGCGCTGGGTGCTGACATGCCAATCACAAAGTTGAAAATCCAGTTGGAGGTTGTCGCCAGAGCCATGCCTTTGCTGCGAGCCCTTAGAGGGAAGATTTCGGCAGGTAGCAGCCAGGGAATTGGGCCCCAGGTGAAGCCATAAATGGCGTTGTAGATGACCACGAACGCGTAGATACCGTGGGCCCGTAAGTTAATGTCCGCAATGTGAGCTTCAGTGAAGACACAAACAATGGTTAATGCGATAGCCATAGATATACCTGCACATCTGTTAAATCACTGGTCTGGGGGACAGCTGTAGAGGGTACATAGTCACTTACCACCAAGAATCAAAAGTGGCTTTCGGCCCCATCGATCAGCCAGCCACCAGGTAAGTATAGTAGCAGAAACATAAGGGATTGAGTTGGCCGCTGTATACAGGAGTGACTTTGAGTCACTCAGTCCAGCGGCGGCAAGTGTCGTAGGTAGGTAAAATGAGATGACGTTGATCCCGTTAAGCTGGGCAAAGGCCTGCGCCGTGATTCCCACCAAGGTTCGTTTGCGATATCGAGTGAACATCTCTCGCCAAGTCGACTCACCAAGGCTTGCTTCATATCGGACAGCCTCCATGATCTCCAACACAACCTGCTGCACATGCTGAGCCTCGGTGTTTCCATCGGGGGTGTGAAGATCTGCCACTGTCTGCGCACATTCCTTTGTGAAGCCATTGCGTGCCAACCAGCGAGGTGTCTCCGGTAGGAAGAAGGACATGGAAAACAAGATGAAGGCCAAGCCCATCTGGATGAAGTAAGGGCCTTGCCAGGACTCGTTCTGCGGTACCAGGTGGTAGAAGCCAAAATCGACCCATGTTGATAGTGCATAACCGCCGATTAGGAACGTGTACTCTATCCCCACCATGAGCCCACGCCGATGAGGTGCAGCGATCTCAGTTTGGATAACAGGTACGGTCATAGAGAGGAATCCGACACCCAAACCTTGAAGACTTCGCCCGGCGACAAAAGTTTTGAAGCCTGGTGCAAATGCTTGAATGAAAGCCGTTGCAACATAAATGAAGGCTCCAATCCGCACACATTTCTTCCTGCCAATCATATCGCCGAGGCGACCAGCGATTAGGGATCCAATGGCAGCAGTCACCTGTAGACACGCCACCAGTATACCAGTTACAGCCGGATGAATATTGTGAGAGGTACCGTCGGCGCCGCCGTAGTCGGAGAAAAATCTTGAAATAAATATCGGGTTTACAAGCAAGCCTGAAACGATACCTGGTAGAAACACATTAGCGTTAGAAACTTTCAACACCTAACGAAGGAAACGCGTACCTTGATCGTATCCAAACAGGGCATCACCCAAGCTTCCGAAGGCACATGTCATCCATAGGAGTGCCTTCCCCCTGAACGGATAACGATGATGGATGATTTTGGGCTTAAGTTTAGATTCAAGCCAGGAAACCTTTCCGACGGGAGCATCGCTTGTTGTTGAGGGAATGGTGTCCTCGAGCGCCGATGCTATTGCTTTCTGCTCCATTGTGGCTCAGGTAAGGCAAATATAATATTCTGTTGTTGAGATCGGGAACGTTGTAGTTCTGTGAATATGCAAACGCTCCCTCGGTGCCAGACGTCTGGGTGTGCAGGTTAATATAGACTTCCAGGGAAGGCCTGATTTCCTGGGGTCAAATGTCTCTGTCCTACCCCATGGGAAAATAGTTGCTCATTAGCAACATTATGGAACTAGCATTGGAGTGAACCACGTTCTCTGGGGAACCCCAAGACGGCTTTGGGCGATCCACTTCAGAGTCAGTCTAATCAATAGCGGCAGTTACAAGTATACAAAATGTCTTCCCTGGCGCTAGGTTGGAGAAACGTGATGCTAGTCTAGAGTCAGTTGCGCTAAGCGTGGCTTTCCTCCGGCGGAACCGATTGCTTTGGACTTGAATTGGCGTCGCCTTTGCGGTGCCGGCGCATGCAAGCGGTTCCGCCGGAACCGAAGATGTGGAAACCTGGTCTACAGCCAATAAGCAGTGTGCTATGCACGTTCAATGGGGGTTCCTTTCTTTTGGATCCATATCTTCTCCAGTCCTTATTTAGCTGCTCCGGTCACAGAGATGCACCGAGTCATGATGAGATGAACCTACAGTCCAGAAGCCAAGCAAACGAAAACATGGCGTAGAGAACACTACCAGCCGGCGGGACCGTCGCTGGGCCATGGTCATTGAGTTCGTCCGTTACACAAGTCCATTTCTATGATGGGTCATACGGTTATTGATGGATTATATCTTATAATGAGCTTCTAGGTATCCTTATCTTCCCTTCAGATCGGTAACCCCTTCCCGAATTTTGTCTCTTCGCCTTCTCAATTCCCATCCTGCTCGAAACTTCATTCGACAATGGATTCCATTCCCGCCAGCAGCGTAAGGCAATCCTCTTTTATATGCGGCACGTCATAGCTAAGCGGCCATGCCAGAATCTTTCATTCGTGCTTGATAAGCCGAAGTCCGTATCCTTTCACGAACGAGCGATCCCCGAACTCGGCAGTCCACAAGATGTGCTCGTCTCCGTCTCGTACACTGGTATTTGTGGATCGGATGTCCATTACTGGCAGCATGGCGCAATTGGCCATTACGTGGTGAAGGATCCAATGGTCTTGGGGCACGAGTCCTCCGGCATAGTCACACAAGTAGGCTCCGAAGTCACTTCCTTAAAAGTCGGCGATCGAGTCGCTCTGGAACCTGGATATCCCTGTCGGCATTGCGAACGTTGCCTCGGTGGCCATTATAATCTTTGCCGAGATATGCGCTTCGCAGCAACGCCTCCTTATCATGGTACTCTTACTGGATTCTGGGCCTCACCAGCAGACTTTTGTCATAAGCTGCCTGACCACGTCTCCATGCAAACGGGGGCTCTCATCGAGCCTCTCGCTGTGGCCGTTCACATCATTCGGCAAGCCAAAGTGTCACCTGGCCAATCGGTTATAATAATGGGCGCTGGTCCAGTGGGTTTGCTCTGTGCTGCAGTTGCAAAAGCATTTGGTGCTACGGTCGTTTGCTCTGTTGATGTTGTAGACACCAAACTCCAATTTGCAAACCAGTTTGCCAGTACCCATGTATATCTTGCACAAAATACCAGCCCTGAGGAGAATGCGGAGAATCTAAAAGCTCTCCTCGGGCTCTACGATGGAGTGGATGTGGTCATAGATGCTTCTGGGGTCGAAACTTCTATACAAACATCTTTACAAGTTGTGCGCGCAGGTGGTACATTCGTACAAGGTGGGATGGGCAAGAGTAATATCACATTTCCCATTATGTCATTGTGCCAGAAAGAAGTCACAGCTAAGGGCTCTTTCCGTTACGGCAGTGGCGATTATAAATTAGCGATCCAGCTTGTGGGTGGTGGCCAGATAGACGTCCAGCGTCTGATCACGCAGATATTTCCTTTCTCAGAAGCAGAACATGCATTTGAGAAGGTAAGAGATGGTCAAGCTATAAAGGTGTTGATTGCCGGGCCGAATGAAAGGATACCGACGGCATAACATAGGACTTGGGGTTACAAAGCCTAATAAAACCACAGAATCAACCCAATGGTTACCAATACTATATTCGTCGTTTCCGTTTGAAAATATCTCTACAACCTTTTGAACACTTCAACCGACACTACTCCAGCGCTTACACGTTTGTAGTACCTGGTTTGTGATAATAAAAAGGCATCAGAGCGGCCCAGAGCCCAACTTCAAATGCCTAGAATGTCTTGACCATCCCACCTAAGAGTGAAAGCGGCAGTCGGGGTATTTGAAAGGTCTCCGCTATCTACCAGCCAGAAACAAGTGATGTTTCACTGGTGTTGACGGCCATAACAATACACCACGGTGGTACTAAGACCACACATCCTGACCTTTGACATGATTGTGAATCACCAGCCTCGGCAACAGCAGCAACCTGAGTTCAGTAAAGTGTTATGACTAAAGCACCGGCTTCGGAGATAACAATGACGGCTTCAGTGACATACGAGAACAAGGCACAAGCATATGCGAACCGATACGGTCCGGAACACCCACTTTTCCTCTTCAGCGAAGCGAAAGTTCATTATGCGCCACGGCGATAAATTTTCGTTTAAAAGAGGGCTCATAGACTATTTGCATCTAACAAAAGTGTCTGGTCACTCGTAACTAAGCTTATGCACCTAGATAGAAAGCATATATCATGCCCAAGTCGTTACAAGAATATACAGAACACATTAGCCCGGATTCTGAGCAGGCCAAATTTAAGGATCGAATTTGCAATCATGCGGGCAGGTATTTACAGCTATAATTTTGTATACCAAGCCCTCCAATCGTCTCGTTTGATTGACGCAGAATGCAAATAGCATCGAGTGCTGCTCAGAGTACCTTAATTCCAATCGGACTGACGGCTGCTTCGACACTACCAGGCTCACATCTCGTTTCCCTAGAACGGCCTAAGTCTGGACTGTTGAAAACTTCAACCGTATCGTTACACAGAAATTCGATTGCATTTCGTCGCTGAAAAGGGGGTATGAGAGCTGATGACGGCAACAAGCCGTTGTCTTGGGTTTCGCGGTGGTGAACACCTAAGCCATCTTGTGGATCCTCAAGGGTGTTCGTTGCGAAGATTTTCCGAGACATGAGGGCAGAATATCATTTACGTTTGTGGAGCATGGGTCTTTGCAAGCTTTTGTTCATGGTTATTGAACCTGTTTGTGTTTGAACATTGTACGCCACGCACGCACCTTTTTGATGAAAAGCCCACCTTTCGTGCTAGTCCACCAGCTAAATGGGGCCTCTTACAGATCCAATCCTCCTCCTTACACGAAGCGGAACCAATGCAAGGCTAACCTTGCCCATATCTGAATGTCTACAGTTTCGCAAAAACAACGTCCTCTTCTGTCCTCTTGGTTTCTGTCGGGATTCACTTAAAGCGGGACTGGCTGACTGAGCGGCCATGTGAGCTAAATCTGTCTAGCAGAGATTCTTGGCGAGAAAATCGTGTATGTTTCCTGGCTTTTTCGAGTTCCTATCGTACTAGATAATCATAAGTCTGCAAATGCATAGCTCAGCGGATAGCGCTATTTGTATGGATTACTGAAAGAGTCAATCCAGCGCCCACGGCACTTTGGACTTGCGAGCAGTCCGGAGTACTGATAGAAGATTGATCTGTTTAATCCACAAGGATTCTCTACACAGCACTCGGAGCGGGCTGAAGACCAATTGCGGTCAGTAACAGGCATGTAACTCAAACCCATGTCTTATGCAGGACTCGAAAACATTTCTGATTCCTACAAGAACTACAATCATCGTAATCATTACTGACTTATTCATATCGTACAGGGTACAGGAGGCATTCCGGGGAATCTCGTCAAGACACTTGCGAAGCGCATCAATGAGCATGGCTGCAAGGCCTGCGGCAGTGTGCCCGTCTTTTTTGACGATAGGGATAATGATGTTAACAGTCATGGCCAGTTGACCTTCAATTATGTGGATCGAACAACTAATGGAGATGGAAAGTGCAAGACTTACGACGGGAAGTGCCAATATGAGTAGAGTAGCCTTCAAGAGTTAATGATGGCACCATTTCCTTTATAATCTTGAGATAAAGTTTTATTTTTCTTGGAGATAATTGAATAATTAAAATTGAATAATGGATTGAAGTTCATATTTGCAACCATGATTACGATGATAAAGAATTCAATACATCTTATTCATATTACGTGTGGCGTTCAAAGCCAGTGCGATCAAGGATCTTTCTGACTTTGCATCTTGTCCTCAGGGGTCCTAGACGCTTCAGGTATAGCCAAGAGGCCGAAGCCTAACTCGGGCTATTTTACAAGTTCGCAAAACGCGTTTGGACAGAGCTATCACAAGCTAGGCAAGCCTTTGTAGTATACTTCATCTTGGCAATATGGTACGCCTTAAAGCTACTGTTGTCGTTCAGTGAAGGCGAACTAAGATACAATATAGGGAGTGAACTATGCTCTCACAGAACCAGCCTTGCCATGGCCTGTTCATTTCTGTATTTTGTCGTGCACGCTATTGAGTGTGGTTGTAAAGCTGGCAAAAGTTTGACTCTACACCAAGTAGCAGAGCCTTACAACTGTGCGAACGTACAAACATCTGCTCTGAAGTCCTTTTTCTTGTTATCAATATGGGCTATAGCTGTACTATGGCTGTTTCATGAACTCTCACATTCTGGGTTTGATGTATCGTGACTGGCAACAATGAATTCATGATGAAGGTTGATAAGGCTTTATCAACATAGGCTCTCGCAGAAACCACGTCGCTAATTATTGAGGTCAGCCAACGACGTAAGATAGCTTTTGATCACTTGACCGTTACTTTCCTATTTCACCTTTGCTTTACTGTATTGTAACTCATAATCGCTAGTCTTTATCGTTTATCTATACGAGAAGGTCTTAATAGTTGTCCCGCGCCATGTCCGATTAATGCCAACAAGCAGAAAACTGTGCGTGAAGGTCGGGCACAAATGATTTCGCCATGGAATATTATTTACATCGTCATTTAATAGATCTGCAGAATCAAACTTTCTAATCTTCTAGATTGCAATGGTGGACATGGCTGATTATGAGAACCACTAAATAGCACATGGCGGACGGGTTCAAACTAATATTCATCATTGAAGCTGGGCGGTGAAGCATCCGAATCAAGACGAGTAGCATCACTGGAATCCATATTGGCGCTTTCATAATTGTTGAGCGTCATAAAGCATTGACATCTTGTATTGACATATTGTGTAGATAATAAGTACAATGCGGGACTGTACACCAGTGCGCTGAGAGCTCACAGCGACAATCTGTGTAGTCTAGCTGCTGTTATAGACGCGGTCGAACACCCGGTAACACACCCGGCAATGCGGACAATAAAGCCCGCACATAGCCTGATAAATCAGACATTTAAGTTCAAGATTGAATTACACCCCACAGCGGACAAGTATTTACGGAAAACATGCATGAGCAACTCATGAAGGCCGTCGAAGGCTCATGAACGCCTTTCTGCTGACATTGCCCCACCTTTCGCTGCATGCCCAAGGGTGAGCGGCACACACCCGAAATACCAGCACCCGTCAGACTAATCAACCACCCACTGTTCATCCTCAGGCACTCCGGAAACGGATCGGAGCCACGATGCTACCGCCACTCCCGCTTGAGATCTGGACCAAGATCCTCAGTTGCGACGTAGACCCTCGCTACCTACCCCGCACATGGCTCAATTGCCGGCGTGTGTCTCGTGCCTTCAAGGCCGCCACGGAGATGGCATTCGTCGACGTCTACCTGCCTCGGATGACCATATGCGTCGAGCTGTCGGAGATGATAGAGCTCGTTTATGGCGGTCTGTCGGTCGACCGCCAGTTTGTGACCCTCAAACAGTCCCTAGACGATCAGGATGGCGCCCCATCGCGGATCTCGGAGAGCACAAAAAGGCAGTGGCGCGAACAGCTCAGCCGTACGTGGACAAAGGAGCATTACCGCTACGTCGATCTGATTCAGAAGGGCTCACCGAGTATCCTATATCACATCTGGCTCGAGGGCTATGTCGAGGACCCGGGTTTCCCGGACTTAAGTGTGGACATTGAGAAGAGGACACTGGCGTTCCGGTGGAAGCCCATGCTGAGCAACATGTTCGGCGAGATCGAGTACCGAAAATGGTTCTTGCGCAAGGATGTGGAGAGGGGCAACTCGCTTCGTTTCAGACGCGGCAAGCTGGGACAGCTGAGGAACTCGGACGCCGCGCGAGTGATGGCGGTTGAGCTACACGTCCGGAGGATACGGCTTCGCAACGGCGCTTGGGACCTGTCGTCTACCAACGAGAAACGACAAACATGGCAGGTGAGTGCATTGCAAGCATTCCGCTCAGATGACGAGATGGGGCAGGGTGAAGAACAAGGTTGGGGGACGTTTTACGATGAGGTCAGACCCAGATTTCCGGCACAGGCGATATATTGAAGAATATGGAAAGCATTCGATTCAATATAGGTAATTAACATGATCGACATCAAAGGTACTCAAATTTTCAATTTATGGCAATCCTGTTGCGTCATGCACCCCTTCATTTTCTACCGACGCTCACAATTGGTTGATCACTGCAAACGAGATATCTCGTTGGGGGTCGCACTATTCATAAGCTTCTCTCTAGTTCAAATGGATCCATCAGCAGATTTGCTTGGATAGTCACTGATCCTGGCTTTTTCGGAGTCCCACAGCGCTGCCAGAACCACTCTTTTACCCACCCATGGGCGTCGAGAGTGCATCACTGCATAGTTCTAGCACTTGTCAGCAAAAGGGTGACTTGTCTCCAGTCAGCTTTTCTTACGTCAAACAGTAAAATGTCACCTTGCTGCCACGACACAAATACTTGTAATGACTCGGCCAGCTCAAGAGCCAGGTCGAGGTATTCGTTTTCGATTTTGCTACCGTCTCCATAAAGCGGTGGCGGGTGGTATGAACCGTCGTCCCCTCGGTAAGGCGGTTCAGTCGCACCATGGTACTTGCTGCGACCCCAGGCACTCGTTATATTGCCGAACCATGTCATCAGGCCGGTATCTCCATGCTTTCGTATGACTGGTCCCGGTCAACCAGGTACTAACATACACCTCCAGGAATTGCATGGGGAGAGAGCTTACTTGGTACGACGTGCGTCACTGACAACGATCCATCTTCATGCCATTCGAACGTATCGCTGTGCCTCCTCACCTCCCTCTCGATCTTAGCGCGGATTATCGCTTCGTTGTCGTCTGGCTTGACGTGCTGGCCGTATGCAGCGAGGACGCTCTGTCCCGTGTTCGAGACTACATTCTCCAATCCGTATAGATACAGGTATTTAACACCCTTCGCCAGGAGTTTCTGGACGAAGTCGGGTGCCTGCTTGTTCAATGTAGCAGCTAGACGTAAACTCGATGTGATCGGCGTTTCGCCTCCTGGATCATCTACGTGTTAGCAGATGAAGACGGCGAACTCCCACTCACGTCTTCCACGCAAATACTGACCGGACTGTGGGACCTCTAGGCACGTAAACGACAGCCAAGAAGGATTGATGGTCGACCACCCGTACTCATTGTGAGGCCAAATGGGCAATTCCGCTGGTCTTGGGCGCACATACCGTCAGTATTTTCAGCTTTTGTATTTTGGTAGAACAAGAAAACCTTTGGAGCAATTAGCACTTACCCCTCATTCGCCGTCTTGACGTTCTCTGCCAACACGATACGCAACGGCGGGCGCCCGACCTCTTCGTGGGGAGGAAACCCGAACGCGTGCGCGACATGGCTGTATTCCTGCGCCGTCTTGATTGGTAGACCTCGAATCAAGACGGCTCCTCCGTGGTACTGGACCTGTGCGAAGAGAATACCCGACTCTGAAAGCTCCCTGATTGCGTCGACCGCCTCGCCGAGTGTTGGTTGCCAACCGTTCGCGGGCCGGAGGGCTAACGGAAACGGTGCAGTATGACCTAGACCGAAGTTGACCGTGTCTTGTTGGCCTTCGAATGAAAAGGCCTCGAATGTGTAGTTTTCCGTCATGGTGGAGTGCTCATTCAAACCACGCTGGAAGACTCTTTTTCTTCGATTCCCAAAATGAACGGAGTGCGGTGAAAACCAAGAAAGAGAAACCAGTTCAAACTTAGCTCCTACAACTCAGCACGTTAAGCTAGATAAATATTTTTATAATACTGGTCAATTCTCTCCTTTCAAGTATTTGTGTCAGTGTCATAACACGATTATGTCAGCTATTTCGATACCGAACGCCACGTTTCCAAGTGACGTTAAATAGCGGAGTCGACACCAGCGCCGACTTGATCGTTTTCCATATAGCCAGCAATCGAGGGCGATCGTTGTCCACACAATCACGGGAATGCGTCAACTGTCCTCGGAATGTCGTGACTGTATGATACCCCACCTTCCACCCGGCAAGCATCAAAGCAATACTATTGGAGGCCGTTCTCAGCCCTACGCATGGCGGTGGAGCCCGCTAACCCTCATCCTGCGGGTATGAGACACCAGGGCTTCGTCTCCGGGAGTTTGCTTCCACGGCCCGGACCTCTCTGAGCCGTTGATGAGCTGCGGTTACACACAGTCCCGGCCCTTGAGTAAGATCCCAGCCGACGGGTTATATCCCTGCTTCATCTATCGGCATGCCGCTGGCTACAAGGATAGGCTATCTTGAGCGGCCTATTTAGTAACGTTATTGTTCCCAATAGAGGACCTCCACGTGAGATCCACCCGGGCCCTACCAGCATCGGTAGAAGGTATAAGCAGGTTTAGCGAGCAACGGGACACGGGAACCATGAGTTTACATATGCTCACCGTGACGTGGTTTATAAGCCGTCACTTGCTTGTACAGCATGGTCACAAAGCATATAATGCTTGCCTTACGAGCTTTACGCGCCTCGGAAATTATATCAACTATACGCGACTTGGTTTGGAGACACGTGTTTAACGTATGTTAAACAGACGTAATACAGGGCGTTCCATGTAACCCGTACAGCAAGTATGCCTTGTGAAGCGCGCGTAAAACATATATATACACTACACAAGCAAACAACAGCCTATAAAACTCGCATAGTTCATATATCTAACCTATACAACAAATATGCTCAACATATCTTAAGCACTTGTTAAAAATTATGCCATGGCGCTAGGCTTTGTCTCTATGTGGCACTCCAATAGCCAATGTTGGAAGCATCTAGCCATTATTGAGCATATCTATAGAGCTTGTCTTATCTTTCTGGAGCAATCGAATCTATGAGACTGGTTGTCTATTACTACTGACAACGACAGGCTAATCGTAAATCAGTGATTGCCAAACTGTAGTGCGCCACTTTATAAAAGGTCAAAGACCCGGATCGATGGACACTATTGTAATGCGAAGAGTTTCTCAAGGCTGCTAATCCGAGCGAATCTTCGTCTTTATGTATTAATTCCTGATAGAAAGATACACTATAGAGGCTTGGAGGCCAGATTATGTATATCTTCGCAGATCAACTTCTCATCGGCGAACAAGTATGCGGTCTTGATATATTTGTGGCACATACAGCTTGCACTGTAGACCAATGTGTACCGAGGGGCCAACATTAGAAATGAGCTCTTCTCCCTTGGTCTTGCTAGTGTCCCGGCTTGGTTTATGGTTCTGCAGGTGGAACTGGCTGATTTGGTGCCGGGGAAGTCGTATCGTCTTAACCCAATGGATGAGAGCAATAGGCAGTAAGAGAACAGTTGCAGACTAACAGGCAATAACTCCATGATTGTAAGCAAGACTGTCACAAAAGTAACGCATCGTGACGTATATAATTTCCTTTAATTCTTTTTAAATTTCGTGAACTTTTCTCTTTCCACCACCTTTTCCGCCATTTGACCGCGAAATCTCTACCGCCTATGCTCAGATGCATTTCCTTGGGGTATCATATGATCAATTCTACATCTATCACTGCAATCGCGCTATCATCGCGTGCAAAAACATGACTTGCCAACCACTCTATTACACCTTTAGGGACTGACACTTAGATCTCCATGGCGACTAGTACATCCATCTGTGCAAGCCACTTCCGGGCAAACTCTTCTTCCGTGAATCGCCGAGCTGAAATGCGTGCTCGCTTTCGGACGGTCAGAGGGTCGGGCAGCGATAGTGCCTTTTCGAAACCTTGAGCAAACTCGGTTGCTGTGGTGGCGTGGAAACCTACAGGGCATTAGTACACGAGTTTGATTCGAAGACGACATAGAAAGGATGGTATACGCACCAGTGGGCTGGCCATCAACCTCGGTGACAATATCAAGCTTCGGGCCACCGCTGTCGTGAACAACCGCAATCAAACCGGCAGCTTGATACTCGACAACGCCAATGCCAAAGTGCTCATTCCACATGCCATTGACACCGACATAGGATTTTCGCAGCCAGTGGAGGATATCAGGCCAGCTGGCATCAAGCTGGAATGTGACGCGATCCCTGATGTGCAACTCGTTGACCAGGAGACGCAGTTGATAGACGCGCTTCGAGTCACTGTCATCGCGAACACTGCCCACGAGAACAAGCTTGGCATCCTTGGCGGCGGGAGAACCACTATTGACGAATTCGGCAAAAGAGCTGACGATAAGGGAGTGGTTTTTCTCGGGTCGGAATTGCGCAATGTAGAGGAGAACCTTCTCCCGTTGCTTCTCGCTCTCCTCGGAGACTTCAATGTCCTTTTCCAATTCTCTGACAGCGCAAGGCGGAAAGACGACGGCGATAGGATGCTTGCGAGATCGCAAGGCACGACGGGGTCCCCAGATGGCCTGGACATGCGCCTGAGTCCAGGTCGAGTTCGTCATGACCACGTCCACAGATGCGCCCATCCAAGAGTATATTGCTGCAAAGGCCCTCCAGTAGTTGCGCTTTACAGTGCCTCTAACACCGACTCCCTTGCCTGCATTTACTCCCTGGCTTCCCACTGTGCTGTTCGGGTCGAGAGAGTCGAGCATGTCGGTGGAGATGGTAGGATAGTGTACGTATGCGCCGGTGGGCAGATTGGGGAAGAGCAGCTTGCTAAGTCCAAGCACAAATGCATAACCCATGGTATCGACGAAGATATCGGGGACCAACAAGGAGAAAGCGTCCCATCCAAGTACCAGTGACCCTAGCGACTGGCCGAGCAGCGTGAAGTGTGGCCATGACGACGGGAGCACCCATTGTCGAGTCGATAGGTATAGGAAGGTGATAGTCGGCGGGTGTATGTGAATGCTGAACGTGTTCTGAGATTGTCATGTTTAATACGGTGCTCCTTTGGCGTTGGACCAATGTGCCCGGGTTTAGGACTTACCTCGACCCTTTCGAGTATTCTGTCCTTGGTGACCTCATGGTCGCCAGTATACACAACACACTTGGCCTTGGGCCACCTCTTCTGGGTAGCTCGAATGGCAGCCCACAGGACCCTCTCCCCACCCCCTCCAGCGTTACAGAAAGGGTGGAAGAAGCCGACAATGCCGGTCCAATCCTGGCTGGCCTTGTCGCGGTTCTTGGATGTGCCGGTCGTCGAGGCCTCGATGTTCTCCCACTCGTCGTCGAGACTGCTTCCCGCACTGCTCTTGCTTGAACCGCTTTCCTGGAACTTTCGCTCGTCCTCCTCGCTGGATCGGATGATGAGCTCGCGGCGACCCTCTGTTTTCCGCCAAAGATACCAGCCTAGAGAGGTGCCGAGAGTGCGCGAGGCGAAACGAAAGAAGACGGGGAGGCCATAGTTCCAGAAGAGTATTGCGAAGAAAGGAGTCAGCACGAGAGCGGCGGCGGTATATGCCAGGGCAGATAGAAGAGGCATGCTGAGGCAGGGTGCGGTTCACCACACCGATTCGTCGCGGGGCACAAACTAGTGTGCAGGTTCAGGTCGTGGAAGCGTCAAAGTGAAGGCGGCTGGAACCAAAGCGATGCGACCAGCGGGGCTCGGAACAGCTTTGTAAACGAGAGGCTGTTGGAATGCTTTTATAACAAGTAGATAGGAGAGACTTCCTGCCTGGCAAGGCTGTGACAAGGCAAGGCAGCGTGACCCATCGAAGACGAAGAAAGAGGGTCAAGTGATGCTAATGGCAGAGTGAGTGAAGCACGGGAAGGAAAGGCGAAACGGAACGCAGAAGACCAGATTGAAGTTCCACCACGACATGTCTCAACGTCGTAATCGTCGACCCATAACGGAGCAACGTCAATGGACTAGCGACGCTAAAGCAATGTGACTGTGGCTTGCTAGCGCCGCTGTCTGTCTACAGCAACCTTAGTTACGTAGCTCAAGTACCTTGGGTACCTTTTTCTGTGGTGCATGTGGCGCTTGCATGTGGTGTGCGAGGGTTCCAAGCCGTACATAGTAATAGTAATGGCTACGGGATCAGATACATGCCCTGCTTCTCGTTGATTTCTCGTCGAATGTAGTTATGTTTACACTGTTACAGGTTACATTAATCACTCTCATCCCTCGTTGTAGCGCCTCGTTCCTCGCTCCCTGGTTCTATACGTGTACTGGCCAATTGAAACTACCGTACCTGCTAGCACAGACCATACCTAAATTGAGGTCCCTGCAAATGGATCTGCATCACCAATAAAAGCTTGAAATCATGCAGGTGCGTACTGCTATGCCCAGCTTAGCTGCACGCCCATCAGGAGCCCCCAGCCGGCAAATCGACATTGACGACTATGATATTGCAATGAGATTCAAGCAGGATGAAGACTCTCATCCGCTCCCATAACCCAGCTCGGCTGAGTGCAGCCCTGCCGAGGCCCTTGTTCAGGCCAGGAGTCAGCGCCTCCACCAGAATCTCATCAACGCCTTTTACATCTCATCCGAGCCATCGCCAACGTCGCTCCTTCCACCTTGGTGTGGCCCCAGTAGTCCAGACCGTCGGCCAATGCTTCCAAACCGGTTGCCAGACTGCACAAGATGTCATGCTGGCGGCGCATGGCCTAACGGGTATGCCCTGGGTGTTCACGATTCCTTTGTTCGCCCTAGGCGTGAACCTGCTCTTCCGGCTCCCGTTCAATCTCCAGAACCAAGTGCTCATACAGCGGCGATCCAAGGTCGCTCATGTCTTGCAGGGATGGTTTCGGAAGCATTGGCAGGAGGTCAGCAGGGAGCAGGTTCCTCCTGGCGAAATGAAGAAGGAGCTGGAGAAGCGCGCAAAGCCACAGGCCAAGAGGCTGTACCGGGCGTTGGGTCTGCAGCAGTGGAAGTTCTATCTCATAGGGCTGGGTATACCCTTCTGGCTCATGAGCTTGGAGGCTATTCGAAGGCTTTGTGGTGCTGGGCGGTTCGGGCTCAATTCCAGTGATGCGGGCCCTGCTACCAGCGACACGGCCACAAGGGACCTATCGCAAAGAGTTGTGGACACATCTGACGCAGCGCTTCGGCCGGTTCCAGATGCCTCTGCAGCCTCAGATGTAGTCACAAATACGGCGCAAATTGTGAACGCTGCTCAACCAATGGATCCAACGCTCACTAGCGAGGGACTGTTGTGGTTTACCGATCTTACCGTAGCTGACCCCTACTACATACTCCCGATTACCTTTACGGCGCTGACAGTGCTCAACATCATACCCAAAGACAAGACAGCCCGACAAGCACTGTTTGGAAGACTCAGCCGCATCAACGCCGCCCCGAGTAAGGACTCCAATGCTCCGCCGTCTACGGAAACCATGGACCTGGGCAGCAACTGGCGTATCAGAACCATCAGAGCTATTCTCTTGAGCTCCCCGGGGTTGATCATTCTCACCGGGTCCTTCCCCGCAGCTGTGCACCTTTATACCATCACCTCTGTACTCGCTACCATGTTGACTCGTGCCATACTCTCAAAAATGTACCCGGTGGTGGCCAAGGCCGAGACATGCAAGCACAGGGAGATGCCGGTCATTAGACCCGCCCTGCCGAAACTCGACATTGTCAGCAAGGAAGCGGCGAAGTCATGAGCACTTTGGGAGAACAGACTTGGCATGGGCCGGGTATATCACCCTAAGCCCTAGTCTAGACGCTTATCAAGATGATCCATCCGGGAGACACAGGTCGGATCTTGCGGTAGACTTGCGTCAGAACTGTATAATATTTGATATATAGAGTGTACATTAAAGCCGTGGAAGATAATGAACAAATGACATGTCTCGATTTGACAGAACAGAATAGTCATCGTACCATGGATACCATCAAGACTGCGTAAGTGTACATGAACAAAAGGCCCAGAAACAGTGCCAACTCCCCAACGCCTCAGATGCGACATCAAACCACGCTCTTCTATCGGTGCTCGCCCCCGTGATATCAACCCAAGAAGACAGCCAACATGACAATGGTGAGGATGACGGCCAAGATCAACAACAAGCAGCAAGCCTTGCTCCTGGCGTTCTTCTGATACCGGGCGGCGCTCCTCAGCTCGTAATCAGCGCCCCTCGTGTCGTCACGCACGTTGATCGCGTTGCTCTCGATGGTCTCGAGCTGCTCGCCCTGCTCGCCAACGATCTGTGCCACCTGCCGGAAGAGCACATTGAGATCTCCCACGCCCTCCTCGATCTGCCTGATCTCCTCCTCGCGCTCGGCGATCAGGGCATCCTGGAAGTCGACGTCGTCCTGCGGGGCCAGGTGGACCTGCTCCTGCTGCTGCAGCAGCTGCAGCTCGTCGCGGTCGGCCTGGGCGTCCGAGGGGGCGTCGGTGTCGAGGGCGGCGCGGGCGGCGGTGACGCTGGCGTTGAGCTTCTCGAGGGCGGTGCGCTGGAGGGTCTGGAACTCCTTGAGGGAGGCGGCGAACTCGCGGGCGAGCTTCTGCTGGGAGTAGCGCTGGGTCGGGGTGACGTCGTCGGGGCCCCAGGAGGACTGCAGCTTCTTGACGCCCTCGCCGATGTCCTTGAACTTGTCGCGCGACTCCTCGAGCAGGGCCTGCACGCGCTCGCGCAGCCGCGGGTTGTCCTGCCGCGACCCCAGGCGGTTGATCTCGGTGCGCAGCTTGGCGTTGTTGCCTTGCAGGTGGAAGAGGGTGTTCATGAGGGTTTGCGACAGGCGCGAGAACTCGGGCGAGTCCGAGTAGCCGCCCTGGTTACCGCCGTGGCGGCGGGCGGAGGAGGAGCCGGCCCCGCCTGATTCTATGGAGGAGAGCTGGTCGAAGGACATGGCGGCGGTGGTCGGCAGGAGTCCACAGTGTGGTGTAGATGGAAAATAAATAATAAAACCAAGCGATAATGCGACGGCGTGAAAGGAAACTGGGATGAAATGGCCAGCCTAATCAGCTGCCTGGTTTCTGGTGCGGTTGCGACAGATGGGGGTTGCAGTAGTGTCACGGATATCTTCGATTGAGCCGGTTACGTTACGGTAGTAAGGTTAGTTAGTTACGTGAAGTTCGCTGGCTGGCTGGTAGCTCTGGAGGGTACGGATTAGCTTGGGAGAGGGAGGTCTGGGAGTTTGTTGCACTGCATTCGCACCGCCACACACCCACCGTCTCGTCTCCGTCACAGGCTTTGCCGCGGTGGGGTCAGCTGGCATAAGTTTGATCGCAGTACGTCACGTTTATGCTGATACCGATAACTCTTCGCTAGGTTAGGTTAGTCCTCGACTAGATGCATTTATGTGCATCAAACCAGACTGGAGCTCAGCTCCTTGTTCAGGCAACCAGCTCCCGAGTGCGTCTCACAGCGCGCGTTGCTCCGAACGGCGGTGCGCGTGCGCTCATAGCTCCAAAGTTTTTATTTTATTTTTATTTTATTTACTTCGCCGCTTCTGAACCACCACATCCCACTTCGTCGCTGTGCAATTGAGCAAACGGCAGTAGGCTGGGGCTCAAAGGACTATTTCAAACAGAACTAATCACCCACCACTTTGCGCCCGACTGATCCGCTTCTTTGGTCGAGGGCGACTACTCCTCTTGTCTTTTCCTTTCATTCTTCCAAGTCATGTTATAGCACAGAGCTTACAATGCCTCCCCCAATTGTCCGCAGAGCTCCCTACAAGGACTTTCTGCAGCCATGCACCCAACGACGATTCGCATCCGCCCTGCTCATCCTTCTCGCCTTGTCCTACCTCGAGGCCCTCACTCTGTCCAGCTGGAACTCCATCATCTGGTCGTGGTTCCCCATAGGCGTCGCAGGCATACGCACTCTCTTCATCTTCGCATGCGTCCTCTTGGTCGTCGTTCTGCGAATCGCACACCCCCACATCGGCATACGCACGAGCAATTCCCCCTTCGACACCTTCAAGCAGAACCTCCTGTCGCTATCAGCCTCTGAGACCGTCCTCACCTACTCCTTGTCCGCATTCCTGTTCAGCCAGGTCTATCTTGGCACTGTCGCCGACCAGGCCAATCTACAATGGGTCACATATCACAGCGGAGATCGCGCACGACTCAATGAGAGGACTGTCTTCTACACACTAACCATGGTCTTCCTCGGAATCACTGCTGGACTCATCCATCTGTTCCTGGATTTGGACCGACTCATCCTGGGCACGGTCAAGGAGACGGAAGAGAAGACGAAGCCAGAAGACCCAGTCGAGAAGCTTCTTGCTGCTGCCCCCAGGCTGTTGTTCCGATCGATCGCCACTTCCCTTGGTGTTGCGGGCCTCAACTACATCCTCCTGTACTCGTTGTTCCGGAGGTCTGCATGGGGCTGGGCAATGTTCTTTCTCCGACCATTCTACAATCTACCCAAGACCAACATTCCACCAGCCCATGCGCCTTGGAGTATCTGGATGTTGAGCAGATCTGTCGTGGCCGGAACTCTGCTCTGCATTCTGTGGAACTTCAGCAACGAGGCATTCACTGTGAACCTGGCGAAAAAGCCCCTCAAGAGTGCCCAGCCAATCACTTCCGAGTCCAAGGATCCCAACGGAAGTCTTTTGAACGGATTGAAGAGCAAGAAGGCACGAATTTCTGTAAGCACCCGACGGCACTTTATGCTTCATACTTGGATTTTGAACGCAAAGCTGACATGATTAGGCCTTTGCCATGTGGGAGCTTGCCCTGATATCGAGAGACTTTGACGCCCGTCGCAAGGCCATCTTCGAGGACATTGATCGAAAGGATGGTCCAATGTGGTCTCAAATCTACCAGCTGTGTCTAGGCCCTATCAAGGCACTCGAGAAGCGCATCGATGACTATGGGAAGCCACCTGCCCCACCTGCTGCAGCACAACAACCTGCAGTGCCGTCACAGCCACGAGCCAAGATTGTTGAGCCGCCGGCGAGCGCCAACATTTGGGAGCGCGCTCCTCCGCCAAAGACCATCCAGGACTCTGTCGGAAAGTGGGTCGCAGATGTGGCCAACACTCCTGGCAAGAAGCCCGCTGATACGTTGGTTCCGCTAGCCAAGAAGACGGTAGCTGATGTAAGGGATTCGCTTTTGACCAAGCAACAACAAGAACACCTGAACCAGGAGGGCATTGTTGGCATGTTCCAGGGTGTCTTCAAGGTGGTGTTACCGACGAGGCTGGGCTGGTTGTTCCGACAAACATATTCTCGTCGTATCCGCACCGCAGTTCTAGGTACACCATACGGCGATGCCAGTCTCCTTGTCAACTCAGCTTACGCGCTCTCGCGGCTGGCCGTGGCTAGTTTGGCCGAAGACAACTACGGCAACGTTCATCGTGACGTTCCTACCATCATCCGGACTTTCACGACGTTGATCAAGAAGCTCGAGGTGTTCCTGGAGAACTTCCCGGCGCATTGGACAGACGCCAGTGGAAAGCGCCAATCCGCCGACGTTGAAGAAGTGTTGGATGCGTTGAAGGAGTCCCTTGCCAGGGTCGTCAAGGATTTTGAAAAGTATAGCTCAGACTTGAAGCTATCGCGCACTGACTTAAGGCTCGCGAAGGAGGCAGCACAAAAGAGGGAACAGGCACAACAAGCAGCAGAGGTGGGGAGGCAACCAGAGCCCGAGATGAGGCAGGTCAGCTAGTGGCTGGCGCCATACAAAGGAGTCATGATGATGCTGAGAATTAACACGCGGTCATTATCATAGCCGACTTTGTCGGCATCGCCAGATGAATGACATCTCACGATTGAACGATTGAGCATGCTTCTGGAAGTCAGGCCCCTCCAACCATGATTGTGCATCCCGTTGAGCAATTTGCGAGCTTGGTCTGGTTCATGCTCGTATAAGTACAGTCGCCAAGAACCGTGCCGTTTCAATGGAGCAAAACACATATACGTACATGGTTATATCGCTGTTCAAGTCAGCCAACACCTACAAGGGCATGCATGATCTCCAGTTCCGCACCATGGGCGTGGACTAAATTGGCAGTGAAACTTGAAGAAGCGTTCGTCCGCGAATCTGCAGAACAGCTATGCTGCAGGTCGACTGCTTTGGGCAACTACGTACCCAACCCCACTCACAGTCGTGAATCGATCGACCACAGCTCCTCCGTAGAGGCTAACATTGCAGTGCAACGTGAGAGACTATCTGACTCGATTTGACACCGCCTGGATCATGACTGGACCCGGCAATCGAAACTACGTGCTTGTTGCATACTGTACACATACCTTTACCACCCCTTGACATCCGGGGATCCTGTTCAACAGTCGGCAGCCTCGTCCCGGGACTTTGCGTGAGCCGAGTGTGGTGTACGAGTCTCTGGATACAGATTGCCGTCGTGGGGATCAGAATTGCAGTGAAAAGGGAATATTTCTAGTTAGATAGTAATCTCGTACCGACTACGGAGTACAATCGGAACCCCCTCGTGTCCCCTTCCACAGGGCGTATGTAGTACCACGCCTCCAGCGATGCAAGGCACACCCGTGGATCGCGCGCTCTGGTCTCGAGTCAAGGCAATGACTTACTGGATCCTTAGCTGCGTTGGAAAGATATGCTGTAAATTGTTCAGGCGCCGGGCGACCCTGTTCGGGCGGGGAGGTGTCTATTTCTTTTTCACGTTATTTAATACATGCGTATATATCTATTTTATACACATATCTAGTTTATGAACAAGGCATGATGTCTCAAGAGGAGTATCATTGAAGGCTGGCGCGGTCATGGGCAATGGTGGTAGTAGCTCAAATTGGGTTCGTGGGGCAGGAGACTTGGCATCTTGGTGATGGATATATCCTGAGTTGCGACTCAAACGGGCAGATATTGCCACTAAGATGGCAGGATGGGCTCTGAGCATGCTGGACAGATACTTCGGGTGCTCCAGGTCCTAAAGCCGCTTATCGCCACGAGAGTTGTCGTGCAAGATATGAAGCATGTGGGTCTGCTGCAAATCGGCGGATGCAGGGGAGACAGGATGAAGCGGCTGGCCATGCGTCCACGACATCTGCCGAACTCGACTGTGTGGGGGACGATGGGGGTGGTGGACGCGCTGAACTGCACACTCGGTACCGTAGCAGCTCATCCTATGTTAGAAGCAAGGGCCAAGGTATGCCGGCCAGCGATCACAAACAGCTGCACACTAGTCTAGTGACATAGGAGCCCTTAGAGCTGGGCAGATTAGTCACATGTTTCACGGTGGTGTATTATTCTATCTCAGTGCTTCGGTGCCCTCATGATAAGAAGCTCCAGTCAAATCTGTCAAGCTTCTAAGGTTAGGGAGGGTTCGTCCCATCGGGTCAGAGGCAAGAGGCAGAGGTGGGGTTCGAGAGCGGCAACTAATTTCAAGGTTCAGCCTCACTAAGTTGACTACTCGGCGACGTTGCTAATTCCAACTTCCACCTTCCAACTTCCTAATCGCAACACTTTGTTGTCTTTGTCGACTTCCACTCCTAATCAAGCCTTGCGCCTTTTCATTCAACTCTTCTTTCTCGCCCATGTCCGACATCATTCCAGGACTTTTTACCTCTACCACTTACGAATGACGACATACTGTAATTGCATCTTATCGTCCTCTAATACCAAATCATGAACCTGCCATCGATACCCCCTTGTTTGGACGCATGCGACAGATCGAATCGCAATAGAATACCACTCCTTCACACGCCCGCTCCAGCATCAGCAACAACATGTCTCATCCACGAACAGGCACTCGAAAGTTCTTTCACTATCTTTACAACACCGTCTATGTCCTGCTATGTCTGCTCCTTACCGCCTTGATCCTCATTACACCCGGTGACGCAATCCGACAGACCTACTTCGACACCTTACAATATACAAACATTATCATAATAGCAATTGCCTACTTGGTCGCAGTCTCCATTGTCCTCTTCATATACTCCCTCCGACTCTATGTTACGCGCACCGTGTTGGCCAGTATACCCAAGAGCCGCATCCCTGTCGACAAAGGCGATGTCAAGAAGAGCGTGCGTGAGATCATTGAAAACGACCTCGGGCGAAGCGCCGCCATCGCATGGCAGGCGAGGCCCAAGGTCGGCGCATCTGCTCCGGAAGCACAATCTAACGCCTTGTCCGTCGTCGCCGAGGAAGACGCAGACGCGAGTGCACCAGGAGCATCGACGGATGAAGAGAAGGGTCCAAGTGCTTTATCCAGTTGGTCGAAGCCGAAGAAAGGCGCGAACCTGGAGCGTCAGATGGGAATCTCGCTTCCGCCAACGAAACCGGTGTGGGGAGTGATTGAGCACCCAGGTTGGGGCAGCCCGGAGTCGCCTGATCTGGCCAACATCCAGTACAGTGCCGTCTTGGCGGAGCTGCCGAACTTGATAGAGGGTAAAGCCATGTCCCTGGCGCCTGCTCTGCCTGAAGCGCCGGATGACCCCACTCTATTGGACCCCGAGGCTGTCGCTGTGCTGCAGAGGACAGGCAACATGGGTATGCGCACTTACGTGGGTCGTTTGGTGGATCTGGGCGTCCTCGAATTATCCAGGGACGTCGCAGAATTTCTGGATGTATACGAAAGGGCACGCTTCTCGACCAAACCGATGCCCGTCACCATGTTTAGGCGATTGATGCATTTGTTCGCAGAACTGTTGCGCTCTGCAAAGCCGCTCACGCGTGATGTATTGGAGACCATGCGCGACATGGACGAAATGTACTCCGAGAGCGAGGGCGGGAGTAGCATCGACCAAGACAGTCTACGGCGAACTGGTAATGTTCATCAAGCGGATATCGACGATGATGCGCCTCAAAATACCACTCCGACGACGCCGGCGCGTAGCGTGCGCACCGTCGACACTGGTCTGAGTCTGAATACGGCAAGTAGTATACATTCGCGCCATGGCCGACTGCGACCTAGCATGACCGCGAGAAACTCATCCGGTGGCAATACGTGGACTCAATACGGGACGGCACCCACTACACCGAAGAGCAGGGCAGGTCGAAGCAGCAGAAATCAGCGCATGAGAAGCAGCTCGAAGGATGGCAGCACCAGAAGTGGGAGCAGCGGAGGCAACTTTGCGCAGACACGGAGGCCGTTCATGGGTGGGAGTCTGGGCAGTAGTAGCAGTCAGGGTAGCCTGAGGTCAGCTAGCCAGGCGAGCGAGGGTAGCGTCATCCGGCTTGCGAGGCACGATGAGGATGGGCTGCCATATGTGTTGAGGGTATCGCATACGTTCTGAGGACAGACTTCTGATCGAACTTGGTCTATGGATGTGAGAGGAAAATTATACATCCCCTCAATCGAAGAGATGATGGATCCCTTTGAGCTTCTGGTGTGCGGACCTCTGAGCATGTGCACGGCTCACTTGAGTATACGTGACACTTGTGGGCAGTCATTGAGAAATGGCATAACTTGGAGACATGGAGACATGCCTGTGTGCGGGAATAACGATCGATTTTTGGCTGTCTTGACGGGACCAGGAAATATCTCAATCCCCATGTTGATATAACATCAGTTGCACCGGTCCCACCCCCTGCCCTCTGAGTCTGCTATCCTCGGCTGATCAGGGCCATCGCCTCTTGCACTACTTTGTCAAGGGAAGCCAACCGCGCTGCATTTCGCGCCTCCGAAGAACTAGTCTGATAAGCAAGACCGGCGGCCAGGTCGCCGCCATCACTCTTAGTGACCATGTATGCGTGGACCCGGCCAGCAGTCATGGTGTTGTCAGAAGGTTGTGCCACGCGCTGGCTTACTGATGTTGAGAGCTTTGGGGGGTTGTCCCTGTGTGAAGACTCATCAGCTCTGGGGGCATGACACAGGAGACCGGAGGGGTGACAGTCACATAACAGACAAAAGGGACGCCTTACCCATAGCGGAGGGAGGTAGACGTTTCACCGCTCATGGTTGGTAATAGTGATACGACTTGATGTGCCACGGCGATCAAGAATTGGAAATACGCGGATATATGGAGTGCTTCTCTCTACGATGGAGTGAAGACCGAGTTGAGCATGCAGGCTTGACTGTTCTTGCTGTGGAAGACCATGTGGGAGGATGATAGTGTCTGTCTTGAAGGGCGAGGCGCGCATTCACTGATCTCATGGGTGGGCTTCAACCTGTGATCTCTGTCGCGGTTGTTGGTCGCCATTGGAACAAGAGAGGACCAGGTCATGGTTATATAGCAAGATCAAATACAACGAAATGGCTTGACAGCTTGCGGTTGGGAGTAATGAAAGTGCAGCCAAGAGAACGATACCTAAATAACCTTGCGGCTCCCGCAGTGGCTCAATTTGCAAGCTAAGAGCCCAACCAGTGTAAGACAAAAGTCATATAACTTTGAGTTGTAAGCCAAAAGCCATATAAGCAGAGAGCAAAGAGGTCGGCTAAAGCGGAGTTAGAGTAATGCAAGGGTATTACAAGTGAAGGCAAACGAAGAAAGCAAGGCCCTAGAATTAAGGCAATAATAGGTTATTGAGCATGCAACCTAAAGACACCCCCGTACGTATTGTAGACAGCAACATACCCACGCCTCTACTCTGCTTGGTGATGATTGACGCGTCCGGCTCGAGGTACCTAGACAATACTTTGTCAATACTTCAACATGACGCGAAATTGGTCTCTTCTCAACGTCAGCTCAATTAGGTATACGAAATACCATGCGGTACACGAAAAGTACCAGAGTGGGATGAAAGCAGCTTGAGCTGCGCGCGATGGCTTGGCCACAGTATCGGTTTTCTGTATCAGGCCGACGGTACGTACATGGAAATCTATGTATGCGACGTCTCGTTGGTTCGCGCCCTGTTTACTGTAATATGGCGCTGAACAAAAGCATCAATCACAGTATAATGATTGCCACCGGCGGCGCCCGAGAGGCCGCTAAGATGATCCCTGCACTTGAACATACAGCTACATGACACGGCATCACCTTTTGCAACGAGCATGTTCATCTTGAAATCCCTCGGGACTGGTACACGCCAGACGCTTATTCTTCGTGTCGGTTCTCATTGGCGCACACCGCTTACGTAGTATCGCATCGGTTTGCAAGGATCTAACAAACCTCTTCAAGATCTCCCATTCTCAGCAAAGGAGATCGTTCGGCAAGCCAGCATACCGAGTTAGGCCCCTCGACATCCCATGCAAACATGTCCACCAAGCTTTTTCCATGTAGCAGTATCGTAATTTTGGAGTGCAAGGGCATTTCCCCCGACAGGTCATGACAAGCAATGCATTGTAGCCCACCGACCTTTTCGCCTGTTATTGCTTCGAGCGACTCCCAGGACAAAAGCCGCGTGCTGTAGGCGGTCGGTAACCCAATTTTCTGAGGCCATAACGCAGTCCTCAGATCGGGTCAAGTCTTGCAGTCAGTCTTACGCAAGGTACGCTGGACGTTATAGCCTGGTTTCATACATCGAGGGGGGAGATGCGGCCACCAATGCCGTAGCTCTGTGAAATCCGCACAATATATCTGATCGCTACATTTGCCAACCCGGAGGTGCGCGTGTACGAATTTATTCTCCCTTTTCGTGGAACCGATCTGCTCAAGCTGATGAGGGACAAGGCATTCTGACTTCTGACCGTCCCATTCGCCTCCACGCCCTTCCCCGCGCTCACTTGTGCTGGTTGCTTTGCCTACTCGCCTCCACGCCTTCCCCGCGCTCACTTGTGCTGGTTGCTTTGCCTACTCTTACATATTGGTTGCCTGAATTCTGATTCTCGATGCATTGCCACTATCTACCCCCTGCCACTCTGCTCCTGAGGCGGTCGCCGCCTTCTACATAACGTGAGCTCATGCCCGGAAAAGAATTCCAACCCTTTTAACTCCGATTTTAACGCACATTCGAGCACCGCGCAGTTATGGTACACGAGGCCGGCCAACAACACGCATCCTAGGGAATCGTTCCACTTACAACGATCACGACGAGAGGCATTCACACTATCCAACACTTTTCTTGGGGCCGGCGTTCTGACGGCTAAACCCTTGACGAACATACCGTGTTCCCGGCGCGCACCAGCTTGGCCCAGGGGTATCGAATATCGCCATGCTCGTCGTACTATTCCTTAAGCATCACTTGAAACCCTTATCAATTATGGTCATTTGCGACATTCCCTACGTCTCATTATGTGGCATGAATTGCAACTCCGAACCACAATGTTTCAGGAGCATCATGACTTTTTTCTGGCTTCTCAACACCCCTGGGCAAGTTTGCAGTCGTGTTTGGCTTTCGAATGCAGAGCTAGCTAGGACATAGCAGTATATGCCCGCTACAATCTTCATTTTCGTCGGTCGTTTCCCAGGTCGACACACAGTTCTCAACGCTTGAGACGATTCGCCTCTGGTACCCTGAAGGTGGACTTGGAGAACACAGTCCTCTCACCGGCCCTCTCCCTCTGGGGCGCTCATGCAGTGCATCCCTGTTGTTACTTCGAAGTTTCGTTCGTTGAATTTAGCGACTTGAAGCAGTGTTATGTCCATGCTCTTCTTGGGCGGATTATTCCTGCACCTGTGGTAGAAACCAAGTTCTTTTGAAGGTTGAATGTGGAGTTGCACGTGCTGTCTCTATTAGCCGCATTGTCATTTGTCAATGCCCTTTTTGACAATACCACACAGGATCTTACTGTACAACGAGGACGCATTTTTTGTACGCACCCGAATACGCCGCATGGCTGGTCAGGCTATCAAAGCGGTATCGTCAACCATCCCACTGGCGAAATAGCCCGTCCGGCCTCTAGAATGAGGCTTTTCCATACGCCGGGTCTGGCAACACCACTTCTCGGATCGGCTCCTAGTTCTAGAGGCTCGTACAAGCTAGACATCCTTTGGAGCCAAAAACAAATTCCCACCACTATGCTCGGCTTCCCAACTCGAGGGGGCACATTGTTGATAACAATGTCTATAGATAAATGAGGTCTACGGCAAGCCTTATTGCCCGTATTGAAAGTCGTGGACCTAGTGGAGTTGAATATGGTGGCACCGAGAAGCGGGCGTGGGTGCCGAAAGCTACGACACTGCTTAACGATAACAGCAATCCGCTACACGCCTCGAAAAGTTTCCATGGACGCTTTGAATTATCCCTTGCTTGTCCGAAACCCACTATCATGAACGAGTGCAGGCTACGGGTTGCAGAATGCTATGAACGAGGTTGTGGTAAAGTTCCCAAAGTTCACTCGGCATACTCTGTGTTGAAATCATCAAGTGCTCACGTCAAAGATCACAATCTTCAGGGCAATATATTTGAAAATACTTTATGCGTGTCGGTTCCTAGGAATTGTTACCTCCAAACACTGGCCTACTCGTATTTTGGGATATGCTTGACAGAATCTGGGCTCTGTAGCATCATTCCATAAATCGGGCGATAAAACACCAGCGTAACGAGAACAAGAATATGACTATGGCTTGTACTTGCACAGTACACGGTGCATACTGATCTATAGACTCTCCGACGTTATCCAAGCTTATTCAATGCCTCTTCCATAGCTGCATTAACACGAGTTATGAGCTCTACGGTACATGACTGTGCTGTTCCTTGATCAGAAGCAACAGCCATGGAAATATCACCACCATCGTCCTTGGTAGCGATGTATGCGTGGACCCGGCCGAAAAGCCATCAACTAAGCAAAAGCCAATCTCTCAGACATGATCACTCTATAGAGCCATGTCACTGGGATGTGGTAAGTAGTTCGCAGGTATTTTTCATATGCACAGTGCCGTTGTAAGACAGGCGAGACCCGGGGACGTGCCCTGCATAATCTTGGCCATTGGGCAACAAACCTTGCAGAATCTTCGTCATTCCAGTGGGAAATGACAGTATACCTTCTCAGACATACCCCGCCAGAGCTTGATTTTGCACAATAGACTCGACCTTCACGTGGAGCTGCTATATCATGCACGTCCCCGTTTGACAAAGCCGATACTGCAGCTGAAAATTCCTGTCTTGGTGACACAGGATCGATCCGCCAAGTACTATTATTCATGACCCGAGATTTGGACTGGTATTTCAGCCTCGCATGATCCTGTGCCACATCTTGCAGCAGCAGTAGTATTTGCCTAGCGACACAAAGCACTGCACACATTAGTGGCCGATGGAGCCGATTTTCTGCAATCATCACCTCTGCTCTGTCAGTGGCTTGTTCGCAAGGCTTCACGCCGATAGACACGGTAATCGACATATAGACGCTAGGTGCTGAGATTTAACATGTTTGTGAGACCATTTCTGCCACTTTTCTCATGCTCCGGCGTCTACAAACTAGTATGAAAAATCAGTTACTCAAAGATTGAGCACCATAATACCACACCCATACATCCCCCTTTGTAGCCCATATAGGGGTGCGCCAGAATCTCTAAGCTCCCCATGTCGTACCTGTAAGAGCTGACACGCACATGAATAATGTAAAGGCTGGGAGCAAATGGCGCTAAACTCCGGACATTCGCAAATATGAGCGGGTGTGGAAGCCTTCTTGTCAAAGTCTTTTAACGCGCATTTATTGATGTTAACCCCCACATTTCCGCCTGTTAATGTACGGTGTGTAAATTACTGCCCCCAACGTTTTGATATCTTGCTGTTATGCGAATTGTGTGCCCAAACACAGCTTCATGCTAAATCTTTTTCTTTTTCTTTTTGTGCTTCCAACACATGATCAATTATGCTGGTTGCGTGTACGCCACGGACTCTTTCCTAACGCTGCAATTATTCGAGGTCAAGAATACGAATACAACCCCTGAGTACGCATTCTGGTCGCATGATTGCCTGGAACCTTCATTACGTACATGCGCTCCTATATCGTTTTGCTCAGCCCTTCTGCTCGATTGGTTTCCCCGATAGAGTCACAAACACTATTTAGTGACACGCTAGGCTGTGTTCCACGATCACTACCTATCTCTTACTAGCATCCTCCAGTGAACTTGTTGAATTCTTCCCGCTGACAGGAAAGGTCAGACGCACCTGTTGACCGTGCTCGGCTGGATCCAGAAGATGACTTCGCTGAAGCTGGTATCTTATTATAAGTTCGACCCCTGAGGATCGCAAATCGGAATATGGCCAAACTGTTATATTGCTGCTGACAGTATATTGTTTGCTCGTCCTCGTTGCTCAACAGTATTATTCATGATGGCACAATAGCTCTGTCATTTCTTTTGACTAGACCTACGTTTACCATGGGAATTGAAATGCCCCGGATTGTCTATTTTCATGGGAACAAGGGAAGTACGGTGACAGACTCATATGTAAACTATTAAATATATGATGATAATCTATCCTGACATTAGACTCTCCTATGGAAACACCAGTGTAACAACAATGTTACAACCCTTATTTATCTTTCGTCAACGCGTATCACTTCGATACTTTGTAGTTATCTAAGCTTGGCCAATGACTCTTCTACAACGGTTCTAACACCAGCTTCTCGCTTTTCAGTCCTTGAACGTGTCGTCGATCCTTGGTCAAAGGCAATAGTCATGGCAAGGTCGCCAGCATCGTCCTTTGTAGAAATATAGGAGTCGACTCGGCTGTTTGACATAGCGAACTCAGAAGGTTGTTGCAATTGTGAAGCTATCTCTAGTCGAGGCTTTTCGGGAGTATCTCTGTATAAAGTCTTATTAGCTTCGAGCTGACCTATGTAGCTGGAAGGTCGACGACTAGGAGATAATTGAGAGCAATACCCATATTGGAGGGATGCAGTTGTTTTGCAGGTCATTACTATAACGGGACGTGGCCTTATCTGTCTCGACAATCTATCCTCGTGATGGTTGGGTATTCAGGTGCAAATGCAAGCAACCAAAATATAGAATTTATTATATCTGTACCTGGCAGCTAGTTTAGGTGTTCAGGCGTTGAAAAATATGAGTTTTGTGAAAAAAAGATAAAACCACATGCAAAGTCTGTGACTCAAGTTTGCCATGGTCTCCGCCGGCCGCGATTGAAGATTACGACAAAGGGCAAATGGACATTATATACTCCAGAACTTCTAGAAAGACATGAAACTGGGATTAGGAGAAGCCATGATAGAAGAGGGAAAGAAATAAACACTTTTGGTTTCCTCCTTATGTTTCTTTCTTGTGGATCATGGGTTATTGGTGCGATTCGTGCAGATTGAGCGAACATGGTTAGTAGCATGTACAATTGCGGATCAACCCAGCTTCGCTCAATCCAATAGAATTAGCCATGGCGATGCGCCCCGACTTGATGCGATGTCGTTGAGACGAGCGTGGTTGCCTTAAAGAGAACAGAACAGAGCCGCATAGGTCGCGAACCGCGGGTTACAGTGAGTTCTCTGTTGTTCAAGTCCCATGAATATATCCTGGCTCTTCGGTGAGCGACCTACGTCTCACAAATTTCAGCTTCAGCTTGACGGCCGTGAACCACACGGTGACAGCTCCGAACAGACTCAATCGCCTTACAGCACAGACCATTGAGGTTATGACAACAACGTAGAAGGCGGAAGCACATGACGCATCTTCACCAACGCGGTCGCTCAAGAGATACTTTGGAGATCTTCTAGGACTTTGGGTCAGCCGCTGGCTTTCACCCCGTCTCGGCAACCCTAGCGTCAAGAACTCTTAGGAGTGCAAAGCATACACAGCGCCACACGCTCAAATATCATGACGAGATCGCTCAGGAAAGCCCCCTCACATGGAGCGCATAGCGTTCAACAATGACGCTACATTAGTGCAATACTTGTTTATCACTGCTTCCCATGAAATATGTCATATCGTTCTCCAAATATCCAGTTTAGTTGTCTGCATCATCCGAGTACGCGGGGATCTCCCACAGACACATTCAAATGGGTGTTAGCGCAATGACCTCTGACCACACACCGCCCTGCTTGAACCACGCCACCGTAAGCTATCGCTGCAGAAACCGGCATAGTTACAGCGCGGCAAGCCCTGTGGCTTTTTTCGTTTCTTCATCGGATACGCTATGCATCGGTCTCGGGTAGGCAGTGACTCGGGTAGGCCTCAACTCGGGTTGGCAGCAACTCGGTTGATCAGGCATTCAGCCTTCGCTGCATCGAGTAGACCTTGTCTCGGGCATGTGAACGTCAGGTGGGTCTAAATCAGCCCGATAGTCATATGGACAATAACTATGTAGTCTGCCCTAGAGTAGATTCCATGCGAACTGCCTTTATCTTGGTGGCATTGATAGGCATTGCACCATAATTGAAGCAACACCTCTTTTCTAACCAGGACAAATGATGTCTGCATTACAACTATGCAAGTCAACTCTTTTGGCCGAGCACTCGAGCATGAATATTATTATCGTTTTTGTTCCTTCCCCGGGTATTAAATCCTCTCTAGACTTCACATTTGTGGATCACCCCATTTCGCAACAGAATCTGTCCGAACACGAATGTACATGGCACGGGTCTAATTAATACTTCGCATTGATGATAACACAACCGTGCTGGTACATCCCGCTAGACGCGTAGAAATTTGTCGTATTTTCAGACAGATTCGGGTGAGAGGCAAGGAACACACTCTGATGAACACTTAACACTTGTGATTAGTAGTAGGCCTATTAATTAAGGATGGTATTGGAGCTGCGGAACAGCGCTATCGCATGTTCCATTGAAGCCTACCTGAAGTGGTTGCATCAGCTGAGCCATCCATTTCTTTGATGGATTTTTATATCGGCAAAAGAGCGCTACGCATAAACCACCTCCTCCTAACATCTGTCAAATCGTAGATGAAAGTCATCTTTTTATAGCAACTGCAAGGCCGCTTTATATGGTTAGTTGTTTTTCACTCAGACGTAGCTGATCTAGAATCTGACCGTCATGGAGTATCGTTGAACGCGGCTCATCGCAAACAATAATACTTAATAGCTCAAAATGAAAGCCCTGCACTCCGATAAGTAGTCCCGGGCCACTGGTTCACAAGCGACGGTCCAGCACTACCACGCATTCAAGACCGCTGCTTTTATGATTGGTTGCCCGAATCTGCTATCTGCAATCTACAATACTGGTAGTCATGGCGACAGGATGCCTCCGCGGCAAACCCTACGCATGACCGGGTCTAGCTCAGGCTGTCCCGAAAGTGAGGCCAAACTTTATGAAGATGGATTAGTCTGCATTCTTTTAATTACATACATTCAATGCATTGCTGTATTCCAGAGAAAAGCGTCGGTCGGCCATATCAACTTGTCCAGACCTGATCAAATACGACACTTTCCACCTTGGTTCACCTACCTAACTCAAGCTATCCATGCTACGTCCCAATCGTCTTCAAAACTCATGATGGCGACCGGTGTGCGTTGTCATATGTGGTGCCAAACTATGATCCCGGAAGACGATTGGTGCTGTTGAGGAGGGTGGGTGCATGGCATTGCGTTTGTTGCAATTAGCAACAGACAACATCTTGAAGTGGGCGCGGCGAGGGGGGACCTTTATTTGTTGTTGGAGCAGTTTTGGGTGAGGTGCCCTACGTGTGAGTTGAGTGAATGATAGGCCCAAGATTGTAATTGTGTACTGTGCTAACGTGATCGTCCAGACGTTATTTTGTCTTGAACACGGGTACATGGGTACACGATTCTGTTCTAAAATCCTCAGTGGTAAGTGGTAGGCGAGTAGCAAACTAATACCTCCAACGTTCTCCTTTTTCTGTGGAGAGACAAGCAATAATGGTCGCCGAGCGCCGAGCCATAATAAGGCCTCCTCGGTCAGTCGTACACGGCCATCGACCGAGCTTCTAGAGCCAATCTCGGTGCAAGCGACTATAGCGTTCTAGCTAGCGTCATCTACCATTCTAAACCTAAATAAAGGGCTGGCCGCTACCCCAGGAGGAGCGAGGCATTTTACCATGTATTTATTTTATGTTCTCAGAATCCGGTCCTCTCAAAGCCTACGCTGGGTGAAGCCAAAAGAGAATTATGCCTGTTTCCAATATTCTCGTCATGGGAGCTGGCCCCTGCGGCCTCTCTGCTGCCATCGCGCTCTCCAAGATTTCTACTCTCGAAGATCCTATTCATGTCACGGTTATTGAAGTGCGTCCAGAGTTGAAGACTATTGGCGGTACTCTAAATATGACCCCATTAGCTATGCGATACTTGGATTACCTCGGTGCAGGTGAGAGACTGCGCCAAGATTCCATTGACATGAAGGACGGTCTCGATTGCGTATCGCTGCGCACGGGACGACGCATTGGCAATATCTGGGGAAACATCGGTGCGATAAGAACTGTGCGTCACAGCCTAGTGGCGAATCTTCTGCGAACCATCACAGAGGACCATGTTGATACGGTTGAACTGCGATGGGGGCAACGAGTTGCCAGCATCACCGAGTCGGACAATCATGTCGCTTTAGGACTGGAGGATGGCACCACTCTTCAGGGCGATATCCTCCTAGGCTGTGATGGCCTCCACTCCCATGTACGTCGACGCTGGGTTGAGCCAGAGCGTGAGAAGAGTTTCACCGGCCGTGTGATTGCAATGGGCTTCGGAGACACGAGCAACGCGCAATCCATGGTACTCTCTAATGGTGATCCAGCATTAAGAGATACCACAGTCATTACAAGCCCACATGGGATGCTCTTGGCCTCAAAATATGAGCCGAGCAGACAGAAAACCTACTTTGCGCATACCATGTACGTGAAAGAGCCCGATGGCGATGCGCGGGATGGCTGGAAGACACTCGGGGACGCCAAGGACGCCGTGCGCGCAGAAGTCGTGCGTTGTTTTGACAATGGACGTGTCAAAGGAGTTCAAGAGGCGGTGGCGGACTGCCAGGATTGGCACCTTTGGCCCATCTACATTCTACCGGGTGAGGGTCGCTGGTATCGAGGAAGGGTCTTATTGATGGGCGACGCAGCGCATGCGGTAAGTACTCTCAAACCTTGTTAATCTGAACGAACTTCCTGGCTAAGACGTGTGACAACAGATGCCACCACAAGGAGAAAGTACAGGAATCGCCATTGAAGACGGTGTTCTGATAGCACGTGTTTTGGAGAGAAGAAGATCTCGAACCGTCGAGCAGCTTTTCTCCGACTTCGTGTCTGTAAGAAAGCCAGTCGTTGACAAATATTACAGGGCTTCTATCTGGGCAATGGAGAATGGCTTCCAAGAGACTTCGTGGTGGAAATCAATCATTATTGAATGGGGAATCTGGCTTTATCTTCTCGTGAAGAGATGGCGTCAGGAGAACCATTTCGCGCAAGATGTTCGGTCTGTGCCATTACCAGCTTGATGACAGAGCCGACAGGTTGCCAAACAGGGTATGTTTTGTACTATAAGTATTCGAAGAAGCAAGCGAGTTCGTCATGATAAACAGGGGTGAGTGTAGCCCTGCACATCGCGACAGCCATGTTAAGACTCCAGCCCAGTAATAATCACAATAATATAGAGACGACTTATTTCGGCATTTCCCCAAACATGCTACTTATTGCAGTAGAGCGGTGACTTATGGTTCATTGTAATAAGGACCTAGTGGAGCCATCACTTGATTGTGATTAGGATAAAGATCCCAGAGAATACAATATGGAAAGGGCGTGCATTTCGAGATGCTCCAAATCATCTGTTAGTGGCTTGCGAGTAGAAGCATAGAGTCGGTCGGGACAAAGTGCGCTCGGGCCCTGAATGCACCGTGGGCCATGATGTCACCTCGGATAGTCGGAGCATCGTACGGGCTTTGATTGGATGAACCGCCGAGATACCCCCTTGGTGTCAACCGTCAGCCGATACCAAATTGCAGCGTTTCTTCCCCTTTTCTTCCCCAGAATTCGAGGTAACATTTGAATGACAGCAACGCATGTACGTCAGAACTGAAACACAATGTCAAGCTCGGTCGTAATGGAGGCTGAACGAGTACCTCGGCGCCTTCCACCTCCAAACCGACGCCGAGACAAGACTCGGTTCTCGTGTCATACATGCCACCGTCGCAAGTACGCGCATCTCGAACATCGCTATTTATCACAATTTCGGCGGTGGCTAACAGCAGGCACTAGGTTAAAGTGCGATCGCAAACAGCCGTGCGCCAGATGCGTGGTGCGTGCCCATCAGAGCGATGAAAATGGCTATGGGATGGAGACTAATTCCTAGAGCAGAAGAGCGGCTGCGGTATATCCTGCACCTACGTGGGTAGTTTCCTATCTACAGGGGTATCCCCAAGCTGTCGCCCCCTCGCCCCATTGTCTGCGGAGCAACCAGTGGTTCATGACACCTATCAGAGGCAAGCAAGCCCAACGACGAATGATCTTGAAGCCTCGATTCCATCACCGGCCATAGCCCTAAGTGATCTTGTCTCGGATCTTCGCGGAAACTTGGACCTTGGCAACTCAGAAAGCGGCTATAAGGCTACATCTCACTGGACTTCGATATTGAACGACGTCAGAGAGGTTGAGGAAACCCCTGCTCTGTCCGGTGACAGGAGATTGGATGCAGTGACAACGGATCAGGATTCAAGCCTGACGCCGAATGTTCTCCTCCTCCAAGGCTGTAGACAGGCAAGTAAAGAAGAGATACTCGCCTCTCTGCCTCGCCGCGCGGTCGCCGATCGTCTCGTGGCTCATTATTTTGCCGCCACCGAATTCAGTCTTTGTATGTCGCTCTATATCTGCACGATCAGTATTAATAACAGTACGTTGGCTAGGTATCCTTCACAAGGTCGAGTTTTTGAAACAGGTGATCGGTGTCCTGTAATTTCCTGGACAAGAATGTAGACTGACCCACACAGTATGACAAGTTCTGGAAGAGTCCTACTTCTTTCCCTGTGTCTTGGTTGGGCTTGCTGTTCAGCATCTTCTGTCTCTCAATACAGTTCCAAAACCCTGAAATCCGTCTGCCGCCAGCCTCTGAATCGATTACCGGGCCCAAAGCGAGCGTGTCAGCTCTTATACAACAGCATCGTGAAAGAATTGTCCAGTGTTTGGTCCTCGCAAAATACGGCAGAGGCGGTCCTTTCACAGTTGAGACATTGCTTCACTACTTGATGGCCGAGACTTCCCTTAGACATGATTCCGATATGGAACTCTGGCTAGTTCTCGGAACATTGGTGCAAATTGGTTAGTCAAGAGGCCGTAAATGTGTTAATACTTCCACATTCTACGCTAATCCTCATGCGCGTAATGGCTTATGAACGGGCTAATGCTGATTTTGTCTTAGCTATCAAAATGGGATATCACCGCGATCCCGACAACTTTACAAGCCTCTCTGCATTTCAGGGCGAAATGCGGCGGCGGGTGTGGTCGACCATCTATCAAGCAGATATGAGCGTCTCTACTCAATTGGGATTACCAAGGATCATTAAGGACGCGATATCAGACACTCTCCAACCATCCAATCTCTTAGATTCCGACTTCAGTGCGAGCTCAGACGTGCTTCCCTGTACACGTACAGATCAAGAGGTGACCCCAGCACTGATTTTGACCTCAAAATACAGGATCATGTCGGTTTTCAGCACTATATTGGACCTAATTACGGATTTCCAAACAACTTCGTACGCAGCTATCCAACAAATTGACTCGAGACTAAACGCGAACTTTGCGAGTATTCCAGAGTCTTGCAAGTACCGGTCGCTATCTCTCTCCATTATGGATCCACCTACGTTGATATTTCAGGTGAGTGATGAATCGCACCTCACGGCATACTAAACAAGGGCCGCCTAGTTCAGTTGCTGCTCTGTATTTTGGCTCATTAGGGGAACAGCAATCAACAAAGGTGACAACACATTGCTAACAGCGTTACATTCAACAGAGACTATACATCCAAATCCTCTATCACAGAGCTCAAATTATTCTGCATCTGAGATACTTTGCAATGGCTCGAGATTCCCGCCCTTACGAGCAGTCGAGACGGATTGCGGTCGGAGCTGCCTTGTCGATTCTCCACCATCATCAGCTCATCGATGAAGAAAGCCAACCAGGAGGCCGACTTGGTTCCCACGTCATCCAATCACCTTTCATGAGCCATGAATTCTTACTTGCTACGAGTGTAATCTGCTTTTATGTCCATCATTTCAAAGGGCAGATTGAACCAGCAAAGCTTGATGAAATTATAGACGTTTCAAAAAAAACAGAAACTATCTGGTGTCGCACCAGAGCGGATTCGACTGAGTCGATGAAAGCTTCAAAGGCGCTCCGTATAGTCATCGATGAAATTGAAAGGAACAAAGGTGCCGATCGTGATACTACGGCCGATGGCATAGAGCAAGTAACGGGAATGGAGGATACATTAAGTAAGCATTCAAGCCCTCCTTAAAGAAGCGAAGCTAAATTAATGGTGTATTTGAAGACTTGTTGCCGCATTTTGGGTTGCCTCTATCATGGTTTGATGCGAATTCGACTTTTGACATTGATTATAACTTCTTTGGTCGTTAAGTCATGCCATTTATCAACTATAATTATGTGAGAGTATAGGTGCGAGTAATTGATATTGATATACATGGCAACGAGACTGTGATACAAAGAGCCTCCAGAATCACGAGCTGTAAAGTTGATATAGGCTAGTAATATGTCTTGTTCAAGAAATCTACTCTAGGTGGAAATTATTGGATATTCCCACATACGTGCCTTTGTGACAGGTGGAGTAGACAATAAGCACCAGGAAATGATGTGGAATTATCTGGGCCCAAGAATACTCGCACCGCGGGGTCAGTATCGGGTAAACTCTTGCTCACGAAATCCTGTTTGCCCCGTGTTTCGAAGTGTTCTGTTGAGTTCAGACGACAGACAGTTTCGATATTTGGTGCTGTCATGTTTACTATCACGAAAATACCTGTCGTGGATTTTTTGTAGGTGAGATCTGAGCTTTTTAATTGATTGTATGCTTGCACAACGTCCTGTTTGTGAGTTGATAAACTCTGTGTAGTACTTGAACTGCTATTCGTTTTAATGGCAATCATGTATCACTCCTGATTGGTGCAATATATCGTGTCAAAATAATTGTGATGATGCACCTCGGTCGCAAAATCAGGCTCAGAAATGTTCACCAGCCTAGTGGTACCCAGCCTGTAGGTTGTTGAAGCTTGTTGGGCACTTCTTCTAGCGTTGAATATTGCCGTACTCTCGGTGCGGCGGTATTCTGAATGATCCGAGCCGATATTTTGTTATTCAATACAGAGACTGCTCTTTCTACGTCTTTGGACCAAGAAATGTGCTTCACATATGTACGTGGGGTATACCATGTGATGCCCTGGTCTGTATACCACCTTTCTTAGGGTATCACAATTGTATTCATACCAAGGTCCAGACGCAATAATCCGATTGAGGCTGAAAGGCATAGAAGGAATCGAATATGACCTTCCAACCTAGTTCATTCCATCTGTGAATTTTTAGGCCTCTATGATAGTTCAACATGCAAAGCCAGAGTTTTTCCACTCCTCAGCTAGCGCAAAATTCAGTAAGTTGATGCCGCCACTCTGGTGTCGAGGTTCTCGAGATGTTACAGGGTCTGACTCAGACGACGCCAGTGGTGCAAATTCTACATGCGCTGTCACAGGTGGCAAGTAGTAATTCCTGCAACAGGATAAATTATCCATATATCGAATTGCGTCATGTATGCCGATTGTTGAAGGGGAGCTCTGATAGAGCAGAACTGAGTTTGACAGTGGCGAAAATTCCAAGAGTATACGACCATATCTGGCCTGTTACCATAACTTAATAACCGTGACTTTCAAATCAAGTCTTTCTTGTTGATTTGATGCTGTGTGTACAGTTCCACCCTCATAGCTTGATACAATTTGACAACTTAGAATCATTCCTATGGTACAACAACAAGGATCTCTTGGCACGAATTAATAGATTTTGTAGACATTTAGTACTCATAACTATGTTGCCTAGCTAAAGCGAAGCTTCAGAGTTGACTTGAGTAGCCTACTACAGACACGACGCATTACGAGACACATGTACCAAGTACCATGACGAAAAAGCGGCCTGAGGCTAACGTGGCTAGGTAAGTTTAGCTTCATCACTCTGCCGTTGAGTGTGGTGCGTTAATTTTGACTCAGATCAGGGCTCGACCGCGGAGGAGGAGCATTGTGATCCCTTGAACTACACAGTGCCTTCAGCTTGTATCTACATACGCATTTTGGTGTTGACATCATTGTCTTCCTCTTGAAATTCCTCTGCTTCCCATTCCGCCTCAACATCGTTGTCATCGGCAGATGCCTCTTGATATTGCTGGTATTCCGAGATAAGATCGTTCATGTTAGACTCCGCCTCGGTAAACTCCATCGCGTCCATCCCCTCGTTCGTGTACCAGTGAAGGAAGGCCTTGCGGCGAAACATGGCGGAAAACTGCTCGCCCAGCCGCTTGAAGATGCCCTGGATCGCCGTCGAGTTTCCGATAAACGTACTGGATAGGTCGAGTCCCCGCGGCGGGACCGAGCAGTGCGACGTCTGGATGTTGTTTGGGATCCACTCCACGAAGTATTCCGAGTTGCGGTTCTGTATGCTACGGATTTGATCCTCGACTTCTTTCATGGAAACCCGACCGCGACTAGGTGTTATAGCGGTCAGGAGTGAACAACGGTATCGGGGACTAACATTGACGGTACTTACAAGATTGTCGAGCATGTCAAATAGCGCCCGTTGCGGAAGTCGCAAGCGGCCATGAGACTCTTGGGGTCAAACATCTGTTGGGTCAAGCCCTGTGCCGTGAGGCTCCGAAATGCCCTAGTGTCGTGGCTCATATTGGTCAACGGTGCGTAGCCAACTATGAAGAAGTGTAGGCGTGGGAACGGGATCAGGTTGACGGCCAATTTGCGAAGGTCTGAGTTGAGCTGGCCGGGAAATCTTAGAGAAGTCGATATGCCAGACATAACTGTTGACACTAAATGGTTTAGATGAGCGTATGTTGGCTGGGCGATCTTTAGCTTTTGGCTACAAATATCGTGCAACGCCTCGTTATCAAAGCAGAAAGTCTCATCACAGTTTTCGACAAGCTGGTGAACCGATAACAACGCGTTATATGGCTCGACGACAGTCTCGGACACCTTGGGCGAGGGGATCACGGAGAACGTGGCCATCATACGATCGGGATACTCCTCCCGGATCTTGGAAAGCAGCAGGGTCCCCATTCCGGCGCCCGTGCCACCACCTAGGGAGTGCGTGATCTGGAAGCCCTGAATGCTCTCACAAGTCTCTGTCTCGCGGCGCACAACATCAAGGACCTCGTCGACTAGTTCGGCGCCTTCAGTGTAATGTCCTTTAGCCCAGTTATTTCCCGCGCCCGCCTGGCCGAAAACCATGTTATCGGGGCGGAAGAAGTTGCCGTATCCTCCCGAGCGAACTGCATCAATGACGCCAGGTTCCAGGTCGACGAGCATGGCTCGTGGGACATACTTGCCACGGGAACCCTAAGTCTCTGTGTCAGTCACCGGGTGCTTCCACTGAAGGCATTGAAGGGTATCGAATCCGTTCTAACCTCGTGGAAATAGACCCCGATTTTGCCAAGTTGGCTCTCGTCAGTACCGTTGTATCTCCCATCCTGGTCAAGCCCATGCTCTCTTGCGATGGTCTGCCTAAGCCTCCGGTCAGTAAGCTTCCTAAACGGCATCAATCCCAAACATACCAGAAAGCAGAGCCAATCTGGTTACCCTGTGAGAAATTTAGTACTACTAGGCTTGGATTTTGCAGCTCTTGAATTTTCTTACGCATTGCCCAGTCGAAATATGGATCTAGAATTGGATGTAAGTCGGTGAAGTGTTCCAGCTGATATCAACCAACGGTATAATTCGTAAGATAATGTGATGTAGGTTTCAGGGTTACTCACAATTTCGCGCATCTTGTCGATCGAGGGCCGTGGCAGCCGGATGCCGTCTTCTAAAGAAAAGTCACTCTGGTGCTGAGAATATTCTCTTCTATCTGTGCGGTGCGATTTGAAAAGTGCGACAACTGGCCTTATTAAGACCAACTTCTGTTGACGATCGTGCAGTTGCCATATCAACTAAACTCAGAAGCACATGTAAATACATAATACGCGATTCCACAATACTGGTGCCTCGTTGTTGTGGAACTGTAACTTTCTTATCGGCTTGTCAAGGCAGCAGTAATTGGCGAGGTGCCTGCATGTAAGCTTCCTATGCATGTCTATAACTCTGCAGTCTTCGGTGGGACTATGTCTTTTTGCATGGTATGTACCCTATCAGCTCCCGTCTTGGTAAAGCAGCAAGATACAATACACTTGGAGAACTCCGGGCATTGGTAATGAATCAAGTTAGGCAGACACTTTTCTCACAATTCGGGTGCCTGATCTCAATTCTGGCATTTAGAGTTGTTGTCCATACGCTTTAGGCATAGCGGCGTCTATATGTGCCGCACAGAGCGCTGAAAAGGCAAGGCGTGATTTCCACGAAAAGGGTCACCAATGATTTGAGACAGCTCTTCCAGTAGATACATTTCTGCGGCGTAGCTGTGTGTGCTGGTGATGGCGCATTCACGCGGATACTTCACATTAGATGTAAGCGTCGGAGATTGACGGGAGGAAGGAGCTTGGCGTGGACTGTAACAACACACGCTCTGACACGCGTAAATGCGCTAGGTTAAGGTCTTCGGCCTCCGGCTCTTCGGAGGAGCGCCATAAGGTGAGAGTATGCCGTTTTATTCGTTACTCAATTGGCGAAATTCAGTGAGACATGAGAATAAGAGATTAGAAACGAAGAGGTTTCTAGATTTTGTTCTTATCTTGTCGTGTCCATGAGGGATTTCGTCGCGCCATGGAGATTTGAATTGCGATGTTCCACATTGACCATGTGGGAATGCCGGTATTGTTGATCAAACAACGTACGTGAAAAGAAAATATTCATTGAAAAAAATGTAAGATTCATTTAGGCCACAGTCCTGCGGCCATAGCCAACTGCGATCTCTTACAGCAATCTAGGGCGTCACAGCAGCCTTTAAATCATCATACCACTTGACCGCTCGAGAACAATGATTTAGTATAATATAGCTATTATCTTAGAGGGTAAAGATGCCCGTTGCTTGGTCGCGCTGTGAACCAGAGCTGGATGATATGCATCTAGGCCAATTAGCCGGGCAGAGCACAGGTCAATCACTACCCGGTCAGTATCACAATCGCTAGCATAATAAATATCATGGCTGCGTGGCATTAACACGACTAGTATGAACCAACTGCGATATACATAAAAGGGTAGCTCACAGGCAGGACTCAAAGATCAATGTTTATACACAATGTATTCATGCAGTCTAGCTAGTCATACATCATCAGGAATGCCCAAGGGGACAAGACAATTGAAGCTCAGCGTCGTGCTTCTTTTACTATAAAATAGGTACAAGAATTGAAGTTTATACTTCATAGAAAATTTGTCAACCAAGATCGACAGGTCAAGATGTCAGAAGGAAGCTTAGTTCTTGACGTCACGAGCGTGCTTGCGGGCAGAGCGCTTGGAGCGCTTGGACTTGCAAGAGCTTGTCTGGCTAGCGGCAGCAGCGGAACTGGTAGAGGCGACGCTGGTGGCAGCAGCCTTGGTGGAGGTGGCAGCGGCAGAGGTTGCAGCGGCAGCCGTGGTGGTAGCGGCAGCGGAGGAAGCCTCAGCGACGACCGTGCTGGAAGCAGCAGCGGCAGAAGTGGTGGAAGCAGCAGCGGCAGTGGTAGTGGCGGCAGAGCCAGAGCCAGACCCGAAGGTGGCCAAGGCGGGACCAGGGATCTCGTAGGTGCTGAGACCATTGTAGATGTTGACGAGGATACCGGCGTCGCTCTCAGTGTACAGAGCCTCACCGAGAGTACCGGTGGGCAGGTCGCTACCGCTGCCAGTGACCTCAATGTTGATGCACTGGGGGTAGTTCTGGGCACCATCGGACTGCTCGGCGGAGTGGAGGGCAATGATCTCGTGACGGAGAACGTAGTTGCCAGGCTTCAGAGACTCAGGGATGGTGAAGGTCTGGGTGAAATTGTTGGCAATCAACTCATCAGAGGCCCAGGTGCCGGTGGAGCCGGTGCCGGAGACCAGGCCGCTCTCGGTGAACTTGAAGAACTCAAGGGTGGTCTTGTCAACAGTGGAGCAGTCATCACCGCAGGAAGCGAGGTAGTTGATGACGGGACCCTTGTGGGACTCGGGCCAGGTGCTCCACAGCATGGAGATAGAACCACCAGCAGGGACGGTGGCAGTCAAGGCGGCGTTGCTAGAACCACGGTGGCAGATGATGTCGCTGGTAGCGTAGGCATCAGGGGCAACGAAACCGTTGTCGGTGGCAGTCTCAGCCCAGGCGATACGGTCGACAGCAGGGTTCTCGTAGGGAGCGGAGCTAGCAGGGTAACCGGAGTAGGTGGTGCCATCAACGATGATGCTAGAAACGTAACCGTGAGCGGAAACGAGGCTGGCACCGGCAGCAAGGGCCAAAAGGGCGGAAGGCTTGAAAGACATGTTGTTGATTTCTGATAAAGACTGGAGTCAAGGTTGGGTTACAAGTGAAGACGGTGGAAGGTTCAAAAAAGGAACGTTCTGTATAATCGGCTTGCGTTAAAGAATGGAATGGTTGACTGCAATCAATGCAGGTAGCGAATGTAGAAGCACGAAAGAGTGGCTGAAAAGAATGTTAGCAAGACTGCTGAGTTGCTTGATGGTAGAAAAGAGTGACGAACTGGATGGGGGTGGGCAGATCTGGTTATATACAGACAACAATTGCCTGCGGTGGAACCCCCAACCTTGAGGCTCTCGTCCGTGGGCCACGGCCAAATGAATTACATCAGGGGTAGACGTCCACCTGAACCGCGTTAACAACCTTGCAGATGGATGTCATCTTTGGCTCCCTTCATCTCGACAAACGTTTTCAATCTTGGCGATACCCCGCAATAGATTAAACAGAATAAGGTGCCAGGTGGTGCCTCGAGAGCGCCGCTGAACCACGTAGACTGGGCTTGTTTCAGTTTTGCGGGCCACCTGCGCGCCGTGGAGGGCTGGAAAGCTGGAGGAGCGAGGAGATGAACAAACTGCAGCCTCATCGTTTGCTCCTAGCGGGGTTTCGCACGCATTCCACCAATAACGAAAGACTTCTAGACGCAAGCAGAAACATCGAAACTCCCTGCGTCTATCACCGCCCGCCAAGGATCCAGGAAAGGGGGCCCGCCAGGGACCATGTACGCTTCGCGAAAAACAGATGAGAAGCGACAATTGAGGTGGGATTGAGGTGGGACTCGGTTATGCGGCGACTAACGGAGGAGGATGAGGCTAGACTAGACTAAGTGAAGGGGGAATAGCTGGGTCCAGGATGCTGGAGCCGCCAACGCTTAACCGCCAGGGGTTGCAAGAGATAAATGAGATGACGAGAACCAAAAAGTCGGCGCGAATTCTAGATCCGGCGAGCTTGCCGACAAAAACTCGGCCATGGCTTCAGATAGAATCCTCATGACAAAGCTCTTTATGAGCAATCTGGTATTCCTATGCATCTCAATTAGATATGTGATTGGCGACCGACCAAAACGAACAAGCCTGCCGAAACTGCCGTCTTGGCACACCCTTGCTCTGGAGATAAGCATACAACGGTATAGTAGCTTTGATGCGGGCAAATGCGAATGGATCACCACGCTATCAGATTCTACTACTATGTATGTATTTTAGGAGAACTGCAGGGGCGGTGGCATTTCTAACATCCTGAGCATCCGCTTTTCTTCTAGGTAAGCGAGACTTCTATTTCCAATATTCGAATATCATGGATGGCCAGATTGCGTAGAGCAGGACCGACTTAGTCAAATCGACTTTCGTCGCAATGCCTCAATCAAGCTCCAAGAAGCTGGGGTCAGGCGGACCATGATATGTTGGCCAGCTACATTTGGCAGTACGTATCCGCAGAGTAGTCTCCCTTACCGCCAGGGGACTGTTGTTATGGAAATTGTCCTTGCACGATTGAGCTGTAGCCCTGAGCTGTGGATACAACCAGCCTAGGTTAGTACAATCAAGCTTTCGCAAATGACTTTCACCCCGGTGTCATCTTCATCGAGCAAGGGTGTCACAGCTTTGTTCCTAGTCAGCTGTTTGACAGATCCATTAGAATGCCCCCCGTCTTAACAGTGGTTTGGTCGTCTTGTCGCAAGAAACCCGATATTCATGACCGTGTACTCTCGAGCTGGTAAGTCTGGCTATCGTTCAAACTATAACTTGCAGTCTGAGAATCACTGGAAGCGTGGTTTTACAATATTTTCCACGGTATGGCAGGTCACAGACTAGATGAATCAATGTCGTTGACCGCTCATAGGTCTATGTATGAGTTATGCGGTGTAAAATGCATGGCGTCACGCTCGTCACATGCTCTATATCCTCCGAACGAGTGGTGATTCTACTTCGTTTCGGACCATGGTGATTTTCAAGAATCAGGTTGTTCGTGAGTCTATCACAATTTGTCGGCTGTATTCCTCGATCGATCTAAAAATGCAAATGTCACCCACGTGTTTCCCAGAGGCGACCCGGTTCAAGCATTGATAACAGCTAAGGTTAGCACCTCATCAACCCCCTCGATCGTTGCTCGTCTCAAACTCTACGTTTTCTTGTCGCATTCATTGGAGCCACGTGACACTTGCACTCGTATTACGTGTGCATAAAGCGATTGAAATCTTGTGTGTGAGTGCTATTGTATTTGCCGTCCTACAATATGTGATATTCAAACGTCTTCTAGGCTTTCCTAACTGGCATCATCCCAGCTACCTTTTATGAAGCCCCCACACCAATAAGCTTCTCCCACATGCGCTCTCCGATTCAACGTTGTGTCCATAATGGGAACTTGCAAAGCCACACTGCGGACTGACCGCCATCTCCAGGAGTCGAAGATGATCGATTGGGCGGCCTACATGTCACCGAGGTTAAAGATAGAACGACTCGTCGTCCTTCTCGTACAATCTTTCCAAAACCCCTGTGTCGATGCCTGGCATGTTTCGCGACAGAGGTGGATGCCTAACGTAAAACTTGATGGGTGGTCCCTGACGACTTCGTTCAAAGCCCGAATGTACTCGTCGATCAACTCAGTGGGATCGATATCATCCTATCTCAGGCTCTTGAGAAAAGTGTTGGGGATCAAGTAAAGCAGTTGTCGGTTGTCCATCTGCACACTTCAAACACCAGCCTCATATAAATCCTTTTGCTCGGCAAAGTATACTGCCGTCACATCTTCAAATATTCGCGATCTGTTGCTTACTCTTCGGCGGGAAACGTTGTTTCTCTAGGGAGCCAGATGTGTTGCCATGTTGGTGATGGCAAAACAACCTTGTCATTCTTTCAAGCAGCCCTCGGGGACTACTTTCTTGGGCATATTCCAGACATGCAGGCAGGCCGGGTCTGAAGATTTAGTTTTGCCAATTGTGATCGTAGCTGATCTCTTCTTTAGCCCACCTCATTATATTGGAGCTTCTCGAAGAATCCTCCAAATGATGCCCGTTCATACTCTCCGCTGGTGATAGGACGAATAGATAACTCGAGTAGTTTCCGGGTTCTGGGATTGCATCTTGTATAGCGGAATGGAAGGACGGCCTGACCGTCTCTAGAAGAGCTTTTTACATGGAGTAAAAACTTTGACCTTACAAGAGACCCACTTTGACCAGCATGAAATCTTGGCGCCATTGTCGGCTGCTATATTTGCACGTAGATATTCAGGGAGTAAGAACTGGATACAAAGTGCTATTGAATATCAAATGTGACGATAAGTTGTGTCCGTCTGCAGCACAAAAGCTCAAGCGGGCGATATACTGTATGTCCGGTATGTAAGGAGCCCTTTAAGTGTTATAGATTTCGTGTAGAAAAATAGAAACGGATTATGTACAATCATAGTTTGCGCTTTAGCCAATAGTAGCAGTTGGCCAGAGCGGAGGGCCGCAACAAGCAGATAATGAAACTAGTCTAATGGAATAATGAAAGAATAAGTAGAGGATCTGGCGGATTAAGCTTCGATACAGTGGAATAAGATCAACTGTATGCAAAACCAGAACTTCAGTATGGATGCTAGGATAAGTGAAGACGGAGCACGCTGATCAACGTACATGTTGAGATTCAGAGACGTATGAGACAAGTTCACCCACTTCTAAGTTATCCATCGTTGCAGTCAATTTGTGGGGTGAAATTGTCGTCAACCAGAAAACATGAAATCATCATGATAGATGAAGAGTTAGAGGAAAAATAACCGGGGGCGGGGGGGGGGGGGGGGGGGGGGGGGTAGTGAGTTCCCAATGAAATGATGCTAGCAATATTGCTGGGTCACCTCGGTGAAGGTGAGGTTAGCACACCGGCAATGAGAGCAAGCCAAAGTTTAATGGTTAGACACCACTACGGAGTAAAGCGGAGACGTGGCTTTGATCATGCTGGTTCATCCTTTCTCAGAGCGATTCAGAAAGTTAATCATTTCTGCTAATATGTGGTATGGTGAATGACTGCACAAACATGTCTACCCGATCCCGCGATCACTAGGGGAATGAGTCCAGTGCATTATCCAGGTACTTGGTATCTAGCCGTTGTGCCCAGTCACAGCGCCCCAGATATACGCAGCCCACCCACCTAGTAGGAGCATCATCAAGAGACCAAAGCAAACCTTGGAGATAAGCGCGTTACGAGGTGCTTTCTCCCCCATAAACCTGTCCTTTCGATCAGCCAGCAACACCGCTCGTCCCATGCGCTGCTTTCTACTCCATTGGAGATGTCGAAGATCTGGTGAGCGCCACGCCAAGACCATCATGACGCAGGATACCGTTACCGAAAACGCAGCCATGGCAACGTACAAGATAACAACGTTATCGTAAGAGTTATCGTCAGCATCTTGAATCGCGCCAGATACGATACGGACGATGATATTGGCACTGTGTAGTTTTAGTTTATTTCTGAAGGCCTATTTATGGACTCACTTACGCATTGTTCATCATAATCTTGAGCGAGTACGCAGTACCGAAGGTGCTCTGTTGCCACAATGATGCACGCATACCATCAATGAGAACAGTGGGATTGTAAGAGGTCAACACAGCATAAACGCCAAATGCTGCTGCCGTGCCGCTGACCATTGGAGCCCAGTTCACCAAAGCCATCGAGATGAAGATGCCAAAACTAGATACAACCACTATATATTGTTAGCGCGATAATTCAGGGTAGTCGATGTCACCTACATAGGGTAATTCGTTGACCCATGAAATCTATGAAGATTCCAACGACAGGCACGATGAAGAAGCCAGCGTATCTGAACAACGCAGTATACCATCCGGCAGTGACAGAGTCAATATCGAATCTCTGCTCAGCAAGTTCGGTCGCATTACCGCTGAAGACGATCGCGGTTGAGGTGTAGCATAGTGAGTAGAGCATCAGCATCCAGAATACCCATGGTATTTCAAGAACCTTGCGGACCTCCAATTTCTTTCCCTTCTTCATCAGCTTCTCGCCGGTGACTGGATCGACACTATGGCCGAACTTCTCACTTGACTTCTTATTGAACCAGAAGAAGATTGCCGAGCAAATATTGGTGAAGAAGTTGATGAATACCGCCACCCAATAGACCCAAGCAAAGTCGCCCGTGTTCTGTCGAGTTATATCAGCCCCCTGTGTGTTGCTTGATAGGCTCTTGGAGGTCAAAGACTTACCACGGCAATGATATTGGCGGTGCTGGTTCCCGTGAAGGCGCCGAGCTTAGCGACCATAAGTTCGAGACCCAATGTCGATCCGAAACCGTTGTTGGGCGCAAACCAAGCGGAGAAAACTTGATACTGAGCGATTTGCGTCGAGATATCGCCAATCGCCAGTATAACTCTACCACCGATCATGAAATTAAACGAGCGTACTTGCGCTGCTGCTGCAACCAAGATGGCTCCTATCGAGTATACGATGTTGCCGTAAAATAGAGCACCTGCGCCACCAAGGCGATCAGTGAGAAGACCGCTACCAAGAATCAAAAGTGTTGTCATGAAGTCCTCGCTGGCCTCGAGCAGAGCGTATTGAGTGTTGTTGATCTTGAGCTCTTTCTTGAGCGTGCTCTTCATTGCACCCGTGATACCGGAACTCCAAGAACCACCGAAACGAACCAAGGTGACGAGGACAACTGCAGTCAATTTCCAGGTCCATGGCGGAGGCGGCTTTTCATTGATAGATGGAGTTGAGCCCGACGACGGAGATGGTGAGTTGGTTTCGGCGGCGTGGACGCCGTGTAGGACCTTCTCTGATACGGCGATCGGCTCCGTGCCGGTCTTGTTTAGTGAAGCCATGATGGGTTGGGTGTCCTAGAGATCTGACACTATGGATGCACAGCTCCTCATCCTTCAGAAATGAATGCGATGCACATTGCGTTATATGTTTTGTTTTGGAGTTGGCCCTCAACTCCGCCGCATTTTCCCGCAAGCTCCATGATCGGCCTTGGCGTCGAAACTTTTTTTTTCCAAACTCGTGTACCAAGGCCCAGAAAACTTCTGAGAAATGTTGAGATATGCCTGATTGATTCGATTGATTAGATTAGACCCTTGTCTTAACCCACTGATATGGCTTGGCGTGACCCACTTCGGCTCTTTTGGCTGACAAAGTTTTCTAGAAACACTGAGCGAGCCCTTCTCATCTCCGAGCTGGAAAGTCGGCCGAGCGTGATGGGTTGGAATGGGATGGAGATTCGTCTGATAAGATCTTACGATTCCCATCGTTCGCACCATGAATTACGGTCGAGGTCAGCTGCTCCCAGCTGCCTTAATGAGCAGCGGCCACTGCTGGTGTGTACATCTCCGAGACAGCCAGCTCTCGGATCGCGCCACCCACAAAGAACGGGCCGACAGAAATTTCACTTGTTACGTTGACCAAGAAAGCGATCGACTAAATGACCAAAACTATCAATCATTGTTCGATCGTGTCGTCGAAGGTGCAAATACTGCATTGACGGCGTTTTCATACCTGATGTGCTCTGTTTTCAAGCTCATCCCCATGATCGCCACTGCCTGGATACTGTCCAATTGAGTTTTTATCATCCACTCTCCGGGTCTCGCTTTAATAGTCCGACAGCGAGACCCGAGCTGTGGATGTCAGAACGTCAGTACGTGAATTTGCAGTGGTATTATCGAAACCAGTGCAGTTTCCACCAGAACACTCAGGCCGCCTTTCGCTCACGAACTCCGAACTTGCTCGACCAGCCGTTGAAGCTGGCTACAATGAGATTTGATAAAATTTCCCTGTGTATGGTCAGCAGTACGAAAGCACAAGAAAGGAATTTGCTGCTTCGTAAAGTGGTGGGCTGATCCCGACTCTAAACGCGTATCCTAAACCTTGACTGAATTGTTTTTACTTGCTGTCATATCACCGCTGACTGTCCAACTTCTTGTCACATTGGAAGAACCGCATGGATGCCCAGATCCGAGTGACTGGATTAATTACCTAATAATCAGAACCTTGACGGTAGATGTTATGGAGTATGAAAGCGAGACTGACAACGAGGGGGCCAGCAGTTATAAAGCACAAAATCGGTTGTTCCATTGAGCAATTATGTAGTGCTACGTTTTGGTGCTACAGTTGATTTCGGAGGGTTAGTCCACCGGTCAATCACATTATCGTCAACGGATTACTCCTTTCTGTGCCCCGTTTGACACGCATCCAGCCCATGATCGTCTTTACCATTACATGCCAAAATGCTTATTGAAGAGGGCATCATGCTGAGAAGCCCAGACATGTGTGGCCATGCGCAAAAGCTCCGGACCACAATCAGCCAAGACCTGGTCCACATCCAAACGATTATCCTTCAGCTGGGCATTGTACTCCTCAGTTGTACCAAACGTAGCCATGTGCCACTCCTTCTTCCACTGCTGCACCATGCGCTTGGCCTCATCGCTCTGACTGTCAATATGTGTGGCGATCATGTGGTACGAGGAGTGGCGCTGCTCCTGAACGTCGGGCTTGAATGATGTGATACTGGCGAACATGCGGAAGGTATAGAACAGACAGATGTTTCCGAAGCACTCAGCATTGTGCATGAGGACGACCATCTTGGCGCCGGGATTGACTCGTTAGAGGGCAAGTGCTAGCTGAGCGGTTCTGAGCCGGTGAGCCTCCCAGCTTTTGCGGTACGAAGCTCGTTTCTGGGGACGCAGGAGGCTGCCTCACAGGTGACCAGATCGAAGGTTGCTCGAGGTGGGATGAGACGCTCGCAGATCTTGCCGGCGTCGGGGTGGTCCGCCGAGATCAGCAACCATCATAGTTATGTCTGCAAAGCTTGCCTGGAATCGCTCGGAGAGATCACATCGAACATAGATACTCAAGCCGGTGTCGCCAGAGTGCAGAGTGATACCGCGAACTTGGACGCTCGGATTAATGTCCATGGTAGTCTCGAACTGGCCGCCAGGTGCGAACCCCAAACTCTGAATGGTGGGTTGGTGAGCCGTAAGGGCGAAAATACCGATTGCATCTTGCAGCTTCCTGCCGACCTCGCGCATCTTCGTCATCAAACATTGGCTGGTGATCCCATTAGCATTGTCAGAGAGCTCATGCTGTTGCTTGGAATACTTGTCGCCTTCGGAATTAAGCAATCTCTACATATTGGTCTGTTAATCAAACTGCTCTACCTCAGTCTTGAGCTTTTAGAGCTCTGATCACGTGTTCAAGCAGTGAAACTTCCAGATATCACCGGTGTAAGATTCAGTCCTTCCAAGCATGGTAAGGTTCTAGACAAATAATTCGTGGGAATAATTGGCGGTGGAGGACATGAGGAGGACGGTTTCCATTGATCATGAGACTTTCGTACGGAAACTTGTATCTCAGATTCAGATTGCGAACTCGGGGATCCCAACCGACCAATAGTCTCATATGGCGATCTTTTCTGTTATAAGGTTTAGGACTATGGGCGCTTGGGATGTGTCACGCAAGGTGTGATCTCTGGCGAAAGGATGGAAAATCACGGGTTGATATGGAGTTCAGCCAGTCTTTTGTTTTTGCCATTATATAGTAAATGCCCATTATAAGGTCCTCACAAACACTGGGAAGGATGTGAAAAATGCAAGGGAGTGCTTTGGGTATATGCGGATGAGCAAGGAAGCATATACCGAGACTGTAAGAAACAGGTGAAGATATAGAAAACTCATCTTTTTTTTTTCTTTTCCTTTTTTGGAAATGTCTCAACTTAGATCATGATCATATACTGAAAGTGGTTCGCCACAACGCGTTCCCAGTCATTGCATTGAAAAGAAGTTCATCATGGTCAGAAGGAGATCATCGAGAACCAGTGCTCCCAGACTGTAGAGAAACATTGAAAGCCAGAGCGCAGCGGCTGTGAGAACAAGAGTACTTGAAACAGTGTATAAAGTAGCTGGCAAACCAAACCACCAAGAGTGAGGTAGAAGACAACCAGTCAATTTAACTAAGAAATGTTCATGAAGCCTTCGAGAATTTACCACATTGTTTTGTATCTCTAAGAATATTTGTCGTGTGTGTACTCAGGCACATTATTTATGGACCAATAGTGCTTAGTATATTGCTCGCGAACAAACTCACAGGTTGAAACTATGTCTGTATAGGAGTAACCCTATGTTTGTTATACCTAGGGGTTGCGCTTGGTGAAAATTTTCAATTAACCTAAATCCTTTGTTAATTTCAAGCAAATAAGTTTACGGCACTCAAAATATACAAAGAGAAACGTTAAAGGGAAACAAAGATTTCCCTGTAACCATGGTGGCAACTAGCCGGGAAGATCTTGTGGCATTCAAGGCCTAGATTGATAAAGCGCATTAACTAGATAGTTTCTTGATGGGCATTAACAAAATCATTGTTTTCCTTTTAGTACCCATATACGACACACTCCTTCGATGGATCAAACTTATATATAAAGTCGACTTGCTTCTTTCCGAGTTGAAGATAAGAAATAAGTCAAGTTAATAGTCAAGTGCTCGAGGGACAAAAAAGCATTATCTTTAAGCCCAAAAAAAAAGAAGAAGAAACTATGGAGGAATTCACCCTTTTAGATAACCTCACTACTTCACGATGCCCCCCAAACTCTGACCATCTCTTCAAAGGCACTAATGAACAAAGCAAGTACTTCCTGCGTATGGAGGAGTTGGAAGACTGGAGCGAGCTGAGTTACCAGAATATCTTGCTCGCGTTCGAGCCTTTCTTACTCCAAAGATCACCACAATTCATACAACCTGCGATACTTTCTAAAGGCGATAATGACCCTCAAGATGAAACCGACGTTCTCGAGTTGCTCGAGAAATCAACGTTCAGAGCGGTGATAGACGCGGTGAATTTTACCATCAGCAACTTTGGACAATTAGTCCCCGGTCCAGAGGTGATTGCAGGTTGGAGTAGGGAAACAGTAGTATTGAACCCGTTTCATGGCGAATGGCATGGTGCTAAGGCGCGTGGAGGCAAGCAAGGAATACCGGACTGGGTGATTTTCTATCGTCAATCGCAAGGGGGTTCTTCTGTAAACTTTTTAGTTATTGCAGATGGCAATTTTAAGCAAGCCATCCCCACGGACGCCATCGTCCTTATGATGGGCGAAGGCAAGATCAGTTCCAACTGGAAATACGAGGACTTTAGGGCTAAGATCGACCTCGTATATGGTGTACGCAAACCTACGAAGCTCAGAGGTATCAGAGGTTCTGAATATGATACTCAATGTACATATTCGAAATCAACAGCACACTCAAAATCCAAGGAATTGCCTATTTCAGACTCATCGTCTAAAAACACGAGTACACGAACCAACATCCTCCGGCCGACTGACGAGCTCAGCACTTATTGCATGTGGTCGAGCACGAAGTATGGATTTTTGCACACGGAGAAGGAGCTCATGGCATGTATGGTACGGTCGTTGCCAGGGGTCAATGGATCCAAAGTACCGAGAGCGGGTATGAAAGTAATGAACATTCCCTGGGAAGAGAATTTTCGTCCTGAAAGACTCACTCCAGAATTGGTGCTATATTGTCTCTTAATTGCTAGTTTGCACGACCGTAACCGGTCAATCTCAGAGACATTCGACGATAAAGATTTGGTCACATGGAATAGGGTACCATATAGCGAGCTCTCAGCTCTGGGCAAGTTGGTAGGACGGCCAATTTACCGCAATCGTTTAACGGGCGTCGAGCGTGAGATTGGGGAGCTGAAGAGTCTGAAAGGCAATAAAATTATCACTGAGATGGAAGCAGAGTTTCCCGTGACGGTCAGCTGGCCATGGGGACTGTAGGACGTAGCAGGAAGATGCTGAGTGCATCTTTATCAATTCTAGCATCTCCCTCTATGATGAGATGAGAATTTGTGGAATGAATTTTAACACGCTTTATCTTTGTTTGTTATATGGAATGTGTCTTGGCGTCACCCGCCTTTGGAGACCGACGTGTCATATATCTTCAAAAATTAAGTAATGAAGATGGGCATATCTATGCATGGAAGATCCTAATAAATGAAAAAAAAAAAGTTTGCTTTACTGCTTGTATGAGTAGAACCAGGAGCTGTAACAATATTATCACTAAATGTTCAAAGTCTGAAATTTGCCATGTATGGGAAAACCTAGGGCAGAGGATTGCCCGGCAAACAAATGATGTCATGAACATTTTCGGTCTCACATGGGAGACAGTCACAATATAATATCCGCAGTTTAACAGTGAATCTCGAGTATACGGGCGCCTTTTAGAGACATAGAATGAGAAATTACTACCAAATTGCTCTGACTACATCCGTTTTGACAGAAACGGTTAATTTATTTTAACGGTTCACTCAATCGGAAAGCGGAAGTCTCGGACTGAAAGCCACTCAGACCATCACTGTAATCTAACTTCTCTAAAACCCTTAGAACAACAAATAAAATGTGGCCTTAGAATGATGTAGTGGTATTGTTGTGATGGTATACAAGGCCGACCGAGGCGATCCAACGTATATGGCCGAGCTCATGGCTTCGCATGGCGCGACGTAAGCACTTCGGCCCATTTGAGTACTCCACCTCGATGGCCTATGGTGATAATCACTTACTTGGAGGCTCTGTGGCAACAATAATAGTTTGTTAAGCTTTGGGAGCCAATCAACCATGTATACTGTGGTACCATAGCTGTCAATGAAGAACATGAGTAGTCAGGCACTATCTTTGTTTGCACTCAAGCAACATAAATCATTGCGACGGCCCCGTTCTGTGCGATACATATTGTCTATGCACCTGAATATTCCCTGACCTCTGTAGTTAATGTTCCTGCCATCGGAGTCTCCATAGCTAAAGCTCTTCCAGCGTAGTGTGTGAACAATGCAGGCGGAACCCAATGCAGCAATACTGCGCTGGTTTCCTAGCGGCGTGCCTAAATTATGAAATATCCCATGTCGAAGTCCTAAACAGCAGGCTTGTGGTTGAATTTTATATGAGATCCAAGAATCTCCTCGATACTTCGGTCGGGAACGCCGCAGAGACATCTGGCTGACTGAAATCCACAGGCTCCATGGTGCCACCTATTGGACCAACCTTGCTTTGTTCGAAGGCGTCGAAAAGATCCATCAGATCGTCACTGATCTGATAAACATCGGGTACTGACCCGATGGAGGCAATTCCACCATCTGGCATCGCCATGGATAAGTCAAGCGGAGCTTGTTCCTTGGTATGAAGCGTGCCTTGTGGCATAGAGGAAGCGGCTGCATTATTTGTCGCAGCCAAGTAAACCGATCGTTCGCAGTCTAACACATGATCTACATGATTTGTAACGTTCTGAGAACAGTCTTGATTCACATCGAGACCCAGAGCTCGAACAGCGGGGATAAGTCCACGAATGCTCCTCCAAAGTCGCTTGCTCGCATGGCTTTGACGAGAGAACCCACGCACCAAGGCAACAGCTGAGGAAAAACTCTCACGGCACGAGGACGAGAAGAGCTCTGGAGCGTTACAAACTGCCAAGAATATTATCGCCAAAGCACCCAAAAGAAAATAGTTGAAAGCTGGTTGTTGTCTGGCATAAATATCGCTGGTATTGGCGAGATCCACCAGAACCTGTATAGTGTCCTTGGCAACATCAACGACGAGTCGGGCGCTACGAAGGTCGGCATTAACAAGACTGAACGACAATACATGGTGCCTGTGTATGAGAATGCGCATATGGTTTCCGCGTAAGTACAGGAAAGTTTGGAGGCGGCGGAGAGTGCGGGGGGCCGGCCTAGGGTTAAAGCCCAGTCTGGGATGAAGGAATTGAAGATCCGCCGGGATGCTGCTTGACCACTTGTGTGTGAGAAAGTCTAGATACTCGACTGTTTCGGATGGTACTGCTGCTGCAGATGAGCCGACTGAAGGGAGAGCTTCCCAGACCCTAGATCCAAGTCGACTATATCCAATCAAGCATCGAAGATATTGTAGATCTTCTCCCTAGATCCTGTTACTATTACTAATCAGTTATGCTGATGTCTCACTTACTGGTTCTGGCAGTTCAGGGTCGAGATCTTTGTCATTTAAGGCGAATGGGAGACCTGTCCCGAAACTCCACCTACGATCTAGCGCGTATACACACCAAAACGTTCTCGTTGCCAGGGCTCGCTCGCTGGGAGAAGTGTAATTAGCCATGAGGCTTTGCTTTAGGTGTAGTCCCATCTCAAGCGCCATTCGCACAGCGCTGCCGATGGTGCGCCAGGCCATCAAGTCCTCATCACAATGAAAGTAGTAGTTACTCTAACAGCAGGATTAGCGATAACTCAATGGGGTTTTGGCTCTGTTTCACAAATACACCTACCAGAATTGCCAGCCATTGCAAATCTCTGAGGTCAACACCTGGCGAACGAGTTATTCTTGAGCCAGTGTACTCGATGGAATCAATGAGTCGTTGGCCCAACTCATTCTTGCCCTGCGCTTCAATGGTAATGCCGATCGCAGTGACTGTCTTGAGTATTCTTAGATCTTTAGTTCTCCCGGAGTCCGAGCCATTGTCACGAGGTTCAAGATGCTTTTCGGGACTCGCGAGATTTCGGAGAATGCCGTCAATATCTATTGCAAGATCTCCTCTCTCAAAGAAAGGATATATAGTCTCGACTTCCTCGCGCCAGACATCAATTAGGCGAGTGATCTCCACTGGTAGTATGGAGAGTAATGGGTCGTCCTGTGGCTTGTGCACACCATCAAGCGAATCTGGGCCATCTGGTTCAGGCGACAGAGCGCGCGGTGACGGCAATGCAGAGGTAGTGGAACTGTTCTGTAGTGCGTCACTACTCGAAAGCCCCATTTGCACCAGCGATGTCTTGGCAACATCCAAGCTGTATTGTGATCTAGTATGACCTACGAACAGAGGTTGCTTGGGCTGGCTTCTGTCTTGCTTTTCCAAGGCCGAATATGATTGAAAACTCCCAGAACCGCCAGCAGGAGGCGATGCAACTGCCTGTAACTGATTGCGCATGTCGTTGACACTGTCGGTGAGCATTCTTACTTGCTCTTGCAAGCGGGCAACTTGATCGACTGAATTGCTTGTAGTTATGGTTGTTGCCGTGTTTTGCTCTTCTGTCCTTCTTGGTGGCCGCTCCCGTTCAGGGGCTGGCGCTGCTGGTCGTGCTGAATTGGCAGTGGGTGCTCCAGACGGGAACTGTGAAAACGTGCACTCTGCTCCGGCTAGAAAACAACCTTGACAACCAATATCTCCCTCAGTGCGATAACATTTAGACTTCCGCTCCTTGCACCGATTGCTACTTTGATTAGTCTAGTATTGCATAGTGAAAAAGAAACCCCCCTAAAAAAAACCTAAAAAAAAAACTACAAAATCCTCACCATGCCATGAGTGTGTATTTCCCCCGTTTATTCCGTGGTTGTCCATGATCACCCATAGACCGCTTCTTAGAAGCCGAGGTTGTTGAGCGGCGATGTCTTTCGATGCTTTCGTTGTCTGCCATTTGCAATGCTGAGACAACGTACGGATCCGTATCCAGGATGGTGTAATTTTCCTTAGCAAAAACCTCGATCTTGCGATTGTACCAGAGGCAGTAAGTAAGTAAGTTGGGGTGGAGGTTGGGGTCAGGCGGACATGTATATATTTGCCTGTGTACGAAGTAGGTTAAGGTTAGTAGGTTAGGTTAGTCTAGGTTAATAAGAACCAACGAGTCAGTGGAACAGGGCCAATTTGAAATGCCCGCGTAGTAGTAGTGGGCGTTTGGAGGCGACAAACCCCGGGCATGTACCCCGCAAGACTCCAACTCTTGGTGGTCTGCGGGGATCACCAGGACACTACAGCGCTGTCGGCAAGCGAATCTATACATTTCGTGCAACATCACGTCGAAATGATAAGCGCAACTTCATACAGTCGTCAACCACAAATCACTCATTTAGGCAATGAATAAACTGAAGTGATGCATACTTAGAAATATATTGGAGACAAGTATTTATTGCGATCAAGTTGAGCCTTCATTGCATGCTGCATTTTACGACGTCTCTGCGTAAGACAGCCAGCCACTATCACTGCCAGTAGCTCTCCTCAACAGCTGGCAATATTTGTCCTGTGCACTCTCCAAATCCAACAAGTCCTCCCTCGACTTCGCCCGCCACACCTGTTATTATAATACTATCACCATCTTGCAAGAACTTTCGCTCTTCTCCATTATCCAGCTTGACCGGGTGTTTTCCGCCTTGTGTCTGTTCAAGAATACTACCATAAGTACCCGATCCATCTCCAGAAATGGTACCAGAGCCAAATAGATCTCCAGTGCGAAGATTGCACCCGGTAACAGAGTGATGGGCGATCATCTGTTCCCAAGACCAGAGCAGATTCTTCGATGTCGTGTGAGAAATTCTGGTCTCATTTCCTTGGGTCGCTTTGGACAAAAACGTTAGCATATCCAACTCTAGTCAAAACTTATCTAGGTCATCTTACTCCTCAGCGTAACTTCCAGATTGATGTCCAGAGCAAAGTCCCGTCGACCTTGTTTCAAATAGCTCTGCAGCTCAACTGGATTGTCCAGTCCCTTTGCACGGAACGGTTCGAGCGTGTCCGCTAGCACCACCCATGGACTGATGGATGTGCCAAAGTTCTTCGCATTGAATGGACCAAGCGGCACATACTCCCACATCTGCACGTCTCGAGCACTCCAGTCATTCATGAGCACGTAGCCGAAGATGTACTCTGGTGCTTCGTCGACGCGTACTGGCTTGCCCAGCTTGTTGCTGCGTGAGATGAACATGCCGAGCTCCAGCTCGATGTCGAGACGTCTGCAAGGGCTAAATGTTGGCACCTTAGGTTCGGCTGTAGGGTCCAGGATGATCTGTCCCCGTGGCCGTGTGAGAGGAGTGCCAGACACGACCACAGAGCTGGCACGTCCATGGTATGCTACTGGTACGTGATGGTAATTGGGGTTTAGCGCATTTTGCGGTCCACGAAACAAGGTGCCCACGTTGTGAGCATGGTTTCGTCCGGCAAAAAAGTCTGTGTAATCGCCGATTGATAGCGGTAAGTGGTTGCGCGCCGTAGAAATGGAGATCAAGGCCTTCTCTTGGAGGGACTTGTTATCTTTTAGGATATCCGAGAGCGGTCCATCCTCCGCAAAGACAGACTGGAGATATTTTCGCACATCACCATGTGTTGTCCTGCCTAACGCAGCGAACTCGTTCAGTGTTGGAGAATCGAAGACCTTCAGATGGGGCGCTATCTGGCTGAGCTTGGAGAAGCCTCCACCAAGCGAAAATGCTGAAAGATCTAGTACAGACTCTCCAATGGCCACTGCAGGTCGGGGTGTCGAATTACTCTCTGTTGAGATGATGCCGAACGGGATATTAGCCAAGCTAAAGGGAGAGCGAGGTGGAATGGTAACCCAGGATTTTAGAGACGCCATCATGGGAAGATTAAATTCAGCAGATAGCAGGCAATTTCTGACAATCGACCCTGACATGTTAAAAAATACTCAGTCGTCATTAATACGATAAACATTGGACTCATCGCGATGTGAACTACAGAATGGCGCGTGTAACTGACAACCAATCGGAACGGCTCATATAGTCAATTGGTGGATTGCGAGGACCCAGTTAAAGATAGTGAGGGGCGGCAAAGCTCGAGAATATGTTTCCGACCATTCCTCGGAAAGCGTCGTTTCGGAATAGGCTCAACGACGCCATGTATTCATTTTCGCTGTGAGTACATCCTGTCAATTAATTGCGGCATATGCAAACATGAGGCGAGAGTTTGGCTCCGGCTTGATTTTTTAGCGCTTGTTCTACAACACTGGTAAACAGCTGGTTTAGGAATGTATGAAGGCGCCTACTACTTAGCATGAGCCAGTGGGGCGGAAGTCTTGGAAAAACGTTACGTTGATACAGGTAGTAGATCACTAGGTGATATCCTGCCACGGCAATACTTAAATTCTTATATTGAGTCACGTAGACTGTTTCACTCCTCCAATCCTCGAGGATAGAAACGATACCGGCCGAATCGCACGGGACGGGTGATGCGGTGGTGGCGCCTGAGCACGTGCCGAACAGGAACGGGCTGAGGTTCATACAAGCGGGAGGAACGCCATCAAACAGGGCCTCTGAGAGAACGTATCATTAGTACTAGCAGGTTCACCTAACAACCCGATCGGAAAACTTACTCCCGTGGCTGGTATGGGCCCCATGACCGGGACAGTGTTGAGCTCATCGTTACATTGCTCGAAATTGTACTTGGGGATATTGTACGGTCCAATTTCAGCTTCTCGGGGCATGAAGCGCATGCGTGGGACCAACTATGTACCCAGCATGCCGCACTCGACTACCTCACGCTTGCACGCGCCTGATGCGAAACAGCCGCCGACACCTCCACCGATGGCACTGTAAAAGTTAGAAAAATTTGCCAATTTCAGCTATAATGACTGGAGTGATAAGCATGAGTGATATTTTTGGTTAAGTGCTGAGAACGAAATGATAAGTCTGACAACCATGATAAATGAATATGGTTTCAATGATATTGTTATGCCTAGTAAAATGTGATGATGCTTGGAATTTTGGCAAGAATGAAAGTTAATGTTCTAACTTTCATAAATTTCAAATGACTGCCTCCCATCTGAGTACCTCATACACAAAGTCCCACGGATGACTTAGTCTTCTCAATCGTAGACCAACGTGAGCATAGAAACATCCATAGAGTACACCCTAAGCTACACTATAACCATACATCATTTGTCCAAGTACATTTATTTCATTATAGAGAGACATAAGATTGGATGAAATTCAGTCTCACGCAGTGGCGACGCCGGTCAATGACTCCTGTTACTTCGAGATGGGGATCTAGTGATACCTAAGGGGGATAGTAGTTTCATGAGTGAAATAATACTTAAAGATACGTTTATCAGTCGTAATAGCTCCAAAAATGGAACTGCTGCCAGGATACATCTACGTTAAACCCAGGTTTCAGTATCGCAAGTAGACAAAGCCGAGGCCATCTTTTCTAAAAATAAAAAACCAGCTACACTTCTTCGTAAAGATGATAAGCCGATCACGACGACTGGAAATAACCTACTGTACAGCTCCAATGCACATCGCTCTAGGAATACATAAATACAATACTATAGAAATAGTCGAAGTTGGTATTTGTTTGAGTGCCATACTCAGTGGCCGCAGATTCCGTCAAAGGCCTCCGCCACTCACAAGCGGGTGTGTGAATGACGACGGTAGAGTTTTTGATCAATGGATAACTGTGAGAAGGTGATTACCATCAGCCTATGGTAGACTTTCTACTAAGAAAACAGATAAAATAAATCGTAGCTGGTGGTCTGGGAGCACTAGACTAGGGACACGTTAATCATCCCAAAACAAGACAACACGCTTACGTCCATCATCTCATTTCACAGGTTTTCCAGCTACCAAGTCAAGCTTTGCCAGGTTTAGAGGATACTCCCGCATAAATGACATAGAAACACGTAAAATCCTTTTGCGGCTAATCAAGCAAGAATCGGTAATGTACTATGTGATCTGATATAATCTGTTATAATCTGAATCCGACCAAGATTGGTTCAAACGAGGGACATTGGCATTGCGGATCCGCGAAGTGTTACCTTCGTTCATGATCTGATATGCAACAGTACTTTCCATCAATCCCAACAGGGTCTCTCTGCCCACACTGCTTTTGTAGATGAGGACAGCAAGTAAACCACATCTAAAACTCACAGTGGACGTGTAAAAACGTCATGGTGATGTCGACGCAGGACTGCATGTGGTAGAGGGCAAATTATGAGCTCAGTTGATGAAACAATCGGATTTATAACGATACCGTCAAATTTGAGAAGTATTGGTGTGTGAAATAACTATGAGAACTTCTCGATTAGTTCTGGAGTCAGCATTTACCAAATGCTGATGTGTCAAATTGACAGAATATGTATGCAACGGAATGTTATTAGTAGAGTGTTCTCTCAGCCACAAAGCTGCAGTGACTGAAAGGTTAGATGAATGTCTAGATTTTCTTCCAGATGTATACCACTTATCTAACCCACCCTTATGCATCTTGACTTGCGCTGTGATATGCTTTCGTCTTGCCGTGCAACAACAGCCTTGTCTCAAATGGCAGATTCTTAAATTTGGCCTTGTCCTTAGCATATCTATGGTACTGGGCGGTGGGAGAGCGAACTTAGTGCCACGGGATCAGATATTGGTGCAGATGATCTTTGGCCTTGGCCTCCACACAGGTTCCACTCCGTTCATAGAGCAATGCGGTATGGAAACAATTCTTATCGACTTTCTTTGTTGGAAGACTAGAGCAACATATCGCATCTTGGGCGATATCAGAAGATAACTTCTTATCAAAGAAAATACTAAACAGACTCTATAAATTCATGAACCTCAGAATAGAGGCATACTTTCCATCTTGCATATAGATGACGGTTTTCGGCATGGCGATGTCCAAGACTGGAGGTTTTGGGATCAGAAAATGGCAGACCTTATGCTGAATGAGGTGCCAAAATAGTCTTAGCGCATAATAATAGCCCCACATCTGCCTGTCCAAAACGGCGCGTACGGGAAATAGCCTTTTACCCGTTTACAAACGGATTTCTAAAGTATATCCGTAACTCCGTTTTGCTCATTTTGTTTGAAACCCTAAGGGTGTGCATCTAGAGATTAACGTACCCGCTAAAAGACATATCGAAGACCCCATTTAATGTACGAGAAAGCCAATGAAATTAGCTCTCTACCCTATCACTTATTGTAATCCCCTAATGCTCCGAAGCGTATGCTATTCCACGAAGCATATATCACTTCGCATCCTAAAAGTAAAAGGAAATGTCTGAAACCCGACTCTATACAACATCGATTTCTTAGCCAAGTAAGGGTTAAGTTCTATTAAACTAGCTCCTAGGTGTTCACGGTAGGCGTATATTCTTTTCGACGTCGCTACCCTAGTCAAGCAATGATGAACAATTTGGAATTCAAATAACGTATTTGTTCAACTAGAGTCGGCCTCTCCGAAATTGCTAAAGCGTCTCTTCGTTCTAAATAGGCAGCATATAGGGGAACAGAAGGCACACCGTGTAATATGTTAGTTTTAAAATGCTTTAGGCATCTAATTTGCTACGTAGTTTATGGCTTGGCTTGTTTGAGGAATATCATACTACCGAGTTCAAGGATACGAATACAATCTATTTCGAACATCTCGGCTAATCTTTTACGGACAGCTCTTCGGGCACGCCGACTCGCTCTTTTCGAATATTCCTGATCATCTATCACACCTGATTATAGGATCAACTTAAGGTGGACACCAGCGTGCTCTATGAGCAAGTAAACAATATTTATATGGCTCTTCTTAACAGACCACGCTCAAGGATAGTATTATAGCGCTTAGAAGCTAGTGGAAAGTCTTTAGGTCAGAAAGAACCATAAGGTAATCTGATAGGCTTGACTTTCACCGAACATAGGTAACATAAAACATATAGTCACGTTGGCACTAGCAGGGGTGGATCGAGTCAGCCGAGTAGGCAAGATACAGCATGTTATAACTTTTAGCCTTAGACGCTGTAATATACATGGCTGCGTTAGTATATCCCACAAAAGCCTTTCCTGAGTGGTTGCCTACGGCTGTGGATATTCGATAGCAAGTAAGAACGCGCGAGAGAGAAGCACAAGTCCGAGCAGGACCTCCTGCCTTGCAAATAGCCACGACCGAATCCTCTATGGTTATTGGATTACGATGGCTCCACTATGTATGGGTCCGCGGCTGGCACGGTACACTAGGGACATCTTTTTCGATATCATTCTTGGGTATTGAGAAGCTACCAACCATAGACATAGTGCTACAGAAATCTGCCAAAAGTACAATGCCACAACTGCTCTGGGTGTGGTATTGCTGTTCTATGAAACAGATGCAGGCCTTCACTGATTATAGCCTGATTCGTCGAAATATGGTTAGGCGTTACCAAGTGAACAATCCACCGAGGGCGTTAAAGGCATCTTAATTCGCAAGTAACAAAAAACAGCGTAAGGGATGTCATGATCAATTCTGGAACACACCAATATAACACTTCGCCCAAGCACCGAAAGCAACTTTCAGAAGGTGATATATATCAAGATGAACCACGGCAGTCACAGCCTCGAGCTGCTTTAACCGCGGTAAGCTTATTGTTGGAAACACCAAGTAGAGACTTGCGTTCTGCGCATCGTCTGGCTTAGATATATCGTTGAACGTCGTCTGGCCTTTGAGTTGTAGAAGCTGGTTGGGTATGCTGATAAAGAGACCGTAGTGTCCGATCCGAGAGCTTTGCCGTGCCTGTTATACTTGAATGTCGTTTGAAGGTTCGTAGCCCAAGCTTAGAGTGCCAATATTCAGGGATTTGAGAAGGTACATTGAGGCGATAATTGAGAGTTCCGAGGTCCCTCTTTGTGCAGACGTCACTTCAATGCACGGGTCAAGGTGGTAACCTTGCCGTGCACCTAGTTTTTGCAAGCCCGCGAAACCATGTAATTTTCCACCTTAATCCCTTGCATAAATGTAGAAGAGTTCGCCTTGGTATGGGGAAAAGTCGACAACGGTAAGGTAAGATTGCGTCGTAGGAAGTAATGAAGAAAGCGCTGATCCATGAGTCTAGCGAACGAGGGATCAAAGAGGGGAACAGAGGATGATGAGATGATTAACGTACACAAACAAGTCACTATGCAATTTGTAGAGCCCTAGAATCTCAGAGGGACACTCCTATGGTTGACTAGAGTTGTGCTGTCGTATTTCAAATGAATAGAGGCGTTAGATTGAATTGTACAATAATCAATGGCGATCGGTGGGTCCTCGAAAATCGGTAAGGCAAGGCTGAGGGTAATCAATAGAGACCTGCGGTTGGATGAGAATGTGGGAAATTGAGTTGCATCTACCAACACTCTACTGTATCTTGTTTGAAACCCTGTTTTGCCCAGAAATCTGTCACTGAACTGCTCGATAGGTCGTTCTCCCCACCGTCACCTGTGGCGATGCATTCATCTGCCTTTTATGCAACGCAATTGCCAGCCACAGCAATCTTGCGCATGACAGTAGGCTTGAATACGGTGCCATCAGGAAGTGTTGCCAATATGTCCTTGAATTCGGCCAGCTCCAGACCCTTTTTCAAATCTTCATTCGTCTCCCAGACGGCATAGTTGACAAGGAAGTGCCCATCCAGGGAACGGTGCAGTTGAGTAGAGATGTATCCAGGCTGCTTCTTGAGGATGTCGCCACTTTGGCGCCAGGTATCGAGGAAGCTATCGTAGTCGGCACCATCTGGTATAGAAATGACGTTCATAAGGACGATCGGTCCAACAGGAGGGGATTGGGCTAGCTGTTCAGCGAATGTGACACGAGGGTCGAGTTGTTGATGGCTAACGGTAGGGGCTAAGGAGACAGGTGCCATTTTGATCCGATGTTATTGGAGAATTAGAGAATATAGATAGTAATACTATAGAATAAGATAGATCTTGGGGATGATTTGATAGAGGAATTGATTAACAACTTCGCAAAGCAAGACAAAGGTCGTCATTTATACTTTTGCGCATGTTTACAAATAAATCAAGACGGTATTGAATCACTGTGGGGCCAATTCGCGTAGCCCGTTAATTGAACTGGGCGAGTAAAGCTAAACCTGTAGTAAAGCCAGACAAACGTTCTCATTGGCAATTGCACTACTTCCTACCACCAACGTGATGAGCGCGAGTCAGTCCATACCGTGAAAAACCTGTTTGAAGGTTGCATCTTTTGGGCTTCGTTCCGCTGAGCGGTAAGCAAAGATGTTCCACTTTAGTCGGACAATGGAGGTTTCGGCACTTGACTATAACCTAACATCCGAGAAGTGCGTTCGCGCGAATATGCCGACGCCGGTAGTCAAAATTTGTAATCCAATCGACGTAGAGCCTCGTACCTAGCAATGATCTCGACTGACAGCGACTTTTAGTCACTTTACTAATAATATTATTCACTCTGTACGACTTGTGAATCCAACGATCTGGTTTGGGCTATAATTCCACCGTAGTAAGATCTAGTTCTGGATCAACGGTAGACAATGATGCTACTTCTAACCCACTACGCCAGCACTTCGGGTGTAATCGGCAAGGAAGTTCTGCTATGATTTTTGTCATGGCGAGAGCTATATGACATTTTAACGAGCCAGGGGTTAGCATATCCGGAGGTATTTAAATACTTGATATCAGCGAAATAAACTCTTCTACTCATCTTTACTTAATTGCAGAGTTTGACTGCTTTTTAGAGCCAGTCCATCATGATAGCACACATTTGTTCGAGTTTACATCCCTCCAAGATGGCTACATACGTTATCACTGGAGTCTCTAAAGGCATTGGTGTAAGTTCAGTCGCTTTTCTTGAGCAGTTGCCCGGGAAAGGTGGAGGTGGGCCACTTTGCAAATTGTATGAATCCAACTCATTGTGCTGAACCTCGAACCTGCAACCTGACATTCCTACGGCTACACCGGAGCAGATACAAAGCTTAAAAACGATGATGCATAAATTCGTCGAGTATGCACCCGAATTCACCGGTCCGGCCACCCCGGAGCAAGCCACTTAAGACGTGAAGAAAGTTTGGGAAGATGCTATCGCCGAGAAGGATGGCGGAGGGTATGTCTCCCACTACGGCAATAAGCAATGGCTTTGATTTTATTTAGACTAGTTACCCACATTCTAGTCCGTTTAAGTACCTAACAATCGTAAGCCTTTCATCCCTTGAGTTCGTAGTCGTATAGAATCAATCATTGGGCATATAGTTATGGTGATGTAGTTAGTTTTGCCTGCTTCGTCGGACCCTTCTGTCGCGCTGTCTAAAGCGTCCTTACCATTTAGCACATGAATAATTTGGTGTGCGTAGATACACACGTAAAAGCTCCTCGATAAGGCGTTGCATAGCGTGTGGGGAACTCTACTACACAGGTGTGATCGTAGAATCTACCACACGTAGTACATGTTTCTTAACTCGTACCCACGTCTTATCCATACTTTCCTCTGATACAAGCCACGGGGGGGAAGGGTGGGTGTGGAGGCATCGATGAATTCACTCACTCAATCACAACCCGTCACACGTCACTTGAATTGCGTTATTTGCTGAGAAAGATCCATTCACCACCATTACTGCTAGTGATGTGATTAATAAGATGTAGAAACTGCCAATACGTCCTGTCAGGCATGGTCATATCTGTACAAATCAGGAATGCGGTTTCAGTAGTTCAATAAAATTAGCGATGTCCGACTTCTTTTATCAAAAATGTCGACTTTCATATGAAGCCTAATAAAGCCTCGAAACCCACTATCTCCAAAGTTAGGTCGTTCGCTTGTTCAGGTTTCAATGCTGGCTACGGAGAAGCTAGATATCCGAGTTGTCCGAGTGTTACGCCTAATCTGATTGTGGGCCACTCCCAAGACTCCTACTGGATGACCTATTTACGGACGCTTATTTATCACATCACCAGCAACGTTCGATCATCCTCCTGATCGGCTAGTATCCCGGCACATATCCAGCTAACAGCCCGATGAAAACTCGCGACAAGATTTCTGGCGCATATTTTCCAAAAGAGGTGCCTCCGCGAGGGACAACGAGTAGAATCAGATTCTTCACAGAACTCAGATAAAATGTGTCAAAGATAGTCACGGCACCAGCATATTTATGTTGGCTTGCTCTTGTACTTGGACGATCTCACTATCCAAATCTTGATTAGATCATAGATATCAGCACGGCATTGGCAATTTCATGTCACGGTCAGGAGTCCGGACCATTGGCCGTTAAATTTCCCTATCCTGTAAACTAATACACCGTAATTATGCATTACCATGACCGATAGGCTCGAAAATATGCCTAATGTGGAAAAGTTTCAGGCTAGACGCTCCCGTACCCACCGTCGGCAATCTCAAAATTTGACAAAGCTTCTACGTTACGGTAGGCTTCCAAAAGTCCTAAAACCCCATCACGCACCTCGATGGGACCTCAAGTCTACCTAGGTCAAATCGTAATGGTTTTTACCATTTGTCATTATCTTAAAATCAATAAAGGACACGATAGCCTTTCAGGAATTCTGACACTTACTGTATGTACTATAAGAAAGATCATAAATCAAGCGTCTTGCAGTGAGTGAGCTGCGTTACATAAGCTATGTCATTGTGGATCAATATCGGGCATGGCAGGCGCCGAAAACAGCGAGGTGTGTGTACCAGACTACTTCCAGGCAGTATCAGCTTCCACTCAAGTTGTATGTTATAAACGATAAATGAATTAGCGGTGGGCGAAAAAAAAAGATGATTGTGACCAAAATGTCGGACATTCCAGTCGCACCGAGAAGCGAAACAAGTCCTCAAGCCTGCCAGTTTGTAGGTGTAGAGCATTTTGCGTTACCGTGATCAAATTCATCCATCTCGTCCTCAAGGCTAATATTAACTTATAAAGTCGTGTAACCCAGTGACATCCCCAACCCTCCAAGTTCGTCTTCACACTTCCAGAATCATTTACCAGCTCTCAGGTCAATAAACAATTTATAAGCCTCCGCCGCATGGGTTATGACTGAGTGATTATAGGGCGATAGACTCTTGAGTACGTAACAAAGACTAGCTATGGCTTCTCAGGCAGGTTGCGATGACAGCCGACTGGCGCCAGTTACGGTCCACGACCTTACACAACGCGCCGACGAACAATCGAAAGCATTATCACGACTACTTTTGAGCAATCACGTCAACTTTGCTGTTCTTCGGGAGCCCCGGCTGTTATTCCACAACCATCTTCCACATGTATGTAATCCACCTACAACCGTTGGATGCTCGAGGCTATTTCTCTCTGCTAATCACTCACCAATCAAGGCGCTTGGGTCATTATACTTGCTGGGCGCTAGTCCGCAAAAGCTCGAACAAGTATATGCCGCCGAAGCAGCTGAGCTCAGAGCCACTAATGATGGTCTCATCCGAGATGGCATCACCGAAAGCAACTGGCGTGATTTTCTAGGCCGTAAAGAGTATATTCTGCCTTGTCCATATGAGGTATTCAGGATGCATGATAAACTGATATAACCAGTTACACTGTTGCTTTCACCGGCTTCTTCGATAACGTGGTCGAAAATAACCATGGTGATTGGAAGTCTGTCGTCGAATCATATCTCTTCTCCGGGAGCCAGCCCCTTATCAATGGCTTCTCCGGTGGCCGTAAGCCATGCTTTCCTGAAACAACTGCTAATGAGATGCTGTGACTTACAGTTGATTTAGTTGCACACCCATTCATCCACCTCGCGTACGCCTATGAGTTCAACAGCAAGGAAGTTGCAACAGAAGCACTGAGCATGGCATGCACTGAATATGACAGTACTCACCGCTACATCGATTGTTACCCTACCGACAATTCAACATACAAGACGACCAACATCGGAGATGTGTTGCTTCGCATCCGACAGGACTTTCGCTTCGACAACCTCTTGTGTGAACCCGGATTCGCGAACCTGGCAGTAATTGTGGAAAAGCGAGAGTTGGAAATGTTGGAACATTGGAACGCATGGGAAGTCAATGATCCCCTAAGACAATTGTACGATTGCATGTTCACAGCGTCTTTACTGTCAGTTGGCGCAGGATTACCCCTGGGAGAATTTGACTTCTATTTAGCCCATGTGCTGACAGTGGGCCACTCACTTCGTGTTCTGTTTCCTGTTTTCCCACGGAACTGGCATGTTCCGATTATGAGGCAATATGGTCTGTTTACGATATTGGTGTACATCGCGCAACTACGACCCGCCTTCAAAGAACAAGACATAGCATCGTGGGATTTGCAATCATCGTCCTGGGAGAACGTTGCTCAAAAGTCCCAAGAGAATGAACTATCTATAGACGTTCATTTTCCCAAAGTTGTCCGAGCTTTGAAGGTCGCCGAGGAGACCTGTGGATCTAGGGACAAGCACTTTATGAAAGCATCCGAGAAGTTTATCTCGGAGTTTCGGGGCTGGACTGGCTTCGGTTTAGGCGTTGATGCTATTCCATAGCCCTATCCGGCAGAAAAATAATCATACTAGGAAGTTAACGTAATGCAATCTTACCTTCCAATCAATCGTGTCGCCATTTCAGACTTGGTAGAACTAGACGTACCATCCTACTTCTCAAGTCGTGCACCGTAGTCATGGACCCTCATTCTACCCTCAAAGGAGCGACGGCTGGAACGAGGAACGCCACTCTTCGCTCTATTCTTTCTCATAGGGCATACGGGCCTCTCCACCTGCGAATGTTTGTACCTTCAATATATATAATGCTTAGTTTTCTTTGAGCTGGAAGATAATCCAGTTGTGAAAGTTAGGAAAAGTCAACTGATAAATGCGAAAATGATAGAGACTGCCTTCAAGCGCCGACGTTCGTGACGACCTGTTGAAATTCCGCCCAATACAGAAGCCCATGACCATGTAGGAACTGATTGCTGTCTTGTCAAGACTACTGAATAATCCAAAGGGTCCCACATCAGCCCATCTGCGAGGTTACGTTCCCACAATCCTGCGAAATATCGGCATCCAACAACATTACCCAAGATAGTGGCGACACCTTGCATAGCAGGGAGTCTATCACTCTGTACGTGAGATCAAGGACAGAGCACTCAAGTCGCCCCAAGCTCTGAAAAACAGCCTTCCATCATGGCTCTTTGCTTTCCGTGCAGTCGGAGAATGATATCCCATAATCTAATGCCATGTACAAGACTGGCTGCTTCCATGCCTCCGTCGTCATCAATCTCGCCAGCTTCTGAGATTCTGCCCATTCGACAAGACCAGTAGATTTGCCTCACAGAAAATATATCGTACCATCTATATTCTCCAATAACGTCCGACCAAAATAGCACCTGTCTCCTTAGCCCCTACCGTTAGCCATCAACAACTCGACCGTCGCGTCACATTCGCTGAACAGCTAGCCCAATCCCCTCCTGTTGGACCGATCGTCCTTATGAACGTCATTTCTATACCAGATGGTGCCGACTACGATAGCTTCCTCGATACCTGGCGCCAAAGTGGCGACATCCTCAAGAAGCAGCCTGGATACATCTCTACTCAACTGCACCGTTCCCTGGATGGGCACTTCCTTGTCAACTATGCCGTCTGGGAGACGAATGAAGATTTGAAAAAGGGTCTGGAGCTGGCCGAATTCAAGGACATATTGGCAACACTTCCTGATGGCACCGTATTCAAGCCTACTGTCATGCGCAAGATTGCTGTGGCTGGCAGCTGTGTCGCATAAGGCAGGGGAAACTAGTTCAATAGTGCCCGATTATGGGATGCATTGAGGGTAGGAATGGGAGCTTCTGAACCAATCAAAACGGAATAGCTCAAACAGTACAATCGTATACCATTCAAACTATAGCAAGACGGCCTATCTACGCTGCGAAAGCCAATCAACATTCAATACACTAAACATACTCTATGACTCCAACCAACCTCAATCCCACTCTCATGAGTCTATGACTTTGTGAACCAGATTACGTTGACATCCTAATATTTTGAAGGTCCCTGTTGTAGTCACAGAGGACTCCTTGTACTTGATAAAACCAGTTCTCTCTCCTCTGATGGCTCTATCAGTTCCTTACAATGACGAGCTCATGTTCATCGTTTCTATAGCTGGCTGTTACACACTATAGGCAGTGTCTTTTTCCGGCAGTTTCGGATTTAGTGCTTGGCAAGGCCAGACTACTTGCTTCTGAAATGTCGTAGGCACGGACACCTTCGATGGCAGCACTCTATACACACATATCACATCAATTAAATATGTCTTAGGCACGGTATACAAATGGGCGCGGTGGAAACTTCAGGCAGAGCGGCTCATTGCTCATGTCAATAGCACAATGTCCTCAAATATGTCCAAGTGTGAGTTACTTGTTGGAGAATCGACTGGCGAATTCGCAGTATCATGCCTGGCGATGTAAGGATTGAAGGGGTGCTTTCGGATCTAATTGAGTCAACTAGCTATTTGAACAGGTAAAGAATGTGCACATCCACAACCGACATGCTATCCAACGCCATCAACAAACAACTGTGAAATGGTGCGCTTATGGTCTACTCACAATTGCCCACTAAAAAGAATGACTTCTCTGTGGCTGAAAGTGGGTTTTGTATGACCTCCGGCTGCCCAATCCATATTGTATGGCTAGGTTCATCGTTTCACTCGGCCACCTTTCTCTATCGCCAGGTCACAAGGGCTTTACAACAGCTCAACCTTCTATCCCACTGTCCGTCTTATCTCCTGATACTTCCGGATCTTTCTTTGATGCATTATTCAACGTATACTTGGAAATTCCTGTATGAAACAACAGACGATGTCCGAGATCATAACAGAGATTTAGTTTCTGCGCAAAATAGCAAATAACGGCAATCGGATTATCGGTTGTGGCGTTGTAGGCCTTGTCAGGGCGTTACTTCCTGGGGCTGACAGTTCATATTCAGGTAGTTCCGATAACGTTCAAAAGCGTAGAGACGTGATTGCCTCCCTCATAATCCATGTAAACAGTGTGAAGGTCTTCATCGATGCCTTAGTTCCTCTGAGTTTGCTTATTCAATGAGTTGTCAGGTACTGACACCACACTAAAGGGCGATGTACAGTACAATACACCAGCTCTCCCAGATGGCCCACAGATAAAGCAGATAAGCTACTTCTTCATCATTGATATCCTTTGGATCAAATATTCAGTGATTCGATATGATATACATGACAAGCAATATAGGAATATTATTCACTAATTCTCGACTCTAGGAATACTTGATTTTGCATGTTGTTCGCTAATCTGAAAGTGGACTATATTGCACCAATAGATCTCTTTTCTCATAGCCTCTATCTCTTCCAGTGGAACGATCTTGGCCTCCTTGCTAATTTCCGACTCCATAGGTGCGTCTTCACTCGTGAGGATAACCAAATGTTCACTGTAGTATTTGCAGAGACTGGTGTAAGCGCAGCCTTTAGGAATGCTAATGAAGTCGCCCGGCTGCAGCTTGACAAGACCACGCTGGGTAACTAGCATACGAGTACCCTTCGTCTGGCAATGGATGGCATCGGCACGATGATGGCGGTTATATACCTTGCCAGTCGCCTTGCTCAGTTTGACGTTGCCGACCCAAATCTTGGCGGATTTATATACCCATTCTGGATCTTGTGGTTCATCACCCGTTATTGCAGCTGCGGCTGCCCGCTGTACAAAAAGCTTGTTGTTGTTTCCTGCGGACGAAGGTGCATGATGAAGCAGGATATCTTCATCAATCATGGACACTGCAACATCACAACCTTTGGCACCGAGGCACTCTGTCATCATCTCAATGGCCGCTGGTGTCGCTTTTTCCCAGCCAGGGAACGGTCCATCCTTCTTAACTTCAGACTGGACGGTAACCTGGCCGACTTCCGCCACTGGCACAATCACATAGATGAGTAGATGGATGTCCTTGCGACCATAGTTATCTGCGCCACACCGACAGGAATCCTGGAAAAGTCACCGGGAGAAAGCTCAACGATACCAAGTTCCGTCATAAGCGGTCGATCCCCTGATACCTGGTATGACATCTCGTCGACATCAGAATTGCGATGGTAAAACGGTTGACGGGCGTTCATTTGCTGCCATTCCAATCGTAACCCCTTTCCTCCAGATATGTCTCGCGGGGGTGCGAACTTGGCAGGGATATAATGGAGTGGGAAGTGGGTAACAGTTAGCGGCGCGTAATCTCGCCACATCTTCATTGCTGACTCGGGAGGTGATTGCAACAGGAGGTCCTCCTGTCTGGGGATGACACGCACGTTATCTGCCCCCGACCAGGCGTCGAGGATCTCAGTAATCATGGACATGGTGGCGGTGTCTGTTTCAGAACAAAATACTGGTGGATAGCTTTGCTCTTGCCGTATAGAGATCGGTGGGGCTGATTGTGACCAGAAGAGTGTCTGAAGAATGTTCTTTGTGTTATATATGACTGATCAGACAAATGGGCGTGAGGCGAATTTGCGGACGAATGGTCTAGACAGAAGTTCGTAAGTCTCGAAAGCCCGAGGCTCCGCGATCAACAAAACACATGGTACAAGAATCCGGTTTAAATCGGTTCATCAGACATCTCTCCTATCCTTAGATGGCAAATGTTACCCTATACTGGTTTATGGTTTATTACTACAAGCCATGCTGCCACTCGCGCCATTGTAAGACCCCCGTGGGATCATGTGCTCTATATTCTTTTGCTTCTTCACCAACCTTGAGATGGGCCTATGAATAGTGTTCTGGGGAGCTGGGATTGATTAGTGCCGCCCCTCTCAGGCCTGCGAAAACCCCTATCTCGTGAATTTCAATCTACATTGGCAAGGTGGAGACGCAGCACTTGTAGTAAATGTCCGAAGTCCGTCTAGCTGTATCAGCCAGTCGCAAGAGTCTAGCCAATCTCTTTAGCGTCGGCGAAAAACACCCAAGTTCCGACACATTTTTACCACCCGTCTTTTTCGCGTCACGTCGGCGAACAATCTGAGCACGAACTCATCATGTCAGAAATGCAGAGACATGAAGCGGAGCAAGATCGGCCGAGCCCGGTATATATCTGATCATGGAAGTGTTCTAAAGTCACGATGTTACACAGACCACAACTGTCCTGCATCTTGTCCTGGCAAACCAATTTCTGTCCTTTAAACAGACGCAATTTCCAAAAGCATTCCTGGGCACAGCAGTAAACACAGCAACTGGTTTCGCTCTCGCCAACGGACAGGATGAGTGCCGTTGCCCAGCAGGTCGATGAGGCCAGGGAAGACGGCGAGGCAAGTCTCGGTGTTGATCCGCGCCTCGATATAGTCGACTGGGACGGACCAAACGACCCTGAGCACCCTCAGAACTGGTCGACTTCGAGAAAAGTCACTTGTGCTGTGGTACTTGCGTTTATTTCCACTCTCAGGTCGGTAAAACTCCCATGATACTTGCAGGCTCTACAACTAAAGATCACCTAGCCCATTTGCTTCCTCCATTATTTCGCCCGGCATCAGTTACATCAAGGCAGATCTCGACATTACAAACGACTATGCTGGGGCCTTTGTGGTCTCCGGCTTCCTTATTGGCTATTGTTGCGGCCCTCTCATTATTGCCCCGCTATCCGAACTCTTCGGCCGATCCATTCTCTATAATGTTTGCAGTGTGATGTTTCTCGCTTTCAACATTGCTTGTGCAGTGGCCCCGAGTGCTGGCAGTCTCATCGTCTTCCGCATATTCGCTGGCATCGGTGGTTCTTGCCCCTTGACGCTCGGCGCTGCCTCGTTGGCAGATTTTGTACCTTCGGAAAGGAGAGGAGCTTCTATGACGATCTGGACACTGGGCCCTATGGTAGGACCAACAATTGGACCAATAGGTATATCTTCTCTATATCGATTATAGGTGATAATTCTAACAAAACGACAGTCGGTGGATACCTCACTCAGGCAAAAGGCTGGAGATGGGATTTCTGGGTCCTTGCCATCGCTGTACGTTTCCCCTTTCCTATATCACCATCTTCTCCATTGTTCATCGATGGGGCCTCTCTCTCTCATTATGGCTATTTTCTGTCTCCTGTATGACACAATTCCATCCGTTACTTACTTTTTTTCTAGAGTGGCGTCACCGCGATCGTGACCATACTAGCCCTACCCGAGTCATATTCTTACACCATTCTTGAGCGTAGAACTAGGCGCCTACGAAAGGAAACTGGAAATCCGAACCTTCGGTCGGCGTTAATGGCCAGAGGAACCACCAAGGAGCTTTTCCTGCTTTCCATCTTCCGTCCTGTGAAGCTCATGTTTTTGTCCCCTATCGTACTTCTGCTCTCAGTCTACATGGCAGTCCTCTACGGCTACTTGTATCTGCTCTTCACGACGTTCCCACAGGTGTTTAGAGGTCAATACGACTTCAGCACTGGTTCGATTGGTTTATCCTACATTGGCATCGGCGTCGGGTCTGTATTGGGTCTGTTTTCCTCCGGCGCGGTGTCCGACAGGCTAGTCGTCGGCTTAAAGGTCAGAAACGGCGGAGAGAGCAAGCCCGAATATCGTTTGCCGCCCATGGCGGTTGGCGCCTGCTTGGTTCCCATAGGATTGTTTTGGTACGGATGGACCGCAGAAAAGCAACTGCACTGGATACTCCCCATTTTGGGAACGACAATTCTTGGGGGTGGTATGGTCATAGTACTCGTAAGTCTGACAAGTCCATTCTCCATTGCGATTGCTGACAAGAACATCAAAGATGTCAATCTCCACCTATCTGGTCGACGCTTTCACCATTTATGCAGCATCCGCCATGGCTGCCAATACAGTTACACGATCTCTGGTTGGAGCATTCTTACCACTTGCTGGCAACAGCTTATATCAGACTCTGGGCCTCGGGTGGGGCAATTCGCTACTGGGATTCATTGCATTTTCAATGATCCCAATACCGTTTGTCTTTTACATTTACGGAGAAAGGATTCGACACAGCAATCTATTCAAAGTCGAGTTTTAGCCTCAAGCCAGACGGCATTTCATAGCCTGGTTTCATGTAGATCGGAGTGAGAGTCGATTGGTTGATTGATTGATTGATTGTATTGCCCAAATCATCGAACTCGTCCAGGAGCTCCCATAGTTGCACTTCCGATCCACTACAATTTTGGCCGACTTGAGCTGAATCTGGCAGTAAAGGCACAATGCCATGATGTAACAGGCCATCTTTCCTATGCTGTACTGTATGAAGATACTTCTCCATACTAGGTGGCACTTGCAATTTGTGTCGTTTGAATGAGCTCAGAACCCTAGCCAAGACGTCCGTCGCCAACGGGAGTGCTAATCTCATCTCGAGGAGGCACTGGTAGACACGGATTAATCTATCCATCTATATCGGCGAGGCATCCTTGAATTCGCGCTGATCATTAGGGAGAGCTGCATCCGTTCGGACTTCTTTAATGGGTCGGTTGTCCAGTCTAAGTGTGATATCATGAAGTGTCGCGGATGACTAGCATTGTCGTCTTGCCATTTGGATGTGTACGGACTTCTTATACCTTTAACCGATTATGCAGAATGCGTCAGCTCATGTGCCCCAATTGAACATATTATAGCGAGCATCGAATTCAGCTTGCTTGCTCAATACCGCAGTATATAGGAGGGGAATGGCTTCCGTAATGTAGGCAAGAATTTGCTTTTTTGCCAAAGTCGTTTGCCAATCCAGACCTTTTGTAAGCAGATTTTGTTTCTTACACAAGCCTGTTATGGATCAAGAATTCCGAAATCGGTAAATTGTCTGTACAGTGAGCAACAACATACAGCCAGAATCAAATCCGGCTTCCTCTTGTGTCTCTCTTATCTTCTCTTTGAGCACGGACAGTCCAGTTCTGGCTCTGATCCAGAAGTATATTTTTGAACAACTAGAGTAGAGTCTATCGAGTTAGCCGGTACATATTACGAAGACAGTGGAGGTTTTGTTATCGAGTGATATAGCTAATGTAGTCAGACTTTGAACATCACTCGACAAAAAGACGGAGGTTACGTTTAGTTAGGTCGATATAAGCCATATTTCTTTAATTGGCGCTAGAACAAAGGTAATAGTAATAGTGGCGGTACGGACAATATTCTAATAACAAATGACCAATCCAAAAATTAATGTCAATTTTACGTAAGTCGAGTTATATATAACAAGAAGCGATCCGACATCGACTCTCTTTCTTTATGATATTATGGCTTAACAAGTGGCGGAGAATGTGTTAAAGCTCTTATTTGTCGGATATAAAAGGTATTAGGGGGCTAAGTTCGATATAAGGCTCTGTTGGCAACTGCGCATCGGCCGTAAAGGTTTCTGTGTTTCTCTAACGTTAAAGTTACTATCGTTAGGCTCCGATCCAGAAAAACATTAGCCTAAAGATGTCTTAGGTACCCTTCCCCTTTTATAATTAATGGGTAGTTTTAAGCTAGAGGTAGTCGGTAATAAAATCCGTGCGGCTAACTCCTTTTTATCGCGAAATGACTAACTAAAGACTTCTTAAGCTAGAGGTGTCGACGCGGCAAGCTTGTTATCGATCTCTAAATAGTTATTATAAATATGCTTTACATGCTTTAAAACATATTTATTAAACTTTAGGATTTAATACGTGTTTAATTAAAGGATCTTCGAAGCTAGGGATATATCTAACTACCGGACTTAATATCGAAAAGGGGGGCTTATATCTAAGAACGCGCGCTATAAGATCAAACTTTAATCCTTAGGGCTATATAGCGAAGCTAGTAGCTAATATTAAACTTAAGGAGAGTTTAGCTAGTGTCCGAAGCGTTTATAAGGCTTAGTCTAGCTCTTCTAAGACGCTCGGTCTAGGCCCTCTAAGAGGCCTAATCTACCCGCTAGAGAGTTTAGGATTAAGCACGGTAGACCTCGGAAGAATAGTTCTTAAATTAAGTACGTAATTATAGATTAGCTGATTATCTTATACCTATTAAGCGTTTCCTAGGCCTTACTTGACTAGATGATTAAGTAGAATTCGGTCCGACTAGGATCGCAATCAATCTATTTAATACATTATACTAAATCCACCGAACTACTAGCAAGATAGGTAGATTTATCGTGAATAGACTACATAGATTAGCATCACGTGGTAGACCAATTAACCAACTAGGAAATCGTGACAAGATTTGTGCTCTTTTGTCGAATAATCCATCCAGCCCGTGATCGACATAACAGTCTCTGTGGAGTTGTTTCTCGTTCTTCTTTATGCCTCCCAGTTCCTGTTTGCGACGTGTAAGTTAAAGGGCCGCTTCATAGTGCATCATCCGGAAGTGTGGGTTCTCTTCCTCGCCCTCTTCCTCGCCCATATGCTAATACTTGCCTTCTCAGCTCGGAATGATTGATGGCGATTCTCTGTCGGTCCACCAGGAGCAGATTGGGGGTTTCTATGCTCATTCATACTATTGCAGGCTTGAGTTGGAGCACCCGGTCTCCGTCGAACATGTGAATGATCCAAAGTAATATTGCTTTCTCCCAGGCCCGGATTTTGGTGAGGGCATAACCCTCCTAAATCGGTCAAGCAGAGACGTGATCTTCCAGGGAAGAACCACTTGCCGTGCCTCACACACCTCAAGGTCTTCAGCAAGATTGATACGCGCGCCAGAATGTAAATAGATGCTGATGCCTCCAATACCTTGCGATGTACGACACTTAAGGGGGGCTCTTCAGGAGTCGTAGTTGGCCCTAATAAGGATACTTCCACGTTCAATACAATCAATCAGTCAAGATACTTATTAATTCTTAAGTTATATAAAAATCTTTAACTTATATGACTTACTTATTTAATTAGTATCGTTAAGTCCGATTAGTATATAATAGTCCGCTTTTTAATAATAATAATGTGGAATGGCTTCTCCATTCAATTCTTTCCGTACAGTGTGGGCGACAAATAGATCTATTCAGCGCTATCATACGAAAGGAAGAAGGGATTCTTCCCGTCGTACGCGATCTACAGATAGGAGTTTTGGCCTATACGGCTGCAAGCTGCCGACAGCCACGGTGTGGCTGTAGTGGCTTGCCGTCAGTACGCCGGTAACTAGCTAGACTATATGGTCGTGCGAGACCGCGGATAACCATATTCCAACAAATAAGTTATAATTACTATAAGTCAGGGTTTTAAATGTTCAAGATTTAAATACTTAAAAATAAAATCCGATAACATGTAAATATCCCTCGGAGTAAGCTGTAAATATTAACTAGTTTGATTGAAAAACGATCCGTTAGAGAAAACATCACATGCAAATACTTTGTCAGGAAAGCGCTTTAGCCTTCCGGTGTAAGGTTGCAGTAAACCGCACTAGAGGCTCCCGTGTGTGTATTCCAGGGGTGGTACGGCTGCTATACTGCACCATGGACCGTGCACAACTCACCGTCGCATGGTGCATAGGGCGGTCTTTTGTACATCACACGCTGCCGTGGGTTTGGTGTACGGCAACCCTGGCTCAGTGTTCTCATGGTTATTTGCAATACCCATTATAGACGCGCATGTGATTATTTAAAGTGGTATTTGCGAACCGTAATGTTTAACCTTGGAAATCCGTAACGGTGATCAAAATATGGACATACAAACTTATCTCGCTGAATTGAGGAGCTTATCGCTCGCATACTAATTTGTGGAAGGAAGATAGGGGAAAAGTACAGAGATCAGGGGATTGTCGTGTAACTCGCCCAGGACTCCTCGACAGCGAGACTTCGAAGGCGGAAGAGGGAGGCTATTCTCACTTTGTTCTCGACTTTACTATTCCTTGGCTTAGTATACTGACCCAGATCCAAACTGTACCGAGCGCAAGGCAGAGCTGCTCTAGGATAAAAGGATTATAGAAATTGTATTGTATTTATTGTCTATGAACCGGGTAAATAGACTAGCACATGATATTAGCAATGCGTTAGGCTTTACCTTTTTTTCTTTTCGTGCGAATATTGTGCTTATAAAAAAGGGTTTGCTCGATTACGTGCTTGTGACTTTCTGAATGTCTAACAGTATCTTTACGTAACTATCCTACGTTAAGGAAATCACTACACCGCTAGGTTCCATATCCGTATGGATTACCTATTTCTATAATGTATAAGACCATTGGAAAAATTCCGAGTGTGTAAGCGTTATAGTTGCTTAGTATGTGCCGTGTTATATGGAAATTCTAATTGCTCCTCGCCTAGGTGGAATAATGCATGCCCAGTAATACATAGGCTTTATCTATTCTATCCGGCACGTTCACGCCTATTAGCGCAATATTTAAAACAGTGTTGATCGACGCATATGTCAACGATACGGGAAGAACAGTCCATAGGTACAGTCTAGGAATCTTACGACGTTGAAAGTTAAGGTTGACTGTTAACGTTGACCATGGCAGTATTCAAAAGATTGAGTGCTCTCCGATGCTAGTTTACAACCCCAGTGTTTGGCTATAAGTAAAAATAATGAGATGTTTGGTTTGACCATGTCATAGCCCATGTGTATCCATGAGAGACGAAAATTATGATACAGAAATGTTAGCCTCCAAATAATGACACTATAAGTAATTTGTAAGAAATTTTGTGTAGGAACTACTCTCATTGACTCTCTGCTAGAGGAAACTTGCCGGTGCTTACTAACGAAAACAACTAAACCGATGAGCATTTGGAGTGGAAAGCCAAAAGAGGGTTTTGAAGACAATATACCACCCACTTTAACCCTCTCGATCGCCTCAGGAGCACGGCTTTCTAAGCGCAACACATTAATTTCTATGTCAGCCTTCTGCAACAACTGTGCTAGCGAACTGTAATACAGCATGATCACATGCGTTCAATATCTTATTGACGTATCTGTGACGGTTGCTGATCTTTGGAGGAGAATGACCTTTCGCCTATGCATACTGTCATATAAGAATTTGTTGGGACAACTAAATGGCAACTAAGAAGTATCTTATTTAAATATCCCTTCACATATTATTTGTTCGATCAGATTTGCTGCACGTAAATCATTGCAAAAACGTCGAGTGTTGGCCAACCCTGCCACTAATCTCGTGCATAAATTAATATTCTTTTTATTTTACCAATATCTTACTGAGAGGTTTAGCACTATCCATGCTATGGCCGTGCAAGGTAACAGAGGTATTGGGTCACCTGGGCTCAAAAGGTTGGCTGCTATTGCTGGAGCAGCGCTTCAAGCGGTGTCGAAGGCTGGTACTGCGATCGTGGGCGCCGCGATTCGAGTAGTGTCTGATGCGGACGAGAACCTGGCGACCGCCAAGGAAATATTCCACAAGGCGAGTAATAACGCAGTGAAAGGCTTGCTTTCCCAAGTGACGCGGCGCATCAAGGCGGTTGTTGATGCGACAGAAGCGCATGTCATTCTGACAACGGTAAGTAAAGCCTACTGTACAGGGACAGCGACTGTTGTGAAGAACGTGGCCTTCGAGGTCATAAGGTGCACCCTCGTAGCAATTGGTCAGACCGACCTTGAGCAGTCGCTCCTGATTTGGAAAGAAATACTCACCAATGAAGCCAATGAAGAGACGATAGAATTCGTTCTACAACACAAATCTGATTTCGTTTCGTTTCTGATCGACCAAGTTGAGCCAGCAAAGCTCTATGCCACGGCACTTTCCAACGATGGCCGTTCGACTGATTAAAATTTGCATGGGGTATACAACGATTACAACGAATCTGATCTGGGGAGGTCAATGAACAGGCATACTGTGATCTGTCAGCTACAACGCCTAGCTAAGTCGTTCTACCACATCTTTTAAGCAGGCAAGCTAGGGAAATCTCTCAACAATATGCCAATGAACACGAGTCTGAGGAGCGACTTTGGCGACAACGGAATTGTTATACTTCCACCATCACTTACCATCCGAGCTCCCGAAAATACCCCCAATCACGGCGAGCAATGGCTTTTCATCAACGGGATTGGTGGAGAATATTTCTGGCTTCAACTGTACTGCAAAAAGCTCCGGAACACCTTTAATAGGGATATCAAAGGTATCTTCAACAGGAGCGATGGTCTTTTTTGGGACTTAGTCGAGTTTGCAGGAGAGCGAGATGCCGCTGGGCAACAAAATCTCATTCAAAGGACATTGAGCAGCAGAGCCGCCCAGGATGCTCTGAACAGTGAATTGTCAGCCGTGTTTCAAAATAACCCGTTCAATGGTTTTATTGTGATGATTGCCTACCCCCAGGGATGCCTCTTGTTGAGGCTTGTGTTGCAAGACTTTGTCACGCGAAAAATATATCGGCATGCAATGAAAGTTCGCCTGAGAGTCTTCACGTTCGGTAACCCGAGTATCGACTGGATGGTTACAAATGCCGAGAATGAAAGGAGGCCTCTCTTCGAATTCGTCAACTACACCGAGCATTTCGCGAGTGAGGGATTTCGTGGCACGTCTCGGGGTGGTGAGGACGCCTACGGTAGCTGCCCCACGACAGACTGGCTACATGCACCAAGATTCGTCGGTTTTTATCAACGCTAGCGTTGACTGGATAGGTCACCTGTTCGGGACCCAGTACAGCCTGAGGACGCAAGAGTATGTGGATGGACACAGTTCCAAGTTGCTAACGGAAAGGCAATGGCGGCATGAGACCATGGACTGTAAAAAAGGTTTCCATACTTACAAGCAGTTGGCAGGTTTATTATGTTGAATGGAGATCTGGCTTTTATTGAATGGACCCAAAAGTTTCATATTATCGATAGTCTCTTGAAGTCGTGCAAAACGGCGAGCGTAAGGCCTAGATCTGGGAGCGCTGTGGCGGAGCGCTCTGTATTGAGATGGAAACTGCCGGGATTGATGCGGGCGGGCATTGTCTTGTGATCTGAGGTGTTTTGGACTACTCTGACTCGCACGAGAACGATGTATGGCGATCATATTACGGCGGGTGATGCCGCTATCTTTGCTTGAGAACTTCTAAGCAAGGTAGCACCCGGAATAGTGGCGGGGATGTAGACGATGAGTGAGACAGGTCAGTAGTCTATATAACACACTTTAGCAGACAGCAAGCACTCTTAGGCATTTGTGGTTCAAACTTTTTCTATGTTTGTTCCTGTATTTTTACTTGCCTAATGTAGCCCGATAGATTCATGCTTATATGAGAATAGTCCTTTTCGCTTTACCTCTTGCTCGAATTCAATATTTCCTGGCAGATCCACCAACGTACGGTAACGGCCGCCAGCAGAACTAACCATTCGTTGCTAGGTGACCATGAAATCGGTTGTGAATATATTCATCTTCACTTTCTTACTGGATTTGAGAAGTTATTTGCCCTGAGCTCGACCGCGAATTTGGCACACAACTCTTTTTCTTACACCCATAAATTTTCAATGCCCAGGCGACCTTTCCATCCTACACGGTATTCGGTATTTCCATTTCGTCTTCTATTGCGCAATTCCTTGCCTCCTTGTTTGAATTGTCTGTAAGTAGCCTCAAAGTCCTGTAGGAGCTGGTCGATTATATCAACGCGTGCGACCTAAGAACACGTGTCGTTAATGAGCCATCTCAACAAGAATTAGTCCATCTTCTACCTCTACTAGATGAATTCGGCAGTGAACTATTGACCGCTGATATTGTCTGCAATAATTGCGATATGACGAATATTAGGAAGTGCAAAAGCCAACTACATGAGATTAAGAAGCGCAGGTTTCTGTCTCTGTAATAAATGCTAAAATAGCGAAAATTAAACCAGTCCCCAATGTGCCTTGTAAGGTAGCGGATGCCATGTGGTTAGCAGCCGATTACGTGAATGATTATGGGATCTTCCGCAAGTCGTGGATCAAATCAGATTATGTCGCATTATGTTATTTTATATCACACATGACCGAGTTAGTATTAATACCGTAGGATGATGCAGTCTACATGAATACATGCAGAAATTTACGACAGGCATAAATTCTTGGTTGAGCTTGCTGAGTGTGTCACTAGATTCTACCTAAAGGAAATGCGCCACAACAACTAGACTAGGTACAACTCTCCGGTATGGACATATCAAAGGAACTAAATCTTATCATATGAGTCCTCTCCTCGAGAAAATAATATGAATCTTAGAAATCATGTGGTATCTTAGCCATGATATGTATTAGGGATATCTCGTACGAACCAAGATTTTCTATATGTATGCCGTCTAAGCTACAGGTAACTTAATGAGTTCAGCGATTGATACCAACATTGATTATAAATAAAACATGATATTAAACGCCATTTGAATTTCTTATATGTTTAGATGGTCTCAATCGCAACCTGTGCTATGAATCGCGTGTTCATGGCTTCAGCCCGATTCCGTATAATGTTAGGCGTTGATTGGAATGGTAGCGATGGACAAAGATGTGACGACAGATACATGAACAACTGGAACGTCGTATTTCTTCTTCCCGTACAAGTGGTAGTAAACAAAACCAAACAATAACCATGCAGCCATAACGACAGAAGAGTAATTCATATTCTGGGGGGTTAGGGGCATCATACTTGGGAACGTGCTGACGACCATGACCAAACCCATCCAGATAATGCTTATAAGGTTCAGAATGACCCCGAGCGGCTTGCCGAGCTTGAACGGTCCCCAATGTGTCGAATGAGTCTTTTTCCTTCCCCAGAAGAGCATGTAAATGATTGGCAACGTGTATGATAGATAAAGACCAATGATCGCCATTGACAAAATGGCATTGAATGCGGTAGTATTGCCGAGGTAGATGAAGCCGAGGAGAATTTGAACAAAGGTGACCAAAGCGACACAACGGCCAGGAACTTGGTGCTTTTTTGACACCTCGCTGAAGAAAACGTGATAAGGTAGAGCCTTGTCACGCGCGAACGCCCAAGCAGTACGTGACGCCGAGGCTACGCAAGCCACGTTCGCAGTTGCGGCGATGATGATGATAAGAAGAGACATTATTGTGGTTCCTGCCTGAGACTGAGTGACAGTCTGGTAGATCTGCATGAAAGGGAACCCTGTCGGCGTGGAAAGAATGTCGTCTAGGGAGCTAATGGAGTAAAGTAACACAATACAATAAGCAAGACCGAGGATTCCATTCACAGCGACACTTCCGACCATGGCGATTGGAACGTTCCGTGCGGCGTGAGGTATCTCTTCAGACAGATGGCATGCTGCATCGTAACTAAGAATACTATCAGTTTATGCTAATAAAATAGGCTTCGGTGCAATCGCTTACCCAAGGAATGGATATACAGAGCTCAACAATCCTACAAGCCATGAGGCACCACTTGATTCCCAGCCACTGTTATTCGAAAACTCAGTGAAGACGAACGAAGCACTATTCTTCGGCGCTAAGGCGATGAGAACGATGAGGATTGCGAGAAAGCCCGCCACATGAATTACGCCTAGACAGCGGTGATTAGCAAATGCCAAGTAGTCTATAAGTATGGAGCGGATGAACATGCCAGCAACTATATTCATCTGGGGTAGTGATTTAGGGCCCCAAATGTTGAGCACGCCCGAGTATATTACAATAGCCCAGTAGAATAGCATACCCTGCCACCGTTCGGGGATGTAGCTTTCGTCATTAAGAATTATGAGCGACTGTGTTTGAAGACCGGCAGCGAAGGCAGCAGACGCAGCAAAAACCATCTGAGCTCCTACTGAGGTCCATCCGGTAAAGTACGACATAAACCGGCGACCCGACGGAGGCGAGAGGGCGGCGACCCAGTAATACTGGCCTTCAAGCACATTGGTCAGTATCTTACTTGTTGTATTGTGCCAATATACTCACCTCCAGCGGTAGGATAAATGGAAGCGATCTCAGCTAATGAACAAGTGATGGCCAAAGTGCACAAGAAAGATAAAACGCTTCAGAGTTGTCAGTATGTGGGTCTTACAATAGATCGTACCGTCCCGATCACTTACTAGTTGTAGAATAAACATGGGGGACCGCCGCTGACCAATGCAGCAGAGACAACAGTAGAAAGTGCCTCCCATGTTGCCATAAGACACAGACAAAGGCATCCCATAGCTGGTAGCGAAAACGTTCGATCCAGCTCTTGGTCGTAACCCGCAGCTCGCAACGCTGCGACATCCGTATTGACTGTGGTCTGCCGCGCCAAGTCCGTCGAAAGGCGCAATGGGTCTGCAGCCCCTATCTTATTCTCGTATTCCTCCATTTTGAATTTATGCGTCATGGTCAATGAGACAATATTGAATGAGATAGATATTGTGCCACGATATTTCTATCAGAGTATGCAGGTATTTAGGAAAGAGTTGATAACCATGGTCAACCTCAATGGGGTAACCCCAACTTCTCAATCTCGAGACCTCCCAAGGCTGGTTCCTTTTTCGTCAGTCGCGATTGGACAAATCTTTCCTGTTGGAGGCGATCTCCACAATCCGACGAAGACAAGCTTCGTTCCCCATGGGGTAACCCAGGGTGGTATAGTTTGCGCTCAATTCCCGAAGCTGCCTGCAGGCTTCCCCGCACGCAGCGATTCCGAGATGCTCGGAATGCCGCCAAAGAATTGTCAATACAACGGAAAAAAATGATTTCATGATGGTCTGGAGCTAGTTAACAAGGTCGAGGGCCTAGATCGTCCCCACGATTACGAAGAAGGGGTAATAATAAGACGAGCTAGACCACAAGCGCTGGCATATAGATCGGAACGCTTGTTGCCTGCTTGATATGCAGAAGCTGCTATGTTAGTGCCGTCGGAAAGCTTCCAAATGATCAAATTTGTATGCTCACCAAGTAAGCGAGGAAAAATAAAATGGCCGTCAACTGTAAATGCAGGCGATTTCCGATGATAGGCTTCCGATGTCGTAAGTCTGAAGTCTTCTGAAATGCTGTGAGTATCTAGGACAAAAATCGGGCTTTGAGTGAGTTGAGGTTTACATTCGTAGGATGTTTTGATCAACTCGGCGGATATATGAGTTCCCCAACACCCGCAATTGCAGCCAATGTTGATTTAATCACTACAACAACCAATTCATAGAGCCGAGATCATGGCGATTGTATCATTCTTAATCGAGGTCCAAAGAAAAGCGGTAGAGCACACCTTACAGTCAACATTGCTATTGGCATTTGCTGTACCAGTCATCTACGTCGTCCTAAACGAGTTCGTTCGGGCGAACGCACGTATCTCCGGCTTGAAAGGACCCAGAGGTTTACCAATAGTCGGTAACATCTGGGACATTCGTACAAATGCTGCTGAGAAGTACCGGAAATGGTCAAAGCTCTACGGCGGTGTATACCAAATCCAACTTGGTAACATTCCTGTAGTCGTTGTTAACACCGCTGCGACGGCAAAGGTTATTTTCGGCCAGAACTCCCAGGCGCTAGCCTCGCGCCCAGAATTCTACACTTTCCGTAAGTATTGAGGCTACGCTTCCTTAGCACATTTCAACACCGGATTGATTGAAGGCTAACACCGTCTGTGCAGACAGGGTAGTATCGGATACCTCTGGGACTACTATCGGTACATCCCCATATAGTGACTCGCTCAAGCGACGAAGAAAAGGTGCCGCATCCGCACTCAACCGCCCATCCGTCGCCACCTATATCGAGCATCTTGATACGGAGTCTCGTGACTTCGTCAACGAGCTATATACGTATGGCAAAGCTGGAACAGAACCAGTCGACCCTATGCCCATGATCCAGCGATTGTCCTTGTCACTCGCACTGACCCTCAACTGGGGAACACGCATGGGCAGTCAGAAAGACGACCTCTTCCACGAGATTACGCATGTCGAAGAAGAAATCAGTCGGTTCCGTTCCACTACGGGTAATCTTCAGGACTACATTCCACTCCTGCGAATCTTGCCTTTCAACTCCCACTCTGCCAAAGCCAAGGAGATGCGCCAGCGTCGCGATATCTACTTAAATGACTTGAACAAGGGCCTCGATGAGCGTATGGCAACCGGAACGTACAGACCATGTATTCAAGCCAACGTGATGAACGACAGAGAAGCCAAGCTAAATACTGAAGAGATGACATCGATTAGTTTGACTATGCTTTCCGGTGGGCTGGATACTATCACAACTCAAGTCGCTTGGTTCTGCGCTCTGCTTGTTAACCGACCTGATATCCAGGACAAGGCTGTTTCGGAGATCCGGAAACTCTTTGGAGATGATAAGCCACTCTGCGACAAAGATGACGACCAACAATGCCCTTACATTGTGGCACTCGTGCGCGAGTCGTTACGCTACTACACCGTGCTGCGATTGGCCTTACCAAAGTGCTCGATCAGAGATGTGATCTACAATGGTGTCACTATTCCGAAAGGAACTGTCGTGTTCTTGAACTCCTGGGCGTGCAATATGGGTAAGTCGCCATCTGAACATCTGACACTGAAATCGCAATGATTACTGACAAGGATTTCCCACAGACGATGAGACATGGACTGACCCAGAGGTTTTCCGTCCTGAACGATACCTCGAGCAACCAGATGCACCCATGTTCACCTTTGGCATGGGTTACCGTATGTGCGCTGGTTCGCTACTGGCCAACCGAGAGCTTTATCTCGTATACATGCGATTGTTGAACAGCTTCAAGATAGAAAAGGCGGGTGAGATTGACTCTCATCCTTTGACTGGAAACTGTGATCCGACCAGTCTGGTGGCCATGCCTAACCGTTTTCGAGCTTTGTTTGTACCCCGAAATGAGAAGGCGCTGTCGCGAGCATTGAAGGCCTCGTCGTGAAGGGTGAGGGGCGATTGATTTCATCGCATGAGAGGAGCATTGCAACTGTTCATCGCATCAGATAGGCGTAAATATTGGAGTAATGAATATTATGAGCTTTTTAGTTATTTGTGCTACTTGTAAGTTCTTATCAAATGCAGCGTTGGTATTGATTATCAAATTGTCGCCTTCCGCTTCTGCGACAAGCTTTAGGTTCTGGGTGACCTGAGCCCGGGTGCAGGGGGGTGGCCAACTGGATGGATCTGCAAATACCCTGAATCCGCGAAGAACTTGGTTGCTCGCGAAAGTATTCCATCTGAACCTGTCATTTATGTTCCTCAAAAGACTATGAACCATTCAAATACAAATAAATTCTTCAGCTACTATCCTTCTGGTATGGCAGTTTGAAATAAGATGAACAACGAAACCATGTAAGCTGCTGGTGCCAGAGTCGCTGGATCCGTCAATCATCGCTAATCCTAGCAGAATAACGTCCTCGTACCTCCCATTATCTAAACAACTAAAGCTTTACAGGCAAAATGTTCCATTTGACCGTCTTTGTGACAGTCCAATCATCCAACGCCTCCTTGCCCGAGTCCCTCCCGTAGCCGCTCTCCTTAACACCACCAAATGGCGTATTGGCGTTGACGAGACCCCAAGTATTCACGGTGACCATACCTGACTCCACTGCCTCACTGACCCTGAATGCCTTGTTGACATCATTCGTGAACACGGCTGCGCTAAGACCGTAAGTAGAGTCATTCGCCTTCTCAATAACTTCCTCAATAGTGTCGAACCGCGCGATACTTGCGAGAGGACCAAAAATCTCTTCTTGCATGATCTGGGCCTTCTGGTCAACGTCCGCAAAGGCAGTGTTGGCAATGAAGTAACCATTACCCGGCAACTTCTCGCCACCATGAAGCAATCTTGCACCGGAGTCCCGCCCCTTCTGCACATATGATAAGATCTTGTCCAGTTGTGCTTTATTCGCAAGCGCGCCCTTGGTAGTCTCTGGTAGGAAGGGGTCGCCGTGGACGGCATCTCTGCTCCTCTTGCTAAACTGCTCAATGAACTTGTCATAGATGGAACTCTGGACATAAATACGGCTACCGGCAACGCAGACTTGGCCATTGCTGACAGTAATGCCCAAAGTCGTCCAGAAAAGTGCGTTTTCGAGGTCCGCATCCTCAAAAACAATGCTAGGCCCTTTGCCACCCAGTTCGAGCGAGACTTTCTTTAAATTCGTCTTTGCTGCTGTTGCTAGAATTTGGCGCCCGACACCTGGACTGCCGGTGAACGAAATCTTTTTGATCTTGTCATGACTTGACAACGCTTGGCCGGCAGTTGTACCTAGTCCAGTGATGATATTGAGAACTCCAGGAGGGAATCCAGCTTCCACCACGAGCTGTGCGACCTTGAGGCCCCAGAGCGGTGCGATCTCGGGTGTCTTGAGGATGAGTACATTGCCCACGGCTAAAGCTGGGGCGATCTTCCAGAAAGCGATCATCAGCGCATTCCAAGGTATAATTGCTGCGCACACACCAATAGGTTCTCGGCGAGTATATGCGAATCCCTGCGGAATACTGAGTGATGAACCGTCCAGCTTGTCGGCCCAGCCTGCGAAGTATCGCAGGTTGTCTACGGACTGCTGAATATGTAGAGTCTTGGACACCCCATAGAGGACGCCGCTCTCGAGGGCCTCTAGAGAAGCGATTTCGAGGCCATCACGTTCAATGAGGTCGGCAAGCTTGTTGAGCAAATCCCTCCGGACAGAAGCGTCGGACTTCTTCCATGTGACATATGCTTTCGTGGCTGATTCAACCGCGCGATCAACGTCTTCAGCTTGTGCAGCGGAGACGGTGGCCAAGTTCTTGCCAGAGCTTGGGTTCTCAACATCGACAGTAGCCCCACTTATTGCAGGGACAAATTCATTGTTGATGAAAAGGCCCGTGGGAACTATAATATCGCATCAGTGCCTTTATGCTTATTTTAATCTTGCTGCTTTCCATACCTGTTATTTTGCGCTGTTCAGCGCCTACGAGTGTTATTGTTGCCATGTCGATTTAGTAGAGATTTTGATGAGCGAGGACGATGAGGACCGCGCAATGGATGGCATCACTATTCCAGCCTTTTTACTTGTACATCCCAGAAGGATATTACCCCTCGCTATAACCCAAATCATTGGCATGACCAATGTCAGCATTGGGAAATTTGTGGCCATTGGGGTTCTCATGCTGCATTCCGAGATTCCGGGGCGTCCCTTAGCTCGACATGCTTAGTTCCGAGGCCAAGCACAAAAGCGCTATTCCGATCACCTGCGGCCGCCCTGCCCCATTTGGCAGCGAATAATGGATCGGCAGTCGCAAAGAGGTCTATAATCAAGTGCTAAGGTTAGATGCCTCAGTCATAGTTTTCGAAACACCCCACCATTCTGGGCGGACTTCCCACCGACGATGGGGCCGTCGGAACGAGTTGATGCACGAGCATAAAACAAGTATTTAGCTCGCATTATAGAGCCTCCTCACTGTCGAGACATCACACACATTATCTCTCCATTACAAATCAATCATTCGGAATCCATCATGATATCCCACAAGCGCATTGACCGTATCACACTGTTCAAGATTTCCAATGAGAAGGACCAGAACAAATTGTTGGAAATATACCGTCACATGCCAGAGAAAGCTGTAAAAGTGGGTTCGATTGGACCGCGAAATTAGGCTATAACACAGAAACTAACATATGTGCTAGGATGGAAAGCCTTACATACTCTCTGTCAAGCCTGGCCGGGCTTTTCCGGATCAAAGGGCTCAAGGTTACACCATAGCGGTAGTCTCACAATTTTCGAGTATATCGGACATGCAATACTACGATAACGAATGCAAGGCACATGTAGAACTCAAGAGTTTTGCAAAGACGGTGCATCAAGGCGCAATGATGGTTTACTACGAAAGTATTTTGGATTGAGTAGTGGTACAGTGGCAGCCAGCCAGAACACATGCGCCGACCAATCAAAAGTATCACTTAAATAAAAATTGAACATCTATCTTTGATAAAATTCTTTGTATTATTTTTACTTTTATTGTTTATTTTCTAAAACTATCTTTTTCTTTTCTTATATCTATTTTATCTTTAGTTAATGTGCTTCCTTTCTATGGTACACAATATATTTCCGCCATTTGGCCCAGAGAATTTACCTTCCAATGATGATGGTCTATAGACTGAAATCCTCACAACTCCTGATATTGACCTCATCCGTGAGATAATATGAAGATATTCCTCAATGGGTTCCACTTCTTCACTTACGCACTCCGTGGCTTCTAACTGAGCTCCTTCTCTTAGGTCTTCTGTCAAACATTTTCTAAAATCTTGCTCCCATCTTGACCAATCTACTGGCCTCCGCTGTCTCCACTCTGTAGTGATATCGAAGGACGAGAACTTTAATTTGACAGCTCTGTTCTCAACAGTTCCAACAAGAAGTGAATGGCGGCATTCTCCCCTGCCTTCTCCGAAAGCACCGAACACGGCCTGTATCTTAGTCTGACCCAATTCACTTTCCGACAATGGAGGCAGTTCAAGTCAGAATACTACATATAAGCTTCCATGATGATAAGTGGAGGATCACATCATTGACTTTCGTATTAATGCCTGCATTGCCAGTTATAGAGCGACATCCACAGATCAGGTTTACACGCTCCCAACTGCCAGATGATAATCCAGAGAATACCGTCGGTTCTTGCGAACCTGTTGTGTTGACGTTCAGGATACTATTCTCTGTAGTCAGATGTGAGGCTCTCTTCATCAAACTACCCCACTTCTAAATTTGTCCACTTGACTCTCGCAGATCTTCATGGAAATAGAGTGGTGCTAGGGTCTCCAACTTATCTGGGACTGTACGTATCAAAAGACAGACCTTGATCTTGGTGAATTAGTACGAAATTCTTTCGGACTATGCACCTGCCTAATTAGAGGCGCCAAGCCGCCTAGCGCCGCCAGTGCCTACAACCCCGCTTGCACGAAGCCAAGAAACATAATATATTCCAGCCCGCTCCACATTCTCATAACCCATTTCTGTTTAGTATCGACTTGTTCCTGAGACCTCAACGCTGCTAATCGTCTTCTTTTCCCTTCTGTTTGATTGTTTTCTCGTTTTCTTCGGCCGTGAAATGCTGTGATTTGGCACGGCCCACCCAGGAGCATGTGGGAGACTGAGGAGCTGACCTGGAGGCCGAAAAGTGGAGGTATTAGGTTTCTGGTTGGTCAGATCGATGAGAGTGCCTGGCAAGGTTGGATAACGAGTGCAGGTCTCAATCGATAGCCGTCTTAATGTCATAATAATATTTGGAAGGTCTGAAAGGGTGACTCATTCAGCTGATGAAATATCAATATATAAGGGGGCGCGTCGAGTGTCCTGGATAGAAGAAATAACCAGACATCATTCACTCTTGAGCATTTTTCTCTTTGCAATCCAAGAATTTTCCCGAATCCTGAACCCTACACTTTGCCATCTCTGCTCCTTCCAAATGGCTACCATGAGTATAGATGATGAGAAGAGACTCACATTCGTGCGCAATCTTCTTGAAGAGCAGCTGAAACTCAAGGTTAGTGATGGTAATATCGAAGAAGGATCCGCGGGGACTATAACAGTAACACTTTTGATCAGGTATCTACCATCACGACCCTCGGTCGCTCGTTCAACAACTACGCCTGGACAGCCGAAGTTTCCCTCAAATCCGAGTCCCATGATGCTGGTCCAGCAGTTGAAAACCTCCAACCAGGCACGACAGCCATACCCGCCGATATTGCCAAGGTAGTAGTACGCATAGGAAACCCAGCGGCAGCACTCAATGAGTCCGTACGCTCGCAGAACGAGGTCGCTGCGATCCAACTCGCCCGCAGTGCCTGCGCCGGATATGCGAGAAAGATCATACCGGATATTTACGGCTGGCGTAACAAGAGCAAGTCCGATGAATATGGCTGGATCATCGAGGAGTTCATGCCCGGAGAGCAGCTGTCAAGTCACTTTAATGATCTGCCAGCGTCCGCACAGCAGGATCTTTTGAATGAGATGGCAAGTATTTATAAATGCATCACAAGCTATAAGCTTCCGTCTTCCATCAAGGGATTCGGAGGCTTGGGATATGATAACAAAGGGGAGTTGATTGTAGGGCCCATTATCTTTGATTTCGGTGGTCCTTGGGCGAGTTATGATGAGATGTATAAGAAGGCCATGGACAAACAGCTAGCGCTCGCGGATGGCTCGGCGCTATTTGACGGATGGCGTAGGAACGGACTCAGGGAAAGACTGGAAATGTTTCGTGCTGAGGGCATGGGAGATATTCTTGCCAAGGTGACTGACAAGACCCCTACACTTGTTCATGGTGATTTCGGTAGGTACATCTCATATCACAAATTCCTGGGTGTTTTTGTCGTCGACTTAAAGCTAACATTTGAACATAGATTTGCTCAACATGATGTTCGACCCTGCAACTAACACGATCACTGGCTTATTAGACTTTGATTTTGCGCATATCGCTAGCCCAGCAGACGAGTTCTTCTATTCCTTCGGTGAAACCCGTGGGCTTGTGACCGCCATTTTCGAAGAGAAAATCGAGGTCATCAAGTTACGACAATTTCTGATAGGTGAAGCGGAATTGTCTCAGCTTGCACCTCCCCTTGTCGATTCTTTGTCAACAAGTACAGATGAAACACCTTTAGCAGAAGCCAGCATAAAGGAAACCGATGCCGGCTGGTCTGATGGCATCGGAATCGATTGGGCACTGGCCGCGAAATGGAACACCGCTCTTATTACCGCTGGAGCAACGAGACCCCGTGATCTTGATGGACTTGGTGAACTATCAAATTTGTATTGGTTCATACAAGAGGTGTGTTCGCCTTATATGTTGATGCCACGGTGGCTGGCGCGCTTCAATGAACAAGAGAAGCTAGAGAAGGTTGCAAATGTTGAGAAAAGACTCGTCAAGTGTTTGGAACACTGGGGTTATTAGGCCTGCACATAACGTTACCATGGCTTCATGGCTACAACATCCGGTCGTGGAAACTGGCTGGAGTGGTGCTGCGATGGAAAGCCCTCGGTTGAGTACAAGAAAGATCAGCCGTGCCTTTTGAGTTACGCTAAAGTAAATGCTTTACATTTTGACGGAACCATATCTAGTCCGATAGTAGAAAGTAATCGTTGAAGGCTATTTTCTTTCATCTGAGCCTTCCATTATCATTTGATACGTGAGCCGGGCACTTTGTTCTGCCAAGACAAATACGGGTAATTATGTTCCACCGAACCTGATTGTATTCGTCCGTGCTGATTAAGTATTGCGCTGAGAGCGCATGGTTGGGTGGGGACTGTGGGGCGGGGGCTGGAGCTGACGCAGCTGGCAGGTGGCTTTTCACGCACTTCGTACTAACCTAACCAGTTAGTCTAGACTACACCAACGGTTACATACCTGACGATGACTGTCGGTTGCCTACAGCGAAGTGCAACTCCAGAAGGCTCGAAGTGTATAGCACGCCGATGCTCACGTCAGGTTTAAGCAAATCTATATATCAACCGAGTTGCTCACCTGCATTTCGTTCGCCAGGGGCAGCTCATTATTATTTCGGGATTTGACTAGCCTGTAGCTTCGCACCCCACATTTATCATGTCGTCAAGCCTCCAAGCCGACGCTCAATACGAAACCACCATCAGGGGTTTCCTGAACCGGCAACGCACGATACCCACGCCTCTGCCTGGAGATCTGCGCGTTACAGGTCAAACTGCCATCGTCACAGGGAGCAATGTGGGCCTTGGTCTTTCAGCGTCCCGGCAGCTGCTGGGGCTCGGGCTTTCCCATCTGATCATGGCTGTACGTTCACCAGCCAAAGGCGAGGCGGCAGCGAGTCGATTACGCAAGGAGTTTCCTGACTCACAGATTTCCGTCTGGATCCTCGATATGGAGTCGTATGACTCTATCCGCAAGTTTGTAGAGCAGTGTGCCACTCTACCACGTCTAGACATCGCAATCCTCAATGCCGGGGTGATGACCTTCTCATACAAAACTGTTGCGGACACGGGTCACGAAGTCTCAATGCAGGTCGACTATCTTTCGACGGTGTTTCTGGCCCTACTGCTTATCCCAGTCCTCAAGTCTAAGAAAGTCCCTCACGCTTCAAGACCACCGGTGCTCAATATCGTAGGGTCCGACATGGCGTATTGGGCCTCTATGAAGACAAAGGAACCAATCTTGCCGCAGTTCGATGATCCTAAAACTTTCAGCTCGGCCGCCGCGTACGGCAACTCGAAGCTGCTATTGATATTTTTCGTGGCTAAGCTTTCCGAGCTTGTTAAGCCAAGCGATGTTTTACTCAACCTGTCTAATCCTGGAATGACCAAAGGAACATCCTTCGGCCGCGACGGCAACGTGGTCGTTAAGAAGATCTTTGATGTCGCCAAGTTCTTTTTAGCAAGATCGGCAGATCTCGGTGCTTCTATATACCTTGACGCAGCTTTGACGCGAGGCGCTGAAAGCCATGGGAGCTTCATCAGTGATTGGGCCATCAAGCCGTACGTGTATCCTAAATCCACGAAGTCTTCATAGCTATGCACTAACAACCACAGCTTTCCGCCGGTTTGGTACACGGAAGAAGGACGGGAGCTGGGTGCAAGACTTTGGGATGAAACTATGAAAGAGTTGCAACCTGCCGGCGCCTCACTACCTGAGAAATCATGAAGAGAGAACGCGGAAAATGCCGTGTTTTGTAATTGCCTGTAATTATTTTATGGATTGATTTTTTTCTTTGGTGAAAAGCGACTTTTCCTCTAGAGGATCTGAATCAGGATTAGCTGAGCATGGGCTACGATGATAGCCAGTGGTTTAGGTGGACTCACTCAATGTGAACCTGATTAGATGGCGCCCAAAGTGCTGTTGGTGAGACTAGACTAAAAGGAAACTAATCAATCATGTCGCTGCGTTTGGACCAAACTCAAAATACGTGCTGGCGCTCCTGGCTCTCTTCACCAAGATGCTTCAAGATATCTAAGGGTAAAGTATTGGGATATTGTTGAACTGAACAGAGAAGACCTCTCCAGTTGTACCCTATCTATCTATAGGAGCGAACTATGTACCTAAACATAGATGACGGCAGACAGGCTTTAGTCACCTGACTGTGACACATCTCGGCTATATCTCTAACAAAAGAAGTTCGGTAAGAACTCTTTCCGTGCTAGGCCAACGGGTGGGCCGTCAATTACTCGCTGATGTTGTCACAATTTCCTTCTACTGGAAATCGGGGCCGGAGGGTGTATATGTACTTGTTGACGAGCCTTTACATTGTGAACATTTTATGCAAAGTTTTTTTCATACTTAACTTGTTTCTCTTCATGCTTGTAGGAGCCTTCCAACGTCCTTTTTCCAGGTAAGCTATAATATAGGAGTCAAAAACTAAAATAAAAACTCAAAGCAATGTGGGCCATTATCCGTATCATAAATCACGATAGTGTTATGGTTCCTCGTTTTGGTACGATTCTTAATAACACCTGAAACGAGACGGGACACTATAAAGTTTTAGCACACGTAATCTGAACTAACATCTCAACGACGGAGAACATCTTATCCTGACTCTATTAATATATACCAATTGATTGATTTTATGTTGGAATATAATACCCTTGCATACTTGCAAAATTGAGCATGCTCAATCATTCGACTATCCCCAAGGACCCCTCAGATTTCATGTCTCATTTCGTCTCCTTGAGCTTAGGCGTGGCTCCTAGATTCTACCCCTAGCGAATGTCCGACATTCGTGGCTGTCTCTTATATATAGGGTGAGCTATCCCAAACAACTAATGTCCAAGTCAGCCACAACGACTCTGAGGAGGATGCTGTCTCTGCATCCACTACAATCAACTCCCAAAGTGAGCCTAAGTGCCTACACCAGGCTTATTAATTGAGTGCCGTGTGAATCGTTGCCATGTGTATTTAAGTTTATATCAGTATTATGCACTGTATTAGGGGGAAAATATAAATACCCAATATTGATAGAGTCAAAATGAGATCTGTTCTATGCCTCGAGCTGGGCTAGTCTGAAATCTCTGTTCCGCCTGCGCTACTATTGGTTAAGAGCTTCTTGTTGTAGATTAAAGGTGCTGGTTAGTGTGACTAATGGGTCTCTCCCTCTCAGCTCAATGGATGAGACGCTGTGCAGTTTTAGTGATAACAATTAGCTGTGGCTGCTGACAACGCTTTTATGATCATTGTTTCGTATGCGCTTATATTACACTAATAAGAGAAGGCCAAAATAAGTAGAGCTCACTTCGCCTGCGTGTACACGGTTGAAACGCAGTCAATGCACTGGTACAGATAATCCAAGCACTATTTTGAGTTGTCGCTGGCCAATCAACACCAGTTATTGCCGAGGCAAAACTCCGCTGTGGGAGTGATAGTTCATACATATATTCTCATGTAGCGGTAATATTGTCTTGTTTGGCGTATAAGGATATGAGACAACTGTTATCTGGCAACACATCTTATGAAAGCGTCATGGGGAGTTGGGATGGTCACGATGAGATCACCAAACGGGATTAGCATTCTTATAGCATACGACGAGAGGCGCTAGATGTCTCCGTACATAATGTCCGCATCATAATTTATCCTTGTAATTTGTGCTTAACTGCCACAAATTTTGCAACTTGAGCTGAATGAGCTAACCGAAATTGCAGACCTGATGAAGCACAGTAGCCGTTACAGGGGCTGACGCTGATACTGCTATTAGCATTAGCGTTAGATCAGATGGCCTATAGACGAGGAATTTCAATGAAATCGAAGTCTTCTAAGCTACCTACTGGAGGCAACCTGGCGCGATTACAATCGGGATTTTAGTTACGTACCTCTTGTACTAAAACTCTATACGAAAGTGTTCTTTGAAGTGATAGGTGGTATGGCTAAGGAAGTTTATTACTGACAAAATCATAGCTTGATCGAATGTTAGGATCATTCTGTGGTCCATTGCGTATTTTATGCCAACAGGTGTGGGAAAACTGGCAACTGATGATGACACATTCAACCGGAACCCCCCTCTCAGCCCGAAGGCTATCCGATATACCACTCAATTGTGTGTCATATGTTTTATCAGACCTTTGACCTTTGCGGCCAAAGGATTTGGGGGTTGAGAGACTAGAAATCGCGCTATTCCTCGGCAATCCAAACAGATCATTTGCCGCCCATGAGTTGTCTCTACAGGCAGTAATGTAAACCTCGTCGCACACGCGAGCAGTCTTATACCTGTCCGCATGTGGGCTTTGTTTGCATTTGTCTCATCCTTGAACATTATGTCGATCCTGACGTTGCTATCGGTGGGAAATTGACATGCTAAATTCACGCTCGAATTTATGGCCACTCTATGGTTGCAATACCTTTTATCCACATAATCTTCGGACCTCACAAGACACCAAGTTGTTTTTGAGTTATTTTTTGAGCCTGAAGAGATGCTATTTGCCCAGGTGACGCCTGTTACATTGATTGATGTTTCTACTTGCATGACAGAGTCGGCAAGCAATTCCCGAGGCCCGCTGAAATGGCCATCAAGGTCCTCATAATTGTTGGCGCCAAGTAGCACGACGGACATCAAGGGACTCATCCAACATCAATCAGCAATAATAAATACTGGACGTCAAAATTTGATGTATCTGGTAAGTGAAATTTTATAATGGTAATCATGATGATGAGTTCTTGGTCTAAAATTGAGGACGTCGACCATCACAGGTGAAATATCTCTCATTGTTAACGCTTCGATACCGGTGGTGGTAATATCCCGGAGCTTTCTCGCGCCTTGTTTACTTCTCCGCACGAGTGGGATCTTCATCACGACCCCCAAAGTCCCACGTCGCCGCCCTTCTCACAAAGATGTAGACAAGGACATCGAACGACCCTTAGTCGGTTGGTTCTTCTCGGTCTGGACGGCCCATGATGCATAGTCAAGTGATTATACATGCCTGGGCCCAAGTCAAACTGCTCGTCTCACTTTTACATTCTTGAATCCTCAGACAGTGTCTAGCGGGCAACTTCAGCTCAAGTTCACACTGCCTTCTTATCAGGCTCCGTGTTAGCTCATAGCAAACACGTCGCCGCGCCAAGCGCAGGGGCATTCACATGTTGTCTAAGTGGCATTCCATTCGCTTGAATGGATGAAATATGGTGGAGCCGAGAATGCAAGCCGGCCCGCTAGTAAGGTGGTCTCAACTGCATCTGGCATAGTTCTCGAGCCTTGGTCTAGCCGGAACACCACCTTCTCTCAACCGCGGCCAGTCCCGCCCCCCTATCTGGCACCATACGACCAACGTAAGCTTCGAACACGTTCGACGGCCTCTTATTCGCCGTACTTCACACCCTTACTGGTGCCCATGACCGAATACTCACGCAAACAGTAGGTGTTTGTCAGACTGGGCGTTCCCGTTGCCTTGACATCATTGGACCGGCTGGGGTGATAAGACATTCAATGGGAACACAAGTGCGGGGAATTAGGATCCAGCTTTTCGGGCTTGGCATAAACCAGCTCATATCATGAGAAAGGACGGAAAATGTCACCGACAAGATGCGAAGGAATTGGGACATTGAGAGAATCCTGGGCGGGGTATCAGGCTGGATCAAACAAGTATTTAAGGGTGTGTGATTTCAGGTTGGTTAAGACTCCTCGAACAACCAGATCGCAATCTAGCCACACACATCCAGTCAATCACTCAGAATCTAAAGCCACTCGTGCTTCTCGAAGCTACCAAAGCCATAGCCAACATGCCTGCCTGGTACGACACGACCACGCCTACATGACTTGAGAGTCGAAGAGCCTCATGTTCTTGGCGCTCCAATCATACCCAGATTATAGTCCACTGACAACTCACTCTCTAGCTCCTGCTCATCTTGCTCCTGCTCCGGCTCTTGCTCCGGATGCTCCTGCAGCTCCTGCGGCGTATGTCAACCCTGGATGTAACAGTGACTCTCACTGACACACTGCTTTTTAGCACTAAACCGCTCCATGGAGATTTCTATACTCCTTGCTTACCAATATCAAGAGCGTTCAATAATTGGATGCAGGTGTGAAACCAAGGCTCGTCGTATTGGAAGGTGGAACAGTTCGAAGTGTGTTTGTCTAGTCACTCATTGTCATGAATTAATCAATATAAAATTGTCTTCGCAATATTTTAGATGTGTCTTTGTTCTACTCAGGTTAGAGCTTCTATCGTACTTATAGTATTTCTTAAATCCGTGAGTGGTTCTGTAGTCCACCCAACGTGGGTTTCCCTATCCCTTAACTATTTCCGTTTTCTTGGTCAACGCGTGTTATACTTCTGTCACGCGGGTTCTCAACACTCATTCTTCGCTTGCGTGCTTACTTGACTCTAGAATGCTATTCCTTGATAGATATTTGGTGGTTCAAAAACTCTTGTCGCTAACCCACCACATCGGTCAGCCGGGCAACCTCGGCCTCCTATGCGCGCAGCCTCTCCTTCAAGTGTACTATATCTTTTTTCAGACCGGCCTGTTCATTTCTCCATTTCTCCTCATCGTTTTTCCACTCCTCGAGAAGGCCCCGTGCAGCCTCAAGAGGGCACTTTGGGGCCAGCAAACTTCATGGACGGCTGTGTCCCTCAGCAACATCCTAGTCGGCTTACGCGCGCGCTTGCAGGAAACAGAATGCTGGTACAGGTTCAGCATCTTGGTCAGTGAAAGAAGCAGCTGGGGGGGGGTTTCATATTCATCGCCCAAAATCGGGTCATGTCGTCAATGAGCTGGTGCAGTTGAGTTTTGACTCCGATTTTTTTGCTTAACTTTGCTCTCATGACCAGTAGGAAGTGAACGCGGTATGTGATACTCGGTTGGTAAAAGTTTCAAACAAAGTCACAGCTTGCGACGGGGCGCTCTAAGCTAAAGTTGTATACTTGCAGTACTCCTGCATATTGACTCTTCGGTAAAATGATTGAAAGCGAGCGTGGATTTGGAAGAGAAATAAGAAGCTTCGTGATAACTTCTCCTAGGGCAACTGCTATTATGATTGATTTGTTTGTTATTTATTTATTTATATCGTGCCTATAAGGGCTACGACACGGTGACGTTAGCTAGATCTTTTATATCATATTTACCTAGAAGCCAGCTCCTGTCTCAAAGACATTGTATTCCGCGTCGGTAGCTGCACGGTTCGACTTATATACTCATATTCCTGGTGCCTACTCTCATCCATTTGACACTAGGTTCCGTGGTCGCGTTGCTTGCCTGGTATTTTCTTTTGGTCCGCGTCCGTGAAAGTTTGAAGTGTGCGTAGAATGATGCTTTTGTGGATGACGGGTTTAATGATTTAATACCCGTGTGTTCGAGATATTGGATTACTGTGAATTTGATCCTATTGTTACTTATAGAGTAAAGGTGCTTTCGGTGTAGCCGTTTAGGAAGGGCTAGTGGGTATGTGGGTTTGTGTTGATGTGTGATTGAGGCAAAATTGGATTTCGCGTCACTTTTTGTAGAGGTATGCGAGATTGTCAGGCTTTTTGAGTCATAGTATGTAGCTATAAGTTCGTGGAATTTACCATCTGCATACATAAATTACTTGTTGACAACAAGTATGAATGTAGTCTTATCCCCAAAATATAGAATTTGGACATCATCATGGCAAGAATTTCCCCGCCGCTTTATATACCATAGTCTACGGATCAGTGACACGAATGAAAGCTTTGAGACTTTTATACTGTAGTTTTAATACTCCGCTTATGTTAATAGTCTCAACAATCGGTTTCTGTTTACTGAATTTTTCATATTTCTGCGAATTAAGGGCGGAATTGAATCCTGCTTATGCATGGCAATGATATATTGAGACGGAGAGCAATAATAGCTACTGTACAATTGCAGGTCATTCATCACAACGTGGTTGGGAATAAATAATGATATTCCTTTCTATGCCCTTTCTGACTCGTGGAACCGCTCACTGCCATATGATTTCTTCAGCATCATCTGTGTCATGATGTCTTCCACTATGTATGCGTGCTTTTTGAAGCTACTATTTCTAACCTTCAACACATATTGTGTCTTAACCTAAAATATCTACTTCCCCCTACAACCTATATCGTAATGTTTAACCAGTGATTGCAAATCCAAATCGAATGCAAACGGCTCGCAAGGCCTGTTAGAATAGCGATCGCAGTTTTTAGTGCTAAAACTCCAATATGGTAGCGCTGTGTTCATTCTTGAATGCAATCATTCATTCACCAGCGGAAGTGATCATACAAGTTCATGCAGGAAGTAGAACCTTGATCTTGTTTAAGGCCTAATGATATCGCTTTCTTCATGAGATGATGGCTATTTCAATTGAAATATCCCTGGATCAACGTATTCACCACAAATTAAGTTTTCAGCAGAATATTCATAGCCCGCTTCATCTACTAACTCAAAGGCCGCTCCGCACTAGAGTTACCTGTACCATGGTGACGTGATCACTTGTCCGCTGGTCCATGTGTAGGAGGAAGAAACATAGCATACGTATTTAGATTACGCTAGGATAAGGTTTTATTCCCCATCGCAACAATGGTAGCATTACAACCCTCACAGCGTGCTAGGAGGTTATGGCTAATTCCAATGTTGCGGATGCTTGAGATCGTACATTTCCTGCTCAAGCCTGGAATTGGTCTCCTCGAGTGCCTTGATGGTCTTGGTAAGCTGCCGGTTGGTTGCTTCTAAGTCTTCAATCTCTTTGTTCAATTCCTTTCTCGTCTTCGTCAATTCCATATTCAACGTCGAGAATTCATCATTCTGGCTTTGAAGCATTCTACTGGCCGCAAGAAGTCCCAAATTATCCTGATGAAATGTACGATTGGCGCTAAGGAGCTCTCTGTTCGAATTTCTCAGATCTCTGTTCGTTTGTCTCAGCTCGTCTAACTCCTCAGATGTACTCATGGCGATGTTGTTGAGAACGTCAAGAACGGACTCAAGGGAAGTTCTTCTGATTGCTTGATTCACGTTACTGTCAAATTCAAGACTACCCTCTATCTTTCAATCAGGTCTAGAGCTTGAGATAATATTGGTAGCGAATTATTTTTCGAAAAGGTTGTCCTTGGCGGCGTTCGATGGCTGAATTCCTCGGATCTTGGCGGTTGTTAGATGAGTAGCACCGTACGTTTTGTTCCTATTCGGAGGAAAGGTGAGCTTTTTCGCTAACGTCTTGCTGAAGGTAATGTATTATTCAATTGTTATAATAAGCAGCGAAGTGTTGGTGCGGGAATTCATAAAGCTTCTGCACTTGCTGTATCTCTAAGGAGGTCAGCGAACTCGATTGTTTAGAAAGGATCGCGGACAACATGGCGCTTATGGAGAATTTATATTGTCAGGGCAGTTACACAGACCGTGACTATGTCTGACTGTGCACTGAATACTACTTACTCTTTGTTAAATGGCTGTGGCTTAGGCATCTCGTCACGTTACGACTGTCAAAAGTTTAAAACTGTTTAGTTCGATATTGCTTCAATCAGCTAATTAGCTTGCAGTTGTGTTACTTATACATTGGGCTTCTAGGTGTTCCGAACGGTGGACTCGAAGGAAGCAGGTTTTGTGTTTCACCTATAGCGATTCTCGTGATCTACATCTGTCGCTTCTGGCATTCTGAATACATGCATGACCACATGAAATATCACTAACTGTAGTTAGGTTAAATCATGGCGTCCCTAGAAATTATAAACGTAATGTCAGCTAGGTTCTGCTCATAGTTTAGGGAGCACCTCGAGGATCTACCGTGAGTAGATTTTCTTAGAGGCCTTACTATGGCTGCGTTGTGATGAAGAGGCTTCTGGCTTAGGTGGCCATTGATGCGCTGAAACTATGAATGCATGTTCTTGGTCTACGGTTTAAGGAAGTCTAGTGCTAATCTGGACACGCTCGAAGCGTCACGGCTGGTGGAGCGCGTTAGGATGAAGACGAGGTGGCTCATGACTATAGGACCAGTAGTGATATCGACGCTTGTGGCATTGTTGTAATTGCTATTGAGAGAGACCCACTTATATATCTAAATCGAGCTTTCATTTAGGCTCTTCTACTAGATGACGCAAACTAGACTGGGCAACGCTACTAAAAATTGGAATTTTTGCTCAAGATCACTGGCAATCATTTTTATTCAGCTCTGCATTGATTGTTATACGGTCGTCACACTTGGTTGTCTCTATGGGCGAAGCATCAATACATATGCACTGCTTAAAGCGCAACAGTCGTCCTTGGCATAGTGCAGTCTGCTTCGTTCTGTATCTACGTATGTTAGTGGAGTTGCGATATGCTCTACACCATCTATACTCAATCTGAATCATACTCTGACAATTGTATTATAATACCACAATTTGAATCATCACTGAAATGTGAGCAATGAGTCGAGTACGATAAGAAGGTTAATTATCAGCTTTTAAGCGCAAGATCGTACGCTATGAGTCATTACGCAGCACTATATAAATGAAAGTTACCTTCAAAAAGTATTTGCAATTTATTCCACGGCACCTCTGTAAATCATCAAGATTCGAAACTCAAGCCCAAAACCCGATAAGTAGTTTGACACAATGGCTGCGCTTATGTGCCCAAAAGTGTTTGACCTTTCCCAATACCTACGCCTGAAGACAAGAGTGCTTCTGCTCCGATCACAGGTACTCACCCCGGACTATCTCATGGTGAGGTACTAAAGGCGCACAATACCGCGCCAAGTCCGTCAGGAACGTACAAAATTTCCATCTCGCGATCCAATGCGCGACATCGCGGTCGATATCTACCATTCTCCGGGATACACCTTGTGCGCCTTGGAACCTACACCAGTTCTAGCTACATGGCCCGAAAGTAGTTTTATCATCACTGCATAGGCACCGATAATTACTTTTGTTCTCGCATTGCAAGCCTGGCTCGGATCACAGTTTTCAATTTCGATTACAGGAAGGCTCCGGAGCATCCATTCCCAGCAGCGCCAGAGAACGTGGAGGACGCACTCCGGTGGATCGCATCGCAAAGGTAATTTAATTCCCAACGCGTCATAGTAAGTAGCTTCGGCGCCGGTGGCAACCTCGCTCTGGTTGCATCCACCGTGATCAGGAAGAAGCTGTTGGATATAATCAACATACAACTCGTGGTCGTCGCTCGGCCCACTACGGATATGACCATCGCTCAAGAGGATATAAAGACTCCTCCTAAGGCAATTAATAAGATGACTCTAGAGATGCTAGAGTTTCTTTTACGAATGCTATGTTCCTAGCCAGGAGACAAGACGAAGTCCTTTCGTGTCGCCATTATTTGCTGACCCTGCAGATTATCCCGATACCACGGTCATTATCACTGCTGAGGGTGACATTTTGGGGCCTGAAGCTGTTGCGTTGGCCGACAAATCAAGCGCGAATTGCCGCAATGTTTCGAAGTATATGTTCATTAACGTCGGGCGCCGGTTTTACAAGGACTTCAAAGAACTCGGTGGTGAAATGACGAGGCTAACAGAAATGATAATAATTTACATCAAACATTTACTAGAGTCTCTATAGGATCACCAGATGGGGCTACCCACTTCAGGTGACCTTCAAAGGCCAGATCTGTTCTTCACCGTTACCCCACACTCTATCAATAGACCTACTATTAATCACTATGCATACTACGTGTATATTAATCTCTCATAGTATAATGAGAATGATGAAGAGTTTGGAAGGTGTTTCATATATATTGTAGTCTCTATGAGCTCGTTGTGTGTTGTGTGACCAAGGGACAGTATGATGATTCCTACCTGAGTAAACCTTGTCTCTACATCCTAGTAACACCAATGGTGCTGCGGATGATATTTTCAGTAGGAGTAGTAAAGATTAAGCGTTAGTATAAGAAATATTGTCTGCCAATCTACTATTTCATGTAAGCTCAACTCGTGTAAGGATGCTCCAATGATTGGAAATTCATGTCCACAATACCGCTCAACAGGTCAAATATAATCATTCCATACGGAACTCTTCAGTAGACCTCATTACTCTAACATTGCCTTGACATGCTGCTCCTTCTTATTCCACCAGTTCAAGTTCTGGTAAGTTTTAATATACCGGCTCATTTCTTAAAGTCTAAATGTGCGACATTCTATAAAATCTGGAACTGCGGAAATTTTATATTATAGAGTTGCTGCGAGCTAGCGCCGCCTCATACCATTCGTCCGCCATAGGCGTTTGAAGGTCTTGAGATCCACCAACTAACCTACGTACGAGCACCGTCGTTCGCCTTGTGAGTGAAATGGAAGTGAAGCGCAATGATGTAGAAAAGGACAAGACATGGGGTTTCTAAGCATTGATTACCACATGCTGAACATTGCAAATTCCAGAAGAACGTAAAGCGAACGAATCTCGGCTTTGACATTGTCACTGTCGGAAAACAGCCTAGCACATGATTATTGTTGGTTACACCTACATCGCAATCGACATTACATGCATATTTCGTGCAGCCTAGCATGCTGGACCCTTCGAACAGGGGGGTTTAATAAACTTCCCGGCATTGATACGCTCGCAGTATCTCAAGTTGAACATATTTAAGAAGGCCGGAATCGCATGCATCAAGCAACAAACGTAACATGACTGCGACCGTAGCCTGGATATTGGGCGACAGCCGTAGATTGGGGATTGTTGACTTCTACGACACGAGCGCCAAGCTTGGACGGGAGGGACATGTTGAGGTTCATGTATGCCAGTCTACCGCTGTGAAGATTGTTTACTCTACTGGAGACATATACTTTCGCATCTAGACCCACGGCCAGCATCCGAGACGCCCTCTAGGTCCACGAGATTCACAATACAGAACATAGCGAGGACAGATGTAAACCGCGCCAAATTCACGGCAAGGTAGTGCATATGAGGTAAGGGCATTGCTTTTCATTCCATCATACTAGATATTGCTTGTGTCCAAGCAGGGGTATATAGACATCCAACTTCCTACAATTCTGAGCGATTGGCCGTCAAATCGCCAATCTAGCTCATCTCAACATCATCATCATCCTCCTCGTCGCTGTCAAGGTCAACGTCGCTGTCGATCTCAATCTCGTCAGCGAGGAAGTAGTTGATGGCATCAGGGAAGATGTCATCGGCAATGTTGAGAGCGATCTCGTGACCTGGGGCGAAGGTCTCGACATCCTCCTCAGCGAACTCAAAGTCCTCCTCGTCTTCATCATCCTCATCATCGTCGTCCTTGCCAGCAAGGGCAGCGGCGCGCTTGGCGCGGACCTCGGAGGTGGCCTCGGCGTTCTCTGCGGCGCTGATCCAGCGGCCACGGTAAGAAAAGAAGTTGAAGAAGCTGGTGGCGCCAGCGGCCTCAACGTCCTCGCTCTGGTACTCCTTCTCGAGCATACCGGCGAGGGTCTTGTACTGGGGCAGAGCCTTGGAGGCAGCGTCACGCTTCTTGTGGGTCTCGCCGGAGAAGACACCGTCGAGGTGGCCGGCCTTCTTCTGTGCCTCCCACAGAACGTAGGCGGCGTCGGTCAGACCGTGGGTGACATCCTTGCCCTGCTTCCAGTTGATCTTGATGGGGTCGGAGACCAGGCTGGAGGAGCCGTCCTTGCCGCGGCGCCAGTAGAAGTTCTTGGACAGAACAGAGTCGGACAAGAAGTCGTTTTGCTTGAAGTGGAAGGTGATGCTGACGCTGCGGGGCTCGCCGAACGCCTCGATGCCCTCATCGGTAGGCTTAGCGCTGGCAGGGATCTCAGGACGGCCAACATCGATCTTGGTGAGAGCGTTGGCGAGGATCTCGGAGTCCTTGGAGGTGATGGCACCCTCGAGCTCCATGGCGGCATTGTCCAGAACTGTGGCCCAGAAACCGGGGATCTTCTCAATGGTGTTGTGACGCTGAGCGAAGATGGGAGCCTGCTTGAGCCACTTCTTGGCAGTGATCTCGTTGTTGACGTCGGACGCGGCAGCATCGAGGAGCTCGAGCTCCTTGATGGCCCGAGGATCAATCTCGAAAGACTCAGACATTGTGGCGGTGATTATGAGGGGTTGGTAGTGTGTGGGAAAGAGGGGTATCACGGTCTGAGAGTAGAGACGAGAGAAATGAAGGAATGAGCTTGATGAGTTGACAGAAAATCCGCTGCAGGAAGGCCTGATTTGTGTTATATATTGATACAGGTTGCCAGGACACTGCCCAACGATCCGCAAAACCGAGACCGCTTGTTGCTAATCGCTAAATTTTTTTCACGTTCTCCTCTTCAAACATAGTCTTGAAAGAAAATTCTTACAGAGCGGATCCACCAATGAATGCAATGGCGAATAGATCAACGGGATGTGATGATTCCCAGCCAATCGACGAGTGCCATGCAGTCCAGTGGAGCTTGCATTACTTGAGATACCCAGTAGTTGTTTTGCCTTCTTCCTTTTGTTTCGCGTCTCCCAATGCCTGGTGAATGGGATTCTTACACGGCATCAATTTGCCCCTCATTTTCAAGAAATATTTCCAAAAAGACCCCGCGCCTGACGTAGTGGGTCCAGGGTCCAGGGCCCAACTAAAATCAAAATTAGAGCCATGTTCTGCAGCGGGCTTCTAGAAGCAGTCGCCACTTTAATCGCCGTTGTCAGTCAATGATAGGGCTATGGCAGAGCGCATGGAGGAGATCTGATCAGCGCAGTGGGGTCGCAGTGCCGGTTTGGATTCAAAACAATCAAGCGCGCCGACGACGATACATACAGGGCGGTCATCTGTATCACGCTTGCAGGATAGTGAAGAGCATGCTAGATTGACATTGCGTTTGCCAAATCATCTAAACTAGAGCTGTGCCAAGGAGATCATGCATCCCGTAATGTATTTCGTTTGTACCGGTTACACAAACCAGTCAGGCAAACTCGAACCATGTGTTCTCAAACCGTGTGTCCTCAAATCATGCGTCGGTCATCAAACCGAAAGTCACCGCATACGTAGTCTGGTCCTTGGTTGCCAAGAACGACTTCGCGTCAAAATCTCGCCGGCGCTGTGCATCTCCTCGCCCATGATCTGAGCGTGAAGAGTAGCAATCGTGCCATACATCCCCCTAATCGCTATCCTTGCCAACGTCAGCAGTATTATTGCAGACGGTAGGCTTGGCCTTTGCGGCTACATGAGTACGGGGCTTCTTCGTGAGGGTCTCTTCATCGGTCTCTGCATCTTTCTTACGCTTGTTGGATTTCGGAGCGACGCTGGTAGTGCTGCTGGCTTGGGCCAGAAGCTTCTTCTTGACGGTGGCCCAGACCGCGGTGGCCGAGTTGGTGTTCTTGAAACCACCGACTTCTGCAAACTTCTTGTAGTTCATCTGTATCGAATTTAAGTTAGTGACTACCGATGAGCAACGTGCCCTCCGAAAGGTCGGAACCTGATGCTTACCTTCGGTTCATTCTCAAAGCACTGCCAGGCCAGGCTGGCGAGCTCCAAGTCACGAACGCTTAGTGTAGACTTTTTGGAGCCCATTTTGATGAGTTGTGATGTTGTGTACGTGATAGTCTTTGTGGGGTCGACAGTGATGTGTGGGTCGTTCTAGTCTTGAATTGACTGGATTGGTGTTGGGAAACGTATGTAGGTAAGTAGGTTGTGAAGCTTGTTCTAGGGAGATATTGAGGAAGTTCTTCCAAAAACCACTAGTAGTGACTGGAAGGCGCTACAGCCGGTGTAGGAATACTGTATTGAATGAGTCCGACGCCAACGACTTGCAAAGCTGTCGTTCGTGGCGCCATAATTATTTATACCGGAGCACGACGATGATGGCTCTGGGCTTTACTACACTAATTTAGCTGTGCTTTGAGATACATGAGACTATATTTACAGATGGAAAATGCTGAGGTATCAGCTATGCCACCTTTGAGGTAACGGCATAGAGATGAGATGCCTTCGGTGCCTTGCGGGCTGGGCTCACTTATGGCAACAATCACTCGAATGCCACATAATGACGACAACAGTAACAGATTTATTTGTCCGAATACCCACTGGCAGCTGCCAGTAATCGATATATGACCTAGAGGAATTATGAGAGCAAGTTAGAAATCTCGCCTATGAATAGTGATACGCCAATCTAAACCGCCAGCAGACGCTATTGAACAATGGTGCCGCGATACTCCACTTGAAATTAATGCAGGTTCATGAGCATGATGCCTTGGTGCACAGATACACTCACAGGCTTGCTTCCGTTACATTGCCGTAACTAAGGACATAGATCCTCCTGGTACGAATGGCACAAGTGGGTCGCCCTGCCCAAGTTCGCACCATCCTAAGGACTCATGCACTTCTTTGTCTTTACTAGTCTGAACAAAGTTTGGCTTGCCAGGATTGTCGCACTCACAGATTGCATACTTATTCTATATATCTGCCCAATCTCGAGGTCTAATGTATAAAATCCAATGGTAGATGGTACTGTCCAGCACGATTTGGTTGTTATAAAGATAACAGTTTTTTTTGACTCATCACAAGTCACAACAGTGAACGTCATGCTAGACTAGTCTAGAATGTAGCTCATCAGTAACCCGAGCAACCGAGTAAAGCTGAATAGACATCATGCGACATGTGGATATGTCATCACGGGCCGCCCTCGGGCAATTCCGAACCAATCACTTTTCCTCCGATCCATATATCGCACACATTAGCAAGAGCCACAGCAAATAGCACCAGCGCGCGCTTTATACGTTAATAAGGCGGTCCAACATCAGGTCCGGTCGCCTCCCACTATAAGTCATCATCTGATCGGATCGGTGGGTGCCAGTAACGCGGAAGCGGGTCATTGAGCAGTACTCCGTACTACCAGACGGAATCACTATGGGGCAGGTATTGGGCTGAAAGGAGGGGGGGTGCTTTTCTACGATGCTGAGCTCCGAAAGTACCCGCCTCGCTGTGATTTCAAAGCCCCATACTATACTCAGTAGAACCTCAATAGCCAAGGTATATAAACTGTATGTGAGCCCCTTGATACGCAAACAAATCAGTCAAACTTCCCGTCTGCAGTAGGCCGATTCAGACTCAAGATGACAGCAGCAACAAAGACAACAGATTCCCACAATATCCCCTCCGGGGCCGTCGCAAGGTTGAGCGTCATCGACACCGGCGCGTATCTCTCCAGCATCCCCTCAGCACTTTTCCTCGGACCGCCGGTTCAAGGCTTCGAAAATATTCCTGACCGATCACCAGCATGGAGTTTCTTGGTCGAAAGTCCGACGGGCAAAAAAGCAGTCTTTGATCTATCGCTTTCCAAAGACCTGCGTCACGTGACCCCGTCCTTCATCCAGCAAGCTGTACAGTGCAACGCTTCGGCCGAGGCGCCGAAAGATGTCGCCCAAGTCTTGAGTGAGAACGGGGTGGCTTTGGAGTCTGTACAGAGCATTGTTTGGAGGTAATATTCCCCTGACAGTACCCTAACTCGCGTGTAACAACTGACCCTATCACCAGTCACTGGCACATGGATCACGTTGGCGACCCCTCGACGTTTCCCAACTCGACTGAAGTCGTGGTCGGCCCCAGAGGAAAGGAAGATATATATCCGATGTACCCCGAGCGAGAAGATGCAGAGTTACATGAAAACATCCTAAAGTGAGCAGAACGCCCTCTTCAACACGCGAATATACCTAACCAACTGAACGTGCGTAGGGGCAAGACCGTCCGCGAGATCACATTTGACGGAGGGCTCAAATTCTACGGCCTTGACGCGCTAGACTTCTTCGGCGACGGCTCGTTCTACCTGGTCGACATGCCAGGTCACACGCTCGGCCACATCGGCGGCTTGGTGCGAACCACGTCCAACCCGGACACCTTCGCTGTGCTGGGTGGAGATGCGTATCACAGCGCTGGAGAGCTGCGTCCCACCACCTACAAGCCGCTACCCGAGGACATCCCAAACCACGATTCACTCTTCTCCGCCGGCTCCAAGTACAGCTCCTGTCCTTGCTTGTTCTTCAAGCACCTGCAAGAGAAGCGCGATCGCACGATTGAGCAGCCGTTCTTCGAAGTTGTCCAGGGCCACGACGTTGTCGCTGCCAATGACACGCTTAGAAAGTCGCAATTTCCGGATGCTCAGGACCACTTGATCTACCTTTCTGCGCACGACGATGCGTTGCGAGGAGTGTTTGACTTCTACCCAAAGTCAGCAAACAACTGGAAGGAGCTCGGGTGGAAAGCGAAGATAGACTGGGACTTTCTCAGGCATTTGGTCAAAGGCTTGGATGGTGAAGAACAATAGGTGCCAGTGTACACTTGTACATAATTGGATACATGTCTGGTAATCGCCATTCCGTGAAGAAGGAAGACGGAGAACTGCAATTAGATTTCTTTTAGATGCTTCGAAACAATACCAACTCATACTTGCTAACAATATCTGCCCTATGCTTAATGACCATCATACAATTTTTCAGCTTGTATGACAGGCAACCTCATTCCATGGCACTATGCCCCTCAAGGCCTAAAGCCTCCAGTCCTGTCTCTGAAAAAGCCGGTCGGATCGACTTCCGCTGCCACTTTTCTCGCAAACTCTGCGTTCTCCGGTTTGAGTCTGCCAAAGTAGTCTTGCCGGTAAAAGCCGTAGTTCATAAATACTGGTAAATACGTCTCCGGCAACTTGCCCGCACCCTGCCATTCCAGGACCCGGTCACGGATACCCGTATAGGTTGCCTCCACCACATCGGCCATCACGTCATAATCGGACTGGAGGGTGAAGCTGTAATTCATCTCGATGATCATTTTGTCCACGTCATCGTCGCAATCGATCAGGTCGACACTCCTCTCCTTGGCGGCTGCAGCAATACGCTTAGGGAAGGGCTGATATGCGATTGAAGCCACGATACCGGGCTCCAACTGAACACTTCCGGATATATTCCTCCAGTGAGCATGCAGCTCGTTCATGAAGTCGCCGTTCTCGGCCGACGGAACAGGAACGGTTTCTGTGCTAATATCCACAACCGAGGCTTTGACAATGACCCAGTTGCTACCTCCGATAAGCTCGGAGTAGGTCTGGGTTCTCAGGGTGCTAAGCGTAGGACCGGCATCTGTGAAGTTCTTGAATGTGTTCTCAGGCGGGCTGGGGCCGTCGTAGAAGATGAACAAGATCCACGAGTCAACGGCGTTGACAGTCGACCGTTCAGCCGTTACGATGACAGCAGCCTTGTCGTCCTGGTTATACTCGGCAAAGTCTCGCACAGCCTTGAGAAGTTGCGCATCGGTATCGGGTGTGTGTTCGTAGACCAGATTGCCACCGTAGATATCTCCTTGCCTATACGTCTGGAGCACATACGTAGTGACGACACCGAAGTTGTTGCCGCCACCTTTTAAGGCCTTGAACAGGTCTGGATTCTGGGTAGCAGAAACGGTAGTGACCGTCCCGTTCGCAAGGACGATCTCGTACTCTATTACTGATGAAGCTGCCCAACCGTATTGCGCGGACATGTAGGACAGGCCACCTCCGAGGACTAGGCCTCCCACTCCGGTATTGCCGATACGTCCTCCCACAAATGTCCAACCTGTGCCCTGCAGCTGTGCGGCAATCTCATCGAGACGGATGCCTGGTCCAACCCTTGCAATGCCAGTAGCAGGATCCAGGAGAACCTGATCCATCCTTTGAGTGGAGATCAGCGGTCCTCCCTGGACGCTGGAGAAATAGTTGTTGGGGTTGTGGCCGCCCGACTTGATGGCAAAAGCTTCTTCATTGTCGTTCAAGACTTTGATGACAGTCGCGACCTCCTCAGCGGACTTTGGAAAGATGATACATGTTGGAATCAAGGCAGCACATGATGACGACCAGTAATCAGCCTGCTCTGTAACGTAATCCAACGACAAAGTGCCGTCCACCTCTATCGACGATATAGTCTCGACGGTAGAACAGGTGTCCGCGATCGCGGTCCCGACGAGAATAGCAAAAGCCAGAATAGTGCTAGGAGTGAGTAGCATATTGGCCTAACAGAGTTCTGAGAAGCATGCATGAAATAGCTGCACCTGAAGACAAGCCATTTTCTATAGTTATATCATCTATTTGAACATATTGTTACTGAAAACATGACGTCGTTTTGGAATTGAAATGTGGACGTCCTGTAAAGTGTCAGTCTGCCAAGATCATATATGCAGGCACTTGCTGCGGGCTGAAATTTATTGACTGCAGCATCATGTCTCGGAATGGCAAAGATCGACATCATCAGGAGCGAATGCGGATGCCAAGCGATGGAGTGAGCTCGCACGATAGCCAAAGAATCATACCAAGAGCTGTCTTTTATATAGCTGCAGACAGCCCCAGAGTTTCACTACATTGTCGCTACCGAATCGGTCGCGTGGCCTGACTGGGTTGCACAATCCGCCATACAGTCTCTGAGCACAACTGGTTCTGGACTCGGCCGATCGAACCATATGCGGGGAAGCGGACCAGACTCATAAGCACTGTTCCCAAATAGAGGCTGCAGCAACCCATTTCATTCCCAATTTAGCAACCTTGGGTAGTGGCTGACAGACGTACCTGGGTCCACGTTTAGCCTGAGCTTAGATATCTAGAAGATTGGTTCGCGTAGTACACCCCGTTTTCAAGCACGTGAGGAGCCGTTGACGATACTCTTTTGTTGGTTTGTTTTCAATAGTTTCATGTATGTCCAGGGTGGGTCTCCATCAACCATGGGATATTGTCCAGTCAGCCTTCGCATCTTGCGACTTTGACGTCACTGGGACGCTGGACAGAGCGACCCCGTTCGACTCTCGCTCCAATCTTGTTGTCTCTGCATAGGCAATCTACCTATTACCGGAGGTCATCCAATCAGTCTAGCGCCACCCGCCACAGCCAAGCATTTCCCAGCAGACTGATACCAATTTACGATTCAAAGGTATGACCCAAACCAGATTCTCGAAATAAATCTGATTGGTTTGGCTCCGTCTTGGTGAGAACCCATAACCACTCAAGGTAGCTGAGTGGTACCAGACAATGTTGTTCATCTAAGAACTGGAAGGCCAGTCTGGAAGCCGCTGTCCCACTGGCGGTAAAATCGGATTCCCTTGCTCTTTACTTCATGATGGTCGAGAGCTGTAGCGGCCTCCGAAGCTAATTGTTACGAGAAATAGATTGGAAAATGACATTCCCATCTCCGAGTCCACGTGCTGTACTGGATGAACAGAGTTCGACTCTAACGACGCTGGCTTGAAGAAGTTCGAGTTGCTCGACAGTCTTGCTGCGGTGGTTGTAAGCCACTCCTCCGAGTGTGCTCCAATCTAGGTGGTTGATGTTCCGAAGAAGGCTTTCGATGTGGCCAATGACATCTTCATCGTCGCCGACAACGGCTAGGACGACAGGGTTGATGCTTATGCCCGCTACTTCAACCACTTGATCCCATCTGTCATTCAGGGTTTTCATGATCAATAACGACGACTCAGCTGGCGCGCGTAGTTGATTGCCTTCGCACATTCGTGGCCAATGCTTTCAATCCACTGACCTTTAACCTACCATGTTTCGACGTTCACATAGGCGGCAGTCATCTCCAGCCTTGCTCGGATCTCAAGATGTCCTCTCGCGACTTTAACGTCAATGTGGGCTCTTACAGCTTCAATTCCATCCCTCGGGTTCGGAATATGCCAGCTCAACCATGCTTATGAGTTTTGATATAATCACCGCCGGGCCTCGTTCCTATATTGTTGCGTATGGATATGGAACAAATTGGAACAATTTGCGTGAGATCGCCGATGATGGTCGCTTTTATGGGCGACGAGCTAGCTGCCGCCGTGCAACTCGCTTGTGTGGCTGCGAAGCGGCCAATGCCACATTTGGCCTCTACTCGGATCCTGTCCGCCCATTTTTGACATCTTTGATGTCAGGCTGAGTGCTGCTGGTTCGGGGTAGCCTCGCTCGACGCATCAACCCCTGCCAAGGGCTGCGCCAAGGTTTCGGTGATTACACCTCTCACGAGGAGACCGGATGAAGTCGGATGGGCCTACTAGCCATTCCAAATCGCATGTCATATCAATTTTCCTTCATGCATTGATGCAACACTCGACCTTCAAAATTTCATGGCGGTGATCGCGCCTGGAGTATGTACGATGAGACTGGTGGTGTTCGGTGGAAATTACGGCGAGGAAAATACAACGACGTTTGCGGAAAACTCCAGCTATGCGGGGCCGAGGTCAAAGAATTTGCCAGTCCTGACCGCCTACATTCGCAAATCTCATCTTCAATGGACAATCTTCTGCCCGTAATCAACTGTGCGACTTGGTTAGGGGGAGCATCACTGCAGCAAATTGTTCTGCATTAAGGACTGTTCTCGCAAGGAGTTGTGTTGATTGTGGAGGTGTCAACGCATTACCCAAGTCTTGACGAATCGCATTCAACACACTGAGCACGGCCAGCACATGAACCATCGCTAGCCGGATATCCATCCATACCGGCAAGACAATGGCACCGCATAAGGGTTACCTGGTAGCGTCATATATGATCGCGTATAACGCTTTCTCTTTCCTTCTATGGAGCCACCTGACGATCCACACCTTGACTCACCTGAAAGAATTATATGCCGAGTCTCGCCTTGCCGACCTCTACAACCTTATACCGCTCCTTAGCGTCACGCAGAGCCTAGCGCTGCTCGAGGTTGGCCATGCAGCCCTGGGACTGGTCCGGGCCTCACCCGCGACGACCGCGCTGCAGGTCGGCGGCAAGAACCTGGTCGTCTGGACCGTGATGGTGAAGTTTCCAGAGATTATCACCAAGAATGAGCTTGGCATGTGTGCGTTCTTAGGCTGTGTGCTAGCCTGGGGTTTCTCTGAGATGATCCGATATGGGTATTTCGTCGTTCAACTTGCTACCGGCGAGACTCCGCGATGGCTTAAATGGCTTAGGTAAATCATGCTTGACGTGCTACAGGAGCTTGCTATATCGGAGTCGTCACTAACGATGCACACAGATATAATGCTTTCCTACCTCTATATCCAATTGGTCTTCTCAGCGAAGCTGGGCTTGTGTATTTGGCGTTGACGGAAGGGACTGGCGTCGGCTCGTTTTACAAGGGATACCTTCTCTTGGGGCTTTTAACCTATCTTCCTGGTGAGTTCCTATCGACCACACTCATGTACAATGGCTTGACTAATGGTTACCCACAGCTGGTCCGTTCCTGTATACACATATGTTGTCGCAGAGACGGAAAGTCATGAAGCAGTTGGGTGAGAAGAAGACCCAATAGGCATGCTGATATTAGTGGCATCCTGTGACAAAATTAATTACATTAATTATGTTTGAAGCAGAAACCATGGATTGGATAACATGAACATACATAGTATACTTTTTTGGCCCCATCTGAAATGCCCGAGGTGTTATGCTCTATGCCCAACTCTCGTTGTATGGCCTCCATTGACCTATTATAGTGGCTAGTATGAGCCTCACAAAGAACAACAAAGACATTATCCAACAATATTTACAATTCCCAACAAGACGTCAATTAACCCTTGTCCTATTCTTTCTATGCCAATAATATTATTCAAGATGCAAACACCACAACTCGGCCCCTGTCATCTAGGCTGTCAGACGTCAAAATCTACTATAAAGCCCCTCTCAATCCCTACTTCTCGAATCTGGCATTTTCGAAGCCCTTCTACCAATTCAGTAAGTCCTCAAAGTAATTTGCAGCAATCCGCAATATCCCGCGCGAAAATGGTCTGCAAACTGGCCATCAAAGTCCCTCTGTCGCCCTACACAAACGCCAAGCCATGGCAAAGCGCGCAGCAACGTCCTTCAGGATCCCGAGGTCTGCGGGACTCCACCGACTACAACAGCCCGTGCCACTCACCATCCTCGGACACCAAGTGCAAGGGCAACGACGAGCACGGTGACGGCAGCATGCTTCCTAGCCCGGGTGAGCGCTCATCCCTAGGGTACCCCAATGCCTTTTCCTCCAGTTCACTTTTCGAATCCTTCCCCTCGTCCTTCCAGAAACACAATCGCAAGCCCGTGCCCTTCGTCTCACCTGACAGTTCCTCCCCAAGATCCTCCTCGGCCTCGCCTGCAGCGTCGCGGGCGCGGAAGGACCGTTGGGGCGGGCTATGGATACGAATCCCGACCTCCTCGCCGCTGCGGGAGACGGTGGTGGAGGTGCGACAAAGAGAGTCGCAGAAGTGGGAGACGATGGAAGAGACGCTGCTGAAGCTCAAGCAGGAGGAGGAGGAGCTAGAGCAGAGTCAGGCGGCGCAGCGGGCGGCGGTGCTGGAGAAACTGTGGATCATGGGGGTACACGTCGAAGACCGTAGGGGCAGTGGCGTGTCAAATAGTGGAGGAGCGGAGGGAGATTCAAGGTAGCTAGAAACAGAGGCTCTTCTTCTAGTATATAGTTCTTGCCGGACGCTCTCCTTTTTTCGAAGACGACAAGTAAAATGAAAACCCATTTCACCAGGTGAAAGATTATACTAGATGGTAAGCATCACAAAGGCGAAGACAACAGGAGAATTTGAAATAATGTATGATTTGATCTATCTTTAAGATGGATCATGCCATACTGTGCCGAACCGAATAATAAAAAAATTACGCCGTACCATGACCGAGACATTTCCATCATAATCCGTATTTACAAATCGTTTCCTTCGCGTGAGCCCGTCATTTGCTCTTATCATGTCTCAGATGATACCAAGGCACAGCCCATATACACATGTCGACTAGACATATGATTTCAGAAAGGTTCTAAGACATCTGAACGTCGTATAGTACACCACCAAACCAGAGAACACCCGGCTCTTGCTAGAAATCATTTCTTTCGTGTATCGTCGCCCTCGGCTATCTCTTCTTCGAGATGCTTGCCACTGTCTTTCCTCCACAATCTGGGATCTTAATGCCATTCTTGAGGTTACGGTTGACATCCATCAATCCCCAGTGGTCTTCCCAGTTCTCGCTATCGGTATTGAACATGATCTTCCAAGGTTCGTCAAACATCTCAAACCAAAAGTAGTTGGTGCCATTGGTCAGCGCATCGCAAACCCAGTCTTCCATTAGCTGGTTCATGCCATCAACGCTAGCAACAGCTGCATCAGGACAGTCGGTGACGGTATCACTACCGCAATCCGTGCCACCCTGTGATGGCCATCCGATCTCCGATATGATATTATCGACAGCATCTGTCTTCATGAAACCGGTATTGTGGTTCTGCCAGAAAGACCAGGTCCACGAAGCGGCTTGCTTTTCGTTGATGCCTCCAAAGAATGGGTGAATGTTGGACATGATGGCATCACTCTTTGACGCGAGTTCCGCTGTCCAGTTATCTCCGAGATCTGAAGTCGCGACCTTGAGGTTGAGGTTCATGTCTGACACGTTGTTTCGAACGCTATCCAGAAGATCGCCAAGGTCGGTTATGTTCATCTGCTTGCGAAAAAGAATTTCGTTGGCAACAATGAGACCTTCAAAATACTTGTCGCCGTAGTTATCTAGAATATCCCACATCTGTGAGAGCTGACGATCATTGGTCGTTGTGTTGGCATCCTGCCACACACCCAACCAGATCCTCATGTCATCCTCCATTTCGAGCTGCTTCAATGCGTGTATGGTCATTTCCGTCTGGTTGCAGTCAGTACCGTACAGGCGGATGACATTTGTAAGCTGACTGAGGACGGCCACATCACGGGTAATGTTGTTCTGTGAGGCCGGGTTCGATATACAATCGGGATATTGCGTGTTGATTGGTGTGTAGTCAACACCAGGGAACACCTTGTGCAGGTTCGCGTTGTTAAGTAGGGCCTGGATCTCAGTGGAGTTGATACTGAGGTCGCCGTTTGCGTCCGAGTCTTGACTGGCAGATTGACCGTTGCTGCTGGACTTCTTGTTCATGAGAGCGCCGACCACTCCTCCGGCAATGCCGCCAGCGACAATTAAGCCGACAGCGACGATGATCAACCACTTCCACCTCTTCTTGCCGCCTTCCTGTTTCTTGATCCATTCCGACTGTTCCTTGGCTCCATGTGCTCCAAGATCATATTCGTTAGCTCCAGCACCTTGATACCCGGAGCTACCCTTGGCTCCTAGTAACCCAGCTGCTACTCCAGCTGCCCCTGCGCCAGCCGCGCCGGCCGTTCCAGCTGCGGCGCCAGTACCACCGACCTGGCTTGAGCGGCTTGAGTTGTTCCCGAGATTGAGCCTGCTGGTTCGTGCCGAGCGACCCGTGTATTCGAGACCTTCATCCCCGTCATCCATAATGTCATTGGGATTTACCTGGCCTAGTCTTGGGTCGAGTCGCTGGCCGTATGAATACCGTCCATCGTCAAACGGGTCGCTAGCAAAGCTATGTTGACTTCTGGAGGGTGTAGCCTGGCCGGGAGGGAAGGCAGCTGCAACCATTGGCGCCATTCGGGGTGAATCCTGGTATTGTGTAGGAGTGGCAAAAGGGTCCTGGTGGGAGGATTGTCCACGATCGTAACTATAGTCATGTTCCAGCTGACCGTAGCTCTGGTCGTAGCCTCGGTCGTACCCTTGACCATGGCCATAGTAGGACTGGTCTGGGTAGGCCTGATGATCATAGCCATGTTGCCCTTGCCCTTGCTCATAGGCTTGGCCATGGCCATGCCCGTATCCGTTTGTACCATTCATGGCGTCGAGGCCGCTCTGTCGCGGGTTTCTGTCTGCTACCGAGGTGGCGACGCCGGCCAATCCACCTGCTGCGTGTTCGCCGAAATTGTCGGCACCAGGTGTTATATTACTTGGAGCGGCGCTGCTCCAGTCCGATCTCCCACTGTCCTCCCTGTGCGGCGGTGGTTGTGGTGCCCTCGACGATTCTGCTGCGTAGGCTGTCCCTGCGGCGGCTGCTCCTACACCTGCACTCGCACCGACCGCTGCTGGGTCGACTCGGCTACGACGTCGTTCCTCCCTTAAGCGATTGAAATGGGAGTCAGGATGGGCGCCAGAGCGTTGAGGAGAGGTGTGAGTGGCGTTCCGATAGGCGGAAGGAGGTTCGTCTTGGTAGTAATGGGGTGATGACTGGTGAATGCTGTTTCTGTTTCCACGGGATGGAGAGGTAGGAAGATGGTAATTAGGGTTGTCTAAAGGAGCACGTTCGCCAGGATCCGAGTCAAACGAGTAGCGACGTTCCATGACTAGTATTTAGTGACTAGACGCAGGTACGAATTAGACCTGAGTAAGGTAGGGTGACGCTGTTTCTTGCTCCCTGGGTAGCGTAGCGGTCTCGGTATACTGCGTAAAGTGCCAAGAAAGTGGATCGGAGAGTTGCAGATTAGGAAGGCTGGATACAGGACACAAGAGACAGGATGCTGGTAATTGTTAATTAAGGGGATGGATCACTTCCACTAGACAAGGGCCAGTGCAAGTTTGAGAGATATGACGCTGTGTGGATAGACGCTGCAATCCAATGGCAGTCCAAATGCAGGGAAGGCCGAGACCCTCGAGTACGGGTTATTCACTCGGTACTGAATACTTGATTACGGCTGCGCCGCTCTCTCTAGGTTGAGATCGTTGCTTCGCAGGGTGTGAGATGTTGGACAGTGTGCTGGGATACTGAGACAGTCGTTCAGCGAATTCAGCAGTTCCGCCGAGTAGTGTGTGGACTCTGGCACTGTATGTAACCACGAAAGTGATGCGTCAGGATGGAATTGGGGATGAGTTGAGAGCGCGAATTGAATAGTGCCTCCTGCGCCTCTCGTAAGTGAGGCTATACGAGAAAACAGTACTGAGTATACCACCGTGATCCTTGATGCGATGCAGGTCAGTCATCAACAACGAGAGCGATTGACAGGTTGCGCTCCGGCCTGCGCTGCTCAACCGCAAGTGTTGGGGCAGCAGTGAGGAATGAAAGATAAGTTTCCCAGCCTTGGGACAGTTTCAGAGCTTTGAGTGAACGTTCCTTGGTCGGCAGAAGAGGCAAAGGCTTGGGAGAAAAAGCAAAGCGCGACCACTCCTTTTCGTACGCTGTCTGTCGTCTGGTGTCAGAAATACAAACATGTAAACAGATGTTCGAGTTTCTCATTCTACGGCAGTAGAGTGCCTTCGCCTCGCTCGTATTATTTTGGTTCAGCTGCATGTGCCTGCAGTCGCATCCGTCAGATTTGGTTACTGGTTGCTGGGTTAGCGGGCAGCGCAACCCATCCAACCTGCCGCCGGCGCATTGGAGACGCCTAAACGTTACCCTGTTTGGACCCCGCTATGGTAGTTGCCGATCACTCCACAGAAAATACAAATAGTCCGTGTGCGAGACGTCACAGCCGTGAACAAGGGAATTCAGAACTCAATCCGGCCACGTTTTTGTCTTCTTTTGTCAGAGAAGGCCTCTCTATCAAAGCATCGTCAAGTTGCCCCGTGATCTTCCAAAGAAATCTTGCCTTTGTCGAAGCAAGTGCCCATAAATTCGTACCATTGATGGTACCAAGGAGTACAGCAGTGCTTAGTACTATGACTAGGCGTCCTAGCTTAGCCGCCGCCCCTTCCAAGTTTCTGTTTCCACTTTTCCAGGTGCCCATCGCACAGTATCTGCACCGGCTGACGAGATATATACATGGCCAACAAAACAAAACAAAACTACTGTAGGCCAGCTTTTCAACAGCGATTACTGTACGGATCCGTACGAAATATACATATTGGGCAAATGACGAGCTACCAACCTACACCTTTTCCCTCCGTCAGCAAGTGTTAACTGGCAAGTCCGGGAAGAGGTCGTTGGCTGAACAACGCCGGCTCAAGCGCTCAGAAGCCTGGCCTGGATCCTACGACATGCTGGAATATAGCGCCTTCTTAGCCAAACTGACCCCAAAATGCACTCGGAAGTCTACGCATGTCATGTCGACGAAAGGTCTAGTTATGCAACGTAAATTTACTTTGCACAACGTTTGAAACCTCTTCAAATTGGGTAAGCTTCTGCAAACAAAATTCAATATGTTACTTTTTGGTCATACTCAAACATCTACTGCTCTCTGGACATGATAGCTTAAAAACAACCTTGAAAGGTAATACGATGGGGCGCGCTCTTAAACCTTTTTTCTTTTTTTGCTGCCGTTCAGATGTTCATTACGAGCCATCGTCGTAATCTTGCGGCACGGACCCCTGACATTGCTCATTCATCCGAAACGACACCCCCACGATGAGATCATCTCCTACGGATCCGTACCTGGTCTGACTTCCATGCAGGGACGGTTGCCAAGAGCTTGCTGCTCATTTCGCTAGAGGGGTGTAGCGGCATTTAAGCATGAGACCTTCATTTCGCAGAGCTGCTTAAGATCGCAGCGTAGGGCCTCGTTTGCATGCGTCGCTTCTCGACAGGGCGGGCTTTCAGTTCCAGCACTGCCATTTCGCACCGTCGCTGCCCTATCATCGAGTAAGGCCGGGCAAAGTGACAAAAGTAACAAAAGTTCGAACCATCTTCCAACATCTTCCTCGAATGATAGACAGGGACCACCGTCGCATGCGTCAAACAGTTTCATTTCATCCTGCGAGCGCCCGCAAACTCAGAACGCGGAAAGATGAAGTAGTGAAATCAGTTATTCAGCCACTCCTCCTAAACCCTGTTTAGCCACTCCCACTAAAACCTGTTTGGCCACAGCCACTAAAAGCCACAGCTGAACTATCGTAATGGAAAACTTGGCCGGAGATTCAATGGGGTATCCAACGGCACGACCGGTAGGCTCGCAGTGTTGATATGAAGCAGTTGACGCTATTCACAGTTTGTAGGGCTGCGGCCGTCTGAATAAAATATTGGCCCCTGGGAATCTTGAATTGATATCGCGCAACACTTTTAATACTGGCTGATGGTTCTGCTTACTCCTAACGGCAGAGATTCTCATGCGTCGCAGCTAGATCTTCCGCGCTTGCCTTAGGTAGGCCTTCAGTGATCCACCAAAAAATCGCACCACATCCGCAGAGCATCAGTCAAACTCTAGAGCTTGAATCTGACAGTTCTCATCAACCATTCGGAATTATAGCTACGTCGCAGCGGCTCCTCACTTCGTTGCGCCAGACTGATGTAATAATGTACATCATGAAGCTTCCATGCATATGGCATTGATGTTCTCATTCACCCTGGAGCAGCTTCCAGCAAAGCTATAGAGTAGGTATGCGAATCGTAGAATATCGTCTGTTTCTTTTCATCTGTATATGTGCATCGCATCACAAACTTACGCAATCACTATGCCTCCCCCAAGAGCCAACGCTTCATCCGAAGCCGCCAAGGGTGAGCAATTCCACGCGGATATCCGTCCATCCATCAGAGCCTCTCGAGCAGGGCGGACACACTACTGGCACCCAGATCGGCACAGCTCTTAAGGAGGACACATACCTGCCCAGCGTTCAGAGCTCAGTGCCCGGCTAGGCATCGGAGGCTCTCGACATGCCCGATGCCACGTCAGAAGCAGTTAGAGCTTCACATGTTATTTCTAATGTGATTGTCAGAACATTTTTGCATGACCACAAAACTTCTGTACACGACGTCCCAACTGCGATATTTGAGGCTGACTATATTTTGAAAGAGCAATCTCTGATGCTTGACTAATCTAGAGTCTCGTCATGGAATGAATACTTAATTCAAATCAGGCAGGTTATAGTAGTTAAAGAACAACGAAGATGTATGCGTGTGACACGGCAGAGACGTGGATGTCGGTGACATCTCTCTTTGTCCTTCCGTGGTCCTACAACCACAACAAGGCGTGCATTTCGGCGGGGCGGTCGTTTGTCGGTCGCAGATAGTAAGGGGATTCTGCAGCCAATACAAATCACAATCGAGTGCAACTGAGAAGATATTGGGGTTTGGTTACCGCATTTAACAAAATTCATCCAGTCGTATATCTCGTTCTAATGTTACATGAAATAGCCCAATCAAATTGGTGAGGACGACCGGGCCTTACTGAGCGAGCTGCAGTCCTCGAAGGGAGATGCTCGCCCTGACCGTCGCGCCGGAGCCCACGTCAAAGCCTTCCTCCTTGAGCAGACCAGGGGACTGTAAGACGTCCTGGAAGGGCACATCGACGGCGCCTCTCTCGTCGGCCCCGTTCAGCAGCGTGATCTTGAAGCTTCCGGGATTCGCGAGCAGGTCGGCGGTAACGGGGATGCGGAAGGCTTGGTCGAAGGACGGGTTGAAGATGTCGGTCCCGGGGCTGTAGCTCTTGGCCGCCGTACGGTACTCCTTGGCGCCCCACGTCACTTTGATGCTCGGGTTCAGCTCGTCCCGTTGGCCCTGCAGGCCCAGCGCGCTCGCCACCAGCACTGTAGCCAGTCCCACGATTTGACCCTCGCTCTCGCTCTGCGTCGATGCAATGGCGCCTGCGTCCTCAACGAAGTTGTAGAACCGGGCGCGCACCGTGACCCTGCCGTCGGTGGGCTCGCCGTTGTGCGTCAGGGCCAGCTCCTGGGATCTCCCCGCCGCGAGCAGGATATCCTTGACGCTGGTGGTGGCGACACCGATGTCATCATCGCCACCGATGTCGTCGTCCTGGACATCGATGAAGATACGCTGGTCCATGTCGGCAACAAGGAAGTCGTGCGTCTCGTTCCAATCCGGGTCCTTGTCATTCTTGCGGACCGAGGTCCGCCACTCGTCCTCGGCCCCGAGCTTGACCTTGCAGTAGCAGTCCGGAACGTCCTTGACAATCTTGGCCAACAGCCGTTTGGCCCCGCTCTTCTTCGGACCGCTGATGCCGGTGGCCCGCTCCACGGTCAGGCGCAGGGCGCCTAGGTGCGGCAGGTAGGTCCGGAAGTAGTCACTGTTGTTGTCAAGCTTGACCAGGTAGCGGTTGGGCAGCACAGCCATGGAGCCGATGATGTCAAGGATCACCTTGCGGACGGCCCTGTCCACCAGTGCCCAGTCTGCGACGTTTGCTGCATTGGTGAAGTCGAGCTTAAGCTCAGGGGGGTTGATGAAAGCAATCTGTGCAGCTCCAATCTGGTTGCCCCTCAAATTAGCATCGAAATAGATGAGAATGGATTAGGCAGGGGCGGTGTACCAAAGGGATGATGTTTGTCAGCGGACCAAGTAGGATAGACAGTCTGCCTTTGAGAGAAACGTGTTCGATGCCCTGTCGTCCATGTCAGTGTTGGGCGAGTCAACCAGCGCCAGCTTTCCCGCAGGCTCTTACCAGCTTGGGGACCATCTTGCCATCTAGTTCGATGTCACTCTTGCCCTGCCATACAACATCCATATCCAGCTTGATGCCACCATTGTCGGCCTTGTGAACGTCCACTGCCGACACCTGCATAGGAACAGGGCCAAGGTCGAGCTTGACAAATTTGAGAGAAGCTAGGGGACCTGGGAGCATGGAGGCGAACATGGGCTCCACAATTTCCTTCACCATCTTGCAGCCGGCAACGTTGATGTTGGGCCATAGCTGCTCGATGATGTCGTTCAGGAATCCTTATCGAATTTCAGCAGCTGTGCATAAGACGGCGCTCTCGCAGTAGCACCGTGGGGAAAATTCATACTGTCTTACCTGCGGATTCAGTGCCTCCAGAGGCGGTCAACTTGTCGACGAGTCCAGCCATATTTAAAATAATTTGTTTTGTTTTATACAAATGTCGCGATAGGTAGTAGATTGGTGTTGAAATGTAGGAAAACCACTTGGTAGAGTTGAATTTATATCGATGTTATGTCAGTGATTCAGCAGGTTACCCCCTTGTGGATCGGCTTAAATCTGAATGTGGATCACCCAGGGGAATTTTGTGAACAAGTCTACAATCAAGCGGTGACGACGAGTGTTGCACCTTTTGATGCCCCGATGTTGTGGTAGCTTGTTGTTCGTGTTCCTTGGCAGTGGACAACAAAGTGGGTTGACGTCACTACATCAGATACACGTATTAGACTGTGGAGATCAGCTGAATGGCGGACGGGTTTGCTTGGCACGATCTGCTCCTGTCTGGTGGATTGTCAGCTCACAGATCAAGGAAGCTGGGTCTCGCTTCACGAACTGTAAACAAAACAAGAACGTCGCTAACGAAGTCTAGGCCGATAGGGTATCAACGGTATAGTCTTAGTTGAACGTAGGTTTAGCATGCGTCCTGCTGATCAGGTCTATGGACCGTTGCATCGGAGCAGTATACCGAGCAAGGGTCTAATATACATATTATTCACTCTCTATTAAATGCATAGATAGACTAAGGAATCAAATGTGCAATATCTATTGCCAGAAATCATATTTCCATGGAAGTGTCTGGACCCGATCGGCGTGTGGGGCTCTCGGATGCAGCTGTAAGGAGACTTTTGCGGGGTAATTAAGAAACACGGGAGGCAGCCAACACATTCACCATCAACAGCCTCAGCGTATCGCTTGACACCTTTAAGGCTACTGCGGACCAGGAACAAGATCGTAATAGTTTAGCATATATGAAGCCAGCTTTTGCCACTTTCTCTTGCACATTGGGCCGCTTCGCAGGTAGCAATAATGAGATTCAAGGGACTTGGCCCATTTCATAACCAGGAAAGCCATCAATGTGTCGTAGGCACCACCACGTAGCAGACAGAGCTATCCAGATGCCCAGAGAATAGTCCTGGTCAGCGGCGCATCAGTATAAGGAACTAACAGGAGCGATGCGAGCACTCACTGTACACAGCAGAGGTATGACCTCCAGCACTATGAACCTGGCGCAGGCTGCAAAGCAATCGTTAGTATGTGATGACGAAAGCCGTCCTGTTTTATTCGAGATCAACTACTATTTAGACTGTGACAAGTTACTTCTGTTAGTCTCTCCAACTTCGTTCCATCCCTCGTCATGGCGCGACTACAAGCTTGTAGCCAATCTTCTCATGATCCTAAGCACAAGTTCCTGACAAATTACCGTTCTGCTCTATTGTCATTATCTAGCTCTTCTAAACGATTCATGATTGACCTGGCCATTTCGCTTGCACTCTCATCATGGACGTGTGCATCCAGCGCCTGAGCAGTGACCACGGCGCTCAGCCTGTCCAACTCTGCTGTAACGTTTTTGAGTTGTTCAACCACTCAGAGACGATGTTCTTTAGCGAAACCTTGGAAACGTTTATCCATATTCGATTTGAATTGGTGGTGTTGCTCCTTGGTACTGCATTGCCATTGCTTGATACTCTGTTCCAACATCTGAGTAGCGGCTGTATGTGTCTCTAGTCTGCCGGCTATAACCTTCTCCACTCTCTCACGCAGCACCTTGATTTCCTCCTCTATAATATCCCTGAGCACAATTATAACAGCGCGTCGCTCTGCTGCAGCCTTTTCTGCATAGGTGCATAGTGACTGGTAGGGATGATCGGACCGTTCATCTCTTATCGAACTTGGCTGATGTACCATGTGTGCTGCTACAATGGAGTCGATTAAGTAGTGATTGTCCTCGAGAAACCTTTGGTAGGCTACTGTGACTTCTGATCCAATCGTGTCAGCATTTCGTCCGCTAGAGTATAACGCTGTAACTCGAGCTTCTCTAGAAAAAGCTCTTCGACTTTCAACATGATCTTGTGCTCAAGATTTTTGAGAGCATTGATGTTTTGTGTGACCTTAAGGCTTGACAAGTAACAATTTCGGGCTGCTGTTAGTTTCAAGTACTTCGGCCACTGAAATCGGTTGCTTCTCTGTGGCCCGAGCTTGATGTGCTTGATGTTGTCTAATTTCGGATTCTCTGATCGGTCGTATTGCGGTGAGTCTCCAAGTAATCACCCATAACAGACCTCCAAATAGAATAGCGTCAAAAACGAGGTTGAAGACGGGTTTTACTGGGAAAAGTAAGCGCGGTCGTAATGTCTAGGCCCGTTGCGTGATCGAGTAGTGTTTTTATGTCGCTCTGGGAATGTATCCTGGGCTGTTATGCTATTACATGCTTGTTGGAGGATAGGTATAGTGTGTCGATTGGCTCATAGAGATTCACAGATGGATCACAGCGTTTGGGCGTGGAAGAACAACTCGCGTGACTAAACATGGCTTGTAAGGAGAGATGAACTGTGTGTTGAACAGGCAGCTTGTATTGAAGCACATGTAGTCATGTTAGAAATAACCATCGTACAACTTTTGACCTTTCCTCCTCATATAGTCCTGAACGTCTATCGCTCACAATTATACAGTCATAATAAAAGGAAATCCGTTGTTAATTTGTTGAGTTGACGCTGCGTCAGCTCTTCTTGTTCAGTGGCACTGGTAAATTATTACGTCTTGATTATTGCAGCCAGTCAGCGGCAGCCGATAGTATATGTAATATCACTCAGATGAATCTGTAGGTGTAAACGGCCTTTTCGTAAATGGTGGTCGTGTGTATCGTGTAGAATGGATTGGCGAGTCAAGAGGCGGAATGGAAGAAACTCGATGAGAAGGTCGATCTTGGTGCCATTCGGCGGGTTTGTTGACAATTCGCGCAGTTTGCCCATCCCTTCCATATCTTATTAAGACTTCTGTCTCATCAACTCGCCAAGGAGTGTATCTCCTGTCGACTCGTTGGTGGCTGGATTATGAGGCGTATTGACTCTCTGGCTTCGGTCGCCAAGTGCCATCATTGAACCTGGACGACCATCAGATCTAAAAGACCATATTGGTGGCAACTCAACGATTGAAGTAACGAAGTTACTCCAGTCACTGGGGACTGTCGTGCTTCGGGAGCCCGTGGTATGCGTGAAGATTGTTGGTGCACTGTCGGTGGCTGACGACGCACTTAATTCCGCTCCCGGTGGGATAATGATGGATTCTTTGTCTGCAATCTCGTGTCTCTCGGTATCGGTCTCTGGTCGCTTACACTTTAACTCTGCCGATGATCTCAAGCGACAGTCGCCCTCCATCTCGACACTTTTCATTTGAGGGTCTAATTCGGACCACCCTACGGGTTTGTCGAAAGCCCATGGGAAGCCAAGTGCCTCGGATACTGGTGGCTGTGGTCCTCTGTTCTCTAGCTCTGTCGCATTTGGATCGATCCATCTCTTTGTCGTGAAGCGGCTGATGATGGGGATAGGCTTTTTCAACACGATACGCCAAAATGCCAAGAAGCTTACAGCCACTATGATGGCGCCTAAGGATACACCACAGCTCATGCCAATCCTCAAAGCGGTGCTTGGACCCCATGATGTGCTAGTTGTCGTGTCGGTGGAATTGGTTGTCGTATTTGACTTCCAATGCTTGAACCCGTCGGCAGCCTTGTAGGTGGTTAAGGGGATACCTGTAGCTGTAATCACAGATGTCGGAAAGCTCCCTGATATGCGAGCAGGCGTTGCCAATGGAATAAATGCGCCCATGCTCGGAAAGGGGATTTACGGCTGATCCTATTGGGCTCGGGTTGGACTGAGCAATACCGATTTCGTTATTTTGCTGGCCGAATACAACATCTAGGCGGCCTTGTCAGTAAGGTGTATGCCATGCGATGGCTGAGAACCGGCAGTGAAAACACTCATGCTCATTGGTGTTTAGCACTTTCAACTAGCAAATGACTTCTTAAATGCGGAGCGGAAGAAAGCCTCCCGTAATGTGAATGTAGTACTACCTCGTGCTACAGCTAATTGACAGGAACCATTAGCTTCATCATCGAACATGGTGTTGCTTATGCTTGACGGCTCAAGATCATATGGGACGACAATCGAAGACATGGAAACGTTGATCATAGGACCAGCCGGGCCCGCAAACCGAAAGGAGAAATAAGCTGGACTGTTCCCCATAGAGCAAGGAACGATTGCAACGTCACCATACGTGTTGTTAGGACCTTTTCGTCTAGTGGCTCTAACTTCCTCGTATATAGCGTCCACCAAATCACCCGGAAGAGTGATCGCGCTTGAGCCCATGACTATCTCGACAACCAAAGGTGATATTCCACACGGAAGCACGTCTACTCCAGATGCACTCACAGCCGTGACTGTGGCAAGCTCTATCCCAAGCGACTCGACGGACGTGTCCGAGGACTTTAAAGGATGGCATTTGACTCGTGTCTGTGTATTTTGGAACTTCTGCCTGTCTACCCCGCCTAGGAGTATCGAACAGGCCTTGTCAACTAGAGTTATACATGTTAGCAAAACGTGTGTGAACTCTTCATTTCAAACCAGCCTGGATATTAGAGGTTGAAAAGTCCTACCTAGATTGCTCAGCCAGATACTGTATGCACTTGTGTTGATGTGACCATTCTCTGATAAAGCCGCCGCCAGCGTGAAATTGCCAGAAGCAGTTGTGGTATTAGTCGCACTACCAAGGCCTAAAACACCATAAGTTCTATGACTACTCCACCCCGAGATGAATATATAGAATTGATTATCATCTCCAACACGCCATATGTCGTTGTAGTAAAGGCCAGACAGCCGGAAACCGTTCTCATCGGTAACTTCGGGGCCCGTGTCTGATGGAAAAGGATCAACTGAAGAAGTTGAGTTGGCAAGAAAATCTACAGTACGATATTAATCAAGCACTCAGTGTAATCAAATATTGCGCTTACAAGTACCATGTGTACAGCTAAGAGAACAAAACCCGGAACCAGATGACGGTATCCAAGTCCATGGTGCGGTGGAGACCTTGAGCTCAAGGTCCTGCGCTGGCGTGCCTACTTGGAATCTGGCTATATAAGTCAGATTTGACTCATTAAGATCCAAGTCAATCAATATTTTGGATCCGGTTTGTTATCGAGAATCCAGCGGGATTACTCTAGTGGCGACTTCGTCCTGTTGCCGAGTCTGACAGACAGCGAAAAGGACGATGGAAGCCCAAGACGTGCGCATCACGTCTGGCAAGAGATACAAAACACTTCGAAGAAGGGGCGCAGTTCGATTACAATGCCAGCCACTGCTTTCAATTTACCTTGACAAGCGGATGCACTCATAATTAACAAACTTGGGGAACAAGACGGCTTGGCTAAGGAAATGCAAGCTAGTGTAGCACGTGGGAGCTATGACCCTGCGAAGATGCTATGGAAGGCCCCTAGTTAGATTGGTGGCATATTTTCAATTAACTCGGATCATGGAATAGTTACCGTATCATGTTGCCATGTGCATTATTTACAGACGCGTCAATATATGGTTGATGGCGCACCCGTTTAGACACTTGGACTGCAAGTGCAGGGTATTTGAGGGGTATAACACGTCACCTTCCGTATGATTAACTTAAGACCTGCTCTTGCTTTGTGCTATCAAAGAAGGTCATAGCCGGAATAAGCAGCGAGGACTGTGAGCGCGGTCCTTCAGATTTCATTTTCTGATTCAAAGTCTCTTGCGTTTATCAGGCGCGGTATCATACTACATGAACACGAGTTTGCTTATTCGACGGTGATCCGGTGGGCCACCCATAAAATTTGATGGCTCACTATACCGATCATTCAGTCTGGAGTCTGCATGCTGGATGGGCGAGGTGCATCAGAAGCAAGGGGGCTAGCAAACATTTTCACTAAGCCACCTCCAATGGGGATTGTTACCCAGGGAGCTTTACTCTTCGCCTAAGGCATAGCTAATGCGCATAGTTGGTCCACTAGAAAGAAGGGTCTCGTATTGTTTTTCCAACCAATTCTTCGTGGAATATTTATGCGTGCCTTACCTGATATTTCTTTATCCAGCTATTAAGGGCTGCGTTTCCTTATCGCTTGCTCAGACTTCTCTAATACTTCTTCAGGTCTAACACTTCTCTGGGGCCTTTAATAATCAGGTTTGTTCTGTGTAGAAAACATAAATGAATGCTTACCAGAGTAGGTATGAAGACCTCGTCGATCCGATCCAAGCCATCATTAGCACGGGCATGTGCGATGGTGTCTTCCACATGTGCCTTATTTTGGGCCTGATAGTCGGCCTCGTCCTTTGCATCAAAGGAGATATACTCCTGGTTGAACTTCTGCACCCTCTTCTTCATGGTGGTGCCTACTTGTGCATGAGCTTGGGCTTGCTCCGAGGCCGCCTAAGCCTTCGGCTCGCCCAAGCTGTGTACGGATGTGAGCGACAATGTCATGGTATGCATGTCATTCCAGCCTTCATAGATGGGCTTAGGCTGCTCCTTATCGCCGGGCACGATATGTTGAAGAACATGATTGGCTCCTTCGTTAATAGTGTTGGCCATCTTCGTGGTTGCTGATGACAGCTTTGACTTGGCTCTACCAAGCATGGACTTGCTTACAGCAGTACCAGAGGCCGTCCAGACGGGTTTCTCGTTCTTGTTGTTTGAGGGAGACATTTCGAAACTCTTTGGATTGGAATTATGAAGCAGCTCAACGTTGTGAAAAGGAGATTAAATAGTAGTGCTGGAAAGTGATCCAAGTCTGTCTTAGGACCCTATAAGGTCTGTCTAGTAGTGTACATCCACTTTTAGTCACTTTGAATAATAGTACAGTGCTGCTAGGTGATCACTTCTGGATCATCGGAATAATCAGCTCAGTAGCTGCTTCAACTCCCACTAATTATCTGATGTTAAGTACCCTGGTGGCGGTATTAGGCTGTTCACATCAGTGGCATAGTTAAAATCAAAACTATCGACGACACTACCCGCATGCTTCATCATCATTTGAATTATTTCTCTGATAGAATAATCAGTCTCATCGAGATAATTTGGATCGTATAAAGCTTGGTATCCTGGCCGCAACTGCATGACTTGTGACCGCAATATCTCAGCCCGACTTGAGTAACGCGAGAGATCGTCGGCTGTGCAACGGATCATGAGCAATCTGAGATCCTCATCGACTAATGGATATCTCAGCGGATTAAGTACACCTCTTGGTGTAGACGGATAGCTCCCATTATCATTACGTTAGTGCAGTTGTCAATTTAAGAACACAGTGCCTCTCGTGGTAAGATATAGCATAGTAGAGCGATCAACATCCCGTCAGACGTTGAGATAAGATGATTATAACACTTACGACAGAGTGATATAGACCACAACATACGGTCTGGTATTCTTCGGTCCGCAAATACTTCTCTCCAGAGAAGTCGTCCCAGATCGCCGTTCTCTGAAACTTCCATGACGATGGTCTGCTCTGCTAACACACTCAAGTATCTACCTCGCCGGGAGGCCCTGTCCAACAGCTGTCTTGCTAGCCATGCACGAAATGAGCGACTACGAGATACGATTAATTGCAAGATGTACATAACACCGCGGAAGGACTATAGAAACACCAGTCCTTCTGCAACTGGTATTCTAGCTAGGGGGAGTCACCTATAGGTATGGTATTTCGGACTGCAGATTGGTTTCAGTGTCAGCACCGAAAGCGCGTTCAACCACAAGGCTTCTTGATCCATTCTTTTTGTCCGCAATGCGAACTATGAGCCCATATGCCGATCCAATACTCCTTCGTAAGAACGTCTTTGCCGTATGGATACATTTTCCTGAAGTCATTTCTCGTGCTTACATGGGGACAACCAACTACGATGCGCCCGCATCACACAAAGGCGCAGTCAAAAATAGACACAATCTGACTCTTCCAGAAGTTGCGACAATCATCAAACGTCAAAAAGGAGCCAACAACACTTGTTGTCGTACATGCCGAGCCAAATTCATGAGATGGTGTGTTGTGGCACGCAATCCGCGATCATGTAAAAAATAATTCATAGTACCCGTACATGATAACAAAGGCACGTCTCAACAGGCAATCTTGTATTGATTGAGTCATGGATTCGACAGAGAAGTCAGTACATGCGTAACTGTAATCGAAAAATGTTGTTGTATTCAAGAATCGGACGCGACGCCAGCTCATGGCAGCTCGTGGGACTATACTAACTAGACTGATCTAACCTTAGTAGTGGTTCTTCTCTCGTCTTGGCACAAAGAGGTAGGCGCGTGCGCAGGCCCGGCGCCTGCACCGGGAATGAAGGAGCCGGCAGGATTACAATTGGTAGGCATGAGCGGCCAACAAATTGATCGTTTACCTACTGCCGAGCTGTGCCTCTCGGCGATTTGATCGATATTGGACCCAAAATCTGCATTTTCATGGTTATTGACCGTTATGACTCGTGTGTCGTGGTCATCCTTGTTGTCAGTGCAAGGGGGTCCCCGAAATGAGTACCCCAGCACTCGAGGTTAGCCCCAAGTTTGCTTAGTGCTTGGCGGCAAGCTTCTGCGCAATTGAGGACGTCGGGGGTTTTTCTCTCGTCTGCGCCACCGTTTGGCCATCCATTGTCATCGCCCTTGAAAGAGAGGAAGATTGTTTTGCCTGGCGAAGTTATCGTCGTCGCATCCATCAAGACGATAGAGGCCAAAGAAAATCCTGGACAAAAGAAAGATGCTTGTATCGCAAAGATGCTTTGCACCTGATAGAGTCAGGGACTGCTCTCCCTGCCATTCAGACCGGAGATGTTCGAGAACGATTTGCCTCACTCCAGCGAGAGTATCGGCAGCGTGATTCGATGCCAATCACTACAGATCCGAACCAGGTCGTGCACCGCTGTTCGCTTCTTGCCGTCGTTGGTATCTATTCTGGGGACCGCGACAGGGCATCAGCCGGATCGTCCTGACGTCTGTCGTGCCGACACGCACGTCTTGGTCTGAACTTCGGGCCACTATCCCTGCTGGTGGATCTGTTTCACGATGCTAGCGCGGCTTCACCTCGAACAACGTTGTTTATATGATTCCCTGGCGTTCGAAACTTCTCCACTCTAGTCATTTACGCGACGGAGCATTCGTCAACTGCCAATGTCGGCGCATGGCCGTTGGGATCCATGTTATACCACTTCCTCGGAGGCACTAGGTCATCGGCCCACCCATCAATCTATCAACGACTCTAGAACCAACTCAATAGCCCACTCGAGAGCAATATTACCAATCTGCAGCTCTGCGATTGGATCAAGTATGGGTTCAGGGCATGGTCCTGAGAGTATTGACCCCAGTATGGAAAATCGGCGTCCATTTACAGACAAATATTCTGTATCCACCATGCGCTCCCCCTGAACATGAGGCTCAGAGTATATCTACTGCTAGGAGAGTCTCTCAACACGATGACCTCTGTTCTGTTTCTTAGACCTTTCTGCTCCTCAACCTTTCATTCTCAAGTCGTTTGACATTCAAACGCGTTCTTTCTTTAAGCCTTGACGGCTCATTTGTTCATTTCTTCCACATTCTTTCATCATGAAGTTCTCCGCATCTGTCACGGCCACGATGGCGCTAGGCGCCTCGGCCGCTGGCACTGTCAACTATACTGATACCAACACTGGTATCTCATTTTCGGGTTATAGCGATGGAAAGGGGTATCTCTTCGGTATGGCTCTGCCCGAGACTATCGGCACGGACGCCATCATCCAATTGGTTGCTCCTGCAACAGACGGTGCGGGATGGGCTGGTTTCGACTTTGGTGTTGCTATGGCCAACAAACTTCTGCTTTGCTCATGGCCCAACGGCGACGATGTGGTCACATCCGCTCGTGTTGCCACCGGCTACACCAACCCTCCCGAGTACACTGGTGACATCTCATTCTACCCTATCGCCGATGGTACATTCGTTAACACCACTCACTACTCGGCAACATTTCTCTGCTCCGGATGTATTACCAACGACGATGATACCTTTCTCACAACCGACACCCTCGCCACACTCGGCTGGGCTTACTCCGCCACGGCGCCGACCACACCTGCTGATACAGCCAGCGCCTTGAACTACCACGCTGCCGGTTTCGGGGGTTTCGGTATGACGCTCTCTTTCGCACAGTCCGCAGAATACGAGACCTGGGCTGCTCTGGCCAGCACGACCGCTTCCTGGCCCGCTACAACCAGTGGCGGCAGTAACTCCACCATTGGAGGCAGCACTGGCGGCAGCAACTCTACCGTCCCTAGCAACAGCACCACCACTGTGACCTACTCGAACGAGACCTACGACTACATCATTGCAGGTGCCGGTCCTGCTGGTTTGGTCGTCGCTGGCAGACTTGCAGAGTCTGGTGCTTCCGTCCTTCTCATTGAGCGTGGTGGTGCCTCCACCATGTCTTCGGGCGGTGATGCTACCTTAACCTGGAACTCTAGCGTCACCCAGTACGATGTGCCAGCTGAGGCTTACTACCTTTCCACGGCTGCCGTCACTGACGAGTACTGCACTGACACCGCTTCTCAAGCTGGTTGTCTTTTGGGAGGTGGCGGTATGGTCAACGCTCTGATGTATGTCAAGCCCCAGGACAAGGACTTTGACGACAACTGGCCTACCGGCTGGACCTCTTCTGACATCTCGGCCGCTGCTGAGCGCCTGTACGCCCGCAGCTCCGGTACTACCTTGCCTTCCGCCGATGGTAAGCTATACGACCAGGGTGCTTACGATGTGCTGTCTTCTTTCTTGAGCGCCAACAACTTCACCTCGGTCGATGCCATTGAGCAGCCCAATGAGAAGATCGATACCTACTCTCATCCTCCTTGGCTCATCCAAGACGGTATGCGTGGCGGTCCCGTCAAGTCTTACCTTCCCCTCGTTCAGGATCTCTCCAACTTCAAGCTCAGCCTGAACACCAAGGTCATCCGCGCTGTCCGTGAAAGCTCTTTCATCTCTGGTGTTGAGGTTCAGTTGGAGGATGGCACCAACCAGATCATCAACGTTACTGAGTCTACCGGAAAGGTCATCCTCGCCGCTGGTACTCTGTCGACACCCAGGATTCTGTTCTACTCTGGTATTGGGCCCACTGAGCAGGTGGAGGCTGTTCCCTCCGATGTCACGCTTCCCGCGTCTTCCGAGTGGATCAACCTTCCTGTCGGCCAAGGTGTCAAGGACCACACCATCATCACCTTCACCATGAGCTCTAAGACCGCCATCGATGCTCTCACTTCCGCCAACTTCACTTCCCCTACTGAGGATGCTATCTCCCAGTTCGCTCAGGGTTCCGGTGTCTTGACCCAGGGTGGGCAGCGCCTCAACTTCTGGACCTCTGTCGTCTCCCCCAGTGATGGAAAGACCCGTTACATGCAAGGAACCTGCAACTCTCCCTCTGATGACACCATCAAGGTCAAGCTCTATGTCACCCACGGTCTTACCTCTTCCACTGACTTGGTCCTCGACTCTGCTGGTACCTCCACTCAATTCTCTGGCTCCCCTTGGCTCCAGACTGATGGTGACATTGAGGCTTTCCAGGTCATGTTTGACCGATTCATCCAGGCGACTGGCAAGGATAACTCCACCTTGACCCTCCAGCTTGTTGATGGTACCGCTGTTGGCTCTGACATCACTGGTGCTACCTACTACGACAACGTCAAGTCTACCTACACCACCGGTGCTCACTTCGTCGGTACTGCCAAGATGGGTACTGATGATGGACGCACTGACAACGGTACCGCGGTCGTTGACTTGAACACTCAGGTCTATGGAACCGACAACTTGTTCGTTGTGGACGGCAGCTTTCACCCAGATCTACCCACAGGTAACACTCAGGCTATAATTCTCGTTGCCGCAGAGGCCGCGGTTGAGAAGATTCTTGCCCTCGACGGAAAGACTATCAGCGATAGCGGAGCTTCAACGGGCTCATCAGGAAGCGGTACCTCGACTGGCAATGGGGGCTCAGCAAGCACAATTCCTTCAAGCTCTCCCAGCTCAGTCTCAAGCAGCGCGCCCACCAGCACGGCTTCGTCTAGCCCCAAGACTGGTAAGTGCAAGCGCGCCGCGAAGGCTCTTCGCGAGAAGGAGGCCAAACAGAAGCGTGAGCAGCAGGAGAAGGCTGTCAGGGGCGCCAGGCGCCAGGTCCGTAGCCAGTCCCACAAGGCCTACAAGAAGGGTCTGAGCAGCCGCCGCAGCGAGCTGGCTGAGATGTACGAGATGTAGATTGATTGGTTCTTTGGATGTTCGCCTGTTGCATTTACATGGTGGGGGATCTGGGGCAGGGGGTTTACCTGCATTAGCCATTGGATGGATGGTATTCCATTTCATTATGTATATATTGATTAGCTTCAAAAACTGTAAAGTGTTCATGTTGCATTAACTCCCCTCGGCGATGACGTATGATGCTAAACCCTGTTCGTAAAATTGGTCTCTACTGATGTCTACATACCGTGCATGATTTTCCTTTGACTATCCTGAGATTCATGCTCAGTTGATCTTATCTCACAGGCCTAATCACATGCCATCTAGCGTTAAATGGGTCACATTCTGAAAGGGAGCCTATCAATGGAAAAGAAATGTGAGGCCGACTTACGTACTAGCCGTGAAAGAACATTCATGGAAAATAAGAAGCAGCTCCAAACAGACAAAGCGGTAGACAAATTGGACATGACGGCGGGAATGAGAACCTTATGGCAAGCTTGTATGGAAGTATAGCAGATTTTAATGTTTTCCTCATTTGATAACGTAAGGAGAAGTCAAGGGCCCAAGGCAAGGACCAACCAACTGATAAGGATTAATATCAAATGTAATGCTGGTCTAGGTTGACGATACTCGACGAGCGGGCTATGGCCACCCCAGCCAGTTGCCAACCTTAAACTTTAACCGGTAATAAAATTTGCTAAGCACTAACAAAAAATCAATTAAGAAGTTTTAATGTTTTATTAAAACTGGACAAAGCTTCCCATAACATAGCAAACTTAAAGTCCCTTAACTCGTCTATCTTTATTATAAACTCTATTTCAGCCTTAATTTACTAATATAGACTATTGGCATATCTTTAACCACTACGAAAGTAGTCACTAAAGTAGCCACGAGCACCTGCTCTTAATCCTTCTATTTTTTTTGTAAAGGCTCGCACCTTCCCTGGCTAGATAGCAGCTTCCTTTAAGCCACTAATAACCACTTAGTAAGCTAACTTTTTCTTGATTTGATATAGACATCTGTCATACCATTACATTTGCCCCATCTCGCTTCACTATGCAAATGGAAATCACTCGGTCGTCTATACTACGCCATATGATGCTTGTGGTAAGGTCAAACAACATAATAATACACAAACCACAAGCGAACGAAGACATAAGTTTTCGAAGCAGCTTAGCATCTTTGATTGCTAATAACATCACTGGATAGTGGAACAATCATGGTATTTCAACAGTCAGGTGTAACGCGCATTCCACCATCGCATCTTGCGACTTCTCCTTAGTCAGCATTGCATATCTGCCTTACAGCTTCCCTCTAGTCGACAAATCAAGAAGCTTAATAGCTTCACGATTACACTTATAAAGGCAAAGAAAGAACCAAAACCATTAGAAGTATGTACCGCAGCTACCTTATTACACCTTTTTAAATATCTGTCTTTCCATCTAATCTTTAGTATTATTTTCTTGATTTGTACTTACTTGAAGAATTGGGTTGCTAAAGGAATATAGAGCTTCCCCAAAGAACAAAAGATCCCCCTAAGAAATATTATCGCTCTTTCGGGGATTTTCTATATGCATTTGCTAAATATTGATGCAAAGGGCCGTCATGGTAGAAGGTCTGACTGGCTTTGGTCGCGAATGCAGCTTAAAAGTATGTGCAGTTTCCTCAAGCCGAGCTCTTGCGCTTCTAAATAGTCTTTTTCTTCTTCATTTCTTCCCCCCCAGGGCGCAGTTCTACAACCGCCAAAGCCCAGACTACTGCCTCAGGCGCGCCTTGCCACCAAGCCCTCTCAGGATCCTTTCCAGGACCTGGACCAGCTGCAGATTTCCTAACTGCAGTTTTGCGACACCACTTCTCCACCACTACACACCAATAACTGGGCAAAAATCCCTTTTGCTTCATTCACTCCAATCGCCCATTCCAATCTGCACTTGCATCTAATCACCAAGAAATTCAATACCTTTCATGCACCCTAGTGACATTATCACCTCTTTCGCCCTCACCGCCACCATCACCGTCGCCATCCCCATAGGCTACCACCAGTGTTGACAAAAATGGCGCAGGAGGAGCACGACACGATCTATGATCACGTCAACTTCAAACTTCCGCCGCCGTCCCGGGGCGAAGAATGGCGCAGCATGGGGGAGCTGCCCACTCCCGCAGAGCTCAACCTCAGCTGTGGCGGTCAGGCCACAGAGGCTGACGTTTTTCAGAACGTCAGCCTCATGAGGAATGATGTCTCAGTGCCATACAATGGCACACTGAGATACTTGGAGACACACTACCGTCTCAATCGGGAGCATGGGATCACCTTCCTCCGATACGGTGTGCTCCAGTACAAACGCAACCGGCTGATGATGGACAATGAACACACTTGTGTGTACACAAAGGCAAGGTCACATTGTCTCCACGTTTTCGCAGATGCCTAATTAAACTGACGCTTTCTCACCCAGGTCTTCGTTCGTGGTTACCTGATGACGAGACTGGGGCCTGTCTGTCGCATCCAATTCTCGAGCCAACGAGCTGGCAAGAAGATTCGGTGGACTACCTCGCCCAGATTGACACATGGAAGTGTTGTCGCAATCTCGACAGCAGCAGACAATTTCCAGACCATCTGCAAGGTAGCCACTATTGCAGACCGGCGCTTCAAGGATGGCCTCGACCAGCAGCCCTCCTTGATCGACATTTTTTGGGCCAACATCCAAGACGCGGTCATAGACCCCAGCCAGGAGCTTGTCATGATTGAGTCTCGTCACGGCTTCTTTGAGGCAGTCCGATACACTCTCGTTGGCCTGCAGCATGTTGCAAAATCAGGCAGCCCCATCCTCAAGTACCTTGTGAATGGCAGAAACCTCGATGCCAGCCCTTCCTTTATCATGGAGAATCCCAAGATAGACCTGTCGCCCATCATCCATTACCTGCCTAGAGATAGCCTTGAAAGAGCTCGCCTTCTGCATCCTTACCGCAATTACGATATTCTCGAGGGCATTACCGATGATATTGCGCCCAATACTAGTCTAGACAACTCTCAGTTGCAAGCCGTCCACCGCATCCTGACCAAGGAGCTCGCCATTATACAGGGCCCTCCTGGTACAGGTATGTTACTCCCCGCCATGAAGTTCGGTTCATATTGGTTTTCATACTAACGTCTGAGGCACAGGTAAGACGTTTACGTCTGTCGAGTCCCTCCGATGCATTGTCAGTACACTCACGGCTGGTATGACAAAAGAACCCGATCAAGTCATTATCGTTGCTGCAGAGACGAACCATGCTGTCGATCAAATACTCACTCATTTGATCAAGCACGACATCAAAGTCCTCCGTCTTGGTGGTCGGACACGCGACGATGAAATAAAGAAGTACAGCTTGTTCAACCTGAGAACCCGTGCAATGAAACGTAGCTGGAAAGACCTGAAGAATATCGAGACAACTCGCAAGAAACAAATAACAGAAATTGAGAATATTATCAATGAGTTCTTCCCTCGAGAGCTACTTGACCCCAGCATCTTACTCGACGACAAGCTCGTTACCAAGGAACAGTACAACTCCCTTATTAGAGAAACTGGGAACTGGCAGCCTCCGTCTAGAAGACCATCAGGTGTCCTGTCTGAATGGCTGGATGAATCCTTGCAGGATATCTCTATCAGCCGTACTCATGATCCCGTCTTTAATAACGAAGAGATGTCTGAGGACTTTGAAAATCACAGTCAAAACGGCAGAACTCACGAACCCGATGCCGATGACCCGGCTTCTGATGATGGTGCTGACGACTCACACTTACGGGGTACCTGGATTCCTATCGATCGAAGATGGGGCGGCGCCAATCCCCAGAACATTCCTGCAGACAATATTCTCATGCGCCGACAGATGAAGAAGCAGGACCTTTGGGATGTCGACAAGAAATGGCGGGGTCCTATCTACGAGCATTGGCATAAGCAGGCGCTAGCCAAGCGTTATGAAGCTGTAACCTCTCTACTCTCCACTTACTCTCAATTATGTAAGAGTATAAAAATCACTGGCTGGAAGCGCGATGTACAGTGCATCAAGATGATGAACATCCATGTCGTCGGCTGCACGACTACTGGCTTGTCTAAGTACCGTGGTCTTCTCGCCGCTTTGAAACCCAAGACTATTCTCATCGAAGAAGCAGCTCAAAGTCGCGAGGCACATATCGCCGCAGCTTTGCTTCCTAGTCTGCAACAGCTCGTACTCGTTGGAGATCATCAGCAGCTACCACCTCATTGTGACGTGCCTGGTTTGGCAGACGGTTTCCACAATTTGAATGTCTCCATGTTTGAACGTCTGGTAACTCATATTCATGTTCCCTACATTATGCTAAACCAGCAACGCCGTATGATCCCCGACATCCGCGCTCTTCTGAACCCTTTCTATCCAGCCCTAGGAGACCATCCAAGTGTCTGGGACAAAGCCCACCGGCCAGATGTCCCTGGGATGCTCCACAACTCCTATTTGTTCACCCACGATTGGGTTGAGGGCACAGATGTGGAGATGCTTAGCAAGTACAATGAGGAAGAGGCGAAGATGGTGGTCGGCTTTGCCGTATACCTCATCCAGAACGGCGTCACGGCAAAGCAAATCACGATCTTGACATTCTACCGCGGCCAACGCAAAATCATCATGCACTACGCACGGAAATCTCTTGTATTATTGCTAGGCCATGCGAACATTAATGTATCCACTGTCGACTCGTACCAGGGTGAGGAGAATGACATAGTCCTTCTTTCATTGGTTCGCAGCAATGTACGCAACCGTCCTGCTCTTGCTGGATTCGTGGGAGACATGAATCGTGGCGTCGTAGCAATCAGTCGTGCCCGCCGTGGATTCTACGTCTTCGGCAATATACAAAACCTGGAGGATGCTACCGAGACATCGCAGTTCATGTGGGGCAACGTTCGGTCCATTTTTGAACGCCTGGGCCGTTATGATCCCAAAGATTCCCGCCTGCCACTTCGATGCCAGAAGCATAATACAATTACCTACGTTTACAATGCAGAAGGTTTCAATAACACCATTGGTGGCTGCCAGGCGCCATGCCCCGAAGTGTTCACGACTTGCAATCATCCCTGTGGGCGCAAGTGCCATCCCATATCACATGATCAACTCATCTGCCAGCAGCCCTGTGAGCGCAAGCTCCGATGTGGACATGGCTGCAGAGAAAAATGCGGAGACAGGTGTCGTTGTGCTCTCAGGTGTGCGAATTCTGAAGGTCTCATGAGGTTGCCAAACAATGGCGCCGTTAGCGAGACTAGTCAACCAGCACGACGTCCTATCGCTTGGCAACCTGTTCAAGCCACTGGTTCAGCTGTATGGAAGAACTATAATTCCGCTAACGACGATGCTGCTCGACGTTCCGCTGCCAAGGGTATCCCTGATATCAACAAGGTCGGCCAAAGCACCCCGCCCGGGAAGGTTTTGGATGAGCATCGCCAGGTAACGATAAGCAAGAACGGCCAACGAGAGCTCTTGAGCACTAATACACCACGTTTTACCAATTCAAAGAGCTCTCCATTTACAGTATGTAATGCCATCAATACACACGGCAAACTTGTCGACGATCGTGATTTCAATATTGGCCCTGACACAACACCGACCCATTTCATTCGTAAAACCACAGGAATTCGCAACAATCCGATGGATAGCTCAACTGCTATAGTAGCAAAAGGCCGCGATATCAGTTCTTACCAACATGATAGCACTGTACAGGGAGGCTCTGACCTTGGCCGTGGGCCTGAGCCCAGCTTTTCCCCACTTACCGTCACGCGGCGCACTTCGCCAAGTATCAAGCCTAAGAGCCTAGGAGTTCCGCCGCACCAGAGCGGCCGAACGTGGGCAAACCAAGTCGGGATCGGAAGCGAAGATCAAGCATTGGAACAGGAGCCGAGGGACGTTTACGACACAACTCCTAAGCAGCACGCTAAAGCCCGAAGTGCAATCCTGCTACAGGAAAGCCAAACCCAGGCTGATCTTGATAACGTGCTATCCCCAAGCTTTTTTATCCCAGCAAGTCACATAAGCAATAGTGATTCTTTTACTCGTGCTGTGAAGGAATGGGAGCAATCCTCTGATGATGAAGATCGAGATCGAGATCAAGAGTCGAAGAGCGCAAGGCGTTATCAACTAATTCAAGCCACCACCAAGCCCACCGAGAATGACTTTGAGGACCTGATCACATTCTAAACGTGGCCAGCATCCATGACTTTGATCAAGATAGTGGTATTTCCGTCAGATTTTGTTTTCACAGCAAAAGGTAAGCCTGTAACACGTCTCATACCGTCCTATACGAGGTGCTTAATGGCATAATCTCATTTCACAACAGCACTAAAATATGTAGTGCTTCGATACGGCATATGTTTGTTGCACGTTTTTCAACCATCTCATCCGGAATTTGTCTTTCGTCTTGACACCAGAGCGGACAACCTAAACGATAAAGTACTTCTTGTTCTTTGGTCATGCTGTGATATCTGTGAACTTTGCTCGTTGCATTATTTCTTTTATTTCTTTGACTTTGTGCAAAGACAATACACTCTAGCAGTCCCATCCATGTATTGACTGGTAGGCGGTGATGGAGAGTGTAAAAGGCATGAAAAACTTGTAAATAACTCTTCAGTACTCTGATCATGTAGGATTAGTCTAGTTAGTGTTTAAGGACAAGAAATGGTAGAGTGTGTTATGTCGAAGAATCTGCTGAATATAGATGTAAAGTGATATGCGACATGTGACATGCTGTAAGGGCAGCGGAGTTTCTATTCCACACTAAGGCAACAGCTTGCGCTGAACACGCATAAATTCAACCAGCTCTACACGCCGTTGGAAATGATAGCCTCCTATTATGCGTTAACAAACGCTGCCCTTTTCTCGCGAAATTCGCAATATGGGGACGATTGATTTAGGCCACGGGAGAAATCGGTGGCATATCTTTGCTCAGGCGGAAGAATCGAAGCAGCGATTTGGATTTATGAAGAAATCGTGGATTTCAACGTTGCGCTCTATGTCGCCAATCACCGTTAGCACCGCAATAGCTAAAGCTTAATAGCCTGCCGGTCATCATGTATGGTATACCCCCTGGTGTCCAAGGTAAGAAGCGCTCTCAATTAAGCTCCTGCTCTGATGCCGCCACCTCGACTTGAAGCTTATTAACAGTTATAGTACACCGATGAATTACGAAGAGGCAAGAACAAAGCAGACATTTGACTACTAGATGAGCCTCGGTGAGGGGAGGCCTACATATGCCACAATGTGTAAATTTGGTGATATCGTCTGTTACCTGATCCTAGATGTACAGGGGCTCAACGCAATGAGACCCAAGTTCTGAGCACTAAAACGTAGTCTGTGAAGATGCCAACGTCGGCAAGCTTGATCAATTCGGAACTCGCACCGACTTGCTTCAAGGAATCAACGATGCAGTGGTCATATTTAATGCGTACAGAGGCATCACAAATAACCACGACGTAGGCACGCTGGCGATATTGGGCAGTTGGCGTGCCGGCTATTTGTGGCGGTACCAGTTCCGCTTTTGCCAATATCTCGTTGCCCACAGATACGGTTTCGAGCTCTGACGCAACTTGGTCAGTATCAAGTCTGAAAATCGAGCGGGAGGCTGTGCTCCTTGATATCGATGTACATAGCTATGTATCAGAAATAGCCGGGACGTAATTTACGGGCGTCCAGGTGAAACCCCAGAAGTGCTCAAAGTTTCATCGAGGCCATACCTATAACTCCGGAAGGGAAAGCTGGCAGCGTCGATATTGATACTGGCAGTCATGTACTGTGGACAGTCATTCGAAAATTGAGATTGGGTATCGTGAGCTGAGTGAGTGGGAGAAGATGTACGCATTGGCAATTAGCAAAACAGAAGGTTACACGCCGAATGTACAGCTTCCACCAACCACTAATTACAACTACGTAACCTTAGGTTAGTCCACTAAATAGTACCAAACCCCGTAATAAGCCAGCGAGGCACTCCATATCTGGAATATGCTCTTCCAAGTCTTTTGGTTCTCTTGGGCTAATTGCTATTTCGCAAATGTTGCAAATGTAGAGTCTAAAGGCACATTACGTAGTCCATTGAACAGCTGCACCGACGATACACGGTTGAAGCAACTACAACCTCGCAACGCGGTCACATTCTGCGGGTCAAGACGGTCCTTGATGATACTGGTAACTATGTGTATGTTCTAGATATATGGACCGCTCATGTCCAGTTATGCATAGGCCAAATAATATCCTCCAATCGCTCTAGGTCAATATAATCTAAGTACATCAAGCTTCTAGTTATTTGCTATGTCAACGCAACGGCACCCACATCAGACTTTGATTCCGGCTCAGGGCTTGCCTCGATGACAAGATCCCAGTGCCTACTGAATTTCATCGAAGCCCGCCACCGCTGTCACCTCTCCAGATCCAACTGCTTCACAAGCAGAGCCATATCATCAATGCCCTTGACTTCCGCCGCCAGGTCCCACAGCATTTTGTCTGAGCTGATATAAAATGGAGTCTTCCAGGCCAATTGATACAGCCTTACCTTCAACTTCCGCACCGTATCCGCCGTCTTAGCCAGAACATCGCGCATCAACACTAGATCCATCTCCCGCATACCAGCATCTTTCCTACGCAGTTCCCGGACAGCATTAAAACGCACATGCCCGTCCTGCGACGGCCTAAGCACCTTGGCGACATATTCTAAGCCCTGAACGAGGATATTTTCCACCCCGAGCGCCAGATCTACCGGAAACACCGTCTAAGGACCCCTCGTCTTGTCGATGCGGGCCAAGAAGCGCGAACAGGCCTTCACGAATGCCCTTCCGCGCCTGCGCCCCACATCCGGGCTCACCTCGAGCTCGAGCCCGTCGGGATCGGTCCGAGACGCTGCAGCGGCTGTGCAGGCGATGTCCCGCGCGAGTAGCTGTCCGAAGGGGTCGCCTACAGCGCCGAGCACGCAGCTGTATCTCCTGTTGTACCTAGGGTTCTGGTACGCCGCGCCGATGGCCTCGGAAACCAGCTGCAGCATCTCGGCGCCCTCGGGGCTCGGGCGGGAGCGGAAGCCAGCCCACATGTTCGCAAGGGCTGCGAGGATGCTTATGGTGTCGCGGTGGGGCCCGAACGTCGCCACGGCGAGGGCGGCTAGGATAGTGCCGCGGCACTGATCGGGCGTGTAGGACCGGGTGCACTGGGGGCAGACCAGCAGGAGTTGTTGGTCCTCGTGTGGCTCGATGAGACTCTTGATTAGGAGGCGGCTAATGAAGAGGCCCGGGACGCCGCGTTCGCTGTGCGTGCAAATATACGAGAACGTTGGGCGTGGGCGTCCCGACCCTGGTGCTGTAATTACCTTTACGTACCAGGAGGTAGGTGTAGTCTCCAGATTTTATGGGTAAAGAGACGACACAACTGGAGGTGTCGAAGAGGGTTTCGAGCATTACTGATGTACCTGCGGGTTCGGCAGAGGTCGCAGGGGCCTCAAATCGCTATGTGCGTTTGAGTGGAATGACTGGGGTGGATTGTATCGTTTGCACACAAATGAATCAACACTGTGGGAGAGTCTTACGGTTTCTGGAGTAAGAGTAAGTGCGTTGCTTCGCAATCTCAGCTACCAGGATGATGTCGAGACAGGCCCGTCTCGACCATAATTTCCTTTGTTACTCTGATTCACACAAGCAATGGTCGACTTGACAGCAGATGTCTATGCTTAACAACCAGTGCAGTAATTCCATGAGGAGATTGTTCGATGCAGTGGATGATCGTGTTTAAGATCTGCGAATATTCGCTACGAGTAGACAATGGAAGGGAAAAGTGATACTCTTCGAGTCATATTTAATGCGTACGAATCGCATCTTGAATACGGATTATAATCGACGTGAGGCAGATGACTCATGGTGACTGTGGTTATGTTGCTTCGTGGTGTCAATAATTAAATCAACGCACTGCCGCTGGATGAGGTGGTATCTTACAACCGGGGTCGCCGGTTAATTGGGGCAGGACGAGAGTATATTACCTATTAGCATCAGCTCGATATTGCAGCTTCATTCAACTGTTCCCAACAAGTAACCTGTAGGGACTTTCAGTACTGTCATTGCTTTCAGCCCCAGGTTTAAGTGTGCCCTATGGACCCCACAGGCTAGAATAATAGGGACGAATACAATCATAGTGGGCGTTACCATATCCTGGACGTCCTATTCCACACTTGAAGTTGCAAGATCATCTCTTAACGGAATAATCAGTACTCAAACAAGCGCAAACTCCTGTAGCTCACCACTTTGCATCCATGTATACTGGTCTTGTAGCAACTTAGGAACATCTTCCATATCCAAACGCCAATCGTCGAAAAACCAATCGACATCATGATCGCTGAACTTGAACCACCCTATTCTCTGATACGTGCCGTCTCCTCGATTCAAGACGAGAATCCCAAAGATGCAACGGCAGGGTGGCATCTGTATTCCCCAGATCCGTTCATTTATACCCTTCTCCGTCTTTTCGCTCGGTCCCGACGCGATAGGAAGAGCAAAAAGCCCTTGGGATCCCGCCACCATGGTCTCGAAAGCTTCTTCTCTACGATCGATGACGGTTAGCGCGGCCAATCTCCGTTCTCGAAAAGCCACATCTGGGTGCTCATAGTTACGCCTGTGCAGGCCTCTCTCGTCGATAAAGTCTTGTGCAATGCGTTGATGGGATTGCGCAATCTCCATCCTGGTCGCGTCTTCGAGGTTTTCCAGTCCTAGTGACTTTTCCAGGGACAACCTGACAGGTAATAAACGACCACGCAGCCGGAGTTTGCCATGGTCAACAGCGCCGAACGCCACCTTCTCCGTGGCCAGCTTAATCTTGTAGCCAAGAACCTCAGTATCCTGATCGGTTTTCAACCCATTCGCCAGGAAATTCTTCCCAAACTCCCATGCAGCTCCTTGGTGCTCTCGGCCCCAGGTATAGCTAATGACACTGCTGACTGAGGCCCATGACCAGCTTGGGGCTGCCGGCGGGTCCGACGGTATACCGTCCTTTTCAGCATTTTCTGAGTAGACGACCCACAATAATCCCAAGGGCATTGTATCACGCCAGATACCGGCGATATAGTTCTCTTTGCCGCCAAATGCCTGGGCGAACGAACTCGCAATAGCTGAGAACGCCGGAAGACGATCTTTTTGAAAGGAGAGGCCGAGGCCGGAGTAGAAGGTCAGGGTCGAGCACCAATACCCGTAGACCCCTTCCATCCCGGGTGGTACGGTAGAAGTATTGGAGTAGACGTTGAAACCATTTGACAAGCGCCGGAACCCACGTGGCTGAGATTTCGAATTGTCGCTCGTTGCAAGAAGGTCTGCGACAGACCAACTGGTGAACGGAATTGAATGATGTTCATCCAATGGCTTCCAGCTATCGTTGTAGATGGCGACTGGTAAGCCCGGACGGGTGACCTGTATACGCGTTGATAAGATCCCAAACTCGATGAGGCGCTTGGATAGTGCGCGTTCCTGGAAACACCATGCACGTAAGATCAGCGGGTCGCGAGGAGTGCCGTCAGACGCCGCCTCGCTGATCTTCATATTTGGCGACACGTGACCAACCATATCTGCAGCAAGGAAGCACAGAACAGACTCAGCGTGGTCTCCATCCGGTAATTGTAGCCAAAGGCAGAACGCAAAGGAGGCATTGTCTTTGAATGGGAGACGCTCTTGTAGAAAGCCTTCCTCGACCGAGCTTGCCCGCGATGCGCTAATTGTCAGTGATGCGTTTTCATATATCTGGGCCATGACCGCCAGCTCTCGCCCCATATCTTCGTCATCGTCTTGAATGATGCATAGTGCATCGATCCAGAGATATTTGATGTCGAACTTTGATGCGACTGTTATTGCGTCTCTTAGTGTCATCGGCAAGGTCTCAAAAGCAATCCCTTGTGTGAACTGTTCGAAGGCCGTCCTCGTCAGCTTTAGTTTTTGATCCCCTCCCCAACAATAAGATAGCGCGGCGTACCCGAGTCCGTCTGAGGCGTTTCTATAATCAACTAATTTCACTTGGGTGAGAGGTCCATGGCCTGGGATGTCGAACTCGATCAATCTCGTGGGCACAAAGGAGCTTTCAACCACTTCCTCAGGGTGCATGGGTTTTACCCTAAAGAATTCTCGCGCCCTAGCAATCGATTCATCTGACCCCGGCTCGAAGTCAAAATACCGCGGAAATTCAGGATAAGCAGAGCCAGAATTCACAATCGTCTGGAATAGGTCAATTCCAACGTTGTCATCAGATATATGAGCCCCCTCCACATCGTCATCGACCTGGAAGTGCAGGCAGTGGAAGGGCCGGTACGGCTCGACGAACCAGCGAAACCGCCATGTCGATGAGGGCTGTTTGCCGGGCTGCGCCTCAGTACAGATGAAAAGGCGCTCCTCAATATCGGCGTCCGACCTAGGCGCAGAGTTGACGTGTTGGCCGTAGAACGGCTTGAAAAGGTCGTTTCTTTCGACACTGGTTCCTCCATCTCTAAGATGCTTCACGATATTCTCGGTCTTCTTCAATATGTAGGCGAACAGACGACATCCTGCTTCCGCTTTCTTTCGTGCTTCTTGTGGCGTTACACTCAAGAAGGTATTTAGCGTTTTCAGTTGGGAGCGAAGATAAGATGCAAGATCATCATCTGTGTCTAGAGCGGCGACAGATTTGGCAGATGCGAACTTTTTCCATGCCTGAAGCGTCTGTACTTCTGTCTCGCTATCAACAATAATGGCTAGGATGAGGGATTTGCAATGAACACAAGTGTGAACAGCTGGGAGTTGCTTTGGCATAGTGGCCCGAGTCACCACGCTGTTGAGTTATGAATATAACTATTTAACGCGAGTTGGCGAGGACGATGGGTTCCGTGACAACGTTTGCTTTGGAAGGAAATGGGACTACTTGCTCACTCAGCAGCCACGAAGAACGCTAACGCAGGACGACTTCGAAATGATATCATATCATTGGTTGAAAATCGGAGGCGCGGTGATTGATCCACTGGGCCAGGCTTCCCCCCAGTTTGACCAGCATGGTGATGAGCGGAATGTCAACATACATGCCAGACTCACCTGATAGAAACCCAAAGTATCTAAAGTGATGGATGGTTGCATATTGATACCTATTCCGTATGGTTGAAGGATAGCCTCGTAGACCCTTCGAGGTTAGTTGCGCGAATAACGATGAGTCGTCCAAGAGTAGCCAACTACGTACGCTAGCCTTGTTGCCGGGTACACATCATTTTCTTTGTAAAGTCGTGGTAGATATTGACACTAGGATTCTACATTAAATGCACACGGCAAAAAGTTGTCAAGTTTTCAGCTACAGTGGATGCAATTAAGAAATGAAAGAAACCAGGTATCTGAAGACTATTTGCATCGTAACTCATGATTCTACTGTGCTGCTGCTACATGAACTTTTACCCTGCCACAATCTGTGCTGCCAACATCTCCATCACCTTTGTTCGTCGTAACATGAACGATGCCAATGCAAAAATTGTCCTTATCGCGCCACTATAAGACCTCTACTCGGTATTTCATGTCCTGGATTATTTCTAGAAATGGATATAGATATCCACCTTCCATGAATCCATGTTATTGAAAACAGTTTACACCGTTAGAGGCTCGAACCTGCCGTTAGGTGGTGGTATGGTAGCCTTTTCAGATTCAGCATCTGCCAGTCTCTGTGCAAATGATGACCTGGCTCGCAAAGAAGGTCCCTTGAAGTACACCCAGAAAGTGGCGGCAACGAGAAGCAGGCTGATGAAGGCTAGAGCCGTATTGGCCCACTGGAGATATTGATCAGTGCCCTCCTGGAAGGCCTCATAGAAGGGGATGGCGGCCCAGGTGAGGATACCAGCCAGAAAGTCGCGAGCGAAGCCGTTTCCACCAGTTGCGGACGCAGCAAACTCACCGTAACTAGCAACAAGATAATCTATGGTGCCCATGTAGACAGAGTAGTTGGCGATACCGATGATGCCAGATGCGATGACTGGTAGGATCCAATGGAGGCTTGCGTTGGACGTCCAAGCAAACATGACCAGGCCGATGGGCAGGCAGGGGGCCGTATACATCAACCACCACATGCGTCCCTCGTAGTTGGCAAACTCGTTGCCGGGGTCTTGTCGTCTCTGATTCATATTGCGCTTGATGGCGGGGATATAGGAGAGGTAGGCGAGGAAATAGCCAAGACCGATTGCGATAAAGGTCAGGCCGACTTGTGAGGGGGTGAAGCCCCAAATTTTGTAGACGAGACCGAAGGATTGGAAACCCATAAAGATGAGGGCGTCGCTGAAACCGGAGAGCAGCGAAAGCACCGCGACGATGGGCTCGGTGAAAAACATCTTGAACGGTCGGATCCAGAGGGCGACCAACTCCTTAGGCGCGAGAGTCTCCTTCCAAGTCTTGACCTCCATAGGACCGTATACATTGAGAGTGTTGTCGGCCTTGCGGAGATCCTTGGCATGGTTGGTTATAAGGACCGTGGTACGGGTTTCGTCGACGAGGAAATAGTGCATAGCTTGAACAACTACGCCAGCAATTAGCTGGAGCCACATACACCAGCGCCAGTTTAGATGAGACTCCACGTAACCTCCAACTATAGGACCGAAGATGGATCCACCGACCGAGGAAAATACGACGAATGCCACGGCGTATTGCTGTGTCTCGGCAGTGTACATGTCCGCCACGATACCGAGCGTGACGCTGCCACCGGCAGAAAAGAGACCACCAAGGGCGCGGAAAATAGCGATAAGAGGGAAATTGTTGGCGAGGGCAACAGGTATGCAGCACAGATTGACTAGCAACAACGAGATTTGCATAATCCACCGGCGTCCAAACTCCTCCGACCAGGGAGCCCATAGCTCACAACCAAACGCATATGTAACCAAGAAAACACCAGCTCCAGTTCTGGCAGTCTGCAAGGAAATGCCGAACTCCTCACTCATTCCAACGAGTCCGTTCGAGTACAGCGACGTGTTGAAGTTCATGGAGCATTGCACACAGAAGATGACGATGAGGATTCTCCATTTCTTCCATGTCGAAAAGGCATAACCAAGAACTTCCGAACAGTCGGCATCGGTCAAAATTGTCTTTCCATCATTTGTGTCTTGAATGTGATGGATTGTGGCTACCTCCCCTTGCTGTAATGTCGGCAAGGATGATTTGCCCGAGGAGGGGGAAACACGACCAGTACTAGTGCAGGACTGATTGGCAACCGAAGCGCCTTTAGATGTCATGGATCTCATGATGGGTATTCGAAGCGTCCTGAATCTCAGACGGCAAAGCGATATAATTGAGTAGTGTATCGATTCTGGTAATATTGAGTGTTCAAATAAGGTAACAGATTGATGAACGTTGGGGGAAATAATGTTTTGGGGAGAACGGGAAATTGATGGAACATTATATGGGAATTTTCCGGTAGTACGAGTCGTTTTCGGAGTTCACTGGTAATCTTGGGTTTGTATGTAAATTTGCTCACGTAAATTCAACGTGGAATTCATGAACCGCTTCAACATCGAACCTTACGTCGTTGGTCCATCCGCTGTCAACTGGTACCACAGCACCATTGCATTAAAATCAACAGCCGGATACAACCTTACCACCGGTGTAGGTCATTGAGCGGGACTCCACTCAGCAGTAATACTGGCTCGCTATCTGCCACGCACTTCTACATCATAGATGGCGACTTTCAGTTGGTAGAGAAATGGCCTGCTCATGCCTTTTTGAAAATGCACCAGTCACCCCCGTTGGTATTGGGGTAGAATTGAGCAAAAGCTCCAGAGCAAGACGGCGAGGAGAAACAGTTCAATATGTTGGCTTCTGAACCATTGCCACATGAACAGCATGTATCTGAAGGTGAAGAAAGAGACTTGTTGCTAAAACTCCACGCACAAGAGCGTCTCTATGGCTGGTGTGGCTTCATCAGCCCTAAGTCTCCTGAGACCACATGAGGATATATCTAAGGTTGTTTGATCGAAAGTTAGCCTTGCGCGTCAGCAGAATTAGGAGCTCTTAACAAGGATTTTGCAAGTATACGAATGCTTGAAGGACCGCCAATTTGCGCCTCACCATTGGCATTATTCTACTCATGCAAGGAACAGTGCCGCCGAGCGTCTTACGTCATCAGCGAGATCTAGCGTCTTGACAGATTAAGGTACGCATGGCCGCCGATTCGCGCGGGTGTAGTTCTCCAGCAAATCATAATGTATCAGGTTCCGAGAGAAGGCAAATTTGCGTCGATAGGATGAACGCTGGCGGTTGGACGAAGAGCATCAAAGTTACTGGAGAGAGATGATTTGGTGTCGGCTGACCCCGCCAAATTTTCCTAGCGTGCAAACGCCGTTCTGTTTTGAGTTTTAGCGCACCTTACCCAGCGCATCGATGCCTCACCCAAGCACCCACACTCCATCTCTTATCCCCAGATTATCTCCAAATGCGGCGATAATACCTATGCAACCCACGGTGCGATTGCCGAGGCATCCCCGCATTGTCGGTGCGGCTATATAATAGAGAGGCTCTGAATATTGCTGGTATGATTCATTGCCTCTTGACTCAAATTGTTCGTGTTTAGTCTTAAAGTGTATACCTCATTCGGAACAATGACCCTTTGGAAGTCACCACATCCAGACTTGGAGAGTGAGTCGTCCAAATTCTTGCAGGAATGGCCTCTAATTTAGTGTGCACCTAGTTCCATCACAACTCACAACTTGGGAATGGGCATTCGAGTCCAAAAGATTTTCACCAATAACTGGTCCTCCATCAACGTTAGGAGGCTACAGCGATACTGCCACTCTGGAGAGAATTGATTTCGCTGCAGTAAAAGATATAGCCACCAAGTTGAGCACAGTGCTTGTCCGCAAATATGGCCTCGAACCACAACAGACAGTTTCGTTGTTCAGCACGAATACCATATGGTATCCTGTCGCCATGTGGGCGACGGTTAGAGTGGGTTAGTAGAATTGCCCTCCAAGGAATTGGGACTCGCTAAACATGCTGCATAGGAGGCCGGGTCAACGGTGCATCACCGTCATACACCGTCGAAGAAATGGCTTATGCGCTGAAGACAGCCGAGGCGAGGTTCTTAATGACCTTGCCAGACTCGGTGGACGTTGCAGTCAGCGCGGCAGCTCAAGCGGGCCTGTCGAAAGACCATATCTTTCTCCTAGAGGGCTCTACTCCGGGGTTCCTCAATGTTAAAGATCTCGTAGCGCAGTATGATGTGGAAAGATATTCGCCAGTTCCTTGCTACAAGATTCAGTCGGGGCAAACGAACATGGACGTCTGTGGGTACCTCAATTTCAGCTCTGGCACGACTGGCCTGCCCAAGGCGGTCATGCTGTCGCACCACAATGTCATAGCACAGTGCCATCAACTCCGGCAGCTCCAGCTCTTCCCGGAAGACGGTCGCTATCAAATTCTGGCTGTGATGCCGTTATTTCATATCACAGGGTTGGTACGCTTCTGCCACTATCCAGTATTCATGAACGGGGAGTCATATATGCTCCCCAAATTCACGATGGACTCAATGCTGAAGGCGGTGATCAAGTATCGCATTGAAGAACTAATCCTCGTCCCACCCATTATTGTGCGGGTTGTCCGAGATCCGGTCGTTGATAAGTATCTGTTAGACCTGAGGCGAGTTGTGAAGCGCTGGTCTTCAGGGTCAGCTCCGTGCTCGCCTGAGATCACCGACCAGCTACATGCCAAGTTTCCTGACACTGGCTTCCGACAGGGTTACGGCGCGACTGAGTCTACGGCATGCATCTCATCCCATCCACCATCGCACTTTGACTTTAAGTACGCTCGGAGTGGCGGCTTACTGGTTGCCAATACAGTCGCAAAAGTAATATCGCTGGAGGATCCTGGTAGATTACTCGGAGCCGGTGAGACTGGCGAGATTTGTGCAAAAGGCCCACAGATTGCCATGGGCTATTTGGGAAACGACGCTGCAACGAAAGAGTCATTTGATGATGAGCACTATCTCCACACTGGCGATGTGGGGCACATCACAAAAGATGGTCTTATATATATAGAAGATAGAATCAAGGAGATGATCAAGGTCAAGGGTTTGCAAGTGCCACCAGCTGAACTGGAAGATGTTCTACTGGGTCACCCGCATGTAGAAGAGTGTGCAGTCCTAGGTATTCCGGACACCTATTCTGGTGAAAGGCCGAAGGCCTATGTTGTCCTCAAGAAGAGCTTGGAACCTAGTGAAGCGCTAGGAATGCTGTTGATTGATCTGGTCAAGCAGAAGAAAGTCAGGTACAAGTGGCTGGTCGAGCTTGAGTTTACAGACGCCTTGCCTAGGAATGGCACAGGAAAGCTGCTGCGACGAGTTCTAAAGGCGAATGAAGAGAGACAAAAGTCATCGCGGGGTATATGTGTGCGTGATGTTGAAAGGACTAGAGCAAGATTATGAGACTAGGGTTGTCCCGTATGATATATAGCTTTGCGAGGAGACCATTTCACCGAGATTAAATGAGTATCGCTTGGTACAAAAGAGGTGAGGTACATTGGTACTAGTTTTTACACCTGCGTTCGATCAATTCACAGCGACGATACGTATTTAGCTAAACTCACATAAGTAGCCTTAATCGGCACAACCACCCCATTGTACAAATGCGATCTAAACTTCGCATGTGTGAAATCGCAAGTACCGCCAAGACAGTGAAAGTGGCAATTGAAGCGTCATTCGATAGCATCCGCGTAAGAATCACAAACCTCATTTCCGACGTGTCCCAAGACGGAATCAGAAATCAAAAACCGTCCTTGATTAAAGCATTCTCTACCTCCTTATCGCTCAGATAGCCATTCCGTATCTTCTCAAATGAGCTATTGAGGGACAGCTTTATCAACAATATGCCGAGAGAGAGTACAGTCTCGTGCTGTACTTGTCTAATTTGAAAGTATTTGGTTTCTCGGGCTAAGCCTCTCAGAACAGAAGGTGTCTAATAATACCGGGTGGTTCTTTGCGCGTTTCCAATTGGATTGCTCCTTAGTCCTTGGTTCCTGCGCGGGAACAAGTAGATCCTCTTTGCTCAACTAGGTTTTATCAGGCAAAGGGGTCCTACACAATAAAAGCAAATGAGCAGCCAAGAAAGGGAATGATTGTTTAGTTGACTTATTTCTCATAGATGCAGGCGATGGAGGAAGCGAATAATGCTACATTCGTACAGGAGCGCGTCGTACCAGAAGTTGTCAACTTTCCTAGGTCCACAGGATTTCACTCGAGTCGTGCAGACCGTCTCTTTGGGTCGGCAAGAGAAAAAGACCGAAGACGTGGACAGCAGAATGATCGAGCAATAGTCCGCTGATGATGCTGCCCAGGCAATGGGATCAAGTAGTAGGCTCCGCTAAGAAGCAATCCTGGCCAAGGAGACAGAAAGCCAGTCAATTCCCAGCACTCCCTGCCCGAGGACAACCAGCTCGATCTGAACCATCTCCTTGGTACAAGCAGACCGAAAACCCACCACAGCTTGCAGAAGCAGCTCTTCATTCCAGATCATGATTGGTAGTGGGACCTCCGGAATAGTGAATATATACATTTGTCTCACAGGCTCCCCAATTTAAACTCGTGCAATACAAACACAGATCGGTATCGTAGTCACAAGTAAAGTCCTCTGTATGCTTCAAGACTCGTAAGAAACCGAATTGACCTGGTAATTTGGAGCAGATTCTGTACAAGTTCTACATCGAGTAGGTTACGATCTGGAAGCATGTCTCCCCTCACAATTGTAGGTGCTTGCAGCAACAGCTAGACCCACATAATCCTTGCAGCGACTGATGCGTATCCTGGACCATCTGTAGCTTCGTTCTTGCCCATGAATCATCTCGTCAAGCATTGCAGCTGCACCGGTAGCGCTCAGTCGATAGTCAACAATCCAGGGCAGCCTTTGACGACATCGTTGTCTATTAAACCCTTTCCTCGGGAGCATCCGTCTTCTCGTGCTCTTCGACATGCGTTAAATAACCCTCCTTGGAGATGGCCGCGGCTCCCACCGGATCGTCGAGCGCGTGGGGAACGAGTTGATCGCCGAAGAGCACATCCATCTGCTCCAGAGTGCGGCCCTTTGTTTCGGGATAGAAAAACCAGTAGCAGACCAGGGCAATGAGATTGAACGCGAAGAAGACGTAGAAATAACCGAAGCCGAGCTTGGCCAGCGCAGCGGGCGAGAACTGGGCGAAGACAAGGTTCACAACCCAGTTAGAGAAGGTGGTAATGGCGTTGCCTAGAGCGCGTACTTCGACGGGGAAGATCTCGGCAGGGTATACCCACGAAATGATACCCAGAGGGGTGTAGAACAAGCTGAAAAGGAAGTTCATAGCCACCATGGAGCGGGCCTGGTTGATATTGTTCGGGTCCAAGTACTGAGCTTGGATGGAGTTGACCAACACAGAAGCGGCCAGACCGGCGGCTGAGACGATTAAAGGCTTGACACGACCAACCTTGTCAAGGAAGTAGAGACCGATGGTGCAGTATACGATGGAGAGAGCGCCGCTGATGCCAATGATCATAAGGGATGTCTGGTTGTCAATGCCGATAATCTCATAAATGCGAGGTCCGTAGCTGAACAAGTCATCAGCAATTCCATCGTCACCTAGCAGTGCTGCTTCTTGAAGAGAAAACGTACTAGTTAATAACGTTGATACCCGAGAGGGGACCAAACACTTGCACACCGCATCCAAGTAACAATCTCTTTCTCCAGGATGCCTTTGTAAGGATGGACATGGCAGAAACCTTGCCAATCTCGCGGTCTGCAGCGATGACGTCGCGAATCTCAATGAACTCCAGGTCGATTCGTGAGGGGTCATCGCCTTGTCTGAGCTTTTCAAGGACGGCTCGTGCTTCCTCATGTCTGTCTTTCTCCATAAGCCATCGAGGAGACTCCTGTAAAAACCAGATACCAGCGAGTAAGATAGCAGCAGGAGCACACTGGAAGGCAAGTGGAAATCGCCCTATAGGTACGAAGAGTCAGCGACTAGGGCAAGCAGGCGGACGCGGAGTCGGGGAGGGGGGGATTACATGAGAAGGCGCCGGGAGCAAAAGAGCAGGCATAACCGAGCCACTGAGCGATCAAGAATCCCCAGCTGAGAAACCACTGGAGTAATCCAGAAAGAGCACCTCTCCATCTGGGCATGGACAGCTCGGAGGCGTACATGGGAATCGTGCTGGTCAAGGTGCCTACAGCCATACCGCTGATGAAGCGACCGACAATCAGCATGGCGATGTTGGCAGCGCCACCCTGAAGAGCAGAACCGAGGAGTGATATCATCGAGCCCACGACGATAGTCTTCTTCCTGCCGAGCTTGTTACCGAAGAACTAGACCCATACAATGTCAGCCAAAGGAAGCAACAGGTAAGTTCAGGAAACAAGACAAATACTGACCATATTGAAAATCGTTCCAAGAACGGCACCACCCTGGAAAGAGCTGACGATACCACCGACAACATCGTTGTCGGGGTCGTTGAAGTATTCTTTGAACTGAGGGAGAGAAATGGAAGATCCAATGATACCGGAGTCATAGCCAAAGAGGAAACCTCCTACGGCTAGGAAGGTCGCCGAGGCGATGGTGACAACGTCCCCCTTGACCATGATTGCTGGCTTGCTACTGATCAAAATTGGAAAAGCAATCAGGTGTGATAAGGTGTGATATCTGAGCAGGTGAATTGGAAGTCTTGGGGAGAGTTTAAAACACCGACTGTGCACGTGGGGACCTAAGCTTAAATATACAGAGGTGATTTGGATGGGAAGCGCGTTACAGGGATATCATGTGTCTAGGCGCAGAACTCGACCAAACCCAGGCAAGACTAGACTAAGAGAACATAGAATCGTGAGTTGTAGCCGTTCGAACTCGGTCGTGTACATCCCGAGCCGGCGACAGCCAGACTCTGTTAGTGGCAATAACCTAGCCAACTTTGGCGGAAATCAGATGGTAAAAGTTAGTGCTTGAGGCACCCATAGGGGACGCCCGAGCCCCAAGATCCCCAGTCACTTAGGCCCCAGCAATGCGGGGTGGCTAACCGACCTTCTTACCCCATTTTCAGTGCCAAATTTCACCAGTTGGAGGAGTCACGCCATGGGCGTGCGATGGAAAGACGGCCAAGGTAAATACTTGTCCGGGTGTGCTAGGTTACTCTACACTCCTCCCCCCCCCCCCCCCCGTCGTCAAAAAGATTCGGACCACGGTGGATAAGCGGCTGCGATCCGGTCAAAGGCAAACAATTCCAGCTATACTCTGAGCATCGACCGTGGCGCAACCTGCATCCGCATCTTTTTCCGCTTCAGTAGCACCATCTACCATGGAAGTCGTTCGTTGTGGCATCCACGGCTTTGGCGAGGCCATTGGCATCGACGCTGATGAGGTCCGCGTTTTCTGGAAGCTCAATTTTGCCAGCGAGCATGCGACGCAAGTTGCCTACCGTCTGATCGTATCCAGCGGCAGCAGTATCGATGTGGCACGAGATGGCCTTTGCTACGACTCGGGGCGCGTTGAAAGCAGCGAGCAACGAAACGTCCTCTGCCGACCAAAGGGAGGCTTCAAGTCTACCACCCTCTACTTCTGGACTGTGCGAGTCTGGGACCAGGATGGAAATGAGGCCATCAGCTCCATCAACGAGCTCTACACTTCGTACCCACGGTCGTCCAGGCTCTTGCCGCCGTATAGCATGAACCAGACTTATGTGCGCCTCATCCCCATCCTTCTCCCTGATGGATCTGCTGGCTAACTCCCGCATCTCGGGGCTGTAGATGCCACACTCAAGTCTCATATTCCGAACCTGGTTCGAGGACGAGCCCAACCGCTGGAAGGCCGTATGGATTGGCGACGGCGGCGACAAGCCCATTTATCTTCGCAAGACACTAAGCCTCAACGGCAAAAAGCCATCTCGCGTGTTCGTTTTCGCTTCTGGCCTAGGACACTTCAACCTGAGCATCAATGGTCAGGCAGCTTCGCCTCATGTGTTGGATCCGGGCTGGACCAATTACCACAAAACCGTGCAATTCGTGGGATACGACGTGACGGATAAGTTCGTAGACGGCGAAAACGTCATCGGCGCCCACGTTGGCAATGGCTTTTACGCGGGAGATCAAGGCGATCGTTTCTTCTGGCCTAAGTACGAGGACAACACATATGTCCGTTACGGAAACGAGCTATGCTTCTTTGCGGAGATCCATGTGCACTACGCTGATGGTTCTTACGAGTGTATCATCTCTGATCCCACCTGGAGTGTCCGGAAGAGTGCAACGACTCTTGCCAACATTTACGCATCCGAAGACCATGATAGTCGGGCTTACCCTGTGGGCTGGGATGCGCCAGGCTTCGATGGTGCCGACTGGAAACCGGCAAAGCCTTTGACCGGGCCGAGAGGAAAACTACGATACCAGAGTCAGCCTCCAGTTGTCCTGCACGACACCTTTGTGCCCATCAGCGTGACCGTGGTCAAGCCAGGTGTCATCATGTACGACCTAGGCCAGAACTCATCCATCATGGTGCGAGTTGAGGCCAGTGGGCCAGCTGGCGCACAATATCGTGTCAAGTACTCGGAAACGATCGGCGAAGATGGAATGGTCTTCATGCCCGATCCTCTGTTCAAGGAGTTTGAGACTGGCGTCTACTCCAAAATTACTCTTTCTGGCAAAGGCGAAACTGAAGTTTGGATGCCCGACTTTAGCTTCACCAGCGCGCGATATATTCAGATTGAGGGCGCGTGCCTAAAGACCAAGGACGCTTACCTAAACGACGAGACTGCGCCACTCAATGGCGAGTTTGTGTCAATCAACGGAGAGGATGTGTCCCTCGGCGGCGAAGTTACATTGCCCACAATTCATTCGCTCACACCTCGGCATGTCTCGTCAGCTGCGCAACATCTTGGCTTTGTAAAAACGGATAAACAAGATGTCAATGCCCTTATAAACGCTTGTTACTGGTCATTCAACTCCAACATCTTCAGTTACCATACGGATTGTCCCCAGATTGAAAAATTTGGGTGGTTGGAGGTGTCTTCTCTGCTGTTCCCCTCTACACAGTACATGCGCGACATGGAAGGTGTATATTCCAAGATTTTAGATGACATTATCGACGCTCAAGAGCCTTCCGGCCTTGTTCCAACCATGGCACCATTAGTCCGATACATGTGAGTTTTCCTGATAACAAGCTGCCGCGGGTCACTTTGCGCAGTAACTAACAAGCCTTAGGTGTGGTCCTATGCACGATACAATCACCTGGGGAGGCGCCGTATGCCTGCTTCCTGAACTCATCAAGCGCTACTACGGCAGTACTGCCACCTTTGCCAAAATTTATAAGCCCTGCGTGCAATATATGGAGTACATGGAGCAGAAAGAACGAGACGGCGGGTTGATTGAGCACGGACTTGGAGACTGGGGACGAGATATCGCCTTTGGCAATCACCAAGCCAATATTGAGACGGCTGTTTATTATAAGTGTCTACGCAATGTGGCGATCATGGCCAAAGAACTAGGATTTACCGACGACGAGCTCAAATTCACCTCCTGGGCAGAGCGGATATACGCTGTATATAATAAGAACCTTCTTATCACCGATAAGAAGGACTTCCCATATGCATTCTACACCTCGATCGATAACCCCGGTACTCGAGACCGCACTATGGTTGCGCAAGCCGTCGCCCTCCAATTCGATCTTGTCCCCCCGGAGAACCGAGCCGACATCATCACTGCCTTCCTCGCCGATATCGAAGACTCGGGCCACGTCATGCGAGCTGGAGAGATTGGTCTCAAGTATCTCTGGAACACTCTGGCCGAAGCGGATGTAGACCGGCCCGACATCGTGCTCGATATGGCACGGCAGGAGGAGCATCCCTCGTATATGCGATTCTTACGCCAAGGCGAGACGACGCTTCTAGAATTCTGGCAGGATAATTGCCGCTCGAAATGTCACGATATGCTGGGTACAATCTACGAGTGGTTCTACAGCTACGTGCTTGGAGTTCAACCCCTAACGGACGCGTATCGCACGTGGAGGCTCAGGCCTTGCTTTAAAGCCGAATTCGATTTCATTCAAGGCGAGATCGAGTCGCCCTATGGCATGATATCTGTTGAGTTCGACCGCAGGGGAAGACAGGATGGCAAGGCAGTGGTGTTGGTCACGGTGCCGACTGGAACGGTTTGCGAGCTGGTCCTGCCCGGCGAGACCAGCGAGACCATAATTCGGAGAGACAACACCAAAGAGACCAGAGTCTCCAAGGGAAAGACGTTATCGCTCTTGCAGGGTAAGTATCATTTGGAGATCGTCCCATAGGATAGAGACTTCCGTAGAGCAGATTTACAGTACGATAGAGCATAAACATTATTTGGACCAGCCTTGAAATCTCCTTTCTATCATGACAGTTGACCGCGACTGAACATCTAGGAGCTATCGACCCTGAGCGGTCACGACGCCTACACTTGGCATGGATTACGAATCGTCCCTGGGCGCCATTACAAACCCATGTGTACTCCAAATTTACGCGCGTTGGTATCCAGACCGATGGCAATGGCCTACGGCCGGGGCTGTATCGACTCGTGCCAACATCAGCCGACTGTGAATAACGAAGAAGTTTCCAATGAACATTCAAATCTTTCCCGACCCCCATGAAAAGCTTCGGGCGAGCATCTGTGCCATGCAGCTTTGAATATCGAACGGTGTAACCCCGAAGGACGAGGTCCACCTACTCCAGGATACTATCGCCTGGACGCCCCGATCCAGGCTAATGGTCACCCGACCACGTGGAAGTCCAAGCGACCATCGAATCTGTAATTGTGACTGCCGCACAATGCCACCTGAGATGTCACATCAGTCATGCTACTAACACCCCCTTGTGACAGACGTAGACATAGTAATGCTCCTCCACCCCACATTCTTGATTTAGCACCGGCATTGCGGGTTTCCGATTGGACGCTTTTGCCGGCCGGCTTTGCAATCTGCCAATTGGCCATCAGTTCGGCTTTTAGGGCGTCTTATTGGTTCTCAAGGCCGGCATTGCGCAATTCCCATTGGCGAATCTTGCCAAATGCCAACTTTAAAGCCGGCCCCTTGTTCGACACTCAAGCTTTCTCCGCACCAATACGCCAATAATTGGAGATGGTATGAGGGGAAGTCTGGGGTGCTTCTGAAACGATGTTGCACGGCATGGTTCCCATCAAGATTCAGGATCACGGAGATGGGCCAAGGCGAGGGTGCAGGCTTCTTTACCTAATTGGCGACCAGAAGATTGGGACCGGAGGATCCATTTGGAGCAATCCCAACACCGGCTTTGAGACTTCATCATTCGAGGCTCTTGTAGCTAGCCCCTGTTACCGGGCATCGGTCGTCTTTGCCAACTTTACCCTAGCGAGACTACTATAGCTTTCGTGGCGCGTGAAGACAAGAAAAAAAAAGAAAAAGACCTTTGATTAATGCTGTAGTAGCCGAAACCCTCACTCCCAATAATTGACATTTCTCATATCCATGATGATGCTGTGAGTGACTCGACTCCTCTCAAGATGGATACTCTCGACAATCCTATCGATTCTCATTTCGAGCTGCGCATCTGGAGTTTCTGCGACTTTCTCCTCCAACGCCAAAGCATGCTCGAGTAGAAACTTGACCATCCACCGATCGAAGCGATGAGTGTTTCTGGTTAGGGATTTTATACAATTGTTCTGGAATATGACGAGTCGGTTAATCTGTTGAATATGTTAGCCATTGTGACTGGGAAGCAATTAGGAGACTGTCCGGACCATTAATTCCACACTCGACCAATATCCACGCAGTTGAACCAGTGACTCGAGGTTTGACTCTAGTCGGCGCCTCGAGTCTGGTAGTTCGCTAGCTTCTCCGAACAGATAGGTATGGAGTAGCACGGAAGAAGACACCACCGTGAGATGGCCCACGATGTTGTATATGGCCTCGGCGCCCTCGCGCTCCCGGGATGCGTTCAATATCTCGCAGATGATGGTAGCATGGTACTTGCATCGCTCGGCGTATACCCTACCGTTCCTGGTCGAGGGCCGTCGGTAGTCGAGGTATTGATAGAACAGTAATGTGCAGTAGTGATGATAACCTAGCTGGAAGGCGACGAAAGTCCTCCCCTGGCCAAGGCTTACTTGACCGGCCAGATTTTCGAGGGACCATCGCATTCGTGGTTCGAGGTTGTGATCGAAGGCAACTAGCTCCGCATCGAGACTTCGAACCGCGTCTTCGATTATGTCTTCGTCCCACTCCACTGTTTCTGCAAGGTGTTTGTTGAGATCCTGTATCTGCTTGTAAATCTCCACCAGCCCGACGGTGTGACCCCAAAACCCAGGTTTCCACTCGGATTCGGCGATGTCAGGTTCTCCAGCTTGCATTCTGAAAAAGGCGGTTTCGTCCATCGGTACTCTTGGCCGTTTGGGTTCGAGCCGAAATTGGCGGGATAAATTGGAACCTCCGCTCGCCCAAGTGTCAACTATGAAACAGGTCCACCATACCCGTAGCTTAGTCTCCCTTGTGACCCCGTCGTCCGACTCGTTGACAGCTCTGAGATTTAAAATCTGGGCCATGCGGTTCGCCAGCACTGTCAAAGGATGTAAGCGCGGTTCGGTCGTTATCTTGACCGTACGGTTACGTGAGAGGCTTGCCGAAATATAAAGATTCCGCGTCTGGGTCGGAATCACCCAATAGGATATTTCCTACGAGGATACATGCTTGGATGTTCTCAATACAGATATGCTCAAGATCGTCTTTAAGTAGCTTCTTAGCCTCAGCTGCGTACTTTGGTCCATGAGACCTGACCTCGGGATCCCTGGCGAACCTACACCCTATCAATGCGGGTCGAGTCGAAGCATCGGGGGGCAAAGGTTAACTATACCGTGCGGACAAGCCTATCATGCTCAGTAGAACCGGCTGCGAAACAGTGCCCGCCGCCACGCTTGCCTTGAAGGTTGGCTCGTGGAAGAGAGTATGAGGCTTGTCGTGCATGTACTTGAAGTACAGATCTACGAGATGGAGCACTTCTTCTTCATCGGATTGAGTCGGGGCAAGCGGAGCAGTATGGGAAGCAGCAGGGGGCCGAGCCTCACGACGGATCGCGACGGCCGAGCACGGTAAACTCCTCTGCATGCATTGGTTGCAGGCGGATGAGCCCGTACGGTCGCATCGTCGTTTACCAACCCTACATTGTAAGCATGACTTTCCGAGCCGCATGATGATGTACGTTAACTAGTGGAGAGACAGACAATTGGGCGAAAGCTGCCTCTTGACATTGGTTGAGGTTGACGTTGGCGCATGAGTCCGGAATGCAGAGTCGTGAATATTCATTTGCGTGATGTTTGCAGCTCGATTCAGCACGCACATGGACTGATGTTTGCACCTCGTCTACAGTTTTGAGGGGCTCGCTCTTCTCGTGCCTTGTTGTGTGTGGTATGGCGGACCCAAATCTGCTTTAACCTAGGCCCTTACCCCTCCTTATCCGGGGTGGAATCTGGGGATTTGAGCGGGGAACCCAGCTCCTTACAGCGCATGTGTAAGGTGCTTAACCAAAATATCGACGATTCCAGTGGGCTCGCTACGCCCCTTGGCCCAGTTGTGGTCGGGTGCTTCACACTTGGCATGAGGCGGGGAAACAGAAATGCGTTGCCATGCTAATATCGAGATAAAATTCTTAATCTCCCCACTTGGTCAATTTGTTCATCTAATCTGCATCAAAGTCGTATTGGCCGCGCGCCAACACTCTGATTCCAGCTGGACTCGCCATCAAAAGCCAACCAGGGTCTCCTCGTTGGTGACAGAAACATGCATGTCTCGCTGTGCTACATTCTCGTCCACGGTGCTCTCCAACTCCCACTCTGCCACAGTGTGGGAGTAAGGCTCATTGTCCTCGCTGAGAGGCTCAGAGAGATTGCGCTGCTGACGTCCGCCGGGAGCTGAAATAGTAAATGAATCATTCGTGTTCTCCAAGTAGCGCTCGCCGCCAAGGTACCTTCCTCGACCATGAGTAGAATTGGGTTCCTGGGACGAGTTCGTTCTTGTTGTTCTAGAGGATATCTTGATCACGGAGTATTTGAGGTTGAACCTTTCATCGAAGACGTGAGGCTCAGCTACCTCGAGGTTGGCAGAAGATGGTGTCACGTTTATTGCAACTAAGGTAGTTAGGGCCTGCTAACTACAGCTGGAGTCGCTGCCTCCCTACCCAAACCCTAACCAGAAGAGAGTTGAGGCCATGCTAAACCTCGGCGTCAACCAAATTGCACTTTTAGGCCAAGTTAGCGATGTGATCTTTGGATGTGAGGGCTGGCCCAGTTAAGTTCTGGAGTCCTTGGTCATTGATGACGACCTAGAGGCTGTCTTCTCGGGTCGCCGTGGAAGCGACATCATTTGACGTGCTCGCTCCTTTGTAATCAAACAATGTCACAGACCCAGGCTGTCGTCTTCGTGTACCATGAGACGTGGCATCAAAGTCAGCAGAGTTGTTCCGTCTGTCGTTGTGACCAATTTCGTTTGCTCTGGCGCCCATGAGATCTCCGACTCTGTTGTTGCCGTTACCTCGACCTCGGCCAGCAATGCGGTTTTGATCGTTTCCGAGGCTTCCTAAGTCGAAGATAGTACTACCATTGAGATCATCGCTGCTGATGACAACAACGAAAACTAGGCAATAGCAAACACATTTCTTGCCACCCACTTTTCGGCAGTTGCAGTCACACCGAAGCCTCCGCTCGAATGGACGTTGATAGATGATCTTCTTATGGGACATCCTTGGATTCTGGTTAGCAAAATGATGATCTCTACTAAATTCGATCTCCCCAACTTACGGACTGCAAGACGATTACACGGATGACCTCAGCCGTCAAATCATCGCCCATATGGAACTCAGCACCCGACCTGGTAGCCACAGTTTCAATCTTGTAAGTTATATTTATATGATTACATATTTTATGAATATTAAATAAATATCATCCCTGCTTTTAACTAAAACGCCAGTGCCAGTACCAGCGGTCCCTTTTACGACGAATTCTCGGAACTATAGTATAGCTCATGTATCTATCTATAAGCAATACTAGTCACTACTCTTACCAAGATGAGCCCCAGGAGTTTACACGTCGTGACGTAGTGAAACAGTATTATGGCCCTTAGTACCTCTGGCAAGGTTATACTGCACGACGCCTCTTGGATTTCAGTCGGCCTCTGTTTCGAATTACCTCTTGAATCTTCGTGCTCTTACAAATATTTTTGGAGTAGTAATTCGCCAAATTTATATCATAAATCCATCAGCAATAGCTAGGATTCTACGTTCACGAGAGTGAATTACTCGTTCGACGAGAGCGCTTGTAGTAAAGATCGCTTAGGTTAGTTTATTGCCATATATATGCATTAAGATGATGCTTTTCACTCGGCTAGGCAGAAATGCCAAAACATATTCTACTGCCGTACTAAGACCATGAGTGTGATAATCTATGACTAGTCATTAAGTTGTATGTTTTTTATATGACACAAAAATATTCGCAGCTCTGTAGCTGCAAATAGGTCTTGACGCGAGCGGCTTCAACTTTCAAGCTTTAGTGTGTCCCTGCCAGAACCACGATAAGGACCTTTCATATCTCACGATCACCAGCGGCGGTTGGTATCCAGCACACAGCAAATTAGGCTTCTACGACTACTTGAGTCAATATCTTTTGGTGAAGATATAGAATGCAGCCTGGATGGTCTCGAATGATCGCTTCCCGCTGCCGGGTGAGCCTTTAGCCTCTGTAGATCACCCCCGGCCGCGATGGCGACGACTGTTGCTGCTCTGCTTCTGTCTTAGAAGCAGTGTCATAGTTGGCTGACCCTCTAGAACTAGCAATCTTATCCGGCTATATATTGTTCGGGAGGATATTACTCGCGGCGTAATGCTACCTGACGATATCACGACCGTATTTCTATTGCAGGTTCAAGATATAGTTAAACCTCCACTACTAGGTCAAGTATTATTAGAATGGTTTCCGTTATGATCGTCCCTATCATTGTTTGCCTTGACCTGTTATACGATCAAGCCGTTAATCATATAGCCTACCTCGATCAAAATGTGTCGTAACTCGGCCACGCCTAGCTTGATCTTCGCGAACCGTCCTGTTGGCCATGCCAGCCGCTTGCTTAGCTCTTCCGTCTCATGTTTCTCATGTTCAGGATGTTGGTTTTTGGTAGCTTACTATTAATAGCCAAGCACTGGTCCGTCTCAACATGAACATACATGCCATGGTACGGGGGAAAGGGGGGGTAGGGTTTACGATTGTCAAGCTCTGCCCAGACGCCCTGGGCTAATCGCGGGTTCTCTATATTAAATTGCCATTGGCGGTGGGATATATTTGCTTTAATGCACCTATAGCCTGAGCTGCTTATATGTTCGTCGGCACAGTGCTGGCCGATAGATGACGTCTAATATGAATCCCTTGCTGCCAGGAACAGGTAGCGGTTGGGGGCACGCCATTCGCTGCTAGTATGTCCCCAGCTCCACCCCCTCCTTCTACCAGTACCCCATGCAGTAGAGTGCAGGCTGTAGTTGTCTATTGGCGTCACCAGCATGTGGCATGGCTTACCCCACAACCTTTCCGGAACCCAGGACGGAGAGGCGAGAGGAAGCGACCGCTGTTACCAGTTGAATCTATATTCAATCCTTAGTTTTCTTAATTTAAAGTTCCTCCGCTTTTCGGTTCAAAGTTGAATCGAGTATTTGGCTCCGAAATACGTGTATTGTGGATGAGCACGGGTACATTACTCCGTTGCCTCCCTACTTAGAGTATGGATTAGTCATGGTGGGTAAATTGAGGTGCTATTATAAAGAAAGCTGCCCCAGACTTCCATTTTCAAATCTGGAGATTGTCATATGACAGCGATTCGTCCTATAATCAACTTATAATGCATCGTTCTCTGTGGAATACTCTATGCTTGGCTCTGTCCATTATTGGACAGGGCGGGAGAGCGAGGGGTGAAGCCTCCTGCTCTGGTATCTTCGCAGCCATCACGGCCCAAGACTATGTGCATTCGCTTAGCCCCGGGTGGAATCTGGGGAATACTCTGGACGCCTTCCCCATGGAGGGCTCTTGGAATAATCCTGTGGTCACTGCGGACACCTTTGCTGATGTAAAGAATAGCGGCTATAACAGTGTTCGGATTCCAGGTAAGACCTGAATACAACCAGCAGGCGTCTTTTCAAGTGTGCTGACTGGCTTTTGACAGTTACCTGGGCTTATCACTTTACCGGCTCGAGCAACCAGGGAGACTCTCCACTTTGGACGGTTGACCCGTAAGTCTCTCGACGAGCATTTAGATATTCAAGTAGCTCATCCATGCATGACCAGGACCTGGCTAGACAGAGTCTCGGCTGTTGTCGATATGGCGACGGCGCAAGGCCTTTACGTGATAGTGAATGTTGGTGCCCAGCACGTTATCCTACGACAACGAGGACCGATCTGCTGACCCATGATATTCCCTAGGTGCACCACGACAGCGCGCTGTGGGCGGACTTCACAGCCGCCGGAGCCAACCAAACTTTGATCGAGGAGAAGTTCTATCAACTTTGGTACCAGATTGGAACCAAGCTGGGCTGCAAGGGCGCGCAAGTCGCATTCGAGGCTATCAATGAGCCCCGTAGCTCAACAGATGCGGACTATGCCTTCCTGCACCAGCTCCAAGACGTCTTCCTCCAGGCCATCAATAATGCGGGAGGCTTCAACTCACAGAGAGGTAACTGGACGCACAGAGGCCCCATCATACGAATTCTTAGCGGAACTTGTGCTGAGAAAAACGTTTACAGTTATCACCGTTGCTGGCCCTGGACAAGATCTCACTGCAACCATCGAGCGTTTCACGGCCCCAGACTCGAATTTTACGAACCCCTGGACCATCCAAGTCCACTACTATGCGCCCTGTAAGTTTATTCATCCCCTCTCCGAGCATTTATACCGTCTAACGGCCGTAGACGACTTCACCTCGGCGGCCTGGGGTAAAACCATTTGGGGATCTGCCGATGACAAGGCAGCGATGGACTCGGCATTTTCGAGCCTCCGAGCAAAATTCCCCAACATCCCCTTGATCGTTGGCGAGTGGTCAGCATCACCAGTCATTACCGAGCCAGCTGCGCGCTGGAAATATATCGACTTTCTTGCCCGTACAGCTGCTAAGTATGATGCGGCCCTGATTGTCGTGAGTCCTCTCGTTACCCTCCTGTTCCCCTTTTCTTTGTCTCGATACCCCCAACCCCAACCCGCTTCGTTCTACGTGGGCGTCAGAGACTCTCGAAGCATCGTCCTCGATGGTTCGACTCATTCCCTCATCTTGACCCGAAAGTCGTGGCTGACCTCAGGGGCGCGAACAAGTGGGATGCCGGCGTTGATGTCCTCAATCATTCGGCCCACACCTGGTATGATATTACCGCGGTCAACATTGTACGAAACGCGATTCAGGGCATCTCCAACAGCCTGCCGGATAGCACCACCGATCCCAGCGCCACCACCCAGCAGAGCTCCGCCTTCATCTTCAACCAAGTCGGTAGCAGTGTGGGAGACCAGTCTCTACCCTTCCTCCTGAACGGCAATACGGTCACCTCGATCACCATAGATTCTACCATGCTGACCACCGGGAATCAGTATTCGGTCAGCGGGAACAACATCATCTTCACGGCATCTTTCCTGTCGGGCTACCTTTCATCGACGGCCACGCCGGGCATCAAAGGCACCTTGAGCATCTCCTTCTCAGCTGGTATCATCATCCCGGTACAGATAGTCCAGTGGGAGCCCCCAGTCCTCTCATCAGCGAGTTCCAAAGCCATTGCTGGGGCGGATCTGGTCGTCCCCGTCACCTGGCAAGGTATGGCTCAGGTAGCTACTGTCAAGGCTGTCAAGGCCGATGGCACGTTCTTGGTGGACGACTGGACTGTTTGGTTGCCTCCGATTCAGCAGGGCCGGACCACCTTTGGCGGATCTTGGACTTGGAGCGGTAAGTCCTTTCTCGTACTCCGGCGCAGTCCAATTATAGGTTTGAAATTCTTACATGCCTTTAGTGGGGCAAGCCGGGTTCACCATCACCTCGACGGCCGTGAATGCCGTCATTGCGGCAGGGCAGGCGACGCAGTTCACAGTCGAGGCATATCCCCGGGTCGCTGGCAACAGTGCCACTTATACTTTGAACCCGTAAGCCCACCTATGGGAGTCGGATGACTGGACATCATGAGCAATAGCAATGTTGCATCGATTTGGCACATTCACGCCAATGTATCGAGATTCATACGACCGACTACAGTGCAAATGGAACGGCAAACACGTGCACACCCTGTTTGGCCTTTATAGGGAGGCTCTTATCTTCCCAGATATAGGGAGTGCAGCCAGTCTTTTCTTATCACATCAAATGAGCATAACAGGGCCTGTTTAACTGGATATAAGGGATCGGGAGATGGGATCGGCTGAGGAGTGGATCGCCCCAGGGATTCGGGATTTCCGGGCTGGGCCTCTCGACTCTCTCTGGAGGACCCATGGCGGTCTCGGTCTCGTGGCTTGTATATGGGGGACATTTACAGAGGAAACATTGCACATATTTCATTTCAATACTGACATCAACGCTTCACCATGTCTACTTTGTGACCGTTCGCGACTGAGGTGCAAATAGTCGCCATGTGTAGGATTAGGTACCCTCGGTCTTGGGGTGCAACCGAACTGTCTTCAGCGCTGTCTTTCGCGAGCAGCACCACGGGGTAGCACAGCCTACCATTGGTTCCTGACCAGAGCACGATGTATCTCCGTGGGAATCCATCCATCCAGCCCGGGGGGAGGATATGGAGTAGTATGAAGCGACCTTCGGCAAGCCAACCGAGGAACCTTGGTAGCCTCATGCGGTTACTCTGCAAATCAATGACTAAACCTCTATAGTCGCGGGGTGACTAGCACCGGTTCTGGGTTGGCCTTTCAATTTGCTGCCAATGCTACCCCTGCATTACCGTGCAAGGCGTGTTCAGGGAAGCTTAAATTGACCAACTTGCCCTTCGCTGTTGGAGAATGTCTCCCCTGTAACTCCCCCTCACTCCGCTGAGAAACCCTGGCCCTGGCAACTATGGTTACACTTGCGGGAAGGGAATGTCGGCTTTCACCCTGTCCTATTGGCCGCCGCCCCGACCGTCCATTTCATCAACTTTTTATATCCCAGGTCCGGCTTTCCATTTTCCCCATTGGTTTCGCTCGCCGGCTCAACTCTCCTAACCTGCGACTGGGCTTGGCTGGGCTCCAGTTTCTAGCGTGTTTGTCGTCTTTCATGGTTAAGCGAGCTGGCCACAATACCCCTTGTGGATCAGTCTTAATCACGTCGCCGCCGTCAGGCGCTGATTACGACGAATCCCAGTAGTCAGTTCCAGTCATGTCCCATCTAAGTTAGCAGTGCCCCTTCCTACAGTCTCCCACAGCTGTCGGCATCGTCGTCATAGGCATTTCTTTGAAATTCCCCTAGATCCACACCGTGTGCTTAGTGCCTCCAGGGACTTCCTTGTCCATCTCGGCCTTACCGCTACCGAATATATGCACACGTGCACCAGCTACATGTCTGGCCAAACGAGGGGGGACAGAGGGGTGGTGTTTAGGGGTGGGCAAGCGGGTGCTTTATGAGCCCTCTTTCTGCCGCTGAGCAAACCGGTAGCACCGCTGGAAAGAACCCGAGAGTTGGTTTGAAAGTCCAGAAAGCCCGGCGAGCTTTGCATACTGTGCCTCGTAGACTTGTAATCGCGACCTCTCGCTTACATGACGTGTTAGTAACGCTGCTGCATTGATCTTGGTAACATGGCCGTGCTGGTTCTATACAATACGATGTTTTCTCAGAATAGATGCGTTGTGACGCTTGCAAGTGTTTGTTCTCTACACGCTAGAATCTAGGATACGACTGGATACTAAACTTCAAGTGCTACTCTTGGCCAGATCTCCGCCTTAGCCTTTGATGTGGTTGGGCGCACTTAAGACTCCGTGTCTAGATACTGCATATGTTATCTATTTTATCACATAACATTCCTGCTAAGAGATAGATTATCTCAGAGTCGCCTTCAACGTCAGTTGTCAAGTGCACGGTCCTCCCTACTGTCTTGGGATTCTCGCTGATTACCTAGCTCTGGGGAGGCGATTTCCCAGTTGCTGAAGTCTCTTCACAAGCGAGACGTCGATTGCACGACTTGTGGCTGGACAACAAAGCGGTCTTTCGATCCCATCCTTCTCTCGCGCCCCGGCTTCGAAATCGTTATTTTTGCATGATACCTTCAGTCTCGATATAACCTGCCCGGCGTTATATATCTCACTGTTTGCGATCTTGTAATGCTCAGCCTTCTCCGCCACCTCTTGTACGGCTCACGAGTCGACTCAACCGCCTCTCATGAGGCGATAAATATGGGCCACGTGATTGGGGCCACTCTGCTTGTTTATTCTAAATTAGATTGAGCCTTGACATCCTCAGCAGCGCACAAGTGCTTGGGGATGCGGTCCACTTCCTCTACCAGGTCGGCGGCGTCGCAGCACCATATCCGCCTGTAGTAATAGAGCAGGACGTAATTCCAGGCCTGGGCATCGTGGTTGAATATCGTTGGCATCAGGTCGTCTCGCTATCGATGCTACCTTCTCAGACTCGAAGCTCCAAGACAGCAGCCGGTCTCCCAAGCCCGAGCAGGCCTCGAGCAGGTTGTCCGAAATGTTGCCGTCCTCATGGCGGGCCAGGTACTCGGCTAACCGACATGTGTCCTAGATTGCTAGTGCGATAGCGGGTATGATCCTGTACATGTATTCGTAGCAGCTGCCATACTCGACGACGCCGCCTTCCTCGCGCTGGGCGTCATTCTTGGTGCCAGTCCACGGCGAGAATGAGCCCTGGATGCTCATCGTCTTCGCCACCACTGCCAGGTTCGCGCAGATTTCGTTGAGCTAATGTGTCGAGCCGCTGACTAGCATCCATAGCCTGCGAGTGCGCTGTAGCTGTTTCGTGCCGTTGAGTTGCATGGCAAAGTTGTCGTCCACACCCGAGATTGCCTGCCATCCGTAAGCACTGTGGTCTCGGGGCAAACCGACGCGGTAACTTACAGCGGTGGTCACCATCGACAGCATCTGCATCAAGAGCGGCCGGTCGTCCGCTGCCATGCCTGGGAAGTAATGGCGTCCTGCAGGAAACGGATCGAACAAAGCCAGTGTCGGGCACCAGCGTCCTTGGACAAACTCTAGGCAAGGTCGCATTTCCAGCGGTGGAACTCGGCCGACGCCAACAAGGCATGGTAGAGCACCGAATGGACCTTTGTGGTTGTCGATCTTGACTGCCCCGTGTGCTTGAAGGCCCCTTGAGCGCGACAGGGATATACAGGCCGCGAAAGGGGTTGTTCGGGTGGATGATGGGGTGGTGTAGGTCCGCGACGTAGATCATGTAGTGGTTCATCAGTGATTCTACCTCGTTATCTCCCGAGATATTGCTCCGAACGCGATGTTGTGGGAGCCCTCCAAGGCCCCTGCGCACTGGACCAGAGGCTATAGCGTACAGCTTGCCTAGTCCACATAGCAAGGCAGCAGGGGTTTCCCGAACCGACCACACACACCCTTGGAGGTCCCATGGGGTATTTTGGAGTAGGCTCTTCGGTAGAACGGTAACCGGATTTTCCCACGGTACGTCTCTCCTACACCAGATGCACCCGCATGGGTGACTCTTGGACATTCCTTGGCCCCAGCAGCCCATCATCGAATCTGGCTTTAGTCTCTCCTCGTCTAACCCACCGAGATAATGTCTTTGCCGTTCCTTTCCAGGATTCCCCGCATTCTACTCCACGGAAACCCCATAATGCTCACCCGAAGCCTCATCTCCCTTCATTTCACTTCATTTGCTGGGGTTGCACGCATGCCATCATCGGTTAAGAACCTGCCGAGCTACTCGCCTAGAGCACTTGCTATGCCAGTCAAGCCTGTCTTATACTTCACATGCCAGGCGCTGCCATTGGGTGCAGTAGGAGTAGACAACTGGGGAGAGTCGAGCGGCGCGTACAAATAACACAGAGCCGCGCCTCCCAGCCGGATTCAAGATGCACTCTCTCTCTCTCTCCATCGCCCCCGTTGGAAGAACTGGCAGTTGTCACATATTAGACACGTCTTTCTTCCAATTCCTGCATTAATGGCGACTAAGATCCTCTTCGCCGCTTCCCTGTTGGCTGGCAGCGCCTTTGCCACCGACGTGGCGGACGGCCCGCTGTGCAACACGGCCGTGTCGAATGCGACCTGCCTCAACCCACAGGCCTCGATTGCGACTAGGGTCGAGGACTTGCTCAACCACATGTGCTGGGAGGAGAAGGTCGGCCAGCTTGGCGGCATCGGCGGCATCCTGGGCGACAACAGCACCTACAATCTCGCGAAATACCGGGAACTCGCCGTTCTTCACAACGGAACCATTTGTAAGTCGAGAGTGGACCCTGGGACGGTTGTAAAGGAGAAGGCACGCTGACCGTGCAAACCCAGCTCCGGGCTCATATCTGAACTATGCAGAGCAGGCTATCCCCGTTCTCTCGCAGCTCATCGTCAACTCTAAGAAGGAGCACCGTCTGGGGATTCCATTTATCCATATTGGCGACGGCGTGAATGGCATCACCCTCCGCGGCACTACCCTCTTCCCCGCCACGTTATCCATGTCTATGGCCTGGAATATGGATCTCTACAAAGAGGTCATCACGGCTATGCGGGACGAGTTCTACAGCTCTGGCATCAACTGGATCCTCGGCCCAGAGGTTGATCCCGCCCGTGATCTGCGCAACGGTCGAGTAGGGGAGATGTGAGATTCCCTGAGCCCCCGTGCCCCCGTCACTTCAACAAGACAGGTTTCATTCACGTACATGAGAAGCAGTGTCGAGGCTAACGCGATTTCTGCCAGGTACGGAGAGGATCCGTGGTCCAACGGAGAGTACGCCTCACAGTTTGTCGAGATCATGCAGGAGAAGGACTCGGCGGGTCACCTGAAGGTCGCCACTACCATCAAGCACTACCTCTACGGCACGAGTGCTGGCGGCGTGAACCAGGCTTCGATGTTGGGTGGCGTCAACCACATCTTCAACACCCTGGCCCTGCCTTATATCAACGTTTTCAAGAAGGTTAAGCCGGCGTCACTGATGCCCTCGTACGCGGTCATCGACGGCATCCCGGCCCATACCAACGACTACCTGCTCAAAGACCTGCTGCGTAGTAAATGGGGCTTTGATGGTGTCATTGTGTCCGATGCCGACGCCATCAACATGCTCTGGCAAACGCACAAAACGGCCCGCGACCGCAGCGACGCCGCTATCCAGTCCATCACCGCTGGCGTCGAGCTAGAGCTCGCCATCGGGTTTCCGTCGGCCTACGAGAGCCTGGCGCTAAACAAGACGGTCGAAGGCGTCGTGCGCGACGTCAACTCTGCAGTCAAGCGGCTAATGCGCCTCAAGTTCGAGCTGGGCGTCTTTGACAAGGACTTATCGGTCAACGAGACGGAGCTCGCCCAGGTCCTGCGGTCCGATGAGCACCTACGTATCAACAAGAAGATCAGCGACGAGTCCCTTGTCCTGCTCAAGAACGACGGCATCCTCCCCATGGCCGTGCCCCCGAAGGTCGCTGTCATCGGCCCCTTTGCCGACTTCATCGACACGGGATCCTATGGTGCTTGGGACAACGCCGAGAACTTCAACCTGACCTTCTTGGATGCTGCCAAGGCCAAGTTCGGATCTGGCAATGTCCTCCATGTCCGCGGCTGCGACTTCCTCGATCAGACCGGTGCCGAGATTGATGCGGCCATCGCGGCTGCCAAGGAGGCGGGGTTGGCCATCCTTGCGCTCGGTGCCGTCTCCGTGGGCTGGCAGGACAAGTACCGCAGCAAGGTCACCGACTCCGAGGGCGCCACACATGCCTCTTTGAAGTTGCCCGGCTTGCAGGAAAACCTCCTTGCCGCGATCCTGGCCTCGGGCGTGCCCACCATCCTCCTCCTGAGCGGTGGCCAGCCCTTTGAGCTGCAGGGCGTGGCTCAGTCCGCCAAGGCCATTGTGCACACCTTCCTGCACGGTGAATTCACCGGCCGGTCCATCGTTGACGCCCTGACCGGCGAGGTCAACCCCAGCGGCAAGCTTACCATCAACTTCCCCTACAGCTCCGAGATTCAGCCCGTATACTACAACCACCTGCTCAGCGACTGGCAGGGCGCTAGCGCCATGCAGTGGCCTGCCGCTCCCGTCAGCTACCTCTACCCCTTTGGCTACGGTCTCAGCTACAGCACGTTCTCCCTCTCCGGCGCCACCGTGGACACGAGCACCCCCAGCCGCGGCAACACCGTGACCGTAACGGTCAACGTGCAGAACACGGGTTCGGTCACGGGTAAGCAGGTCGTCCAGGTCTACTTCCGCCAGGCCTACGCCAAGGTCTCGCTGCCGGTGAAGCGCCTGATCCGCTTCACCAAGGTCGAGCTGGCCCCCGGTGCGTCCACCACCGTCAGCTTCAAGATTCCAATCGATGATCTTGGTTATTACTACAATGAGGGCTACTACGTAGACGCCGGAGACTATACCCTCTGGGTGGGCGACAGCTCGCTCGATTCCTCGCTTAACGCACTGCCCATAACTGTGCGGTAAGCTGGAGTGCGGCTCCACCCTTGCCAACAGGGGGCTTCTTGTTTGTAGCAATACTGGCTTAGCTTTCCCCAATATGCATGAACACTATTTCGCAAATTGTGATTCAATCACATAATTAATAGCTGCCTAATGTGGGGCGGATATCCAATCCAGTGAATAATCCGCCGGCGACATTGTTGTATAAAGTAGTGATAGAAAAAAAAGGACGAAAAAAAGAGATCATCCCCCGAGTATTTGCTCAGTTGGAGAATCCTAACCTTAGATAAGAGGCGGGGTAACCCTGCCCTTGAAGGTCCTCCCAGGGGGGCTTCCTCCGGATAAGTTACGCGTATTCCGCAATAAGGCTTTCCCCCACTGACTCATACCCCAGGCTAGCCCATACCCCAGGCAAGCGGTAGGCCGCCTCACGTGGATGTCTTGACGACATGGCAGCCGCCCATTGTGGCTGGGACTGGGCTGCTGGCATTAAGGATGCCCATTTCGCTGCGCCGACATTTTCGCCCGCTCTCTCTAGTTTTCGGCTGCTCTCTTGGGCAATGGCCAGAAATTCCATATCTCTTCTCCGGCGGTCATCTCGGAAGTATAGCTCACAGCTCACAGCCCTCAGCCCTCAGCCCTCAGCAATCAGATAGGATGCGCTCCAGGCACGTACTGTACCACCAAGCCCTCCAGACTGTAATGCAATTATCAGACACCCGAGCTACCCTGCTGTGTCAACAGGTTGCGAGCACGCCATGCCAACGCCCCCAACCCCCCCTCCCACCGAGAAAAGGACTTCGGTCTCGTTCTCCAAAGTGATAACTTGCTGTAGAAACGAATCACTCCTTTCAACACCAGAGAGACAACTTGTACACTAAACTCCTTGTGTCTCCTTATTACGTCTTTTTCTTATCAAAAGAGAGTCTAGGGAGACAGGGCCGGATGCGAAAAGGACCATGAAACTATATGTTATATCCTTATATGGGTGGTTCCTCTTCTGTGAGTTGGAGACTAGCCTGGTTGGCCACCTGGTGTGCAAATGCTTCGGCTTCTGAGGCCTCATGATTTATTTGATGCTAGCTCTATGCCTGCTCCTCTACTATTATGATGGTAAGTGCTTCCCTATTCAGTACACGTCGCTAAAATTCTCTACCTTGTTGGACCTGGTGAAACATGTTTCAAGGCACGTGTTCCTGACTTACCGTACCAAGAGCTTGTGGTACAGTTTGTTTCAAGCTTAACAGAGATCTTTGCTTAATAGAAGCTCCTACAGCTCGCCAAAGAAAAGAATGTTAGGGGCATTCGCATACTCGAAGGCGATCAGGACCTAGGTGACATCGTCACATCCCCGCTTGGGCGACCATTTCAAACTTTTTTCTCATTATCAGAGCTCATGGATATTCTCCATGACATTGTCAAAACGCCTCCCTCCTGATACATGAAAGTAAACATTCCTCACCGTGATGTTAGCCCGCAGAATAATATCAGGGCTCCCCACAACAATCAAGACTTTGATGCTTGCACTGCAATGCTCATTGGCCGAGATCTTGCACTTGATTTTTCGAATTTGCCAGAAGAGCGACGACTTGTAGGCTCAGAGGAATCATGGCTGTCGGTATCCTCGGTCGTGGTGATCATAACAACCGACATGACCTCGAGTCCGTATTTACGTCTTCTTATGGATGGCGATCTGCCATGATGGAGCCACCATCGAACATGTCCCGGACGCGAGTCTTCTTCAGAAGTGGCACCTCATGGACTTTTTGGCCTCCTTCCACCGCAAATTAAAGGACATGCAACCCACAGAGTTTTCGACATTAATTCATGAAGAGTTCTGTGAACCCTTCGAATTATACCTGCCTTCGGCAATGACCATTCATCAACTGTTGTTTCCAGTCTGGAACGGCTGGATCTTTATCGGCACTGACCACGAGCCTGGATCCAAGGAACAACGGTACGCAGAATGATAGCCACATTTCGACAGCTAATATAAACTAAGGAGTGCTTCAAAAAATCAGGACGACTAGGTTCACATATTAAAAGGAAGCGACTTTGAAATTACCGCGTGTCCGGCTTACACTCTGCAAGCTTTCTAGTGGATAAATCTTCTCTCAATGTTCGATGCCTTTCATCATATCCAAAACGCTATATTACTTATCTTTAGGCTTGATCGTAAGTAGGTGGCAAATTTTCATCAGCATCGTATTGTTTTAATGATCTTCAATGGTAAGACTGGATTGAGCCTTTTAGCACCAGTGTACAGCACAGCACAATGCGGATTTGGTGGCCCATCCTAGCGATGAGGTACAGTCTCCAACTTTACGTCGAGGTCGTTATTCGTTCGTGTTACGAAGCAATAGATAGAATTTGGAAAAGATATGGCTACATAGTCATAGTTTGCTTCTGGAATCTTACTAATAAAATGCCCCAAGGAGTGTAAAGAAAGGAAAAGACCAGGCTTTAACAACAATAAAGTGGCCAAGAGGAACCCGCACATAGCCTCTGAGCCCTGTTAAGATATGCCCCTTTCCAATACAAGCATTATTCGTCGAAATAAACAGCGACGTGCTTTACAGCTAAACCAACATCGGGGCCAGTCTCGGTGTCATCATTCGGCTTTGAGCCACCATCCCAGTTGGTCCCAACAGCTACCTGAAAGACTGGGAAAACACCACCGTGGGCAATAGCAGCCCATCGATCTTCGTCACCCATATCGCTACCACTGACTTCGTAGTACTGCTCACCATCCATGAGGAATTGAATTTTCTCATCCTCCCAATTACCCTCGGAACTCTTGCGGTCAATTCGGACGCCCCATGTGTGATATTCACCTTATAAGCATATTAGCATACAAATCTTACGTGACTGAAGTTCTTTGAAATAAGACACCGGAACATCTTCGTCGCTGAGAAAGAGGCAGATGATCATCTGCTAATCTCAAACTGGAGAGCAACAAGAAAGATCGTGGGAAAGGTTCATCATACCCCGGTCAAATTCGCATGGAATAGCTCCCAACAGCTGTCTCTCAGGAAAGCTATTACCAAAATGGACGGCTGGCTTATGAAAACTCTCGCCAGACGCATTTTCGAAGATATCAATCTCGCCGCACATGGGCCACGCCTCGTCGCCGCCGTCACGATAGCCCTCACCGAGAAGCCAGAACGAAGGCCAAATACCGGACTGGTTCTCCTTTGGAGCCCCACCCAGGACAAAGTTTGCTTCAATCAGCATAATTCTACCGTCGTCGGCATGAAAGTTCTGGGTGCAGTGCAGGCGAGCTGAGGTCCATCTGCCATCCTCCCGTTCTGTATAGATTAGCTTAGCTTCAAAAAAGCAAACCAGAGTTCCGCAGGGTGCTTACGAGGCTTGATAACGAGCTTCTCACCATCAAGGATGACTACGCTTTCGTCTTTGATAAAAGTTTGAACCTCGTCGTTTCCTCCATTGGCACCCCGCTCAACGATTTCCCACTTCGTCTGGTCAGGAAAGGAGCCCTCATCACCCTGGAAATCGTTCCACCAGTATGCAGTGAAGCCTTCAACGCCTGGAGCCATCGTATGAAGATGTTAGAATGCGGATGTCTGGATGGGTTCGCTTGAATGTACTGATGAAAGGTAGGTGTGATTGCTATCAGATCTGTGTAGTGTTGGAGCTGGCGTTCTTCTTGACTCTTACTCTTGGAGGGACGCGTCCGCATTATTATAGTTGGCGGTCTTCACCAGGAAAATTTTCTCAAAGGTCTTTACTCTTCATGCGCAAAAAGCAGGGAAAACAGATCGGAGCCATCATCAGTCGATTAGATGATAACCAGCTCACAGTGCTGCAAAACTAGCAACACCGCTGCCGGTTGCATAGCTATCACATGCAACTGAAACTCCAATAAATTTGCTGTATAGCTCCATTTTCAAACCTCGCGCTTAGGAAGCAATTGCAACCAGTCATATTCAGAATTTCCCGCTGAGCCTGCAAGATGTAAGCGGCCTTGGCACTCTTCTAAGCTGTGGTGTTTGTGTTAGTTGTCGGCTCCACATGTATAAGCGGGCTTGGCAGAGCCTTTAAGGTTAGTCTATACTAGGTTAGTCCAGATGCAATCCTTGATTGGCCGTGTCAGCAATATTATGAAATCTTCGCTACAGGCTGAGTCGACTTGCATCACTTGAGTTGGCTGTTCGTAATATGCACCCTGAGATCGTTTCACGCAGTAAGCATGCGCATAATACATTTATTCCAGATCTGGAAGATCCGATATCACGGATGTGCCACCAAGCACCGCGTATACTCCGTTCCTGCGATGTAGTGGAGCAGCTGAAAGGCAGGTCGCTTCTCCAGCCCGCCCATCGCTTGAATGCATCGGGTCCATTCGAACTTAAGTGACCATCAATAGCATCAGTGATGGCCACAAGGCTCGGGGAATTAGAGAATTCAAGGTTAAGACCGTGGATGGCACCCCGCTCATGCGAGCGACCACTTTGCATGTCTCATACAAGACGGCATAGCCATAGTCATCGGCTACGCCGTTCATTTATCGTGGCGCGACACAGCGATGTGGCTCAGGGATTATCGAGACCTTAGACGAGTCTGTGACAAGCTTTGAAGTATGCACTGCAGAGTTTCTTCGATAATTTGCCTTAACTACCGCTGCGAAAATACAAAAGCTTTCAAACCCCCAGCTGTGATCAAGTTCCATTCACTCTCATAAGCTCCGTTCCAGCATTACATTCGATACATACCACATACTTCAAACCCTTCAGAACAACCACATTGTCGCGTTAACATCTACAATGAAGCTTTTCAGCAGCACCATCTTAGCAACAATGTGCGCCAGCGTAACGGCACAGGGAGCGGGTGGGGCCGTGGGTCCGAAGTACCCTTCGGTTTGCGGTTATACTCTGGTGAACTGGGGTCGTAATTATTCCCTTATCTACTGAAAACGTATACCATTTCATCTAACACAGAGATTCCTAGAATATACTCAGAGCGATATCGCCCAGCTGGCATGCCACAGATCCGATACATGCGATGGCAGAGAGTGGAATACTATCTTTAGTATGGATTTAATGGGTCGTTGGCACCCTGGAAGCTTCTGCAGCACGGGTTGCTATACATATGAATCAAATGGCAACACGTTGGCCTCTTGCCACTAGACTAAACTAGTCTAAATCAACAGTAACGTCGGCGCAAGCTATTTAATAACTATGACGGGCTGAAGTTGAGTATGGACTCTAAAGAAATTTGTGGGAGAATAGAGCACATAAGACGAGTCTTGTTAATTATACTAATTGAAATTTGTGTCCCTTCAAACTCCCATGTACCTAATTGTAGTAGTATGTACACTGCTTTGTCGCATAGGGTAACCGTGCCAGGCTAAAGACAAGGGCTGATATGAAAGTGAAAGACAATGCTGAAGCGGCCACTGCCGATTCAACAATACATACTTGCCTCTAACCAGGCTAGGCTAGCTAACAGTCCTAGTTACGGCGCCTTAGGGGGTGTGCTGCGGTGGGCTCGGGTCAACGTAGTCATATGGCCCGAACGTCGATGCAAACAGAAGAAAGCTCCGATCATAAATAAGGTGTTTCTTGGGGAAAATATCTACAAACGGGTGGAATTGCCCTCAAGCCACTCTGTGCTCTTGAGTTGGATGAGGATGCAGTTTTAGCTACTTGTCAGGCGCGAAAAAGTCCGCAATTCTAGAAGGCAGCTTATGCAGCTATCGCATAAGTTGCTCATATCCGCACGGCTTCAGCCACTGCGATAAGGTGCTTATCGTCATTTGTCAGCCACAGTTGTTATCATGCTGCTTATTAGCATGGCGACTCCAGACTCGGCATCTATTCCATCTCCATTCCACAACACGATACCCTCATCGCAAGATGCCGCCACAAATCAAGCAAGATCTCAACCGATCCGGCTGGGAGTCCACCGACTTCCCGTCCGTCTGCGAAACATGCCTCCCCGATAATCCCTACGTCAAGATGCTGAAGGAGGACTACGGCGCCGAATGCAAGCTCTGCACGCGACCTTTCACTGTCTTCTCTTGGTCGGCCGATCGATCCCACGGCCGCAAGAAACGCACCAACATCTGCCTCACGTGCGCGCGCCTCAAGAACTGCTGTCAGACATGCATGCTCGATCTCAGCTTCGGCCTCCCGGTTGCCATTCGCGATGCCGCCCTCAAGATGGTCGCGCCTGGTCCCGGAAGCGAGGTCAACAGGGAGTACTTTGCACAGAACATGGAGAAGGAGATCGAGGAAGGCAGGGGAGGCACGGAAGAGTATGAGAAGACCGACGAAAAGGCGCGAGAGCTGCTTCGACGACTCGCGACCAGTAAGCCGTATTTCAGGAAAGGACGCGCGATCGAGGACGGAAGCGCAGCATCAGGCTCTGGTGGTGATCCTGCCGTCGGTGCTGGTGTCGCCGGTCCGGGACCTATCCGTACACGCGATTCTAGGGCAGCTGCCGCATCAGGCGCAGGTCCTAGACCGGGTGGCAACAGAAGACCTTTCCCCGCTGCATCACAACTGCCTCCTGGCCCGCAAGATTACCTACCGCCGAAAGACAAGAATATCATGTCCATATTCATTACCGGTGTCGAGGACGACCTACCTGAGTACAAGATCAGGGATTTCTTCAAGGAGCACGGAAAGATCAAGAGCTTGGTATGCAGCCACATGTCGCATTGCGCCTTCATCAACTACGAGACAAGGGAGGCAGCAGAGAGAGCAGCAGAGGCTTGCCAGGGGCGCGCTGTCATCGCCGGATGTCCTCTGCGAGTCAGGTGGAGTGTACCGAAGGCAGTGGGCACCATGACGAAGGAGCAGCGTGCGGAGATGGGCAGAGATGGTAGGAGTGCTTTCGGAGACGTCAGGAAGCAGAAGGCTCTTGAAGGACGGCCCGGACAGAGGATGCTGCCACAGGGCGACGGTTCGGAACAGCCGGGCCAGCCGGATAGCCTGGCTGTGGTTGCTGCACCTCCGGGGGCGAGTGATGTCAACTATGCTAGTTTGGCTGGTGATTGAGCGAAGACAGTATCGCGAACGGGAAATTGCATCAGCAGGCGTTTAGAATTTGGTACTGGCACGTACTATGTAAAATGAAATATGATACCATGACTCTGAGACACTTGGTCTTTCCGTGGCACTGTGTCAATCTGTAGCTGGGAACTCCGGATTTCCATTGCTCATTCGCTTAAAACAACGGTATCGGCGTGGTTTCTCATTCAGATGAAGCAACATCGCGCGGTGATTTACTGAATAATCATGTGGGAAAGCATGGCACGCCATCTTCTGGACTACTAGGTTATCAGCTTAAACAGACTAAGCAATGCCACAGAACCATTATCCAACGGTCATTCTCCCCTATTAAGATTACTTGAAAGTTGTCTTGCTCATGGCCACCTCACTACAATTACAACATGACTTCTTGCACTTGGTCCCGCTGAGTACCAGCTCACCGGGCTCTTCCACCCTTTTCGCCAGTTCAGCGCTCAACGCCCCCATCAACCCCTAATGGTTCTTGACACATTGCACTCCAATCCCTTCTGCAGTTTCATTAGTAATCCAGTCACGATGGAAACTCCGGATACCGCCGCGTTAGAGCCGCCCGTCAAACGGCGGACACTCATGGACCAAGCTGCCATGTGAGTTTTTAACCAACCTCCTCATGTCAGTCAAGATTACGACTGACACTATCTCAGGTTTGCCAGTGAACATATCCGGCTCCGAAGCCGAGAAACTGAAGGAACGTTTGAATTCCAGTTTCCCAAAGCAGAGCTCTGTGAGCAGTCTGCATGCTCCACGTGCAAGCTCGCCGACAAGAACTCGATTACTTTCATGGACATCATTCTCGATATTTTGTGGAGCTTCGCTACTGTATGTACAAGAATTCAGTTCTGGTGGGGGCCTTGACATGGAAAGCTTTGCTGGCAGCTGTGGTTTGGACAGCGATGAGGATGGTGAGCGAGATGACCAGAACCACGGCAGACTTTTCATAAAGCTAGGAGCCTCGAAGAATCCTCTCGAGATCGATCCACAGCACGCCTATGAGCAGCATTCTGATCCGAACCGGGATTGGTGCAGGTTGTGTTGAGATATTGTTACGCTGTAACTGTTATATGATAACGTATTTGTCAAAGTACTACCACCTAATTTGTGAGATATTTTAATCTGGTGAAGAGGCTTATTGTCCATTGATTTCGTCTTTCCGTATGTAAACCTGCTGCATCCTACAGGTGCTCCATTGGACTGGCCAGGGTGGATGATCGTAATACTATTGAGAGCCTGAATAGATTTCGAACGTACTGGGCTTAGCTGGTAGTACCGGTAGTACTTATTCCTTTCAGCATTAGTGCAAGCTCGTTCAGGGCATAGCTTGCCTCGAGCCAGTAGTCTTTTACTAAAACTCAAGCAATGCGAAGCTGCTCCACCACACAACGCTGCAAACTCTCAAGACTAGGCTGTCCGATAGCTCACTCTACTCACTTGAGTGAAAAGCCCGTCTGTGGAGCATTTATACACACGAGACCTCACCCTTCTCCAGATAACTGGCAGTCACAGACTGTTGATTACATTCAAATCTAAAAGATTTGTGAGACCTCCTCTTCGCACCTTTTTAAGGCTGTGCAATTATTGTGCAGTTCAACTGTTGGTCAGAATAATTATTGATTTAAACAACGCTCTTAGCTCAATCACCACTATAGCAACTGTCATCAATAATTCATCCACGATGCCTCCGTCTACAGCCTCGGTACCAGAGCCACCGGCCAAACGTTGCAAGCTCATGGAGCGAGCCGCAATGTAGGTCCTGCGATCAGCGTGCCTTTCCTATTCTAGATCTGTGTCGTTAACCCTACCTTAGGTATACTGGTCAGCCCGTTAAGCTTCGAAGCAGGGAGACTATCGGCGCTTTCGAGATGCATGTTCTCAGGCCAAAGCTCTGCGAACACTCAGAGTATTTCGTACGGAAGCTTGGCGAAAGCATTGTGATGACTCTTGACGTCAGCGCTGAAACTTTGGGGAGTTTTGCAGTGTGGCTCTATGAGGGCAAGGTGTTCGTGGATGACATGGATATAACGACGAACAGTGAAGAATACAACAACAACAACGACGACGACGATGACACCAACAAGAACAACAATGCAAATCAAACCTCCGGTAGTCTGGGGAACGAATTTACCCGCAGCATGGCCGCAGGTGAAATTTCGAACGAAACGATTCTTGTCAAGACCGAAGTCCATATCAACATGGAAAATACGATCCCGGAGTACAGCCGAGAACCAGAAATGATAAATGGATCTGCTGGTGCTCCAGCTGGCGACCCATGCCTTCCAACAGCCCCATGGTATGATCAACTTGACTTGCCTAAGGATACTGATGCTCATAACCTGGCTTTGCACCGAATAGACGCTCGTATCCTCGACCTTTACTTGTTTTCACGAGCTTACGAGCTCCCGGGCTTAGCCGTCTCGGTCATCGTCGCCAGTCAAAGGTTCACCAGATCACATGCAGCGTACGCCAGCGAATACGTTGTGTCCAAAGGATGGACCATTTTGGGACCCGATGATCCCTTGTGCCAGTATTGGCTTCACCAATTTGCGTTCAGCAGAAAATTTAGCAGCAACGAAGTGGATATGCTATGGCTAAAAGCCCTTCCCAGTGAATTTCTTTTCGAAATTCTTCGACTAAGACCTACGTTATTGGATGTTGGTAATGGTGATTCGAGCGATCCCGTCGCAGATCCCAATCCAGATCATAAGTGGTGTTTTTTTCATGGGCACGGCTCAGTAGAGGAACGAGAGGAATGCGAACGTGGTCGTAAGGATGATCCAGACATGAAATACAAGAGGAAGCAGGGAAGAAAGAGCAAGTAACTGACCACCGGAAACACCGTAGACAGTAATATGTAGTTGGTCGCAGTTATGGTATGGTTTAAGTAATTCATCCTCACGAAGCTAAAAAGCACAAAAGTCGCCATAGGAAAGAATTATACAAATTGAAGATCACAAGACTGTAACCATGAAATGAGGGTACGTTCTCGTATTCAATTGGACGCCACTATTCACAGTGTTTTGATTGATCCCATCCATGTCAACCGATTCCATGGGATCACACAAATCAACAATGATCGCAGCTGTTCACTTCTTCCCCAGGGCTATCTTCCTGGACCCAATCGTAATAAATTTTTGAAATAGTTCTGGAGCAAGATAATTACGTTAACATCGCCTAATCTGAAATAATTCACCCCACTTCTCTAGTTTTCCATGCCCAAAAAGCTTGGGCAAATATTCTCAAAGCTTATATCACTGAAGTACTGCTTGCCTTTCTCTTCATCCTAACCATAATCAACATTCTCCAAAGAGCTTTTTAAGCTTCCGATAGGCCAAGGACTTAGCATGGCCACAGTATTCGCCCGAAGCACAACTCCGTGAATGCTCTGACTACTTCAAGCGCGAACTGACAAGCAAGAATGTCATTGTTTTCGAGGACACGAGCGCAGAGACTCTACGGGGATTTTCCATTTGGCTTAATGATGGACCAGTACATATCGACACCACCCCAGAATCAAATCGATACTAACTCAGCGGAAACAGGCTTTCATTTGGCACGATATATCAGGTCCCATACCCGTCCGTCCATCCAGGATTAGGCGAGGATAAGATCCCTGCTGGCCAATTGAGACAATGTTCACATATCCCGCGGGTACACACGCCCACCAGTCTCTCTTCCGAATATCGTCTTATGCTGATAATGAAGTGCGCCAAATGAAATCATCATCCTGAGACAGAGCAGTTCTCATTGATCCGAGCCAGCTGAGAGGTATGTTGCTTTTGCTCTCAACGACTTCCCGCATTACATCATACCATTCAAGAAACTTTCAAGGCCAGGTGACCGATGTTTGTGGTCAAATGATGAGGTGATCTGTGCACACGTGGTAGGTTGTTAGATGGCTAGTTGGTAGACTACGACTGGAAAGCTTTCCCTCTCCAGCGGAACAACAATTAAATTTACTGCCCTTACGGAAACGCCTGCTGGTTCCTATTATCACCTGTAGCCAAGGACCCTATAGGTATCAATGCTTAGTCATATATTCAAAGTTCTCCGTGGTGTTGTGGCACAGTATGCGTAACATTTTCAGGGCTCAGTGAGCCGATCAGAGACAGATAAACAGGGCTCGCTATGATGTGCCGATTCACTGAGAAATAATGCAAAAGGTTTCATATTAACTAGTGTAACGATAGCCCAGGCCGCTAGAGCTGCCAGCCACTATATATCAGTCCTGTCTGGGCCGTCGTTAGTTAGTCCGTCAGTTTCAGTCTTCTTCCAATCCAAGTCTTTGGTTTCCGTCGTCGCACCTCACCTACGTCGCCATCTTATCGTGATCGTCCCGGAGTCATTACGTTGATGTGGTCTATTGATTATAAAGCGACGCATAGATCTCCAACGTGTTCCGTTAAACAACTCGGCCTTTCATTGATTTTAGTGAAGTAAGAATGATTTATAACTAAGTACAACCCCTTCCAATCATCTTAGAAAAAGTGGCAATTGAACTAAAATCGGAGCAATATTGCCTTTATTTGAAGAGACCTATTTCCACATGAGCACGGGCATACTCATGTTAAATAGGAGAACTGCTCGACATGTCCGAACCAGGTCACATTCTCGCCGTCCCAAGTCCCAGTACCCTGAGCGTAAGCCTCGGTAATGTTGTAGCCATTGTAACCTAAGGGGGGGTGTGACTAAGATTCCCTAACAGACTGTTCAATATAAAAAGATGCGTTGCGCATCGAAAGGTTGAAGTTGAACTTGTTGAAATATTTCTTCCCGGAGTAAGGGCTCCACCAGGGATCAGAGGCATTTGAATCAGCGTCGACTGCCACGACCTCGTGTAGACCGTTGGGGTGCCAAACGGTAGCCCAGGCGGGGGACCCAAAATCTCCCTCGGAGCTTGGCGACAGCGCCCATGAGTGAATTACGAGACCGTTGGAGCAGTATAGCCAAAATGCTAGATATCCGGTACCGATGCCGTAAGTTCCCATTTGATAGGATGGATTAGCCTGTTGCGAATATCTTTGTTAGTGGAACAGAACTGTAGGGAAGGTGAGTTGATGAAAGGGACGAAAGAGGAGTAAATAAGGAGAACAAGGTAAGGAATGGGCTTTTCAGTAATCCTCACCCAATACCACGAGTACCCCGGGATGAGACGGCTCAAGTCATTGCCACTAGTCAAACCGGCAGGGAAGGTAACACCTCCCATCCCCCCCACGTATAAGTTCTTTCCCGTCGGTGTAAAATGAATATTTGATCTAAGTCCGCCGAAATCTGAATTATAGTATATATCACTGAAATTATCACTGCCGGCTGTGAAATTCTAGATAGGCGATAATATTTCAACCGTATCAGCTCTCGCCGAGCATGGAACAAACGCTGCCCCACCGATTGCCGGAGAAGAGAGGTTCTGAAGGTCGTTGAGGGTAAGGATTGCACTCATTTGGTCGTTGTACAAGGTGGGCGTGAGGGTGAGGTGATATTTGCGACCGTCCATAAGTGTGAGCCAGACAAGAAAAAAGTGACTGTTCACATTTGCTGACCCAGGATCAAGCCATGCCATGGTCTTGCGAACGTCATACCGAGCCGTTTGAGTCTATCGCTCGGTAAGCCAATTGCAAATCCACCGGTTTGAGATCACAAATGGAGGACATACTCCATCGTTCTCGGGCGTGCTGATCGGGAAGCCCGGGGGTGCAAAGGAAGGGATCTCCGTAATGAGCGCAGTGGCCACATGAAGTATAATAGCGATAATGGTAATCCGTAGAAGGCGCACACATGGTGGAGGTCGAGTTTGATACGAGCGACGAGACGGATGCGCGTAATAGCGGAGCCGCTAACCTTAGCTTGTTGTAACGGAAACTTTTGCACCCTTTGGCTGCCAAGTTTACTCCCCGCCTTGCCCGCCATTGGTCCTTGGCTGGGCTAGCACCCCTAGGCCCCCGCATAAAAACAGACTTCGTGGGTACCCACTGTATTGGGTAACCCTTGCCAGCAGCTCCTGTTGGTCGATATTGGCACGTGTAAGGTATTCATGAGAGAGAAAGGTTTAACGTATACAGACTCCCTAATTATCTTAATTTTTGAAATTGATTTTTCATAGTTAGCCTCTTTATTCAATGCCCAATTTCGGCACTGGCGATCAATTCAACCGCAGCACTTACGAAACTGAACTTGCGTTTATCTACAATGATGGCGCAGACACCTCAACCGTTCAGGTCAAATTTTCCAATGTAGTTGGGATGACACCGTACATTCTAGATGCGTGGACAGGAATCGTATCTCCTGTATTACACTACAGCCTTAACGGCACAAGTATTATCATGCCGATCACACTTGCGCCGAACCAGACCACCATCATTGCCTTCGGAACCTCAGCCAACTCTTCATTACCACCATCTCCAACGGCTATTGTGACGTCTATCTCAGATAGTGTCATAGATCTAAGCTATTCCTTTTCAAACACAAGTCAGGTTCTATTAGCGTACCTCTCAGGCGAGAAACCGGCATCTATCACCCTCTCTACAGGCGAGACACGCTATTTCAATACAACAGAACCACCCGAGGCCTCCAATCTGACCACCTGGGATATCAGTATCCAAGATTGGCATGCTGCCGATGACATATATAGCATGGAAACAGTTATTGATACGTATACATACAACAGCAGTAGTCTGGCAACCTGGGTGGATATTGATCCTGTGGTCCTAACAAACATCAGCGGAATAGGCCAATACGCGACTCAATTTACAACACCAGTATTCGTCGGGAGCACTGGTTATCTTGGCGCTCGACTGCACCTTGGGCCTGTCAGTGACTCTGTGCGGGTATGGGTAAATGGAGCCCGTCTTCTACCTGTGGAAGCTATAGGGGGAGTTTCTGATGTCGTCATTAATATACCAACCGCCTATATGGTGGCTAGCGGAGGAGTCCAAGCGAATGAGCTGCGAATAGAGGTCGCTACAACGCTGTACAATCGCATTCGCGCCGACATGGACACCGTCATGACATTAGGTCGACCCGTGACGTATACCAATGCCGCCTACTTCGAAGCGAATTCTGCAAAGAGTTACGGTTTGGTGGGGCCCGTTTGGATCGAGTGGCTGGAAGTGGTCGAGGTTTTATAGGGCTGTTTCATACTGTGAGCTTATGGAAAGCCAATATTGACTTTGAATTGAATAACACTCTGGATATAAAGATCCAAGATGGTGTACATACACTTAGACCATCTTGAAAACGAGTAATTGTTTTCGGTCAATGAGCAATTTGATGCGACACCTCTGCTACTATGTAACTTATTTGCAGTGCTCAAAAATGACCAAATTGCCCTCTTTGCGATACATCTCCGGCTTTTGAACTTCCAAGTTCATCAAGATTGAACAAGTTCTTGCCAACCCTGCTGCTGCACAAGGCCCTGGGTGTACAGCAACTTACCAGAATTCATCTGCCTATTCTTTTACATGTGAAACTGATGTACAACGTAGTTAGCCAAACGAGCTATGTAATGCCCCTTATGGCAATGATGGCAGCCATAGGTACTTAATTACCCATTAACGCATTTATAACAGCTAGATTGCTGGGTGCTGATGTAACTGTTATGGTTCAGGTAGTTTGTCATCAACAATCTGGTGTGTGAAGATGACACCACATCAGGGACAATCAATGTATCGAAGCTTACTGATTATTCTGAGATGAAGTTGTTAACAGTGTTTAGCCTAGACACTACTGTACCTTCATCCTCAACATCCAAGAACGATATTACCTTGGTATCGCGGATTTTGATACCCACAGAATTATACAGTTCTCATCATAAAAAGAACTGTGTACTCACATAACGCGAAGCATTAATTGAGATGTGCTTGGTCTGGGGTGCTGTGCTATTATACTAGGCGGTGGCAACATACAAAGATTTGTGACAGCAACACCTGTTTGAAGTAAGTGAGACCCCTGGAGAGGGTTCTCTAATGCCGTCAGTTTGACTGTCGATATCTTTGCATTAAAAAGATCTTACAAGATGCTGGAATATTCTTGATGATTAGAGAGCTAAGCCTACTGGTCCTTCTATCTAAAGCTCTATAGATCATCCACATCTTTGCTAGTCCGGCGAGTCTGAGGGCGAGACTAAGAGGATAAACTAGGAGTTCATTGGCTATATAGTCGAAATATCTCTATTAAATTACTGATCCAGAGCATAGGGGGTTGCATGGGCGGTATCTCACGTCCTCGTGGTGCTATCGCGAGTGTGTGTGTGCTGAGGGTTGTTCCAACTCCACTGGATAATTACACTGGAAAAGCTGCTTCATCGATTAATTCTTGTCCCGACCACCACACTGATGCTTTTCATCAAATTTTGGAAGGATTGAAGCATGGAGGCGGGGTTATTGTTGACCGGCTGACGATTCTGCGAACAGCTAGAATTGAATCCTTCTTAATGGTGCTTCTGCGGCCATCACACTGTCGGCTCTCTCTATCTGGATCGAACCTGTCGTGTCTCACTGAAGATTGTCAACAAACCAAGTATGGATATACTGTATCATAATTGTAACACAATCTACTTGAGTCGCTACGCGACCTCTTTAGGAACGAAGTTATCTCTGGTTAGAGATCCGGTATACCATGCTGTGGTCCAGCCATCCCTTGCTTATGGACCGCTAATTATTCAGCAATTTCGATTATATGATTCACTTAGTTCATTTCTTGATGATTCATCAAGATATTTAAGCTCAGCAATGCCGAGAAAGATGTCAACAGCTCCCATTATACCCATGAGCTCCCAGCAAAAAGTAATTAAGCCTACGATACTATCACCGCATTTTCCCCCACCAAGTCCTGCAGCACAAGATCCTATGCTTTATCAGACCCAGTTGCCAACAGGCCAACACGGCAGAAACTTGTTTTCTAAAATGTGAAACAAAGACGAAAATTTAAGCAAACTTAAAACGACGGGTGATTTGTTTCAGCTTTTAGTACCTCACTCTAACCTCCCTGCATCATCCGCGATACTGCAGACACCATCCGCGGTGCTCAGATCTGGGGAATATGAAGCTAAGGATAACTACATTGCGCGACTCCTATTCTTTGAGAACTACAACGGCTCGGTCGTGCTGCCTGATACCGACGCCGTCTTTCTCCTGGTCTAGGGCAGCCCTTCCGCTGTGAATGACTCGGAAGCAGTCCTAGAGCAGAAATACGGGCTTTTAGTGTGTACGGACTTACACCAACTCGCATTTCGCAAATCAATATGCGCGCTGATGGTAGATAACGGCAAGTTAACATCAAGGGTTATGGTGTGTATATTGATAACGTTCTGATTGATGCCAGCGTGTGCATCGGTGGTGCCGAGAATCGATGGGACGAATCTCATCAATGATTGCGTTTCAGCTATTCCTGCCCAGCGATTTAGATGCGTCGATAAACATAACCCATTCCAATCAGCCGGTGAGCAACGAAGTGTCACGAAGCGCAGCAAATACATATGAGCATTTGAGCTGGTTAAACTCTATACATTTGAAAGAGCCCGGCCCATTGTCAAACACTGACCTAAGCGAAATGCATAATATCCGAAAGCCATCCAAACATCATGTCATCCCTTCATCAAGAAGTTCCCTCCTGCTTTCTTCTTTTCGCCTGTCTCGGTTCTCCAACTCTAAGAGCTCCAGAGAACCGCCTAAAATCCGGAGCAAATTTCTGCACCTTTGCTCGCGGCTTCTCTCCTGCCCGATTCAACTCCGACGGTTGTCAACAGCAATTATGTCCCCGCCGGGTCAGAGGTGGAAGTTTTGAGGCATCCTCTCGGTATTTCTCCTGTTACATGACCAGCCAGCGTTGCGGAGTGGTACCCTTGTGTTTGAGATATTTAACTCCCACCACTAATTACAATATTACAAGATATTTAAGCTAGACTGAGCCTGTTCGACTAAGACATGAGCGGTAAAATATACACTGAACTTGAATAAAAAGTTGTTACACACATGCACTAGTATTTAGACTGTATGGCAGGCTTTTTCCTCGATCACATGTCATTGAATCTTGTACGATCTATAGCAATGGGCAACGCGACCATTCATACTCTGATCAAGGCTCGCTTGGACAGGGGGGCCATAATCCACTGTGTAGCCCCAGCTGTTGATAAAGTCATCCGCTAAATGTGAATTCTTAGAGGGCTTGCTTAACGGATTTAGCGCTCCGTAGCGGTCTCCATTTAGTGAGTCTTGGCGGATTCAGCGCTTGAGTGCCCGAAGATAGTTCTGCTCTCAGCTGGAAGCGGACCGTTTCAGCTGGCCATACAAAATCAAGCAGGCGAAGACTTTTGGTAGCGACATCCGTATAGTTGCGTGAAAAGGGCTGACTTTGCTGCACTGTAAAATTACCCAACGGAAAGGGATAGGGAGTTCTTTATAATAGGTTGACGTAAGCCTCTAACCTAAGTAGCCTTAAACAATTACAAGGCGTAATTATGCGTCGGTTATGCCCACAAAGTTTAGGTGGAGCACTTTTTGGACTGCAATTATCATAGACTCATCCCTCGTGGTGTTAACTAGAAGCACCTAGATTAAGCCATGAGAGCACTACGATAGCTACCATATCTCATACCCCGAGATAGGGATGCTGTAGAGTGGCGCATGTGCAGTGCGTATCAATCAGCAGTCACGTACATTGGTCAACAACAGGGTCATATGTTAGTATCAAACACCCATTGATGCGAGCATCGAGTCTTGCGATAGGACGCGCGGGGTTCTCCTAGAATTGGGCATGTCCGATAATGGTCGATGATGAGGACTTGCCCGATGCAGTGCTACCGCACAGCTGCACGTGGTGGCTGAATCAGCAACGACTGAACATCAAAGATGTACAAAAGAAATGCAGAGGACTATGCGGGCTGAGGTGCGATAAACCCCACAAAGTGCAAAATGGCTTACTCTAGCATTGCCCTGGGATTCATCGTCGCAACACTCCTGTTCTGGTTCGCGAGGCCCCTAAAATCTGCTGGGAAATCGGCTAATTTCCCGCCCGGCCCACCAACTATTCCGTTCCTTGGTAATCTGCACCAGGTACCGCTCACCAAACCCTTTGTTCGATTCGCAGAATGGAGCCGACAGTTTGGCTCCCAAGGCCTTGTCGGGCTGCAGCTCGGCCCCAGCGGCAGAGCAGTCGTCCTCAACAACTGGAGATCTGTTCGAGATCTTCTCGACCAGCGCGGCGCCATCTACTCTTCAAGGCCTTATGTCCCGATTGTTGAATATGTCGTCCCGCCGCCTGGGGACATCCACCTCGTCTTCATGCCGTATGGCCCCAAATGGCGGAAGGCTCGAAAAACTGTCATGGATTTCCTGAAAGATGAGGAAGTCGATAAGCTGATCCCGATCCAGGATGCCGAGTCGTCGCAGATGATGTGGGAGTTATTACGGGATCCGGCGCGTTATAATGATCATGTGTTGCGATACTTTGGCGCAGTCATCATGGCTTCGGTGTTTGGTACCCGCGGCAAGAACTACAGCGATGGAGCAAAGATCAAGCAGTTTTTCAAGGTGCAATATGAATGGGCGGGAATGCTAGATCAAGGATCGGTGCCGCCATATCATGTATTTCCCTTCCTACGATTTGTGCCAGACTTCCTGACCCCCTGGCGCGGGTGGAAGAAGCGGGCCGCGTCTCTCAAAGCCAAGCAGAGCACTCTTTATCGGGACTTATTTAGCGAGGCACGAGGAAGGGTTGAAGTGGGCAAGAGCCAAGACTCATTCGTTGCAACTCTTTTGCGTAATCGACAGCAGGATGGCTACGATCAAGTAGAGCTGGAATATATCACCGGTTTCTTGATGGAGGGCGGCTCCGACACTACTGCTGGCGCCTTTGAAACGTTCATCCTCGCTATGGCTGCTCACCCGGAGATTCAAATGAAGGCTCAAAATGAAGTAGACAAAGTCTTTGGAAAGGGTGGCGTGCAAACTCAGAAGTTGAAGGCTAGTAGCTTGCCATACCTCAAGGCCTGTTTCCTAGAGGTAAGCTGTTTTCTTATAATACATCTTGAGACTGAACGCTAACCCCAAAACTAGACCCTTCGCTGGCGGCCTGGCTTTCCGTTGAGCATCCCGCATGCCATGACTCAAAAGGACACTTACCAAGGTTACTGCTTACCCGCTAATACGACAATATTGATGAACATCTGGGCTGTCCACCACGACCCCGATGAGTACGATGCACCGGATGTCTTCAGTCCAGAGCGCTTCCTTAAGAATTCTTTGGGCATTAAGAAAACCGGAACAGCACTGAAAGAAGCGCTTGCTGACCAATCTAGGCGACAGACATATGGGTTTGGTGCCGGACGACGAGTGTGCGCCGGTCAGCGCATGGCGGAGAACAGCATGATCATGACCATGTCGAAACTGCTATGGTCGTTTGACATCATCGCCAAGAAGAAGCTGGACACGGCAGTTCAAACAGCCTTCAAAGATGCTATACTCACTGGGCCGAAGGAGTTTCCAGTCGATTTCAAGGTCAGAAGTGAGAATCGGCGAGAAGTGATTGAACAAGATTGGAAGAAAGCCGACGGGTTCTTGAAACAATTCGAATAAAAGAGATCGGGTCAGGTTCGAGCTCTTTCGGCGTTGCTACTGTAGTTGTGCTTTCAAATTATATCTCATAACAATACGTCTACATGATTGATGCGGTCTATATATTATTCCGCTTCCAACCACCTTCCGCTTCGAAGATACTTCCTACCGCCTTGGAAACCGCAAGTAGGTGCCTATCATGGTATCGAGGGGCAACAAGCGAAAGCCCAATCGGCATATCTGCCTCGCCCTTGAACCCTGGAATGTTGGTTACTGGGGTGTGAAATGCAGTCCAAATACTATTGAAAGCGGCAGTTCCAGTTGTCACAAGTCCCACAGGTGCGACATCTGGCACACTAGGGGTAACAATAGCCGCGTAGCGACCAGCAATCTCGTCAATCTTCGGCCTCAGCGCAGCCATGCCGTCAAATGCTTTCAGTTGAGCAGCTCGAGAAATATTGTGCTCGTTGTCAACGTGTCCGATCAAAAATGGGTGGAGTTGCTCCTTCGCGGTTCTGTACTCGGGCAAAAAGGAAACACGGCCCTCGCTGTGGAGTAGGATGCGGTGGAACTCCGGTGCCTCGCTGAACTCGGGCGGCAGCTCAATCTCGTCCACTTCCGCTCCATGGCTCCTGAGTATATTGGCTCCGTGTTCCATTGCTGCAATGGTTCCTGGACCTACTTGTGGCCAGACCGTCGTCTTCAACAAAGCAAACTTTGCGCCCTTGATCTCGAATGGCTCTTTGACGGGTTGGTCATCCTCCAGTGCGAAGACGTCGGCCAGGAGTTGGAGATCCTCGACACTGCGAGCGTAAAAACCGAGCGTATCGAACAGCAGAGAGTAAATCTTTTGCCCTTCACGACTGATTGAGTTCCAAGTCGGCTTGAAGGCATAGATTCCATTATATGAGCCAGGACGGATTGTGGAACCACCCGTTTGGGTGCCAAGACCGATAGGAGCTTGAAAATCGCCAACCGCAGCACCAGACCCAGATGATGAGCCGCCTGGTGTTCTAGTGGAGTCATGGGCATTAGAGGTCTTGCCGCCGTACGTGGTTGAGGCGAACTCTGTGGTCGTGGTCTTTCCCAAAATCAGGGCACCAGCATGTCTCAGAGTAATGATCGATGCTGCATCTACTTTCGGGGCGTCTCCTTCATAAATAGGAGAATTGAACTGTGTGGGCATGTCTTTTATTATTGGTGACGTGTTAGGAGCAATAACGGCTGTCATCTGCGCATACCTTTGGTGTAAATGACATCCTTCACAGCAATTGCGACTCCGTGCAAAAGGCCCCGTTTCTCAGGCGGCACCTCATCGAGCTTCTTGGCCTGCTCAATCACATAATCTGGGTCCAGATATGCCCATGCTTTGACGGCATCATCTCTCTTCGCAATTCTGGCTAGCAGGGAGCGGGCATAGTGCTCAATTGTGAGCGAGCCGTTCTTGAACTGGGCAATGGCCTCAGTTGCTGTAAACTGCCAGGGCTCCATGTCGATTGAATCTCTAAACAGGACGATGCCAAAGCTCAATGTGAGGTGAAAGCTATTGCGGAGGGAGCAACGAAAGGCTTTATTTTTGGCGTCTATATCTATCTCGTTGGATCATACACGTAGTAGAAACAACGCTTCGAGGCATTGCACACTGCATTGTCGGATTGTCCGTGCTGACTGGTATCTGCCGCCTATCGGGGCTTTGCTATCGGCCGCTGCTGCGGTGCAATCCCGAAGCTCTCCGGCAGAGTACAGAGAGCCCCTCCCGCGGATTATAAGCAGTCGGTGGTGCAAGATGCATGACGAGGGGAAAACAGCACATCGGAGCTCATTTCAGTGACGCGATAGGGGATGCGCAATTACTAGATTAATCGATACTGACATTCAACAACTTCCGTAAGAAGAGGTCGCTGTCATGAAAACTTGCTGCTACGGTACACTCCTGCCTAGCGGCCGCGTAGTGCTTACTATGCTTACAGAACTCCTTACGTAAAGCGCCTCCAAATGCGCAGGAACTGTTCAATTCATCAACAGCGCGGTACGCGCCTGCACTGACAATGAAATGGAAGCGTTCAGGAGTCGACCTTCATAGCGATCTCAACTATCACGTCTTTAAAACATACTTGCATCAAGGAATCACACTTTAAGGGTGTCAGAGTCTGCTGCACTACAACGTTGGGATGTTCCCATCGATGGTCAGTACTGCCTCAATGTCAAGTCACATCATAATGATCACTTTGTCGGTGTCTTTCGGAATCACGGCTAGGGAGGAATTTTCTACAGGCAATAAGATAGGACGATACGGGAACCCTAGCCGAAGAAAGTGGAAGGTTATATAGCAAGATACGAACCTCAAGGAGTGATTTGTATGTGTTTTTCTGCAAGCTTCTAGCTTATTTATTACGCGTTCATGTCGTCCACAATCGGCAAATACAGTGAAGGTGTGTGTAAAAGGAATGTACCATCGCGAATTCGTATGAGCCTAGCGTACGCTCACTTCCTATGTCACATGCCCAAGACAAGACCTAGATGTGTCACGGAACTAATCCTCATCTACCGGAATTCTCTACAACTGCTACCACACTGCGTAAGTTGAGAATCACAGAGAGTTTATCCCGTAGGAGACTGAGGTTGAATTGACGGATGATGGTCACTAGGAAGGTAGCGATACTCTCCTCGTCCTACTCGGCCTTGCTTCGAGCTACAGAGGTAGACATGGTCAAATGTTGCCGGTTGGTTTGGCTGTTGTGATGAGAACTGTAGGATGGATTGTTGAGTCCTGACTGAAGCCTTTGGTGTAGATGTGAGTGTGTAAAACAACTTTCAAGCTGTAAAACAGCTACAAATGTTGTAATTTCTTTGTGTTTCTGCCAGCCGAATCTGATTCCTGCCAATTGTTAACATGATCTGGCAGTCGAAAATTAGGGCAAATATCTTATTACCGGCGACATGGCGATGTACATACAAGGCAGCAATACAGTATCGGCGATGGACTCAATACTTGGCACCCACAACTCTGGATGCACGGAAGAAAACCCGGACCTAAGAGGTCAAACAGATTTACATAACGTGACATAACTTTATACTAGTCATAAGGGTCGTCCATGGTTTTTGATGTCAACAGCCATGTAAGTAACGCGATTCATGGTCCACTCACCATGTTTTCTAATCTTAGCAAAGGCACTACACCAACCGTATAGATCAAGAAGAATGCCATACTAATGAGTTCAAGACCACTTGAGATCCAGCTTGAACATATAGCATACGATTAAGTTCTTATTCCTAGTCAACGATTTGAAAGAGAATGCTTTGATCTAATACTGCAAAATAAAGATCTGGCAAAACAAACGAAGAACAAAAAGAAAAGAAAAGCAGCAGCCCGCTTATGACCTCGTATCCAATAAACCCGTGAACTCAAACCCATGCATTCAAACCTTTACCAATTACGCCAATACTGCCTTCAGACTCATTAAAACCTGTTAAGAAGCGTCTCCTCCAGCTTATCATCTTCATACACACTCTTGTCCTTCAACTGAACAAGCTTGCCACCATAGATGGCTTCCTGCAGGACGCGAGTAGCACGTGCCTGCCTTGCAACCACCTTGCTCTTGTACGCTTCATACTCCTTCTCCGTAATGGTAGCAAACAGGTACTTGGCATTAACCCCAATGACTTGAGCACCTTTCTGTCCGAAACCAAATGATGTGACACTGAATGCCTTGATTCCGGTCGGCATATTGTAGGTCTGTGACGGGAAGAACAGTAGGTCACGGCTCTGTAGTTCGCTGTCAATATTATCGGCATTGCGATTGCCTGGGATGAGACCGGTGTTGAGCATCTGGAGGCAGCCATTGACTGCAAATGCACCTGAGAGAACGTGTTAGGTCTTGCGATTAGAGATGGTTGTTTGTTCAATATGGTATCTTACCTGCTGCACCTTTGCCATGTCCAAGCAGGCTCTTCTGCAGGACGCAGGGCAAGACATTACCCTGTGTCCTACCCAGGAAAGAGAGCTGGCTTTGTATGACCGCCGTCTCGTTGGTGTCATTCTTCTTTGTACTCGTACCATGTAGACTAGCGACGCTGAGATCATCGATTGTCAAGCCCCAAACGGCCAAAGCACCACGCAAAGGTGAGATCGAGTCATCATGCTTCCAGAACTCATTACCATATGTGTTCTGGGCTTCCTTGAATGCACGCTGCGCATCTGCTTCGATGTCGTGGCGACACTGCTCTGCGTACTCATCACCACTTGTGCTGTCTGCTACAACCGTGTCGACAGAGCTGCGCCGCGATCTCATCGAGTTGAGGCGGTCATGGAGCCAGGCAAGCTCCATGTCGCGCTTCTCCTCAATCTGGTGCAATCGGTGGGAAAGATGTCGACGACGATGGGCGATATCAAGCATGGGAGAAGTAAATTTGCCACGTTTCTCAGTCGCAATTGTCAGAACACCTTTACCGGGAGCAGGAACCGAGCGGCCGATCTTGTCAGAAGCAGTGTGTGTCAACGCGATGATACCGCGGATAGGCAGACCCATGTCGAGCGCCAACCGAGCGGTCGTCAACAGTTGGATACCGCAACCCTCGCCCTCAACGAAACCACCACGTGTAGAAGTAGTTGGACGAGAGGCTTCTTTGGGTGTACGGCCGGCAGCAGCATCTTTCTCAGCATTTATAGTAGCCTGCATGTTGGCGAACTCTTGCGCAATATCGCGCTCAAGAGCATCGGTGCCCCCTACAAGGACAGCCTTTGCCTTTCCGCCCACGATAAGATCGTAGCCTGTATCTACACTCTCGAGCGCGGTGGCGCAGGCACCAACTGGCGTGCGGATGGGGCCAGAAGAACCCACGAGGAGCATGTTTATCCAAGCAGCGGTCGTATTTACGAAGGTCTCGGCAAGGATATCCTTCTGGACCTGACGATCAAGGAATCGTCGCTTGAACATCTCATGTAGTGACTTGAGACCACCCAGACTAGCACCGACAGCGTTGCCAAGATCAGACACGTGTATATGGTCGTATAATTCGTAAGGGTCCGTGATTCCGGCCGACAAGAAGGCCTCGACTGTTGACACCAAGGCGTATAGAGTAACCGGGTCGACCTGGGAGATGATGTCATCTGGAATACCATATATCCTTGGGTCCCACCCAGAAGGCATCTGCGCGCCTAGTGCGTTCTTGAAAGTGACAGCTTTGGGGATCATCAGTGTTGTGCCAGCTTTCAGCGAGACCGAGAACTGCCCATCAGCTGTCTCAGCGACTACTACTTTTTCGCCATGCTCGCGCTTGAAATCCTCTGCAGTTTCAAACGACACCTCGAATGGTTCCAGATCCTCAGTGATCATAACTTCGTGAAGTACCTGCTCCTTGTCAGGTGATGTGAGGTCGTGTTCTTGTGACTCAATGACACGAATGCCTGTGTGTTCGATAATGTAGTCCTCGAACTTAGACTTTACCTCGGCATCGGTGATGATGGATTTATTCTTGGAGTCGATCCAACCACAATAATCCTTACCCTGCAGTGGACCATTGTGGTATTGGACGAGACCCATAATCCAAGCGAGCTCAAGACAGCCATCGACTGAGAAAGTTCCGGAGCACTCAGCTTCCCATCGTGTTCGAGCACTTCCACATGGTCCTGTGTATAGTTAGTGTCAAATGGTCCTGCTATTCAATCCATGACCAAATCTGACTCACCAGCTTCGCCGAATCCAACTGCAACCACCACTCTTTCCAAGTCGACCATGCCCTGCATATTAGCAGCAAGCGGTTGAAGTTCTTTGAATTCAGGCAGATTCACTTCTTCCACCTGAATCTTGGCCTTTCTTGACAGCTTTCTCGGAGCTGGGACCATAGAGAGATCCTCTCCGGACTCAAATACTTCTTCCTTGGCAATCGCTTTCTTGATATCACTCTTAGAATTGATGTTATCCTGAATTTGGTCCAGCACCGGCTTCAGGTTCATCGAAGCTGACAATCCGCCAGTCAAGTCTGCCATTAACGGCTCAAGGTCACAGAAACTCGCCACAGTAGCATCCATGAGCCCGATGATGTGCCACGCCATCTCGGAAGCCGAAAATGTTCGGATGCCAAGGTCATCCTCGATGCCAGTAGCGAGAACATCGTTGTTGCTCATCAAGCCGGTGCCGCGGGTCCAGCCGATCACTGTACCGCAGAGGGTCAAATAATCATTCCAGTCCTCAGACCACCACTTGTTCATCAAGGCCTCCAAACCGATCTTGGACTCGGCGTACAACCCATCCTGTCCAAAAATACCATGATTCGGGGAGAGCGGAAGCAAGACATGGGTGGGGTGAGTCTCAATACGTCTCTGTGACTTGTTGGACTTCACGGCACCTAGAAGCCTAACCAGGTTGGTGAGCATAACTCGGTGCGCTAGTTCTGACTTGTCGTCAATGCCGTCAACAGCCCGACCAGCCTCACCGACTGCAGCGAACGGAATGACATGGTCAAGGTCCCAGCCAAGACCGCCTTTGGATACATCGTCGTAAATATAGGCTACTAAGTTTTGGATGTCCTGGTTGCTGCCGCCATTGAATGGGACCACGACCAGTTGTGATTGACGTGCACCATGCTGACGATACAAGTCCTGGTAGTAGTCTACGGTGGTCTTAGAGTAAGAGCTGGTCGTGACTAGTACTTTTCCACCAGCGGCAAGTGACATTGCTACGATCTCCGAGCCAATGGAGCTTTTACCAGCGCCGGTAACGAGAATAGCTTTATCATTGAAGGACACACCGTCAATGGAAGCACGTTGGAACCATCTCAGATAGCCGTTGGTAATGTCATCGTTACGGCGCCAGCCACTGCGACCTTTGGTCTGAAGCTCAGGCGTCCACTTGAGACTGGATGTGCCATGGTAGCGTCCATCTGGCGCCGGGCCGCCGCCAACGATAACAGGATCTGTGTAGATCGAGCTAAGCGGTGATTCCATCCCAGAGGCCACTCTGGCAGGATGCCTGCTAAACACAGCTTCCGACATAGATGGGGTAGAAATTCCAGACTGGTAAGACTGAGCATCAATGTTTGAGCTCGTGTCGTCGCCTTCCTCCGATGACATAACGGACATGGAGTCTGGTGATCGCGTCATCCGTGGCATTTCATGAACGGAGATCTTTCCCTTTTCGTCGATGCTCAGGATTGGTACGGTAGAGACTACAGAGTTCTTGAAGGAGAGCTGCTTCTTATCACTGGCCGAAATGCAAGCTCTCTGAAGATCTTGTAGCCACTCCTGAGTAACCTCTTTTCTCGGACTATCGGGAAGTTCCCTGAGCGTTTGTAACAGGTATCGAGTGACATCTAGCAGTTGAGGTGTGACCCGGACGGGGAACCTCGACAACCGCTCCCTGATCTGGCTTTCGAACTTTTCAGCTTGGCCAGTCATCGCCAGTGAGAAAAGTGCCAAAACGTCCTGTACTACCCAGTTCCAGTAAGAGTCGTATTTTCTGACCTTTTTGACGTCAAACTTGGGTGCGATACCACGCTCATAGGCCTCCCCATGCTCGGCGCTCCAAGCATCAATCTTACCTTGGAGCTCATCGATCATGGCCTTCGCCTTTTTACTTTCGCTGTTCGTGGCACCGAGGTCGACGCCCAAGCGTTTGGCGTACACATCTAGCAGGGTTCGGTCTTGACCCCTCTGTTCGCTCTGCAGAGCGTTTAGAGCTTCGGAAGAGACCGCGACTGTGCCAGCAGATTGGGCTGAGCCACTGCCGGATGACAGGCTTGAAGGGTCGACGCCGATGCTTCGGAGCACATCGTGTGCGATTTCGTCAAGAAAGGAGTGAAAATCCTTCTCGCCGGCCAACCGAGCACTGGGTTGTCGCGAAATAACAAAAAGCAACGTTCGATCCTGAAGACCTTGCTTGAAGCCCCATCTACTCTCGAGATACTGGCGGAGACTAGCAACATTGGAACCAGCCGGCAGTTTCGTCGAGGCGACCTTTCCTACGAGGGCATTTGTGCATGGTCCAAGCTTGTTCCCTAAACCACAGTCTAACAGGTTGGTACTCAAGTCTGCAAGGGCGACGTCCTCGGGCTGATCCGGTAGCGCTCCGAACTCTTTTGTTAAGTCGCCGATGATTTCATTCTGGACAGTGGACCTTCCTGAGAGAAATGTTAATGACAATCTCCCGAACCATTATGTGACAACAACTTGCCTCCACAGAGAGCCTTTATGGTCTGATCCTTGATGATGTCTGTCGCTGACTTTTTCAACGCGACGGCCACAAGAACTGTCAGCACGTCGATTGGCTCGAGTGATTTGTCCGGAACCGATATGGCTTGTGCCGGCGCTAATACAGGTGCTGACTCTGCTGGCACTGCAGCAGCTGCAACAACTACAGGTAGTGGTGAGGCTGTTGTTGGCTTGCTTACTGATGTGGCAGTAGCTTCTTCCGCCTGCAGCTTGTAGTATATCGCATCCGCATTCTTCTTGTAGCTAAGAAATTCGCGTTGAAGGCCGCGTGCAATATCATGAGACTCATAGTCAGCTTTCAAAGTCTTCTTCGCCATATTGACTAATGTCTAAATCCGTATCGTCAGCCTAACGGTCAAAAAGAAAAAACCCCCCAAAAAACACCCCCTATTACCATTGTACTCACCTCTGCCGGTCCTATCTCCACCATCCTCTCCGTGGCGAAATCACGGAGGATTGCATCTTGTGTGTCAATCCTGTAGGAAGTTAGTTTTGTCATCACGGTCCTTGAGATCGAAATACCATTGCACTGGGAAACAGAACTGGTGTCTAATAAATCACGTTAGCAGGAAACCTTTTAGGTGATCTATAGAGTTTGTAAATAGACTCACGCCAACAGTTCCGTGACCAGAATTTGGGTGAGCTCCTGCTCTGTAGGTGTGTACTTCTGGCTACCGCCCATCTCGAAGCAGAGTGACGATGAAAAACACAGGAAAAGAGGAACAAGAGAAAAAGAAAGTGAGGGCGGACGGAGTGCAGACTAGGAGAGTAGCTCGGAGGTTAAGCAGAGAGCAATATGTGACTAGTATCGCCAATTTCTCATATTCTATGGTAAATGCCTGAAATGTGTGTTTTGGAAAAGTTCGAATGGTTCGAGAATGAGTCGAGAATGATGCAAACCCACGCATTGGGATGTATATAGCAGTAGAGCAAGTATTGGCTTGTCGTATGAGGGTACATTAATGTGATCATACTGCTTAGTGCGCTAACAATCCCAGAATAGAGCTTCACTCAGCAAATTGTGCTGGGGCGCCACTAGGATGCGGACAGGCAGCGCAGACCAAGCGCCGACACAGCCATGCGTTATAGTGGTTTAGCGCGGGCGGTGGGGAGCTAGCCAAGCCCAGTCCTGGCTGGGGCTGCTTACTGTTTCGCAGCACCGCTGTATACTTATCCAACGATTGAACAGTGAGACAACCATAGTAATCGCGCACAAACGAGCTCAAAAACTGCCCATAAACTGCCCATGGAAGCAAACATAGTAGAGAAGGATGAACTGACCGTGAAGTTTTACAGGAGACTAAGATGAGCCGCAAGTGTTGAATAGAATATATTGCGGGTTCTTGCTCAGAGTAGATCTGCAAAATAAAATCATACTTGCAGAAACAAACCTACCGCCGCAAACATTTGATCAATCGAGTCGCTTCCATATTTCATAAGCCGGCCTGCAAAAAAGCTGTAGAGTTAAAGCATCAAAAATCTTATCGCCATGGCTTCATCTACACTGGGACAGCCAATGATCCTGGGTGTCATAGCACTTGCGGCATCATATGTGGGTTCCAATCGACATCCACTCGAAAACTTGAAGGCTAACAGTGTCCGAAGCTCCTTGCGAGAGCCATTTATCTGGCTTTCTTTCATCCTCTGGCTAGGTATCCGGGTCCCCTCCTGGCCAAATTCACAAATGCGTATGCTGCCTATCATGGCTGGAAAGGAGATATTCATCTCGATATGTGGAGGGCACACCAACGATATGGTAGGTCAATCCAACAGTATGAGCTGAAATAGTTGTTCACCGTGGTAGGTGATTATGTCCGATATGGGCCAAACCAATTGATGTTCAATACTGCCGAGGGTCTTCGGGATATTTACAGCATTAGTGCTTCTTCCAAATTCATGAAAGCCCAAGCATATGCACCAATGGTGCACCGTGCTCCCAATACCTTGACAATTCGAGGCGGCAAGGACCATGCCCGCAGACGCAGGATCATGGCTCAAGGTGTCTCGGAAAGGGCGCAGCGTGGTTACGAGCACAGAATTGCCACACACATTGACAAGCTATGCAGCATCGCTTTCCAGACCGATGACACGGTAGGATCCAGGTCTTGGAGTGTGCCCATGGACATGTCAAAGTGGTGTAAGCAACCCATGTGCCCAGGCCTGCCAGACAAACACTGACGAAATATCAGGCAACTATCTTTCCTTTGACATCATGGCCGATGTGGTATTTGGAGCCAAATACGACCTCTTAAGCAACGAACGCTTCCGATACGTGGTTGAGTCAATTGACAAGTCGAACGTTCGCATGTCAGCATTGATCCAGTTCCCCAAGCTCGCAGCTCTTAAGATTGACAAATATGTCTTCCGGGATGCCATTGTCGCCAGGAACAGATTCGTCAAGTTCGTCCTGCGAGTAGTCAAGGATCGCCTCGAGAAGAGCAAGACGACCTCCATTGATATTTATTCTTCAACTAGTAGCGACGCAGATGTCTTCGCCAACCTAGCAGCTGCCAAAGACCCCGAGACTGGCGAAGGGTTCCGACCAGACGAGATTGCGGCCGAGTCGACCACTCTGATCGTTGCTGGATCTGATACGTCATCTACTGCGTTCTGCTCGGTCCTGTTCTATCTAGCCGACAACAAAGACGCATATGCCAAAGCTTCCGAAGAGGTACGAACCAAGTTCTCGTGTCGTGAGGAGGTCTGCTTGGGCGCTACGCTTGCATCGTGCAGCTACGTCCGTGCGTGCATTGACGAAGCACTTCGCATGTCACCACCGGTAGGCTCAGCACTCTGGCGTGAGGCAATGCCCGGCGGTGCCACGGTCGATTCTCACGCCATCCCATCGGGTATTGACGTTGGTGTTCCAATTTACTCGGTCCATCACGACTCCAAGTACTATTTGAAGCCGTTCGAGTACAAGCCGGAGCGTTGGTTGGTGGACGATGGCACTGGCAGCATCGAGCGTGCCAGGTCGGTCTACAACCCTTTCTCTGTCGGGGCTCGTGGCTGCCTAGGGAAAGGACTGGCCAATACGGAGATGATGCTCACGATTGCCACAATCTTGTTCGTTGGAGACTTCAAATTCGCCGATGGCGAGGAAGGAGCGATTGGACGGGGACAGTCGGGAGCAGTCCATGGCAGGCATAGGTCCAACGAGTTTCAGCTCTATGATCATGTCACCTGTCAGAAGCAGGGGCCATTCCTTCAATTCTCCCCGCGAGAGATCTGTTGAGCGATGAAACATGGAAATGATGCTGGTTGTGTGCATACTTCTGAAATATATAGATGGCGATCAAAATGAAAGACGCATACAGCAAAGACGCATACAGCAGCGACGCGAATGGGCGTGAGGTGGGGTCACTAAGTTAGGATCAATTACGGATTAGGCGGGATGAACTTGGTCGTTAATTATATGGCTCAAATTGAGGAGTACTTGTCAATTAACGCGAACATTGCTAACAATGCGCACAACGATCCTTCTTCGTGCTTGTTTATGTATACAGTGAATATCAACTCGAAATCAGCACATAGAATTGACAATTATGTTCGTTCATGCTGTCTCGCGATGTCCTCGTTGCCCCTTGACAGCTTCTCGGTTAGAAGCCGTGAAGGTGGCCTCACGGAGTCGAAGCTGTCGATGTGAAAGTGTATGTTTGCATCAATCAGGATTCGCGGATTTAGCCCTGTAGGATCAGAGGCAATGTTATCCCTTGCAGTTGACACCAAGCATAAAAAATGCAGACCAGACTATCATACGTGTACGTATTTGTCGACGACTCTTATGACTGAAGTCCTGTACTGAATCCAAGTCAATATCAGTGATGTGCTCTTGCCAATTCCGATGCATTCATTCGCAGGCTGGATATAGCGGCTTGATTGCTGTTGGGCCAGAACCTGACACTGAAAACTTTTCGTCAACTCTCACGTGAACGACGATGCAGGTGGCGTGGCTTCAGTCGGTGATTATTGGTAGCATGGGTACACGATGCGCTAAATGGCGAATGTCATCTCCATTTCGAGTTCTGCAGTTTTAAGTAACCCGACGCAATGGGATTCATGCATATGCAGCCTAACGTAATAAGACCACCATAAGCTTTGATGTCCAACACCCACCTCACAGCCAGAGTTCAAGCACGCTGCCAAACACTACTCCACGCTTAAGCTGAGCTATGATGCGTTCCAACGAGCATGTTTGAAAGCTCGCTCATATTGAGTAGCTGAATGAGCAATCCACTGCTGGCTTCATCGTAGCATGGGAGGTCGCAGCTTTACTCAATGCCAACACCTCTATGTAAGGCTCTGTACGGCATGGGGGCCATCAAGTTCGGGTACAATAGCTCCAACTTCGTTCCCAAATTAGCTGACGCTTACTTGAATGGGCTTAAGCCAACAATATTTTAGTGGCTCACTCCCACCGCTTAAACTACCAGTCAAATGAATGGCTTACTATTATGTAGTATTTACTACCAACCTGATGGAACACAGAGCCAATGCATCTTCTGGATTCACATCATCCGACTATGGTTCGGCGTGCTGGATGACACAGGCTGCCACGCGCAGTAAGACAACTTTGAATCATGGCTAAAGCTGACATCGATAACACGTTCAAGTTGGAAAATTGGCTGATGATCCCAGTAACTTAACTTAATCGCGTGCAGTTAAATACCTACGTATGCTACATACTGATTATGGAGGCGCATACCCAAGATATGACTCTTCATTCTTCCTGCCAAGATATACGGTTGCATCTCAATATCATCTTACTTCGGCTCTATTGATTATCCGAGCACCCTTGGATCAAACGGTTTCATGCTTCAGACTTTGTACCACTTCACACTATCACGCCTCCAAATCCTGGAGAGATGTCTGCACCAGCTCCAAAGAAAGACATTGGTCAATCTCCCGCACTGGCTTGATTGATGGTCTGCTAACAAATATCGCAGACTGGTCACAACTTGGCCTCGCCCTTAACCTTTCGGTGAACGGCCACATCGAAACCCGTTACCATCTATCTACAGGTCAATGGACAACACCAATATTGATAGCAGATCCCAACATCTCTGTCAGCGGCCTATCTCCAGGGCTAAACTACGGCCAGCAATGCTATGAGGGTTTGAAAGCCTTCCGGGCCGAAGATAATAGGATAACAATCTTCCGCCCAAAATACCATGCTGCGCGCATGGCCCGCTCTGCCACCTCAGTGTCGCTTCCACCGCCATCGGAAGAGCTCTTCCTGGAGTGTCTGCGGCTAGCCGTCGCTGCGAATGCCGAGTATGTCCCTCCTGCTGACGCGGAGGCGTATTTGTACATCCGCCCTGTGCTCTTCGGTGCGTCTGCCAGGCTTGCGCTCGCGCCACCTGAGGAGGTTATCTTTGCCATATACGTCCAGCCTACGCGGCCCTACCATGGGTCTGCTGCCATAGACGGTGTGGTGCTCGAGGACTTCGATCGCGCGGCGCCTCGGGGCATGGGTGGATACAAGGTCGGCGGCAATTACGCGCCGGTCTGGAGACATGCTGCCAAGGCCAAGGAGATGGGTTATGGTATTACCCTTCACTTGGACAGCGCTACTCGGTCATTGATTGAGGAGTTTTCGACGAGTGGCTTCTTGGGTCACAGGGAAATCGGCGGCAAGAATGTTCTCATTGTCCCAGAAACGGACAATGCTATCGCTAGCACTACGAGTGATAGTATGGTACGATTGGCGGAGCGCGAGGGTTGGGTTGTTGAGAAGCGCGAGGTATGTTATCGGAACCTGCACTAATCTGCGGCCATCTAACTTTTCTGTTTAGGTTCCCTTCTCCTCAATTTCAGATTTAGATGAGGTTGTCGCGGTCGGTACCGCTGCTGCTGCTGTTCCAGTGCGGAGCATCACGAGGCTGTCCACGGACGAGAAGTACGCGTTTGCCAGTTCCGATAATGGGGACGGCAAGTTGGTAGAATTATCACAACTAATGGCCTCGATCCAACGCGGTAAGGCGGAAGACACTGAAGGCTGGTGTTGGGAAGTAACAGATTTCCCTGACCATTCAACCGCGTTGGCGTCTAGTCTCACGGCCGGCAAGATGTCTCTAATCGGTAGTGCTGTGTCGACACTGCACAGGAATGTTGTCGGAGGCTTGTGGAATGCAGTGTATCTCCTCCGTGGGTAACCTCTTTTTTTGCTGTCTTGTAAAGGCACAGGCTTATCAAGGAGTTCAGGCGCCGGTGAAATTCCTTTGATTAGTTTAAAATAAATCCTATGGTGTCGTTAATTATTACATGCCAAAGTCGAAATCCGCGAAGAATATTCCTTGCTCGCCTTCATCTTGTTTATCTTCTACCACATTCAATCGAGCAGTTATGTTTGCTTACCATGCACGGTACACTATATAGTCACGAAAGATTCAATACCCATAATTAGATCCGCATCAATGTTACTTTCTGCACCATTTGTAATTTGTTTTAAGCGTAGACTTAAAGTCAAAGTGTATAACGTAGATCTACAGTGTGGCTTTCCATTGATCTACTGTGTGAATCAAAATTGCAGTATTCCGAAAGACACCTGACAGCTGACCATTCAATTTACTTTGCACTCGGTGAGGTCGTATTGCACCACGTCGTACCATTCTATATTACTAGCCATGTTACTTCCGGCGCAACTAGCGTCAACGGGGCAGCTGAGCACCGGAGGTCTAGACTTGACGTCCGTACGTCGTGCTACACACCACACCGGCTTGCAAGCCCCTCAGCACTTAATGACCGCGTATTCGATGACTGAGATGTCCCGAGTCCTGCGAGATTCACGGCAGCGTGGGGGCTGCTTATGACGCACTCTCAGCTGACAGCATTACCCCGACTATTTTCGTGTGGCGCACGAGAGAGCTATCCCAACGTATGTAGGATATCGCCGCTTTGTCAGCTTTCGTAATTTACCAAGTACGGAAGACCGATGAGACAGTCGCAATTGAGGGCACTTTTCTAACACTCCAATGAAATAGCGGTATGAACACAACCGTGGTGGTAAGGCTGAGACGTCTTTGGACAATAAACGCCAAAACCGACATGTAAGATTGGTGGCTGCAATAACTGCTATTTTCATTTTCATCTCCTTTTTTTTTTTTTTTTTTTTCCCTCTTCCCTTTTTCCTTTTTCCTTTTTCCTTTTTTCCCCCTCTCCTTGGGATCTAATGTCGCTCTCCTCACTAAGAGCAATGCGGAACAGACCGTTACCATGGATTTACGTAATAATAGTCTTAGAGTGCCAAACAAACGCGCTGCTGTTGGAAACGCTGCTGAATGCAACGTCAACACTACGCCAAGCATCGGAGTACGGCAACACGATAATAACGAATTTCAGAGAATGTGCTGAGGGATTCTTAAACTTTTGAAATTGAAGTAGCAAAATCAGATTCGGTAGATATGATAACAACCTAAGTACATGATAGAAACGCCGCCACCCCCCGACGACATTGTCGTCCCGGTCATTGCCAAGCTCTATAATTACTCCAATGGTATATTTGAATCCTCCATGTATCATAATCCTTCCGTATCAGGACTCATCGATACCTGTGAACTCTGTTTCATGGTCCCTCTTTTGAAGTCCTTTACGTAAAACAGTGCTTAAGCGTTGTATCGTCGGTCACTGCCGTAGTCAGGGACCTCGTATTCGTCCGTGATATGGCCAGGCTTGTCACGGCTGCTGTGCTTTCGCGACTTCTTGGCGGACTTGCGGTCAGCCTTGGCCTGCTTCTTTTCCGACTTAGAGACCTTCGGAAACTCGCTCCCGGAACCAACAAGGAATCGGCCAGGGTGCCATACGGCGAGAATCAATAGGGCCAGCATCATTGGGAAACAATCGAGGACATAGGAGTATTCCTGACAAAGATCGGTTAGACAGGTTGCGCACAAGCGGAAGAAATTCGGAAAACTCACCTCGTGGAAGGGGACGGGGTTCGATGGGGTGATGCCACCAGCAAACTCAGCAATACGGTAGATGATACGAATAGTAATGCAAAGCAAGACACCGTAAAGGGCAAAGTGTAGAGGCTTCCAGCTTCTCTTGCCAACTCCGTTCTCACCGGCTCCACCTGGACCCCAGGAGTTGCATCGGATGTGAAACTCGATCATGAGCCACAAGAAGAGCAGAATAAAGAACTGTTGCAAGCCCATACCAGCCAGGTAGATGTTAAGACCTGTCTTGATGATGTTACCAGAAGCACCCGGACTGGCCATGGAACCACCGACAGCTTGGATGCTTGAGGTAAAGTTAGCTGATAACTCAGAAATGCCCATGCGACGAGATATCTTACATGAATGTGATGACATCGGCCCATACAAACCACTTGGCAATGGAGGTGGCGTTGATTCCGCGGATTCGCCGATCAGACTCGGGCAAGAAGTAGTAGGCTTCACGCGCAAAGGTCATGTATACGAATGCGTTGATCCATAGCGGCGCGAGCAAGAACAGGATGTTCCATCCAGTGGCATAACCGATCTGCTGCTGGTCTTTGGTACCAAGGGAATGCAAGATGAACGCCAGCGTTTCCCACGCAGCTCCCATAATAACGACCCATGTATATTTCTGCTACAAGTCAGTTAAAGCCCCAGTGAAGTTCAATAGTACCCAACTTACCTTCTTGAAGGCGAACCCTTGAAAGATGTGAACGCCAAGGAACAGGCCGAAGATGACTGCGACTGCGACTGCTGGCGCAAATTGAGGGTCGTAGTTGTAGTATGCATTACAGGCGTTAGGGTCACTAACGTGACCATTAGGTCCGGGAGTTGCCTTTACGCAATTGTCGTTGTCATTGTCGTCGTTCCAATCGTCGTCTCTGCGAAAGACTTTGGTTGCGGTTGCAATCAAGTGCGGAAGTGCAGCCATAGCTGTCTGTTCAGAACTGCTGGGCAGCAATAGAGAGAGGTTGAGTTTCAGAAGAAATGGTATGAATTGGCAATGGAATAAGCTGATAGTTTTAAAGTTTCGATTATGCAGGCCGGGACGGCTGAGGGTTGTGGCTTGCTATGTAAGTGGTCTGAAATAAGAGCCAATGTAGATATGCAGGTGGGAAGTGATGCGAGTATCCGAGACCAGATGGCTTGCAGATTTCGAGGTCTCAAGTACAGTTCTCAGAGTCCAAGGTCTAGTAAAGGGCAGTAAAGTCCAAGACAGGAGTGACGACACGTAGGATTCAGTGGATAGTGATGGGGTTGAACTATTTGCAAGCTCAAACATTTTGCGACGGGGACTTACTATAATAAAGGCCCAATTTCGTAAGCACTGGTGTAATAGATGCAGCCAGGCTTGGCACGAATGCCGAACACCGTTGCCAGCATTGCACATTGCAGCAAAGCACACGAGTCTCGTGGCTGTTGGTTGCTAGTTCTTTTGGAGATCAGCGGCACGGCTGAGGCAATGAGAAGGCTTCATTCCAGATTGACATGGTTAATCATGAATTGCTTTGGGCTGCGCCCCTTGTTTCGGCTAAAGGCGTACAGTTTGTGCCACTAAGCTTCACAGCTAAATGGACCGTCTGTATGCAGCCTTCAGCTACGTATGGGATTACGAGACAGGCACTTTGGGATCTACATTTTTGTCGTTTGTCACATCTTGGCATACTGACTGGCAATTACACGCCTTACTGCACGGTTTGAGATTTACGGGTGCTGGAATCTCCATAACAAATTGATAGATTTCCAGATTGTCTTGTAACTCGTCATCACCTGGCTTTGCTGGACTGGATGGCTCTCCATACAAAGCAGACACAGTCATGAATCGCACTGTTCTACACTTCCCACAAGATTACTGTGAAATGAATTGCGATACCATACCAAGAGATGATATGATCTGGTAGACACACCGCCTTACTAGGGTGGGGAGCGAAGGATCGGGAGCCGATGCAACGCTGTAAGTCCCCGACATAACCTTAATTGTGGCCAGCCAAACAGAAGGCTGCCGCTAAGCCTCAGGTGTCGCAACCCGCTAAGGCTTCCGCAGCTGGGCGCCTTCAGGGTCCTTTCTAGGGCCTAAGGTTGCAGATCATTCTCCGACGCACAGCTGGCAACGCAAGGGAGACAGGCGGTAGCGCCCTGGAAGGATGCTGTCTGCTTTGTCAAATCTGACCGAAAAGCCAGAGATCCCCATCCTCTAGCTCACCCAAAAGTCCCCAGGTGCCCCAACTGTTTACTTGCTCCACAACTTGCCAACTAACTTTGCCAATATCACCGTCGATCATTTGTTGCTTTCGATTCAACCACTACACTCACAACCTCTCGTCCTTCGAATTGCAGTAAAGTGCAGTAAACATTCCCGTGACACCCTCATTTAAATGTTTCATCCCAGCTGCACCCCATCTTCCCGGAATCATAATTTAATGCACCCCGAAGACGTGCGAATCCTCCTGGTGACACGTCAGCGATTATGCACACCAAGCTGATGATGAACACATCCGCACCATTCTACTCTACAACTGGCCACGCTTGATCATTCTCAGCATCATTGCATTCGAGTCGTACTGCATATGCTCCGGGAAGCAATTCGGTTGAGCCGACGCCGCATAGGCGTCCACTTGTAAAGTCACCTCGAGTCTTAAATCATACAATGATCTGCCACCCTGCAGTTCTGTTCCTTCGGAGCTCCTTACCATGTGGCATAGTCAGGCTATTGATTGGTGCTTACACGATTCTTTACACTAGATCTACCACACGCATATGCCGTTCACTCCAACGGCTTAGTTCAGCATGTATTGATTGTGTGGCTTAAAAAGATTGAATCCGAAAGTCACCTTCTGTGATCTACACGATGGGCTCTCTCCGGTGTGTTTGCTGCAGCGCGCTGGTTTACGAACCTGGCTGATCGTCTCCTTAGTGCCTAGCTATGGCCGTTTTCGCAATAAACCGATCGGCACTCGCCACGAGGCGACAGGGATTCGAGGCTTGATTCCTACAGCTGAGCTACTGTATGTCGTACTCGACTGAGCTCTATTGCAGCGTTACATTTTCTCGGAAGGATCTCACGCGTCAGTTCCGAAACAGACTTGAGCTTCCTGTACTTTTCGCTTGAGCTAGCTTGCAGTGCTTGCAGGACGCACATGACTTTGTTTACTTTCCCCAATGCACACGCTGGTACGCTTTGCTGCGTGTTCAAGAGACCTTTCTTGGATTGTAAACAGTCAAGCTCCTGGATCGATGCCATCTAAGCAGATTGAACTTGGTCACGATCACCGAGCATGATTAGCTCATTGCGCTTACGAGTGCCTGGGCCTGAGCATTTCTCTATACCAGAAGCTCCTTACTGGTTCTGGTTGACATGCGGCAACACAGCTCCTTGTTTGCCAATATCGGTTTCTAATTGGGACGGTTTAGCTGGTTGTTTGAATTTGATGAATCTTTTCTTTCTTTTAGCTATCACAATGTGGAAAGGTTACATTCAGTACGGTGGCAGACATTTTGAGTTACTGAATAGACTTCACCAGCTACTGGAGAGATAATGTTCTTACAGCATGCCCAAACCCATATATGGCATACTCAACGTCATAGGTCAGTCTTCAACTGCGACTAGTAATTCTCGAATGCTTCTAGTCCAAAAATGATGATCAAGTTGTAAAGTCAAGCAGCTAAGATGCAAGCTTTGGCATGTAGCTGCATAATAAACGTGCAGAGATGGAGATCTCAGTATGGACCTTGGCGACCCTGTCTCGGGCTTCTCCGCTGCAAACAAACAAAGAAGCAAACGAAATTGTCAAGGAGTATCGTCTATCCTTTCCCCATGGCTCGAAAAGCCAGGTTGCTACTAGTCTGCACGTGGTGACAGGGTCATTGTCGTTTCCCAGCCTCTAGAGGGTCGACAGAAATAGCATTTTGTCTGATCCTTTCGCCTAATATGTTTCCTTTACTCATCAATCAGCTTGGGCCTTGGACCCCGCGTTCGCATGCAGTAGATTCATAATTTTGGACGGAGGCGAATAAATTATTTGGATTGGATGACAGGATCCGACGCCCTGTAATTAGGGGACTGACGTTGCACTAGCCACGGGCGACATGTTGAGTAAACAAACCGTTTGAATGAAGTATTAGGTATGGGAAACTTTGGGGATGCGCAATCTCCAAGACGAGACGGAACTGAGCGAATAACAGCATTTGCTTGAGAAGCCCAATCTCGAATATGCAGTAAAACCAATGAGAAAGCTGTAAGCTTAACACAAGCACAGAATACCCTATCGTAACTTGCACCATCTCGTTAATTTACCACATGTTTTACCGCTGCGCAAACTTCAACGTTCGAAGCATCGGATCCGGATACCCCGTTTTCGTTGTGCCAAGAAATACGAGATCTAGATGATTCAGCCAGCCAGGATCTTAGATTTGATGAGCTTATTGGCACCGCTTGAGCACTACTACCCAAATAGGCATGCCATTTTAAATTCTCCGATGATACAATCTTGCGATCAGCAAGAACATATACACAAAAGATCTGAGCTTACCTGAAATTGTCACCATTAAAATTACAACTTCCATCGTCACAGGCTGCCAGGTGCAAGTTCTCAGGCGGCCGACCCTGCCGCACAGATTAACCGATCTGATAATGATTCCTTTGTGGTACAGTCATAAAGGAAAAGTACCGCGCAGATCAGCATATGCATGGGGATTCAACATACATGGAACTAATTATCAACATAAACACACCCTACTAACTTCTAACAATTCACCAGTAGCACATCACTACATTTGACTGGGCAGATCCTACCCATATCCAATCTACACTACTGTTATGACTTACTGGTGCAATGCTTGTTTTTTTGGTCTGCCAAGATGTTTCATACTTGGTTCTCAGAATCCGGGGGCTTGCAAGTCAATAGATGCATAGGTGTTTTTTAATCATAGGTCGCTTTAGGCTCTCTTAAATTTCCACTCCGTCCAAGTTGAAGCTGTGTGTATGCGTGTGTCTTTTTTTTTCCCTGTTTTTTTCTTGGGGAGGTTTTTTCCCCAATGCATGGTCTATGAAAACATTGCCAGCCATAGGCATTAGTGAAGGGGATAATGTATGTCTGATTTCATGTCAGCAGAGCTAGCGAAAAAAGATTATTAACAGAGTGGCTTGGAAACTTTTGTGCGGAGGATTCCACCACCAAAACACATCACAACGGCTGCGCCTGTGGCTTGCATAAACTCGCCAGTCCCCAGACCATGATCATATATCATTAGAGCCAAATAAATTCATTAAATCGACAGAGCAGAGGCTGAGCTGCTGAGAAATATGGCGGCCCAAAAAAGGCAGGCTCACGGTAGTGGTAGCCGTCATCAATTAGTGCGGCTGGGAGCCCGTTGACCTGTGAAGATGGATGTACTTTTCGACCGCAACGGGCTAAGCCCTTATGGTGTAGTGCCGTGTATATTTCATTTCAAACCTGGAGGAAAATAGGAAAATAGCCCACAGATGGGGTTGTTGTTGTTAGCGTCCTTGTCAGCATTTCGGCAAATCTATTTTGAAAAGGACCGCACGGTATGGCATGGACTTGTAATTGCAAGTAGAGTAGTTCGAAACATTAGCGACTGAGCATGAATTTGTCTTGGTCCTTGACTATGATGGCATTGGGGATACAAGCAGAATGACATTGGATCTTTCGTCTTCTGTACTACGTGAATAACCCAGTGCACCCAGCGGGCCCGTAGTGCACCAGAGTAGGGGCAATTGTAAGGATAATCCAAGCTACATGGTCAAGCTAAGCCTAAAGAGCCCCTCGTCCAGCCCGCTCCAAATGTGCTCCGCGCTCCTTCTTTCCCTGTCACAGCTTTCCGCAGCATCTAGTCCAACATTTTATTAGCAGCCGCCAGTTGTTCCGGCTTATTGTAGATCTCCACTCATCTCGGAACATAGACAAGTGTGCTTCAGGATCAACCTTCGTTAAGTGCAAGTCAATCGCCGAGCTCCTCGTGCGCGTCCCTGGTTGGGCAAGGTCCACGGACCCCAGTACACCATGTGTCGCTTCAGCTAAGCCCTGGCTCGTGGAGCTCTAGTGTACTCCATTTCGTCCGCTATGGTCCTCTCTGCAATCTATGCTGTAGTTATTTTGGGTTGCAGCTAGCCTGAAGTTCTGAGCTAGAGCTGGCAAGCCTCGCTGCAACGTTCAGATCCGCCAGATGCCAGGATTGGGGGTATTACTGTGATCATACATTCGGAGCACCGCGTTGGGTTCCTGCATCTAGTGAACTGCAAAGCCGGAGTGATATATACTGCAGAGTCACCCGTTACCAGAGAGTTGGTTCTGCCACCGCTCGCAGATCATCGACATCGCACTTGCTTGGCATCGACTAAGTTCTTAAAGCTCCACAGTCACTATAACTATCAAGACAATCGCCTTGAAACATCTTATACCCTCAAAGGACAAGCCACGATACGGCAAGCCACACTCACAATGTCCAACAACACACAATCATCCGCCCCCAGCCGTTGTGGCCGCCCGCAAACGATATCTTATGCGGATCTCATGAAGCCAGATGAGGATTGGAGGAACCTCCCAGACGCCTCGGAGAGGAGGAAGATCCAGAATCGTCTTGCACAAAGAGCATACCGTGAGTAAAACGTGTTTCAAACTATTCATATCCGCGGGCATTGACCGTGACCTCCAGGCCGGAATATGCGAGATCGAACGAAGGAAGTTGAGCGACTCAAGCAGCAGCTACAGAAGCTACAGGAGGCACAGGACAGCAACGCACCCGAGACGACATCTACGAGATCGTCAACAACCAGTGCATCCGAGCCAGATACGTCTGCCTCTGGAAGCAGTACGCCAAGCAGACAAGATTCCACCTTCTCGGTCGAGATCTCATCTCCACCTCCGACAATAACGGGCTCAGACTGGATGGGTAGTTGTTTCCAGGTCTGGTCACAGAGTCCGTCACAGGACGATGACCTGCACGGCCTGGGACTCACAACAGACGGAGAGCAACCAATGAACTTTGATTCTTCGTCCTATTTCCCTCAATTATCTGGGCCCGAAGATTACTTTTCCTCCCCGCCCGCTGCTGCTAGGAGTCGGGCAGTCTCTACGTCTAACGTCACCTCCCCACCACTACAACACCACCACCAACACATGCGAAGCAACAGCAATCCTCCCTTTTTCTCACGATGCGATAGTCCTTCGGCCAATTCTTCATGGCCCCATAATCACAGGAGCGATAGCAGAGACTCGCTACAGGTCCCGGGTATGTCGGCATCACCTAGCCCGCTCCTACTGGATCCACTTAGCAATCAAAATGGGTTGTTGGCATTATCACCCGCTTCCTTCAATCTGTATCCCACCCCAGACGAATTGACGCTTCCCATTCCCGACCCATCTTTCTCTTTAGATGATCTAACACCAACGGCGGCTTATCCCACTCCACCTGAGTCCAATCTTGGCGGTGCTTGGCCGGCGTTGAACGGCAAGTCCCAGCAACGAGATCGAAGTCCCTCCACAGCAACAACAACCAGCGCGCCCCTGTTGCACCTCGCTGTCGAGTCGGGTAACATGGACACACTTCGATTGCTGTTGCAGCGTTTCGATATCTCGATCAACGCGAAAGATGGCACCGGTTGCACGGCTTTGCAAAAGGCCGTGATGCTGGGTCGTGCAGACATGGTCTCCGTCTTACTCGAGCACGGTGCCGATATCAGTGGGAACGATGCATTTGCATTCCGACTGGCTGGAGAAGCGATGAGCTTGGATGGCAATTAGATCTTGACCGATTCGCAATCTTGGTCAAGGGTCCGAAAATTCATGATTTTTACGCATCTTTCTTTTCTTCCACACATGTCCTTAATTCGGGTTGCATGGCGCTAGGTACAGGCCTGATATTTATTTCCCATGTTCATTTCTTTTTTGTTGGTATATTGGCTGGATTTCCTTTGTTGTCGCCAGGGCGGGACTTACACAGGCCTCCGGGGAAAAAATTGACGCATCTTCGATGCATTACTTCTCTAGTCATACTGAGATACCATTTTCATACAGACTTACAATTTATACTTGGTGACTTAGTCACGAAGTCTCAATAGATACAGAAATAAAAGCTAAATCGCCATACAAACTATGTTGCTTCAACGTGCCGTACACCTTTTTCTTTTCGACCTCATCTAAGGCGCGTGTTGCTTATCTCACAATCTTAGACTTGACTCTTAGTATATGACCACGAGTAGCAGCTGAGAGACCACAATGTCAAAGGCCTCTTGCATGACTTTGGCAAACCTACAACTTGACGACATAGTCTACTCCATGGCACAGCATGACATCCCTCGGGATTCCCTTCGTGTTTCGAGCAAAAGGTCTACCATAGTACTTACACGACAGAACGAAATGTACAAAGCTCGACCCTGTTTGACAGGGTTTTCGCAATTAGACCCACGCAACCATGTTCGTTCAGGATTTCGGGGTCCATCCAACGTTGTATTGCAACCCTACGAAACAAGATGCCCATGCACATCAGGAATGTCACGTTTGCAGCACGCGTCAAAGGTGCCAAACGGTCGGGCAGATAAAGGTCTCATTAAAGTTCCGGTCTATGGTCATTTCAACTCGACTAGTTAGAACAAGAACCTTCACCTAGCCACTGAAGATACCATGGGAAAATTAAACAGCGAGCGAACAAAACTTAGAAAGACTCGCTAGTGACAGTACGTAGCCTATGAATAGCTCCGAAATTACTGGGACCTGCCCCCTTCACTGTCATCGGGGTATTTGCCGGCTTGGCAGCAAAAGTTGACGAGCTCGCTAACTGCAATTGGTCTCGAGCTCTGTTTACGTACAGCAGTTTGTAGTAGTAAGCTCAGCCAAAGAAGATAAACACCATAGACTCTTGACAATAAGGCCTGAGAGCATCATGAAGTTCATCTTTGTCTGTCGCAATCAGTCACAGACGGCTATCATGTCGGAAATGCAAAAGGACAAGAAGAAAAAAGCCCTGCGTAATGAGTAAACCATCAGCTTTGTGCCCATACGTTTGCCTCCCGTTAAGGGTGAGACTAAATTCTTCAATGCATGCAATCAACGGCCAAGTTTGAAGCAAAGGAACCCGTGCTAACATTGAATCTATAGAACCTTATTTAGTGTGAACACAATTGGTACTGTATGGGCTCACCATTGCGACTCGCCAGAAAACAAAAGTCCCCCCGTTCAGGCCCCACCCAATGCCAGTAATCATCCACCAGTGTGGCGGGCGAGAATGATTCTAGTGGGATAATCAGGCGAGCCCCACCCCAACTATTTTCGTACTTGACATGCTCTGCTTACCTAGCATGCAGGCATGCTCAGCCCTGTCAGTGTCAGGATCGATTTTGTTCTTGTAACCCTGGCCCTAGCATTCTAGAAGCTCCACGCTACAGAGCCGCAATTCGGGTGCCATCAGCTACAGAGTACTCTATTGGCCCTCAAGGGGACTTACTATACTGAGTCAAACCTTCCCAGAGTTGGGTGTCGATGCGGGAATTGCCCGTTTTCGACGGGGCTCTCAGCCCCCATAGCCATAATCATGCGTAAGCACACCAGATACTGGATGTATCAAATCAACTGCTGGATCGATTGATTGATAGTAATTCGAGTATAGACGAACCTCAATACTAGTTGCACGTCTGCTAGCTTATTGTCCTTGACAGATGGCACTAAGATGACCGTGTCCAGCCGTGATGTCTGTCGTGGTGAGTGACGAAGGCATGCAGCTTACTGTCCTAACTCCCGCATGACCATTCACTATTCATCTATCACGACTTCCTTCTTGTGGAAATAGTGCCATCGAACAGCCCGGAGCTATTGGCAACTGTGACCGGGTGTGACGAGCCCACTGCTCCGTTCCCGCCAGTGATCTAGTGTCTTACTATTCACGGTAAAATACCTGCTGTGAATATTACGGCTTGTTGAATAAGGGAGCGGTCTACTATCTATCACTGCATTCAGTGATCAAGCCCTAGCGCATAGCGTACTTACTATTTCTTTGCCCACACTTGCCCGTTGCTGGCTTGAATATCGCAAGCCGCCTTTATGTTCTACCGGGATTCGATATGGTGAGCAGACGAGCAAGGTTTGTAGCTTCATCATGCCCACTAATCTTCTGCATTACTCTTGCCAGGCTGGGATGTGCCATGGCTCCATCGAGAGTAGCATGATGGTGGCTTTGCGCATTATGATTCCCCATGAACCGTCGTGATAGTAAACCCAAGGTATCAAGAAGTAATTCAACAATTCACAGGAGCTTGCATCCAGTACTACATCTAGACTCGCCCGCCTGTGTTTTGTCGATCTTAGAAAAGTCAAAACCATTCTCTCCTACTTCAACGAGATTCGTCTGTGCTGCCTAGCTGCTAACTATAGCACATCCTTCCATCGATACTCGTTGGCTGCTCAGGTGGCACTTCGCATCCGTTATAATAAGACTTTCCTACTCTCACGAGCTTATACCATAAGGTTCATCCAGCCCTTACTATACTGACACTCTACTTTTTCTACTACATTGTTGCTTTCCATCTCCATTGCTGTGTTTATTTTTTCTGCTCTTCATAATGATACCCAAACTCATGGAAGGTCACTCTTCAGCCCTGCTCAGGGCACAGGATCAGGGACGAGCGAAGATACATGGTGTCTTTGGCGGCCAAGGCAACAACAAGCACTATTTTGAAGAGTTGCGCACTATCTTCTCGTCGAATGAAATATCGATTCGGGATCTCATTGAACCTCTAAGTCATGTGCTCCAGGTTTTATCTAAGAACGAGAAAATATCCGAACAATACACCGAGGGTCTCGACGTTATGCAATGGCTGGAGCACCCTGAGACGACACCCTCGGCAGAATACCTCATCACTGCACCTCTTAGCTTCCCACTTATTGGTCTGTTACAGCTCGTTCATCTGAAGGCTATTTGCGTGAGCCTCAGTAGCAATCACGAGGACTTCCCCATGTTCTTCGAAGCATTGGCAGGTCACTCTCAGGGCGTTGTGGTCGCTGCGGCCGTTTCTACTGCATCAAACTGGTCAGAGTTTTACGATGCCGCTATTAAAGCAGTAACAATTCTGTTTTGGATAGGAGCACGGTCCCAGCAAGTGTTCAGCCAAGATAGCTTGCCAGAGGAGAAAGCTACCCAGTTTGAAGCGGACGGATATGGAAAGCCCACGCCAATGTTATCCGTCTCCAACATCGACCGTCGTCATTTGAACACGAGCATTGCTAAGCTCAACCAGTCACTTCCAATTGCTAACCAGGCACACATTGGGCTGGTCAACTCAGCAACCAATTTCGTGGTCAGCGGACCTGAAAGGACACTCGCTGCACTGATCCAATCATTGAAGTCAAGCTCGGCCAAAGAGGGCCAGTCTCAAGCACGCATACCCTTCTCTCAACGCAAGCTAACTCCAAACATTCGATTCCTCCCTATCACCATCCCCTGCCACTGTGATCATTTAGACACAGCGATACCACTTATCGAGGGCGATCTCCTTGATTTGTCTATCGAGGCAACAGACTTGAAAGTTCCTGTCAACCAAACAATGGATGAATCATCCCTAGCGTCTCAGGGAGGCAATTTGGTACCGGCCCTGATTCGAATGATCACATCTGAGCCAGTCCACTGGACCGAGAACGACTTCGGTAGTGCAACGCATATTGTTGATTTCGGTCCTGGTTCGACAGCGGGCGTTGGTGCCCTCACCCACCGAAACGTGGTCGGTTCGGGTGCACGCGTCATCATTGCTGGCAAACACGAGAAGAGTGAAGGTTCCGAGGTCGGATCGCTACCAGAACTCTTTACAGAGAGCGAAGATGATATAATTTGGTCTTCAGATTGGTCTCGGGACCAGAGGATCTCCCTGATTGACACTGTCTCAGGTCGCATGGTAGCGTCGAAGCTCAGCCGGCTGCTTGGTCTGCCGCCTTTCTTCGTTGCTGGTATGACACCGACAACCACCCACCCTGAATTCGTAGCTGCAGTTATGAATGCTGGGTATCATGCCGAGTTCGCAGCCGGTGGGTACCATAATGCGGATTCTCTGAGGAAAGCACTGTACAAGCTTCGCGACTTGATGCCTGCTGGAAGGGGTATCACCATCAACGTCATCTACGTCAGCCCTAAGGCGATTGCCTGGCAGATTCCCTTCATCCGCCAACTCCGTGCTGAAGGATTTCCCCTGACTGGCATGACCATAGGCGGTGGAGTTCCGTCTCCCGACGTGGCCACCGAGTATATCACGACTCTAGGGCTTGAGCATATCTCGTTCAAACCTGGTTCAGTCCCATCGATCCGACAAGTCATCGAAGTTGCAAAACGAAACCCATATTTCCCTGTCATCCTCCAATGGACAGGTGGACGTGGTGGTGGCCACCATAGTGCTGAGGATTTCCATGGCCCGATTCTTGAGACATACGCAGAGATCAGAGCTTGTGACAATATCTCTCTGGTTGCAGGTTCTGGCTTCGGCTGTTCCGATGATGTTGTTCCATACTTGACCGGTGCTTGGAGCATCGCTCATGGCAAGAAGTCCACTATGCCATTTGACGGCGTCTTATTCGGTAGTAGAGTCATGACTTGTGCTGAAGCAAAAACATCCCCTGGCGTGAAAGCTGCAATTGCGGCTGCCGCAGGTGTTGAGGATAAGGATTGGGAGGTAAGCTTTCATCTGTAGAATCGTCGTTTCCATATACTGACAAGTCATAATCAGGGTACTTACAAAACTCCTACAGGCGGGATCGTCTCGGTCGTCAGTGAGATGGGTGAACCTATCCACGTGGTTGCCACTCGTGGCGCATTATTCTGGGCTGAAATGGACAAAACTATCTTTTCACTAGACAAGAAGAAGCGCGTCGCAGCTTTGAATGTGAAGAAGGACCATATCATCTCTAAACTCAATGCCGACTTCCAGCGCCCTTGGTTCGGTCGCCGAGGTAGCGGTCAAGCCTGCGATATCTCAAACATGACATACGGCGATATCGCCAACAGACTAGTCGAGCTGACCTTCGTTGGCGGGCGCCGCTGGATTGATGGAAGCTATTTCCGCTTAGTTTCAGATTTCCTCCTGCGCATTGAAGAACGTTTCGCCCAGTCCAATGCAGACGAGTCACTTCTTTCAGAGTCTGAACTTCGCACCAACCCCGCTGCGGCCACCGAAGTCATGCTCCAAACAGTCCCTGCCGCTACTAGTACACTGGTCTCCTCAGAGGATGCAGACTATTTCATCCAACTATGTCGCCGGCCTGGTCAGAAGCCTGTACCTTTCATTCCTGCCTTGGATGAACATTTTGAGTCATGGTTCAAGAAAGACTCGCTCTGGCAGTCCGAAGACCTTGATGCGGTCATGGATCAGGATGCAGGGCGGACTTTCATCTTACATGGTCCTGTCGCAGCCCGTCAAACTTGTCAGATCGATGAGCCTGTCGCTGACGTGCTCAATGGAATTAACAACGGTGTCATTGAACAGCTCTACAAATTGAGCAACCAAAAGATACCTTTCGAGGAGTCCATTCTTACTTCGGCACCCAAGCTAACAGCAGCCTCTGAGTTGCCTCAGGGCCACATGGACACTTCGTCCTTGACCGGTATCGAGGTCCGTGACCTTCTCTCTCGCCAGTCGACCTGGTGCTCTGCTCTCTTCAATTCCAGATTCGTAGTTAGAGGCAGCGACTTGGTAGAGAATCCCATCGGTAAACTGTTCGAGGCTTTGAAGGTCGACTCGGTCGATATCGGACCTAGGTCGGTCGCTCTCTTCAATGATGAGAAGCTCGTTCTCCAGGTCTCAAATATTGAAAACCAACTACAGGTGCTGCCATTTACATATGTTACGAGCAACAATAGTCCGGTTTCAATGGCACTAAAATATGAATATCGCCCGGAAAAGGGCTATGCACCAATTTGGGAAGCCATGGAAAATCGCAACGAACGTATCTGCGATATGTACCGCAAGCTATGGCAAGGCGATGGAGGCACACTCAAAGTCAGCGGTTCCTCCCACGACTCTGCAGTCTTTGACGATACCATCATTATAGATGGGGCTAGTGTGAAGGCTTTCAACCGCGCGATTGGTTATTCCAAGGTACATCGCGATGAGAGAGTGCCTATGGATTTTGCGATCGTGGCGTCCTGGAGTCCAATCTGCAGGGCGTTGCTACAAGACCCTATCCAAGGAGATGTCTTGAATCTTGTGCATCTTTCGAACGCATACGAGTCGAACGGTAATGCCAAGTCTCTCGAGGTCGGTGAAGAGATATTCACCCGCGCATTCGTTAGTGCAATCACTATTGAAGATTCTGGAAAGGTCGTCGAAGTTGTGTGTGAGCTGCGGCGTGCGACTGGTGGCCCTAGTGTCGTGACAGTCCGCTCGAGGTTCCTGTTCCGTGGCACGCACGAGAACTTCTCTTCCACCTTTTCGCGTAAAGTGGAAGCCCCTTACGAAGTGAACATGTCTTCTGAGACTGATGTCGGTGTCCTTGCCTCTAAGCAATGGTTCCACTTGGATGATAAGAACAAGCTTGATGATTTGGACTTGACAGATCTGACTCTTGAGTTCCATTTACAGACTTTCGCGAGGTGGTCTGATAAGTCGACCTTCAAGAGCGTCGATACATCTGGAAAGGTGTTCGTGCGATCTGAGGCGGGCGATCTAACTCGTATCGGGTTCGTCAAGCACCATGCAGGCGTATCAAACAATAATGCGGTTCTGTCTTATCTCGGTCGAAGGGGACGGGTGGTCGATGCTCATCAGAAACACAAGCTTACCGGGGCAGCTCCTGAGGCACCTGCTCATATCTCCGCGATTCGCATTCCGGCAACCAACGAAGCCTATTCGCGAGCCTCGGGTGACTTCAATCCAATCCACACTTCGCCGCTTTTCGCGCAGCTTGTGGACTTGCCTGGCACGATCACACATGGTATGTACTGCTCCGCTGCTGTTCGCCAGGAAGTTGAGAAGCATGCGGCTGGTCAAAATCCCGACAGAATTCGCAAGTATGATGTCTCATTCGTGGGAATGGTCCTTCCCAACGATATCTTGGAAGTCAGCATTCGTCACTCGGGTATGCAGGCAGGTCTCAAGTCTTTCGACATCACCGTCAGCAAGCAAGCTACTGGAGACAAGGTATTGGCTGGTTCTGCTCTGATCGCACAACCTTCTACTACTGTCGTGTTCACTGGGCAAGGTTCGCAAGAAAAGGGCATGGGCATGGATCTCTATGCTTCTTCTGCCGTCGCAAGATCTATCTGGGACAATGCGGATGCATACTTCATCACACAATTCGGTCTTAGCATACTAGAGATTGTTCGCAACAACCCCAAGGAAATCAAGGTTCACTTCGGAGGCGTCAAAGGAAGGATGTTACGACAGAACTACTTGTCGATGTACTATGAGACCCCTGCAACAAGTACGCATGGCAAACCAGAGCGCCGACCCATTTTCCCCACCATCAACGAGAAGTCGACATCGTTCACCCATTCATCACCAAATGGTTTGCTGTTTGCTACCCAATTCGCACAGCCTGCCCTCACGGTCATGGAAATGGCTGCTTTCAAGGATATGCAGAGCAGTGGCGTTGTGGATGACAACTGTCACTTTGCAGGTCACTCTCTCGGCGAGTATGCTGCTCTGGCCTCTATTACTGATTTTATGCCATTTGAGAATTTGCTCTACCTCGTCTTCTGCCGTGGCATGACCATGCAAGGAGCTGTTGAGAGAGACGACCAGGGCAGAAGTGCATTCTCCATGGTCGCGGTAGATCCTAGCCGGGTCAGGAAGGGTAAGTTCAAATTCAAACGCATGTTTACCTCCCAGCATTATACTAACATGCACGTAGAACTATCCGATTCCGCCCTACGAGAGCTGATAACCAGCATTCAAAGCCAAAGCGGCTTTTTCGTCGAGATCGTGAATCTCAACATTCGAAACGGGCAGTACGTCTGCGCGGGCGATCTGCGCGGTCTAGATCTACTGCAGAAAGTATGCGACGAGATCAAGGCTCTGCCCAGCTGTCCCAGACCTGCCGACCATTTCTCGCGCATTATCGCGAAGAACGCGTTTGCATATAAGAGTGTCGTGCCCCAGGAGGTACAACTTAAGCGCGGTGCGGCAACCGTGCCACTCGCGGGCGTGGATGTGCCATTCCACAGCTCCTTCCTTCGCCCTCGCATGGACGCGTTCCGACGGGTGCTCCAGGATAGCCTCAACGCGGATCGTCTGAGGCCGGAGAGGTTGGTCGGAAAGTACATCCCTAATGTAACAGGCACGCCTTTTGCCATTGGCAAGGAGTATTTCCAGGATGTGTTGGAGATCACGAAATCTGAACGCGTGAAGAAGGTGCTGGATGATTGGGAGGACTGGATGGCTAAGGCTGAGCGTCAGAGAGTCATTGTGGCGTAAGATGCTCAATAATGGTCACTTTGTCTTGCAATTTCTTTACATGTATCTGAGCATTTGGAGTTCTGAAAATTTGGCGCACTGAAGGGTTTCGGATTTTGTACTCGTTCGGGGGTGTTGAGTCTTTTACACATTGTTATATCACATGGTCGCTACATGTTAGAATACTGAATCGCTACTATCGTGAGTCATCACGTTTAGTTGTACGTCGACTGCATAATCTCATGTTCTTTTATTTGCATTGTTCAGCATTTTGAGCAGACTTTTGGGGAGTTCGAAGATGCTATCCCATATTGATTGACTCGTTCCGACATCCCACATCGCGTAATTCAAAGTTGAAGTCTCTGTGCTTTGGGTAACGGGACTTGAGAGCATGAACAGACGGAAATGGAGCGCAAGGCACGGAACTGTCCTAAAGGTACGCATAGCAAACATAGTTACATGGATCTAATTATTTGATCATTCCGGGGCCACCGAAAGCAATACATTCATTGAAAGTGTGACCATCAGGGAACGAGCTTGCGCCATGCTGTCTTGTTTCCCCCATATCTATTAGGTTGCCCTGGATTTATGCTATGCATACCACAGTCCATAGGGCATTGCCACACACTACCATGCGCTTGACGGTCTGGTGTTTCTCAGGGTCCAGCTAGAACCCAAAACATGCGATGGAAGGCGAAGACTAGTTGCTAAGGCAGGTGTGTTTCTTCAGCAAAGGCGGAGTGAGTAAGCTCATGATGACCACACTAGTCCGGGTACTAAGAGCTGGACCGGCATAGAAGCTTCTAATCTTGGTGGGGGGCAAATTGGCCCGCTGTCTGACGCTTAAGCGTTTCGGTGTTGGCGTAAGGAGCTGTGTTTAGTGGAAAGCCCAATCTCCAACCCTAGTCTGGTCTAACCTTAGCAGTTCGGGTCATTGTGGCTGGCTTGCCTAGCGTGATAGTAAGCAGAAACCCGCAATTTTGATTTCCTCTAGCGGCGCGTCTCTTGCTTGACTTTCTGTCGCGCGTTCTTCGAAAAGCAATGCGTGAACGTCCACCCTCTGATTCTACGATGAGTCTCCACAAATTCAGCAACGCTTAGTATTGTACACCATCAGCCTTACTGTGTAATGTCTGAGCAGACCTGTACCGATCCGTCCAAAGCTTGTCTGATCTTGACCTACCCACAGGTTTCTAGTGCAATTTGTCCTGCCTACTCAGCTAATTTTAGGACTAAGCGCGTCTTGATAGTATGGGCTCTAGATCCGCTGCGTCCATGCGGTGTTAGTATGCCGAAAGAGGAAGAGAGCATAGTGAGCCTCATTCCATCACGATGTCCGCTCTTAGTGTTATGCCTGCAGCCATTGCTGATGCCCCAGATGTTTGTATCGACCTTGACTCCGCCTCCTGAGTATATCCGGATCTCACGTCCGAACAAGTGTTCGGGCATAGATAACTGCCAGCAGTCCACATCTCATATCTAGACTATATCAGCTTCTCTTGTTATCATACACAGCTTCTTAGCTTCAGTTGTCCCTATACGTCTAGATAACCTTGGTCACCACATTCTCGACCACTCTAAGATCTTGACTATACGACATATCCTCATCCAACTTGCCATAAGGAAGAATCTATTCCCAGACAGCTCCTGTTACAGTATCCTCTCAAAACTATTTGTGCTAACAGCAGACACCATTCGCAATTGAAATTCCTAACCATTTCTAGCTCGAGGATACTAACCTAGCACGCCACACTAACACCAGCACCCGTAACACATCCGGAATCAATCCAACTAAACAAGTTATAATCGACATGTCTGAAAACGCATACAGCGGCGCCCTCTCTTCCGCCCAGGCGGAAGCATGGAGCAAGTATCTGCAGGATGCTCCACCGTCTGCCTTCCCTCGCCGTTCTGACTTGTCAACCGCTCCTACCCCTGGAGCTCTCCTGCGTCGCAAGATTGTCTTGCCGAAGAAGCGCAACTCAAAGGTTTCGGTTGAGGCCCTTATTCAAACCGCTTGGTCACTGGTTAATGTGTACTATTCTGATGCCGAGGACGTTGTCTTCGGTCTTGCTGTCATGAACGAGGCCGATGAGACCGAGATTGATGGCTCTGTCACAGCCATCCCTTTCCGCTTCTGCATGCAACCTGACCAGTCCGTTGTGACATGTGTCAGAGCTGTTGAGGCCCACGACCTACCCATGATCTGCTCTGAGGGGTTGACACTCGACAGCATCGCTAAGCTCGGGTCTGATATGCGCAATGCCACCAAGTTCGACAACCAGCTTGTCATTTGTGGCGATGCTATGAGCTCTGGATCTGTTCAACTCGACCGTGCTGTCAACGTCGAGTGCACCCTGACTCGTAGCGGTGTTATGGCTCAAGCCTTTTACGACTCGACCATCATCGATCGTACCGAAATGCAACGTGTACTAGGTACATTCGATAACGTTCTACAACAACTCTTTGAGCCTTCGAACATGATCAAGACTTTGGCAGAGATCAAACCAATCAGCACCGAGGACATGGCTCAGGTCAAACTTTGGAACAAGGACGTCCCACAGGCCGTCGACGACTGTATGCACCACTTGATTCAGGGGCAGATTGAGATGAATCCGGCAGCTGAGGCGATCTGCGCTTTGGACATCTCCATTTCATACAAACAGTTGGATGAAATGGCTGACAAGCTGGCCCATTACCTGTTGGCTCAAGGTGTCAAGCCCGGCTCAATTGTTCCTTTCATGAGTGAGAAGAGCCCGTTGGTGATTCCTGTTCTACTGGCGATCATCAGGAGCGGTGGTGCATTTGTGCCATTCGATCCCGCTCATCAGTGGGACGACACTGCTGGCCTCTTGGAAGCTTGCGAGGCCAAGTTCGTGATCTGCTCACCTACCAGCGAGCAGAGGTTCAAAGAACACAACGTGACTGCCATGGTGTTTGACATGGCATTCTTCGACAGTCTGCCACCCCTTGGGCCGGTCGCAAGTACTGTCTCTTCGCGGGACCCTGGTTATGTAATCTTCACAAGCGGCTCTACTGGCACACCCAAGGGCATAGTCTGTTCGCACCGCGCTTGGTGCACAAATACTTTAGCTCATGGCCCGAGAGAGTTCTGTGATACCGAGACTCGGCACCTACAATTCGCCGCGTATACCTTTGACATCAGTATCACCGATATTTTTACCACTCTAGCATTCGGTGGCACAGTCTGCGTTCCATCAGACCACGAAAAGATGAATGATCTCCCCAACGCAATCAACCGCATGTCCGTCAATCATATCGCCATAACACCTACAGTCGCTCAGTTCTTACGTCCCGACAATGTTCCAACCCTCAAAACACTTATCACGGGAGGCGAGGCCATGCCTGCTGAATTCATCAGCATGTGGAGCGAGAAGGTCCATTTGATCAACTCATATGGACCGGCAGAAACCACTTCTCGTGTCTCTTGCTCCCTGAAAAAGCCCGGTGATATGGGTGGTATCATTGGCACAAACATGGGCGCAGCTTTATGGGTGACACAAAGCAATGATCCTGAGAAGCTTGTGCCTATCGGTGCAATCGGCGAACTCATTGTTGACGGCCATGTCCTTGCAGATGGCTATCTCAAGAATGAGTCTAAGACGCGGGAGGCTTTCATTGATGCCCCTCGGTGGTTGACGGATGCTTTCCCGGATCGTGCGAACCGAAAGCTATATAGAACTGGTGACCTTGTTCAGCAGCAGTCAGATGGTGCTTATGCCTTCATCGGAAGACGCGATACGCAGATCAAAATTCATGGCGTCCGTTTGGAGGCAGGCCACATTGAGGCCAAGATCAAGCAGGAACTTCCCGACAACTCCGAACTCGTTGTCGACAAGATTGTGGTGGGACAAGAACGCCCTAAGCAGATGCTTGCCGCTTTTATCACCTTGCCCCAAATCACACCATTCGGAGAATCCCGCGGAATTGAACTGCTGGCTCCTGATGCTACCACGTGCGATATTGTGTCCAAACTTCACAAGACGCTTCTCGCCCAGCTCCCATCATATATGGTACCCAACTATATTCTTCCACTGCGAGCTATCCCACTGGGCACGACTGGCAAAGTTAACCGCAGAGGCCTGCAATCATTCGCTAGCAACTTGCCGACCGAGGCACTCAATCAGTATAACGGGACTTCCACTGGCGCTGTGGAGAAGCCGCGCGGAAAGACTGAAGTTGCTCTGAGCAGTCTTTGGGCGGACGTTCTTCAGGTATCGTTGGAAGCTATCAACCGCAACGACAGCTTCTTTTCTCTTGGTGGAGACTCGGTCCAAGCCATGAAATTGGTATCAGAGGCTGGAGCAATCGAGTTGCACTTCTCCGTTGCTGATGTTTTCCAATTTTCGACACTCTTGGATCTTGCCCAGTTTCTTGACGGGCCAACCGCAAAACACGAATCCAGTGCTATTGAAGAGATAGACGCGTTCGAGCTTATCGGCGGCCCGAATAAATTCCGCACACTTCGCGAGCAGCTTTCTAAGTCATACAAGCTGCCCGTGAACCGCGTCGAGGATATTTACCCATGCCTCCCGATGCAGGAGGGTATGATGGCCGAAAACATCGGCTCGCCCGAAGCTTACATCCTCCAAGAGGTCCTCAAATTGGCTGGAAACATCGATCTCCGTCAACTTGAAGCCGCACTTGAGACCATTGTTGAAGCCTATCCTATACTGAGGACGAGAATCATGCCCTTGAAGCAGCTCGGTACTTGCCAGGTCGTCATGACGGACGACGAGCCTGTTGAGATCGAATTTGATGTTGATCTTGTTTCGTTCCTCGCCAGAGACAAGAAGAACCACATGGACTATGCAGACAACCTCAGCCGATTCGCTATCATACAGGAGCCCTCTGGTGACCGCTACCTTGTTTGGACGGCACATCATGCTATCACCGACGGAAGCATGCATCAGGACATCTTGAGGCGTCTTGAACTGGCTTACAATGATGACTCTATCCCGGAAACTATCCAGTTCAACCAGGTTATCAAGTTTCACTCCGACAAACAACCCGAAGACGCCAACAAGTTTTGGGCAAGTCAATTCGCTCAATGGGACGGTACTCACTATCCTGAATGTGACGATACTTACGAGCCTTCGGTGAGCCAGTACGTCAACCGCCGCGTCAACTTGCCCATGAAAGCATCAGGATTTACTCCTTCCATAATGCTTCGAGCAGCTTGGGCTCTTGTTCTCTCTCAGCTCAGCAATCAAAACGACGTTGTGATGGGTATCACTCAATCAGGACGAGACATTCCTCTCCCTGGCGTTCATGAGTGCCTGGGACCTTTGCTCGCAACTGTCCCACTCCGCGTTTTGGTGGACGTGGAACAGTCTGTGGCAAATTTTCTGAAGCAGTTGCAATCCCAGTACATCGATATAATTCAGTACCAACACACAGGAATGCAGCATCTTCGCAAGGCTAGCAGGGAGAGTGCGGCGGCTGTAGGCTTCCACAACCTCCTAGTTGTACAACCCGCGAGCCACAACACTTCGAAACTGTTCACTCCTGATGAGTCGCGTAACTCTGGAGATCAGCTTAACTTCGCATTGCTCTTAGAGTGCATTCTTGCCACTGGTGAAGTTAACATCCGCGCTGGATTTGATGAGAAACTATTGTCAGTGAATGATGCGGATTTGCTAGTACAACGTATGGAGCATGTGTTCTATCAACTCAGCAATAAGAGCAGCATAGACCTGCCGATCAAAGGCCTCTCACTCGTCAGCCCTGCCGACATGAAGACTTTAGAAGCCTTCAATCCCGATGTCGACTACCTCGAACAGTGCATGCACTGGATGATCGAGGACCAGGCACGCCTTCGACCCAATGCACCTATGATTGATTCATGGGACGGAAAATTTACCTACGCAGAAGCGAACGAGTACTCTGACAGACTGGCTGCAGTGTTGGTGGACCTTGGTGTTGGACCAGAGACTCCTGTGCCTTTCGCATTCGAGAAGTCTGCCTGGGCCATTATTGCAATTCATGCCATTATGAAAGCTGGAGGCGCTTGCGTTGCTCTCGATATGGCACACCCTCGAGCCAGACATGAGAAAATCATCGCTGATACCGAGGCACGCGTGATTGTTGCTTCAACCAAACATGCTGGTAACATTGACCTTGTTCCTCATGTCATCGCAGTCGATCGACGCGCACTAGACAAGTTACCTCGGCGACCAGCACAATCCCGCACCCGTGTTTCTCCCAAGAATCCTGCCTGGGTCGTGTACTCATCAGGATCCACTGGAATGCCTAAAGGCTCAATCCTTGAGCACCGGTCTCTCTGCACCACTTCCCGTACCAACTCTGAGATCTTGGGAGTCGGCCCCACGACGCGAGCCATTCACTTTGCTTCCTATTCCTTTGATGTTGCCATTGAGGATACTAGCATCATTCCTATGTTGGGCGGCTGCATTTGCATTCCCAGCGACGAAGAGCGTCTTAATGACCTGCCAGGTGCAATGCGACGAATGAATGTCAACTGGGCCGATCTTACTCCAACTGTGGCTGGTATGCTGAACCCCGAGAATGTCCCGTGCCTCAGAAGACTCATACTTGGAGGCGAGTCAAATACGAGGGACATTATCGATACATGGGCAAACCACCCTGGCTTTGCTTTGATCAACACTTACGGCCCCTCCGAATGCAGCGTCCAATGTTCCTCTAGCAAAGCTCTCTCTGGGGAAGCGACTGGAGCTAACATTGGATTTGCTGTGAACTGCAAACTCTGGGTTGTTGATCCCGATACTTTGCAGCTATTGCCTGTTGGCTCCATCGGTGAACTTCTTGTTGAAGGGCCCATTGTCGCCAGAGGTTACTTGAAGGAAGAAGCAAAAACAAAGGCTGCATTTCTAAGCGACCTTGCTTGGGCACCTGGCCGATACTTTTACAGAACCGGCGATATCTGTAAATATAATCTTGACGGCTCGCTTGACTGCCTCGGCAGAAGCGACAGCCAAGTCAAGCTCTACGGCCAGAGAATCGAGCTTGGCGAGATTGAGCATAACATCAAGAAGCATATGAGTAACCCCGATGCTGCTCAGATCGCTGTTGAAGCTTTTGCTCCCAGTGGCGCATCCGGCCGTAAGCTCCTGGCCGCCTTCGTGCAATTCGCCACCGCCAGCTCTTCAGAGATGAACGTAATGGAGATGACCGAAGCCCTTCGTACCGAGCTTGCGGAAATCAAGACTAAGACTTATGGAAGCGTTCCCGAGTACATGGTTCCATCGCTGTTCGTTCCTATGATTAGCCTACCCATGAATACGTCCGGCAAGATTGATCGCAAGAAGTTGCGCGGCGAGGCCGCAAACTTCGACCAGCAGCAGCTTGCCGTATACTCACTTTCGCAGGCAACGGATGCTTCTGACAAAGTTGCTTTGTCTTCGGACACTGAAAGGGTTCTTGCAGGTCTCTGGGCTGACGTACTCCACATCAACTTGTCACAAGACCCCATCGGTGCGAACGACAGCTTCCTGGAGCGTTCCGGGGATTCTATTAGTGCAATGCAGCTTGTTGGCAAAGCACGAGCTGCCGGCCTTGCTCTCTCAGTACCAGTCATTCTCAAGTCACCTAAGCTTGCAGATATGGCTTTGGTGGCCAAGCGTATCAACGGCGTGGAACTCAAAGTCCCAGCCATTGCTTTGCCTAGGCTGGTCGCGAAGCCTACCGTCCCTGCCGCTAATCCTATTATCGAAGTCAAAGCCACCCCTATTGTCGGAGTCACAAAGCCTGTCGAGGCTGACAAGCCGGATGCGACAACCGGCAAGTCATTACCTGTACTGTCACCATTCCAGATCGTGTCCGCCAAGGCGATGGCCTCGGAGACTCTGGAGCTGATCAGCAAGAACTATCAGCTTAACCGCGAGCTCATCGAAGATGTTTACCCTACCACTCCTCTTCAAGAAGGGTTAGTTGCAATGACAGCCACTGATGGTTCCAGCTATGTTCTTAGAGATATCTATGAACTCCCTGCAGATATCGACGTTGCCAAGTTTCAAGCTGCTTGGAATGCTGTTGCCCGTAACGACAATATATTCCGAACCAGAGTTGTTTTTGTTGAGGGCTTGGGCTCTTGCCAGGTGGTTATTGACGAGAATCTTCAGTGGCAATCTGCTACTGATCTGGAGACTTACCTGGCTCAAGACAGAGCGGAGTCTATGGGCTACGGCACTCCGTTAGCACGATATGCTATTGTCGATGATGGAAAAACGAGGAAATTCGTATGGACTGTCCAGTAAGTGGTTGAACTAAAGGTGATTTGGCAAGAATTTAACTAACGCACCACACAGCCATGCACTTTATGATGGTTTCTCGATGGGCCTTACTTTTGCAGCAGTTGATCATGCCTACAACAATGATCTTACAGTTTCTCGCTCGCGACCATTCCGGGACTTCATTGAGTGCTTGCAGAACGTCGAGAAGGAGGCTTCTGACATTTTCTGGCAAAATCAGCTCCAAGAACTGGAGACAGCTCCATTTCCTCAGGCGCCTACCGGTCACCACTGCCAGGCTAACAATACAATTTCCTACTCTATCCCGTTCGCGGTGGATCGCAAGGCGGGCTTCACAATTGCAACGATGCTGAAAGCTGCCTGGTCTATTGCAATCTCGAGATTATCCGACTCTTCTGATGTCGTCTTTGGTGTTACTCAGTTTGGTCGTGACCTCGACTTGGATGAGGTCGAAACCGTGAACGGACCCACCATCACGACCGTGCCAGTCCGTGTGAAGGTTGATCCGCAATCGACGGTCAAGGAATTCCTAAGCAATGTTCAGAACCAAGGTTTCGACATGATTCCATTTTCTCACGCTGGTCTACAGAATATCAAGAAGATCAGTGAAGCTACACGTGCTAGCTGTGAGTTTCAAAATCTCCTGGTCATACAGCCAGGCGAGGAAGAAGAGGAATCAATGCTGTTCAAGAAACATCAGAATGCCACCACCGCCAACTATTTGAGTGGATTCGGTATCGTCGTCGAATGCGCACTCGGCGTTGGCGAGGTGACCTTCTCGGCCCACCACGATTCAGCCATCATCTCTGCACTCCAAGTCGAAAGGCTTCTCTGCCAATATGAGCACCTGTTGAATCAGCTGCAAGTTCAAACCGGCAAGATCATTGAAGTCGATATGTTCTCTTCTGCGGATCGTGCCGATATCTCTGCCTGGAACAGCAACTACCCGAAAATCATCAACAAGACCATGTCCGATATCATTGTCCAGCAAGCAGCTGCTACCCCTTCAGCCCCCGCAATTGCTACAAGGAGTATTAACTTGACCTATAAGGAGATGGATGACCTCACCAATCATCTTGCCCATCAACTTCAAGCACTTGGCGTCGGACCAGAGAAGATTGTACCCATTTGCTTTGAGAGGAGCCCCGAGGCGATTCTATCGATGATTGCGATTCAGAAAGCAGGAGGCGCCTTTGTGCCTTTGAACCCCACGGATCCTACTGATCGATTACTTGATTTGATTGATCAGGTCGAAGCTAAAGTGGTCATTTTCTCGGAGCAAACAAGGCATCTCACCGCCGCTTTGGCTGCGAGCAAGATTCACCCAGTCGTCCTGCCCCAAAAGATCTCTGGGTGGGGTCCTCTTAAGTCAAGTCCTGTTGTCTCTGCTGCAAACCAGACTAATTTGGCATATGCACTGTTCACTTCTGGCTCGACTGGTCGACCAAAGGCAGTCATGATACACCACCAATCCGTCACTTCGAGCACCTATGGCCATGGTGTTGCTATGGGTTTCGCAGATTACCCCCGACGGACCCTGCAATTCGCAACTTACACATTTGATGCCTGTATCGCCGAAATCTTCACAGCCCTACACTTCGGTGGTTGCATATGTATCCCAACCGAGCACGAACGCATGAATGATCTTCCCAAGTTCATTCGTGACTTCCGATGCGACTGGGCATTCTTCACCCCATCTTTCGTTCGACTACTCAAACCAGAGGACATTCCTTGCTTGAAGACCGTTGTTCTTGGTGGTGAAGCTCTCAACCAAGAGTGTGTTGATATTTGGGGCGATAAGGTTCACTTGATGAACGGATACGGCCCGACAGAGACGTGTGTATTCACCGTCACCCGTACAGTCCCTGGGCCCAAGAGTACCGAGAAAATCCACCCTGCAGCAACGATCGGTCATCCTGTGAGCTCTATCGGCTGGGTGGTAGATGCGAAGAACTACAACTCACTCACTCCGGTCGGCTGCCCTGGCGAGCTATTGATTCAGGGGCCGAATGTAGCAAGAGGCTACCTGAAGAATCCTGATAAGACTGCAGAATCATTTGTCTCCAGCCCCAAGTGGCTCAGGGCTTTTGGGCACACAAAATCTGAGCTCCTCTACCGAACTGGAGATCTCGTTCGACAGGATGTTGAAACTGGAATGCTAACTTACCTTGGAAGAATTGATGGCCAAGTCAAGATCAACGGACAGAGACTGGAGCTTGGCGAGATCGAAACCCGTCTCAAGGCGCAAGGTACCAATGTTGAGTCCTCTGTCGTTATTGCAGGCAGAACCAAGGCCGATAAGAAACAAACTCTGGCGGCATTTGTTGAGTTTACAGATGCTCCCGGGACGTCGGATAGCATCAAGATGGATATGAGCGACTCGATGCGCACCAGGATGCGCGATCTGGAGTTCTCTATGCGGGCAACCATGCCCAAATATATGGTGCCTTCGCTTTGGATCCCCGTCAACTACATGCCAATCCTCCCAGCTAGTGGCAAGACCGACAGGAAGACCCTAACCACACTTTTCAAGAATATGGACTATGAACAAGTTGCAAAGTATACACTGGAGGCGGCAGAAGAGCTTGATGAAGCCCGCGAGGCTTCAACAGACATGGAGAAGACAATCTTGGAGCTTGTTGCTCAGGCTTTGGGCCGAGACCCCTCCACCATTCATGCCAATGATAGCTTCCTGAGGGTCGGTGGCGACAGTATCTCAGCTATTTCCCTTGTGTCGAATGCCAGGTCAATGGGCATCACCCTTTCGACCGAGCAAATATTCCGACAACCGCGCATTTGCGACATGGCAATCAATGCTGTACAAGATGGAAGGACACAGTCAGAACCAGCCATGGCTATACTTCCGTTCTCCCTCATACCAGAAGAGCAGAAGTCGGATCTTTTGGCCATGGTTAAGAGTCAATATGGCATTGAACAGGACTCGGTTGCCGATCTCCTTCCACCAACTCCGCTGCAGGAAGGTCTGGTCACATTGACCATCAAAGACAAGGAAGCATATGTGCTTCGCGAAATCTACCGTCTACCCTCTAAGTTGGACATCAACCGTTTCAAGGCAGCTTGGGAGGCAGTAGTGCAGGATGCGGGCATCCTCCGTACAAGAATTGTGAACCTCGGCGACTATGGATGCTTTCAAGTGGTCATGCGCCAGTCTCTTGAGTGGCACTCGGCTAAGCGTGTTCAAGAGTACATTGACTATGACAAAGACCAGCTTTTCGGTTACGGTGTACCTCTTGCTCGCCTTGCACTTGTTGAGACAGAGTACACCGGATGCTACTTCGTCTGGTCGATCCACCACGCTTTATACGATGGTTGGAGCAAGGGCCTCATTATGAAACAGGTTGAGGAAGCATACCGCGGTTCTTCTCCGCAGCCAGGCTTGAGTACTATTCCTCCTTTCAACCGCTTCATTGCATATCTTCAAGATACCGATGCTGCTGAGGCTCAAGCTTTCTGGAAGGCACAGTTTGCAGGTATGGAGGCTCAATCTTACCCACGTCTGCCTACTGCCTCCTTCGACCCCATCCTCGACAAGACACTTACAATCCGCGTTCCTCTTGCCCGTAAAAGTGGATCGTCCTTCACCACTGGTACTATCCTTAAATCTGCTTGGGCACTGGTCCTTGGCCGCTACACCGGCGCCGGCGATGCTCTGTTCGGGTGCATCCAAGCTGGTCGCAATGTCCCTATTGATGGTATCTCTGACATGATTGGGCCTACTATCACTACGGTGCCGCTCCGTGTGAAGCTCGACAGCGAAACTACGGTGACCAAATTCCTTCAGGCTGTGCAAGATCAATCTACCGATATGATCAGGTATGAGCACAGTGGTCTGCAGAACATCGCCAAGATGGGCAACGAATGCCGCGATGCTTGTGCGTTCACCAACATCATGGTCATCCAGCCTGGTAACCAGCCCGAGTCTGATTTTGTCGGTGCTCAGCGAATTGAAGACCAAGATAAGGGCTTCCTTCGATTTGGGATGGGTCTTGAGTGCACGCTAAGGTCTTCATCTATCGAGGTGACGGGTGGCTACGACCAAAGGCTTATGTCTGAGGCGCAGATGCGACGCCTCCTGCATCAACTCAAGACGGCGATTCATGAACTCAATAACGAACCCGAGGAGTTTGTTGGCAACATTGACATTGTCAGCTCTGAAGACATGGCTGAGATGGCTGTGATGAACGAGAGTATGCCCGATGATATACATGAGTGTACTCACGACGTTATTCATCGCACGGCACTTGAGCGTTCGGATTCAATGGCTGTAAATGCTTGGGATGTCGATTTTCAGTACGGTGAGCTCGACCAATTATCCACCAAGCTTGCAAACCATCTGCGTTCGCTGGGTGTTGGCCCCGAAACCATCATTCCGCTCTGCTTCGAAAAGAGTGGTTGGGCTGTTGTAGCTGTATTGGGTGTCATGAAGGCTGGCGCAGCCTTCGTGTTTTTAGACCCGGCTTACCCCATGGCTCGTCTCGACGAGATTGTTTCACAGGTTGAGGCGAAGGTCGTCCTTTCGTCCCTCGACCAAGCTCCTCTTTGGAGGGGTTCCAGCGTACGAGTGCTTGTTGTGGACAACGTCTCAATCGAATCGCTGCCCTCAGTTCCCTACCGCGCCGACACTGGCGTCACCCCTGAGAACGCTCTGTATGTCATTTTCACATCTGGAAGCACAGGAAAGCCCAAAGGATGTGTCATCGAGCATCATTCCTTCCTGACCTGTGCCAGAGCTCAGGCTGCTCGCTCGCAGATGACACCTTCTTCTAGAGTGCTTCAAGGCGCCTCCTACAGTTTCGACGTGTCTGTCATGGAGATGCTCACAGCTCTGTCGGTAGGAGCATGTGTTTGTGTGCCTAACGAGCGCATCAAGAAGCGAAGCGTGGTTGATGTCATCAACGATTTCCGGATTACCTGGGCATTCCTGACGCCTTCCATCGTAAAGTTTATCAAGCCTTCTGACATACCCCACATCAAGACGCTCATTCTGGGTGGCGAAGCCCTCACTACTCAGAACATTCAGACTTGGGCTGGACACGTCAACCTGATCAACGGTTATGGACCCACGGAGTGTACCATCGCAGCAACTGCGAACGCGATTACCGACCCCAACGAGGATCCTGCCAACATCGGTAAAGCGCTTGGCGGTATCTGCTGGATCACAGATGCAGATGACCACAACAAACTCGCGCCGCTTGGTACCATTGGAGAGGTAAGTGTTTACATCTTATACCGCATGTAATGTTTGAAGCTAATATATTCCAGCTTGTGATTGAAGGCAACATCGTTGCCCGAGGATACCACAACAACCCCGAAAAGACAAACGAAGTATTTATTGAGAATCCAACATGGGCTATATCATCCAGTGGCAAAGTCAGAAGATTCTACAAGAGTGGTGATCTGGCTTACTTCAACACCGATGGGTCCATCATGTTCATGGGTCGCAAGGATACACAAGTCAAGGTCCGTGGTCAGCGAATGGAACTCGGAGAGATCGAAACGCACCTCACTCTCAACAAGAACATTCAGCACGCCATGGTTATGTACCCTAAGACCGGCCCATGCAAACGCCAACTTGTTGGTATTGTTTCTATCGCCAAACTTGGTGCCACGACCAACTCCAATGCTGCCATCGAGCTAATTAGCACGGAGCTCACCGCCAACGCTTCCACCGAGCTAGGAGATATCAGCAAGAAGCTTTCGGCTTTGGTGCCTTCTTACATGGTACCTTCAGTATGGATTGTTGTGCACAGTTTCCCCCTCCTGATTTCTGGCAAGCTCAACCGAAAGCGCGTTGAGCAATGGCTAGGAACGATGGACCAAGCGACTCACCAGAGGATCTGCGGTATTGGCGAGACGATTCGAGTCCAGGCGCCTTCTACTCAGGTCGAACAACAGATCCATCAGGTCTGGGTTGACGTCTTGAAGCTTCCTGCAGAAGAAATCGGCGTCACTCAAGACTTTGCTACTCTCGGTGGTGACAGTATTCTTGGAATGCAAGTAGTCGCCAAACTGCGAAGCCAGGGCTTCCAATGCACGATGACTGATGTCGCCAATGCTCGCACCATCTCTCAGTTGGCAGCGCGTATTGCTAGAGGCGGCAACCTTGTTGCAGTTCCAGCGGCTCAGGTTGAAGATACTACTGACGAGCTCTTTGATCTCACACCGGTCCAGCAATTCTACGCCAACTTTACCTTGAAGGGCGACTATTTGTCGAAACAGACCAATAAGAGGTTCAACCACACGTTCTGCCTAGGAGTCAAAGAGCCTCTTTCTCCAGCCGTGGTAAACAAGGCGCTGGAGGCATTGGTCGATCGCCACTCAATGCTCCGTGCTCGCTTTCAGAAGGACCAGTCTGCCGCATGTGGCTGGAAGCAGTACATTTCGAGCAATATCGTCGATTCGTACCGTTTCAATTCTTGGGATGGTGTAAGTGCTGAGGAGGTCAAGCCTGTCATTGAGCAGCACCGCCAAGGGCTCGACATCGAGAACGGTCCCATTATGGCCGTTGACCTCGTATCGAACAAGAAGGAACAGCACTTCTACATTGTCGCCCATCATTTAGTTGTGGATCTCGTTTCCTGGAACACTATCCTTCGTGACCTTGAGGAATATATCCGTACTGACACTTTCACTTCCGAGAAGCCTTACCCATTTTCTGCTTGGGCTAAGCAGCAAAAGGAGTACGCGACCAAAAACTTCTCGCCTGAGAAAGCACTCCCAATGCGTGTGCCCAAGGCCGACTTGAATTACTGGGGAATGGAGGATCGTATCAACATCTTCCGTGATGCCAATCATCACACGATCACTCTAACAGAGCGCGACACTGCAGCACTTCTGACTAACTGCCAGAAGGTCTACGGTGCTGAACCTATGGACATCCTCTGCTCCACCCTTTCACACTCCTTCAACTACGTGTTCCGCGACCGTGCTGCACCAACGATCTTCCGATACAACCATGGTCGTGAGCAGATTGGCAATGCTGATCCTAGTGGGACAGTGGGATGGTTCACAACTCTGTCGCCTATCCACGTTCCCATTCAAAGTCGCGATGACAGTGTTTCTGTGCTTCGGCGAACAGTCGAAATGCGCAAGAAGATTCCGATGAACGGCCTTGGGTACTTCGCATCGCGGTATCACCATCCAGGGGGTGAAGCCGCGTTCGCTGGACAGCTCGAGAACATGGAGGTCTCAGTTAACTACCTCGGTGTATCCGACAATCAGCAGCGAAGCAACAGTGCATCCATCTTCGACATGAGCAACTCCATCGAAAACGGCCTGGGCGCTGAGGGCCAGGAAGTCAAGGGATTCAGCTTGTTCGCGCTCAATGCCGAAGTCCAGGGCGGTCGCCTCAATGTTCACTGCGCCTGGAATAAGAACATGCGCGGGCAAGACCAGATCCAGCAATGGTTCAAGACCTACGAGAGAGCACTGAAGGACGTCGCCTACAGGGCGAAGAGGGGTCAGCCGGCAAGAAGGCACAGCAAGAGCAAGCAGGGCACTTCTTCCTCCTCGCGGACACTGCTAAAGCCTGTCCAGCTTGGTCGTGTGCAATCTGGCCGCCGAAGATTATCAAGGAAGGTTTCTATTGACCACAGACTCGCTGTTCCAAGGCTTGTCTAGTGCTGTATAGTTGGCGGTATTGATGGCACATCGGAGATTGTTTTTTTGGTTATTCTCTGGGTTTAAGCGTAGCATGGCGTTGGGGTTTCTAAAATACCCGGTGTTTGACACAGACTGCCTATCAGGCTAATTTCCTAATGTAGAAATTCAAATTGTTAACATAACACGGTTTTAAGCTTGTCAAGTCGTGTTTCCCATGTGATACTACTCGTGTAACTCTAAGTGCCTGTTTGGCTACAAAGCCATGCCCTTGGTAAAGTACTAGAAAAACTAACTTGTCATTCAATGGAACGATCTCAGAACGTTGTGGGGTCGGGATCAACAGCTTCCAGTTCACGATCAAAACAAGACAACTAAAATTCTGAAACCCCTTCCCTAATATGTCTACCACTGTCAAGGTTGATGGTACACATACCGGAATACCGGGTCCGGGGCCGGAGCAATGTACCGACCCCTCTAATGGGCGAGTACTTTGCGCGTCAATAGGAGGCTATCTCGCAGCTAAACACGCTGTACTGCTGATCAAGATTGCGAGCTGTCCCGTCATGTGGGAGTTCCTCTCGAGCACGCTGAGAAGGTTGGTAACCCTGGATCGTGCGACATTTTGACAGCACCTTGCATGAATTTACGGAAGTTTCGCATGTAACTCAGAGTTCAAAGTGCAACCAGACCCATTGCCACGGTTTGCCTCGAAAGGACGAACATTTTCGGATGGCTTGCGCACCAGATCGATGCGGTGTCATCATCATGCTTGGAACTCCATAGTTGAACGCGGGAGGGCAGAACCTTATTAACTTACCAACCTAACAACTATGCCCCCAAGCCCTCTGCAAATCGAAATGAGATCCCAAGTCCCGGGTTACTGGACAAGGTATCCTGTAGCCAATCCAACTCCTGCAGCGCGTTCCTGGATCAGGAAAACGGATCACAATCGATTTCGTTCCCATGGTTTCCTTTTTCCGGTGGTTTACTAATTATAAATGGAGCTGACAACCATATGTGAACCTTTGCGAGTCCACCTACCTGGAAAATGGGTCCAGTACATCGGATCTACTGTAACAAGCGAGGGATCAATTACAGTGTTTAAGTCCACTTACCTCACTTGCTAATCACGCAGCATTGATCTCACTCCCTCCCAATCCCCTTTAGTCATGGTCGTTTGCCCTCTCAAACTGATCTCCCTGACAGTCTCCATGCAGTGCCATTGTGGCTAGCTGCGACATATCACCATGCATTTGCACCAGTCAATCAATACTTTGCTCCGAGCGAGTGGTAATCTATCTTAAGTCGGCAAATATACACATTGACGACATTGATAGCTTACATCCTGAAAGATTCACCTTTCCACCATGTTCTTTGAGGTATTCACTGGTTTCATTCCATGCTGGCTCGTTGTCTGGCAAAAATTCCAGAGAAAGAAAGCAGCGGACACGAATGCGAATTGGGAAAACTCATCCGAGACCCACTCTCACCGCATCGAGTTTTGCGCAGTGGACATCTACATCTCAGATAGAGAAGGGCTATGTAACGGACTCAGAGCCAGACCAATCGGCAGACTGCCTTCTATCAATGAAGGCCCCTGACCGAGTCCTCTACGACAACCCTATGCCCCTGCAAGAATTCTCTGCCCTTCGAGATTTCTCCGGAGAAAACGTAGCATACCTGACCCGAGTAGCAAATTGGCGGGCCTCATGGCCGACGGACCCGAAGGAGGACGAAGTGTGGGACCAGTTCACCCAGGCCCTCGGGATCTACACAGATCTGATCAGCCCTCGTGATGCCGAATTCTCAATCAATCTCTCGTCACAGGAACTCTGAGGTCTCGAGGCTATCTTCGAGAGGCCCGCACGGATCATCTGTGGCGAGGCGCGCGTGAACTTGGCGGTACCGTTTGGGGCGGGAGGGCTCCTTACCCGGCCCAGCCGCGACACCAAATCAGCCGCACCTGCTGGGTCCAGGATAGAGTTTGAAGATATTGCGGACAAGGTCCGATACATGGGCAAGATCTTGGACAGTTTCAGCCCTGGCGTGTTCGATGTTACGTGCAAGTCCATCAAGTATCTGGTCTTCACCAACACGTGGCCCAGATTCATCGACGAAGCGTATCGGAGAGAATCCCTCGATAGCGAACAAAGCGATTACACATCTGGGTCAGGGGGGACATTTTTGAGCCAAGTAGCTTCCAAAGTCCTTCCTGTGACTTGGGTGTTGCTGTGAGACTGGGATGAGCACTCTAATATAATTATTGTAAACAAAAGATACCCCTGTAGTTCCAAGTACTTCTCGGAACGTTCGCCCGACGTCATTGTTACCCAGATTTTTCTACCTATATGAGCTTCTTGCAACATTTCACTGAATTCTGCTCCCCGTCAAGAGCCCTTATTCCATGCAGTCTGCTACATATCTCAATCCCAGCGCTACGGCCGCTCTGACGTCGTCGGCCCGAACCGTCCCATCGTCTCGTACCACCGGCTTGTTCTCGCCAACCTCAAGCAAAAGGCCTGCCGCGCGGAATACTTGCTCCGGCGCCACGGTCGCCCTTCCGGCCTTGAAGACGTACTTGGTGACCATGGTCGCAAAGACGCTCCTCCTCAGTTTCTCATCCTTCGCCAGAGCTGCAGGCCCGCCTCGGACCTCCAGGTCAAAGGGCAGCGCGGTCCCGGGCCTGAGGAAGTACGTGACCACGTAGAGGGTCCGGTCGTTCCACGCGAGGATTCGCGAGGATACGGCGTAGGCCTGGTACGGGCGGATCTCGCGCTGGAACCTGCATTGGACGCCTGCCAGCACAAAGTTGGCCGGGCCGAGCCCCGCCAGACCGGCGCTCAGCAGCCCCGTCAGCAGCCGGGCACGGCTGATATCGGCGTCGGCGAAGAAGGTGCTGTTGGACTTGTGCACGTTGACGTCGAGGTCGAGGGCAACGGCCCTCGAGGTCATGGTGTCATGTCTGAACAACGCTGGCGATGCAGCATTGTAGGATGTAGATGTATTTGCAGAATGGATTGTTGTCAACTTCTTGTTGCGCGATAGCCTAGGTGCGAAGAGACGGTATAGAGAAGGTAGTAGTCGGAAGGTGTACACCAGTGGGAGCGCTTTCGCGTTGGCGGCAGCGAATGCGAAGATAGCTGCCAAGCCTATTAGAGAGCCATATGACAAGGCGTGAATAGCATCGAGAAGTGAATCAAGCATGGTAACGTCGCAGAAAATGATTGGCGTGTGTTCGAGAAGTGGATCCAGTGCAATGGTATGCGAATCAGGGTTCTAAAGCAACAACTGTAAGGAACAGGCAAGACCCAGGGACGAGGCCGCGACTGCAGATAATGGGAGGTGCAAGCTATATCGGACAGTGCAAGGGACCAATATCGAGTGCTTATATGCGGGATTGACAACCTGAGCCATAGGACCTTTGTCAGTGGCGGCTGTCTTGGTTTGTAGTCACAGCCCGACCCAGACCTTACCTTACTGTCAGCAGTTTGCATCAGCCGTAGTAGTGAACCATAACTAAGCAGCACTATTTCCGGCCGCTAAAAAAAAAAACCGTGTAAGCACTCATTTGCATCGACTGGAAAAGTAATACAATGACAGTTCATTCGTTCTGTGCGCGACAAGACAGCCTGTTCTCAATCGGACAGTAAAACTGCTGAACAGAAAGATGATCTTCTTCAAGGGTAGGCCTTTTTCGCCATCGCGTGAATTGCTAGTGATGCTTTTAGAGCTTAGTGGGCATATAGCTTACAGTAAGCTGCCCGTCTTGTAGCCTCCATGGGGGTCCCAATTTCAAAGCCCCAAACAGTTAGTGGGCTGAAATCACCAAAAAGGAAAGCCACTTATCCAACGATTGGCTGCCAAAAAAATTGGCCCGTGCGCATTCATCAATATAGTGGAAGCTTCTCCATACTGAGTCCCAGCACGGTTACCCACGATTGATGCCAATTTTGAGTTTCATGCCGGCGGGTTTAGGCTTTACTGTACTTCTACTGTGTGATCATTGCCCTTTTGGTGGCTTCACCGGCGCTGGCGCTCGCACTGGAAGGGCTTTGCGACTCATAGTAAGCTTGTTCATGGTGTACGCTTTCACGACAGCCTGGTACCGTCGGTTGTGGACGCCTCTCGGGAAATTCAGCTGCCAGAGAGACCTTGGCGGGCCTTGAGAGAAGGGGAGAAGGCACGAGTTTCGGGCAATGTCTCTTCAAGATTACTAGCGTCACGTGGCGTCAGTAGGTACACGATTATCTGAAGTGTGTTGACAAAAAGACGGCGATCTGTCTGCTAGTTTGGCCTACTTACTTTGTGTATCTCGCATCTTCCACAGAACTAGAGCTTTCAGACCTAACACAAGCGGCCTTATATTTAACTCGCAACCATGTGGCCAATGTCAAACGCCCTCTACCCTGGCCTAGCCAGTCCGACGGACCGCCCAAGGACAAGTGACGATGCAGCGAGTTGGTATACATACGGCTCCCGACGCTACAGTGCATCCAACTACTCACGATCAAACTATGCGAGATCCAACTATTCTAAACCGAGAGCACATTCAAGCCGAAGAAGTGCCCGTACCGGACGCACCGGGGAAACAGAAGGCGGAGAAGATCTTCGGGACCTATTGCGACGAAGCCAACAGGCTCTTACACACTTGCCTGACGACGAGGATATACCAGGTGCGCACTCGGCTCCCGAAGATGGGGATCCATACATGGCTCCATATGCCGCATCCCGTGACACAATCTGGAAGAAACCCATCTGGAGAAGTCTGTCGAAACGGACTACCGCGACAGGTGCCACGGGGTTGAGTATCGTGACCACAGACTCGACACAAAAGGACCCGTTCCCTGCCTCGGAGCCACCAAGTACAAGTTCATCGGGCAGCTCCAGCAACCATCCCAAGGCGTCCTCTGCACGACCACCGACAAGCAATCGTCACGTCCGTAGCCGGCGCATCCCAAGTGTTGCGTCGCGTATGGAACACGATGAGCCCATGCCCGACCCGGTCCCGGCATACCGGGAGATCGAGCCTATCGCGCAGGTCTCCGCTGCACCAGAGCTCAGCCAAGGACTGGTCTCGGCTCGTGCAGCACCAGGCGGTGATCTGAGCCATGACTTCCAATCCACGCTCTCACGGCTGGACATCAGCTCCACCCCGTCGATCAGCACTATGAGCTTCGGCGACATGGGCAATAATGGTGCGGGCATCAGCTTCTCGAGGGTCGACTACGATGCCCAAGACGGTCCCGACCGCAACGTCCAAAGCAGCCATAGCCCCCATGCCGTCGCATTTGCGCAGACCCCGCATTCTAATAACCCGTTCATGCGTACGCCCGTTGAGCAGGTCAGTCCTCTCGTGGGTTCCGAGGATATCAGCAGTCAGATGCAGCCGAGGGTTGTCACGTTTTCCAACTTTGATGAGATTGCCATCGACAGCAGCGCTGATTCGCGATCAGTTACCGCCCGGACGGTCGACACTTGGGAACGTTCTGACAGCGATCATGAGAAGCCCGCGAGCTTGTCTGACGAGCTACCAGTGCCTCCACCAGCTACATATCTGTACGGCCTCCCATTGTTCGCAGTCATCATGGCCTTGTCTCTCGCAGTCTTCCTTGTCGCCATGGATGTCAATGTCATCGCCACTGCTGTTCCTCATATCACTGGAGAGTTTCGCAGTCTCGACGATGTCGGTTGGTATGGTTCCGCGTTCTTGATGACAACCTGCGCATTCCAAGTCTTGTTCGGCCGAATCTATACCATCTTCCCCGCGAAGTGGACCTTCCTGGTTGCGATTATGATCTTCATGGGCGGCTCGCTCCTTGCCGGCCTGGCCCCAAGCTCTATGGCGTTCATCATTGGCCGAGCCATACAAGGCATGGGTACTAGTGGTATCCTTTCTGGAGGGTTGATCATCATTTCTCAAGTTGTTCCTCTGCAGATGCGATCCATCCTCGGCGGTGTGATCGGTGCCATGGAAGGTGTAGCCATGATATCCGCCCCGATAATTGGCGGTGCTCTGACCGATAAGCTGAGCTGGAGATGGTGTTTCTACATCAACTTGCCCATCGGCGGCTTTGTTTTGGTTGCTGTGCTGGTCTTCTTGCGTATCCCCGAAGAAATGCGTCCCCAGAGGGCCGTCAATAGATCATGGGTCGAGACCGCACGTGAGCTCGACCTCATCGGGGCAGCGCTCCTCGTTCCGCCGATCGTTTGTTTCCTGTTGGCTCTCCAATATGGAGGTGAGTAGTATTACTGCATCGACAAAGTCCTACCGCGCTAACTCTCATCCAGGAACAAAATATGCATGGGATAGCATTGGTATCATCCTGCTCTTCGTCTTGGGTTTCGTATTATTCCTTGTTTTTGCTTACTCACAGCATGTTAACGCCGATGTCGCGATGATACCATTCCGCATCATCAAGCAGCGTTCGGTCATCGCGGGTTTCTGGTACATTTTATGTGTCAGCTCTGCGTTAGTGGTCATGACCTACTTTGTAAGTAAAGCTCCTCCTAAAGCTATCACAGTGATATCTGACAAATGTCTAGCTCCCGCTTTGGTTTCAAACAGTGCAAGGTGCGACACCTACGCAGTCTGGTCTACGCTTGTTGCCAATGCTCATTGGCGTCATCGTGGCTGTTCTTGCGAGTGGTGCCCTTGTGTCGGGTCTAGGCTATTATACACCGTTCATGATCGCAGGTACTGTTCTCATGTCGGTTGGCGTTGGCATGCTGTCGACACTTCTACCCGACACATCTAATGCACTACTCATCGTGTTTCCAGCCATCTTTGGAGCAGGCGTCGGCATTGGATTCCAGCAGCCTCTCATTGGCGTGCAAACAGTATTGCCCAAGGAGTAAGCACACGCCATGTTCTCTAGTGATTGGGGAAAACACTAATGGTTAATACCGCAGGGATATACCAGTCGGAACTTCAATCGTGGTTTTTGGACAAACGATTGGCGCCGCCATAGTCTTGTCTGCTGGCGAGTCTGTCTTTCAGAACCAGCTCAAGCAGAACATCGAGAAGTATCTTGGGATCGTCGTGGAGGACGCGCACAGTCTCATGACGGAAGGCACAACGGCACTGGCCGCGACGCTCACGCCAGAACAAAAGCCTCTCCTAATCCTAGCTGCTAGCAAATCACTGACACAGACCTTCTATGTCGCTCTGGCCATGGCCGGTCTGTCCATCATTGGCTCCCTCGCCATGGAGTGGAAATCGGTCAAGAAGGCTGCTGAGGCTGAAGCTGCAGCGAATGCAGAGGCTGTAGCAAATGCAACAAACGCAGCGACTATGGAAAAGACGGTCTAATAGGACGGCAGAGAATGCGCAGTAGGGATTGATGAATGATGGATATAGAGTGAAATTTGTTATAATGTTTTGATTTGAAGCGCACGGTTGTATTGAAGCGCATGGGTGCATACCAAAAGGGGTTTTGATTTTGCAACGAATATTAGATACAGTAGTAGGCTATGAAGTCGGTTGTGTTTCGCTTTGGTGTCTGTAAATGCACTTGAACGCACTGAAATCAAGGATGGAGACGAACATGTCGCGTCAACGCGCTTTCATGGCTCCGGGGGGTTAGGCGCGCCGCCTGGAAAGCCCCGATTGGCTCCTATTGGTCCCTTAATTTTAACGGAACTGCAAACCTCGCGAACGCTTCAACTTCCAGGGATACGTCATTCTTTTTAGAAATGCCTTGGAATCGCTTCACTATGTGGACATTGTGCAGAGCTCAACGTGTCTGAGGCTTGGAAGTATATGTATGATGGTCCCCATTTTCAGATGCTCCAAACAAATCGGGGCTTCTTGTTGACATTGAATATCCTGTATGTGTTTCTGACAAAAGCAACTGAGTACTGTAGCACCTCCTTGCACCCCGCCAAATCAAACGTCACTAGGTTAAGATGTTCGCCCAAACGCTATTATCTGCCTCGATCCTGTCAGCGCTCGCCTTAGCTCAAAGCACAGTCGTAGTGACAGTTGGCCCAACAATACCCACCAATGCACCGGAATTCGTGAGCGAGGACACTTTTACTTCCGCGATTCTCAACTCTACAAATTACTACCGCACGGAGCACAACGCATCGTCCGTGACATGGAACTCGACGCTTGAGGACTACGCTTCAGACTACCTGGACTCGACGTGCGATTTTGAGCACAGCGGCGGCCCCTACGGCGAGAACTTGGCGATCGGGTGCTCGAATGCGACGAGCTGCGTGGAAGCCTGGGGAAACGAAAGGGACAAATACGATTTCAGCGACCCGGGGTTCTCGGAAGATACGGGACACTTCACACAGCTTGTCTGGAAGAACACTACAGACGTTGGGTGCAGTCGAAAGCTGTGTGGTGACAGTGGGTGGTACTTGGTCTGTGAGTACTGGCCGGTGGGCAATGTCGAAGGGGAATACGCCGATGACGTTAGCGCTGAAGAGGGCAGTGGTGCGACCGTCATCCAACCACAATTCGTTGTAGCATATGTGGCGGCTGCCGCGATCCTGGTTGCTCTATGATAGCATAGGAGAAATCAAATGCAGTTAACAATGGATGTAGCCGCAATTGTGCTGAATCTCGTAGCGCAGGTTGTGCAGCAGGGACGAGGGAGATTCTAAGGTCAATTAGCTCCAACTAGTCGGGTGATGCCGACTGCTGTATAACAGAGTTGGTCGCGTCTCCAGTCTTCGTTTCGTACATACACCCTTATCCATGCCAATAGGTTAAACGGTAAGTCAACAAGTAGAATTATGTCACGTATGTGTCTTATAACTTCTTCACATCGCTTCTTCATAAAGCATTCTGTGCTATCCGACTTCATGTAATTGATATTCCTCCACGGGTTTGCACAGGCTGACGGTTGCCACGTGCGTGTGCAAGACGTATTTGGCATGCAAAAAGTATACTTGTGGTCTAGGCATCACAAGGTGCGCGAAGGCGTGTGTCTTTAATTAATGGCATCTCTGTGGGCATAGAAGATGGGTCTATATGCAATTACTGCATTCATAGCATCAAACCCTCCGCTGCATTATTATATCGCATATCTCATGTTCAAACCATGAACTTGCTTTCATACATCATGTGCCTCTTCGTGTTCGTCGAATCAGCCGTCTCCGTCACATTACCAACAACGGTTCCATTCTCATCCTCGTACTCGGCCCAGGCGCTCTTGACAGACCAAACCGCAATGCTGACCTCGGCACCAGAGGGCAAGTTACTAGCGGAAACAGCAGCGGTTGTCAGCGGCTGTGTGGGGAAGAACAGGACCGTAGCAGCGTGCACACCACCGTCGACAAAGACCTCGTAGATGCTACGGTCAATAAACGCCTGCACATTCCAGGATTGCAGACCCGATCCGTTGTTGTACACGTCCGCGGTGCTGAACTTGTCGGTGAAGAAGACGTTGTCGAAACCCCGGATCAGGCCACGGTCCACGAAGAATGGGTTGTCGCCACCAAAGTAGAAACCAGATCGGATTGTCTCTCCCGAAGCTGAGGATGTGAACGAGATGTTTAGTGTTGAGTAGGAAGTCAGCTGCGTGGTGTTGATGTTTGTTACATTGGCCTCAATGTACAGAGCGTTGGACTCCACATCAGAGTAGTCCACCACAACGCTTCCATTGCCAATTGTCGACTCGTTCAAAGCCGAATCGAGAACCGGGCTTGGGTCGTACAGTTCGTTGATGACGACCCAGCCGATGCGTGTTGCGTTTGTGAGATAGTTGGCTCTCGGGAGAGTCATGACACTTCGCCAGCCCTCGAGATTGCCTGTGGGGACTTGCTGGGCATACTGCCAGTTAGAGGCCCAGCCGAGATTGACCGCGTTTTCACCATCCGGGACTCCATAGAAATACTGCGCAGCATAATTGTCCTTGGCAAAATCAGTCAGGCGGGTTGCGGCGTCCAAAGTCGTGAAGTGCGTGCCGTTGAAGTCGCCGGGGAAGTATTCGGTGATGGAGCCTCCCAAAGGTGCACCGGGCTGCACCGATACCGTCATAACGTATTTCTGATCCACAACGGCCCCGCTGTCATCTCTGACAGGCATCTTGACAAGATTAGGACACTCATACTGGGCGCCGAGTAAGCCGTGGTGGGAGAAATTTGATGCATGGGACCAGGTCTTCAGGTCAGGACTGGTGTAAATGCCCACCACGAATTCTTGAGCAAAGGCGATGACTGCAACCCAGTGATCCTCGTACCAAATAACCTTTGGGTCTCGGAATTGGCTGCTGGTGCTGTCAATCACGGGATTCCCGTCGTAATACTCGAAGGTGTAACCGCCATCGTGCGAATAGGCAATGTTCTGAGTTTGCGGTCCAGCGGAACCGTCTTCGTAGTAGCGAGCCAATGTGAAGATAGCTACCACACCGTTGTCCTGATCGGGGAAGAACCCAGAAGTGTTGTTGACATCGACGACTGCAGAACCGGAAAAAACATAGACCGACTCCTCAGGTGGGAACAGGGCAATGGGCTGGTTGACCCAATGATAGAGGTCATCTGAAGTTGCGTGGCCCCAGTGTTGGTTGCCGGCCGTGGCGCCCGTGGGATTGTATTGATAGTATAAATGCCATGTTCCATTGGCATCAACGAACATACCATTGGGGTCGTTCATGAAGTGTTGAGGAGGGGAGAAATGAACTTGAGGTCTCAGGCCGCCTGTATAATTGCCTTCAATCGGTACACCAGTTGGTACAGCTGGGTTGGTGTAAGTCGTAGCATTCTGGCAGTTACCACCTGCGAGAAGGGTGGCGCACAACAATGCCTCGAACAACATGATTGGAAGGTAGATCTGGGATCTTGATAGTCAAAGTAGCCGGACTTGCTGAGGCGTATATTAAAATTGTGCTGCAGAGAATGGACTGCAAAGGCACTTTTATATATGCGCATGGTGCCGATGTTGCACTCCACTGCCATGGAGCCATACCGGAACACGGATCACAGGCTTGGTCGGACATTAATCGTGACGAAAGCGCCGATTATTTTCGCGATAGCTCAAAACTCTATTAACCAAGAAAACTCCAAAATGCCCAGGCTCTCGGGCCATTCGTGAGCCAGGACCACGCAGTTTCCCGCTGACTTGGTCATAATAAGACAAGCGGCCCCGGCAGTGGAGAACGTTTTGGGAATAACTTCTCTTACTTTTTCATCGCAAACAAGTCACTGGGAACTGCCATAACTCGTGTAATACATTCTATGACAGATTCTCAGCTTAGGAAATGGCGGAAGTAAGCTCATGAGTAGACACCCGTGGACGTTTGCGGGGTAGCACTGCGGGGACAGCCAATGATGTGTGGACGACTTCAGCTGGGGACACAGCATGCACTGGGCATGACCACCGCCAATGCATTAGCATCATGGCTAGAACTCAGTTATGGCGTCCAAGACGATAAACGGACCGACTGAAAACATAAGGCTGGCTTTAGATGAGGCTTTTTCTCGCCTTCCCCAGCTTCTTCAAATATTGTAACCCGTTAAACGTCATTATAAGCCAGCCTCGATATAAAATTGGGATTGGGGTAGTAGATTTTAGTCAAATTGGTGGGTCAGAATGGGTGAATTTCTATTGGTCTCCGAGCGGACTCCATGCTGGACCCCCGGGATCGATCCCACATGTACACAGTATACTCCACAGCGAACCATTACGCACAACACTTAGTGCTGAAGCCTTTTCGAACTCATTCAGCCTGGCCGGCGCCAAAGTCAGTAAACCAAAGGCAGGTTCACGAAGGTCAGGGCCTTTTGGCCAGCCAAAACATCGGATGGGCCGTTCTCGGCCAGTGGGGAATTGGGCGTGCCATCGTCGTTCCAGGTGAACTTCTGTATCCGCGTCGTACGATAGAGGTCCGCTGCGGGGTTGGGGGCCGTTTGAGCGTGGTATACCAGATAGTCTTCGGAGCCGTCGGGTGATGTCGTGAAGTTAGCATGTCCAGTTCCAGAGACACCGGTTTTCGTGTTTTGGTGGGAAACACAGCCTTGCGTACGCTTCTTCCAAGATTGGTATTCCATTGGGTCGTTGCCTACCAGCTCCAGCATACCGAGGCAGTAGAATGGTGTGTTGACTCTTGCAGCTGAGTATATGACAAAACTCTGGCCTGTCTTCGGATTGGTCAATTGTTGTGGTCCCTCATTTGTTGCGAGGCGGATGGGACGTCCATTTGGGCTTTGTTCCCATGGCCGGTCTGGCACGCTGATCTAAGGTTAGTGATGTGTCAATAATTATGTACCGCATGAGAATGATTGAAGCGAAGTAAAGCACTGACCATTCGACGATCACTAAAATTCGAAGACACAGTCCATGGATTGGACATTGACCTGATGCAGAGGTTTGCTGGCCATGATGAATATGTGTTTTCCCAGCATGAGTAAATGTGGTAGAGCTTGTCTTCGTAGACGAAATATGTGCCATCAATGGCGAACTGATCGTATGAGTTTAGCTGACTCTTCAGACGGAAGTCTGCTGCCCATGGGTCTGGCTCGTCACCCTCGAGAACGAACATTCTATGGTTTATAGCGGGGCAGTTGATTGGACGGAGCGCATCTTGCAACTGAGGTGGGTTGTCTGCATCAGAAGTTGCGGTGAAGGTTCCGGGATAAAATGTTAAAGAGCCTGAGATGCAATTCGGCCATATTTGCATACAAGACTTTCGTGTTTAAGTGCCCATACCATGTTGTATATGCAAACCGACGTACATGTACCAACTCCCGGAAATATTGTGTATCTCCGGTGCCCACAGCGAGGTAGACCATGGTTGTCCTTTATCCTCAACCGGATCAGGCTTGAAGACTGTCCTAGTTTCGGTACTGTCCCAATTATCGGTCAAGAATCAACTACGCCTCAAAGTAATGTTGTCATTTGTGGTATACGTGAATAAGTATCATTCACCATCGTCTCCCGTGTACCTGGTCATAAACGGGTCGCCAACATTTACTGTTATGACTGGATTGGAGAATGTGGCATTGGTGCTCTTGTTTGCTCCCACATTGATTGGGTCCCATGTCATGCCAGATGTGCCTAGATTCGGGTCGATTTGTTGAGCAGCTACTTGAGCCAGTCCGATGCTGGAGGCCAGAGTAACCAGGGTTGTTGCGAAGGGCATCATAATAAGTGATTAAAAATATGCAAGAAACACAACGGGAGCAAGAGAGACATTGTCGGGGCACGAACCGCAACGGCAGCGCTGGCAAAGATTAAGCTTAAATGCACATCGCTCCAGACAATCTGGATTCGCCAGCATTTACACCGTATGTTATGTACAAGGGACGATCTCACGGCATCGTTTTCCTTATACGGGGATGATAATTCGCCGTGTTGGGGAACCCCGCGGCTCCCCGCACTTTCGACAAGTGTATAGTCATGAGCGCCTTGTGTCATTCTTCGTGCTTAGAACCTCTGGAGCGCAATGATAGACCGTGAAGAAGTTCATTTGGTATTTCACGCGATAGAAAAGAGGATCGAGTCTTGATCATAAGATCCGAAGACTACGCTCAGGTTTTATGCACGGACGGACCTTGTCGCACCCAAGCAGCAACAGTATGTCTGAATTTTCCCCTGGGTCCCGCCAAGGCTTGCATCTTTGTCCTGGTTATCCGTATATTAAAAATACTTATAACATTACTCATACCTCACGGACCGTCTCAACCTGCCACTAATGGTTGCAGCGCATTTGACCCGTCCCATGGACATTTTGGGAGGTAAAAGTTTGTTTTGAGACCAGTGGTTAGTAAGCACCCAGCGTCATCCTGGAAAGTGTGTATGGAGGTTTTCCGATTCAAAAAGCTACTTCGGCACTTTAATAAGCTGCGTGATTTCCACAGCTGAGGGCTCCCGGATTTAGGTTTCGAGTACGTGGAAAGTCGAAAGCCTAAATGTGCGGATATGTGGTGCGTATCCATGAAAAGGCAGTGCCAGAAGCCCGCTGTAGCCATATGAACTACTTAGTGGGCGTATTAATCCAAAGCCTGCTGTACAGTAAGTATCCAGAGCATGTTGCCCTCTGGAGTGTAATTGTGAAATATTCCCCGCACTGGAATTTTGTCGAGGCCGCTTATTATTGGGTGTTAAGTTCTGATCACAGCCAGGTTTGTGCAAATAGTATTCAATTGGCGCGTGTCGATGTACATGATTGCCATGATTGTGATCTACAGTATGGTCTCTATCGGCTTCAGGGTCTATGTGCACAGGCGCAGAGGCGCAGCAAGAAACCCGACAGAAGCGGGGCTTTCGGTCGGAAATAACATACCTAAGCGCGAAAACCGACCGCTAGATATGGGTAATCCTTTAAGGCCAGACTAAGGTTAGAGTATGCTGCTTTTCGGAGCAGGGAGATATGGTTATCTGCGAAGCCGTCTATCATGAAATTCACCATGAAGTCATAGGGGCTAAGAGACCTCAAGATAGAATGAAGATAAGTACTGTGAATGCTGCACTTCTCTAAGAAGACTGAATAATTGCGTCGTCCCAAGCATCAAGCCTCACCAAAACTAGAAGTATACAGTACAGCTCCTAGTGCTCAACGAGATCCATTGTCTCTGATATCAAAACCAACACAAGCCGCATCTGCCCAGACACACTCAACACACCTTCTTTATTCCCGTCTACCATGTCTTTGCAAGACAAGGTGCTTCTTGTCACCGGCGGCTCGAAGGGAATTGGCGCCGCCATTGCCAAGCGAGCCTCATCCCTCGGCGCCAAGGTCGTTATCAACTACTCGCGTGACAGCGCACCCGCCGATGCCCTAGTGAAGGAGATCGGATCCGACCAGGCGCTGGCCGTGCAGGCAGATGTCTCCAAGGTATCCGAGATCTCCAAACTCGTCGACGCCACCGTCTCCAAGTTCGGCCGCATTGACATACTCGTGCCCAACGCCGGTGTCATGCCGCTGCAGCCGCTGGCCGCCATGACAGAGGAACTCTTCGACCGAGTGTATGAGCTCAACGTCAAGGGTCCGTTCTTCCTCGCTCAGAAGGCGGTGCCTCATATGCCGTCTGGAGGCCGCATCATCTTCATTTCCACCGGCATCGCGCACCACAGCGGTGTGCCACCTCCATATGCGCTTTATGCTTCGTCCAAGGGCTCCGTCGAGCAGTTCACGAGGGTTTTGGCAAAGGAGCTTGGTGCTAAGGGTATCACGGTCAACGCCGTGGCGCCGGGACCCACAGCCACGGATCTTTTTGTGAAAGGAAAGTCGGAGGCCATGATCAAGGGTATTGCTGCACAGAGTCCTTTCAATCGGCTGGGTGACCCAGCTGAGATAGCGAATGTGGTGACCTTTATCGCGAGTCCAGAGGCTGCTTGGGTGTCGGGACAGATCATCGGCGCAAATGGTGCCAGTTTCGTTTGAGTAAAAAGGAGAAAGGGTCGCTGAAGAACAATTCGATGTTGTTCGTGCCAATGAAACTGTACGTGCCATTCAACCACCAAATCCTTGGGTGTCTGCTCTCATCCGTAGTGTACCTTTCAACACATTCCAGCATCTTCAGAAGATTTTTTTTAGCCACCTCTGTAGTGGAGCCTCGGACGCTCGTATTGATCAGTTCAATTGCAAATAGTATCGTGTAATAGACATGTAGCACGAATAATGTAATCAATAAGTCTATGAATGACGTTTAGAAGCGGACAAGGAATAAAGCTATCGCTCTATTCCTGGCGAATGATACCTACCTAAATAGATGTTCTGGGTGGATCCTGAGGTGGTTACCTTAAGCATCCGTCCCCCTAGCCGAACAGGCAATAGAAGGCGTATGAGTATTGTGATGGCTGTGGTGAAAAGTAGATCGTCGATTTAAGCTGTAGCCAAGTCAAGAATGACTCTCCGAATAGGTTCGTGAACGCTACGTACGACAGGATTTTCCCTAGTCGGCTATCGTAGCAATACAGTCAGTATTAGGATCAATAACTAGCCTAGCAAAAAGGGTCAACGATTAAATTGATAAGTATTGATTTTCAACAGTCGCAGTGGTCATCATCTGGTGAATCTTCTACGCGAATAGGTTTAACATTTCAAGCTATTTTCAAAGAAATGTTTGGTCCCTCAAGCTCGAAACTTGTTGGCTTCAGTAGCATTTCGCAAAAATACCATCGAATATCATTTGAATTCTAAAGATGACAGAGTAGCGTTCCTTAACCACCTTCTTGATTGAAGTGTTAACTAATAAGATGAAACGAATGTGAAAACTCAAAAGCTCGAAACGCTTTGCATTTCGATCAAAAGCACGATTTTCATGTGTACTTTTTTCCTTTCTCTTTGCAATAAAATAGGTAAATGGTATTACGGAATCTTTTAATTCTTCAGTAATAAATTCTCAACAATTGGCTTATAAACTGATAAACACGATCAACATATCATCTACAATGATCTTCAGGCAAGTATAAAAACGAAAGAGTCCTTTAATATCCGCACTAACTCAGAGTCGTGGAGTCCAACGCTCTGAAGATCATAGTGCGTTTTGCAGAGACTTGTCGAATCGTCATAACGACTTTACTGGATGTTTTAAGAGTTTTTTGTATTGTAGAGCGACCATAAACTGTTCTTTTGAGCGACTCAGCTTTACCATCTCGTCCAGTTTTGCTGCCATCTTCGTCCCGGTAAATTGTCCAGTTCTACACTCGAGTCCTTCCTGAACAATTGATTTGGTAGCGGCAACCAATTATGGGAAGACCTACAAAGAAACCAGGCAACATGGCGTTTCCCCAAACGCTTTTCGTATTATCCCTGAACAATATGGTTTTCAGCGCTGAGGAATAACGACCTCAACTGCCTTACCCCTGAACTTCTCCCTCAAAAATAGCGAACGTTTGTTCAAGTTTTTGGGCGTTAAACCATATTACAGCGTTGTTGATTGATCATATCACACAGTGGCTCGTTGCTATCGTCCAGTAAAGCACTGCTGCCCAGATGATTGACGTTGCCCAAGAGTTGCCTTGCCTATGATGGCCTGTTCACGAAGCTAATTAACCAAAGCGTGTCAACGTCTTTGCCTCCTTTATTTACCCTTGATGTCTTCCTGTGAGGACTCAACTTACCATAGGCTGTGCGAGAACTCGACATCTTGAGCCTCAGCGGGAACGAAATAACCGTTGAACCTCGCTAGAATGCGTAAATGTGAAACGCGTGACTGAAATATAGAAATATGAGCCCGATGCTAATTATGCGTTTGAAATTTTTAATTACAAATATGATTGATGATAAACCTGCCAATGGTATTTGTGAAACTAACGAGGAGTAAAGCCATCGCTCCTTCCTGGTGGAGGCTACTTGAATAGACGTCCTGGGTGGGTCCTTAGGTGGATACCTGAGACATCCATTATCATGTCATTCATCAGAATAATGCTGAGGGCATATGATCGCATTAAACAAAGCCTTGCGGCTCCCATGATAACCTGACATAGACATGGCTACTGTAGATACTCCACGCATAGCTCTTACAAATTCCGTCTAATGCTTCTTGAGCTGCAAATCATCAGCGGCAGAGCATATCTAAACACGACGGTCTGAGTGCTCTTCGATCTCGATAGCCGTCGCGGCAGACTTCTCATGATCTGCAGCGACCTCGTGCTTCTCATCCAGGCTAGCCCCTCCAAAGAGCGAGTCCATCATTTCTAGTGACAATCCCTTAGTCTCTGGAACGAGAAACCAGACGAAAAAGAACATGATAACACCGAAGCTACCGAAGATAAGGTAGGTACCGTATCCATGTGCGCCGACAGTGGCAATCATGTTAGGGACAGCTCTTGCAACCACAAAGTTGAAGAGCCACTGGGTAGCAGCAGCTAGAGCCACGTTCTAGGGTTTCCGTTAGCAAAAGACAGTATCCATCTATAGCAGTCAGATACATACCAAAGGTCTGAGACGCTGAGTAGGGATCTCGGATACGTAGATCCAGCAGGCCGGGCCCCAGCCAAATTGGAAGAATGCGGCAAAGATGAAAATGGCGGCTAGCGCAACGTATCCTTGAGGAGTGATTGGGGCATTATCAGCGGGTGGCGAAATCCTGACATACAGACCAATGTAAAACATGCAGATAGACTGTCCTACGGAGGACACAAGCAGCGATCGTCGACGCCCGAGGGAATCGGCCATGAACAGCAGGAAGATAGTGCAAGAGATAACTTTGACTACACCATAGATACCAGTACTGAACAATGAGGTTGTAGTTCCCTTGATGCCGAGCTGTTTGAATATAGTAGGCGCATATGTGTTGATGGCGTTGGTACCGGTCATCTGCTGCCACACCATGAGAAAGATACTGAGAAGTGCACGTTTGCGGTTGGTAGGAACGGTGAACATCTCCTTAAGGAGTGACAAGGTCGTAGCGTCACCCATGAGTTGTCTCTCGTAGTTGAGTTGATCGGCAACTTCTTGCATCTCCTCTTCGAGATAAGCATGGCCATCCGGCAGATTTCGCACTGTCTTGAGCACCCTCCTGGCCTCTTCCCATCTGTCCTTTCGGGCGAGATATCGTGGAGACTCGTTACTAATCAACATCAAAGACATGAGGAGAATCGCCGGAATTCCTTGCACCGCGAGAGGGATAACGTATTGCGACTTGCCAGTCAAGTTGAGTTGTGCACCATAGTTGATCCAAAAGGCAAGCATACCGCCAGTCACAATGAAGAGCTGATACAGACCAGTGAGCAGACCACGGATAGCTCGGGGTGCGTTCTCGGATACGTAGATAGGATTGACGACGCTGGCGACACCAACACCAAAACCTACCACAAATTAATTCTCACATCGTGGGGCGAAAATCTATCATCCGAACTCACCTGAAATAAGTCGACCGACATAGAGGACCTCAACATGACCAGACGCTGCTGATTGCATAATGACTCCCAGCAGGATACAAATAGCGGCCCAGATGAGAGACCACTTCCGACCAATTATATCGGGAAGGGGAAAACCAGCAAGGGCTCCGAAGAAGGAACCTGCTTGAAGAACAGAGACAATGTTGCCTTTGAGATTAGCGATGGCAAGGATATCACCTTTCAAACCATAATCACTGCGCAGATCAACGATATTAGATCGCAACCGTCTCTGGGGGCCATCAGGAACTGGTTACTTACGGCTGGAAGGTGTTTTCCAGTTCGATCACACCACCAATCACACCACTATCCCATCCAAAAGACATGGCACCAAAACAAGCCTGGCCGTCGGCATTAGTATAATTACAGCATAAGGCTGTGTAGTGTACCATCTTGGACTTACTGATCCAGCCAGGAGGTATACTCGCCAGTTGTAGATCTCGTGAGGATCATTAACCATGGCATCGTTCTTGACGATGTGCTTGAGCAAAGACGCCATCTCGTCTTCGGGTTTTGAAGAAGTAAGCCCTCTTCCTTGGTGATCGGGAGATTTAGACTGCTTAGGGTACTCTTCATCAGACACTATACCCTGATTCCTGAGATAAGAGGGACAGAGAAACGCGACAATGCAACGCGAATCAGCCGTTCTTATGATGGTCTTCGATATTGTGCCCTGGGCCCCTAGTCCAGGTGGAGGGCCGCATGCCTGCATGTGGTCCTGCATGGGTTGCAGCAGAGAGACCCAATTAGATGGGGCAGGTTCTGACTTGATTGACTTTGGGAACGAGCTTCACTACTTGGAGGCCGCACATCTTGGCGGGATTCTTGGCGGAATGGAGGGTCGAGAGAGGTGGAATATCGATCAGTGTGCATTTTCCACCAAACAAACCATAGGTCTAACTTGTCTTGGCAAAACGTTGGAACTATTCAGGTGGCCTCGCTTCACCACTCGTCTTTCTTGGACTCGAACACGATTGGACCCAGAGAGCCAAGACTGCCGTCGGCCCATCTTCCCGCGTGGGTCTCTTCTCCATGCTATCACGCTTTTTCAATGAAAACCCCATGGGAGGCTGGCACTAGCTTTGTCTTCGATGAGAATTAGTGCCAAGCCATCGAGCTTAAATATCCATGGGGTCATGCTGGATGATAGCATATGGACCTGTCTCTGAAATACTCCGTCTGGGCATCAATGAGGCGCTTGGCTATTGACGAGAGATACAGTCATCACGATAATGACGATGATGACGATAACGATGATAATCAAGTCTCATTGGCGAGGCAAGGGGTTTTGGAAGGGAATATTCCTTCGAATAATTCTGTAGTAATGAACAAATCACCAGGCTGGGAAAAGTTTAGAACTCTGACTAGACCTTGCGCATCAGTCTCTCACCGTCGCAATCTACACATTAGTTGTCACACCCCGGATATGCATTGTTCTTTCGTTGTACTCTCCCGAATTTTCACCGGATGTATCAGGATTCATGGCCGAATACGCTGGACCGACCGAAATTCGTGCTACAATGGGTACAGCCTGACTTTGGATATTGGGCCAAGATTGAATCAAACCGCTTTCGTTCCTCGTTAGAATCTTGACGCGGAGATAGCCATCTATTTAGGCTCAATGCGGGGGTGGATGTCCAGGATTCGCACACGGGCTGGATGCGCGACCACCAAAATAGCTGGGGTACACGTACTACTGTCTGTACTCTATGGAGATAGGACGAGTGCCGGTCTAGACCGACATTCAATTTTGGAAACGTCCAAACGTAAGCGGGGGAGTCGGGCCCGATAATTGCGAGGGTGAACTGAGCAGGTACAAAAATGAGGTGGTCAAGTACAGGCCCCACTTGCCAAGCGTGGCTTGGCAGGGCCAAAAAAGCGGCGCTAGTGGCACATGTTCAACATATGCTGAGCATATGCTGAGTACAGCACTACGTGCACTGGAAATACAGCGCTGGGGGCACGGGAAATACAGCGCCACGTATATTGGGAATTTAAAGTTAGGTACGCTAGAAATATAGCGTTATGTGTACTAGAAATTTAGTCGAAATATGTCGAACATATGTTCTGCATATGCTGAGTGTAGCACTAAGTGCGCTGGAAATACAGCGCTAAGTATAGTGGGAATACAACGTTAAATGCGCTAGAAATGTAGCGTTAAGTAGTGTATACTCCGTAGCTTGCTCGCTGTGGGCTCGCGCACATGCTTTTGTAGTAGAGCATAGCGCCAATCAATCCTAGCTAGGACCTATAGGAGTCGTACGACCTGAAGCAATCATATCAGGGAATAAAGAAACCACAATATGCTCTCTATATCGGGCTAAATGGCAGAATAAACACCTCAAGGCGACCGCAGCTTGATCTAGGTATGTTTTTTATATACCTCATTCAAACACGATCATATTTGAAACTTCTTGAACACCGTGCACGTGGGTGGGCAGGCGCATCGTACCTTCTTACTCCGTGGACATCAGCGGCTATCATCAAGCACGATACATCTGTTGGAGTCCCAGTTCCATCTCAGTCCACCCTGAAACTAGGTAGGCAAGCTAAATTCACAGCAAGAGGCATTCTTGTATTCTCCAGCCATGATAGATGGTCAAATTCGTACCATGTCCAATGTGGTGCATTCGGTGAATTCTATCTCGAGTAAAATCACGGAGTATTCACCAAAGGCCTAGTCTACGTATATTTAGCTTTCTTCAAGCCCCTAGCAGATATATGCAATACGCCATGAGATTCGCCACCACGAAAGTTACAAGGACACACAATGCTTGTGAATCCAGCTGGAAGCCGAGATCTCTAGCTGAATTATGTGCGATAGTTGGAGTGGACGAAGGCTCGGGATCCGACACAATCGCACCATCGCAATGAAATTTGAAATATACTATAGTTTCCCCGCAGGGGAGGACTTGACATATGCTGTTAGAATCAAACCAATGCCACTGTAGTTCATCTGCACCGGGAAAGCTTTGTGCGGGAATGCACATATCAGGTATGGTTTGGTGTGTTGTCAGAGTGTGGTTTGTGACCTTCTCGACAGCGCATTGCTCGTTACTAGAAGTGCCCGCCCATAGTATAGGTGTGCCGCCGTGTACACATATCGGCACCTCGGCAATGTAGAGGGATGCGACGTTATCTTCCGCCTCGTAGAATTTCTTGAGGCCTGGTTCCATAATTCCTGTTTGTGTTGGGTGGCCGCATTGGGTGTCGTGAAACAGAATGAGAGCCATTTCGGTGAAATGTGTAGGTGTTTTGAAAATTCATGTCGTGAAGTGCTGATCAGGAGTTGTGCGTTGCAAATAATTATCCCATATTTCATGACTACAGGGAACCGATAAATAGATTTTTAAGCCAGGGCGATGGAGGTGAGGGTCTTATCAACTCGTGATGTTCGCATCATCCTCTAACACCTCATCTCAAGCGGCCAGAATCTCTGCGTTTTGGCCCCAATCTATCACATGGACGAATGCTTGTAATCCACACCAGTTGTGTTATAGTCTTGGTAAGACGAAATTAATGTCAAGTACCACAATCAAAGCTAAAAACGGCATGGAACAGCATATTTTGATGTCTAACAAGAAATTACGTTCCAGGTTCATGACGATTCTCTGATTTTTACCTTCACTTGTTGTGCATATCATGGTAATGCTGTTCTTGGTTGAATAAATGAGGCTCTGAAACGGCTTTCGCTTGCAATTAACCCGTGCTAAGCTCAGCCGACCACATAGAACTGAATGTGGCGCATCACAATATTGACCACATCCGCTCAGCCGGCTACTGTACGTCGATAGCCCACTTAGCCAAGAATCAATTAATACAGATCCAAGCTTGAACTACACACCAGTCACCAGGCTGTCCGCATGACTGCCCTCTGGTCAGATCAAAAGGTCCCCATGCTTTTGCACATGTGCCGTAGGCCGACCCGGCGCAGCGGTCATGCTCCTTGGCTGCTATGAATGCTTGGCAGCATGCTATTCGAGCACTCGGTGGTGAATTGTACTCTGGCCAAGCTTGGGCTACCTGATATTGTCTTATTAATTGCCAGGCTCCAGAAATCCACCTATATGATGCAGGGTGCATTGCCAACTCCGGCAACGTACGGGCACAGTTTGCTAAACTCACAATGCATTCTGCAAAAGATTCTCAGGTACGCTACCTACTCTGACCTGAGCATGAAAATCCACTTCCCTTTTTAAGTATAGACGAAACAGCTCGTACACCTTTATATTGTGTGTGGAAGGCATACGTACGTCGACTCCGTCGTTATGGCAGTGATGCAGTCACAACTCACTTCGTCAAGATAAGACGTGACTAGATTAAATTGATGATCAAGGCTGATTCGGTGTTTGAGCTCAGTAGGTTGGGGGTTGGTAGTCTTCGAAGTAGTCACAAGTAGTAAAGCTTTATATTGTTGAATGCAGACGGATTCGGTGAACGGTGTGCATCATGGTACATCTAAACCCAATTTGTGATCGCCTTTAGTCCATGGTCATCACACATTTGTATCATCGAAGTCTATATTACTATCCCTATAAAGGTTCCTGCGCCCTATAAAGGTCTATTTCGTATGCCGAGAAAATCATTTGTTAACACCACAATAGCCTTAAGAATCATCCTAGGAGCGAAAGTGTGAATGATTTATAATGCCAATAATTACTCCGCGCCGCCAACCCAATCCCTACTTACGCTATAGGTATGTGGTTACCTGCTGCCAGATAGTGAGGATAAAGTGCGTCACCGACGCAAGTGCGACAGAGGGGGTTCCCAGATAAGATGAGGATACTTCAATCAGATTGCTGGACCTTGGTACGTGAAACCATTGAAATTGTTCAAGTTGTTGAGGATGGCCGTACCATAATCTCCTCCATCGTCGTAGAAAAAGTTTTGATCCAGACCAAGCCCGTCGAAAAGATCATGAGCGAAGTTGTTGTTATTATATTGCCACCCATCCGGGCCGGCCGGTTGTTGCATGAACTCAATGCTTTGTGATTTTTCGACGCCCTCCATTGGGCTTGCTACTGCTGCTGCCTCTGAGCTTGACTCAACACCATCTTGAATCGGGCCGTCCCCGGGCAAGTATTTCCTAGCCAGCAATCCCTCGGCTCCAACGGCTGATACAATTTCTGCCCATCGTTCTAGCTTCAGCTTAGTAATGCTGATCTTCTTGGCGGCGAGATCCCAAATGTTGTTCTCCCATGCACCACCTTGCACCTCGCTAACTTCGGACCTTGCTTGTTCAAAGCGGCTGACTAGTGCACGTAGGATGCCAACTACGTCGAGCTGTAGTCCCGGCTGTGAACGGATATGGGCCTTGATTTTGGCGATAGCAGACGCAACAGCCGGTTCTGCATCGGGGAACTTTGGCTCCGCGACAGCATTTGCTGACAGTTCGTAGGAAGAAGGGTCCATTAGCCCTTCGGCTGTAGGCTTTGTGTGGAGTGTACTTAGTGTATTCGAAGAAGCGTTGTATGGGTCGGCACCTGCAAGCTTGGCCCACCTTGATAATAACGTAACTGCCACAAGAAGTTGGGCGCACACGGGCATGGGGAGATAGAAGTAGTCGGTGATGTCGATGGATAGCCAGAACTCAAACCAAGACTTTAAAGCTCCATGTGCCCTGTAGAAGACGTCTAGCGCCGAGGGTCCATCGAGAGAGAAGGATGTAAATGTATCAGAAAGGCTGTCGAGTATTTTCACGTCAACAGCCGGTGGTTCCCATAATTTTAGCTTGGCTGTATTATAGTGGTTCATAAGTAGTTCTATGCCAAATTAGTTTGTGCAGTCAGAGGTATTTGAACTGGAGCAATCATTAGACATGCCCTGGCGTAGAACTTACTGTGTCCACGAAGATGCCGCGGAATCTGTTCCTTGAATTTCTCCAACTCCGTCTGGAAAGCATTGAGATATGCGCTAACGGGCGCCCTCGGAATGCCTGGAAGACTGTCATCTACCTTGTCTTTGGATTGAAGTTGTCCAATTCGATCTGATAAATGCTGAATACGCATGAGCTGGGCTAAAAGCGCATCTGTTTCGACCTCTTTCCCTGCCTCAAGCTCACGCAAACATTGATCGATATAAGGCGTATACCTAGCAGAATCCGTTCTTTGGAACGTAAACGACACACTGTGCCGTGATCAGTGACCATGGCATGAGAAAATTCGCTCATCAATTTTTTTTTTTTTACTTACACTGAGCTCATATACCACATACCGCAGAGTGCTCGCCGTTCGTCATTTGTCCTAGGATTTGGTGACTCCGGATTAAGCACGAGCATTCTAGTTCGTTCTTGCACCTCTGGCGGTTTGACGATTCCGAGATCCGCTGCCAAGCTGCAGGCTAGTGCAGTGAGGTTCGACATCTGTGTATGCATCATACATTGATAATGGTAGAAGCCGATGACTACAAGAATAGATTGCAGCAATTCCAAAGACCTTTGTGACCGCATGAGAAGGTGCTCGGTGATGTGTCTCATGATAGCATAGCCCTGCGCCATCATGGACTTCAGATTCCTGACTGAGGATACCATCTTAATGGCTGCGAACAGTATGGGTTTTGTCTTCTCCATCTCCCGAGCGGAAATTCCAGGGCGTAGAACGACGAATGGAAAGGCCGGGCTCAACTTAGTCACGAATATGGAAAGAAGTGTCTCGTCAGACTCCACAGCAATAGGTGCCTCACCAATAGGAGCTCGGCAGATACACGTAGGAGGCGCATAGCAGTTGTATGTTGACGGAACGACACCGATAGAATCACTTGACTCTGAGGTGGGCGTTGAATTTCCACTTATTGTTGAACGCCCTGGGTGGGCGCCAAGCGGACCGATTTCTGATGGAATACATGTTGAATCTTCAGACAAGCTAGCATCCCGTAGGCTGGCTGGTAGTTCTCCTGAGTTTGTTGCTTTGAGAAGATCGACGAGACTGTTGAGTCGCTCTTCGAGCTGGGCCGTTTTGCTACGATAATATGTCAGTTTACCCAGTCGGCACAAGCAGATTAAGAAGAACCAGCGGCCGGCGCTGACAAGGGACCGGGGAAATTATCTAAGAGCCACCACCGGTAATGCTTCAGACGGATATGAACTTTCTTCCGTTGGTAGCGCAGACACCAGATAGTTTGCTAGAGACGGTTTCATGCTACTGCTAAGACGGGCGTTGCATGAAACTCCGAACGTAGAATCGGGTAGAAAACTTCTATCGACGCCAAGGGCACGTGCTTACGATGGTTTTGTTTGTCGCTTCTTTCGCGGCTTATGGACTTGTTCCACGCAGGCTTTCTCAAGTCTCTCGCATCTGTCAGGCACAGTCAGCCACTTCCACCCGGTCTAACTCAATTCAGGCACAGGCGCCTAGGTTGGAGCATTGTGGACGAAGTGCTGCCAACAACGCGGACCGAACAACAGGCTCTAGGGATTCTTGCGCATCAGGCAAAAGCGAGCCAGCAAAGGCTCAGAAGTTCGTTGCAGATGAAGCGTTAGTGGATGATTGAAGTATCTCCTTACCTATCGCACTTAGCGCCTGTGGCCTCAGTTGACCTCATACATTTGGCTTTCGAAGTGGCACATGGAGCACAAGCAGCGCCCCACTTCGCAATGTTCATCGATTTTGGTTTATCCATGATCGTGCAGCTGCATCGCAACCGTCGAAAGACACCAGAATCGATGACCGGCAGCCGGACTTCTGGAGAGGACTCTTGAGAATGTGAAAAAGACCGACGAGATAGCTATCGATGTGGATGAGAAGGATCGGCAAATTTCACTAGTTCCCGAAGTCCGTCTAAGTTTGGCCATTCACATAAGCTAAAAGTGTCCGACTTCAGTATGTGCTTGATAGCTCCATTTGTGGAGTATTGAGAATGGGACACTGCAATCTAACAGTGTCGGAATTGTCAGCAACCGTGCCACACCGCTGCAACCGGAGTTTATCTCGAGTCCTTGAAACCCGATATAAGCGAGACCACCCACCAAGAAAACGGGCAAACAATCACGACAAGTTATAGCTGCTTATTGACTATGAGATATCCCCAGAGAAGAGTCATGGAAACTCTTGGTGCTAATCTAATTAGGCCATGCCATGACCGAAGCGGAGGCGACTCGACCGTGCTGATCGTTATAGCGCGTCTAATTGTCTTTCTTTTCGCGGATACTGTATTTCATGCCTTTGGTCAAGTCTCCGAACCACAGCTGCCAGGTGTCGTACATAGGGCTGATTCGTCCATACCAAGGCGATTCTCCAGTGATTCTTGGTAATCTATCCCTTGCATTCATGAAGTATGTTGAGCTGTGTTGTACAACAGGCTTCGAGCGCGTCTCGTCGCCATCGAAGACTGGAACAGCTGAAGTCGCTCCGACGTTTTTCATATGCTTGTATACCGAAATCAGAAGCTTAATACATGCATCAGCGCCGAGGGTCCATGATGATGTAGTATAACCCATGACAGCCCCCATATTTGGTACACCGCTGATCATACAGCCTCTCCATGCGTACTCGGTCGCAATATCAATGGACTTGCCATCTACTGTTGGCCTGATGCCACTCAAGAGCTCGACATGTAAGCCCGTTGCAGTGACAATGATGTCAGCGTCGAGCTTCACACCCGAGTACGTCAAGATGCCCTCCTTCGAGACGGTCTTGATTTCATCTGTTACAATATCGCAATTATCACGATGCAGTGCTTTGAAGAAATCGCCGTCTGGACAAAGACACAATCGTTGTTCCATAGGCGCATAGCGTGGATTGAAGTGGACATCGACTGATACAGAAGCCGGCAGCTGCTTTCGCATCAGGTACATGTGAAGTTTTCTGGCGGCATTCGGGAATCGTAGATTGAGCTGCACAAAGGCTTGCTCAAGGAGAAATGAGCGCCACCAGTTGAGCAAATGAGCTAGCCAGACAGGCAGCCGTGTCTTGAGGAAAGTGCCAACTGGATTCACGGAGGGAATACTGAAGACGTATGATGGACTTCTTTGAAGCATCGTAACGTGGCTAGCCTGCTCGGCAAGGACAGGAAGCAGAGTGACAGCGGTCGCTCCCGATCCAATGAGAACAACTCTCTTCCCGGAGTAGTCCAACTCTTCTGGCCAGAACTGAGGATGAGCGACAACGCCGCCAAAGTTTTCGAGACCAGCTATGGTTGTCTGGAGGGGCTTCTCGTAGTCGTAATACCCTGTGCAATTCAAAATGAATGTTGCCTTATATGTCTTCTCCTGGCTCTCCACATCTCGTTCGTTGATCTTCAGAACCCAAAGTTGCTCCTCGGTTGACCAATCCGCTGCTGTGGCCTTGTGCTGAAACTGAATCTTCTGATCGATGCCCTCATCTTCAGCCGCAGACTCGACGTAGTCCAAGATCAGTCCTGCATCTGCGATGTCCTTCTTATTTAACCACGGGTACCACGGGAAGCCAAAGCAGGTGAGCTGAGAATCGGAACGCAGACCAGGGAATTTGAAGAAGGACCAGGTACCACCGATTTTGTCGCGGGCCTCGAGGATAGTAAAAGAGCAGTGTGGCAATTCCGTCTTCAAGCGATATGCTGCATCAATACCGGAAAGGCCAGCCCCAATTATTATGAAGTCGTAAATTTCAGCCGCCATTTGAAATTGTGGCTCAAGATTGTGTCTTAATTCTGCGAGAAACGGTTGGTTGAAGCAATTCTACGTCGGCACCTTTCCCCCTGGGCTGCTGGTTTTGATGGGCACATACAAAAAACTAGAGTTGCTAATCGCGTGTCTGCGGATGCTAGTCTAGTGATAAAACCCATCGACAACTTGGACCGAGCGCTAACAATTGTGTTGATCATCAAATGCATTGTTAAGCAACCGCGAAACCGATTGCCATCTCACAATTGAAAACACTCATGTCCGCAGGCAGGCGCAATCGTCGATCGGAGTTATGGTGATATCAACCCGGATATGTAGGTATTCAGCAAGCATCAAGTGCTTTGACGAAGAAAGCGCTAAACTATAGCACTCGGTGCGCCGCGCATGGCCTACAGTACCCGAAACCCCATATCACCCTCGACGCATCGCAAAGTTCCAATATTGATGAAGCTGTCAGCTGATACAATCCCAAATCGGCACCCGCTGCTCAAGCAGTCATGGGTTTAGCAAGCCTTGCGCCTTGAAAGCCCGATCGAGTATTTTTCTAATCAGAGGCTCTTTTCGATTGTTGTACTGATTGACCGTTTCGTGCAGCCCCTCTGCCGCCGCTGCCGCTTCTCTCTTCACCTGTTCATATGCCAATCGGTCATCCTCGTTCTCGCGCAGCCATTTGCTGAAAGTTCGGTGCCGCACAACTTCAGGACTATCGGGACCGAAGACGTGCAGGTTGACGTACGGTTCGTCAAGGCCGAAGAAGCGATGTTCGTGCAGGCCTGGCTCACGAAACAGAAACTGAAAGCCGATAGTCTCGAGGTCTTCAACGTATGATTTCTCGTCGGTAGGGTCGGCTACGATCAAATCTATGTCGATGCAGTCTTTGGCCGGCAGGTTAGGCACGCTCGTAGACCCGACATGTTCTATGGCAAGAGCTCGACTGCCAAGGGTCGTATGTATCTGCTGCGCAACCAAGACGAATTTTGATGCCCATTTCGGATTTGCTTCGACTAATTCGGTTGGCTTTCGGTCTCGGACTGATACAACTTGGACGTCGCTAGGGTCAAAGTTGGCATGTTTGACCACTTCTGCATTCGAAGGCATTTTGACCAAGCAACATCGCTTTGAAAACAAGACAAGAAAATGATCGAGAGGAGCATTTTATTCTCATACTAATGGTATGCTTATTCAATGGGAAGAAAAAAACGAACTTCTTCCCACCTCTCACCGCGTTCCGCGACGGGCACCGTTTATTGCGAGGCCTCCCAACTACTGCGTCACACCATGCAGTCTGTCCAACGGTGCTGTCCAACCGCGAGTGGTCAGGTCGTGCTCCAAGCACCTTTGAGCCAATAGTCGATTGTCGCACAACAGCAAGACCCTTTTTTTCTCCGCAATCATTCATTCAATATCTTCGGAATCAGATTGTTGTTGGCGCGATATTGAGGATATCTGCGGGCTGACAGCCATCGACATTCACTTCAGTCGTCTAAGCTTAAGCCCTGGAGCTTTGTGTCAGATGCGGGGCAGCCATTCAGTCCCCAAAGAAGTAGTAGTGCCCCCTAGTTTGCCTGGGCAATATATTCAGAACTATACGGATAATCGATGTAGCCCTCGGCCTTCTTTGGCGTATAAAAAACAGCGCGGTCATACTTTGCCAATCTTATCCTTTCTCTAATTCTGAAAACAAGGTCTGGGTTTGATATGAAGTATCGTCCAAAAGCGACAGCGACGTCATAGTCCTTATATGTCTCATCCGCAGCTTTTAAAGCACTTTCGGGCTTGAAACCGCCGGCCAACAGCACAGGACTCGTGTTTTCCCATGTCTTGATTAACGAACTGCAATTGTTATTGCCTCCACACTCGCTGTCATCATTGCCTGTTATCCGAGCTTCGACCAAATGCAGGTATGCCAGATGAAAAGGTTTCAATTGCTGTACGACGTATTCGAAGGTTGGCAGTGGGTTTTCCATTAGCATGCCCTGAAAGTCGCTAAATGGACTCAATCGTATTGCGGTCTTCTCAGCCCCAACAGCATTGACCACAGCTTTCGTTACCTCTATGGCGTATCTGGCCCTCCTCTTCATTGTCCCGCCCCAACTATCCTCTCGTTTGTTGCACGTATCTTGGAGCTGCCACAAGGGAAGTGTCAGCTGTTACATTGTCCCATGATACTTGCGAAAATCAAGTAGTTGCACGCATAATTATATCGGATATCGGCCACAAAGGCAAAAGCACAATAACTTGACCACTCACGAATTGGTCGACGAGGTAGCCATTCGCACCGTGAATCTCAACTCCATCAAAACCTGCCGTAATGGCATTCTTGGCTGCTGTTGCATAGTCATTGATTGACTGCCAGATATCTTCTTCCGTCATTTCTTCGGGGACTGCCCTGGCCTCGTCGATTGGGACTGCACTTGACGACAACAACGTATGACCTAGGGATTTATGAACATCCGGCCATCCTGCGCGACCTTGATGCCAAAGCTGACAGTATATGTAGCAGCATTTTGAATGCACTGCATCGATGATGGGTTTCCATCCTGCAATTTGTCCTTCGGTCCAGATACCAGGGACATTTCGACGTCCAACAGCGCGCTCAGAAATCACTGTTGCTTCGGTTATGAGAAGTGTGCCAGGCACGGCCGCTCTTTGAGCATAGTATTCTTAAGAAGTCTGTTATTACCAGCCTACGGTGGTAGACACGTTACGCTGCGTACCTGTAGCAATTGGCAGTGGTACCCAGTCGTCATCGCAACGGTACCGAGTCAGAGGCGCTAATACGCAGCGATTATTTAGCTGGGCAGTGCCAATCTTCAGAGGCTCAAAAAGCTTTGACATCGTGGCATTCACGATCAAAACCAAAATGTTGATCTTTGATAGCAGCCCATATGTTTGAGTTTATTTCAAACCTCCTCCTCTGTTGCGCGCTTTTGAACAAGCCATGAAGGCTACCGTCGTATAGTCCAATGGCGTGCTTCTAGTTGACGGGCCCACTCACACGCCTCTTGACACCTAGGCTAGGTTAGTCTGCTGGTCTAGCGATAAGCTCTTCAAAGATCCCCAGGTACTCATGATGCAACTTTCGGAAGCGTCCGTCAATGGTTGCATAGTGCCACCAGTTGGGTAGATGCCTGAGGTGCACAGTCCACCCTTGATAGACAGCCTTCAGGGATCCCTCAGAACAGCTGAGGAACCACGCCACTGAACAACACTCTACTGAGGATCAATATACACACATTTAATCAGGTATCATGACCCTACAGAGTAATGACGCCCATCATCCGTCATACGATTCGTGATCTCATCCTTATTAGTACGAACCGATTGCCCGTTTTGGAAGAAACATTTCTGACAACGCTATTGAGATATTCAATCAGTAAAGCCGTTCTGACTATGCAGGCATTCACTCAAGGCTGTCTCTCTGATATATGTACAAAGCCGGAGATTCCGTGGGCTACCTCATGTATATGACGAGGCGACACCAGTCATTAGTGCAACACGAGGCGGGTCAGTCAATCTGTAAGACTGTTTGGTAGTGTTAGGTGCCTTCCTGATACCAAATCGGTTGCTCAGTGTCAATCCGTGAGATATCGGCATTGGCCAACGGAGATACGAGAGCAGCAAGACTTCTAGTTCTTATATTTCTGTCAGTATTTTTAGTGTATCAGGAGTAGCATTTTATTATTCTTCTATTGAGGGCACCACGAGAACCGAGATTTTCTCTCTTTGTCCAGTGATAAGTCGACAGACGACACCAACACTTGCACTCACCCGGAGATCTGAAAGGCTTAGTATCTGCAACATCTCAGAGTGTGCCCCCCGATCTCATGAAAAGAACGGAGACGTGATATCTCTCAGTACCTAGGGTCATACTAAAGCTATTCACGGGACTGTCACTTCTAATCAGCCCGCGACCATGAATCTCCAGCGTCATTGCGTCACACGGCTTTTGCATCGTCTTGGAGCCAACTCCAAAAAGCCATTACGCATGACCATCGTGCTTCATCTCAAACCCAGTGACGCTGGCATATTGTAGAAACTAAGTTTAGAAGTTTAACTGATAGACTAGCAATGTAAACGTTACGTATAGTTATCAATAATAGGTCTATTTCTGGTGTGTGATGGAATTGTGAGGAACAGAGCTATCCTCTCTTCCACTAAAGGCTACCTGGTGATTGCTCTACGTGAATGGATACCTGAGGCACTCATTGACTTGCCCTTTGTTGCTCTATAGGTAATGATATACAACTCGGCTGACGCCATGCGACCAGAATGGTTCAATGTAGCGTCGCTACTTGGTTTCGATTTCCATGGTAAGGGTTGCCAGCATTGTGTTTATACTGCTCTAGGCGTGGATTTGCGTCTCGTCTAGTCGTTCAAGACGCCTCAGTTCGGCATTTTTCACAGGCGACAAGTCGTCGACAATTAGCACAACGCCCATAACCAGCGCATTATCGGCAGGCTTTGGCCATTTGGGGGGAAAATCTCTGCCACAAGACTCAGTAAACGGCAATACTGGTTTCTCTAAGTGAACGCCATTTCACCATTTGGGGAGATTGATAGACACGTCACGTATGGCGATCAATAGTAGTCTATTGATATGGAGTTTTATGTAACGATCAGCAACAGGGCTATCCTCTGTTCTACTGAAGGCTACTTTATGACAGTTTCTATAGTTGATATAGAATACTGTTTTAGCGAAGGATAGGTCTGATGCATTGAAAGGAAGAGCCTGAATCACCTCGAGCATAGAATTACAAGTGTAACGCTCTAAGCGTGAAATGATAGAATAGGTACTATCAAGTATTATATACAAATCTAAGTCCACAAAGAGAATATAGATGTACAGAAAGTGGGCATATGCCCACTGGTTAAGTCACGTGATCACCACTTCCCAAGTGAGGTGATCCGAGGGCTCGTCGCCTTGGTGTACGGAGTGCTCCCCGTACACTGTGGCCATCTAATAGTCATCCATACTGCCACATACTTAAAGTGGTTACCCTAGGTGTGTACCTGATCTAACAGGTGGAGACCTGAGCCATCTATTAGGGATAGATGCATTGCATCGGAGGGCACCGAGAGCCTACCAGCGGGACTCGTTGTCTGCTCGGCGCAAGTCCGCATGGTAGCGTTTTCGCTTGCTAATATCATCGCCCCTAAATTCATTAACGGCAGCGTTCGGTAGTCCGGACCTTCCACAAACACACGTATATCAGCAGCTGTCGGTGTACAGCATGACTGCGAGATTGTCCAGCTACTTATCTGGAACCGTTTCCCCGCACATTTCCCTGCATGTTTACTTGCATAACACTCGGGCGCTCTGGTACTCAATTCAATCGTCGCTGGGATGCCCTTTAGTGGTGCTCGTCTATTACGACATACGATAGGCTGCCCGTGCCGGTGAGCCTCCGATAGTAGAGCGGAAGCACAGATAGGGGCGAGCTGAGCTGATCAAAAAAAATTTGGGGGAGGAGGGGTTGTTTACAGGACTCGACCGACGATAGGTAAATGCTTGGGTGAAAACATAATATATCATCGTTCTCGATTAAACTCTTGTCTGAGTAGTGCATGAACCATACTTGCAATCAATTCGCCGTCTATTCAAATTAATAGCTTAACACCATGCCAGAAATGTATCATGCACACCCTCTTTACGGTTATGACCGTGATTTCAAAGGATACGGTGAGAAAGGGCTGGATCCGAAATGGCCCAACAACGCCAAGATCGCAGTGTCGTTTGTAATCAACTACGAAGAGGTATTGATGATTCATCAGAGCAAGTGCGATCAATCGCACCATGCTGACACACATTGCAGGGTGGTGAGCGCAGCGTCATGCGCGGCGATGGAATTTCAGAGGCCAATTTGCGTGAAAACCCAGGAGGCCCCCCACGGGTAAATGAGCGCAACTACAATGTTGAGTCTGAGTATGAGTACGGCAGTCGCGTTGGATTCTGGAGACTGTTCAGAATGTTTAATAAGCTGAAAATGAAATTCACGCTGTACGCTGTTGCTCAGGCGGTAGAAGAGCAACCGGAGGTTGTGATGCGATGTGTGGAGGAAGGTCACGACGTTGCTTCCCAGTAGGTGGTATTACTGCCTCTTCAATGACGCCTATCTATGCTAATTGTCTACAGTGCGTACCGATGGATTGAGTACCACGATATGTCGGTTGAGAACGAGAAAGAGTACATCAAAAAGGCTATTACATCACTAAAAAGGCTGAGTGGGTACGCCCCAAGAGGATGGTATTACGGAAGGAGTAGTCCTCATTCACGAACCCTTGTTCCTCAAGTCTACGAGGTAAGTAGCGACGGCCGTTGTTTTTTGGGCACCCATACTTACTCAGCATTGAAGGAAATGGGTGAAACGCTTGAGTGGATGAGCGACACATATGCGGATGACGTTCCTTACTGGGTCGACTTAAACCACGAGAAGGACTCTTCCAGCCCGAAGGGGTGCCTCATGGTGCCTTACTCCTACGACTGCAATGATTTCAAGTTTCACACCGCTGGTTCCGGCTTTCGTGACCCCCAGGGTTTCTTCACTCACCTGAAGAACGCCTTTGACGTGCTCTATGAGGAAGGACAGGAAGGCATGCCCAAGATGATGACGATCGGACTGCACTGCAGAATTGTAGGGCGTCCTGGCCGCTTCGCCGCTTTAAAGCAGTTTGCAGAGTACATCAGTCAGAAGGAGGGCGTCTGGGTTGCAACTAGGTCTGAGATTGCTGAGGCTTTCAAAAAGAACTACACCTATAGAAAAGGGTTTCTGGCATAGTGGAGTCTCAACAACCTACTCTATAAAGCCTACGATGAACCTACGATGGATTAGGGTAAACTTGTGGTATTAGTGACACCGTTGCCAATAAATTGGATTGTGGTGCAATACACACTATCAAAATACCCTTGTTAGAACAAGGATCCGCGCAAAACTTGTTATCATCAAAGCTATATAACCAAACTCCTTGTGAACACCAAGCTCTTATCCATTATCCGCGTATTACGTCTTAGGAATAACATTCTGTTCTCTTTATTAATACCCTTTTATTTTGAGAAATATGCTCGCAACTCAGCACAAAGATAACAGCGCGTAGCTACTATAATTAACAGTTTCGAGAAACCAAGAATGGAAGAAGGCGAAGAGAAGAATGAAACCATTCACTAGCACAAGTAGTAAATTGAAAGGTTTGAAGTAAAGCTAAAGTAACAAATTACATTAAAATGCATTCAAAAAAGACAATAAAGTGATTGTATAAATAACAAAGGTAGTAGATTTATACTAACATTAGTTCTTAAATCACTGTCACTTGTGTTATAAAAACCCATGTCATTTATGGAGTATAAAAATTTTCTTACTTGAATCACTATTATCACGAACGCCTTACTAACACCTTACTAACCGAAAATCTGTGATTTGGCCATATCTCGACTAGTTTACATCGACATCAACCATTTGGCAACGGAAATTCTCTGCTCTTCACCAATTTCAGCAAATTCTATTGGAGATGTGCGAACAGTACTACCGGAGGTCATGGTGCGACTTTGGAGCACACTATTTTGGGGATATTGCCAAGGCGCAGAAGCATAAATGCAAAATAGCAAGAGATAATAATCTGGACTTCGGTCAATGTGGCGCTGTACACCACGCAGAAGTACCTTATCAGAGACCGGTAACAGATATGTGTTTCGAATGTCGGCACGAACAACTTGATGGAAGGTGAACAAAGGCGTGGCCAGTGGCAATTGATGGCAGAGCGTATTCAGAGATTGTTCTTGGTGGTCCATGCCTACCACAACTCAGCCTTGGGCGACAAATGTTCAACAAAGATACAAGATTGTAAGGAAGACCTATTTTCACAGGGCCGACAGATGACGAATTGCATACAGTTCTGAGTCGCATCTGGTCTGTCGAACAAAAGGGACTGCATGACTGCGGTCTCAAATAAGTAGAGCAGGTGCCCGGAGGTAGGGGTCCATACTAGTCTAGAAAAAAAACGGAGTTTTACGGGCTGAAGTATGCAGTTCAGTAGCGGCCTAGAGAACCACAGAAAATACACGATAATAGCTAATAGAGTGCACATCCTGAAAGATGGTTCTACAATATGAGGAATACGTATGTAGACAGCCTTACGTAGTTCCTGACAAGATTCTATTAATCTACCTAGTTCAACGAAGTTTACGGTAAATCAACCTCCCAAATGATATTTTGATTTGCTGACGTTATCCGGCGGAACCCGTTGTACTTGAAGATTTGATACTCGCCATTTGGAATTGATCAATGGGTCTTATCCTGATATAACCGGTCAAAAGGTGGCAATCGTACAGCTACTAAACGACTGTCAGCCATCTTGAGTTCGCAACTCCAGCCCTCGCAATCCTATCTGTCGCGGAATTTGACTTTGAGTTTGTTAATCAACGCATAGCGACGGATATAGTCAAAGCGGATTAGACCGAACCGCGGAATGCCAGAGTGTATGCAATGATATATTCGTTGTTTAGTGAACCTTGGCACAAGTTTTCCTCATTGCCACTTAGAATAGCTTGTGCAATTGAAGATGGCACACGTTCCACCAATGACCAAATGGTTACCTAAAGAAGAGCTTTTACGTTGCTCAAGCCCACAAAACTTCGAATCGCACATCAGACTTATTTACACAAGAAGTTGACCTGATGGCTCTAGATACAAGCACGCAGCATCCACCATATAACTCTCTCGGAATTTATATGCAGCGGAGATTCTCCGTGCAATGGTGTCAGTATGTTAAATAATCAATTCTGCTGGCTTATGGCCTCTGGAGATTACTGGGCCCACTACCCTGATATCCCTGTTGCGAATATCGCTTTCGCCAAGGCCCGCTCTGAAGTCATTTGAAATCTTCCGTCGCGTATTGCCCCAACAATTCGTTGCACTACATTCGTCAGGCTGAAAGGGCCCACAACTTAGTAAAAGAGTGACTGTGTTCAAGTATGGCTTGAAGTTTAGTGCTAACACTTGGAGACAGGCAATGCCGCATGTTGCTGTGTCGGGCGATGCACTCAAAATTATCAGAACGAGTGTGATCATCGCGATGTAGAATAGCGCAAATGGCGCCATCTGATCTCTGCACCAGCACGTGCCAGATATAAACTCGATGTACTACCAAAAAATCCCTCGTACGATGTAATGGAGTGAAGGATGCTGGCTGGCCGAGATGGGGACTAATGTGTGCATCGGGGATATCATCGGATCAGATAAGATGCATCAGATTAGATAAAAGTCGCAGCAGATTCGAGGGGCTGCATACCACCAACCGAAATTTGCGCTTGGCAGAACATAAAGTGGGCTGGCCCCCTGCTGGCTCTCGGCACTTGGGTTAACATTGGACGATGGCCGCTGATCAGCGGAGCTGAATTTGCTCAGGTTGTTACGTACACGTACGTGTGCCCATGATGGAGGGGCTAGAGGATGTAAGTCACTCCCAGTATCGCATGCAAGACGTTTCTTGGGCGGAAAATTTTTGGTGAAGGTTGGCCGGACGTTCTTTCACTTTCAGAGTTGACATTCTTGCGACATAGTAGAGCTGGTCCAGTGAAATTGGCAGCCTTTCGGCTTACCTACGGCCTCGAAATGTCTTCAAATCGTACTGCCAATGGCTTTTATGAGAAATTCCTTGCGCTTGAGGTCCCGGTCTATTGGAAGCTTTCACTTCTGGCAGCATTTCCACTCGTCGTATTCTATTTTACAAAGAGGTCGAAGTCCAAGACTATTGACATCAAGCAGTTCGCACACTTCCCTCAACCAGAACCAGCAGATTCAGCAAGAGGACATTGGCCATGGATTGAAAAGTCTGCTGGGTTGGGAGATCCTCGACGATCCTTTGGTATGCTAATATCTGTCCTTCACGTTGAGCCTACAGTGTCCTCTTTGGCCAATTGAGTCAGCGACTAACACCACGTTGGCACTCAGATGAGATCTTATACGAACAAGCGCAAAAGCTTGGCTACCCGCCAGTGCTGTTGGTTGATTGGCGTCCGATAGAATCATTTTTGATTCTATTCATCCTAAATAATGAGGTTGCCGAGCAAGTCACCAGGCCATCGAAACAGTATAGTACCAGTGTACCGAAGCACCCAGCTATGCAGGATCTTGCTCCTCTGGTTGGATCTCGATCACTTGTCACTTTGGATGTAAGGCGCTTCTTTCACAGAACCTGCGATCTCATGTGAACCGTGAAATTGACCTTCCATTGTACAATAGGGCGACGAATGGAAAGGTTTGCGCAAGAGAATCCTGCCTGGCTTCCAGCCTCAACACCTCTTGAGCCTCGTCAAAGTTATTCTCGACAAGACGCAGATTTTCGTGGAACATCTTGAGAAAAAGGCTGCTTCAGGAGATGAGTCCGGCATCGATGAGTTGACCACAAATTTGGCCTTCGACGTAATTGGTAGGTCTCAATATTGCAAAACGGATAAAAAGGAGTCATCTGACATGCCTACCCACAGGAATTGTAACGTTTGATGTGGACCTCAATGCTCAAGTACCTGGCCAGCAGAGCGATATATTACTGACGTACCGGGCGTTGTCGCAAGCTTACGTCGCTAGGGATATGATGAAGCCCTGGTGGCGCCGATACTTCACAGAGAACGAACGCACAGTCCGAAGTCTTGACAGGAAGCTGGACACTCTTCTCAAGAAGGCCATCCAAAAGGAGCATGAGAAGCTCATTTCAGGCAGTACCACTGCTTCACGAAGTGTCGCAGCGCTCAGTTTGTCAGGTATGGATGCACTGACACCCGAACTTTTGCAACAGACTAGCGATACTTGTCGAGGCTTTCTCTTTGCTGGCCATGACACGACTAGCATCTTGCTCCAGTGGTCGTTCTATGAGTTGCACCGACGCCCAAGCGCGCTGGAGACTTTGGGAGAAGAACTCGATGAAGTCTTTGGCGTTGATCCATCTCCTGCTGCTGTCATGGCACAGCTTTCCGGCCCCGAAAATGGGAAGCTCCTAGCCCGCCTACCGTGTAAGTGAAAATATCGGCTTGGTGATTAGATATTTTATCGAATGGTTAGGAACTGATGTAGACTATCAAAGATACCGATGCGATTATCAAAGAGACTTTGCGAGTACATCCACCTGGCACTACTGCTCGTGTCTCACCAGAAGGTGCTGGAACGACTTTGACCCTGCCCGATGGCCAACAGTTGTTGGTTGACGGCCTGTGTTTGAGTCCACGAGCATATATCATCCAACGAGATCCCAAAATCTTTGGTGAAACCAAAGACGATTGGATGCCAGAACGATGGCTAGGACCAGAGGCCGCTAACATTCCCGAAAGTGCCTGGAGACCGTACGAAAGAGGCCCCAGAAGGTGCACAGGGTCGGAACTCGCAAACATGGAGGCAAAGATTGTGTTAGCCTGTATTGCGAGACATTTCGACTTTATCAAAGTTGAGCTTGGTGAGCTTGACCTTGATGGAGAAGGAAAGCCTGAAATTGACGAAAAGGGCTTTTATAGGACCAAGTCTACGCTGTTTAGTGTAAGTGCCTTTGGGCGTGGGTCGCATTGGCGTGGAACAATTGACTGACTGCATTTAGACTGATCAAGTCACCGCTAAACCGGTCGATGGAATGAAGATGAGGGTGAAGATCCGCGAGCGGAAGTAGGCGTTACCTCAAGGATGAAGGAGTTGGATATATGGTGCTACCATGTCCCCCCACGCCACCTGGCGGCGTCCCTTGGGGTTTTGCGTCCGACGTGTTCAATTGTAAGTCCATCTCGTGGAAGATTCATCGCAGAGAAGGCGTTGTTGGGACAAGAGTATCCTTTTATTGGGGCCATTGGTTTATGTTGTGACCAGATTCAGTACTCATTTGTTTTCTGAAAATTCAAGCATCATGTGTATTCATGGGTCCTTCTTCGCGACAAGTGGGCTTTCTAGGATATCTTGAGGGGCAGCCCATAAGTTGGGTGGAAGATGCCGGCCGTGGAACTTAAATGGCCTACTATAGACTGTACCAGTGTAGAGGAGACCAGTTGTAATGTCTTCTATCCTCGGCTGATGAGCTGGATTACACTACTGAAAAGAAAGTCTAAAATTAAAGCCTTTCCGATCCACAATATGTCATTTGCATGATCAGACCCCTTCTTAATGAACAAGGTGTTGATCAAATGATGGCTTCTTGAATGAATTTAAACAGTGTCGTTGAAGTTGAATCTGAGGAAACGCGAGTAACCTGACGATATGCCGTATGTATATCCATTAGAGCACATGCTTATGGATGAGCCATTGAAATTTGCGTTTTTGACTGTTTAGCATGTGAGGATGACAATAGACGCTTGTCCTACACCATCCCTTCATGCAGCATTCACATATAAATTGGAAGTATCCACCTCTCTCAACCACAGCTTCCAGGGCCGCTGCGCCGACCACTTCGCCATATCTTTTGCAGCCTCTGCTTCCTCTGGGCTCAGATACTTGATGGGTTGAAGCGGGCCATCTCGGCTTCCATACGCAGCCTGCGTCGTCAACGCGGCAGTCTGTATTGCTGCGTTGCGTGCAGTATAAATCCCCCTCAGCACACACTCCTCAATGTTCTCCGCCACGGCGGTAAAGCCATGTCCCCGCATCAAGACAACTGCCTGTCCAAAGTCGAAGTTCCTGGCCAATGCAGCTCCCAGATGTTCATTTCGAACAAGCATGTCCTTTTTGTCCGTAGCTTGGTACGATGATGCAATGTCAAAAACGTTTACCCAATTTCCTAGGAAACCGGCCATATGATAACAAGGACGCCTGATGCAAGGGTTAGTACCGATCGCGCCTATTCATGACGTGGCCCAAGGTCGCTCACAGTGGCACACCACTGATGGTGTAAGGTATCACAGAATCAGCATGCGAATGCAGAACAGCCTGTGTAGATGGGTACTGCTTGTATATCTCACTATGGATGTGTCGCTCAGCAAAGCCGTTGGCGGAGTTTGCAACCACAGGCTCGGCGTTTGACACAAAGTACTCGATCAAGTCTGCTGGCGACGAAATAGTGCCCGGCGCGGCCTCTCGGGACATGATGAACACGTTTGGCTTGAAGGGGTGCCGGCACGAGAGGTGGCCGTATGCATCGAAGACGTTGTGATAGTGCAGGATGTGGGAGCCTGAGATGAGCTTCCGATGAGTGCTCTTGAGGACAGCCTCTTGGACGCCCTCCATTTCATTGGCTGTGGGTGTTTTCTGGGCCATTGTGGTGCTATATTCAAGGTTCAGACGTGCAGCAACGGATATGTCCTTTTGAGCAGAGAAACAAAACCATTTGGGCTGGTTGGAGCCTGCTTCGATGAAGGATATTGCCTCGCCTGGATGTCGAGCTCAGCTAGCGGCAGGGATGTTTGTGGTGAGGGGCTTAACGCCGGTTTGGCGGGCGAGCAAGCCAGCTGAATCAAGTCGTAGCAAGCAAAAGCTGGCCAGCAGTTCGGTGTGCATCGTCATCTCAAAACACTACAATTAACAAGTAATGGCTGTTATTATTGGGAATGTGTGTAATGGTTTTAAAACCCTCTTACCTTGCGTTTGTGCTGTGTTTGTAAGTCATATGCGCCTTTTATCTGAACGTTATGGTCAGCAGCTAGGGTCAAACATCGCTGAATTGTTTGGGAGACATGCCCAGACGTGATTCCTGACACTCAGGTTTTACTATACTATAGACGAAAACACTGGAATGTTAGCCAATGCCGAAGGCTCGTTCGTATCAAGACGTGAATTGGTGTTCACGAGGCAAATCTTGACAAAAACATGGAATTCACACTTCTCATGCGGCAACAGTCATTCTACCACAACAAAGGTGGATACCATCTGGATTGCTGGCCAGGCATCACACAGTTCATATCAACAAAACAAAACGAAACACGTCTGCTCACGTTCAGACCTTTACATATTTTTCAAACCGACATTTACATTCAGCATGCCGGCGCCGAATGCTGCTTAGTCAACGTGATCCACGAACCCCTGCTGAGAGCGTTTGAGCAATTATTCCTGAGCACATATTTCCAGCGCCACGGCACGCCTGTCCTGTTCAAGGTTCCCTGCATCGGAGGCTCTGTTCTGCTTGAGAAGTTCTGATTGGTGCTGGAGTAAGCTTGATTCTGCGTTAAAGCAAGAGCCAAGAACAGCGGACTATATGGGGGCGCCATTACATTGTTCTAGCCGGTTAGCGCTTGTCTTGAAGCTTGTAACGACTGAGTTGTCGGGTGGTCCAACTTCCTGTGCTTCTACCTTAAGGCCTGGCTAGGAAAACTTGCTCATGTAATAATGACCGTCCAATGTGAGGCTGCTCTTTTCGGGTAGTTCAATCGTTCGTGCATGCAGTAGCCACTGCCTTGGCACCGAGGGGCTGGATCTGGACCCTGGGGATCAGCATGCGGAGCCGGGCAAGATATTTTGTTGTTTCTGTTCTGTATAATAGGGAGGCTATGGCAGCTGCAATAAGCTTTCTCAACAGAACAAGCTTTGAGATCTCCCTGAATGTTCTTGTTCCCAACTCAATTGCGAGCCGAGTCTCTTGTGTGTTCATTTCCGCATCTAACCACATCTTACAAGTTGGGAACAACAACCAGACATGCACGCCTCACTCGTGCTCCTCCTCGCCGCCGCCCATCTGGCAACCGCCCACTTCGGCATCGAGTTCCCAGAATGGCGCGCCGACACTTTGACTGATGAAGACGGACCCTACTCGCAATACGACTACCCATGTAAGTCCCTGCCTCGTTTTCTGGAATCAGCATCACCTTCCAAGCAGCAACAGCATTAACAAAAAGCTGACCACATGCCCACACACAGGCGGCAACGTGCCTGCAGGAGTTGGAAACCGGACAGACTGGCCGCTCAACGGCGGCGGTGTCGTGTCGCTGGACCTGCACCATGCGTGGACGTACGTGTTCATCAACGTGGGGCTGGGCGACAACGTGACAAACTTCAACATATCGCTGACGCCGGATTTCTATAACGTGACGGGCAACGGTACCTTCTGCCTGCCGGACCTGACGTTGCCCGAGGGCATTGTGGAGGGTACCAATGCGAGTATCCAGGTCGTGACGTCGGGAAAGTCGGGTTCTGCGTTGTATAATGTGAGCTTTCTTCCCACCTTCCTGGTCTTCCAGCCTGCTGTTTACCGACCGCCGTGTATTGCTTCTGAACTTGTAGGTGGGAGAGTAAATGTGCTGACATATGTGCTCGATGATAGTGTGCCGACATTAGACTAGTTGCCAATGCCGTCGGTCCTGCAGATGGTGTGTGTGTCAACACGACAAAGTCAGCTGTCGTTGTTAGCCAGTTTTCCACCACATCTTCCAACACCACGAACACGACCTCTAGCTCTGGATCCAGCACAAGCAGTGGTACCAGCGCGGCGGCAGGTATCTCGGCTAATCTTGCCGCCGTGACGGGTTTCACTGGTATGGCAGTGCTGCTCGCTGTATGTATGGGCGTGTGAGGGAGTCATAACCACGCAGTTCGGAGATGATGCGATGAACACCACAAAACTTTGATGCAAATTGAGGGGGTATCATTCACGCGTGTACCTGGCGACATAAGAGTCGGTCATTAATAAAGAACAAAGTCCAATACATAAAATTTGCACATCTGATGCCCGAACCTCTGCAGCATGTGTCGTCAAAGCTGAGCCAATTATCCCATCCATCCCCCTACCCCCAAACCAACCCTCTCAGCTAGTTCCCAGCAAATATCTGAGGTATGAAAATGACAGAAAACCGCATGATGCCATTGTCACCGACCCTCTCCGTAGTGTGAATCTCTCTATTCTCCGTCATAATAGTGCCAGCTTCTCATCAACCCAAAACTGACAAGATGCATTATCCTCATCCTTCTCAATTCGTCACTCGCAGCTCACTAATTACCTTGGCCATATTGATACGCTGGTTTGGACTGAATGTCAACATCTGTGAAACCAAAAAATGGAGTTTGTCCTTCGGATTAAGCTTCGCCTTTGCCTCATTAACCTCGTTCAGCCATTGCTGCATCTGCGACACTGCAGAGGGTCCCTTACTGGCCGTGTGATGGTGGTGCGTTCTCCTGTTGATGTCCGCAATCATCCAGTACAACTGTTTTGGATGTCCCTGACGGCCGCGAGCATCGGGAAACGTGAGCTTGTTGAGCAAATAGAGCATCGTCACACCTAATGCCCATACGTCGGACGGGCTACCGCGGAGCCTCTGCCCAATGAACTCGGGTGGCACGTAATACGGCGTGCCACCGTTTGTCGCCGGATCGACGTTACGGGTGGATAGACCAAAGTCGCATAGTACAGCACCACGGTCACGAGAATACAGGATATTGGCTGGTTTGATGTCGTTGTGTACCCGTTTGCGCTGATGCACGTAATTCAGAGCGCCGGAAATATCCTTCAAGATTCTGATGGCGTCGTTCCTGTCACCGAGAAACTGATCGCTTGCCGAATGTCGCCAGACTCCACGTGCAGCCAAGTCCTTCCCGTCGATGTGCTCCATGTATAGTGACAAGTATCGTGCATCGCCTCCATAAAGTCTCACAATGGACTCGTGTTTCAAGTCTTCTTGGCTTCGATACTCGCGTAGCCAGATGTCAGCTTGGCGGATGACGTTCCTATGGTTGTCCTGAGGCTTAGCATTTGGGTTGTTGCCACGGGTCTTGAGAACTTTAACTGTGATGACTCCCTCTGGAACCTGAGAATGGTCTGCCGTGAACACGGAGGAAGCAGCGGTAGTTGCTATTTGGTCGCGCTTCGTTAGTTGGTATTGATCAAGCTCGTAACCTCCTGGAATGGCGACGGTCTCATCGCGTTGTATTTGCAAGAGCGCGTGGCCCGACGGTATGGTGACTTCCTTTCCTTTGCCTGCGTGTGGCAATGGGAACACCAACGGATCAGCGGCTGGGCGAGGATAGAACATGATCACACCATCGCTATCGTCCTTGTCGACCGATTCCTCCGTGCGGATCCGTTTCCCATTTGAATCTGCCCTCTCAAGGGAGGTAATTGACCGCTTCCCTGAGGAGTTGATCTCAGCATTGCTGGTAATAAATGATGCAAGGTCGGACTCCCCACCGGGTAACCACAGAGCAGCAGGGCGTTTAGCCAATATCCTGAAGTCGAGGATATCTGTCCCATACAGACTTATCCTCCAAGAGCCTGGCGACAATTCCATGGTAGTTCCGGGGACGACCTCTTGGTCAAAGCTTGTATTATCATTGTCAGATGCAGGTGATATCCTTGCCAAAGCAATGGGCACGTCTGATCTGTTGAGGAGTATCTGATTGTCACTAGCAGGATCATAGTAGAGTTCACACCATATGGGTGGTCGAGTTTCCTCTGCACCAGTCTCTCCAGGTACCCTTAGTGAAAAGTTGATATCCTTGGAAGTCTGAGTCACCGCCAAGACCCTGGACTTTGGTCTTTGCGCGTCGGCCACTTCAGCACGAAGTGCTAGCCATTCGCAATTGTCACTGCCAGGACTGACTGAGCGGCTGCGAGTCAACGGCCTGACCAATATGCGTATTCCTTGCTTGTGGTGGTTGTCGTCGATTATCAGATCATCCAGCGGGACTGTGTCATCTTCGATACTCTCGAAACTCTCCTCGACATGCACGCGTCTCTGAAGGCGCAGGAGAACCTCTGATTCAGAAAACGGTTCTGTCTTCTCCTCAGAGGGGTATTCCTCGCCCATGGCGAGGCAGCGACGCAATCAAGCTACGACGCAGACTGTATGGCAAGTCACCGCCAAAGACGTAGGCAAGAGCGAAGCTAGCATAGGCAACAGAGATGTAAGAAACAAGCGTATGTTCCTGGACGAACTACCCAGAGGAACACAAAGGCGATAATGCCAATTCGGTGGGATGTGGGGATTCTCTAGCTTTAACGGGCCGCTTCCGTGTCCAGTATAGAATCGTCAGATGGTTTGCTCTTCAGGTGAGATCTGTCACTCTCAGACCCGGGCCTCAAGAGTTCAAGGTGAGAGTCATAGACCGGTCAGAAGCCTGATGCGGCTGATCCCGTCTGCCGATGTACTGGGGTCGGCTGGCAAGTGTCAGACACAGAGCGTCGCGCAACTCTGCAGCTGATTGCCTGGACGTGGCCAAATCTATCACGTAGGAAATAGGATGCGAGATTGTAGACATATGCAAACGCGTGCAGGAGAAGACAGACCGAAAATTATACCGACCACGGCAAACAACACGAGCAGTCGTGTACTGTATAGGCTTTGCTGCGTTGATGTTAATTGGTAAGCGCGGGTTCACTGCACGAACAGTTGCGCCAGGACGGTAGGGCTGCTAGGATTTGGAGCACAGCAAGTTTATGAAAGAATGGCGGGTGCGTTCAGGACATGGCGGGCGCAGAAGACCTCGGACTGTTTTGGAAACTGTGCTCGGTGCATAGCAATGAACGATAATCAAAGTAGCCGGGCACAGTGCGAGTCCGAAGCACTCTGGTTTGCCCCCAAGGATTTGATGAGCCACTGAGCTGCCCACAGGGATGTCAACAAGGTCAGGCATGACATGGGGGCATGTGCCTCTCAGCCTCTCAAGCCTCTCTTGAGAATATGGTCAGGCAGTGCAGCGTTGTGAATAGAGATGATCAATCGAATACATAAAGTGGATGTGGCGGCAACATTTGAGCGGAGGGATTGATTAACTATAGCAACCCCAAATGGCAATGAAGTGGTAATAATAAAGCTGTGAGTTGGGTGAGGAGAGGCTTCAAAGTTCAGCTGGCTGCCACCAACAGAAGATCACCGACAATGGACCACGATGGCATTCGGTTGGAGTAAGCCACGTCACGTCACGTGGCTTGACAGAGAACAAGAACCCTGGAACAAGAACAAGGACAAACGAAGGAGCAAAAGGAACGGAGAGTTGTGTAACTACAGAGTTTGACAGAGTAATCAGTACTGGACCGAGAATTGAAGATGGTGTGAAGCAAGTTGCGAATGAGCTGCGAGATGTCTGCAAGGATTCGGAGGCATTTTCATCATGCGTCAGGAACGATTGGCTCCAAGCGATCCACTGGCCGTAGCTGATTGGGTTGGCGCAGTGGCTAGTTGCAGGCGCAGCTGACCGTGTGCCCGATTTGTGACACTAAATCCTGCCTGATGCGGATGTCTCAGTGGAAGAGTTTGATGCCTGAGGCGACAACAAATCATTGTGTGGCTACCGCTTGCCTCCCACCTCCCCAACTGCCCTTTCACCGGATCGCTCCAACAAAGAACGCCGCTGCTTGTTGTTCACCACGTCTCAAAGTCTCAATCGCAAAGGCCACGCTCACAAAACCCGCGACCCCTGACAATCAACTGCGCATCTTCTCTCGAACTCGCACCATACCGTCCAAATGGATTCTATAGCGTGTATCTAGATGACTTTTCGTCGTTCGAGTGCCTATGAGACTTCCGGTTTTGGTTGATTCAACCAGCAGCAGGTAGCAGTAACAGCAACAGCAGCAGCAGCGCCTGATGACCGATCTGAGCACTTACACAAACAACAACACCACCACTTGAAAACCCCCTGGACACGCCTTACTTCTTTTGTTTCACTTTCTAGTTTATATCTCTCGGCGCATTTCGGACAGGTTTTTTATTATTATTTTGAAAAGATACCCATAGACTTTTTTTTTGACGTATGACATGGACGAACTGGGCTGGTCATGGCCCTTCTGGAAGTTTGGCATGAAGGGGGAGGACCTCTTCACCACTCTCCACGATCAGTACAATACCATTCCATCCTCGATACAAGACCCTGAGGCTTTCCACCATGACGTCTGGGAGATATCAAAAACGGCTAGCACCAGCGACGAGTTCCACTGCCTACTCGCCCATCGCAAGGAGCAACGACTGCGCGAACTCAACGAGACCCTCGAGTCTGCCTCTTTCGAAATCATTGGCAACCCCAAGCTCATTGGTAGTGAACAGTGGCAGTACGCAGTACAACTCTTTCGGACCCGGTCCCTCGACTCGCTAGTCAGGTACTTTGCTTCATATCTCCCCGACGATCACCCATGGCACCAGGTTCGCGACGACGACGCTCGGACTTCTTCGACCGTGTCTTCCATGTCTGATTCCGTCACGGATTCTCTTCGCTCGGACGACTCTCTCGCAACCGATATGAGCAAGCCCTTCTTCGACGATGCAGAACACGAGTGCTTGACCCACGAACCTCTTACCATACACACCTCATTACCTGCGAGCCATCTACCCCCCTCTCCACGGTCAATGACTATGTGTAGTGATTCCTCTGCTGTATCCCCTATCGATACAGAACACCAGCATCATGAGTTTGGCACTTTGACTCCTGCGCGGACTCTCTCCTTCTCGGAGAGCGGGTCTGATTACATGATTCACTCGGCGACGTTGTCACAGTGCGGCGAAGATGACACCTCCCAAGCAGATGACGATCTCTACACTCCCTTCTCCTCCATATCCGACATTGCTGACGAAGTGCATCACGGCCGAAGTCGCATCGAAGCCGTCACGCCTGCAGAGCGTGAGGGTTCGGTGGGGGGTACGGAAGAACCGGATACGCCAACGCCGCGGAACGAGGTACATTCGGACGCACATTGTCCACAAGAAGAATACGTGAACTCGTCCAGTACCCACATTTCTACATCCCGTTCGTCGTCGTCTCTGTACAACCAAGTTTTGCAAGAGTACACGCGGTCATCACGGAAAGGTCGCAGAGACGACAGCCCTTCGAGGTCTATCAGGAGAACGAGTCCAGAAATTGGACGCATACAAAAGCCATTATCAGATTCCGCACGAACAAGGCCCCATGGTCGAAGGAGGAACGACTGACCTTGGCAACAACTGTACATATGTCATGATAACGCTGTATATACCCCGTAGTGATTTAAGCGCTTTTATTCCAACTAATTACCTGAGGTCTTCCTTGAAGTTGCCTAGAGATGCTACTTGACTCTCGCTTTCGTAAAACACGATTCCATTCCAGCGCGCCGTGTTCCCATATTTTTGGTCGACCACTCACCTGTCTATACCGAACAAACAACCCTCAACATCGACGATAGATACGTAGTTCGAGTGAGTGCCAGCCTGATCCCTACTAACAGACGTAGTGAAAGTCCTGCTCGGCCGAAGTCATCGTGAAGCTCCAGTGCGAAGATCGATCGATCACTTACTTGTACTGTAGGTAGATGCTGCGTCGGCTACCCCAGTCTCTTCTTTAGCAAGCAAGCACTACATTCATCCGCCAAGGACTAGGTTAGGCATCTAGGCTCTTTAGCACTAAACGCCCGGTACAACGCGGGGAACCTTCACCTGTAGCCCACTAAACCCCGTCCAAGTCACAGCTCGTCTTCGTCAAGTCATTGATCCGTCAAAACCTTCCCAGGTTCCCGGAGTTACCAAGCCAAGTCGCGCAACCCGATCGAAGCACATGACTATGAGGTCATGGGCATGAGATTTGTTCTTTGTGAACTACCTACTACATTTGTAGCTCTACTCCTCGGGTTGTATGCTGAACTACCGTTCTGTAATGATTAATGAATGTCCTTCGAACGAATGAAGGTGATCTCGAGCTCATTTTGGATTGTCTAAAATCACTGATCATACCGAATTGTCCGCCTAGCTGACTAAAAAAATATCAATGTTGCTCGCAACTCTGAAAAACATAATCCTCTCTAGTTTCACAAAGGCCAAAGAGACACTCGTCGTTGCCGAAGAGAAAGCGCTCAACTCACTTCCCGAGCCATATATTCCATCCATCGAGGATATAGCAGCCGTGCCCGAGAAGCTCCACGAGAAGGCAGCAAAGGCTCTCAATGGTCCGGATGCGAATCCCAGCCAACGCGGAGACACGGCCAGTCCCAAGGCAGAGCAGAGCGATAAGCCAGTTGAGAAGGGGTCAAAGCCTTCATCGTCAGCGAGCGAGAGTAAGGAGAATGAGCATGGAGAAGGACCGGGCAAGAAGGGAGCGGCTGGTGGTAAGGAAACACTGAGGGAGAAGGCTATGAAGAAGTTAGATGGCCGTGATGCAAATCCGAGCCAACTGGGTGACCCGACCAGTGTGAAGGCGGAGACGGTGAATAAGGTGCCAAGGCCTGAAGATGAGGGTGCAAGGAAGAAACGGGATTCGAAAATATAATGTTCGGCGGTACGAGACGTAAATGGAACATGGTAAGTGGATTAGCATAGTCGCCTCTCAATATAATAGGCACAACCTTACCATTACCTCCGAGCTACATTCTATACAGAGCCGCGCTTTGGTTCAGAATAAATTGACCAGCAGTGTAAAGCAAACATATCATACACGCCATCTGGCCCATGAACCAATGACCAAAAGTGATTGTGTAACAGTCCCAACAGCTCACATAATACTCGCGTGGTTGCATTTGTCAGACAAAAGGACGCGAATTGTAAGCGGGCTCACAAGCTGGTGAACTTACCTGGAGTGTGGAGTTCGAGCACTATTCCGACGCAGCTTGGCGCTATGGCGACATCTGCGCGAACCGCGACACACAATACCTGTTTGGTAATGGCCTGATTACCCATTAACCGACATTATATATAGTGATCAGAAGTCGCGATCCTTAGGTTTGATACTATGTGTACATATCCAGTTTTCAAGCACTCGAAGTTCCTGATCAGGGACGAACTTCCCAATTACCAACAATTGTCACATCCACTACTAGTCAAACATGGCGGACTCATTGCCAGATGTCAGTATCAGTCTCTTTTTCGTGTGCTGCCATGCTCAGCTTGTATCTAGGCCCTCAAACTCAACTACCAGAAAGATGGCAACTTCGTTCGTCCTGACTCGACATTTCGCAACAGTGTCTCCAAGGACCCCAGTTCCAAGTTCCCAGCTGAGAAGGGTCGGTATGCGCTATACCTCTCTCCTGGCTGTCCTTGGGTAAGCAGTCGATCATAGACCTTCTTTAAATGACTTGGACGCAGAGACCTAACACCTCCAGGCCCATCGTACTTTGATCGTGCGAGCCCTCAAACATCTTGAGGACATCGTAGATCTTTATCTGCTTGGTGACCTAGGGCCGAAAGGATGGGAGTTCGACGGCACCTGGGGCAGTCTCACGGAAGATCCCCTGCACCCCGGTGTCAAGTATCTACGGGAGCTCTACGAGAAGGTCGAGCCAGGGTTCAGCGGCCGTGTGACCGTTCCCGTCCTCTGGGATAAGAAGACCGACACTGTGGTCAATAATGAAAGCAGCGAGATCATCCGCATGTTTTACAGCGAGTTCGATGACCTATTGCCCGAGGCCGACCGTGAGATCAACCGGCCGGGCGGCGGGCTACTCCCGGAACGTCTGCACGCCGAAATCGACGAGCTCAACGCCTGGGTCTACGATACGGTCAATAACGGCGTTTATAAGACCGGCTTCGCCAACACACAGGAGGCTTATGAGAAGAACCTCAATGCACTCTTTGAGTCCCTAGATCGTCTCGAAGGTATTCTGAGAGACCACGGCAAGCCGTTCCTACTGGGCGACCATCTAACCGAGGCCGATGTCCGCCTCTACACTACGATTGTGCGCTTCGATGTCGCGTATCACTATGTCTTCCTCTGCAACCTTAAGAACATCCGGCATGACTATCCAAGGTTGCATCTGTGGCTGAGAAGGCTTTATTGGGATCGGAGCGAATTGACGAAAGGGGCGTTTTATAAGACGACGGAGCCCTGGATAGGTCAGTATGGCGCGGGTTACACAGCTGCGCGACGCAGAATCGTCACGCATGACAGTGTCTCTATCGTGGGGAAGGGGCCAGCTGTTCATGTGGAGCCGTTGAGGGACGATGAGAAGCTTTAATGATAACACACGGATTGATACTACGGATCGTAGAGAGGTCTTGGCCACATGGGACGACATTTTACAGTCGTGGTCACACTGGAGACCTGGAGACATAAAACCAGTCACATAGAGATGTTATGATCAACCCCTCAATTTGTAAAGACCCAGTCGGTGGGCGGCCCAACTCGGACACAAAAAGCTGTTGGTCGTTAGTAGTGACAACGGCCGCTTAAAAGATGTACGATCCAAACTGTCTGCCTACGCCTGACGCTTGGGGCATTTAAGTACTAGGTATCTCATCTATGTAGGGTTAGCTATGTCAGATTCACTTCAGGCCTAACGCTAAGGTCTCATCCGTTTGTGTCGTAAATTTCTGCCAATAAGAAGATGCTATCTAGGTGGATTATATGCATGGACGGTGTCGCTAGGAGTCGGCACTATAATTATTAAGCAATCAACGGCGCGGTAGAACTTGGTACATTCCGTGAACAATAGGATGATGATTTAGGTTCTTTTCTACCTGCTATAAGAACATGCTGCACTTTCTGCTCTCACAAATTCAAGTTTTCATTGTAGGGTTCAAATCTTTCCCAGAGTACCGCTCCATCATCTCACAGTACCTCATATATATTAGTTCTACGACCACACAAAACAGCCACCATGGCTTCTCTTTACAAGCAATCTGTACCTGTCTTCACGAAATATCTGCACAATCTTTCCGCCATAGTCAAGAAAGGGGAGACATTTGCAAATGAGAAATCTATCAAGCACGATGAAATCCTGAATTATCGTCTCATTTCTGACATGAAAGGGTATGTGTTCTTGTCACACAGTCATTGGTAGCGCTAGTTCACTGATCGACTGTGCCGTAACAGTCTCATCTACCAGGTGCAATCCTGCTGCGACACGGCCGTCTGGTACGTGGACCGCGTGGGCGGTCTCAAGCATGTGGCCGTCGAGGACAACGAGACGACTTTTGATCAGCTCTACCAGCGCATCGAGAGGACGATCGCGTATCTCGACGAGGTCGAACCCAGGGCGCTAGACGACAAGGCCGATGCGAAGGTCCTCATGGAGACCAAATCCATGGGCAATTTCCAGTTCACTGGACAGGCTTACTTGTCCGAGTTTTCGATTCCGAATTTTCATTTTCATCTCTCGACTGCATACTGCATCTTGAGGACCCAGGGCGTGCAGATTGGGGCATTGGACTATCTGAAGGATGTATTCCATAAGGTGTAAATTGACATCTATATCTGGCCTGGCGACAGCGATTTAATGGAGCCGGGGCGGGGAGTGGAATGGTGGATACGATGGACCCCGCTGGATGTGTTCAGCAACCTACCCGATCCTTCCACTATCCATGCCTGCAATTTAACTTTGTGCACCGCATTTCATCAATTAGGATGGACAACTTGCGTTGATTTGCATGAAGTACCAGAATTCTTTTAAACAATTTTTATTTTTATTTTTACAAAAGTTGCAAAGCCATGTATTCGCTACTAATGCGGTTGCTTTCTGGAGCATGTGCTGATCTCAGGTGATTTATTTGTTGTTTCGATACACATGACGTCCCTCTACCGAAAGCAAATCACGTGCGTAGAAGAGCACTGCTCTCATCACCATCGTGACAATGAACGAGTCGCTTCATCCGTGTCTGGTGGTGTTCTCGAACAGAGGCTCAAACGACGAATTTAATATCCACCATGGCCCAGAGCAGCTTATTTATGGGGTTGCGAAGCGATGTTGGTGGTGTGTCCGCATCTTCGCGGCCTTACACAAACACATGCCAGAGGTTAATCGATCCAGCTTGGCGAAGCTCTATCCAGGGTTTCGCACTGCCGGCATGTGGCGCAATGCTCGTGAGGTCAACATCCACTCCCTTGCGCATGATGGCACAGAGCCTGTGTTGCTTGGAACTTATCTCGTCAAAAGGACCCAGTCCCATGTAGCAGAGCTTGCCTCGAACACATATTCACAATCATCGTGGAACTTTGTGCTGACAGAACTTCGGAAGTGTGAGATCAACCATAAAGCTTGTATCCAATATGGCAGACCCTGGTGTCCCACGCGTCTGCTGAGATTGTCCATGACAGACGAGGGCAAGTTGTTGATGCGCCTTGTATCCACAGATTCAAGTCTCGACGCTCCGAGATATACCACACTCAGCCACATGTGGGGAAAGAATGTCACCTTACAGCTTACCAGCAAGAACTTGGAGGAACTCAAGAGAGACATCCCCGCTCATATCATGCCCAAGAAGTATCTCGATGCTGCGGTGGCAACCTGGAAGCTTGGTGTTCGACATCTCTGGATAGATTCGTTGGTAGGTAATAGCAGATCTCGTTCTTGTGCCCAGAGTTATACTCGTCATTGACCTCTGAGCTTCACAGTGTATCATGCAGGACTCCTCGGCAGACTGGGAACATGAGAGTGCAGCCATGGATCGCACCTATCGTCATGGCTATTGTAACATTGCTGCCTGTTCTGCACAGCTCAATACAGACGGCCTTTTTTACTCACGAGAGCCGCTGCTCTTCCAAGCAGGGCTAACGGAGTATAACGGCACGTATTTTACGTATCAAGAGGCCAATCTCAACATGTTCAAAGACCTTGACCAAGAACCACTTTACAAAAGGGGTTGGGTCTGTCAAGAGCGTCTCCTCTGCAGGCGCAATATTAGTTTTACTCGTCAGCAAATCTTCTTCGAGTGCGCTATGGAATTGACGTGTGAAGTGGGGAAGACAGCTGCCTCTTTCAAGTGGGACTCTGTCCGTGGTCTACGGTATATAGGCAACGCAACCGACCTCTTCTCTGTCAGGAACATGCGCAAAATTGACTGCGTTCCCGCTTGGCTCAACGTCGTCCAGGTATACTCAGCCATGGACCTCACCCGACCGGAAGACAAATTGGTCGCCATATCTGGCTTAGCAAGGCGACTCCACACGAAGCTGCGCAAACCATATCTGGCTGGCCTATGGAAATCTCATCTATGCATCGGTCTTGCCTGGGAAGTTGTAAGGTCAAGAGACCCTGAACAGACACGAGACAAGCCGGTACGGTGTAAAGAGTTTCGAGCACCAAACTGGTCTTGGGCATCGATCGACGGGGAAGTGGCTTTTCCTCTGAACAAATTTAGTTCTCAAGTCATTCGGCTTTGTTCATTCATCGAAGAGATTGTCGGAACAAATAGCTGGAACGAGTTCGGTCAAATTCGATACGCAAAGCTTGAGGCACTGGGCTACCCGTTTCCAGTCCGTTTACTCGAACGCGATTTTCCTACCAATGAAGCACTCAGCATGACCTCTTTTACAGTTGACAGTGTCCCGGGTATGAAAAAAGGGATCACTGTTACACTAGATACCGCCAAGCACTTGCAGTCTGCACGAACTTATGCGCTGCCTTTGATGTACGATAGACAAGGGTGCTTGGTTTGCCTGCTCCTCGAGGCCATCACTCCTTCTTGGGGATCATATCAACGTATAGGCGTCCTTCGAGGCTCCATCTCACGTCGCGCATTGAAGCACTCACCAGCGGATCTCGACTACTTGGACTTGAGAGGACATTGGAAAACCACGAATGCCAAACCCAGCAAGGCACTGTGCAGATTCCTAGTAAGCATCATGCAGCGCGGTGACGACATGGCAACCCTCGAACCTACCGATCAGTATAGGCGGAGAATAAATTTGATTTGAGAGGTAGCCATACACCCCCCTTGCGCATGTCACAAATCAAAGACAACAAGACTTCCTAGCATAAAAAATTGAGCTTTCGAGAAATGAGCCTTTACTAGGATGCCAACCGCTCTAGGGTTCGTCAAGTTACCGCTCCTATCTTGGGTGTTGACTCAGCTTCCCTTCTGAGAGCGACATTAAAAACCCGTGTGCAGATCTGCAATTACAATTATTTATACGAGACAAGACTCTACTCGCATATCTACCAAGTGGCATCGACTATCATCTACAAAGACCAATCGGGAAATGCAGCGTGCATGGTTTTCAAATGCACTGCTACGAAGAAGTGGCTAATTTGGTATGGGCCGTTCCCTATTCGGCAGCTATAAGTCGACGTGGGGCATTCCTGCTTCTCGGGCCAAGCTGTGTTACGTTCGGCCGAGCTACAAATGAAAGATGCATTCCCTTTCCTCCATCCCCTAATGTTTTGAGGTGTTGAATGCCAAAACATTCTATTACCCCAGTGAATACCATGCGAAGAACTCACAACAGCCTTCGGGCGTCCTCGGCTTCGGAGCTAAACCGTCTAGTCGAAAATGGATAAATATGAAATAGTGCCATTGGGTACGAGGAGGGCGGTACCTCCAGTAAGTGGTTCGGCGGTTTCGCAAGTCTATTTGTACTCTCTTCCAGTTTACCACAGCTGAAAGACTTCCAAAATGCACTTCTCCGCCGTCCTTGCAGTAGGCCTCGCCGTGGGACTTAGTTTAGAGGCATGCCCTTATATCAGAACGCGCGAGGCACCACGAGATTGCCCCTACGCCGCAAAACTCTCGCAAGACAATCGGAAATTTCATCAAATTACCAAGCGTGACCCTCCGGCAACCGACAAGCTTGGGGTCATGTACATGAACCGTATTGCGCCATCTGGATCTCAACTATGGATCTCAAATGCAGATGGCAGCGATGCCGTAAAGTTGTTAGGTGATCAAACGGCGCCAATGGACTACCATGCAACTTGGTCCAGAGATGGAGAATGGGTGGTTTTTACCAGTGAGCGCCGCGCTGATGGTCAATCCGACATCTACCGTGTCAAACCGGACGGAAGCACTCTAGAAACACTAGTACTGAGCGATTCCTTCGAAGATGCGGCCAGCCTATCACCAGATGGTACAAAACTTGTGTATGTTTCGACTGCTATCAACTCTACTGCGAATGTTTTCGTCCTGGACTTGAAAACCAATACCGCGGTCAACATCACAGGAAGTGATGAGACAATTGGAGACTTTGCCAGTCCGCATGGCTTCTTCCGACCATCTTGGTCTCCAAACGGCGAATGGATTGCTTTGACCTCCGATGCCAATACTGACTGGACTGGCCACAGCAACGGTACTGGCTGGGAGCACACCCAGACACTGTCACTTTATGTTATCCGACCCGATGGTACTGATTTCCGCAAAGTTGTTGGTCAGCCTGGCCACTGCCTTGGAAGCCCTTCATGGTCGCCTGATGGAACTCGTTTAGTGTATTACAACCTGACAACGGAGGACACATACAATGCGCATGGCATTGGAGGTTTCGGCGGGGGTGGTGGAAGTGGCGGACGTCCGAATGGGACATTGCCAGGCAATGGAACGACGCCGCCCAGTACTGGTACTGGTAATCCCGGCTTTGGAAGTAGCGTTGTATCACAACTCTTCACTGTCGACGTTAACACCGGGACAGACTTTAATCAGCTCACATTCGGTACTGATCTGGTAGTATCTGGCCAGTATATGGGAAACAGCACCAACGTTGGTTATCTCATCAAAGCTGGAGTGGTACCAGGCATTGGCTACACGATTGGCGACACTACGTACTCACCCTTCAACGGTACACTGCGAAATCCGTCTTGGTCTCCAGACGGATCGAAGGTGGTTTACGAGGTGTACGAGTGGGATCAACGTCCAGCTGAGAAGCCGCTGTTCAGCTGGGATAATGAATGGGAGTACCGCTTCATGGACGTATTTCCTCAATGGAATAATGCAACGCAGCGGCTGGTCACGACTGACAAACAAATTGGCGATGCTTCCTCGTCTGTCCTCATTACCGACGCAGACTACAGCGATCCCTTGATCGTCTTTGATGTCCATAACGTCAGTGGAAAAGTCCAACAAGGTGTCGGAGGCGCTTATCAGCCTACGTGGAAACCTGACGGCTCTCAGCTCGCTGTAGGCTTTGGTTCATGGTTTGCAGGACGAGAATCCAATGCAGGCACTATCTACTTACTAGATTCTGACGGTACCAATCACCAGAATCTTACAGATGGCTCACTCAATGCTGGGTTTCCATCGTTCTCCCCGGACGGCACGAAGCTCGTTTTCAGACTCTGGGACTACAAAAATGGCCCTTTGGGTTTGCATATCTTGGACTTGGAGACTGGAAATACGACAAAGATTACCAATGGATGGGATAACACTCCTGGTTGGTCACCTGACGGGCATCATATTGTGTTCGCTCGCCAAACCAACTGGACGGCCGAATATGGTGGACGGTGGTATGATGACCGCTTTGATATTGCTACTGTTAAACCTGATGGCACAGGTCTCAAGATCCTGACGGAATCTCATGCAAACGATGCTCATGCTGTCTGGGCTCCAGACGGCCGTATCATGTACAACAGTGGCATGCATGGTTTTCGTGATGAAAGCCCGTTGTACGACAACACTTTTCAACCTTATGGTCAAATCATCATAATGAACGCCGATGGATCAAACAAGACTGCCCTGACAGATAGTATGTGGGAAGACTCGATGCCCCAGTATATTCCTAGCTCTTCCTTCGCGTAGATAGCCAAATTGGACATGCGAATTAGTGAATTTCCCATAGGAGGCTTTCGCCCCCCTTGACATGAGCAATTATTTCTCAAAGCCTCCCCTAAAACCAAGTCATGTCTTGTTCCCAATGTAGGTCTTGGTTTCCCTCTATATCATCGGACTACGTAACAAATCTAATATAGAATTATGGTGAGCTTGTATGCCATATGCGATACGACTGCTGGATGTGAGCAGAAAATGCAGCATAGATGAACCCTGGGATTTGTGTTACCGAGTCGGACAATGGCTGTATGAAGACAGGCGTTAGCAAGAGGCAACATCGCATTAAATCAGGCGTACGAGTGAAAAGAAAAAAGGCCTATGTGCACAAAGACAACAGCTATCTTTTATGCCTACAAGAATGGCTCGCAGCAAATAGCTTGTAGTATATGTTGAAGACAAGCTGCAAAGGCGCTTGACGTGTCAAAGCACGCGGTGGATATTCACACGCAATCACTAGCTGAGGAGCACCAGGGACAATTAGCGTCGGAGCATGTACCTGCCCAAGCATACCCCGGACGATAGGCAAACCACGGAGGCGATTCAAATCTTAGAGCCCGTAGTGGAGGTCAAGGCAAGGACACTAGCTAAAGAGAACGGGGATAGATTTTTGTCTATTAATCTTTTTAATCGTGCCTAACAACGGAACCCGCCACTTGTTTCCAAGTTGAAGTCATATTGCGATTGTATTCTAAAGGTGCCATGTGATATATTTGCCAAGCTGTATGCTCGCATACGGCTCGAAAACTGGTCGCTAGATGGGGTGAAAACGAATTTGTATATAACTTCTTGTAGCTCAAATGGTTGCAAGTTGGGTCATATTGCTTAAATAAGAGTCGTCTCTTACCTTTAATTGATCAGTCTATTCGTACCACTTTATGGCAATAAGGATTTGTAAGGCAGAATCTTGAGTCTACCACATACCTTCTTTCGTGTTGAGTTCTCTGATCTTTGGTGAATCCTCAGCTTTGAGAAAAACATATTCACAAGTCCTGGCATAAGCTCGTATAGCTGGGCACGAGAGATATGGGCAGTGGCTCTATTATCATGATCCTACTACTTTCCTATTCGTCGCATTCGTACAAGTTCTAGTACAGATGTTTGGATACTTTACGGACAAACCGTTTGCTCATTGAGTTTGCCAAATCCTTACTTCAAGGTAGCTTAGGGTTAGTGATACTTTCGCCGGTGCGTAATAAAACTTCCAGTATGAGAGTACAAAGAACTGGCTGGAGCTTCAACCCCACCACCCATTTTACGAGGACAGTCTGGAGTGCTCGATTTGCACTATATAGTAGTCCTGCTACATTGCGGGCCAGTTGGATAACCAGTCATGTTGAGAAAACTCTATACCGGCTCAACTACTAATATATTTCCCCTGGTTCTCATGAGGAATCAAAGTAGTAAGGTGATGTTGTGGGCGGGAGTATCCGAGCTCATGACTAATTATGTCCTGTCATAAGACAAACGTCATGGTTTGTTTCAACTGTTTCGATGAGGTCGAGTAATGTTTATTTAGTATTTATGTAGCCTTCACATGGGCCCGCACTTCAATCTCCACTCTCATTTCGTCAAATGCCAGTCGAGGAACTCCCAGACATGTCCACGTAGGCTGGTGGTTTGGGCAGTACTGTTTCAGACACCGAACCATAGTTTCCATAGCCTCATTGTTACATGGGAGATGATGAGACCTGAGGAAGAAAACGTCTTCCCAACCGCGACTGCCGGCAAGCTTAAGTGTGTGGTCCACATTCTCAAAAGCTTTTTCGATTTGTACCACGATGTTTGGGTCTATCTTGTCTGTCTCACGATCCCAACCGCCTATTTGAAAGTCAACCTTCGGTAAAAGTAGGGACAAATATGACAAATCATACCTTGGCCCGAGCACTCAATAACATCTCCTACACGTACTGCCTGGCTATACCAAAGATTCTTCTTGGCTCTTTCTCCGTAGCCCTCGTAAGTTGTATATGTAAGATGAGACATAACTTGGATTGAGCTTGGCTGTCTCCAGGCGTGGAGAACTTATCTCGGTAGATCAGTGGATGATAGGGAAAGATTATCATACAATTCGTTCGCAAAAAAAGATTTATTCCTCAAAAGAATATTTATACATAGATTCCGCAGTAACGGCATTTGGGCCCACCTCAGAGAGAACGTGCTTAGTAAGACTAAATAGATGAGTCAGTTGAATATAACCTAGACTAAAAAAGTCTCATGTGCGACTCAAGCTTAGTTCGACAGACTGACGACAGTACGCAGTAGTGTGGCCCATCGCCGAAGTTTCCGCGCAAAGAAACAGTCCATTCCCAGATTAGGAGCGCAAGTCTTATCCACAACCCGATGTAGCAGCCTTGGGGAGGCACAATGATTGGTGTGGCCGGCCAGAGCGTAAAGCTATTTCCATGCGTAGCGCAAAAAGTCAGACTGAACGTCGGGGTTAATATGGGGCTTCGGGATTTGACTATGATGTGCATTTGGCCAGTGCCAAGATTTGGACATCTTGGTAGGCATATTTTCGTCCGAGGTCCAGACTTTTTGAATTTTATTGTCTGCCAGCAATTTCAAGCCCATGTATGATGTAACTGAATTGACAAATCACAACATCTTGACTTGTCAAGGGACTACCATGTCCTGTGACTACCATGTCCTGGACATCGCTGTGCAGCTTGGAGGACCATGGTGTTGGGTCTGACCTCAGAGGAATCTAGGTCTTGGTATAATGGATGACGGTTCGTGCCCTTTCCGAGGAATGCTGGTCTGCTTCTATGCCAATAACAGACGGTCAGTTGTTGTTAGGTTTGTTTGAACTACGTGCTCCGAAGATGCCATTCACCGCCGGTTCTATATCACCATGGGTTGTAAGTCACTCTTTCCGCACATATGCATTTGTGCTGGTAGCATCAATGTATGGTAAGTGGGATGCGGGTAACAGGCAACAGGTAACAGGGGACCGGGGTTCGACAGAGATATACTATACATTCTACACAAGATCGGTTTCAATGCGGACGCCTAAGCAAATGATAATGTACTAAATCCAGGGCGGTCTCGTGGTGAAATTACCAGATAGGTGTACTGACGACTCGCTAGCCTTTTCAGTACCGTGTATCGGAGTAGATGAGATTCAGCCGACTGTGATTTGTTTCCAGACCCTGTAGTAGACGATAGAAAAGGTTAATTCTTAGGTCTTATCATTCCAAAGTGAATGGACAAGAGGGTAAGACAATTCCTGACCTCAATCATCGGTCTGAGCGTGGATTATGTAGTTCCAACTAGATAAATCCACGACCCGATTCTGCCATAGTACTCTACGATACGGGGAACTGGTCATGGCAATCTGATCGATAGGCTTGGGGGCCTTCATATATGTAGTTCAATGTAGCTTAATATTTAGGTGACAGTACGTTTTGTTATTCTACTGTGGCAACAATTTCGAATGGTTAAATGCCATATCCTGAGCTGAAAGATATATAGGTGCATCTGCCATGAACCCTCTGGTAATGCTCTCCTGGCCTCCATAGGTCATATTTTTCCTTTCTTTTTGCAAATGGCGGGTCTGACGGTGCATGTCATCCGAAGCTGTAATCAAGAAGGTTGTAGGCAACATTGACCGCTGAGACGTTGAATATGATCGGCTTGTGAAACCATATCGCACTAGCTACGGGACCGCAATATAACGACATTTAACCGCGTCCCGTCGAATCACTACACCTAATCCAAGACATCCCCGGACTGGGGTAAACGGCAGTAATGCACTTAGGCAGTAGTGTACTCATTCACGACTTCTATATTAAATCAGTGGCGAAGTCAGGTCATTTAAGTTCGAAACGCAGGCGTTGCTGAAACTGGATGGCGATAAGTTGAACCTTCCTAAGGCGGCATTTCCTCCACGCCGCCAACCCCCCACACAACGGAGCAGGCTCAGATACCAGAGACTGAACAAAGTGGCGTGCGATAACTAGAGAAATCAATGATTGAGGCATATTTTTGCATCATAGTTCCACTGGCGCCTGAACCTGCTCATGTCTGGTTAAGGACTTACACGACTGCTCTCGAAATCTCGGCTCAGGCGCGCCGCAGTCATGGACACCTGTATGATAATGTTGTTATTTCTACACTTACAAGTGTGTTTCGCGAAGTTTCTAGAAACCTACCCCCGACCAGAGCGACCGGAATTCCGTTTTCTGACGACTGGTAAACCATGTAATGGTCCAGACGACCCTGGCTATATCAAGTCAGGTCTTAGTAGTATACCAGTCACTTCGAGGAACCAGTCTCTCATCCATCGGGATGGAAGAGAAACAGTGTCCAAGTTCCAAGCTGGAGTCGTTTATCTGATAGACAGTAAGTAAATATAGCCGTGTACATGGCGCTCAGCTAACATGGACTAGTTGATGTCGGCACTCCCAGACAAACGATTAAAGTCATCATAGACACCGGGTCGTGGGAGTTGTATCTCAACCCAAATTGTGCCCGTGCCGCAGACCAGATGTTTTGCGCAGGGTCAGGGCACTACTATCCCACATCGTCAAGTACCGCGAGAAACCTGTCAAGCCGTTACTATGTTTCTTTTGGCACTGGGGGATACGTGGGTGACTATTTTAGTGACACATTGTGGTTTGGGGACGACTGTAGGCACCTAGTTCCTGGCATTCCTCATAATAAGTAGTGTTGACTGACATACTGCTGCAGACTGGCCCGTATCGTCGCTTCAATTCGGGGTCTCCGATGACAGCGACTATGTTTGGGCAGGCATTATTGGCCTTGGTTATGGTCAGAGGTTTAACACCAAGTACCCAAACTTACTCGATCTTCTCGTTTCTCAGGGCTACATCAATGTCCCAATTTTCAGTTTGGGTGTGGGTAGCCAAGATGATGATGATGGTAGGTCTTCAAACGTTCCATGCACCACAGTCATCTCACAGCTCGCGCAGCCGAAATCGTCTTCGGAGGCGTCGATACTCACAGGTTCAACGGTTGGCTTGAGCCACTTGACCTCTACCCACCACCAGAAATCCAGGAAAGTCTCTGGCACCAGGCACAGTAAGTGATATTATGGTGGAAATCACTGACCAGGAAGTTCACTGACCACGTAGATATTGGATCAACTTGACATCATTTGGCTACACCACCCCAGGCGGCTCGATGACTACCTTGACTGGTTCCGACTTTTCACGGATTATGTTGCTTGACACTGGGTCGACCTATTCCTATATTGACGCAGATCTAGTTGCAGCTTTGGCACAACAGTTCAGTGCAACCGTTGACGATCAAGGGGTATACTACGTCTCCTGCAAGTACTTGGAAATGAATGGCTACGTGCACTTCGGATTTAACCAGGGGAACATTGTCATTCACGCCAAGTACAATGACTTTGTCGTCGACTTTGGAAGCCGTTGCGCTCTGGGCGTGCAGCCGGCTGATGCTGGGGTAAATACGTGGGTATTGGGAGCAACTTTCATTCGCTCAGCCTATAGTGAGTTCATGGAATTCTCCTCGATTATCATTGCTGGTTCGTGGATCTGATTTTGCTGTAGTCGTTTTCGACCAGATGTACGATGCTATTTGGCTTGCGAACTATCAGCCATGCGGAGATTCACTTGTGACAGATCTCACGGAAGATGCAGGAAACCAACTCTGGGGGGAATTATACGGTGGGTGCTGAGGAGCAAACATGAATGCTCACACCCTTGTGATTGACTTTGGCATGTGTGCGCGAAATGGCTCCCTTAGAGGTGGGACTAACTGTTCCCAATCGGCTTCCGTCGGTCTTGCTGTCGCAACCAGTAAATATTAGACGTCAAGCCCGCGAATATCGTCGCTCAAAGGGCCTTGCCGCGTCCAAATGTTCATGCCAATTTTCCACCCGCTGGTGACGGGCAATCCAGCGTGCAGGTTGCGATGGTCGCCACGACCATCTTCATGGAGATTTTGCCAAAACACCGCATTTCCAACGACTGGACGGAATGTAACACCGTTCTCATACGGCTCGTCGCAGTCGACGAAGTCACACCACTTCTGATTGTACGGCGCATCGAGCATGGGGAAGTTTGTTCCCCCACCGGTGATATTATCAGCGGCTACGTAGGCGAAGAAGGAGGACAGCCTGTTCCCGCCAAGCGCGGCGGTGGCGTGTACTGGATTCGTAAACCAGTCGGTGTGGAAGTGGTAGTGTTCGCCCTGGGCATATTTGACAAGCTGGACGGGTTCCAGGTGGGTTCGGGGTACGTCGAAGCCTTGTAATAGGAGTGCACGTTCTTCAATGCAGCGGACTACGTTGTCGCGGCGGACATTGGTGGACTGCGAGGTTCGCGTTGTCCGTTCGCCTTGGGCACCCGTGCCGTCGGCGACAGCTGAGTGACTGAAGGTATCGTTGCTTCATAGTCTCCGTCAGCCGAAGCGTGGGTTTCAGTAGCACATGGTTTGACGATGAATGCTTACGTTATATCAGTAAGATGAGCGCGCTCCTCCGCAGTTAGGAAGTCAGTTAGATAGATGACCAGTGGCGAAGTAGACAGGATATGACTGCTGTATGCAGGATGATGACAACCCTCGCTCAGCGCGAGCGGTACCTGAGCAGGATCTTCATCGTGGCTGTGTGCGAAGCCGAGTCTTGTCGCAAACGCGCAAAGCAGCAGGTCCCGTAGACGCGTCATTGTAGAGGTTGTTGAACGAAACGCAGCACAGCGCGTCTCCATCCACGGGCAATCGCATGACGGATATGAAGACGGCGGTTTTCCTCGAGCCGGCAGGCAAGTGTCCGAGCAATTCCATCGCGCGGGAGATGACACTCCTCCATCGTTACATGACCTTCGTCAAGCGGGGGCCCGAGACGCAGCACATGGATGAAACTCCAACGGTCTGCGGAGGGCTTCAGGGGTGAGCAGAAAGCGGTAGAGTAGCTCAACCTCGTCCCCCCTGATTGTAGCGGCCAGTGGGCAGGCCTCTGGCGGGGTGGGCATCCCCCAGACGATCTAGCGCCCCGGCATGAACCATTTTAGTACATTGCTTGTCTGATATCACCCCTGAACAGCCCCCGGCCCGCGGGCTAACCAGCCTACATACTTAGCGGGGGATCCCTGGCAACAGCCTGTTTCTTCCAGCTTATTTGAACCCGCGAGCTCGCTACTTGTCTGAGCTTCTGCTGAAGGGATGAGCCTTTTATGCGAACTCAACGGTGAAGATGAGGACAGCATCAGTCATCGCAGCACACATGCTCGTGTTTGCGCCATTAGCAGCTGCCTGGGACCATGTGGATGAGCCCGAGTTCGTCAGGGCCGTCGGCGGACACAGCGTCGCGCTGATTGCGTGTGAGTGAGCCTTCGCAGTAAGTTAAAATGTCGGTGCCATGTGCTAACCAGCTGCAGTCGTTGAGGTATGTCGCTGTTATAACTCCGCCTTCTTCTGCACTGACATGGGCTGAAATCACAGCCCTCGAGGTAAGTAGCGGAACAACAGCCATTTCGTGCACACTCGCTGAACTTCTCGCAGTACTGCAAGTCAAGCTCTCGAGTCGGAATGGGCAGCCATATCGAAATCAGAAAAGGCCCTAGCAAGCGTTGACTGCGCCGCTCTCTCTCAGCTCTGCCTAGATCACGACATAATATCATACCCGACCATAAGGTATTTCGATGGCCATGGGAACGCCACACCTTACCGAGGGTCGAGGACGGCGGATTCGTAAGTGTTCATTTCATGCCTCGATGATCGCAATCCTGAAAGACGGCCAGCATAGTATCATTTCTCCGACGAGCTTCACGGCCTGCAGTCACCACTGTCGACGAGAAGAAGGTTACAGCCTTTCAGTCCGTTGATGACGCAGTGGTGGTCGCTCATCTAAATCTACGCGACAGCCACCTTCGAACGCTTTTCGGATCCCTAGCACATCGATACAAGGATCGTGCTTCATTCGGAGCTCTACAAACGGATGAGCAAAGTTCCATCGTGTGCTATAACAACAGAGATGACGAGCAGTTGAGCACATCGGACCTGACGGCCATCGAGACGCTATCGACGTTCGTCGAATCGTGTATCCAGCCTCTTGTTGGCGAGTTCTCACGAAGGAACGAGCACAAGTATATGCAGGTAAGGCTGGCTGATTCGAGATCCTGATATGCCACAGTTATTAACTGACCACAGGCTGGGAAGTCCCTTGTCTATTATCTGGCCAAAACACGAAAAGAGCGTGAGGAATATGTCGACGCCATACGTCCCATCGCCAAGAAATACCAGGAATTCATAGTCTTCGTCACTGTGGATGCGAACGAGTATGGTCTTATGACAAATGTCTTGGGCTTACGAGCAGATACATTCCCGGCACTTTCCATCGAGAACCCCGGTCGTGGTCAGATATTCCCTTTCACCGAGGAAGAGATCACACCAGAAGCCATCGACCAATTTGTGCTGGATATCGCCGCAGGCAATGTCCAACCGTGGACCCTATTACCCGTTCCAGAACCAGTCGGCCATGCTCACGACGAACTATGAGCAAGCCGGTGCCATCGTTGAAACAGAGGGTGTAGATAGGTCAATATGCCGGCACAAGCGCGTGTTCCCACTTCCCAAGCTGGATGGTTTCAAGGAGATACGATCGTTACGAGATCTCTTGGTCAAGTTACTTATCAACACCAACACAGTTGAATTAATGTGCCCAGCAATGAGCTGAGTCAAGTTGGCAGCTAAATAGAAGGATTCGCCATGAAATAGGACGAGCTTCCGATGAGTGAAGAAGACCTTTTTTGCTGCACCCAATACGATGCGACGGGCTCAACAAGGAGCGGTGCGCGCCTGGCAATATTCGAACTAGGTCCTTATTAGGTTGGCCTATTCGTTTTAGTACTTAGCAGCATGTTCTCTTCACGTTTGGTTAGCTCTTACCACGACGTCTGGAAATATCGCCGCAAAATAGCAGCTTAAGGCATACCTTGTCAACAAGAAACATCAAATCTCGAAGGGATAGACCAGCAGGTTGCAACACCTCCTCGGCACATTCCCAAGCGTGTTGATTCAATTCCTATTCAAAATAGATTTTTCGTGCTCAAGTAACGCATCTTTCGCATCCAAGGGCCAGTTTGATGATCGATCTCTTCTCACCATGAACAGCTTCAGCAGCGTAAGTTTTCTCTACGATCACTCAGAGCCTATCCGTCTCGTCCCGTTTGGCTGGCATTACCTGATGTACAAGACACTCAAAAGGTTCACAGTGGATAGATTAGGGAGCCACATGCCGCAGAGCAACTGGGGATGAAGTTTTATTGACGGTTGTATTTGTCACTGGAGGAGAACCGCCCCTACTATATAATATACTTGGACGACTGGTCCGGGCTCTTAAAGCCCTGAATATAAGACAAGCACGAAATGCGTCCTCAAACCGACTATACTCCGACTTCTCAAACCATGCCTCTTAGTTTGCCCCAGTCCACAAAGCGGGCCCGGGAATCGTGTAGCTCGTGAAGGTGGTATACAAATTGAACAGAATACCGGGATCGGTTCTTGTGTAAAGGCTGGTGCCAGCAGTACCGGTGGGCAGGCTGACGGTGCCGCTTCCACCGACCTTGATGTTGAGACACTGTGGGTAGTTCTGGGCTCCGTTGTCGGAACCGGCGCCGTGTAGGGCGATGATTTCGTGACGGAGCACGTAGTTGCCCGCCTTGAGCTTCGAGGGGATCTTGACCGTTGACGTGTAGTTGCTGGTGGGTAGCGGGTCGGTTGCCCAAGTGCCGGAGTTGTAGCCGTTCTCGGCGATCTTGGTCCAGGTGAGGGCCGAGGCGGAGGCCGAGGTGCATTCACCTAGTACTGTTAGCGATCATCTACTTGACCTCTGTCCGCAACAGTGCATCAAGAAACTCACCACTGCATTGGGCAAGGTAATTGATGAGGGGTCCCTTGTGTGAATCACTGGGCCAAGTGTTCCAAGTAAGAGAAAGAGTGTCTCCGGCGTTGGCGCTGATGTACAGCTGGCCAGCTGTCGCACTCTTGTGGCAAGCAATGTCGCTGGTGCCAAAAGCTGATGGCTGCACGAAGCCAAGGTCTTGGTTCAAAGAATTCCATCCAACAGTCTTTGGTGACGTGCCGGCCGTGTAGTAGTACCAGACTGGATCGGCCCCGGGAACCCAGGTACCACCATTGACCCGGACTCCGTTAATAAAACCATGACCGGACGCGAGTTCCAGGAACGAGGCAGCAAGAGTCAAGAGGACGGTAGAGGAACGCATTTTGGCTGATATGAAGATGTTTGACACTACACTGTTGCCAATGAGGCAGTGGACAGGTCGATCGTCTGGACACAACTCATGTTTATATAGTCTATATCTGACGTGATTGGCACTGATCTGACCGTCACATAGGACGGAGGGCTTCTAGTCATCACGATCCCCTGCCGTTCGAGCCGCAGAGGATCACCTCGTGGTCAACCTAACACCATCCATCTATGGGATGCCGAGCAAACAGTCGAGAAGTCAAGCTGGTGAAAAAAGCAACCAAGCGCCTTTACCTGGGACATGAGCTTGTAATTGGATGCTTTCTTTTCAGGAATTACGCTATATGCCGGAGTCTTGCCACGGAGCCCCTTTCGTTATAGCTAAAAGGAGAAATGCCCGTCTTCCCTGAGTTCTCATGATTCAGAACTAAGCGACAAGCCCAACCTTTTATGTGACAGGAACAGGGTATAGTGCCTAGGCGTCGACTGGATGTGGATGGAAAATTTGTTGACCTGCGGATGGTCGTGATTCCGTTCTACTGTAAGGGGAATGTGGTGCGACATGGCGTGGCACGGTGCCAAGACACCGCCATCAAGGATCCTAAGACGTTGGCCCAACCTCGTGCCAAAGCAGCGGTAGCGGAATGAATGAAAGGCATGTGCTCTGAATGGGGTGAACCCTTCGCATTGATGAAAGTGCAATCCAGATACAGGCTTCATGAAGAGAGAATATAGCTGCAGCTGCTTGCCATGCACGAGTGTTTACTTAACGAGTGAATCCTGAATTTCACCATCCCAGGCACATGAGTGTTCATGTTATAGAATTATGTTACTCCATTATCCATAAAACGAATTGTCTCCGTCCGTCAGAAGAGATTTCGCATCATCGTCCGAATAATGGCATTTTCAACATAGATGCTGATAGATCTCACCTCTCAATTCGTTAGGTCCTTCGTCACGAGGTTCCAAATCGGAAGTTTGCCTATATTGGGTTTCTCGCTGAGTCCATAAATCCTTCCACAGATCTCAGCATTATTTAGATTTTAGGTCTTACGAATCTGTAGAAGAAGTGCAAGCCAAGACGTCGAACGAAGGCGGATATTCTTAAGATGCAATACATCTTGTGCTTTTTCAGGACGGACACCAAACCTTGTCGCTCATAGATCATGTTTCCGAGAGGCCGACCTTTCAAGTGTTCTCAACGATATCTGGGCAATAAGATACTCTCCGCGATAGCCCGATAGCCTTGGAAGGGAGAACGATAGTTGAACTTGGCCGATATTGTCTCAAGACCCTCGAGTGACAACGAAGTTGCGAAGGCGTTCCGTCTCCATGATCCAACGGCACTCAGGGACCCTCGGTGTCCCAATTGTCGACGTTGGCTTGATATAATAGAGCGTTTTCAATTCCCGTGTCAATGATAAGTTTCAAAGTTTTCAGGCCGACACAATACTCGAGCGCTTTGCTCAAGGTGGTAGGTTACTGGTAGTAAAACTGCCAGCTATATGACCAGGCACGTATGGTTTTATGCCTAACGCAAGCGTCTGCAACTGCGGTGAGTAATGAGTTGAGTTCGCATCCATCAAAGGGCGTCTTGAAATTTCTACCACCGTACAACCAAGCAATAACTTCTCCAAGGGTCTCGGTAATCAGGCTGTCTTTCATAATATCACCTTATTGAACAATCAGCGTACTGCAACGCTGGTGAAAAATCTTCAAATGGGCGGTTTCAATTATTGGTGGAGGTGGTTGGCCGTATACACTTTTGGCCAGTATCTTGTCCAAGGCGCGAACAAAATTGTAATATTGACAGTGCCCTCAACTATCTTCTCAAACGTTTACATTACTAGCCGTCGTAGATGAGGCTCCTGACATTCTTTGCAGCACATTAATTCAAAGAGACTGCCCTCAAGAGTTCGCTATGATCCCTGAGGGATTGGAAAACGACCTCTTCGAAGGCGTAGGAGGCACCGACATTTGCCCAAATCTCGCAACACCGACGGAAACGGGGGATATCGACTGTGCTGAGAGGTTTCCAGATCATGTGAAGAATTTCGGGAGTTGCCAATGTCTGAACTGGAGGAACCTTTTCACTAATCCGTACATTTGTGTCTATTATAGGGTAAAACGTCGGCACTCTCGGGTTCGAAGTGAGGGAGCAGGATACCTTGCAGAAGTGACACTTTGAATGACAAGAGATCTGACCGACATCTAGAATCATGATTCACGATTTATTACTCGTATTGCGAAGGATTGCGCTTCTGGGTAGTACCAGTTCTCGCCATGGCCATATTGCGGCCGACATGTTTGATTTCGTCACAACGATCGAGAGCAACCTATCTACTGTAGCCTGGCTCCAAATCACCACAGAGTTGGTGGGGATCATAACGCCTGACAGGAAATTGGTACCGGACCAGCAAAATATTCTGCAGTAGTAGTCGCACTATGCCAGCTTCACTATCACCATACTCATACACAAAGAATCGTAGCTTCGAGCCCCAATATGCCCTGTGCCCTTCAGGAGCTGTGCATGCGCCCAACCGGTCATGTTCAGCCCATCAACTCGCAACCTTCTCTGATGACACCCACCACAGCACCTGTCTGAATAGCTTCGCTTCCTCCTCCAGCCATACGATACTCGATCTCCGCCAACCCATCCAACCACCGTATCATGGCTTCAGGCTTGACCTCCATGGTCGCAAGAATGTCGGAAAGCGCAGTGATGATATCTGCCAAGGCCAAACCATTGGAAGTCTTCAAAGTATTGATAGTCGACAGACAACTCGTCACGTCACTAGTGGTGAGGAGTGTCTGGGCAATCTTCTCGATAGCATCGGGCGGCGGAGCAGCGATACAGTTATATATAGTCGAGATGGTGATTGTTTCTCGAACAATATCCTTCTCGGCGACCTTGGGTCCGTTCTTCGGTTGCAAAGGGGTACCTGAAGATATTATCAGCAAAGCATCCTCACCCCGCAGCTTCGCCATGGGAACTTACTCGATGCATGGCACGCTTGAAGAACATTGAGTGCTCGTCGCATGTCACCCCTGCTCAATTTCACCAAAGCATCTGTGGCATCATCGGAGATCTTGACATCCTCTTCCAAAATGACCTTGTCAACCAAAACTCTGATATCAACCTCCTTCAACGGACTGAATCGGAACCGCGTGCATCTCGAGAGTAATGCAGGCGAGAGCTTGTGTGTGTAGTTGGCAATGATGCAGAATCTGGTGTTCGCAGTGTACTTCTCCATAATCCTTCGCAGAGCCATCTGGGCCGTGTTGGTCATGGCATCGGCTTCGTCGAGTATGATGAGCTTGTAGCTAGCCATGCCACCAGGCCGAGACGAAGCGCCCATTGTGAAGATCTGTTTCGTCGACGCAAACGTCTTGATTTGTTCTCGCACCACGTCGATACCTCTGTCATCGGAAGCGTTGAGCTCTAGCACCATCTGGCGCATGTTGTGCTCGCCATAGATTCTTCGTGACAGTGCCAGGATGGTCGAGGTCTTTCCCGTACCGGGAGGGCCGTAGAGGAGGAGATGCGGCAGTCGATTCGAGTCGACGAACTTGTTGATGGTGGCTAGGATATCTTGGTGGCCCGAAACGTCGGCAAGGGAGACTGGTCTGTATTTCTCCACCCATGGCAGGGTGTCTTCGGCTTCGACAGGGAGGTTGGCGGCGCTTCGTTTGCCCTTGGCGGTGTTGTCTGAGGAGAAGATTATGTCCTTGGATGGTGCAGGGCCATCAACCTCCATCTCGTCCTCATAGTCGGACATTGTCACAGATGTGATGGTGGAAAGCTCTTGTGAGCGGGCAGTGGTACAAAAGCCTGACGTTTTGCTGCAGTATGTCCAGGCGCGAATCTGATCTTGTGAAGGTTGAATCTGAAGTTGTGCCTGGAGAAGCAGATATCAGGTTGACTGAAATGCAGCAGTTGTACAGACGCGACAAAGACGCGTTAATTGAATTCCAGCCCACCTGCAGAGAGGGCGCCAACCAATGGCTAGTACTTACCAAGCTCCCTTATTTCAGGCACAGGCATAAGTAAGCTCCACTAAGATTCGAACACTAGCGGAGCGAGGCCACTCACTCCCTGCTGGGAAGTAGTCACGGATTACAAGTGAGCAGCGAGAGAGTATGGCTCGGCCTGTGCATATCCCACTGTGCACATATGAGTTATTACCCGTTGTCATACCTAAGTATCTGCTTTAGAGACCATCTCTCAAGTCCAGAGTACACCTTACTCAATTTGATCGAAGCGCCGATCCTGTCTCCTGTTCGGCCCCGCAAAGGTCTGATGTAGTCTAGGTCAGGCGAGAGTATTACACGATACTCGAGTTCGTCAATCATGTAGGTTAGCTGCGCGGCGTCTACTCCGCAAGTTGATTCCATCAAAGTTTGCTTTATCCAACGGGCCAAGGAGGGGCTGAACACGGCGCAGCAAGGTGTGATCGCTTTTGGTTAGTTCACGTCTGACGGTCTGAATCTATGACTATTTCAAGCCAGCGCCTGCACTCCTCGCATCAAGTATTGTCCATGGCTACATTCATTCCATCCAATGCCAAGCGATAGCATGAACAATCTCGAAACGTTCCCGTTTCTGAGACTTCCACTGGAGCTCCGGCTCAGAATTCTCGAGTTTACAGATCTCGTGGCGCCACTGAACCGTATCACTTGGCATCAACGCGCGGGTTATAAGATTTCATGGAATTTTTCGATATGCATGCCTTCTTGTAAACCTCCATACGACACATGCCATCCAAAGGCGCATCAAGCTTGTGCGCCTGACCACTATGCTTGGGGCTCAAGCACATGCACAATATGTCCCCATGCTCGGCCACGCCACCGTCGCGACCCAAAGATATACTCTAACTGCTGGACATGCCGCCACTACGCATGCCAGTTTCAAAGTACTTGGAAACCACCATCTTCGCTCTTCCTGGTATGTCGAACATTGCTTGACGAAGCACAGCGAATCTTTTTCTCCCACAACCACTTCGAAATACACGATGATCACGACTGGCGAGTCTACGGCAATGACCTCTCAGAAACCCCTGTTCCAAAGCCCACTCGCTGGGCTATTAGCGAGTTTTTGTCTCGCAGGCTCAAAAGCAATTCCCTTCATTATGTCCGGTCACTGCAGTATTGGTTCTTATGTAGTGTCACAAGTCTGACAGAGCCAAACGGCGAACGAACAGTTGACGATGAGATCTTTGCAGAGCATGTCTCCATGTATCAGGACTGGCTCCAAGTCTTGGGCAACGTCAAAGAAAGACTCAAGCTGAGACTCTTCATATGGGACTGTTTTCGCCTCGAGGGAGACCTCAAGATGGACACGTGTCGCAAGATGCAGCCCGAGCAATGTTTCACGCTCGTCGAGCCTTTGAGAGACAAGATATTTGGACGTCCGATGTCCATTGAAGTTCAAGAGTTAGTTCTTGACACAGAAGAGAGCCAGGTAGAACTACGCTTGCAGTATGTACGTCAATCGCACGCAAAGGAGCGCCTTTTTCATCTCAACACCATCGCAGACGTGCGCCATTCTCGCGCCGCAAGAGCAAGTGACTCTGGCATGAGTTATGCTGATTATGATGAAGAACTAAATGCCGATATCATTGAAGAGCTTATCATTACGCAAGATTCCCAAGACGACTACACCTAACATATGGGCAATGCATGACAGTCTTGGCCTTGGCTGACAGATCCGCGGTGTCTTCGTCAATTGAACAGCAAGTTCAAAACATGCAACACCGCTGCGGTATTAGCACGAGGGAGGAAGTGGCAGGCACAAAAGGTTCACTATGACCACAATTGTGCATTTAGAGATTACCATTGTTGCAACAGAATTACCGGAAAAGCCACCATGATGTTCTGAAAATCGCAAATGGAAAGTAGACGGTATAATTTGGCACAAATAGGATGACCACATTCAGGGCGATAGATGCCCAGGTCATACAACTGCAAGCACTTTTGTGTGCACGGCTTAGAGAGACTTACGATACAGCCCTTTCAGCAATCAGAAGTAAGTCGAGAAACTTCGCCTCCCGCCCACGACAACCCCGAATTCAGTTCGGTGTAATCTGTGATCGTAAATACTCCGTATGGTAGCCCCTAGTTCATCAAACAGTGAATGGACGCCAGACGCATTCGTTAGGGAGGAGCGAAATTATGCCGCATGGGTACAGGGTGGAATCTATCGCCCCTCGAAATTCCCTGGTCCACGCTAGCTAGCGAATACGCCCACGGCGAGCAGGGGGTGGCAATGTACTGGTGATAAGCGTTGAGATCTTGTAAAAGCATAGATTTCTGTTCCCATCCCGTTCAAATTGTAAATGCGGAACTCTCACAAGATGCACATCTTCATTTCATCGGTAGCGTATCTTTCGTTGGGTAGTTTTGCTCTGGACACGGTCCAGTATGGCGCTTTGTAAGTCATAATTATAGTTCATCCATTGTTACTTCTCGGTCTGGGCTGACCACTTATAGCCTGGCAACTGGTACATACTCGATTGCTAACCAATTGGGCTTCTTCACCGCAAATGGTCTCAATGTAGTCTATAACCAGGTTCCGAACAGCACCGCGGCCTTCCAGTCGTTGCTTAATGGCCAATATGACATTCTTACCGCCACCGTTGATAATGCGCTCAACTATCGCTTCAACCAGGGACAGAATGTCACGGTTGCTGGACAACTCGACCAAGGCCCGGACTTGGTCATTGCTTCAGTGCCAAGCATCACAGATATCACTCAATTAAAGGGCAAACCAATCATCGTAGATTCACCGAGCAGTGGTTACGCTTATCTGCTCCGAAACACGCTGGCGGCTAATGGCTTGTACTTGAACAATAGTGACTATTATTTCATGGTAAGTTGGCCTGATGAGACTCCAACTACCGGAGCTAACTATGAGCAGACCGTTGGGGGCACATCTGCAAGATACTCTGCACTTATTAACGGCTCGTTGCCCAACGGCACAGAAGTCTACGCCACGATATTGAACTATCCTTTCACAGTCGAGAGTGAGGCCTTGACCGACGGGAGCGCACCAAACATTTTAGCTCGAATTTCGGATACCGTGGCGCCTATTACGTCAAGCGCGTTTACTGTAGCGCAGTCGAAAGTAGCAGATTCAAGCGAGGCTTCACTGGTCGTCCGCTTTTTGGCATCAATGTATGGCGCAAACAAGTTTTTACGATACTCAATCAACGCCGAGTGCTCAATCAGTGCCATCGCCGCACAGTTGGGAGTCTCGCAGGACATTGCTAAGACGGAGTATGCATCTGTGGTCGATAGCTTCACGGGAGAGGTGTCACCTGGTGGCAACTTCACCGTCAGCGAGGAGGGGATTCTTAATGATTTTGAGATTAGGCAAAAGTTTGGCGGGTTTGCCAATCTTGCTGCCGATTTTGATGTTGATGAAGCTCTCACTCCTGGAACCGGAAAACTTATCGACTACGCATTGAGAGATGAAGCGGTCGCACTGTTTCTCGATTCACCATATTACGGGAATTGCACATGTAGTAACGATTGAGCGTGGTCTGTTCCACCCAATCTAGTTGATTCGTTATCTATGAGTTACGCCTGCCTCATGGAACCGGCGCAGATCTGTCCGGCTTTTGGTACTAATTTGAGTCCGGGGAGCATACTCACGAGATTTCGATAGACATGTCAGGTATGGTAGTCAATACATATTAGTAGTCTATCAATGGAGTGATGTAAGGCTGTGATGAAGACAGCTGACCGCGGCTTTCCTGAAGACTACTATGGTTGGTACATACCTGAGGCATTCATTAGATTCTATCCCCTCAATGTGGCAATACATTATTCTGGTCTTCTAAGCGACATTGACAATCACATGGTTCCTTGCCATTTGCACAAAATATGGAAAGACTTCCTCTACCCATAAGAAGTCATCCTGGCCACGTTGAATGCATGGTGAACCGTGTCTAGTCAATAGTCAATTTCGGCATGCTTGCACCGAATAATACTATCAACCGAAACCTGCACTATACCTTGGTAAAGCTATATTATAAAAGGTTCGAAGGTTTTAATTAGTCATAAGTGTTACTTTTAGTTATTTGATAGTTTTATAGTATATTTACAATTTATTTCGAATCAATTTTATAAATATATCTTGGTAACTTAAGGCAATAGTTACAGTTAATTAAGAGCATTACATTCGTATCCTTACATAGCATGGCTCAGTTAACAGGCATTCACCTATAACTAAAACTCACAAGGGGAGTGGTAAGCTCAGCTTGTGTGCAATAACTAGTGGCCACTTCGCTTTCAAGGGTTCTATCAAGGTCCCTGTTGACCAGGGCCCACGCGAATTAAATCGTTCGCAACTAGTCTAGACCTAATAGATTGGCTTGCAGAACATACACCCTCACACCCTGTCAGGAAAACAATGCAATGCACCATGCATGGGGTTGGATCCCCCGTTCCCCGTTGCTGTGCATGTAATTTAGATGCGACCTACAACGGCGATGAATTTCCCAAGAAAAATTAACCTCGAAGCTTGATTGTCACACCCCTGCATTACCCACCAGAACTCTGCTTCCAAGATCGGCACCTACGCGTGGCGAGCCACAACCTCACGCCAACTATCTGATCTATAACTTACGCAGTACACTTTCGGTTCATGAAATATTGCGCTGTTACAGGTCGCCAGAAAGTTTCTGAAACACGAAAGCCCGACTAATGCTTGATCAGCAGCTACTTTTCTGTGTTCTAATAACCTAGGTATCTACGTAGCATACCATAGTAGGTCTGCTCAATAGACGAAATTGCGAGGGGGCTGTATCGTCAGTTGTCACAATCTGAATACAGGGTCTCTTTCTTTCGAAACTTTCTCGGCTCCCACGCTTGTCACGTTTGTTTGTCGCCCTTGTCGCTATGCTTCCCAACACGAGTAAAACACCCACCATTTCTTGCTGGGGGCGGGATTTTTTGTACCTAGGGTTAGTGATCCCGTCTAAATCGTATATAATCAATTGATCTCTGTTGAAACGGCCCGTACGTTGGATTTATGTCAGTACTAGACGTCGCAGCTAAACATGAAGGCTATACACGCTGCCTTCATCGTCCGGCGAGATGCCATCGACGACAACGTGCCTAACCCATTAGGCACAAGTTTGAGCCAACGCTCGGTTGTGTTCGTGTGCATATCTTTCTTCTTCGTCTCTCTAAGACTCTTCACACGATATTTCTATGGCAAGATCATTGGAGCTGACGACGCATTCATTTTTTTATCACTCGTGCGATACTCCCGAAGTAGACGTCTGTGGTCATAGAAGCTGAATTTGATGCCTAGATTCTCGCCATCTGCCTTACCGTGACTTACAACGAAGGTATACGGGCCTATTTATCCATTCTTATTCGTCACTTGGTACTAAGACATTTGTAGAAGCATTGAATGGGTTCGGACTCCACACGGATCAAGTCGATAGTGCCCACAAAGTCACAGCCTTCAAAGTGAGTCATGTAGGGAAAGTGATTGCCGTCTGAGACAGTCTGACTGGATTAGTGGTTCTTTGCAGCCCAGATACTCTACAAGGCTGCCACATGCATGACTAAGCTGTCAATATGTACGCTGTATCTTCGCATCTTTCCAGATCGTCGGTTTCGCAAGGCTGTCTGGGTCACGATCGGCATCATTGTAGCCTACACAATTGCCTCAATCTTTGTGACCATCTTTTCATGCAACCCGGTGCAAAAAACATGGGTGAAGACGATGGCTGGCCAATGCTTGGACTCCCGATCCATATGGTATGGTATGTCAATGCCGATGCACAGTACCAAAGGTATTCTCAACTCGTTCACAACAACACTGACGCCATTTCGTAGGAACTTCGGTCATGGTCATTTTGACTGACCTAATGATCATGGTTCTACCTATCAACGAGATTCGCCGCCTGCAGCTACCGCTCACTAAGAAACTGTTACTGGCCAGCCTCTTCAGTCTTGGCTTCTTTGTTGTGGCCTGTACCATCGTTCGCATGGTATCAGTGTCGCCGCAGACCACGGCGGCAGATCAAATATGTTGGTCCCGAAACCAAAGATTTTAGCCCGATTATTTGCTGACATATTTTCAAGACTATCAAGCGATTTCTAACAGCTGGACCTTCGTCGAAACAAACATTGGAATAATTTGTGCTTGTAAATTGCCATCTTCTTTCCGCGGAATGGGATAGACCCAATCTCGTTCTATTCCCATGGAGTTGTCTGCGTCTGTCTGATCACGCTCTTTATCAGCAATCGGTTGATCTTGACTATGCCGTGGAGCTAACTTTGCCAAACGCCAGGTCTACCGGTGGTTCGCATTCCAATAACACATCAGTTTCGACGATTCGGCCAATCCACCAGAAAGACGGCTCTGAGCAGCGCTCCATCCCAGAGTGGCTTCGATCTCAAGACAATCGGCCATATCCCATCCCGAAAACAACTCTCGAAGAACGACGAAAAGAATAGTAGTTTCGAGGCGCTAATTGGCGGTGATGGAGAGACCAGGAAGATCAGGATGAATATGATTATTACCCCATCAAACTCACTCACACCCAGCGACAACAAAGTCATGGCTGCCCATGGTAACCCTACAAGTAAGGATGGAACTAGTATTTGATGGCATTTGAGATGGTGTCCGCTGGATCGTGGATAATATACGAATCCCAGTGTCGAGCTGAATTATCATTACCACGAGCCCAAATAGCATCGAATACTGTTATAAGGTATTACAAACGCCAATTGATGGATAGGCCAAGCTTGATAGTCTTCGTCTCCCACGATAGTCGTCAAGGACCTGTCAATGTTAGTAAACATTAGTCCCCTGCTGTTCAACGCGCTGTGTTCTCAGAACGCCTTTGGTTTTAATTAAATAGGCCCTGATGTAACTTTTGATGTACCCTTGCATATTGCAGCTCGAACTCGGCACGATCCCTCGAGCTCAGTACCGTGACTAGATGCACTTGCCAGCATGGTACGTTCCTACATTGTTCATAGAACTACACAAGCGAGCCTTCAAAAGCCTCAATGCATTGAGTGTCGTAGATTTGAATTATGAACCGTCATGATCATGCGGCACCGCGAACTGGACTAGTCACCTTTACTCTACCCGCTGAAGTCAGATCTCAACACAGTAATTGTCTCAAAGAATCCTAATATGACAAACATCTAAAAGTCCGAGCACCTCTGCGTTGTGATTACATGTTTGTGGAGATGACCTATCTACAAACCTCATGATTGTAATGGTACAAGTGTTGGGTCGTCTCTTGGTTTGTCCCACACCACGCCAAATCTTAACCTGTGACTCAGTTGGGAGACCATGTCGTGCTGTCTACTATTTAATGCTAGTGGAAATCCTCAACATCCCAGCTTATCCTGTGGTCATCTTGTATTGTTTCCTCCGTGAAAACGTTAATCTATCCCGTATACTCGTCGAACTGCTAGCATCTCTCAATGTTTCGAGGCGACAACCGTTTGTCTCGCTCGTGGCTTCCGTACTTCTTTCGTCAGGCCCTTATCCAACCCCCGTTTTCCTCATCATCCAATGTCCAAGCTTTTGAAGACAGCTCCAGGACAAAATAGGAAAACCATCTGATTGACTTCTCCCTTGCCTAGCCTTTCTTCCGTCGTCCAGTCCTCCTGTTCCATCGCCTCATTCTCAAAGTTGTGTTCCGTCAAGCAGCGCATTGTCTGTAGCGGGGTTTGGCGTTGCTTCGCTATACATTCTGACTATGGAACATGAGTGAGTACCGTGAGGGTGAGTATTGCGCTAGATGGAGAGCTTATTTCGTTCACCGTAGCTCCTGTGGCCCACGCATTCAGCTTGATGATAACAGAACCAGGTGATTAACGGTGGTTTTGATGGGAGTCTGTGTTCATTTGATTATTTCAGATACTTGTCTGAACTGCCACTTTCGAAAGCATCACCCGGTGATTAATAAATGTACTCTCCGCCTAGCCTGCTCGTCTAGAATTGCGTGACATGATGCGCATTGGGTATTGTTGAGATATTGACTAACATGATATTTTCCGGGAACTTTCGCTTCCGATTCTATTGCGCCTTCAACGTGGGCGGCATTGTGACTCAGCGCATCGAAGCCTAAATCGACCACGACATGATACACAAGATAGCTGAATTAACGACAAAACCGATACAGGTAAGAGCCACTAGGTATTTCCTAAGTTTGATGACTACGTCATCTGTCACGACCTGATTGCGACATGAATAAGAAGCAATTGCTGTGACCGTTATCATCACGTACATAATTGTATGTTAACTATGCATCAGTGCTGTGCGACTAATGCACCGTTACTTCAGTCGAAGCCGATAAGTCGGTCAACTCGCTTCTGCGAAGTTACTACAGTGAGTACTGTCAAAACAACTTTTCTGACTTGATGAGAACAGTCCACATTTCTGACCATCTCGAACTTTTCGTGATATGGCGTAATTGATAGGAGAAGTCCATTATCCCATGAGACCCCTCACGTCCCTAGGTTAGCGCTAGCACTGCCAAGCTTCATTCTGGACAAACTTCCTCCGCCGTTACCGTCACTGCCGTAAGAGCACTCTTATGCTCAGAATGACTATGGCGAGTAAGCTGCATGCAAGAAGTTGGGCATGTGCCCTATGGTCATTGGACCGTCGCTCCAAGATGGCCTTGGCAAACCAATGACGAGTCTTGTTGAGCCTGTTGCTGGTCTGTTGCGTGGTGACGGACAAGGATTATAGCGAAAGATAACGAAATAGCTAGAGCTTCATCAAGCTGACCTGCAGATGTCCCCGCCATTCCTGTTAAGAGTATGGAAGAAACTTAAACAGCCCTCGCTCGTCTTGACCTTGGATGAGTTCAATTGAGTGGTGGTAAGCTGCAAGCTGACATAACACTTGAGCCATTCCGAAGCTGCAAGAAAGGAAGGAGCCATATTCACCATGATGTGATAGGTTGCATCATGCAATGGAGCCATGGAAGCTACGATTAGACTAAAAGATATGGTAGGCGAATGCTTCATGGGCACTTGTAAGATACGTACTTCTTCTCGACCGTTCACGAACATTGCGTTCTCACATCCTCATCTTCCCTAACTTACACGACTCTCAATGTTGCTCATGATTCGGGTTCAATTTTAACTCCTAGAGCCTAAATGAATATTTCCTATTAAGATACACTCCTCTACTCTTTGCAATACACGAGGTTTCGTGTGCCGGTGAACTCCTACAACATGGCTCCACCAATTGCCAAGGCAACTTTGTCTCTTCTACTTGCCTGCGCCGCCCCAGCAGAAGGTGTTGAGACCGTCTGGTCAGCTTTCGCATACGTTTTGAATGGCGAGCGCACTCCGTTTCACGGACCAGGAGCAAGTCATGGCACTTTGACTTCCATTGGCGCGCAGCAGATGTATTCGCAGGGATCGCTGTTCAAAACCAGATGGCTCACCACTTTATCTGGCAGTGAAAGCAATGTGACGACCAATGCTCAGATAGCCAACTTGGAAACATCAGCCATTGACAACAGCCAGCTCTGGATTTCCAGCAGTAGAGACGAATTTGTCGCTACGGGCGCCTTGGCTTTCGTACAGGGACTTTATCCGCCCAGCAAGCAATCGTTCGCCAGCAACAATGGCGGCATTGAGGCAGCAGTGCTTGCTAATGGCTCGCTTATTGACTTCCCGCTCGATGGCTACATGTACCCAAATATCCGAACTCTGTCTGTTTCAGAATCCGAGTCGGTTTGGTAGGTCACCCTGCAACACGCGATGAGACAGTAATACTGACACGATCTAGGCTTCAAGGTCACAGGACCTGTACCAACTACTACAGAGCTACTGGTAGTGGCAATCTCAAAAGCAACAAACAGATAGCTGAGCTCTATAATGAGTCCTACCCACATTATCAGGATCTTTGGTCGACAGTCTTCGATGGCACTTTCCCACTGGCCGCGGCGAGCTTCGACAACGCATATGATCTATATGACTTTGCGTCATACCAGTACATGCACAACAAGACAATTCGAGAGGTGCTGCATGAAGACGAGCTCTTCTGGTTGTCAGAATTTGCAAGCATCCAACAATATACCACGAACAGCGCTCGCAGCCTTTCTGGCTCAGAAGATGGTGACCCTATTCGTGCTATATCCGGCCGCACGTTGGCGTCTAAAGTTGTCGTTCAGTTCCAGCAAAATATATTGACGCAAGGCGACAGTTATAAGCTCAACTTGATGTTTGGAACATTTGAGCCGATGCTAGCATTCTTTTCGCTCTCTGGACTATCAACAGGTCGTTTGTCGGGGATGTTTCAGGAGATACCCAAGCCTGGTGGCGCAAGTGAGTTGTTCAATCACAGAGCTCGTCCTCAGACATGCGGCTAACAAAACTGGTAGTTGTTTTTGAGCTCTTCTCGGAAGGAACCGATACTACGAACCTCCCCGATTCAGATGACTTATGGGTGCGCTTCCTTTATCGGAATGGCACGGATGTGGATGCACCGATTCTAGAATACTCTCTTTTCGGCAATGGCAACTCGGAGACGCGAATCAAATACAAAGACTTCGTCTCAAACATCCGAGAATTCTCGCTAGACGACATCCCGACATGGTGTGAGATCTGCGACGCAGTTAGCATATTCTGTTCGGCAACGCGGCAAGCGTCTAGTCAAAATTCAAGCGCTACTAGCAGCTCCAAAAATCCCAATATGTCTCCTGTAGTGGCAGGCGTTATTGGCGCGATCATGGGAATCTCTATAGTTGCAGTGGTTGCCGTGTTACTTTTTGTGTTTGGAGGATATAATTTCCGTCGCAAGCCGGCAGGTCAAAAGGCCGCTGTTGGAGGTTTCAAGGGTGCTGAGAAGATGTTATCAGACATGGACTTGTCCGTAGCCAAGAATGGCGCTAGACATGAACGTGTTGGAAGCTGGGAACTTGGCGCATCTTGTCGCCCTGTTGCCACGGTCTCGAAAGACGAGCCTATCGTCGGTGCAACTTGTATGCGTAATATTGATGACGACGGCGACAGCATCATCATGCATAGCGAGCCTGTTAAGCCTCGAGAGGGGGTTTGAATGGTGACCATGGTGATCGGCTTCTTTCTTGCTCGGTGGAATTCCTTGTCTATTATATTTCTTACTGTCATTGATACCCTTGTGATATGGCTTCGGTGCATTGACCATAACAGATTTCTCTGGTTTCTGGAAACAGTGGCGCTTTGTGTTCGAGTCAAAGCTTATTTGACAGCTCTTGGCAGTCTGGCAAGCCATTGCATCTGAAAGAGGAGATTCCCCAAACAAGAGGCGAAGCATAATTAGCCTTGTAGATATGGATTGCAACAAGTAAAATCACAATTGCGACTGCAGGATTAGCTGATGTAAGCCCTAGTGAATGCACTGTCCCTGGCATTGACACTCCTTTTGCCGCTTATGTAAAAGTTCCAGGGCTACGCGTAACTAGCACCATAAGTAGAGTTAGAGCGAAGATATGGTCTATCCAACGCGAGCATCGAGACTTGAGCTGGATCAGCAATCAAACTAGAATTCAAATGTCAAACATGCTTTGATTTGAGTGAGTATATGGCTCATTGACTTTCGCGGTATCTCTAACATAGTGCAACACGCGTATGTACCTCGAAGGAGATTGAATGCTTTCAGTTTGTGCTAAGCACTGAACTTGATGCCAAGAGCGCGTCTGGGTAGCCGTCGGAGCTGTTGTCTTTTTAGCGGAGCTGCAACCTCGGCTAGTCGCAAATAGTAGCCCAACTTGTAAAACCTCCAGCCAAATCATGTCTCTCAACTCAACGCACGGGCTTCAACCTCAACTGTGACCTTTGCAGCAACTTATCCCTCGCATAGTTCATAAGACTCTCATCGGTTACAGTCTACTGCTAGGAAAAACTACGGTAATCGACGCGGGGAATTGGTATATTTTTGTGTCGGAAATGTCGCCGCATCATCAGAAAAGCCAAGGCACTGCGACCAAAGTGCCACAGATGCTGAACAAGATAGCGGAGTCAACCGGCGTAGAAAAAGTTCAGGAGTATATGGACTGGACTCGGGAGAAGGGACAAGATCCGGAAACCCAGGTCAGTCTACCAATCGCTAGGTTGACATGTCGCCATCCTTCAGGAGTACTGCTATGCTTACTTGTTCAACCGAATTTGGTGAACACTGCTTGCATTTCAAACAGCAACACTATCTAGCATCCTTCTCCTGGTGCCATCTACACGATGATTTGTGCTAATTCCCCGAACAGGACTGGATGACCAATATCATGCCATATTTAGAGGTCCATTCCCACTCTAGCGCAATGCCGCATCCGCGTCTCAATTTCCGGTTCACAGTCCAGCCTGTCCACTGCAATCAGATGAACAACCTTCACGGTGGTTGCACGGCAAGCATATTTGATATATGTACAACTTTGCCATTGCACCTTATCAACAAGCCAGGTTTCTGGATGTATATGGGCGTAAGTAGGACGCTTAACACCACTTATTTGAAGCCCATTCCTTGTGGGACGACGATCGACATCTTCTGCGAGATTTTGTCGATAGGCAAGAGGCTATGCACTACCAAAGGCGAGATGAGAGCAGTGGACGAAGATGGCAATGTGGGTGCGTTACTAGCAGTATGTGAGCATGGGAAAGTAAGCACGGATCCTCAGATGCAGAAACTGTAGACGACGGACGAACAAGGATCTTATCATATTCGATGTTATGAGCGAATCGAGACAATGAGGACCTTGTTTCGACCGACCATGGGAGCAGGACCTACACCGCCTCCGATGGCAATGACAATACTGACAGATCAACATAAGGAGAGGATATGTAGCTATCCATATTCAAAGGCCTGACATTTGAGTCTATCATGATCACGATCACTTGAATGGAGTGACTTAAGTGGCAGTCATACCCATGACTTTATGATAAGCCTCCATTGACCTTTTCCAATCTCTTGATGACAGCTTACTCGATGCCTACATGTTTGGGCTTTATTTTGTAACCTCTAGAAGACGAACTAGATGGAAGTGCATAGGGTACCAAACATGAACATATTAATTTCAACTATCACGGGAGCCATATGAGCGATAATCCTGCCATGTATAATGCCGCCGATAAGTCTATTATTTCTCGATTAATGGAAACTTTGAACCGCGAAATTTCTAGCCGGTTGTGGGCAATCACATTCTGTCTGTCTTTCAAGCAGCGATAGAGTATTACACGTATGATTGAAAACAACTTATAGTTTAATAAATTCTCTATTAGTCCTTGATAGGGTGAGTCTTGTCATTATAGTGGTAGTCGCCGGTGGGAAGCCTATCCTAACGGCCGATATACAATCGATGGTATTTCAGACTTCCCAGAAAGAGGCGAACAGACCGTAATTATGAGGTGGGGAGACTGGTAGACATATGTAAGCCAAAGTATGATACATGAGGACGAGTTCTGAGTAACTAAAACCATTGCCATTGCCATTGGGCTCGCAGCGTATAACAGAGCCATGTCAATGAATCAGATCTTGTAATCAGGCTGCTTCAACCAGAAAGTCGTTCCTTTCCTACTCAAAGTTAATGTTACATAGAAGAATAATTAGCAGTGTTTATCTGTATATAACTTGTTGAGTCAATTATTCACGCCCTTTGCCACAGAATCGGCCGTGTCTCCGTTTAGCTAGCTTAACCATGTGCTTTTTCGTTGAGAACATAACATCTAGACTCATATTCTGTGTGCACCCATAAAGGCTACTTTTATTCTGAGACAACACAGGATAGGTAGGACGATTCTTACCTGCTATGCGGAATAGGCACATTTCATCAAGTTGCTGTCTCTCACACACGGCACTTCAGTCTTCGTCGCCAGCAAGGCTATGTAGAAAGTCGGACATAGGTGAGAATTCATAAAGGAACACCAAAAAGTCATGTATCTTTGCTGCAGCTGTCATGGTTTTAGGGTATGATGACTTTGCGGGATTGGGTTTAGCCAGTGTGACTGACCGGTACAGCGCTCGAAACGGCAAAATTCCAGAGCATATTCGTGGATCATTCCTTGAACGTCAATTGCATGAATTCATCATCATTTCTCATATCCTTAGAAACGCGCGTGATAAGTCGCATTGTGCCAGTGCCACCTGACGAACCTATTTGGGACAGGTCGTCCGATGGGACTCTCGAGATGTGTGTAGTGGCAAGATAGCTCATCGCATGTCGGATCCGGTCCTCAAAACATCGCTTCGCTAAACTGCGGGGCGACAGATCACCAATTCCCAATCATCTGTACCTGACTCGCGATTCCACAACTACCCACATGCAGAGTAAATCCTGACAGTGCATCTAGGGCGGCATTTGGACTCGGACAGGCGGTGCAATATGCCTGATCGAGACTCCTTCCGCCCGAATCATTGGCTTCAGTTGTTCGCAGTGGCGGCAATGCCCGTCCGACACCCTTCGGCCCCAGTCTCTTGGGTCCGGAAATGCTAAGTGCATGTAAGCTGCGTGAGGCTTATGTCGAGGTCATCGGTTGTGGGCTTCGTCAGTTGAGATCTTCCACCCAGGGCCGACTACGGATATCATCCTTCAGGGACAAGTCGAGACTTCTGATTCAGATGCCAAGCGATGGTTCTTCTGACCTTTGCCTGCAAAATACAAATTTATGCTGCACAAAGCTACGACCTCCATTCGCATTTGTTTACCTACCATGTCTGACCAATGCGTGCCTGAAGTCGCGCCACCATTTACTGTTGCCATTGTCGGTGCCGGCATCGGTGGTTTGGCACTTACGCAAGGCCTAAGACGACACGACGTTCCTTTCACGCTGTATGAGGCGGCGCCATCCTTCAGTACAGTCGGGGCTGGCGTGGGCCTTGGTCCCAATGCCATACGTGCCATGGAGATGATACAGCCTGGGTTCACGGAATTGTACGAGAGCATATCCAGCGGGAACGTCACCCCAGGGAAAGATCATGTGATGATGGACGCAATGTTGGTGGAGGAAGGCCTGGGTGAGAAGAGGGGCTTGCGGCCGATGTCCTATGGAGCACCATGTTATGATCGAACAAGTGCGCATAGAAAAGACCTGCTTGACATACTCACGGCTGGGATTCCCGAAGAAAGCGTGCGCTTCAATAAACGCGTAAAGAGTTTATCACAAAACGAGCGGGGTGTGGCCATTGTATTTGAGGACGGAGAGATTGTCCAGGCGAGTTGCGCAATTGGTTCAGATGGAATCAAGGGTGTCACTCGTGGTGCTGTCCTTGGCGGCAGGTGGCCTGAGTATGTCGAAGCCGAATATACTGGCAAATATGTATATCGATCCATCATACCAATGAGGGATGCCATGAGGATACTCGGAAATGATGTGGACGGTAATAATATTGCTGGTGATGCCAAGATGTTTATGGGGGATAAATCCATCGTTACAATGTTTCCGATCTCAAAAGGTACCCGATCTAACATGGTATGTTTCCGACTCGACGATGGACTATGGACTCATCCGGAATGGACAAAGCCTGTCGCTCGAGAAGAAATGATACGGGACATTGCAAATCTCGGTGTCGATAAGCGCCTAGTCAAGCTACTTGATGTGAGTAATCTGAAGCCAGTTACTACGTTGGTAGAGTCGAATTTGTACTTACTGATCTTACAAGTGGGCGAATCCTCTTCAATGGGCTCTCTTCCACCATCTCATCACACCGACATATTTCGATCGGCGACTATGTTTGCTTGGCGACTCTGCTCACGCCACTCTGCCGCATCAGGCGTCCGGAGCTGGTCAATGCATTGAGGATGCTTTGATTATGTCGCGGTTGCTAGCCCTGGTCAAACACGAAAGCCAGATCCAGGCAGCATTCTCTGTATTTGACGGAATTCGTCGGCCACGGGCTCAACGCGTAGTCCAGACTAGCCAAGAAGCTGGTGATTTGTGTGCGTTCAGGGCCCCCGGGATCGGATCAAACATGAACAAGATTGTGGAGAACCAAGCCCAGAGATACTTTTGGATTTGGCTTCACGATCTAAATGAGGACGTGAGGAAAGCCGAATTGGAGTTCAAGGTAATGACAAGACGTCCTATTGACACGGCGTCCCTTCACCACGAATAGCTGCGCTGACCTGTTGAGGCATCTATTCATGAGTCATACCCACGTGTAGATCGGTCGTGTATGGCCAGTATTTTAGCGGAGCCATAGAATATGAAGCTATTTGAACAGGATCAGCACCAAGATGTGTGCAGCTTACAGGCATGTACTTTTACCCAAGAGATGTGAAGACCGTTACAAAGGAACCTGTGCCTAAACTTGTGATTGAAATTCGCTTTTGTGATTCATGTCAGATAAACCCATTTCTGATGATTTAGTTGATGCAACGCAAGAAGAGCGGTCTGCTCTGGTGTGCCATGAAACCTGTCCACCGGTCGACATCGCCAAGACGTGGAAACCAAGCCAGGATTCAAGGTTTGAAGCCAGGCACAACCTTACACGCCACATTGAAACACCACGCGGGAAAGTCCCATACGCTGTCACTTATTTACATTGAAAGAATTCTGGTAGTTCTATAGCTAAAAAGTTCAATTGCTTGCAAAAAGAATTGCTATGATGGTTCTCCAAGCAGGCTACAACGTTCCCCCCAATATCTCCACGCCGAACGTCCCGGCCTCCTGGTAGCGGTGCAAGTAGTACGTCCAGAGCATCGTCAACGGTTCTTGGGGTAAAATGTACCAGGATCTTGCACATCTCGCTCGCATTCTCATAATTGTGATACACTCGGAATTCGCTTACCTCGCCACGTGCTTCGCTAGGACCTTAGTACTATACATGAGCGTAGGTGGATCTATACGTTGAACTCGTGCTCAGAGTCTCATCGGGCTGAATGGTCATACTAGCCCCCAGAGAGTGAAAGAATGTGGGATTCGAAGCGCTAGACTAGAGCACGCTTCGTGGGTCTTGAAGGAATGCATCTAGTTAAGGTAACTTAAAACACCTCTGACAGCTGGCTAGACGATGTTTTGGATAGGTGCTTAGCGAAATCTTTCCGTTAACCGGCTCCGTTGTATAATCATCTGTACACGTATTATTTCAATCTAATTACGATCCTTCGTAGGACGTGCCTAGGTTAGATACTGCTGCGTGATCGACACTATACGGGCGGGGTTTGGCGCCATTCCCAACTCCGACACCTCCACATCAATAAGCCTTCGGAAGCCGGCATCCGGCGCAGTCCTGCATTCGCCGGCTTTCCTGCCAAAGTCACGATGTGATGTGATGAACTTTCTTTTAACCCAGCATCCGCAGCCTGAAAGCATCTTTTTGCCGAGCACTCCACTTATCGCTTAACCAGTATCCGAAGACTTGGGAAGTAGGGCTGACCACCACGTGGTCTGCTAAAGATATCTCACGATGCCAAGCCGACGTGTACCACCTGAGCGACGCAAGCGTACAGAGATTAGTTGTGACAAGTAAGCTTTTCGATTGCATTGGTTCGTTCACATACATATAGCCTGGCTCGCTGTGGTCATGTTACAAAAGCGTTCCAAGTTTTACTTACACACAACTATAGGTGCAAGTCGCGGAAGCAGAAATGTCATCGGCCAGCAGAGACCCCGGAAGGTGTCGAACATGCGCCATGCCGGTATTGTCAGTCACATGGCTTCGAGTGTGTAACAACGCAAATGAGGAGGAAGCGTATGTACGGTTCGGCGGAGGGTCTCGGGACACGTTTGAGCCTTCTCGAGAGTCTAGTCAGGGGACTGGTACCGGAAGCAGACACATCTAGCATTGAGGGCATGCGTGCTCTGGGGGCTTCACTCGGAATCCCACTGCCACCGCCAGAAGAATCGACGCTGCCCTTGGAAACAGAAGAGAATATTGAGCAGGGTTCTCGAAATCAGCAAGAAGACGTTCCCGTCCTACGTGACCAACAGGGCCAAACGCAATACATAGGCCCAGCGAGCAGTTATGTCTTCCAAATTCGAATACGATCCCTTTTCGCTGGCGGCCAACCTCAGAATCAAGGCCAGTTTTTCTTATTCGGAAGTAACCCGACCGATAAGGCATGGATGGGCGAAGTTACAGACCTTGGAAGGGAGATGAGTTCTGGGAAAAGCCCGATGACAAACCCATCCGCTTCTTCGCCTGTGGGTGTGGACAGAAAACCTGCATTCACCGCGTCTCCGGCATCTACTATGCAGGACGTAATAGATGGGCCAGTTCCAGATACCCTGATCGCAGCATACTTCGACCGTATACACTCCGATTTCCCAGTACTGCACGAAGCCTCTTTCCGTGAAGAATACGAACGATTCTGTCTTAACCCGGCATCACTGACCACAGAGGCGGACCCAACATGGATATGCAGTTTACTGTGCGTTTTGATTTTAGCCAGGCGAACGACCTCTATCGATTCATTCTCTCTCAAACAAAGTCAGGACGCCGAAGATCGATGGTGGAGAAAAGTACAAGCTCTATTGCCCAGTGTCGTTTTTACATCAAGCGTATCAGCAGTGCAGGCGCTGCTCCTAGCTGCTCTACACTTGAACAACACCAACCACAAAGATTCGAGTTGGACACTGACCGGCACAGCCGTCCGGATAGCAGTCGCCATTGGCCTTCACCGGGAAGCTAAGGCACCTTTACATACACCACTGGCACGAGAGTTGCGCAAGCGCGTATGGTGGACACTATATCAATTCGAGCTGATGCAAGCAGCATCACTTGATAGGCCAAGTGCAATCGATGATGCAGCATGCTCAGCAGGGAACCCACGCCAGGCTATCCTTGACATGGGATCGGCAAACAGCATGGCTTATTCCAATCGTCTCTTGATACTGCTTTCGCAAGCCTGCCGGGTCGTGAGGACCATCAACAACACAAGTGAGGTCAACGAAGAGCCGTTCAGCGGGCCGTTGTCACCCGCTGCCGCACTGATTAGGGATTTGCGACGGTGGAAAGAAAGTCTGCCAAGACATCTATGCCTAGAAGCTGTGAGCGGCCAGCAACCGTCATCGCAGCGGTCCATACTATTACTACATGTCCAGTACCACCACGTACTCTGTGTCCTCTCCAGGTACGGCATGCTTGCGCTGGCCAGCCGACTATTCTCCTTAGAACCTCGGGCCAACCCACAACCCCAACCTGCGCAAAGATGTACGACCTTATCAGATGTCTGCACTGAAGCTGCACAAGAGTCCGTTCGTATTCTCTTGAGATTAGTTGGTATCGGAGGCTTCGACTCGGTGACCTGGTGGGATTTCTACTTCCTCTATGCCGCAGCGTTGGTCTTAGTCCTCAACATTATCAGCGAAGTCAAACAGCTGAGCCTCGACCCTTCCTTCAAACCTCGATGGCTGAACAACTCTCGGTCGCTGTTGGCTTCCTGTGCTGAATTTTCTGCCAAGCTCCAGCAGAACCCACTGGTCCCTGGTACCACGCGCCGATATGCAATGGTCATTGAAGACCTGAATCAAATGAGCCGCAACTTCTCTGCGGTAGAGCCTATATCACACGCACCTCCGCAACCTCAAGCACAAGCTGAGACCTCACACCATCACTTGCAGGCTCAGCAGAACGAAGTTTACCAACAAGGCTTAGTAGATGTAAGCCATACAATGCCAGAACCGCAACAGGCGTTACCAGGACTATACATGTCACAAGGCCCGACAGGTATACAATTTGTACCCGACTTTTCAGGCAACTTTGGTTACCCGGATGCTTCGTGGGGATGGAGAGAAGGACAATGGAATGACATCGCCTCCATGCTTCTGGGCAACGAGTACGGCCACGGGTAGGGAATGCCGCACTAGCAGTACGTGTTGCGTGCGGGGATGGATGCGGATACGATTTTTGACGACTGAGGCGTTGAAGGGCTGGTTAATTAGCATAAAAGATACCCCGAACCATAATATCGAAATACCAGTCTACTATGTTTGCTTTGCTTGAAGGCTTCGCCTATGGAGTCAGTTAAAATCTGGCGGATATCTTTGTTCAACGCATTGTGGATATGTCCAGTAGATCAAGCCCGTCATTAATAAATTCAACAACCGGCGTTGCAGAGTGACCTGTGGCGCATGATGTCTGGTCATGTCATACTCGAAAGCCAGAATGACATTTCCAACCACATTGAACAGCCGGAAAAGCCTAAGAAACGAAAGGTGAGTTGCGTACTTTCGGTTACAGTGATCTTGATCTCGAAATTGAAGACCTCAGACACAGCTGTTGCACTCACATGTTTATCGCGAATAATGCCAGTGTAGCCACCGAGCTTGCATGGACCTTCCCATCGGAATGCATCCTCAGTTCTTTTGCGACCCCATATATGGGTGGGATCCAAAGACCCATGATGATAAACTCCACGATGCCGACCCAATGATAGGTACGCACTCGGTTACCTCTGAGCATAAGAAAGGCCATGCAGACCCATAATAAGACGAGGTTTACCTGTCCAACGGCAAATAATTAGTCAGTCATCATCAAATTCTCCAAACAGCCTTCAAAACTCAGAAATTGAGAGGATCACTCACTACAGAAGGAGCAAGCACGACCAACTCTTCCCTATAATATACTAGGCTCAACGCCGCGGCCACCACACCCACGGCGAACTGCGCAAAACCCAGACACAGAAATGCCCACAGCACTCTATAATACCCGTCATAACACTGGACATGGAATTGCTCATTTGCCCAGCTGTGCGGTCCGGCCACCGGCCACCCGCACCACCTACACACCCAGGCCTTTTGCGCATTCGCCAGCGGAACGCTTACCCCGATCTTGAGCTCGCGCTCATGCACGCTACACTGGAAACACTTGCTACTCAGTGGAGCCCCATTTGGCTGCTGCTGCTGCTGCTGCAGCTGCAGAATCAGGGAGCTGCGCCCGGGCGTCTCGAGACACCGCTGACAATGACCCGTGAGCTGGCTCGCGAGGCCCTGCTGGCCGCCAAAGAGCGCGCGCACATACTCTGGACTGAGTAAGAACCGGTAATACCGAGACGTGCGTCTGAGGCGCTCGATATCGCTCAGTCCTAGGTATGTTATCACGCAGAACTGCAGCTCGGTGGGCAGAGCCAGGAGGCGCGACTCGGCGGCTGGGCGGTCATGATCATCGTCGTCCGGGTCGTACCACGATCTGCGTTTCTGTCGCATGCGGTCTGCCATGTTCTCTAGGGGCTGTATGGACCGCCGCAGGGGAGAGGCGGGGGGAGATATGGGTTTTCCATCTTCATCAAAGAAGTAAAATGCGGCGGCGCTGCTGCTGTTGCGTGCGACTGCCTGGCGTATGAGCAGGTCCAGACCACTTGTTGGCGTGATCGTGTTGAGTCGGTCGTCTTTCCAAAGGTCTCTGGGAGTTTTGTCTGCGAGGGACTCACGCTTCCTCGTTAGTGATGTCTCCTGGATGGTGACTTTCTTTTCCATCTTATGGTTTATTCACTCGCACGCGTGCCTGGAATCTGATTTTGAAGCTTGAAGCGAAAATCTTCATACGCGAGGCTCAAGCTGTACTTAAAAGAGGTTCGGGTAATACTGGCAACTTGGAAACACCTCCAAGGCTGAAACCTGACTCGTATGACCCGGTCTGCAGCGATCAGACGGGGGGTAAAGGTTGAAAAAGGTAGCAAGACAAAATGTCAATGGTTCGAGCCACTTCCCCGGATCTCGTCCGAAGGGTTGTGTTAATCACAGGGTAGCCTGCGACCAAAGAGGTGAGCAGCATGACTATGTGGAGGCGCTGGAGATGACTGCACGTGGGAGACATACTCTCGCTGGGGGCAAGCAGCATCATATCGATGTATAGAATTTTTGTCCACGGAAACGCTACTAACATATCGCCACCACCCGCGCTGGAACGTTGAAACATTGAAACTGAATTTTGAGGATGGAATTTGTGTATGTAATGTCGAGCTTTTGTGGTTGTCGCATCCTAGTCCGCCAGTCCAGCATTGCGCTCAGGCATTATACGACGAAACAGGAGGTATCGGCCAAGTACTTGGCGGGGGCTGATCTGCAGAAGATGACCAGGCGAAATGCTGGAGCTGAGGTAGGCAGCAGATAACATGATGTGTGGCCTGCGCGAGAGTGCCTGGAGAAGCGCAATCACAAAGGTTATTTCGATTCAGTGGTAGCCGCTTTCGAAGTCGATGCCACATAAAACAACGCCCAGGTACACATATCATCTTGTCTCCATTGCTATGGCATTTCAGTCTATTGACTCACCATGGATTTGATTACTGACCAAAGCCAGACATATCGAAGTTCATAAAACTTCTTCTCAAAATCTAGAACAGACTTTGGAACGCATATTCTTTCACGCATGCTTTCTATAACTAACTCATCAAAAGAGGCAAGGTGAAGCACATGCAAACAATGAATTGGCTGATAATCTGATTTCATTTTGATGCGCCAAACCGCCTCTTGCTCTTTGTCAAGGCGGCCTCCTCGCAATGCAGCTTCTTCGAGTCTGTGTCAGAAAGCTCACGCTTATGAGCCACCAGGCCCGCCAAGCAGAGCGAATCTTCTGACGATTCCTGGTCCATACTCTTGGTACTGCTCCAAAGTTAGCACGTTTGACACAGAAAGACAATATCGCTGGACGTACCTCTGCCTTAGTGTGACAGTATGACTTGAACTCTGGAGTCTGTCCCAACAAGCTACCACCGAACCAAGGACCATGCCGTTGTCGCTTATGTGTGATGACCTGCACATCCAAGCCGCCGCTCTTGGCACCACCGCTGCGCACCTCGCTGGCCTTGATTCTTGCGTCCACCAAGTGCTTGATATCTCTCTGTAACCTTCTGCCAAAGTCCTTGTACAAGGTGCTACCTCCGGAAAGCACAATGTTTTTGTACAGACCACGACGCACATCGATAGGACTTTGCTGAATGACACCATCGACGACCACAGGCAGCGGCGTGAGGAAATCGGAAGAGTAGATCTCGGGGTTGAAGAAGATCTCGGGGGCGAGGAAGCGCTCGTAACCGACATCGACAGAAACTTGGCGGCCGCCGGGCTGAGTGACGACATGCTTGGCGAACCGACTCCTGTCACGGTCGAAGCGGGAGAACTCCTTGACGATATCGGGACAAACGTAACAGTATTCCTCCTTGATCTCTTGCGCCGTCTTCAAAGAGCTGTCGGCCTCGCCACGGTCTCGCAGAAGTGATTGCACGAAATACGTGATGTCTCGACCGGCAATAGGAATAGACTTGATCGAAGAACCAATTACGTAACCCTCAGCGACAGGTATGACGTGGGTGACACCATCACCGGAGTCGATGACTGTTCCGGTGAGGGAGCGATCTTGCACCTTGGATGACGTCCACGAGGCGGCGAGAGCGAGGACTGCCTGAACAGCGATGTAGAGACCGGCGCAGTTGAAGGACTCGAAGAAGATCTCGGCCGTGTTTTCACGGTTCTCGGGAGGGTTGAGGGGCTAGGCAGCTATAGTCAGTACTGGCCGCTAGAGCTCGTGGCAGTCGAGGCGTATCTGAACGTACAGGCTCAGTAAGCAGGAAGTGGTGGTCTTCGGGTTCGACTCGAAGGTACTTGAAGATGGAATTGGACCAGAAACGCTCCATGTGATCCTAAACATGTGTTAGCCGGCTGGCCTGGGAGCATCCTCTCGTCGCTGCTCATACCCAGTTCTCAATCTGACCATGTCGGATGGGGTAATGTAATCCATATCCTGTCGGCCGTCAGTATTTCGGCTTGCCCTCGTGTGCAAGGCGGTCAATGATGTGCTTACCAGGTCCATTTGCTGCTGTGATAGCCTCGTCGCCGATGAAAAAGTCCAAGTCCTCGGTGCCTCGCTTTCCTGACAAGTGGCCGCCAGCTCCGGCGCCTCCGGTCAAAAAGGAAGGCTTGTTGGCAACAGATGGTCGACCTGATCCTGAGCCAGCACCACCGGCGGCTGGGCCTTTCGTTGCGATGGCCGTAGGAAAGACGAAGGAGGGCGAATCGTTACCGGCGAAACCTATAGACACGCGACATGTCTCGTCAGCGCCACGGTCGTCGCAGTGCAGCAATTGAGCTCCCGGACGGGTGTAGAGTCCTTACCAAGCTTGGAAAAACCGGTACCGCTGCAGAGAGAGAGAGAGAGAGGGACTAGATCAGCAATGTCCTCAATGACAAGTCGCTACGATTGCGGGGTCAGGAGAAGCGACCTACTTGTCCATGACAACGGCCGGCGTTTGGTTCGCCATGATGAAGAATCGAGAATAATGGTCGCAGAGGGATGTGTGTATCTGACCTGCCCAGCTCCGGTGCAGTCGACTCGGAAGATGTCGAGTACTTGTCGGGGCTCAAGGGGGTAGCGTGGTCGTCTCCCAACAGTGCGTTTGCCTAGACTACGAGATAGTCGATAGCATGGAGCTGGAGCTGGAGGTTGCAGGGTGAGCTGTGACTGTGACGACCTTCTGTGGCGGTGCAACCATGGGCTGGGAATGGCTGGGCGGGTGGGCTTGGGCTTTGGGCGGATGTGGGGTCGATTTGGGGAGCGATTTCCAGTTGCAGACAGGCCAGCTCCAGGCGAGCCTTGCGCTGGAGAAAGGACCCCAACCCGCTAAGAAGACGGAGGTTACTGACCTTGGGTAGGTGACCTTGTTGGCTATAGTAGGTGTGTGTACGTAGGCATCCTTCTTGTCAGGAAGCTGCCCAGTTACAAGTTCATAACTGTCGCATGGGAATGACGCGGCATGCATGGTATGTTCTGTTCAATCAAATCATTGTACACGCCCGCCTACTACTATTGGAGGTAGGAATCTAATTGGCCGGTCTCAGTTGTGCAAGCTCACCCATCTTCCAAATATCACTAGCATCATCGGCAACAACGACCTGGGAGTGCATTATCTTTGGATCCGCCAGAGAGAAGACGACGAAAGGAGCACTTACTCTCATACAACCCACGTGAAGCTGAAAGAAGAAAGGCAACAACGGAATTGGCTTGGGTGACAGATGAGCAATGGTTGGTTGAAGCAGTGGTTTGACTCTCAAACCTACTACTTCACCATCTCCTGGCCCTCTTTCACCTACTGCCTCTCACTGTCATCATCCATCGACCCTGGTCGATGAGAAGCATACTCTCCATATATCATACTAAATCATTCCTATTCATATTGTTGTTCCTCTCAAAGGACCTTGTTGCCCTGTAGCTTTTCTGCTCAGCGAGTTGAAGAAATCTTCAGTCGCTCGATGAGTTGGCAGTGTATTCCTGGCCTTTTTCTCACAGTCGGGTCATACTTTGCACCGCCCAAGGCCCCAAAAGCTGTTGACCAGTTCCTTTGATCCGTAATTGTGCCAAATTCTGCATTCAAGCGCAGTTCTTGGCAGAACCTCTTGCCATTCAGCTCCGTCAACAAGCCCCCAATTGTTCTTTGCTGTGCGTCTATACCCAGCACTCATCTTGAACGAGCACAATCGACCGTACAACAGCAACTTGTTCCAGAGGCACTGAAATTCGGCGACGCAGACGATAAAATTTATTTTTTTAAAGGAACAAACATTTACTTCCTTACAAGCAACATCTAGTCTAGTCGCCGACCTCCTTGTTGCTTGTCACCTTGCCTAAGCAAAGCGGGTGGTGGTCTTCACAGCGACAGTACAAGCACAAGTCAGAGCCTTCTATGATGGTGCACCAGTATGCGGAAGGTTCTCCTTCCTCAAAAATTCAGGCATGTGCGCCTACCATCAAGTCCCTCCTCGGAAAAAGAAAGTTCGAGAGGGAGATGTCTAGTCCGGTTCAGCAGCCAACACCAAAGTCCGATCACATCATGATACTCGACCATGCGGCCAAGGAGGATATCTTGAAGCCTGGTGCACAGCGCGAGTATGATAAGGACATCGATGCGCCCGTCTATCCTCCCAATTCTGAGGAACCCGATTGGCATGGTGGTGAGCAGGTGGCCTGGTGGTTGGATAGTAGCAGTGACCATAAGCCTCCTGTCGCAGCCATCTTCATTCATGCTGGAGCTGGTTACCATAGCGTTACCAACGAGAGGCTTCATCTGGACGCCTGTAGCGAGTAAGTACCAGTTTCATCCAAGTTGACCCTTCGATCCCATCACTGACGGAGAATAGTGCTGCCCGTGCCGCGATGAAGCTTCTGAGAATGGGTGTTCCGGCTGTCGAAGGTGTTGAGGCAGCTATCAAGGTGCTCGAAGACAAAGAGATTACTAATGCAGGCTATGGAAGCAACCTGGCCATAGATGGCACAGTCGAGTGTGACGCGACTCTTGTTGATCACTTTGGCAGAAGTGGAGCATGCGGTGCTGCACCGAGTATGTTATCATCCCCCAATGCAAGTTGTTCATTACAATTTGGCTGACATAAATACAACAGATGTAAAGAATCCTATCAGTCTAGCCAAGTTAATTCTCCACGAAAGCCAGAAGCCACTGAGTCTTCGCAGGGTTCCTCCCAACCTCCTTGTTGGTAAGGGTGCCAAGGAATTTGCGAAAGAGCATGGAATGCCTCTGGTACCAAACGAATGGCTCGTCTCCAAGAATGCAAGAGACCGGTACAAGAGATGGAAGCAGGACCTGGAAGGTGCCAAGAATCAACCTATCATGACTGCTGAGACCAGGTTTTCTCCCCCCGAACAACTGGACAAGAGCCGCGATAAGCGAGATCATACCACGGCCATCACAACAGGCACGTGTAACGAAGGACAACCTGATTCTCCTGCCGGCCCGGGTACTCCTCTTGAGGATATCACAACTGCTGAGTCCGCAAGCCCTGGTCAGTCAGGCCAGTCTCAGCTGCAGATTCCACCTAACCTGAAATCATCACAGAGGGTGACTGCTGAGCGAAGTCCCTTGAGCTTCCTGGGCGCTTTGACGAGTCCTAGAGCATCCGATCCTGAGTCCCTTGATTCGAGTTCACCCGTGTCAAAGAAGCCCCGACGCAAGGCAGGCCTGAGTGGTGATGCCAAAGATGAGACGGATATGTATGATAGAGCCAGCTCGCCCACCTCTTTCACTCTCGATCCGACCGACCAGGATTGTCTCTTGAAGCACATGGAGTATCGTCAGCATGAGGATAGAATCACGGACACAGTCGGTGCCATTGCAATCGATCAATGGGGCAATATGGCGGCTGGGTCCTCTTCTGGTGGGATTGGCATGAAGCATCGCGGTCGTGTCGGCCCTGCTGCCCTAGTCGGTATTGGCACTGCGCTTCTGCCAATCTCAAAGGGCGTCTCCAGTCCAAACAGCACAACTGGTCGAAAGACACCCTCTGATCAAAGAGCAGTAGCTGTCGTCACAAGCGGCACTGGAGAGCACATGGCCATCACCCAGGCTTCACAGAAGTGTGCCGAGCGTCTCTATCATTGCACCAAACGTGGACCTGATGGCAATGATGTCAATGAAGATGAAGAGAGCGTTGTCATGGAGAACTTCATCGTGCATGACTTTCAAAACCATCCGGGTGTTCTCCGTTCACCTTCCGCCAGCGCCCTAGGTGCAATGGCCGTTAAGCAGACTGCAAAGGGTTACTATTTGTTCTTTGCTCATAATACGGACAGCTTCGCTCTGGCTAGCATGGCGAGTAGGGATCGACATCCTCACTGTGTAATGAGTCGATTGCCCGAGGGAAGTTCAGGCGTTGCTCAAGGTGCAAAGAAGATTTCATCAAGCTAAACATCTTCCAGTGGTACTGTTTCGCTCGCAGCTTCAGTGTTGCAACCTCACACGTCACCATACTATCGCCTCCTTTGTCGAGGCTTTGACGCGACAGTGCACAAAGACGCACGACTCTTGCACCTCTTTCATGCATTACCAGCGGTGTTTGTATGATCCCCTTTTACATCTTCCCGCTATTCCTGGTCTTACCTTGATGCGAAATGGTAGGCGGGCGGGTGAAGTCTCATCGAGATTGACATTTCAGCAGGTAGGTCTGTGTAATAGGTGCAGAGAATAAGCACAGCTCGCCAAAACATGTCTCGCCTGCAGGGTACCGACAAAGATAGACTGGTAGACACAATACGACCATGCTTGACCCTTGATAATTATTGGCTGTGCAATGTGTGCAATTCGATGCACGGCCATCTTCTGCATATCAGAAGAAGTGATATCAAATTCACGAATTCCGAGTCCCAAACGCCTTAACCTCTAGTCTAGATGCTACATATTGTTACATGTCACCCTAAAAAGTAAATGAACTGTTCATCACGTCACCACCGATATGAATTCACGCAGGCATGGGTGTTCCAGCTGCGCTTCCTGTCTCTTCCCGACCCGTCAAGCCATTGATCTTCTTCTTTTTCTTCTTCTTGCGAACAACGACCACCGGCTTCGCGCCGTATTTACCCAGAGCCAGTTTCGTGCCGCACGTCAAACACTCTGCTCCTTCGGGTACCTCACAGAAGATGCTCAAACATATACTGCAGACGAAGCCCTTGTTGATGACTCTCCTGTGGCAGAAACACGCCGCTCGAAAGTCGACCGAATCTTGAGTGGGCGTAACGAGGTGAGCCCGCGCTTCGGCGTCGGGCAGGAACCCGAACATGAGGTATGTGAGCAAACCGGACGGGTTGGAGGCACAGGATAGATACGAGCCGCTGGTGATGAACGCAGCTTGCTGGAGGAAAGTGGGCGAGGCGTGGGGTGAGACGGAGAGGGTGTCGATGGGTATCCGGGCGTGCGATGCAGCAAAGACGGCGTTCATGGTAGCTATGTACTGCGCGGGCTCAGAGTCGGACACGGAGATGACAAGTATCCTTGCGTGCAGCGTCGGGTTCTGCAGTGCTGCCGAGGTTACAGTGGAGGGGTTGGCGGGATCGGAGGACTGTTTCGGTGCCGCGTAGGCGAGAGAGGTCTTGTGGATGTAGGACAGGGCTGTCGTCAGTGCGCCGGCAACAAGCGTGGTGGATGGCAGGTCGGATGTAGTTGTCTCAGACACGAGAGACTTCAGCGATGCGAGTATCGATGTTTCGATAGAGGCGAACTGCGGGTACTTGTTTGCTGATGCTGTGGCTGTTGTCATGCCGTTCTGGCCGCCGTTGGTCCCTGACATCACGACGTCTCCGTCCTGGTCGCCATACTTGGGGGGCTGGGGGTAGAGCCAGACTGCTCGGTGTGAATGAGCGGCGAGGATGGCTACTTGGTTGTCGTTTCCGAAGGCAAGGTGGGCGTTGACGAAGACCAGAATGTTGGCTATAGCCTTGGAGAAAGGGAGTGTGCCTTCCAGAGCAGCCCAGGCGCGAGGGTTGGTATCAATGATGAGAGTCAGAAGTGAAGGTGTCTGGCCAGTTGCCTCCACTTCGTAGTGCGCCGATCCGTCGATGCTGTTCATGATGGTGGTTGTCGCTGCTCGAGGAACGATGGCGAGATCAAAGGTCGAAGTCGACGTCTGATGAGGACAGGGCCGTAGCCTAAAAGGAGGCTGGCGTGGGTTAGATACGTCTCAGTCTCGGTGTTGGAAATCCTCCTCGTATCAACTGTTGCAGATCGTTTGTACCATGGCGCGCGAGCGCAAGGACGGTAGTTGTTGTACTTTGGAATGGTGATGTCTCGACGACCGACTTGTCTCTATAAAACATGCGGTTGATGCCTGCTGCGACATGCTGTAAGCTTTGACCCGTGTTGGCGCTAGAGGTCCACTGTACGGAGCTGTGGCTTTCCGCCAGAATCACTGATGGGAACACCTCAGTAACAAGCTCCCGCGTGTTGGTGCTAGACTAGGTGCTACGTCACTAACCCGTACCTAACTTGGGCAGACTAAGTTAAGTACCTTCAGGCGGTGTTCAATTGGATGCGACAATCCTGCAGCCACCATATCTTACTTTACAGCAGATAACTTTCGCAAGACCTGCTCAGCTCACTTTGTGCCGTCCGTAGTTTTTGTAGTTTGGTAGAACTTGAGTTGGCATCGCTGGTCGTCAGATCAATGCGATTTGAGAACAAGCTCATTGTCGGCACCGTCCATATCACTGCATCGACGTCTTGCATTCAGCATTCGTTATAGGTTTGTACACACGTATATGCGCAAGTACATGACTCCATAGACCCCTCCAAGGCTGACTGCTCGCCAAGTGAGGGGCAGTTTCAGGGTCTTTTGGCTTTGGTCCGGGAACCGGGAACTGAGTATCACAAGCCCTCATGTTGCGTCCCATCTATTTAATGGTCAAATACTTCCACCACACCTGACCACACCTGACCACACCTTTTCTGATGATCCCCCTCAAGGCTGAAGCTAGCCAGCAGCCCTGTGTGCGACCTCTCACCATATCCCGCGCCCGCTCCTCGAACCACCTCGGGCCACCCTCGCCTTGCGCCTAGGGTAACCTATCTTTTGACGAATAACGAGCCCGTACCTTTGTCCTGTTCCTCAAGAGCCAGCCCGCTGACCTATTTAAATCCCATGTAAGCACTCCCAAGACGGCATTGGACTTTCCTGGACGGTCCCATGTCTTGATAACCAATTAAAGGGCATCTCCGACGGTAATATTATTGCCCTGCCCAGCATATGTAGCTCACGAGTCTAGGCAGACTTTCCAATCTCGCATCATCTCACACTTCCCCAAAGGCAACGCAGCTGTTTGTCTCATTCTTTCGTCAATTGCATTATCTCCTATTTCCGGTTCGCCGGCAAGTCTGGGACGCGTACTGTGTCATCAGGAGTATAACTTCCCAAGATAATCTCTGGCGAGGCACACTACCCAGCGTGTTCTCGTGGCATTCACCATCCCAGTCCGGTCAGTCTCCAGGTTGTAATTCTTTGGAATTATCACCTGTCTTGCACCAACATCTGGCACTTTCTCAACAACTTGGGTAACATGGACGAAGTTTCCACAACGACCGCGGCTTCCAACAAGGTGGAAATGGCCAAGCTAGACAACCTTGAACAAGCCCAGCTAATCCTGGCCCGCTTGATGGAAGGCGGCCAGGAAGACGATGATACATGTCAAGCGCTCGACCAGCTTACTGCACTCCTCAACAAGGACATGGAAGCCGTCAAGAAGGACAAATCACACAACACCATCTGTGCCATCTTTGATGATGTCTGCGTCGATACCCTTCTTAGCTATCTGGACATGAGACAAGCCACATCCGTGCGTGGCCACGCAATCTTAGCCACCTCTTCTTATCTCAAAGCCGCCGGCGACAATGGCGGAAAGGCTCTGTCGCATTTCTTCTTTGACCGAGTCAAGAGAGGCACCTATGATGACTACATCGTCGCCTTTTGTGTCGCATCATCGGTCTTTCCAGTCGCTCCCGACATGGTTGCCGACATGTTCCTCAGTGAGGGTTTCTTGCCTAGCCTTGGACCTCTCATGCGGCGGAAATGGAAGAGCAGAAAGGTCGAGACGGCATGCCTAGAGATGTTGAACGCAGCCGCCATGAACTCGCTCTGCCGAGAAGCCATCGCCAAGTACTGCACGGAATGGTTGGAGGAGATCGTCGACCAGGACCCAGAACTTGCAGAGCTTGTTCATGCCGCCGATACAGGGGTAGATACCGTCCATGGATCCATCGCCATGAAGCGACATTCGGAGGCTGTACAGAATCTCGCCGCAGTCATCTTGGCCAAACTGAGGGTAGGCACCTTGCAGCTCCCAGTCAATTCGCCTGTTTTCGAGCACTTGCACTGGATCTGACTGATTGACGGAAAGGAATGACTGACCTGAGGACTTCAGGCTGTACCGACAACGACGGAACAACAAGCAGAGCACGAAAAAATTGCCCCCGCCACAACGAGCATTGAAGACCTTTCGAAGAGGTTTACCGCAATTCTACTAACAGACAACACTGAAGCTCATCAATATTCGGTTGAAGGCCTCGCATATGCCACTATTCAGCCGACAGTTAAGGAGGAAGTTGCACGCAACAAGCAAGTTTTGAAGAATCTGGTCAAGACCTTGGCCGACGCTCCTCCCAAATCGCCACTCACGTATGGTGCTTTGAGCATTTTCCTCAACATTACCAGATACCAGCCACCACAGTCAGAAGAAGAGAAGAAGATGAACCAATTGAAAGCATACGCCAACGCTGGTGGGAAGACGGGGACACCCAACCCTCTTAATGATGAATCCCATGTTTCAGCCCGTTGTAAGGCGGTTTTCGAGGCAAACCTCGTACCCGTTCTGGTAACGCATAGCCGGAATGGCTCAATAGCTTCGCTCTCCATCATTATATCTATCATCTACGCACTCTCGGTCACAACCTCCATTCGAGGTCAACTGGCACAGCAAGGATCTATTAATCTGCTCATTGCAGCATGGACAGCTCTCCCGGATACACAGGCTCAAGCAAAGAGAACAGCTGCTCAAGCTCTTGCTCGGATACTTATCAGTACGAACCCAGCCCTTGTGTTTGGTGGGACAAGAGCGCGGCCGCAGAGCTCTGCAATCCGCCCCCTTGTCTCTATACTTGCTCCTGACCCTGCTGCTGAGACGCGTGATTTGCTACCCAGCTTTGAAGCTCTGATGGCACTCACAAACCTAGCTTCGACGGATGACGATACCCGAGTCAACATTATCCGGACTGCATGGTCTGACATCGAGGATCAACTTCTGAGCACGAACGACATGGTCTCCAAGGCTGCTGTGGAGCTTGTCTGCAATCTTGTACAGTGTCCTGAGGGCATTGCGCTTTATGCAGAGGAGACGCCCCAGGCAAGAAATCGGCTACACATACTTCTTGCACTGGCAGATGCTGAGAGCGAAGGTACCAGAAGCGCAGCAGGTGGTGCCCTTGCATCACTTACCTCATATGAGCCAGTTGTCAAGGCACTTCTCAAGCGCGAGCGTGGTATTCAAGTGGTTCTTGAGTTGTGTGCCGAAGAGAATGAGGATCTTCGGCACCGTGGAGTCTTCGTTGTGTACAATATCTTGTCTTGTGAAGGAGAGACAGGAAAGGCCATAAGGGAGAAGATCAGGAATGAGAATGGAGGAGAGATTTTGAAGGAATGTGCCAAGAAGAGCCGAAGAGCCGAGGTTGTGGAAGTCACAATACAGGCGCTTAAGATCTTGTCGGAGGAGAACGACAGCCCGCAGGTATGGGAAGTTGACTGAATAAAACATGGAGGGAAAGGTCGTGTTGACGAATTTCGCAACAAGTAATCAAGTTGCCAACCATCGCTTGTATATTCCCATTTTTATTGTTTTGTAAGCAATCAATTTGTAGTGATACTAGCATGGCTTGTAGACTCCAAGAGATATTCATCGAGCTGCACCAGCTCTTGTTTGACGCGACACTCCAAACTGTCGCCAACCATTAGCCGCATTAGGCTGTATGGTTTAGATGCCCCATCACTCCTGCAACTCCAACCCGCCAGGATTGTATCAAGAAACTCACATACGTTGCAATCGAGACTTCGATTCTCGCGTATTGTGTATATCATTGTTTCAAGTTGAATTTGGAGGTACAATTGCAAAGTTCGCGAGTGGTAGTGGTAAGTACCCATGTGCCTGACAACTGAACCATTACGTGGCGGTACGGCCTCATTCCACGTGCTTGCTTCTCTTTACAGGTACCATGTCTGGGTTACGTGTTTTGTTGCACAAACACCCGATCTACCGCCACGATGAGGCTGTGTGACAAGATGCGCAGATTTCATTCAATAATCCGGTTGATATCGAGTGACCACTCCCTGGGCAACAGTAGTCAAACAACACCTGGTCAAGAATGGGAGCAGCACAGACGCAGCTTCTCATCTGAAGACATTGAAAGAGTTTTTGGCAAAGGTCAATTCTTTGGCAGAGTATGATAAGGCTCATATTTCTCCCTAATCTCGATTTCGGTAATCACCAACTTAGACTAGAATTCTAGATTCGTCCAGGTGTGAACGCAAAGCCCATGTATGTCTGATATAGCTTTCCCACACCATCTGGATCGGCTAATTACTGATGGCACGATATCGGAACGCCGAATAACAGTTTATCATGCCTCTTGTTTCAACGCCATCGGAGTCAATGTTGCAGGTTACTTGAAGCTATCCCCGGAGCAAGGAATGAGTGTTCTCTCGCCGTGTCACATCTCGCATAGATCAAGTGTACTTTCCCATATCATTTCAGACTAGAGTATTTTAATTGAAAATAGCGGGAAAGCGTATCGCAAAACCCTCCAAGCAAGCCTCGAGGGAATCCGATGAAGAATTGTACAAATACATTATCACTCGACAAATGATGCCGCTGCTGATGGATCAGACCCCGTGATGCCTGCCAAGTATAAATCGATGAAGTTTTCTCTTCGATGACGGGGGAGGCCCTTGATCACGTGTTGTCAGAGCTCTTGTTAATGTGATTAGAGACGACCATCTTTTCGACCTTTTCGACGGGATCGACTGCGAGCTGCATCTCATACAACTTGAACTGCAAGGGGAGGTCCCTCAAGAACTCTCCCCAAAAACAGTTGAAGCACAATAGGGCTAGCGGGGCGACACTACTGAAGCTGGGAGGGTATAGTTGTATTCAATGCAAGGCCGCAAGAAGAGCAAATTGGTCAGAACAACTCAGCCCGATCCGAAATCTGCCGAATCAAAGCGCGAAGACGGGGGAGGAATTTGACAATACCGAGACTGCCGGAGCTACTTGAGATGGATTACACAAATTTGTCTTTGGCTAGACTAGTCTAAATGGAAAAGAGAATGGGAAATGCGGTACGGTCTTAGCGGGCGTCCACTGCCCCGATTTCTAAGCTAGTCTAGTCATCACCAGCATGTTTATAGGTGCATTTTCAAGCACCGCATCGCATACAGTTTGTGCGGGGTGCATTATGTCCCCCTTGCAAGCACATAGGCACGATCTCAATGACGGAGGTGCCGTTCGTCCGAGTAAGGTTGAGGACCAGTCATGTATTCTGAGAAACTTTGATGCGAGCGCTATAATACCACTCTTGAACATGTCGTTTATTTCGTTGTTGGCTGGTGATATCAATAATACATACCCGAAAATGTTCAAAAGTCAGCTGCTTCTTTTGGCACTAGCCCTGTTCACAGGCAACAGAGGCACTGTCTTGGCAAGAGACGCATCACCGACAGTGACCCTGGATTACGCCGCATATGAAGGAACAAGATACGATAGTGGTGTAAATGTCTACTTGGGAATGCGCTTTGCCGCTGCCCCAACTGGTGATCTAAGGTTCCGAGCACCTCAGGATCCCGTACGAGAGACGGATGTTCAGGTTGCTAAGTCGGTACGCTATGGTGCACGGTTTCATTCGAGACTGGGCTTAGTGACCAGCTAACGAGTAATCTAGTATGGTCCCATATGCATCGGCATAGATCAGACTCTTTCATCTGGTCGAAGCGAGGATTGTCTTTTCGTGAATATCTTTACGCCGTCAAATGCTACTCAAAAGTCCAAGCTGCCAGTCTGGGTCTACATCCAGGGAGGAGGCTATGCAACCAACTCTAACGCTGATTACAATGGCACAGAGGTTGTTGTCAAATCTGGACATCAAATTGTCTTTGTCAACTTCAACTATCGTGTCGGCCTTTTTGGGTTCTTGGCAAGCCAAGCAGTTAGAGAGGGTGGTGATCTGAATGTTGGCCTTCTTGATCAGAGAAAGCTGTTGCTGTGGGTGAAAAAACACATCGCACAGGTATGAACCCGTTTATTTTCATGATAAATTCTAGTTGATCAAGGATCAGGTCGACCAATGAACCTGATTTTCGTTGACCGTGAAATGTAGTTTGGCGGTGATCCAGATCATGTGGTTATTCATGGAACTTCGGCTGGTGCCGGCTCAGTTTCTTATCATCTAGCAGCATACGGGGGACGAAACGATCATCTATTTGTTGGGGCTATCGCTCAGTCACCATTTTGGCCTACCGCCCCCTTGGTCAAGGAGATGGAATTTCAATATCAGGATGTCCTTGACAGCACCGGGTGCAGCACATCCAATGACTCTCTATCCTGCCTCCGAAGACTCGACGCCAGTGTGCTCTTGCCGCTAAATACTGCGGCGGTGTTTCCAGGCGCTGCTGGTGTGGCACGATGGTATTGGCTACCAGTGAAGGATGGAGATCTGATCCAAGATAATAAATGGGATATGTTCAATGGTGGTCATTTCATCCAAGTGCCGCTGATAGTAGCGACAGATAACAACGAGGGATCAAATTTCTCGCCAAATGCAAGCACGAGTGCCGATGTCGAGGTCTACTTTGACAACAACTATCCCAAACTCAATGAGACGCAGCTAGAGACGATCATTGGCATGTACCCGCTGATGCCACCGGTGCCGAAACACAGCGCCTGGTTCCCATCGGCCTCAGCAGCTTATGGTGACGCGACATTCCTGTGTCCAGGAAACTCACTGGCGACGAACATGGCGCGGTATCTATCCCCAAAGAAGGTCTGGCAATATCGGTGTTACATCACAAACGCCGCCAACAGGGCTAACGGTGTTGGTACAACACACACCTTCGAGCAGCCAGCAATCCTGGGTACAAGTCTTAGGAGTTCGGTTGACGCGACGTGGTTCAATGAGAACGCGGCGAGTGTCCCACTTACGATGCATTACTACATCAGCTTCATCAAGGCATTGAACCCCAACACCTATCGCTACAAAGGAGCAGCTGTGTGGGAACCGTGGGGTTCAGAGGAGGGCAAGCGACTGCACCTGGAAACCAACGGAACACACATGGAAGATGTACCGCAAAACATGGCCAGGGCCTGTGAAATGTGGAATGACTTTTCGAAAATCATGGAGGTGTAACTACCTGAATAGAAGAGTAGAGAAGTTTCAGCACGAATAGTCAAAAAAGAAAGTCGGAGTTTGGGTGAATGAAACATGTGTAATAATTATCAGAATGATGCCAGGACGCCACGTCAGGAACTTCAAAAATCAGTACTGCTCCAAAAGGAATTAACCCTCTTGACTAAGAGACTCGGGTCCTCGTCGTCATTCATATCTGCTGTCAGCGCTGATTGGAACAAAGAGTCTTCATCATCGCTATCGTCGGAATCGCTGAAGTCTTCCCAGTTGACTTCAATTTGGTCGCGCACTGATGACTGCCTTCGATCGCTATCGCCGAGTGGCATAAGATCATGGGTTTCTTCAAGAAGACTGAGAAGCCGCTCATCGCTAAGATTGGAAATATTGACGGTCGGAAAAATCGGTCTTTCGACGTGGTCTTTCCACCACACCCTATCAGACTCATCGGATGGTTCAAGGGGAATGGCCTCGTTCATCTCGAGCTCGTCATCGGTGCTCAAGGCTGTACATGATTTGAGACTAGTATCAGCGCAAGACTCCTTGTCGTTCTCGTCCTCCTCGTCTAGTTCTTCTAGGAGAATCTCAAGTCGGGATGGAAGAAGCTCCTCCCTGCGATGCCGGCAATGCGAAGGGTAGTCACAATGAAGCCAGTCATTGTGGGTCTTTAGTAGAAATCTTCTATCTCGCTGTTTGTCGGAGAGGTGAGCTTTTTCAGTACTTCTACGCCAGGCATTGTAGACATTCCACCCGTGGAAGTCGAAGCTCGTACCACATATGATCAGCTTGCCATGGCGGACACGCCGCTTGTTGTTCTTTCGCTTGAAAGGTGGTTCATAGATGGAACAAAACGAATGCGAGCATAGCAGACATCGACGGGTAACGGCAAGGTCCCAGGTAGTATGGCACTGGCAGCAACGCCAAATCCAGTGGTCCGGTTCACGAGGGGGCGGCGGTTTTGAAGTTACCGGGGAAGTAGGAAGGCTGGACCGTAGACGACGACGAGACATGGCGAACATTGGTTTCGGACTGAGTAATAACTTATCCACAGTCACAGCCATCGTTGTGGAGACTGCGAGATTGGATAACACAGTACGTGCGGGCATCGTCGGATGGTTGCTGCAGGGGTTACCTGATCGCTGTCCAATAGTAGATGAAGAGAAGGTTCGAACTGAAACGACAGATATTCGTTCTCCTCTCAATTTTAGCGGCAAAAGAGATGATTATTGAATCGTAAGTGCGCTGAGAGAAGATTGAATTGTATGGAATATCGTAGGGAAGTGTTCGTATGAATGAATGACTTGAAAATAAAGTATAGGAATTGGACGTGCCAAGACAGTCGACAATTTAGGGAAAGATGTTGAAACGAAAGTGCAAGCTGTCAAGATGATAGGAATCTTGTCATCACATTTCTCTACGATTGTGATAAATAGCCAATGTCCCCTTTATTCCCATCGACAAAGAACACGACATGGTGCCGGCTTGTCCTTGTCGTATAATACAGAAGAAAGAGGGCCGCCACTCAACCAACAGAGTCTCGCCAGTGGCCAACGCAATACCGTGTCATCGTGGTATGATCTTTATCATACAGCTTCAGGTACTACGGTCGAAATGGTCGTTTTGCTAGCTGTGGTGTTGGCTTGCTGAACATGTGCCTTGACTCAGAACTGCACAGCCATATTTCCGAAATAACTGGATACCAGATCATCTTGAAAGCGCGGAAATGTTTTTGAGCCAGAACATGGCGACTGATTAAAATCTGCGAGGCTGTGAATCATCCTCTGACTGCTGTTTGCTTAAACCCCTTCATCAAAGGCCCTTAATGGTTATGATGTAGTTCTCTGTCTCGTCGCAAAAATGATGTTCTCCCGGTTACGGAGGCTGAGTGGCAACCGAGCAAACGTATCGACATCTTTCTTACAACATACAGGTCTGCTAACCACGGGATCTGCACAAAGAACAGGCTTCCAGATCGATGCCCGGATCGGATGTACTTGCTGATCACTGCCAAGGAGAGACAAGACCTTGATCATGATGTATGCATAGCTGGAAATTCCCGAGAGAGGCCGAAAAGCGCCAGGCCACAGCGCCGATAACTCACAGCCATGGGATGTGAGAACCTTGGAGGTAGCTCATGGCCTCAGCTTTTGATTTAGTTCGACCAATTTGGACACCTCCCGTGCCCAGTCCACGAAAAAGTAGTTTTTTAATGCAGCCAAGTCAAGTCTCAGTTCAATAGCTCGAAGGGTCTGATGGACCCAGTAGTTGCTGTCACAATAGTCTGTCGTGGTAGTCTTCGAAAAAAAGAAAGAAAAGAAAAAGCTCGCATGCTGCATGACTGCATGACTCCCGTCTTTGCAGCGGGAAGTGGTTCGTTCAGGCGCCATACGCATGTAATGGCACCCGACAGACCGGTCCGGCCTAACGTTCATACTATGGTAGACTTGCCTTGGATCGCCAATAGTGGCCCTATTCGGAAGAGAGCTAGTTCAGCTCTTCGGAAACCGAGGCTTCGACCTTGTTGAAAGTCGGCACCGTGGATAGTTGGGCGGCTGTTCACAGCTCAGCGCACCCACAGCAAGCGGCTAGCTGCAGAAATTTTCAACGCTATCAGTAAACGGCTGCCAGAAACATACGGCGGTTGAGGCGCGTCCAAAAACCTCTGTTGAAGTATATTTACATTGCACATTTCGCGACGCTTCTGATGAACCCTTGACAAAGTGCTTGCTTATTACCTCACCTATTGCTCGGGGTGGAACGGTTAGAATGGTGCCATGGGAAGCACGGCAATTGGCTGTAAGTAGGGCTTTTCCACTGGGAATATATTTCAGTCCTCGTTAGGGTTTAGTCGTCTTGGCATATCGTGCACCTCTCTGCTCTGCACCAATCGAGACAAGGTTAAGCATGTATGGTCTGATGAAATGAAAGTATTCTAGTAATGGGTCTGCGCCGCTCAGCTGATGGAGCTAAAACGAGCCTTGAATTCATCCATGAAACTGGACCCGAGAAAACTTTTTCCTCTGCTGCAGGTGGCTGCTTTTGGGTGGCCGATAATCGCAGGTATCAGATGGAAAAGATAATCTAATCAGCGGAGCTCTCAGGGGATCCGTGCAGGAATATGGGTAGCCAGTGCTCCGCCATGGAGCTTGATTGACCACTGCCGTTCGCCGGCCGCGCAGACACTATGCTCGATATGTGCAACTTTCGTAACCGAAGCGTAGGGGGTTTCCACCCTGAACCGGGGCCCACGAGGATCTTGAAAGCATCTGATGATCAGATAAGATAATTCTCGCCGCGCTTCTTGCCTAACATAGCATGGGTTTCCGGTTAGTGGGGTATGCATGTCCACCTACATGAAATCCATGAGCGTGTTATTGGAAATTTCTGCAGTCAGACCAATGAGCCAGCGTCAGCCAGGTCAGGGCTCGCCGTGTAGAATCGGAGCCGGTACCCATACCCCGAGGGAAAGAGTTTAATCGAGTGGGAATGGCGCGACAATTGTTGGCAAGGCCCGCATGTCTCCCGCGCGAGACGGGGGAATATAATAGTCTTCTTTTGCTCCTGTCTCTGATCTACGTTTCTTCTTCCTTTCTGTGAACTGTGCGCATCCTTTCTTTGCCTATCCTAATCAGGTCTATCGCTTGGTCCAAAGGAGCCCTTTTTCACAATGGGCCTCAAGTTCCGTGGCCTTATCGGCCCCAAGAATGTCGGCAACGCCCCCGTCATCCAAGAAAAGCAGCACGATGCCGAGAATCCCCAACTTGGTACCGACAAGGAGCTCGATCCGGCCGTGAACACAGCTGGTGAGCCCGTCTCTGAGTCGAGTTCCCAACGGGGAGAGCACGAGAAAGAATTGCAGTTTGGTGTCCAGGTCGCCGCGGCCACCAACCAGGTATGGACGAAGCAGCACTTGATTGCTGCCTATGTCATGTAAGTACAACCGCATCTCGGTCTTTTCTGAAAAGCAACAAGACAACAGGACTCGTCCAAGATGAGTTGATTGCCTGCCGTATCACACCAGATTGATTTGACAATGTACTGACGGTCTACTCCCAATAGCATGTGGCTCATCAACTTTGTCAATGCCTTCGCATCTGGTGTTGCCGGTACCTTGACGACCTACGCCGTTAGTGACTTCCAAATGCACTCCTTGGTGTCCACGACTAGTATCTTGGCTGGTCTCATCCCCGGTCTTACCAAGCTCGCCTACGCAAAGTATATCGACAACTTTGGACGTCCCCAAGGTTTCCTATTGGCAGTCCTTTTCCAGACTCTCGGTTTAGTCATGTTCGCTGGCTGCAACAATGTCACCACTTACTGCGCCGCCGCCGTCTTTTATTACACTGGCTACTCATGGCTCGATTTTACCATTACCATCTTCGTCGCCGACACATCTAAGCTCAAGAACCGAGCTTTCATGATTGCCTACGTTTCATCGCCATGGCTGATCACCACCTGGATATATGGTCTCGCATGTGAAGATATTGTTGCCGACGGTGGTATCGGTTGGCGATGGGGTTTCGGCATCATGGCCATCATCGTCCCGCTTGTCTGTGCCCCGCTTTGGTTCTTGTTCTTCTTCAACCAACAGAAGGCCATCAAGCGCGGTCTTGTTCACGTCACCCCCCACGGCCGTAGCCTCTTCGCAAACATCATGTTTTACTGCCGAGAATTTGATATCTTTGGTATCTTCCTAGCTGCTTTCGGTATTGGCCTATTCTTGCTGTCATTCAGCTTGTTCTCATACCAGACGGACACATGGCGGTCGCCTTTGATCATCTGCTTCCTCATCTTCGGTGGCCTCCTGATCATTGCATTCGTCATCTGGGAGAAGTACTTCGCCCCTGTGACTTTCATCCCCTGGCATCTGATTACAAACCGCACTGTCTTCTTCACCTACACCATGATGGCATCCCTCTACACCGCCTGGTACCTGTGGGACAATTACTTCTACTCATTCTGTATCGTGGTCTTTAACTTAAGCGTCCAGAATGCCACCTATATGGGCAACGTCTACACCATGGGAAGTACCTTCTGGGCCATCCTGTTTGGTATCTTCATCCGCTACAACGGCCGTCTCAAGTGGCCCGCCGTCTTCTTTGGTGTTCCCATGACCATTCTTGGTGTTGGTTTGATGATTCACTTCCGGCAACCCGACGTCAACGTTGGCTATGTCGTCATGTGTCTGATCTTCATCGCGTTTGGTGGTGGTACTCTGGTTATTTGCGAGCAGATGACTGTCATGGCCGTTTCCAAGCACGCCGATATTCCCGCTATCCTCGCCATGGAGGGTATGGTTGCTGCCATGGGACAGAGTATTGGATCGACCATTGCAGCAGCCATGTGGACCGGCATATTCCCATTCAAGCTTCAGGAGTATCTCCCAGCTGAGTCCCTAGGAGACTGGGCTACCATCTATGGTGACCTTACCGTACAAGCCTCCTACCCCGTCGGCAGCCCCACTCGTGACGGTATCAACCAGGCCTACGGCGCAACGCAAAGGTTGATGCTGATAGCCGCTGTGTGCATGTATTCCATCACCTGGGGTAGCACCTTCATGTGGGAGAGCATCAATGTCAAGAACATTGAATCGCAGAATGGAGCGACAATGTGGTAATCGAACCACTTGGTGGAATAACGGATCTTATTGGCGGAAGTATGACCTCTTAGGGACAAGACCTCAGAAGGGCCACTTCCACGAATCAGCGCTGACGAAAGTCAACATATGGGTATTATGATACCCAAGCCACATGCACAAGTACATGGTCCAATCGTTTATCCCCTAGCGAACTATCTAATTAAATATACCCCTCATTTTCTGATTTCCATCAACTCTATCCCGATTGAGTGATTGTGATTGTGATTGTAATTGTGATGCCTGCTTTACGCTCTGCTCAGATGTAGCTTGTATGCCCGCTGCTGTCTCTTTCATAGGCAGTCTTTGCATCGACAGCAAAATGTACGCCATGGTTCGCGCTTCTCATCGCTGTCGACACTTTGTGCTGCTTGCTTCCCTTGACTTGGACCCTTGGAGCTGGATTAGCTCTGGTCCGCCGTGTTCAACAATGGGCGTGTCGATCAGCATCGCCAGTCATCCTGTTTAGAATCATACGTCTCGCCGGTTTCGCTACTTTGCCTACCTACAGGTACATCATGTGAAGGTGGCTAGAGTCGCCAAAGTTCGATACATGCAACCCGACTAAGCCATGCACACGGGAATGGGAATAGCATGTACGAGTCTATAAACTTCTCATATTTGTCCCCTATGACGTGGCTTTAGAGGGCTAGCCGATCAATACTACAACGTACTCTCTAGATCTTAACATGTCGAGCTCCGTGTATTATAGTCACATTTGGAACACCGTGAAACTCTTTGATGTCTCGATCGAATTCATAATGGTCAGGGCTGAGACTACTTTGACATTTATACCAGAACTTATGCTTCAGGACGTGGTGCGCTGGTCTTGGGTAGCGTATTATGTGCACATTGTGAAGATAACGCTCAGTGTCTGTCGCAAGTGCAGATTTAATTATCGTAAAATTATTCGATAAATACAGATTTAATTCCACCAACTGGCCAGACTTGTCTCCATTCCTACCCTGGGCGTTGCAACATATGTCACGAGCCCATCCAGACAAACACTGCCAATGGTTCTCCTTGTATTGCCAAAGCGATTCACAAGCAGTTGCTGACTACGACTATATCGTTGATCTGCGCCCTTTCATGTCCTCCATTGACTCCTCGTATAAGTTAGCTGCGTGTATACGTTGTTAAATGGAGCGTTTCTAAGTGACTTTCGGGTTCAAGTGACCATTGAAAACAAAGGTGCTTATTTAGGACCTTTCAACATGGATAGACTATTGACTAGCTTTCAACGTCGGCATATCCTATGTGCTTGGAGACTGCGAATCGCCATATCGACTCTGACTGGTCGTCTTATTGATCAGAGTGTTTCTTTGGATCGGCTATTTGAGGAATGACACAGGCACATCAAACCACAACAGCATGAACGTGCGCAAAGTGCCTCAGATACCCAATCTCACCCGCCTTATCTGTGGATTGGGTTGATATTTATTTCAATGTCGGTGCCTGATTCCAAGGATTACAACTAAGTGCAGAGACTTGCCATGTAAGTCAACGTAAGATCCCGACACGTGCAACTCCTAGCTCACTCTTCATACATTCAAACTTGCCACGACAGTCCAATAGAGGCGTTTTATTGATCGCATAGTCATACGCGCGATCCAGTCCCACTAGTCTAGTGTTAGACTAGTATTCGTTCCAATCAGTAGTGTGGTGTAAGGTGAACTTAACCTGCCAGAGCCCACCTCGATTCGCTTGCAGCGCTCTCGTAATGGCAAGACAGTTAGCGGCTCCTGGCTACTTCGAAGCTCTCCATTCGATGATTTGAGTATGCGAGTTTAGATCTGCAGGAAGGGAACGTCACAGTTTCAGCGTTGACGTTAGTATTCGAGCAGATGCTGGCCACAGCACCACAAAGTTCCGTGACTTCATCATCGAGAGCTCAACATACAATTACTTTGCGTATATACATGTAAAGCCCGCTCAAAAAGTCAAGCATGTTGACGAAAACATATCAATAATCTAGAACCTATATCAGCTGAGCCCCCTTCAAGATGATGTTGCAATTCAACCAGCCCACTAGCCGCCACGGTCTCCAGCGTGCACCCTATGAGCTGACAGCCGTCTGAAGCCGTAGATTTATCGCATCTGCTTTAATGAGGATAGTGGACCAAACCAAGCAAATAATCCTGCAAGGGGGAGAAGGACGGCCACCAACAGCCAGCCACCAAGGCGGGCACAAATCAGGGCGATCATCCTACCACATACGCGGACCCGCAGAAGTAGCCCAGAAAGTCCACGGGCGTTGAAACGGATGAATAAGGCTCATCCAAGTCTGACGGTAGCTCGGATCGGGGGTATACAGAAATGAGCAATTGAACAGAGAACAGTACAAGAAGGGTCTATGGTGAGAGATGCGGCAGAGGGTACTAATGACTCGACTGGTATGGGACGCACGAGCAAAGAAATCTGGGTATTTTTGCGGACCATGGAAAGGACGTGGACTGATGTTCAGCACATTGTTTGGAGTATTTTGGGGACGTGCCGCATAATGGAGATAACCTTGAATTAATGAATGGCACAAGACATTGGCGCGCGAACACTGTGTTATACACTCCTGCCTATTAATAGCTGACATGATTTGAAAATCTCACTTTCTTCCAACCCAGTGCCGGTGAAGACTGACTGTACCATCATCTTTGTTTCAGTAAACCTGCCCGAACTCTTTTAAAAGACAAACTGTGGTCCACCACTCGACGTAATTGTGTATCACCCATCACTCCAAAACGCAAAAGAACTACTTCACAACAAGCCCAGTGACATGGCGAGTAAGAGCGGAGAGAAAATCAAGGATTCGTGGAATGGCACATTTATGCCTCAATGGCCTTGTTCTTCTTCTTTTGCTCCACCTTCAGCAGCAGCGCACGGTTGATGTGTGGCAGGACACCACCGAAAGCAATGGTGGCACGGATGAGAGTGTCGAGTTCTTCGTCACCACGAATGGCGAGTTGCAAGTGGCGAGGAGTAATACGCTTGACCTTGAGATCCTTGGCAGCGTTCTGTAATGCTGTTAGCGTGTCGTTCCAATGTGTGATGCACAAGATGCGGCTGAGGTTGAGGGGGAAAGCGATGTTTGACGAAGAGCAAAGGTATTACTCACTCCTGCTAACTCAAGAACCTCAGCAGTAAGGTACTCGAGGACAGCGGTAACGTAGACTGCTGCCTTTGCGCCAACGCGCATCTTGTTCTGGGTGTTCTGCTTCAGGAAACGCTTGACACGACCGCACGGGAACTACGAGAGCAATGTTAGTTCGAATATTCGAATACCTGGATACTGATTCTATGTGCGACACCCGCCATCCGACAAAGTCAACCGCGACTAGGTATACAGATCCCGAAGGTGTGGTTGAGAATTCGGAAGCGACCCGACGAATTGACTGGTGAAGATATCTTGTGCCCGCATGACGATATGCTTGATGTGGCGCGTCGGAAGTGAGAGGTTGAAGTTGAATACAACGAAGAGCGTGCAAAGATGCAGATGTCGTACGACGCTGAGCAGAAGATGGTTGCCACTGATCGTAGACGCGTTGCCTCGTGCATGCATCGTGCTGGATCGTGCGAGGGGTCGGGTCTAGGTTGAAGTTGGGTATCTCAGAGGCGTGGAGCAACTGGGAGTCGCAAACCACAGCCGCGTCGTCGCTTCATGTCGGATGTGTCGCGATACAATGGTCATGATAAGCTTACCTGAAGACCTGCACGAGCAGAGTGACTCTGCTGCTTCTTGGGGCCATCGGCGGAAGAAGTCTTTCCACCTGCACTCTTGCCGCCAGCTGATTTGCCCTTTCCGCCGGCCATTGCTTATATCAATATGCGCAAAGTTGTCTTGTAATGAAAATGTTCGGATGCAAGTCAAGTCGATGGCGCACTTGAGATCGATGATAATTGAAGTTGGAAATGTTTTGCGACGCGTCAAAGTGGGTGTGCAGATACGAAAAGAAGTTTTTGTTGATGTTTTTCTCGCTAAGGCTTTTCCTTCGTTGGAGTATTCCAGGTGAGAAAATCGAATGGCGGGCACAAATGTTGCAGTGAAGCGCTGCGAATTGCAGAGCGGTCCTGTGCTGTTCGTTCTGAACTGTTAATTATCGTCTGGTAGCTCTGGTAGCTATGGTAGCTCCGGCTTTGCTACAGTAAAGCTACTTGACCTTGGAAGCTTGGGAGATTGTGTTGGACGTTTGTTTGCGAATAAACTGACTGTTACTCACAGCAGCCTGAACAATATGTTCACAGCAGGCAGCACCCACCATCTTCAAGGAGTTTAGCTAAAGTAAGTACCCAAGGTAGCCTTCGAGCCTCAAGTTTCCTGGTTGTCTTCCCCTGTATTCTCAAGTGTCCTCCCTCAGATTGACTTACATGGTACTGCTATAAGCTTTCGCCCCCTGGCAACCTGCTGCGTTCGCAAGGCGCCAGCTGGCAGTATTGTCCTTGCTTGCGAGGTTAGCACAGCCGGAAAAACTGCGGTTATCTGACCAAGCTCGTAGCGCAGTTTGAGGAGAAAAAGCATCGAAGAGAAAGGAGATATGAGGGAACCTCGCTCGAGGAGCATATGTAGATATGAGATCCAAAAGCTGTAGAAGGCTTCAAACGACCTAGTTGGATCTAGCCATGGCTTTTTTCCCGGGAGAGAATAGCGATGTAAACGAGCGTAGCTGACCCATGAAGTCGTACCTTTTGCGCAGCTGCAACTATGGCAGCGGCACTAAGAGCCAGTCGCATTGCATGTGTGCTACTTGGCCAAACCTTGGGTCAGGAAGTAGTATCCGAAGTGAGAAGCATTCTTTTTGTCTCGTCTTGAAGGTGCAAAGGAATACTTGCGGACGACATGCTGAGGGTCTTTGGCATCCTGCTGTTCAAGTCTGAAGCTCGTGACACGAGGCGAGGTCATTTGGAGATCAAGAAGCTCGGGCTGTCAAATGTGGCTGCACCCAAAGCGCGTGCGCCACAAATAGGGGCGACGGCTAGTGGAGACGAATCAAATGCACAGTCCTGCATGAGCTGAAGTCAACTTGCTAGCGGAGTGCATCGCAGCAATGTCCATGCTTGCAAGCTGTATGTACGACGGTTTCTACGGTTAGTATAGAACACTGTTCGGTGAATGATAGGTCTGATGCATTGAAAGAAAGCCCCTGATTCTACTCGAGCATAGGATAGCATATGCGGTGCTCTTAGAGCGTAAGATCGCAAGTGTGGTGCTCTTAGAGCGTGGAATGATAGTGTAGGTACTGTCAAGTAGTATATAGAAGTCTAAGTCTACAAAAGAGAATATCGATATACAGAAAGTAGGCATACACCCACTGGCTAAGTCACGTAATAACCAATTCCACGGTTAGGTGATTCGAGAGCTCCTCGCCTTACTATACGGGGTGGCTCTCCGTTAACTGTGGCCATCTATAGTTGTCCATATTGCCACAGTATATGACTGGGCGGCGTATCGCCGAGCTCAGCACAGCACAGCTTGCACAAGGCCAATCCCTGTCTGAATCCTACTCAGCTGAATCACGGTGAACATCTTACTCGCACAGAACATCTTCACAAGAATGTTTCACACGGTCACACCAATCGGCATCCAGGAAGTTAAAGTCAATCTTGTCATTTTGCCGACCAGATTCACTTTAAGGAAACCCAGGAACTCCTGTTTAAAAAAGTCCCTCCAACAGAAAAGTGGTTTTCACATCGCTAGTGGCAATAGACATTCAACATAGCCCATGTTAGCTACGCCGAATGTGAGATATGACTGTTAGCATGATATGTGAAGTCGCTGGAACTGGAATGAATGTCATAATGCACGAGCCATGGATTCTTTGCTCCAAACTGACCCGCAGGATTGGGAAATGCCGGCTCATAACAAGGACCTGATATGAATGATAAATCTCGACATCCAAGACGCATCGGATCACAATGCCACGTCACTTCACGGGGGCATAGATCATATTAATGGAGTTGGGCTATAGGCGTATGATCAAAGATGGGGAACAGTCGGTGACATAGCCGACTGTATGACCAGTTCGACTTGGTGTGGGCAGTCCAACCGCATATCGATGTGGAGGCGCCTAATTCCAATGATCCATATCTCACATCCGGTAGGGACATAGTGATTATGTTTTATCGCAACCTAGAGATTATATAAATAGCACCTAGAACTCTCTTTTCCATCCAAGATGAAGTTGTTATAATTATGTTTTTACTCATTGATAATTTGCCATGATGTGACTGCTATGCCTCCTAAGGACTCCAAGCCGGGTTCCACCAATAGGTACTCGCCGTCACAATGAGGGGCAGTCTTGGTACTTGTTCGGGCAACGATGCAGACAACAAAAGTAACCACACTCGTCGTACACGTGGTGGTAGTAGAATTGCAGGAAAACATGACGCCATCAACGTCCGAGATGTGGGCTACCTCTGACGATATGAGTATTGCTATTCGCTGCGCTGGCTGGTTTTGGGCAGCCGAGCAGACAATTAGTCCCACAATGACTTGATAGACAGCCTCAAAGGTGCAGCGGTCTATATCCAATGTATTTGAAGTATTTCTGAATGAACGCGATCTGTCAGCGAGTAGGTCAAGGTAGCGTATTATGTGAAAATGTATACCGGTGAACCTTAACTACCCATCTCAAATTCATCATGAAACCATCTGGCTCTACCAATACATGACAAGATCCAATCATCGGTCTGATCTACTTGAGTGCTCCCGTATATTATGGCATATCTCAATCGTGAAGTCGAACGACGTAGCACCTAATTTAAGCCACGTTGAGAGTTACGGCAGGAGGTCTTCCAATCATTGCTACCAACGAGCTCCCAGCGCTAGGGTCCATGGCGACCCAGCTTTTAGAAACCTATGAGCAAGCTTGTACTTAAGTTTATTATGGCTGAGAATCAGCAGATGATGAGTCTAGACATGAAATGGTGAAATTCGGAGAGATTGGACACCGCGATCCTTACAATAACAGAAACAGCATGTCGGAAAGAAATGTCAGACCTAGAAAAGGCAAAGCGGCAATTCCAACTTCAATCTTGTTCCGCTATGCAACTAATAACCTCGCGGAAGTATTTGTGACCGGAATGACCATATCTCATTTTTTTCGCTCAGCAAGCATACTTGCCACAAACTCCAAAGATTGTTGCTGGGTACGTGGGAAGCCACAGGCAGCCTGGTGCGCTAGCTTCGACCTTTGAAGTGCATCGAGCCTTTGAGAATGTTTAATTGAAAATGAGCAGTAGACTGAGAGGTAGACTGAGCAGTGGATTTCCAAATATGTCAAAAGACCACTGACGAGGTTAACACCAAATAGGGATAACATTCGACACTCCGAATAAGCTGATGAAATGGTTATTTGAGTGACTGCGCAGGAAGTTGTGGGAGCAAGCATGGCTGAAAATGCAGGCCACTGTGTTACTAAGGAAATCCATCAGGGTTTGTCTGCTGTACCACCTTTCACCAAAAAGCTGTGAGCGAGTGGAGTGAGAGCGCTTTCACGGTCCCGGCGAACATTTCCGTGGAGTAATTACGTGGGGAGGACATATGAACAAGATTACTCAACGCAATAATTGACCCATCAAATGCTTCATGCAAATCATTATCTGTGGCGCGTGAGACGTCGAGTGCCATCATTTTCAAGGGGCATCTCGTAGCTTCGACGTCAGAGAATTGTGCTGTGAATACATGCCCTCCTTGACCTCGACTATACTACCACCAGGTCTGACCGCTAGCTGGACTATCTCAAGCTTCCTATACCCGTCTGTATGTCCCAAAAAACCTCTCCTACTCAAACTGTTTCGAATCATCCCAATGTCGGAAGCCGGTGACCGAATCTGTGAGGCTTGATTGTACTTGCTGCTATTGTTCTTTGCCGCTTTAAGAAGAACGCAGAAAATCAGAATAGTCTTCAATATTACCGTGATGAAGGGTTCGAATGCGTTGAGAATGTGAAGAAATGCTAACGAATCTGGACAAGGGAGAGCGCACTTCGATGATGTACAGTCGATCCTACTATGCAGAGACACATACCAAATCGCCCAACCAGCTTCTTGAACTGCAAAATGGATCAGAGAATGACAATAATTCCTGTGCCGTACTCAATGTTAGAGCGAACATAATCAACACAGTATGATCAAAAAGGAAACTACGTACACAGTACCCAAACCCATAGCAACGGCTACCCTAAATCTTTCCTGCTTTCAAAGCTGGAGTTTTCGCACAATAAACTATGCAAGCAGTGAGAGTAGGACATTCATTATGCCGTCGTAAACCGCAATGCCTGATCAGATCAATTCGACTGGGCGTGTGTCATACCCTCGAGACGCGAACAAACCAATGAGCGTTAAGAACAGTTACCGGACGATGATCTCCTTGTAGCAACCTCCGGCATAGTAGAGATGTAGTGGTCTCTTGGGATCGCCACAGGCAGGTCCGTATATCCCGATTATTCCGATGATTAATAGGAGATGTGAACTGCAAACTATGAATGCCGAGAAATCCTTGCTCTGATCTTATTGGTCAGTTGTCAGAGCGTCATGGCGAAGGTACATTTGCTCCATGTTGTTGCTAGAGTCAAATGCTACTGCTCAGCTGGTGGTAGAAGAAGAAGTGTCGCTTGCACTTATCGGTAGAAATGTCACTGGCAAAACGGACGCCAATGAGAGCGCTGTTGGTGAGGAGTGTGACCTGCAGCACACAAATGAGAGACCGCCGTGGTTCGAAGAGATACCGATGACTTTCACATGCGAGAGCTAGCCAGCAATCATCTCCCAGCCAAGATTAGAACCGAATTCGTCTGACATATAATCTGATGGCAAGAAACAATCCAGCGAACGCCGTTGAAATCCATACAGCAATCGAAGACTCCCCAACTTGGACGTTGTATGCAGCGATCTCAGCAGCAGATCTCATTATGGAGCGTGATGACGCCAAGGGCGTGATCTGTGTGTGGAAGTGAGAGAGGGGCGTAAGTTGTTTATATGGTGTCGATCAACTCGACACAGAGTAGTTTACCAGGCAGAAAGTTCATAGGGCTGATGGTAAAACCAAGAGCTCAAGTAAAGAAGAAGATCTCAGTGTCGGTGACTATCCATTGCGAAGCGAAGTCAGGCTGATTCTCCCTATCGCGATATATAATTGAATTACTCGCATGCAATATCGGTCCTGCTATGCACGTTAGGACGCCCGCATGGGATATTGCACACATCCCACCAGAACTCGACAACTTAGACAGCTTGTAAGCCGCCCAAACTATTCCAAAATAGAAATCCAACAACGTAGCACTATTATCATGTATTTAGTCTATTTAGCACTCACATTTCAAGATTTTCGTTTTTTCTTCTTCATTGTCGAAGTTCTATAAAATATTGTAAGTAAGCATCGTGAGGATGTGTGCAATTTCCCATGCGAGCGTCCTGACGTCCACCCAAAGATTCGCTGTCGTATGTTTTTAGTATACACCATTATGACTCCATGTAATGGGGCTTCCGGCGCTAGATCATCTAGCGTAAACCATACTTGTTCGCCCGGAGGGATAAAAGGCCCTCGAGCAAGGAGGTCCCTTGAAGACCCTTGTGTCTATATGTCCCGTAATAGCTCGCCCAAAGCAAACCGGGTATCGAGGCTTCGGATCTTTGAACCGCCTGGAAGTTTTAGGTGCTGCCGGCGACATGCATCTTGGGCACCAATACGGGCAATGTAAAAAGTCCTTCGCGAGAACCTGGTAGGCGTTGAAACATGAATGGCTAAAGGATACGGATTCATTAAGAGCCCCCTTAGTTTCTCTATACTAGCAATAATGATAAGTACCAATTGAGATTGAGCTTGCAAACAACAATTCGGCCAACAGATCGTGCAGCATTGGGTCTTCGACTTGACAGCTGAGAATCATGCATGTGCGGTAGCTTTTTAGAACATGTCATTTTCTGCAGAGAAGTGAATGTATATATTCAGCCCTGGTGCACCTTTGGCTCAGGTAGATCAATAATTGATCACTCGTCTGCCAGGAGATTCCCTATGGGAAAGCTAGCCTTCGCTCATGATGTCAAGCTGGAAAAGGCGCAGCGCAATTTGCTAGAATAATGATACAGGATATGCCATTAAATCTCCTCTAGTTTTGACTGCGCTGCACTACGCCAGCAAGCCCAGCAACTAATTATATCGCGTATAATAGGTCTTATAAGACTGAGAAATACGTGGAGACCGCAAACCCAAGACCATGGATTCCGCACGAATGTCCATCACCATCAGCATCGAAAGACTAAGCAATTTATTCGACCCAGACAACTGCGCTCAATCCATTTTCGCCTCCTGTCAATATAGACACATTTGACACAAGCCCGCCTAGCCTGCCTGTAATAGGATCTCTACCTATGATGGCCACATTGCTGTTCGCCTGTGCCCCAACGGCTACCAAGTCGCCCGCTTTTTCGACCTCAAATGTCCAAGGATGGTATGCAAAGGCACTGGTAGCTTCTAATCAGGCGATATCAACACTTCCCGTATCAATGGTATAAGTTACTAGAGAACCCTGTTCGTCACCGAAATACTCATCAGCACGGTTGGACGCGTATAGGAAATTGCCTTTGACCCGAATCTCTATAACTTTGGTCATATTGCCAGGTGTCATATCCTCGGCATAAGTGGAAAGCGTTTATGTTTTGGTCAGAACCAGGCAGCCTGAGTTTGAATATGAGAATCCCAGACCAAGACAGAGTTACCAAGCTCATTGACTGTACAGAAGTTTCGGCCCTTTGTCGAGCAGGACTTTGGCGCCCAGAACACACCACGGCGCGGTCCGTCGCGGGCACAGCCTGGCCAGCTCCGCATGCTGTAAGATTAATAGAATCCGAGCCAATCTTGAAGATACGAAAGAGATTGGCGCCAAAATCTAGTACAAGTATGTATTGTTCTGTTGGATCTGGAATTGCTGAATGAGGATGTGGCTAGTCTTGTCGAGAATTGGAACCAGCTTCGGTCATCGTGAACACCAAGGTCTGTAAAGTAGTCGAGTCATTGCTCAAAGGCAATTTGTAAATGGTGTTGTAGAAGGTGTGCTATATAACAATCAGTCTCGTTGCGTATCATATCGACAGGATGGAGTCTCACTATTTAGAAGTTGCCAGGAAAGTGTGACGATTATACTATCGGGTTGCACAACCACAAATAATATAATGCAAGGGGTTTATGCTAACAAGATATGCTAGCCGTCAATAGAAGACTATAGAGATAGACCTTTAGAATATACTAAGCAATAGAGATTCATAAGTGTAGTCGTCAAAGCTTTAGCTTCACCTATGGGTAAGATAGGTGCTTAGATTGATCACTAAAGTAATGACTGTCTATATAGAGTAGGAAATCCGTCCTTATTATATCCATTCATTCCTTCACTGATGTTGTTCTGATCACTGCTGAGCCACGTAGTCCCTTAATCAGTGTTGCTGCGCTGATCACTACTGATCACTTCCGAAGGGTCAAGTGACCTCATTGTGATTTCGCCCAATCACAATGCTGGTTGCCAAGCCTTCCTCTAATAGGTGCCTTCTGGGGGTTTGCCTGCGGCCCATGTAATGGCCTTGTCCGTAACAGAAAGGTCCGCCGTCTGATCCACCATAGAGCATGGTATGAACAGACATTCCAGCCTTCGATCTGTTCATAGTCTCAACTAAGGAGCCATCGCCTTCTACTTGCAACGATGAAGCAATTCCCATCCCTGACCAATTCTCATCAATGCAGTAGAGGGTTTGCGTCTGGGAGTCCAATCCCAGCCATGCTGGAAGTCTTCCGCACCTGGCAGTGGACGAGGATACCGAAAATACCTGGTTGCCATCGACATCATCAAGCGACAGTGAGTATGTCTTGCCAGTAAAATTCGATACTAGCAGATTGGCGCCAAGTACAGGGGACACGAGCACGAGCGTAAAGATCTTCAGCATACAAGATGCAAACATGGTGGATATGCGACACTCGTTTGAATCAAATTCACGTCAAGGATCAGAATCGATTCACGAAAACATGAATACGGTCTTAGACGTTGGGCAGGAGAGTGAAGTCATCAGGATATCATGCTGTATTTGCAATAGAAATGGTAATTAATAACTTTTCGCCAAGCACTTAAGTATGCTTCACTGTTCTGGTTCTGGAGCCAGGTACGGTCACTTTTGCGACCAGCATCAGTGGTTGTCTACACGGTCATTTGTTGTATCCCTCGTAGAATAAATGCATAGGTGGATTTAGATGAACTGCATTAACTCAGAGACAAGTTTATGTTCTGCAAGGTTCTCTATAGTCGTATTACAGACTTAGTACTGAAAGTATGACCATCGCTTGATCGGATCTCCACGACCCGGTATGCTATGCAAAAGCAAGCCTGAAGTTCCTGGCGGCACAATTGCTTGGCTTGAAACAAAATAATAACGACAAGCTATCAAGCCTTCTGTGGGGAGACTGAAGATTTTCTAGCCACATGCGTTTCTCCAGCCTTTGGTAAAGTGAGGAGATGATGTGCTAGTTAACCCGGCATTCTGTTGTGTGCTCGAAGAAAGCTGAGCTCTTGGCACGCTAACTTAGACATATGAGCAGGCAAGTGGAAGCGGCGGAGCGGCCTACGCAGAGGTGCAACGTCCATGGTATATTCATCGAGTATTCCAAGTGATAACCTCGATCCGCTCTTCGGCTGAAAGCACCCATGCATGAAAGCGTAGCATTGATTCGAACTGGGACCTCTGCACGCACATATATGGATACTAGAATCCCAAGAACCCGATAAAAGGCTGTCCTGTCAGTCTCGCATAATCTTCCACCCTTGCCTTGTCCCGGGATTGTGCCATTGTTTCTGCTATTCTCCCACGAGGATACTGTCTTTGCTTCCCAGCAATACCGATTTATTGCCCATACACTTTTGAATATTTCTGTCTTATCTCTTAAACCTTATAATGACTAAGCCGAGAACAACTCTAATAAAGGCCGATAAGACTTACTTGGCCTTCTCATTATAATAATGAAGTTAATACTTATTACTCAGATATATAATCTTCGGGAAAGACGGTATTATAATAATATTTAAGATTTTAATCTAATTATACCGTAATTCTAAATTTATATCGACTAATAAGTTATAATAATTATTATCTTTTAACATCGTTGTAAGGTTATATTATCGCCTTTGCCCTTTTACCCATTCCTTGGTTTTTATTAATGTGCGAACTACTAAATGAATTTATTTTATAGATGGCTAGGTCACCGCTACGTTATTCTTTCTCGCACTTTGGAAAAATAAGAAGTCTCTCTTAGGACTTCGTCAAGAAGATGAATCTTTCTCTGCGGGGATATAAGAAGATAGCCAAGGCCTGTCAACTCATTAGTATAAGAGGTTATGACTTTGACTAAATAAACACTTGCTATACCCACAAGACGTCTAGCACCGAACTCTCTGAGGCAATGACCTCTATCTTTAGATGGTACTAGTAAGCTAAGGTACGTTACGTGTACCTCAGTGATTATTAGTGTGGCATACTAGCTCCTCAGCAGAAAGGGTTGAGCCATTATCGATGGTTCACCCGGCGATGAACTCTTTAGGAGCGCATCGCTCTATCCGAGGTCGTATTCTTGAATTGTCAGTAGGAAGAAATTCAAACTTCGAGAAGTCTCAGTGCCAAACTCCTCTCAATCACAGGCATCGACCAACCTCTTAGAAGAGACGAGATCAAGTATGACCAATTCGGCGTTGCTCAACACATGCCATAGGCAGCTGACAGAGAAACCACCAATGAAGAAGAGGAAGCATATAGCCTAATGGGTATATTCCTGTAAACATGGCTTTGCTTTACGCCGAAGGCCTCAAAAGCATTTAAACGACTGCAACTTGAAAATACTTGAGATATACTATGACCAATTTATTTTCAGCTGGTCCCGGAGGATTATTTTTCTAATCGATCATGTTGTAACGGGTCTCCAGGCAATGAGTACACGAGCCTTTCAAACCTGTGGAAATTCCGGGATCATGAAAAGCCCTCCCTTTAACGACTGCTTGGCGAGAGATGTTTTCCGCTTGCTTTTCGCGGTGAATGGCATGCATCTCAAAACGAAAGCTATGGTAGCTAAGGTACCATTAGAAGCATTGGAAGCCCGCGTCACCACCCCAACAATCTACGGCTCACAGAAGAACTGTTCGACTGCTTGGATTCTTTCGAAGCTTATCATATCTGTACTTCATACAATCTTCAGGACTTTAAGGATTGTAGAAAGGACAAAAGCTTTATTGGTATTATGGTACTTTGAGCCTGCTCGGGAACATTATTCAGAGCTTACAATCCCTGTCTGATACGATTGCAAAGATTATAGTCATAATTCAAAAAATTGGTGAGGAGAGAAAACTGGTGTTCATTTTCAGGAATTGTAAAGGTCATTCTGTAATAGGCGCCGGCCAAGAGGGCCTATCTTGGTCGAGACTTTAGCATCGGCATTAATCAGCTGCTATCAGACGCATGGTATATGCTGTCAATTACCAGTAAAGATCCGGAAATCGAGTTCTTGCCGGCTATTAAAAAGTCACACTTCCAAGGATATTACTTCAAACAAGATAGTGCACGACCTCCTTTCTCACTATTCATCAGTTGAAAGACAGAGGAAATAGAGGGCTGTTTATCGAGCATATGTGCTTATATTGGCTTCGAGGAATGTTCATTTCAGTTTCTAGGTTAAAAGCGAAACAATTTTCGAGCCTTGAATTTGTTGCAATTTGTCTCTCATACTGACCGATCAGGCCTGCACTGTGACTGTCGGGAGGCCGGGAAAGAAGCGTCTTGTGTGAATCATTTTTCTAACGCGGAATGATCTCGTATTCATTGATACAAGTGACAAGCAGTTTTCATCCGTCCTGCCCGATATGCCGACATGTCGCATATAGTACTACACAATTGTGGTAACAAGCGGTTTAGAACATCCTCTTTTCTTTTAGACGGTTTACCAGATGGCTGAATTCCATTCTTAACCTTATTCATCTCTTGTTCTTATTTTGAAACTTTTAAGTTTGATACAGTAAGGTTTTGGGAGCGGATTTTTCACATGTTTTTGAAAAAAGTAAAACCACTCTTTGATATGATTAGTCTTATTTCTTTTACGCGGATATGATTGAGAATTGCGGGATCAACGGATTCTTTTGGCAAGTTCTGCATCTTTCGCAGTCCCCAACTTTCCGAAATCCCACAACAAACCGAATCAAGAACATTTTGTTCCACTTGCTGAGGTGTCAAAAGGGAACAGCATGACCGACGATTTATCTCCGGAATTGAGATATGGAACTCAACTGGATGGCGTTGATAACAATATAAATGCAAAATGACTCTATCGACATTGGAGTCACTGAGAACTAAATTTTCTCTCAGACAAAAGTGGAGCTATTACATATATCGGGGCTGTCCTTCAATTAATAGGGCTGTCTATGAAAGGTATGTACTGCTGCGGGCATGTAATGTTGGACGGTGGAACTATGCCTTGAAGGTATGCCTGCACATGTCCAAAGTAACAGTCTGAACCCCCCTGGTTGATGACTGTATGCTGCATTCGAGAGGAACAACCCACGAGTAAGCTTAGATTCTTGTTTGAGATGGTCGTATGGTTGAAATTTGATGATAACTTACACCAACGGCTTCTTGCAATAAAAGTACCGATCCGGGAAATCGAGAAGACATCTTGCGCGCCCTGCGACGAGGTAAAGTCAATTACAAACATACCAGAGGCGAGTCAGTTTGGCTGAAACATACGAACTCAATGGCGTTATAGGGTCGATAGTGTTACTTGTAAACAGGATCGGGAAGGACGTAGGTCTTCCTAGTCCACTTATTTGGTCTGTATAATAAAGAGACTGGTTAGATATTGCGTGGAATGAAGTTTCGAGAATGCGGAGAGAGAGAAAGCAAGAGAAGGGGAGTGGGTTGCCTACCTTGAACCACCATGCTATCAGGTAATTGCGGTCGGAATGATCTACACAAGATAGTCTCAACGAAGATGGGGTAGATATCACCGATATATTTGCTCTTAGAAACCGTGTACTCGACGTAACTCTTGAATTCTTCAATGGTAGTAAGCTTGTTTCTGCGATACGAATCGGCGCACTGGACGATGAGACGGGCGTCGGAATTTATATCTAACCCGTCAAACATGCCCACGAGAGCAGACACGTTCCCACGTTCGAGCTGGTGTAGGATGTCGGCCATGACTGGGAAGGACGCTAGTGGGACGTATATAGTGTTGATAAAAAGGGCCTTCAGGTCTGAATAGGTGACCTGTGTCGGCAGGTCTCGACCGTGGACTCCGCTTACCGGGACCGGATGGTTCTGAAGCTGATGGATGATGCCGTCCATTCTGGCCATGATGTCAGCTGGAGTAGGTCCCCAGAAGGAACACGTTTCAGGACCTGCGGAGTGGCAGAAACTCGAGAATTTTTCGATGGCCTCGTCCATTTGATCAACCATGTCCCTCCAGTCATTATCATAATACTGCTCTGCGTTCAAAACGCCATCGAGTATCATTCTCCCCACTCGGTCGGGAAACATGGAAGCGAAAGTGGTGCCGATGACAGTGCCATAACTGCCACCATAACACCACAATCTGGCGTCTGGTGGTGATCGACCGGCCAACTCGGCCTCGGCTTCTATAAATGTGAGCAAATCATGGGCGACCGCCGGTGTAGTCACATAATAGCCATAAGATGACTCGTTCTCGACAGCATTGTTGCACCATTCTCCGTAGATAGAGCTTGAATAATATTGTTCCTCAAGCGACGTTGATGAGACGTTAGTAGCGCCTGTCCTGTGCAACCGATTGAAGGCCAATCTTGCTTCTGCGTTCCCCGAGAAGCAGTCGAGGCTCAAACCGCTGTTGTTTACACCGCGAGGATCAAAGGAGACGAAGTTGTACTGCTCTCCCAGGATTGGCCCTGCGATGGTCCGGTACGTGAGGAGGAGCTCGACGCCAGAACCACCCGGACCGCCTAACAAGGTGTCAGTCTAGTGACATGAATCCTAGGTAGCCTTCTATGAGTGATCTGAAGAACTTACCGGGGACGAGTACAATGCTTGGAGACTCGACGGTGGCATTCTTGCCAGCCAGTTTTATGAAGGCGATTGACGTCGTGCCAAGACTTCTGTTTGAATAATCCAAAGGAACTTCCAGTCTAGCGCATGTAAAATCATCGAAACATGATGTCCACGTGAGGTTGGCTGATGGTTTAATCTGGGTGATCAATTAGAAATCTTGAAAGCCTTTGAAACCATGGTCCGGCAATGTCCAAAACTCACATTTTCAAATCCATAGACCATGCCCGGACCATGCCAACTATCGGCTTTGCATCCCAAGCTTGTGAAAAACATGAGCGAAGTTACAAGTCGTTTCATTGTTATCCTTAGAAGGTTTCTCATCTAGCTTTCTGTTATGTTGCTTGTAAAAAAGTGGTGCTATTCATTATTGCAGCCGGCACAATTGTGATATCAGTGAACTACTTATACCAGTTGAAGATCCCAAGAGCCTTGTCAATCAAGTTTGCCGGTTTCAATATCAGTACAGGCAGCCGCATTCTTCCAATTCAATCCACAATATCTATTGCGCACACTTTCTTAGCGCCTTGCTTGTACGAACCAGCCAATGAATATCTATTTTAACAGCACTAAATTTAACGATTACCGCCACCTTGACCACATGGGTAGAACCTCTCTTTCTTTTGCCCCACTTGTACGAACTAGCCAATCAATATAAAGTATCCACGAATCCCTGGTCCTTCAGTGCCTTTATTAGGCACCTCCTTACCACAACTAGGAAAGACCGCATAGCTCAAAGATAGACCAATCGGAATAAATCCAGATGCAGAACTAGTGCGTATCGTGATAAATTTTGGTTGGCTAGTTCGTACAAGCGGGGCGCCAAGAAATGAGAGTTCTCCAAGCTTCTTTTTGTACCGTCCGTCTTTTCTCACTCAAGTATCTAGCGCAAAGGATGTTGGAGATGACTTCCCCACTGGCATACGAACAGACGAGTAGACAATCCTCTTCAATTTCGATCAGCACAAGATATAATTTACTTCAACTAACATCAGCCTGATGGTCGGGATGAGGAAGGAGAACAGTAAGACAGCCAATCAAGCTTGGAGAGGAAACCCTCGAAAGTTCGCTCCAAAGTCAAGACTAGGCTGTAAGACTTGCAAGTGAGTCTTGACTCCATGTATTGATTGCTACGTTGCGATCAATTGTGATCAAACACTCAAAAACTGACACACTACCTCTGTGCACTTTTCAGGATAAGACGAATAAAATGCGATTTGTCTCGGCCTGCATGCTTGAAATGCCAGTCCACAGGTCGCACCTGTGACGGCTATAGTGAAACGCCCCCCGATTTCAAGTCTGCGATTGATTCAAATCATTATCACGACAAGGAAGCCAACAGAGCAGAGAGCTGCGATGGTTACCACCCTTGCACCACGATCAGTGTGTATCAGCCAAAACAATGGCACACCAAATACCATGGCCTCATGTTGCAGAATCTCGGACCCTTTATGATATTACCAGTGACTGGGTCAACCCAGACAGAGGCAATGTGTTTTTTCGAGTATATTTCGATCAAGCATCTGAATGAATACAACCCCTGCGAATCATGGCGGAAGACTCTCATGTTCTTCTCCCAAACAGTGCCATCAGTGCGTTCTGCAGCCATTGCTCTGGCCTTGATTCACCGGAACTACCTGGACCGCGATTCTAGCGACCGTGTGCACCGATTGCAATCCTCGAAAGACTGGCTACCGGATAAGGCTCCCTTGCTGCACTATAATCGGGCCATCCAACTTCTTCTGGACCAGGCAATTGGTAACAGCACCGAAACAACAGCCATCACTCTTTTGGTCTGCTATCTCTTCATCTGCTTTGACCATCTGGCGGACAATTACGTACAAGCAATGAAGCACCTACGCGGAGGCGTAGAGCTCTTACGCAACATCGACCAGGCTATACTGAACAACAACAATACATATGACAGTGCCAAATCCTCGGGGGCTCGCCCGCTTATCTGCCAAATCGCAAGACAGATCCGCCGTCTCGATATGCAGGCCGTAATGTTTCTGGTCGACTGGACCCCCGCCGATATCCAAGAGACACTTATGTCCCAGCTTCCGCCCTCCGACAGTGCCTTTCGGTGCGTCGACCAAGCCGCCGACCACCTTCAGATCCTCGTCGCTAGGGTAATGAGACTGCGCAACACGGAGCAGCAGATGTCCCCACTGGTTAAGATGCCCCGGTTATCTTCATCACTTACGGGTATTGTTATCGGACAGTTGGAAACGTGGTCGAGTCTCTTCGAAAACATGCTACACCAAAGAAGCTGCTTTGTGATAGATTCTGAAAATTACCCGCTGATATCACTGCTACGCTTACAACATACTATCGCATGGACTCTCCTCAGCAGTTACGGACCTGGCAGGGAAATGGACTATGACAACTTCCTGCCACAGTTCCAGCAATGCGTGGCCTTGGCGAGCGATGTAGCGGCGGCACATGAGCAGTATTCGGGGTCGTTAAAGCCGAGTTTTACGCCGGAGATCGGAATTGTTCCCGTGCTTTACATAATCGGGGTCAAATGCCGGGATCCCGTCGTGCGACGGGAGGTCTTGAATATCTTGCGACGGCAACCGATACGGGAGGCGGTTTGGGATAGCATTTCTACTGCCAGGATGGTCGAGCGGGTAATCGAGATTGAAGAGGGTGGGGTTGAGGAGGGGGGAACGACACAGAGCATGGAACAAATTGCTATATGGCAAAGGGTCGAGGCTCTGTCTTGGGTACATGTTGTTAGTGGACAGTCTACGCCTAGATTAGATGTAAAGTATACATTTTGTGCGCGGGAGGGAATTTATATCGAGTCTCTCATAATATAATGTATAATTATGTAAATAACTTCTTTGTAATTATATGTTTCATTATATACTTTTATAATAATAAATTCTATTATAAAGAAGTTATTTATATATATTTTACTATAAATCTATATTTAATAAAATAATATTAAATGAAATAAACATTTGAAAATATTTTATATAATTTCATTCATTACTTAAAGTATTATTATTATTATTGACTTCTTTTTACATTATCTTATAGCTACGGTTAGGCTAGATACACGCTGCGACCTCGCCAAGGCTACGTTAATCCCGAAAGTAGCGAAGATTTTGGTCCGGTGGCTATTACAAACGGGGAGACTATCCTATACGGGGGATAACCAGTCTTTTTAGGGGTAGTTACGTTGGTTAGGTGAGAACTAACGTCGCATTATAGATACTATAACGTAGACGCCGCTAGGGCGTAAAGCACACGAAGCGTACGGGTTTCGTCCAGCCCTGAAGGCAAGGTTTACCGTACGATATAACTCGGAGAGGTACCGAGGGACTTAGAGTCCTACGGCGTAGTTAATAATAATAATATTATTATTATTCTTAAATAAATACATCACTATTATAATTTAAATAGTTTATAAATATGTGTAATATATTTAAAACTAAAATTTATTTGTTCAGAGTGTAACAAGCTCGTCTCTTGCTCGCGTACTTACTCGAGAGCCCGCGTCGCCTCGTCTTTATAAAGCTTACTAAGATTATTTTACTTATAGAAATCGTTGCTCTAGCGCTCTGCATTGGCGATAACGCCGAACATGGTCGTCGATGACATTAGGAACGTGCGGAATGGTTTGTTAAACCGTTGAACGGCGGGTATTGCTCGGATGCGCCTAATACGCTAACTAGCCCGAGATCAAAGCCTAGCGAGCCGCCGATAACGTTGCCTTTCCGTATGGCGTTATAGTGTGCCTGCTCCTCTTCCTTAGAGACAATCTTCATCCTGCCGGCATTATAATAGCTTCAAGCTCTGTAGATTTTCTAGACCCTAGGTTAAAAGTAAAATCTCGAATACGAACACTAAATTTGACTAATTCAAGTTCTTCGCAAGTATGTCGTTAGTCCTCGTAGGATTTGAATAGATGACATATAACGAATATTAATAGTCTGTAATAAGAAGTGTTATCAGATTGCAAGCATTATCGGCCTTCACGTAACGGGTACGCATTCGAGTGTACTAGGTTAGAAAGTTACTTCTAAGGAGCTAACACGGCGTAGTGCGAAGCTACGCTATTCATATGACAAGGAATAGCAAACCCCGAAACTCTGTTTGGATGAAGTCGAAATAATTTCGTCGTTAGACGCCAATCAGCTCGGGCTTTGGAATTTAGTCGTGCGAGTCATAGATCAAGTTAAGAGCGCGATAACTCCGTGCAATTTCTAAGCCTGCTTGTGCGCCAAAGTTAAAAATGACATTGCTTTAGGTATGAATTCAGGATGATATATAGCCTTCACCTTATGAAGCATTGCTGCTATTTTTCATAACGTCTCCAACGTACGCGGCCGCCCCTCCCAATTCTTTTCGGGCAAACTCAAGTCAGCGCTCTGTTATAATAAATAGTCTCCGATTGTTCTTCGAAAATGTCTAAGCCCACAGTCGTCATTGTCCCTGGCGCTTGGCAAATGCCAGCAGCATTTGACAACTTTTCCCGAAAGCTGAATGAAGCAGGATATCCAACCTACTTGGTGGAACTTCCCTCCGTAGGGGGAACAGAAATGCCCCTTTCTGGACTTGCAGGCGATATTCAGGCTGTACGGTCAGCGCTGAACCAGGTTTGTCAGGATGGTAAGAAAGCGATGGTTCTCGCGCACTCAGCTGGAGGTTTATCCGGTAGCAATGCCATTGAAGGGTATGATGTGGCTGGTATCATCTACCTGGCCGCCTTTGTGATACCCAAAGGCACATCAGTTCTTGAGCTAGTCGGTGGTGCACCTTTGCCTTGGATGGATGTTCAGGTGAGTGTACCGCATACCAAAATTGTGTTTTTTTCGCCGCACCTGCCACCACCGTTTTGTGATTCTGGTTCATTTCGCACTTCGGTAACAACATTGCCTTTGGGACCATTGCTCGGCGCGTCCTCAAATCATACAGTGTGGACGGATATCGCTAATAATTATAAGGATGATCGAGTTTTCGCTAGGCCGAACCTCGTCTCACAGACCTTTTTCAATGACTTGGCTCCGGAATTGCAAGCCAAGTGGGCCAGCGCAATGACACACACCTCAGCAGCGCTATTCGCCACCCCAAGCCAATATGAGCCTTGGGCGAATGGAGTTCCACGCGGCTATATTTTCTGCTCAGACGATAACGCCCTCCCGCCCCCTTACCAACAACAAATGATCGCTCAGCTTGGGCCCGAAGTGGTTATTGCTTCTCTTCACGCCGGCCATTGCCCTCATCTCAGCGTTGCTAATGAACTCTTGCACGCATTTGAGTCAATTGTATCTCAACTTAGAGCAAGTGAAGATGTAGTCTGATACGACCCTCAATACATATCATTTCTACGTTACTGATATGTTTGCCATTCTTCCGACAAGCCTCCATTATTTAATATTCAACGTCGCAATGGTCCGATGTTGTCCAGCGCGCCCATTATTTTGAAGCAATGATCACAAGGGGGATAAGGATGAGACTACGGGTACTCCTACCTATCGTTTCCCCTATCGTCACGTCGTGACTCCAAATTATATCTCGTTGGCGATCTCAGTCTTACTCCAATGGACCAAGGCTTCGCGGTAGGCTCTGACTATCAAAGAGTAGGCATGACCAGCTAGGCCAATAGAAACGAGTAGTTGTAAATTTCAAATCTTGGTAGATGATGCTCATGACGTTCTTGGTTAGCACGAGCCAATTTACATAAGCAGTGAAGTACGGATCTGGATTGGTTATCACTTAGACCATCGTGTAAATCGCTGTCTCTCCTCCCTATTCATATCGATATAACGAACCTGATATCACTTAGACGTACAAAGAAAAGCGCCCCGGACACTTGAGAGAACGCGTCTGAACCCTGAGATTTACCTTCGCGAGCAACTTCTTTAGCGACTCTGCCATCGAGGTAGCGAGTTACAGGCTGAAATAATAGCTTCACGACACAACTGTCTTCTTGGAAGTCGCTTGGGATTTTTCGAGTATCCTTGGCGCTAGATCAGGACGGTGTATTGTAGCGTAGAATACCCCGGCTGTATGTTAGAAGTGTCAGGTCTTTTACTAAGCCTGCGTGATACAAAGTAATCGCGCAGAGGTATCCGGTCATCGGCCTAAACCGGGATTTGCAGCAAGCCTATGCTGAGGTTTCGGCCATAAATCCCCGACCGGGCTCTGCATGAACCAAATGCCGAACAACTACCTCGAGCTTAAAGCTGTGGAGTGGCAGCGCGGGCCAACGCTGAATTCGATATGATGGTATCTTTGAAGCTACGTTAGTGCCTTCGTCGCCTTATCATCGTGACGAAGAGGCACCCAGGTCATCTAGCCCAAGCGTGGCTTCGATAGTCCAACAATTTACTTAGGTGAACAGATCGCATCTCCAGACAGGCTGACCCGTCCAACTTCTTATCCACGCCAAGTTTGACTCACGTTGGTGCCAGATAGTTTTCGAGCTCGGGATTCATTCTGGCCAATTTCCCTTATCTTTTGTGGAGTGGTCGCAACTTCTGAGAAAAGACCTAGATGCTCGCAATGGTGGATAAAAACTACAATATATATTGTGCTGTCCAGCAGCTCACCTGAGATTCTTCCACAGCCAATTGCCATCGTAAAGCATCCTTATCTGAGTTTGAAAATGAAAATTCTTGCGAAAGCACAAGTCATTATCGTGCTGCATGTACTGGCAGTTTGCGGCAGCACAGGATGCGGTCTCTCCGGAGCATATGCCGCGATCGATCCAGAATCTTTCAAAGTCGGTGCCGTGCGACAACCTCCGGTCAACTTTGCCCTCCCGATTGGTCTGAACAAGACTTGGGTTGATTTGGATCTGAACGCGACAATTGATCAAGCTGTCGAAACTATTCAACAGGCTAAGGCTGATGGTGTTGCATTTTTGGCATTCCCTGAGCTCTACTTCCCCGGATACCCTGTCGTGAGTTCCTCTAGCCCAGTACGCATGGATTAAATGGCGCCTAACCAAACATCATCAGGCCATCAATACCGGTTACAACCCTAGCCAGATCGCACAATACGTGAGCCAGTCTTTTTCTGTCGACGATGCGCGTTTTCAGAAACTAGTCAAGGCGTTTCAGGACCAGGGGATCTATGGTACATTTGGGTTCTCGGAGCTCGCAGACGACAAGATCTTTATGGGACAAGTGTTGATTGGCCCCGATGGATCAATTTTGCATCATCGTCGCAAGCTACGACCCTCTGGCACTGAACGCTATATATGGTCGGACGGAGACATATCTGGCTTGGTCGTCACCCCGACCCCTCATGGTCGTATAGGCATGCTCGAGTGCTGGGAGCATTTCCACGTAGGTCTCTCGTGAGCCTGGTGATAACGTGATCAAATACTGACCTGATTAGCCCACTATGACCTTCGTCATGCAGGCTCAACTCGAAAACATACATGTTGCGGCATTCCCGTAAGTTTGACGAGTGATAATATAATATCTAGTCCTGACATATTCTAGTTATGCACCGGATTTTGGTGTCGACCCGCAGGCTTGGGAATCTGCCGAAGTAGGCGCTGCAGCAGCTCGCGCCTACGCGGTAAGCAGTGGTGCATATGTGATCATGCCATCTATCGGCACAGCAGCCATCTTCAGCAATGGTGGCGGAACTATGAGCTTGATTAACGCAACCGATTCCCCCGAAATCAATTACATTACTGCAACGATTAATACTACCACATTTTCGAGCGCAACATACGATACCGACGGGGAACAAAGTTGGGCGGCTTTACAACAAATAGTCGCTGAATTTCCATCTTACATCCCAAAAGTAGCAAGCGCGTACTTTGAAAAGAAAGTCATACCGCTCGAATCTATCACTGTATAAAAGGAATTAATATAATAGCATTACCAGTTTAATATATAGGGATTATACTTTTCGCCGTATAAATTTAAACACTTATAGTTTACCAACGATCTTATTAAGCGAGGAAATAACTGAGCATAGCTAATGCAGGGACGCTGCTAATTTCATTGTAGAATTCGTCCGGATGAGATATACTCTATATCTTCTTCGGAGCGCACCAAGCCCAGTCGTAATTAGAAACTATCGAAATCATGTTACAGTTATTGTGGTTGCAGCAGTACCAGATAAATCGTACAAGCGAAATTGGCACTAGACAAGTTTTGAAGATAATGCAGTCGAAACGGCCATGTTTAGATGGCTTTCCTCTTTCCATATCATTACTTGGAATATAGTCTCGGCTACAAGCATAGAAAACACCGTGTGTTCCCAGAAATGTATGTTGGAGCAAGATATTGGCCACAAGGTCGACGGGGATCTCATCGACGACATTGCCTCCAAGGGATGGTCTATTCGCCGTGGGCATTACAACCGTCTCGCCGGTGAGAGAAAGTAAGCCTGAGAAGAAGGTGTCAAGAGGTATGGATCTGGATGGCCCGTATATTCGAAATGGCTGATCGATGGCTGGTCCGATGCTAGTAAGACGGACGATAAGCAGCGGAAGCTTCGGGAACTTAGAGCTAAGTAAAACCTCCGTAAGGTGTTTGGCACGCGCATAAGGCCATAAGTAGCCGGACCAGTTATCGTTCGAGCCTTTGAAGATATCCTGCAAAACCTTGCCTAGGTCTACGATCGGAAACAATTACTCTTGTACAAGCCCGTTCGGGAGACATAAACAGGCATAGCCACTTAAGATCTGAACAAAGCTAAAAGATTGACGAATTACTCTGCCATACGTGCAAGCTCTAGGGATTGTAGAACGTTCTCTAGCATAGCTTAACGAAAACTTGATTTCAGGTTGATATTGGCTGTAGCATGGATGACCACCGTGACTTCTACTACCAATCTCTCGAATGATGTATCATCGAGGTCGAAGTTGCATTGCATCATGTTACCACTGGCTAACATTGCATCCGCGTGCTGCCGCATGTTTCTGCTCCATTTGACGTTGCATTATCTGCTCCACCACGCACAAGGACGAAGACTCTGTGAACTCGCAGTAAGGTAGTGAGTTTAAAGAGAACGCACCCTCCAAGACTTCTTGTAGCGCCTGTGAGAAGAACGGCATAATTACTGTAAAAGAAGTTTTTCGATATGTCGATGACGTTGCTTTAGACTTAAAGACGTGTTAATATGTCTAGAGATATAGATGAATATAGTAGCATGAGCAATCTTAAATAGTTGTTGTGTCTAAGTAAGAATAGGGGAACATGCCCAGACAAAGATTGAGCTTCGTGGATTTGACATTGTTTGAGTATAATGAGCCGTCACCCGGTCAGGCAATGTTTGAAAAGTATTCGTAGTGCTGGTAGAATAAGTGTCGGAATTGGATAGAATCCCAAAATAAACAGAATTGATCATAGGGTCTTCTTTGTGTAGAAGAAACAACGAATCGTGAATTAAACATGTGTGGCAATATGGATGACTATAGATGGCCACCGTGTACGGGGAGCACTCCGTACACTAAGGGGACGAGCTCGTGGATCACCGAACTTGGGAAGCGTGACTGAGCCAGTGGGTATATGCCCACTTTCTGTACACCGATATTCTCTTTTGTAGACTCATACTTCTATATACTACTTGACGGTACCTATACTATCATTTAACGCTTAGAGCTTTACACTTGCGACCCCACGCTCATGAAAGCACCGTATTCACTATCCTATGCTCGATTAGAGTTAGGCTCTTCCTTTCAGTGTATCACACCAGACCTTCACTACAACAGTCTTCTATACCAACTGTAGAAACTGTCATAATATGTTTTAGTGTAAGACACATGGCAAAGTTATGTCAGCTAAGTAATGACTGTTTGATTAAGCACTAGGTAATTCCCGTCCATGTGAGTAGAAGCCAATTTCGTCCTCAACCAGAAGTAAACTTACGAGTAACTAAAGTACCACGATGGCTGAGAACAAACCATTCCTAGCCATAGAAGTATATGCTCGCATCCGTCCATCTCTTACAGTTCTAACTCATGATATACTATTTGGAGCATGAATGAATTTACGAGAGCGTGGTTCCAGTCCATGATCGGGAAAAAGCACTTAGAGTGTATTTCGAGATGGAAGCCACAATTGGATCGTTTGTGCTCGAGGAAGAGAGCAGTGGAATGAAAATAAGGGGTTGATCTTGATACTGTTTGCGTGAAACTTCTGCAACACTGCCCTTGGTGACTGACTGTATAACAGAATCTTCTTGTTCCCATTGTGTCATCATTCTTTCGTGTGCTTCCACTCTCAACATCCATCATGGCCCAAACTCGAGCCCAACGCAATCTGACGGCTAACATGACTGCTCCAGGTTTTCGAGCATATTCTCTTGGCCAACCGACATAAAGGCGACGTTGTTGGCCACATATCCTCTCCATTGCGACATAAACTAACCGTGCCCACCCACTTTCGCACGCACCCCCTTTTGCACGCCGATTTACCGACGTTTCCTCAAACACACTGATAGATAGATATAACAACTGCCAGCCATAACACCATAGAATCAATTCAAATAAACTATCTCTAGGTTATTTACGTGTCCGCTTTCGCGTATAAGGTTGTATTTCGAGGAATGAGTTAATAGGGACTTGTTCATTGCGTTATAGCTCAGGCATCGTCCTTTTCAGCTTGTCCTGCGCTGGTCTGATCTCTGCAACACTAGCAAAGACCTTATTCGGGTCTTTTCTAATTGTTTAACGTTTATCAGGCTTGTGATTATCTAGTTCAGCTTGCAAATCGAGGTTTGCTTGACGTGTTGTTACTAGTTCTACGAGCGCTATGTCAAGCGACTTAGCACATTTCCTAAGCAACTCCCTAGAAGTTTGCGAATGATTAATGGTAACGTCCCTAATTTGAAGTCGAAGGTCCTTACTATTATAAGGAGTAAACAGACCAATTTTAGCGAGATCTTACTCGTTTTGTGGTGTTGTAAGTTAAGTGTTGAGTAAAGGTGGGAAGAACTTAGGGTTACCTAACACCATTAATTTATTTAAGGGGTAAATACCCGTTTTGGCCTAGCCGCTTTCGATAATTTGTTTCGTAAAAGCCAGGGTATAAGCTTTATTATAAGCTTTAAGCATTCGTTGCTTATTAACGAGGCTAAATAGCCTGGATACCACGGTATAGGCTTATTAGCCTATAATAATAGGACTTTAATGAAAAGAAGACCGTCTTGTTAAGTGGTTAGAGCGTTTCGCTTGTGTTTGCTAGTAAGTATATTAAGGCAATCCTCTTCTTGAATGTCCTTAGCATGAACCCGGGTGTAACATGAGTACTATGGCCATCGAGGAGGAGCATCCTCCATAGGTTTGGGCAGCCTAGGGACTCTTATAGTCTGGTTTCTGGCTCGAAGACCTCTAACAACCATGATAGCGCCACTACTAAGTTGGTCCAGCCCTTAAGGGTCGCTATATACTTAGCTTCCTGTTATTCTAGACTGGGAGAGCGGCGTTTGTTTGGTGATAGTGAACACGGTCAGCCGCATGTTCGAGGAATGGTTGTAGGCCACAAAATGCTGGCATGGCTCCTAAAATAGTTAATGCCGGAGTACCTACGCACCCAGGAGTTAGTTGGGAGGCACAATTTGTAGTCAAGAGAGCTGACATACTAAATAAATCACCTCTCCTCATAAAAGGCGTCTCGAGTCTCTACCTGACCGAATCCAGTTTATGCGGGAACGGAGGTGCACACACCGGTAATAGCCCCGTTCAGCATCCATGGACGTTCTTGTGTAACCATAAAACAGGGCTCTCCGCGACTATGCAGTTGGGCGCAAGCTTGACATCTGGCTGCCTGATGTATTCCTGCTGCGCCTTCTTGACAAAATCTGACATCAATCTCTGTTCCAATTTTCCTGGTCTTCTCGTCTATCAGCTACGCTCCCTTGTCAATATGGCCGGCACCTATGTCTACCAGAATTTGAGTGACACATCAACACTTCGATTAATCAGGATACTTCCAGTTCTGGTAAATGACTGCATCGCTTGCGAGATTGTTTACGGGAATGTAAAGTTTGATTCAAGAACAAATGTCTACTTCGAAACCGCTGCACCCCTCTGATGAAGAGTATTCTGACAAGACGAATACAATTTATCACGCGCTGTCATACTGCTGGGGGGATCCAACACATACGAGAACGATCTATCTGGGTGATGAAGGCGGCGAAACATTTCCATGCGGATTGCACGAGAGTTTGTGGCAATTACTCAATGTCGTCTTTGAGAAGAAGCTGTGTGATTGGCTTTTCTGGACGGATCTGCTATGTTTGAACCAGAAAAACAAGGCCGAGATAGCCCATCAAATACCAAACATGCGCGGAATTTACTCAGCTGCAGAAACAGTCATCGTATGGCTTGGGTGGGATGAGAAGGGGACACGTGTGCTTGAAATCATTCGGAATCTTCCAAAGCGGGAAATGGTATCCGGGACAAATACTATGATCCCAGGCATAGCTGAAATACGAACAGAAACACTCCAGCGTATTTGTGAGGTTTTAGAGGCGGTTCAGCATTTTATGGGACTGCCTTATTGGAAGCGAGTTTGGGTTTTACCAGAATTTGCATCAGCTAAAGAGCCTATTATATGGAATGGGCACGATATGATAAAATTGGAGGATCTTGATCATATACTTCGGCCTTGCTTTGGTGGTCGTCAATTAGACAAATATTTCTGGTTTCCAATGTGGTAGGTCATTAACGACTTACGGCATCCTGACTCCGAGCAAACATTGTGGCGCCTGGTGATGAAATTTGGGCGTTTTGAAAGCAGTCTAGTCGTTGACAAAGTTTACAGTCTTTTGGGCCTGGTAGAACGCCATGGTGATGGAAGTCATCCTGCAGACTATATCGAGGTCAACTACAGCAAAACGTCACTGGATGTGTTTTTTGACACAATCTTCGAAGGGAACCTCCCATTTGGCATTGGCTACACGTTAAGTTTAGAAATTTTCAACGATCTTTTTCTAGATAGAGAAGACCAAGTCAAACAAAGGCGCTCTGGAATTAGATCTGCTTTGGAAGAGTACGCGATAAGTTCCGTTGTTTCTGCCAGACATGCGGGATTTGCAGACATAGCTATTCGTGTCGTCGATGCAATCAAATGTTATTGTTTGCATTTCGCAGAATGTCTGATGGCACTCCTTTTTGAATTTACTACAACGGGCAAACAGCCCTCGTCTATTCCTCCTGTGCAGCAGGCGGCGGTCGTGGCATGTGGACTTGTATCGTTGGAATCGGGAGGAAATTTGGAAAAGACCGAGGAGCCTTGTATTGAAACGGAAGAGCTTTCGCCGTGGCGATGTCTCCATCCCATCAGCGAGGAGAATTCGACTAGTGCTGTCAAATACGATCCAGAATGTCCCATACGAGACAATGTCCAGTTACGAACCGAGCTCCTTCCTACAGCTTACACGAGATGTTGTCCATCTTGCGATGCTTCGGTCATGGCATTTGCAGTCCCAGAGAGCGGCTTCTATCTCTTCATCTCGTTTGACGCCTCATTGGAATCGGACGAAGGTGTCCTGACACTTCAGCTAGAGTCGCCCATGGAAAGGAGTCCGGATACGTGAGGGGTTTGTAAGACAAGATAATGGCTTGTGTCTTACGTGTTAAAGTTTAGGGGTCCTTTGGCAAACCAAACCACCAAAAAGAAAACATAATCGAGATGCCCAAAAGCTTCGTGCTATAATGTCACAAGGGACACACCACTTACTTAACGCTTGGTACTAGCAGCAGGATAACTTCGTGGAATGTGTGCATTCTGGCAAAGTCGGACACCGAAATCCTTCCAGCGCACTCTGATTATCAACACAATCCATAATAACAAATATTTATTTCAACTGATGTACTATCATTTCAGGCTAAACAAACGGTAATTGCCAATATTCCCGCTGAGTACAAACACCACAGGTGATTCTGGGGGCTTTGAGGAAGCACCTGCCCCCTGGGGTCGAATCGCTTATGTATGGTTCCTGACGAAAACGGCTTTGGTCATGAAGGTGGGGGCAGCTTTACCCCTAACCGATAGCTTGCTGTGTTCAGTATACATCAGAGGCCGTTCAATTCGACCAGGAAAGGGCAGCCCGGAAGCTCTATGAAGACATCACAGTCAAGCATTAAATAAAAGATTTTCGTAACGAAAGATATTATATATATTAATAATCATTTAGAATATATTGCTCCGCTCTTTAGCGAGGACCCTTTGCCTTATCGTAACAAAAAAACGATTCTGCTAAAATGCCAACTGCCACGCCGGCGCCACCTTTAAAATGTCCGCTAGCGCGTCAATACTATCAATCAGCCTCTGTTTCCTCGCCTTCGCCTCAGCCTCGCTCTGCGAATCGTTATCGTCAGGCGCGGCCGCGTCCCTCGCAGCCTGGTCCGCCCACTGCGTCTGCATCCGCGGCAATATATCGTTCAGCACCTTGTTCGACTTGGTCACCGCCAGCAGCATCTTGCCCGTCATAAAAGTGTCCCAGCGCTCCTTCAGCCCCAACGGCGCCCAGGGCGTCCAGCCTGCTTGCTTGGGATTGGCTGGCAGGATCTCCGTGTCGAGCCGTCGCAACACCTCGCCCACTCGCGCCTTTTGGTCCCGCAGGATGGATAGGACGAGGGGATCGTTATGGTAGAAGCGCGAGCCAAGGATGGCACGCATGGACTTCATCATCTTCTCGGCGCCACCGATCTCAGTGATCAAGCCCGAGTAGTTGGGGTCGTCCTGGTTGACGGTGCTAGTAGGGTCGTTGGGGTCACCACCGATCCATTTCTTGAAATCGATGATTTGGATTTGGTTAAATTTAGTGGTCAAACCGGCCCAAGCGCTTGACTTGGGCGGGGCGTTGATGGTGGTGTCGAGGCGGACGTACTCCTCCTTTTTCCACGTCTTGGTGGGGAACTGGCCGCCGATGTGATTATAGGGAGTGAGGGGGGAACCATCCCCAGCAGCAGTATCGAGATTCGGAATTGCGACAGGCTGGATGTTCCAGAGCGCAGTGACGAGCGCGCAGAAATTGATTGGCTTGGGGTTGGCGACGCCAGGGTTGGGGTTGGGGAAGGGCCCGATGTTCTGGTCGAGTTCGTCGAAGAATTGTTTGATGAGCTGGAACTCGAGAACATGCTCGGCTTCGTACTTGGAGTTGGCGGTGTCGGCGTCTAGGGGGGCGCCGAACTCGTAGTCGTCACAGTCAGTGGTGCGGAAGCCGTAGGTTGGGTTGTTCCAGCCTTTGGCTTCGGTGTCTGACGGGTATTGGAAGGTGACTGTTTTACCGCAAATGGTGGTGCTTTTGGTGGCCCGCTTTTCGAGTTCATTTCTGAGAGAGATAGCCCGTCTCCCAACGATTGCGTTACCGTCGCCGTCGTCGGAGTCCCAGGCGTATCCGATCTTAGAGCAGACCGTGCCCGGTCCAGCGCTGTCATCGGATTCGGGCGGGCAGAAATAGCTGCCTACCGGTACGCTGAGTACTGGACCCCAGACGGCCGCTCGTTTGACCAGGCCATGGCTACCATTGGCATGGCCACGGCTACCGTGAGTATGGGTATGGCTACCATGGCTATGGCTACGGCTACCATGTGTATGGCTATGGCTACTGGTGATGTTGCTGCCGATAGTGAGGTAATCCAGATCACGCTTGGTCGGGAGGGGTCCTAGTCCGGGACATGTGCCGCCCTCGAAGATGGGCTTGTTATAAGCGGGCGTGATGGGCACCTCGATCCCTGGCCATTTGAAGATGGCAGGTGCCTTGGCGCGCGCGAACAGGCGCGCGCCAACGTCGAGTCCCCATGTAAAGGGACAAGTGTCCTTGGTGGAAATACCGGCGCCCATCTTGATCATCACGCTGGCCTCGCCTACTACGGCCGCGGCGGCCGGGTCAACATTCCAGCGTTTATCGAAGCGCACGCCAAACTCCGCTGCCGCCGAGATTTTGGCCGTCACGTCGCCGAGAGCCTGGACGCCGGCGTAGAAGCTTGGCTGGTCCAGGTCTTTGTCGTCGCCATTGCGCTTGAGATCCGGGTCGCCGTCACCGATTTCCTTGGGCGTGTAGTTGCTGTCGCCATTGTCGGGAACGACTTGGCGGACCTCCCAGTTAGCGAACTCGAGGCGCGTTTCTACCTTGCCCGCCAGGGTGAGCGACGCGTCGATGCTGCCCTCTACCGTCAGCTGTGGGCCGATCACTGCGATTCCCGGTATGGCGAAGGAGGCGCCTGGGAAAGGGATGTTCACGATGACGTCCCCTTTATGATACGAAAATTTGGCGACGGCTTCGAGGGTCAGAACGCCGGTGATCTCGCCCTTGTTGTAGAAGGTCAGATAGCTTTGGGAAAGGTCGAGAGGCAAGGCCAGCTTTGTAACGATCAAGGTAAACCCGAAACTGGTATGGATATTTACTTTCAGGAGGGCCTGGGCGAGGAGATGGCCCTCGTAGTCGACGCCATCACGGTTGCATTGCCAGGTCTCGTCAATCAACTTCGCGGTTAGAGTATCTTCATAGTTGTAAGTGAACTCGCGTTTGATTTCCGGGCGGACGATCCGGGCAAGCCAGGCGAGGACGTCTGAGCCAAACCAGCGCTCCTCAAGGTCACGGCGCGAGAGGGCCCCGAAATGGTAGTCGTCGCGAAATTCTTCCTCCAGCCAGCGGACGTGGTTACCCCCAGTGTCGGCGATGGAGCGTTTGATTTTCTTCTTGCTGGTTGCAGACGCCGAGACGACCGTGTCCCAGTAGTCGTCCTGGTTGCTGAAGTCGATGCGCATCTGGGTGTCGCCAAGGTCTCGGGGCACGCGCCTGAAGTCATAATCGAATGTCAAATCATAGACAATAGGCGTGCGGTCGGAGAGGTGCTTGAGGTGGCGGGGAAGAAGGATCTTTTTCTGGTCAAAGACGGGGGCCATGTCTTTTGCGATAGCGTATTTTCCGGGGCCACACCCGGCAGGCATCTGCAAAATGGTGCCAGGGACGCCATGGCCGAGACCGATCTTGTGGCAGTTGCTGTCCTCGGAGAGATCTGTGCATACCATCTGCACCGTATGAGGGCCTTCTTCGCCGATGGCGGAGTCACAGCCGGAGAAGATGTCCCAGTGGGAGCCGTCGCGCTTGTCAAGAGAGACCTGCAACTCCTCAGGCGAGGCGAGCACGACGAATTGGAAGGCCGCGTCGTTGGGGTCGTGCTGTGAGTCCGAGTCATTGTCCGTTTCGAGGGTGAAGTCGGTGTCGACACTATCGCCTGCCGGGGGGTGCTCGAAGAGATTCCCCAAGGGCACAGGCAGAAACAAGGGGTCGTCGGCAGGCTCGCAGCAAAAGGTGCGCACGCGAGATAACTGAGCGCCGCACGTCTCGCCACCGCCGAAATAGCTGTCGGTCAACTGGGCGTTTGTCATGTCCGGGCAGTGGCCATCGAAGCAGCTACCGGGTTCGCCGTACCAGTCGCAGTTCTTCCATTTCGGGATATCTTCCTTGGGGCAGCAGTAATACTTGTCTGTATCGAGGTCGAGGGCGTCGAGCACCTCGAGGAGCACTTCTCCTGTCAGAGCGGCGAGAGGGTACGCGCGCCCTACGACGCGGAGGATGACCTTGGCCACATCTTCCAAGATGGTCAGCACGGTGCCTGAGAAGGTGAGTGGCAAGTCATCGCCGTTGCAGGCGGCGCCGACACCTCCCCAGTAGCAGCTGTTCTCCTCGGCGAGCGGGCTCTTGCAGCAGTAGGCCTTGTTGCCGTCCCAGCACCCATCGCCGTCGCCCCACTTGTTCATCTCCATCATGACCTCATCGTCATGGCAGTGGCCATTGCACCAGTTGGAGGTCTCGCCGCCGCGCCAGGTGCACTCTTTAGGGTCCGGAGCCCCAGATAGCGGGCAGCAGAGCTTGCTACGCATATCGTCGTCACCGCAGGGTTGATCGGTGATTTTAACGTCGCCAGCGTCGCAGTTCCCATCACAAGACGTGATGTAGCAGTGCTTATCGGAAGATTGCCAGTCGCCCTCGTCGGCGGCCGCGCCCAAGTCGCCTAGCTTCTTAGGCGAAATGACGGCCTGCAGTGCCGACAGATGCTCATCATCCTGATCGATGGCCCAGATGAGGAAGCCGCCCAGCCCTAAATCCTTGGCCAGATCCTTCTTCTGGGTGAAGGTGTCGGCATCGTCGTACGATACCCACTGGTCGCTGTTCCACGTGATGTATTTTACGCCGGCTGTCTTGTCATGTATGGGCTTGATCTTTTTGGCATCAATAACGGCCATGATCTCGCGGTAGCTTAAGATGCCCGACTCGCCGCTGCAGCCGCCTTTGGTGGCGCCGCCCTTGAAATTGCACCCTGGTTTGCTGCACGAAGGATCCTGCAGCTGAAAGGCGCGGCCATAGAATCCGAGGCCCATATTGAGCTTGTTGGCGGGGACGTCGTTGCGCCAGAAGAGGTCAAAAGCCTGCGTCATCTCGGTGAGGTTGGTGTGCCCGTAAATGTGCTGGCCAATTGGGTTCTTGCCGTCCCAGACGCCGTGCAGGTCGTAGGACATGACATTTACGAAATCCACGTGGTCTACGGCCTTGAGGTCAAAGTGGCGCAGGTACCAGTATGAGGTGGGTACTGTGAAGGAAACGACGTACTTGACGGGCTGCTTCTTGTTGGCGTCGTCGAGCTCCTTGAGGAAAGTGACAAAGTTGGCACCGTCGGTGTCGATACCGCCCCGGTCATCAGCGCCTGGGTACTCCCAGTCAAAGTCGACACCGTCGAAGGCGTACTCGCGCAGGAAGCTGAATAGATTGTCAATGAAGGTCTCGCGAGTCCGCGCTGAGCCCACCATATCGCTAAACACCTTCTGGGTTGGTCCCGGGTCGTTGAAGGTCCATCCACCAATGGCGATGACTGTCTTCAGGGCGGGATTCTTCTTCTTGAGATTCGTGAAATCGGAGAGTAGGGACCCGGGGATGCCATCCATGGGTGCGATACTATACGTGTCCAGGGTAATGGACGCAAACGAAAAGTACAGGTGGGTCAGGGAGCTGACGGGGATATCTTTGAGCCCCATGCCCTGGCACGCGCTGTCGGCTCGCCAGGCCTCATAGTAGCCGATGACGCGGTCCTGCGAGTCGGCCTTGTGTTTGGGAGCGGGCTGGTTGCAATTGGACTGGCAGCCGCCGGTAGCGCCATGATCCTCGGCGTCGCAGTAATCGTCCGTCATGCCGCAGAAGCCCCATTTGCCGCAGCATACGTTCAATGGGCATTTCTGGCCGGGCACTTTGGCGTTTTTACCGCACTCAGCCTTGGCGTCACAGTTGGACCAACACACGTCGTTGGGCGAGATGCCCGACGTGCCGCACGCCTCCTCGCCGTAGTTGCACTGCAGCGAGGCCTTTGGGCAGCAGGCTGAGTTGGCGCAAGGTCGATCCGGCCCGCACGTATAGTCGTCGACCGTGGCTCGGCCGCCCAGCAAAGACGACGTGTGCACAGCGCCGAGAGCGGGGTGACTGTAGTCGCCATCCCGACACAGCGGCAGCTCATATTCGCGCCTGACCTTGGCTGAGTAGTCAAGGGGTCTACAGTGATCGGGAGTTAGACCAGGTACATCTCTCAGGATGGAGCGTATGGCACTTACAAAACGGGATTCCGACACGATGTCGGCACATCAGTAACTGCAGCACGATCTGCACCAGGCAATCCCATGACGAGCCTCTGCCACCAAAGAAGAGCGAGGTCAATAGAGTACCGCATGGCTGTGACGATTATGCCTGCTTCTAATGCTGTACCTGCCTACGATCTGCAGGAAAGCAAGCTGCCGCCTCATCTTGTATATAAAAAAGGGAGGGGAGCCGTCGACGTCACGTTCACCGGAATCACTGCTGCTGTGCCGCACCGAGGCTTCTACTCCATGACTCGGAGGCAGTCCTCCATAGCTCCACAACATACGCTCGATCAGGCAAGCGAGCTTAGAAATGTATGAACATGAAAATTGCATATACTATTTAAAGGTGCAATATTATGTAGGAAAGCAATTTCGCTCTGCAGGAACCCGCAGGTACCTCACCCGATAATGCACGAAGGATCCTAATTTGCCCCTTGCACTTGGCGTTGTATTAATACCGCAGATTGATTGGCGGCGCGAGGAATTAGAGTTACATTCAAGGTTACTATGGATTACCTCGCTTAGTCTATTTGGATTAGACTATTGGATCGATCATAAGGCCTGATCTGGTCAATTATCCGAAAAGCTAACTGTGCCGCCGACTTAACGGCCCACAATACGCTGCAATGTAACCGGCGATGATCTGATGTTCCATGTAGCGGCGTTGGGGGCTAAATGATGCTCCACAACTTGTTCAAGAAAGAAGACTCTTGTGATGCCGCCTTCAACCACCACATGAAGAGGCCCCTCTCTTCCTGATAGCAGTTGTTCCAGCTGACTTTCGAAGTTCCAAAGCACGCCGCCATCGAGCGATCCAAACCTTCATGATGCAGACCTTCCTCGTTGACCTGCTTATAGTAGCATCAACAGCATCTGCTACGGTGCTGCTCTACGCGGACAGTCTTCCCTCGACACTCACCTCAGAATGCACCACTGCGCTGACCGTGGACGTCACAGCCTGCGACCCGCTGGTGAGGGACCTTCGTCCTGACGTCTTCTACCCGCCCGCATCACTGTCGCGCATTTGTACCACCGATTGCTCATCCGCCATTGAAACATGGCGGTCATCTGTACAGTCCGGGTGCGGCAATCAGACCATCTCGGCGGACCTTGAGGTCGAGGCCGCGGCTGTCTACATTCCTGGCGCGCTGCAATACTATTTCCAGAATGCTTGCCTGCAGGACGATTCGGGGCGCTACTGCGGTCCTATCGCGGCCTTGGCTGCGGCCTTCTCAGATCCCGGCATCAGCCCTTTCAACTACATCAGCAACACCACGGACCAGGTGCGGCCCGACGATTGCGATGCGTGCCTTGCCGAGCGGTTGCGGCTGCGTGAGGGGTCGCCGTACTTTGACGGGCCTATTGTGGCCAGTCAGTCGTTATACGAGAGCATGACGGCGAGTTGCGGCATCGTGGGACGCTCGGTCGTAACAACGACCATCAACTATTTCACGGCGGCGCCCGCTCCCACGGCCAAGGTGTGCCAGGGGTCAACCTACACAATCCAAGCCTCGGACGACTGCTATACCATATCCAAGAACCAGGGCGTCGGCACCGACTGGCTGCTGGTCGACAACGACCTGGAGGCTTTCTGCACCAATTTCCCCGCCGCTGGCACCTCTCTGTGCATCACTAACCAATGCACCACTGTCACCGTCCCAACCAATACGACGTGTGAGATCATGGCGGCGGCGGCCAACATTACCGAGACGCAGCTCAAGGCCTGGAATCCGTCTATAAGCTATGGATGCGCAAACCTTCCCAAGATGAACGGCTCCGAAGTCTGCGTCGACGCTCCCGGCCGCAAATTCGTGGCCCCTACCGACACCTCCTCGCTGCCCCCTCAAACTCCCACCACTACGGCTCCCACGCCCACTGATGTAGCAGACGGCTCCGGCGGTGCCGACAAACCTTGCGGGAGATGGTATTCTGTTCAAACCGGTGACTATTGCAACCTGGTTGCCCTCAAATTCGGCATTACCCTCTCCGACTTCCTCTTTCTCAATCCGGCCGTTAATACCAACTGCACAAACCTCTTCGCCTTGGAGTCTTACTGCGTCGCCGCAGTGGGCGATATCAACACCTATACAGGCCGCCCCGGTTTCGCCTCTGTAACTCTTGATCCCTCGGCGCCCTTCACAGGAATCCCCTACACCGATCGCCCCGACGCCACCAACTCTCCTTACACACGGATATACACGGCCCTCCCCGAGGCCACAGGCACACGCGACGACTGCGTGCACTACTTTAACGGGGACGACTACCAGTACGACCTCGCCGGCTCCCCTTACGCCAGCAATTGCGAACTCGCCGCGGTAACCTACGACGTCGACCTTGACACGTTTGCCTCATGGAACTCTGGCCTCGGCAACGTATCAGATCCGGCATGTGCATTTGTCAAGGGTGTCCGCTACTGCGGCTCGTGGTACCTGGAACAGGCAAATCAAGAAGTCGCCACAGCTACAACGACCGCAACCGACGACCCGTCAAACACATCCCCGACGCCACCGGGACCCACCATGTCAGGCTCACCCGCAGATTGCAACGAGTGGGCCATTGTCACGGACGGTCTAAGCTGCACAGACATGGCCTCTCAAGCCGGCATCTCTCTCGATCAATGGCTGGCCTGGAACCCGGCCGTCTCTTCAGACTGCCTGACCAACTACTGGCTCGACGAGGCCTACTGTATTGGTGTCTCGGGCGACGGCACAACGACCACGGGGCCCACCACCACCACAGTCAGCACCGGTTCCACCACCTCAGAGGCGACACCGCCCGGCCCAACCATGACGGGATCGCCCACGGACTGCAACAAGTGGTCCCTCGTCACGGACGGTCTCACGTGCACAGACATGGCCGCTCAAGCGGGCATTTCCCTCGAGCAATGGCTGGCATGGAATCCGGCTGTGAGTTCCGATTGTCTGACTAATTACTGGCTGGGTGAGGCGTATTGTGTCGGTATTTCTGGTGAATCTACCACGCCGACGACGACGGCGACGATGCCTTCGGGGACGACTAAACCTACGCCTCCTGCACCTACCATGTCAGGGGAGCCAGACAACTGCAATAAGTGGGCTGTCGTGACTGACGGTGTGAGCTGTACGGATATGGCGAGTCAGGCGGGGCTTTCATTGAGCCAATTTTTGGCCTGGAACCCGGCTGTGAGCAGCGATTGTACGACGAATTATTGGTTAGGGGAGGCGTATTGCGTTGGTGTTAGTGGCTAGTAGATGTGGCGGCAATGAATTCATGCTGCTGGCTGGTGACACATTTTCAGTTGCTTTAATAATTTGACCCGTATTAATAATCCAGGATCGGTATAAGGGAAGAATGTCTTTGTTCGTGCTTGCCGGTAGCTGTGAGCGCAATTAATCGATTTTTATTGGTGAAAGAAAAAACAAAAGTGGCCCATGTTCTAGCTGTCTACCCTGTTGATTCTATAATCTTATAAGATAAAAACAAGTGGATCCAGCTCTCTTTCTTCTACAAACTCGAAAGCTTCCCACTCCATGTTCTCGCTGTCAACTCCCACAAGATGCTCAAACGCTCTCATGATTTCGTCGCTTGGCCTCCAGTCCTCACCGACCTGCCACGTCACTTTTCCTTTCCCATCTCCTATAGGCGCATTATATCGCACCCCCCATCGAAACAAAACGGCCCCATCTTCAGCGGAAGCGGGCGCGTCGTCACTGCCTTCATACTCCTGAGTCCGCTCCTCGGAGGGCTGCCACGTAAGCCATGCGAACAGTTCGGCGTCTCGGAGGGTGGGCATATTTTGTCGTTGGATAGAAGAGGCAAATGCCAAAAGCAAAGGGTTAATACGCTCCTTGATAGGGAGCGTACGGAACATGTCGGGCAGGCGGTCGAGGTACATCTCATCCTCGCCCGTGAACTCGTCCTCCTCGCGGGACAACAGTTCGTGCGTCTCATCAATGTCTTCTTGGCCGGGCGGGTAGTGCTCTTCTCTCGTGACAGCGAAACCTATCGGGTGGGGATCTTCGTTTCTCGGGCCCGAAAAGTACCAGCCCCCATCGGGCGCGCAAGGGTGGAATTCTACCTTAAGATGCTGCATATATGGCCATGACAAGGAAGAAGCTGTTACACTATTATCACCACCGTCGTGGAAAAGATTAGGGGTAATGAGCGCGCGGATGTCTAGTTCCTCGAGGCGACTTCCCAGGCTCCGTAGTCCGAGAGACACAGGGTCCATGCCTTCAAACTCGGAGGTCGACGACGACGATGACGACGCACCGACAAGGTTAGGCATTTGCGCCGCTTGGTCCGTATCATCCCCCCTTGGGTTGGGCTTCCAGAACCAGAGACGCGCCTTGGTAAGGGTGGATGGCAACAAAGGCATTAGATGGCGCAAACCCCGCCCGAACTCGGCGCGGGAATCGCGCCAAGGACCTTCCCAGACGCGTAAGAGTCTGCGCAACGCCTGGGATGAGAAGGCAATAGGAAGGCTCTCCCATAGCCAGGGGCAATCGAGCTCGCGAAGGTGCGGGAGGCGGGCGGCGAGTTCGAGGGGCACACGCGGAGAGACGGGCCGCATATGGGCCGTGCTCAACATTGGCTCAAAAGCGTAATTTGGGGCGGAGAAGATACGGAGCTGGGTAACGTGCTGAAGGAGAGGTAGGCTGTCCAGGTTCTGTACGGTGAGGCGGCGGGTGTGGAAGGTGCGATGGAAGCAGTCCGGGTAGATGTCGTAAGACTGATTGATAAGGCGAATGGCAAGCCAAAGGCCTTCGTCTGGGCGGATGAAGTCCAGCTCGTCGGATGATTGTTTGTTAGCTGCGTCTTCAAAGCCATGCAGTGCGTTAAAAAGGGCGTGTACTTGAGCTGAAAAGTGGGCGTTAACGGCTTCAAACAAGGCGAGCGGCTCTCTGCACGCGACGGGCTCGCTAGGCGGATTGAGAAGTAGGGGCATTTCCGCGTCAAAAGGGCACTCGCGCATGCCGACGTAGGAGTGCGGCGAGCGCTTGTTGAAAGCGCGGACATCTTCGAGGAAGGAATTAAGGATGGCATCTTGGGAGGGCGGCGTGGCTAGCACGCGTTGCGAGGCCATGGTGAGAATTATGAGATTCCCGCCGCGACGGCTGAATGGTGTTGTGTGGTTGAGGATAAGCTAACCTACTAAGTAGGCTATAATCGAAATGGATGCAAGAGTCCCGGGTATGTAATATTTGGGGTCTCCAAGCTTTTACATACGCCATCTCGATTCTGGAAGAGGTTTAAGTCAAGTGGGGCTGAGGCTTATACTGTGGTAGTAGGAGCAAAAAAGCACAACGGGGCGCTTGCTCGAAAGCAGGGGTGTTTCTCCATACCTCGACGGTGCGTGAGTATACTTCCTATTTACACCCTCTTGTGTTGTTAGACAATGACTCCAGAGCCCCATCAGACCAAGTGGGCTAGGCTTCTACTGTAGGGCCTTCAATGCCCGTTGGTAGGTACTTGACAATGTTCAGGGGCACGCTAAACCCGCTGTGCCGTAGACTTGGAGCGCGAAGGATTCTCGCCTAATTTGGTGCCGGACGGAAAGCAAGACAGTGAGCAGGTTTGTTAAGAAGGCACTACTTCAGTGTCGCCAAGAACGACAACACTAGTAGGAGCTCTTTTTACCAACTTTTATTTTCAGGCCACGAACCCTTGGGATTTTGTTCACGGTGTTCTGGGACTCACATCTGCGAATACTAGTGTCAAAGGCGAACGGTCTGACGACAATCCGCCTATACTGAGTGTCAACTATTCTTGGACCGTGTCTCAAGTATTCCAGAGCGCACCCATATACCTGATCAGAACCTATTCAACCTCTGCCATCCTTTCCCTCATGAACTCCAAATGCCGTCATGATACCTTGAGCCTGCCCGCCTGGACGCCTGACGGGAGATACCTTCAGTGCTCTAGTTTTGCCAATTGTGAGGCGCGCAACAAAGCTGATTTCGGATCTGGAGAATGAAAGATGAAAATTGTGAGTTACTTCATGGGATTTGATGATCGGAAAGAACTGTCACTTCAAGGGTTGCACTTGGGTCCCGTCCGAGGCGACGTTGACGCTTCTTCAGCTTGGCAAGATTTTGAGCTGTGCCTAGACGGAGACATCGAAGAATCGAAAGAACTAGTGACACTCTATCGTCAAAGGATATCGATAATACTTGACGGCATTTCCCAATGCCCTTCCTTGGGTGGTATGGGAATACAAAGCAGCAGTTCTTGGCGCTTCGGCAAGAGAGCTTGTCAATATCATCAAAAAGGTAGCGAAACTCTACTTTAACAATTATGCCATTGCATTTCTACATTCGCTCGCCTATGTTCCCCGAACAGCCAAGGAGGGCGATAAGATTCTTTGGCTACAAGGATCTCGTGCATCATTCCTTTTCCGCAGGGCACTAGATGATTGTTACCGGCTAGTGGGCGATACTGGTCACTTTCCGCTTTGCTCATTTAAGTCCTCCCATTCAGAAGACGATTATGAAGAGTGGTCCGATTTTAATCAAGATCAGTTCGGTGGTTCTGTATCTCCAGATGTTTGGAATGGCGTCCGTCAACAGCCTTCACTCGTCAATTATCTAGAAACTTTTCGTCTGAAGTGAGCTCGTATAGGACCATAGGTGAGCTTCTCACGTGCTTCTATGACTCTTGAACATGGGATACCACGGTTTGGAGGACACAATTTCAGCCTAGCAATAGACCCACGAAGTTTTACGATATCGTGGTTATACTTGACTACAATATTGTACAGTTAAGGTTTGCAAAATTATGGTTGTGCTTGGCTGTGGTTCGGGTGGAACTTTGTAGCTATGGTAAAGGTGGTGCCGGGGACGGTGCAAACTATAAAGGAATTTATGGCCTAAGTATTGAATGGAACGCTATATCAAGAAACTTGGTTTTGTATGTTTGGTGTACTGTAATGAGTTCGCTATAAGTTTCTAGAAGCTAGCAAAATTGGCTGCCGATTCATTGCGAAGATCAAGACCGATGGATTTAGCTAGGTCGGGCACATTACGACTAATCTAACTACCAGACCGGGCTTGCTACTCGGGACTAAGGATAAAGTTATAGAGAAGCTTGGGCTGTTCAGTATGAGGTGCCACTTTCAAAATGCTAGTTCTGTTGAGCCTATAATACGTACTAACCAGCGGTAATATGGGTGAAGTTGATTGGAAAGGGAGCTAAAGTCCTAATCAGCGGCGAACTATACTGCCCGAGTACTGTTGGATCGGCCGATGATAGTAAAGGGTGTAGTATCACTTCGCATCCATTGTGGATTATGCCCGGAAAGAGAAACTACGAAACAATTTGAAGTTTTTATGCATTTTGGTTAGAACTTATGGTGGTTTGGTATACTATGAGGCCGTGAATTTGAACTAGACCACGAAACACCTGATTGTTCCAAGCTTAAGGGTAAGTCGCATAAGGTTTTCCATGCCGGGTATCACAAACAAATTCTTGACCACACTAAACTCCTCGTGTGCCTTTTTGATAAGTTTTCGCACAGCAAAGCCCCGGCCAGTGTCGTAAACGGCGATACTGCCGTCCATACCAGCTTAAAGGGCGAAGAGGATAGCATCATCATCACTGGGATAAATAAGAACAAGCTTATTCATAAACTCTGGACGACGCTAAATCCTCTCACTCTGTTAGTGGCTCAATTCCAGGAAGCTGTGTGTTTCGAATCATATAATAATGAATACATCGCACCCCTTGTGTGAATATGACATGAGGCAGCAGGATATTGTCGCTCAGGGAATAAGAATGTAAATAAATGTATTCAAACAATAGTTACTTGCTGTGTTTTGCCAAACGCCTTCTACCACGTCCCGTCTCATTATTCTCCTAAACCATGTCAAATTCTAAACCCAATGCGAATGATTGGAAGCGAGCCGCATCTTCTGCCCAACCCGTCATAGCTTGCTCTTCCGTCAAAACTTTGACACAACCATAACCCCATAACTATACTATATCCATAGCATCCTCTAGCAGACATCAGCGGTCTTGAAAAGACCCCAGCCAACATTGTCGAGAGAGTAGCTTTCGAAGTTGAAGGCATTGACATCGACACCACAAGTGTCCCGGCTCTCGAGCCCGCGACGATCCTTGTATCGGTTGTTCAGAGCCGACTCGGCAAACCCATTGGTCTCCTGGTAGTTCTGGATCGTGAGGCCCGAGGCCGCGGCCCACTCGCCGATCCACTGCTGGACATTGTTCAGGGACTGCGCGTTGACGGCGCTCCCGGCTATCTTGAAGTAGAAGCCAAAGTCGGATCGCGTCTCGGTGCGGAACCACCACATGTTCTTGAAGCCCAGGAGCGCCTGGAAGACGGCGTAGCCGCCGTTGTTGGCGCTCATGCGGTTCCCGACGTGCCAGTTCTAGAAATGGCTCGCGACGGACTGCGGAGGTTATTATTAGCTCGGGTTCGGAGTGGCAATCAGATAGACTGAGAAGCTGTAACTTACATTGCTAAGTGCCTTTCCGTTACTAGTTGCCTTACAAGTATGCATTGCGCCGTATACCCTTACAAGTATGCTTTACGCCGTATACCCTTTACGGATTTAAATTCAGTGATAGAAAACCAGCGCTAAGGATTAACCAAGGGTATACGGATTTTCAAAGGATAAGTATACGGATTTACTAGGAAACTAATGTTCCCGTTATCGTAATAAGTTATAATTTTGATAAATGGGTAATTTAACTTACTAGAGTAATAACTGTTTATATAAAGTATTAACCATATATTAACGGTAAGATATACGTTTAAACGCTAATTTCTCTCTTAATAAGATGCCATATTAATATACTTATTATAATTTCTTTATAATTTGTTACGAACGAAGGCCAAGAACCCGGCCTTATGTGGAGACGGACGCCTAGGACGACTAATCACTGCTATATTGTCCTCATTAGATAAAAGAACAGAAACAGGTGGGTCTTAGGACCTCATGATCACGTGACAGGATCTGGGGATCTGGAGCAGATCCATAGATCCAGGATTATCAGTGAAGGAATGAAGGGATATAATAAAGATGGATTTTCTACTCTATATAGACAGTCATTACTTCAGTGATCAATCTAAGCATCTATCTTACCCATAGGTGAAGCTCATGCTTTGACGACTACACTTGTGAATCTCTTTTGCTCAGTATATTCTGAAGGTCTATCTCTATAGTCTTCTCTTGACGGCTAGCATATCTTGTTAGCATAAACCCCCTTGCATTATATTATTTGTGGTTGTGCAACCCGATAGTATAATCGCCACAAGTGGGCGCGGTTTATAGAGGCGAGTGGCTTTTTCACAAGAATATGTCCGAGACGAGGGGTTGTATGAACTGACAGACAGTACTCTAGCTCAGGACCTGCTACAGCGTGGATTGGCACGTGTGCAGCTGGAATGTATATATATACTGATACCTCCAAAACCCTGCGATGTATGGCTCTGGGAGGCGTGGTTTGCCCTAATAAGGGACGGTCCCCACGTTAAATACAATCAATCAATCAATCAATCATGTATAATAGTGGAGATATCCCCAAAGCATACTAACCCAGCCAGTAGGTCGCGCTTCAGTCGCCGAGGATAGGACTCTGAACACTTGGAGAAGTTAACTTCAAGCAGAAATGCTGTACACTAACCACGAACAGTATCATACTGGGATGTCATGAAAGAGAAATGGGTTGAAACGAAAACAAATTAGTCGGTGGGTATGGGCTCGAGTCGGAGTGAGGACGGAAACTTCGGAAACGATTTTGTAGTGTAGTGTTAGTTGCCCTCTAGGGGAATAGCCCGGGCGTAATAAACTTGTGTGTGTGTGTGTGTATATATATAAGTATTGATCTTCTCGGGCGCCAATGTTTTTTGTCCAACAACACTACTACGGACTGCAAAACAATGGACTATAAGGTGCGAGTAACAGTTCAACAGTGTGAAAGTGTTTGGTCCAGCTGTCTAAAGTCCAAAGTCCACTTGCGTCATGACCCCAAAGATTGGCGTGTCATCCCAGATCACTTCTGTAGCACGACTTCAATGAGACCAAGCGCACCCTCATCGCTTATTTTTCGAATTCCATATCGAGGGTCAGCCTCTTTCAGCAACGCTTCAAATTCCTTCTTGGTGCGTTGCTTGGCACCAAAGCTCACCAGCATTACCATGTCCGCCTGGCGCATCTCGCGCTCCCAGTTCAGCGGCAGGGTCCCAGGCTCTGGCAAGACGATGTCGTTGATCAGGAGAGGTGTGCCAGGTGCTGAACCTTCCAGGCCAGGCACTACTGCCCTGAACATTCTCACTACATCGTGGTCGGCCCAGTTATGGGTACACTGGCGGATGAGGTAGGCGGCAGCACCTTTGACGGGTTGAGGTTCGAAGAAGCTCGCCTTCTGAAACGAAATACGGTCGCGAACATCATCGGTCAGCAGCTTCTGGCCTTGGTTCAGCATATCATCCGTCTCATCTTGCACGATGAATTTGAGGTGAGGGTATAGCTATGGAAATTCCAGCAGGTCAGTGCATCGGTACTGTGCGCGTCGGTCGGATTCAACGACTTACTCGGGCCAGTATAATAGAGATGTGACCACTTCCGCCGCCGATATCGATCACGCTGCCGCTGATTTCGGTCCATGGGAAGTAGCTCTTGAGTTCTGTAACACTGTCCTCCACTTTGTTTCCCCAAAAACATCAGCCCGTATTCTAGATACTTCGAAAGGAACGAGGTCATATGAAGGTATCAATTCTTACTTCTACGCCACCCAGCCATGGCTTTGGCGAAACGGCCAGCGTACTCGGGATGCTTTGAATAGTACTCAAATATGGGAACTCCATGGCGAGTATGGAACGGGCAGTGTATACTGTCTGATCTGTAAGGGTCCGCTCTCAGTGAATTGCTGGACTCAATAGCAGCCTTTATCATCTCATCGAAACTATAGGCGGGTGCGTTAGCAAGCTTTCAAGAATGACGCATCGTCATCCCCGGTTCGAATATTTACGAGTAATGCACCATGGATCGCAATTCTTCATCTTGGAGGGCAACAGAGTACGCGTTATGGCAGACGACCCCTGGACTGCGCTCCTGAAATATGCGGTGGGTGATCAACATGCGAATGATCCTGCCAGTTCTATCCTGGTCCAAGCCAGCCTGCTTGGCCAGATCCTCCACCGTAATGCTGCCCTCCGCTGGTATCAGAGTGAAGAAGTTGAAATCCAAGGCGACCTGGAAAGCGGCCAGCTCATAACCTCGCATCAAAAAGTGCCGATAGAACTTCTTGGGACCATCGATAAGCCGTTGTAAGTCTTCGAGAGCAGTCCTGAGGCTGCCCTGGAGCTTGGAGTAATCTCGCGTCGTGGGAGGATCGCCTGATTTGGTTGAATATGTTGGCGCCGCATGATTATTGGCTTGGAGATATTTCGTGATCGCCTTGCTTTGCTCCAAGATATCCTCGGCAAGGCCAAGGATAGATAGGTTATCTGTGCTAGTAGACATGGTGTATAGTTGCGGAGAGGTGCTATTTCGAGTGGCTGTTTCGGTAGTTGCGATCGCTTTTGACATGAAGAAATGAATGTAGGTCATATGAACAAAACATAGTGATAGTATTCTCTCCCTGTAATCTCCTTCGGCTGAACTTGATACTTTTCGCTTGGGAGCTCTATGGATGATGCCGACGTGGGGCTGGTAGTATGCGCCGAGATATTTCGGGGCCCGCCATTTGCAGGCTATCGAATTTGTTTCTTGCTGGCGAAAGGCGACGACCTGGCCGTAAGCCGTGTCCCGTCACTGAAGGATTTCGGATCGGGGATTCCCGTGTCTGGAACGAAAACATTCTCTCACCATTATCCTTAAGTGATAGTGGCATTCTACATGCCAAGGGTTCCCCAACTCGGTGCCGATTATACTGGATATGAAGTGGGGCACTACAGTAACGGGTTTATTACATGGTATGGTAGAATGTCACTCCACATGCCCGATGTCCATAAACGCACGCCGTGCCCCCGGTCGGCCGCAATTTCACGGATTTGAACAAAGCGATAGGGCTTCGCACAAGTGGCCAACCACAACTAAAAGAGCGCAGGGCCATAGATTAATCAGCGATGCATGAAAAGTAGATCCTTGGTTGGCTTGCATAGAACATTTGGAATATGGGCTAGTTGCCCGCCGTGGTATTAAATCACAAATCGTAAGCTTTGTCTATGGTACTCTCTGAAACTGTAATTTCTTTCTCTAGCAATACCAAATCCACCGTCTAGAGGCCTTCCACAACTGTTCTCTAATCACTGCATGAGCCATGTATTTTACAGTAGATATTGACGGCCCATATCAGCCAGTCGCCATTGTGGGCATGGGTGAGAGATCCTCCACCGAATAATGAATCCATGTACTGAAAAAACCTCTCCACTTATAGGCTGTCGATGGGCCGGCGGTGTTCGTGATGCCCCTGGATTGTGGGATCTCCTTAGAAGTAACCGCGATGGGTGGAAAGAGTTCGCCGATCCGCGGTTTTCCAACAAAGGTTTCTATCACCCCAACCAAGATAGGGCAGGATCGATGAGGACGCGAGGGGGTTTTCTTGTGGAAGAAGATGCCCGGCTTTTCGACCATAGTTTCTTTGGCATCATAGGCCGCGAGGTGGAAACCATGGATCCGTCGCAGCGGAAACTGCTCGAGGTGGTGTACGAAGCTTTCGAGAGTGGAGGAGAAACTTTAGATAGTATCTCAAACACACGCACAGGAGTCTATATTGGTAACTTCGCCCTCGACCACCTTCTTATCCAAGCACGGGACTGGGAAAGTCCGAAGCCGTATGCAGCAACGGGGGCAGACACAAGCATTCTCGCCAATCGTATCAGCTACATATTCAACCTTCATGGTCCAAGGTAATTCAAATGAGCCTTCCTTGGCAAGCAATCAAACTGGCATTGACTTACTGTCTATAGTCTTACTACAAATACTGCATGTTCATCATCCATGTACGCTTTGCACATGGCTGTGAGTGCCATTCGCAGTGGCGATTGTGATGGCGCAATAGTCGCAGCAGCCAACTGGATCTCGGACCCCAGCATGCAGTTTGTATTGGACAAACTAGGTGCTTTGTCTCCGACGTCCCGATGCCACACTTTTGACGCATCTGCAGACGGGTATGCAAGGGGCGAGGGCTACGCTGCTTTGTATCTGAAGAAATCCTCGGTCGCTATACTTGATGGCTTACCTATACGAGCCATGATCCGCGGCACAGCTATAAACGCCAACGGTCGAGCTGGTGGAATTACCCGTCCCAAGAGTGCAGGGCAAGAGGATGTCATTCGGAAGGCATATGAAAATTCCGGTAGCCTGCCTTTCTCAGACACGACTTTCTTCGAGTGCCATGGCACAGGGACCCAAGCTGGCGACCCCATCGAAGTCTCGGCGATTGGGAGTGTGTTTGCGTCTTCGAGGTCGGACTCACCCGAAGATCGTCTCCTGATTGGCTCCATTAAGCCAAATCTGGGACACACCGAAGGAGCAAGTGCCATCTCATCTGTCATGAAAGTTGTTCTTTCACTCGAAGCAGGAGCGATCCCACCGACTTTTGGTGTAACGAGGCTGAATCCGAATATCAGTTTTCAAGACGCGAAGGTGGAGGTTGTCACAGGCGCTACTATTCCCTGGCCAGAAGGCAAGCTGCGTCGTGCGAGTATAAACTCTTTTGGGTTTGGCGGAGCGAATGGGCATTGTGTTATCGATCACGTGAATAACGTGCTTCCTGAATACGTGAAGCCGGGTATCGTCCGTAGTCAACTTCATGGAAACGATGCTTCCAAGAATGGACAGAATGGTACAGCCAACATCGCGAAAAATGGGAATGGTACAAAATCAGCCGTACCGAGCCACATGCCTCCCATTTATAAGCCCATAATGATTGCCAATGCGCAGGCACAGACTCGGCAGCTGGTGTTACTATCGTTCTCAGCACACAGCACCTCTTCTCTGAAGCTAAACATTGAAGCCCTGTCAGACGCCGTCGGACAATGGCCACTGGCAGATCTGGCCTGGACACTGGCTGAAAAACGCTCCAGATTACAGCATCGTACCTTCCGGATAGTTGACAAAGATGACGTTTCGGCGGGTTTGTCAGTCGATCAGCGTCTATTCACGAGCTCGTTGCAGGTAGCCAACGTTGGATATGTTTTCACAGGCCAGGGCGCGCAATGGCATTCTATGGGTGCGGGAATGCTCCAATATGAGGTCTTTCAGGCCACGATCGCATACCTGGATGATGTTCTAGCCACACTGCCTAACCCGCCTGCGTGGGAAATCATGGAAACCTTATCCGGAGCCTATGATTTAGACCACATCCAATCCCCAATAGTCTCGCAGGTCGCCTGTACAGCGCTCCAGATTGGCCTCGTTGATATTTTAGCGTCGTGGGGAATACGTCCAGTTGCAGTTGTCGGGCACTCGTCCGGTGAGATGGCCGCAAGCTATGCGTCGGGGCATGTTTCAGCTTCCGAGGCTATCACATCTGCCTACTTCCGTGGCGTCGCCGTCTCAGGAAACAAGAAGCAAGGGGCCATGTTAGCTGTCGGCTTGAGCGCAGATCAAGTAACGCAGTATCTTCATGGTAGAGAAGAGCAGATCAGGATTGCTGCAATCAACTCTCCCGGGAGTGTTACGATTTCTGGTGATGTGGACGCCATTGAGATCCTTACTGGCGTCTTGACCAAAGACGGAGTGTTTGTTCGAGCCCTTCGCACAGGAGGAAATGCATATCATTCTCACCACATGATTGACATCGGCAGAGATTACAGCAACATGTTATCAGGCGGGATTGAACATATTAAAGAGGCAGGACTGGTAGACGACAGGCAAAAGTATCCATTGATACCATGGATATCAAGTGTGACACCGGACAAAACAGTCACTGGAAACCCAGTCATGGCCTCCTACTGGCGGGCTGATCTCGAGTCGCCAGTTCGATTCACACAGGCCGTCACAAATATGATGGCTTTAAAAGATTGTCCGACAATTGACGTGCTAGTGGAGATCGGTCCTCATCCCGCTTTGAAAAGTCCTGTGGAGCAGATTTTGAAGAGTATCGGCAAAACGATACATCACGTCGGAACACTCAGTAGGGGGAAAGACGATCAAGACTCGATGTTGCACCTCGCAGGAACATTGTTTTGCTTGAACACAGGAGTCAATTTGGCTGCAGTAAACGGGATTGATGATAAGCTCGGGGACGGGAGCTGGTGTCTCACCCATGGTTGTACGATAGCTGACCTCCCAACATACAGATTCACATATGGCCCGGTAAGCTATGCTGAAGGAATGGCCAGCAAAGACTACAGACTACGAAGCGTTTTGCGACATGACCTGATTGGGTCCATAATACCAGGCTCCAGCAAGCTTCAACCACAATGGCGCAATTCCCTTCGTATCAAGGACATCCCTTGGCTTGGCGATCACCGCTTGTTACCAGGTGGATAGGCTATAGGGCCAGCCGTGTTTTCTTTTTCTTTTTTTCTTTTTGCTGTATAGCTAATAGCGACATTGGTAGATGCCGTATTTCCTGCTGCTGGCTTCATTGCAATGGCAATAGAAGCCGCCACGCAAGCTCACCATGGCCTCTCAGATTCTTCTACGATCACAGGATATTCACTGCGCAAAGTCGACATCAAAACTGCTCTTCGAATCCCGGAAGATGATGATGGTATCCATATTTTCCTCAGCTTGAAACTTGCAGATACGGCAACAGCGAAATCACCGTCCTGGACTAGTTTCACGGTCCACTCTGTAGGGCAAAACTCGAATGAGTGGGTTGAGCATTGTACTGGATTAGTGAAAATCGAAACTTCTGATTACATACCATCCAAAACTCTGGATGCTCAGATGGACCCCCGATTCCCGGATGAGCGCTCTTGGTACAGAAGATTCGCCGACATTGGTATTGGATACGGGCCAACATTTCAGCCACTCTCGATGATTGAAGTTGATCCAACCAGCAACATCGCCAAGGCAGCTGTCAGGCTTGATACCACCGCTGGAACCATCGATGGAGGCGAGTCATTCTACCCAATCCACCCGGCCTCTTTAGACGCAACCTTTCAGCTGGGCCTCATTGCTTGCTATGGAGGACAAATAGAGGCAGCGAACACTGCTTTCGTTCCGGTTCATCTGTCGCAGTTATATCTCAGGACTGGCCTTAGCCAGACTCGAGGCACCGCCATCGCTCACGGAAGGATTCAAGGCCTTCGAGGTGCATATATACAGCTTCAAATGCTAGATCAGAATGGCGATGTTACTTTAGAGATTGATACACTGCGTTGTATTAGTTTCAAAGAATCCAAGACATCGGGAAAAAGCCAACACGAGAAGAATTACAGCAGCCCGTTTACTAGGCTGGCTTGGAAGCCAGATATACGCACCCTGAGCAACTGCCAAATACAGAAATTGTTTCCGCCACCCCCAAAAAATTCTGCAGGGGCTTTACAACTGGAAAAGGTCGATATGCTTTGCTGTTTAGCTGTGGCAGACGTATATGACAACTTTGTGAAATGCACTGATGGACCTCAGCCGCAAGGTGAATTACGCCACTGGCTAGCTTGGGTCAAACATTGCGGTGAGAACGACGAGCGGGCAAGCATGTCAGAGGCTAGAAGCCTACCAGAAGCCCAGCGTCGCCATAGACTCAACAATTTGTACATTGAGCTGGGTGATAGGCCTGAAGCTATCGCAGCTCGACGACTCCATGAAAACATGCGAGAGATACTCGATGGGCACAAAAACGGAATCGACGTGCTGGTACCGGACGGACTTCTGACTTTACTTTACGAAATAGGCCATGTGATCACAGGTTCCTACCCACAAATTTCCAGAGTCATGGACCGTCTTGGACATGCAAACCCTAGCTTGCGCATACTCGAGGTCGGGGCTGGCACAGGTACGGCAACACGTGTTGCAATGAAGGCATTGACTGGTTCCAATGGCTTCAAACGTTACGCGGACTACACTTTCACAGATATCTCGCCCGGCTTCCTGACGGCTGCCCATGATTTCATGTCAGAATACGACGACGTGATATACTCAGTTCTGGACATTGAGCAGGACCCGTTGTCGAGTGGTTACGAACCGGTTTACGACGTCGTCCTAGCATGTGAGGCGATACATGCAACTGCTAATATGGACAAGACGCTGTCAAATTGCCGAAAGCTCCTGAAGCCTGGTGGAAAGCTGGTACTAGTAGAGAGTACTCGCATGAGGGTTTTGTTGAGTCTTCTGTACGGTACACTGACCGGGTACTGGGCAGGCTCCGCAGACGGCCGCACTGAGGGCCCTTTCATGAATGAACAAACCTGGGATATGCGCCTCAAGCAAGCAGGTTTCTCAGGAAAGGAGCTCATCCTCAATGACTATGATAGTCCACACAGTACTACGTCTGTCATCGTCTCGACCAGCCTCGCGGAGGAAAATATGGAAAAGCCCAACACCGGTGACGCCCGTGAGGACATCAAGATGATACACATTGTCCATGGAGGAGTAAATGTCCCGAAGCTCCTGCAGGAGATTGTAGACGAATTTGAGCGTCGTGGAGTCCGAACTAAGAAGATAGGGCTCGATGAAGAAATGGAGCTGGATGAAGGTTCACGGATTGTGGTTTTCCTAGGCAAAGAGGATGACCTCTTTGACGCAGATGCACAGCGCCTCCATAAATTCCAGAAAATGGTCAAATCATCAAGAAGTATGGTCTGGCTGACCAAAAGCGGCATGGTTCGAGGCGAAGATCCTCAGGGTGCCTTCATGGCCGGACTCTTGCGCACAATAGCGACAGAAAACCCTGCCAGCAGGTTCCTGTCGATCGACATCAACACACATGAATCCGAGCCGACCGAGGCTAGGCTCGTGGACAATATTATTGATCAAGAATTCAATCTTCAGGAAGAAGAGCACGAAGATACAATCAGAGAGAGCGAGTTCACATGGCAGGATGGGTGCATGTGGGTCAGTTGGGTTCTACCTGATCAAGGACTAAGTGTTTATGCTGAAAAGCTGAGCAAGCCAAGTATTGAAGGTACTATAATGCGCCACATTGGCAGTCAAGACCCCATACGTGCAGTATTTGAGACCCCCGGTATTCTATCATCATTGTACTTCCGAGCCTATACAGAGCTGCTGCAGCCTCTGCCAGCCAGTAACATCGAGGTCAAGGTCGCTGCGGTGGGACTCAATTGGAAGGACCTTGGCCTTACCTCGGATAAGTTTAATGCCAACGGCACCAATCTTTCTTCAGAGTATACTGGTACCATAACAAAGATAGGCGCCAACGTCAAGGGCTTTTCAATCGGCGACCGTGTCTATGGAGTTGGAAGAGGGCACTTTGGTACTCATACAAGCGTGCCAGCTGCATATGCACAAAAACTCCAACCCTCAGATGATTGGTGTGAACTCGCTACAATGCCCTTGGTATACATGTCAGCGATTTATTCATTTGAGCACGTCGCTAGGCTAAGAAGTGGCCAGAAAGTACTGATCCAGTCTGCGACTGGAGGACTTGGGCTCGCTGCGATTCAGGTAGCACAATCCAAAAAAGCCGAGATCTTTGCTACCGCAGGTACCGCTGAAAAGATGCGCTTCCTAGTCGATAGTATGGGCATTGCTCCGGATCACGTCTTTTCCTCCCGAGACCCCAAAGCTCTGATCGGTGCTGCTAAAACAACCATGAAGGGTGGCTTCGATATCATACTCAGTAACGTGGTTGGAGGAGACTTGCTACATGATTCCTTGGTTTCTCTTGCTCCAATGGGCCATCTCATTGATATTGGCCGTCTGGACGTTCTTGAATCCAAGGATATTGGGCTCGAACTCTTTCAGAAAAACGCCAACTTCTCATCTTTTGATCTCAACACCGTCATTGAAAGCGACCCAGAACTCGGTACAGAACTCATGAGAACAATGGACAACTACTATAGAGCAGGATTCATTGCGCCAATCCGACCCTATTCTGTCTTTGACATATCCGAACTCGATCAAGTTCTCATTGGTTTCTCCAAAGGCACGCATCTTGGAAAATATGTTATGTCTTTCCAGAAACCCGACTCGCTCGTAAAGACCCTTCAAGAGCCCCCGAAGGCGAGCTTTGACACGCAAGCAGTCTACGTGGTTACTGGAGGCCTGGGAGGCCTTGGTCGAGCGATCATCAGCTGGATGGTGAAGCGAGGCGCTCGAGACTTCCTTGTCCTCTCCAGGTTTGGGATCAGAACGCCAGCAGCTCAACAGTTGGTTGACGGCTTGGCCAGCCAAGATGTTCGCATAGAGGCCATGCTCTGTGATGTGAGTCGATGGGAGGAAGTTGATACCGTCCTGCGCAAGTTAAAATCCAAAGCCCGACCAGTCAAGGGCGTCGTCCATGCAGCTATGTCGTTGTCCGATCTTTCGTTTGACAGACTTAACATAGATCAATGGCGTAGTGGGTACGCCGCAAAAGCTCTGGGGACAATCAATCTACACAGAGCAACACAGTCTCTGCCTCTGGACTTTTTTGTCATGATCACATCGACCGAGTCAATTTGGGCGCCGCCCACACAGGCTTCCTATATCGCAGCCAATAACTTTCAGAACTATTTCGCCCGTTACCGTCGCCGCCTAGGTATGCCCGCTTCGATGGTCGCATACGGCCTAGTCAGTGATGTTGGATCAGATTTTCGGCATACTGCGGTGGGAACAGACGGCATGTACATACGCAACAAAGCGTTGACGATATCTGAATACCAGGTCATAGCTCAACTAGAGCCAGCATTCCTACGGTCCGAGGACCTCGTCCCTACGCACTCGCAATGGATTGGTTACGAACAAGACCCGCTGGCAGCAGCGAACTTCTACACTTGTTTGGATCCGGCCGCCTTGGCAAGATTGGATGCACCAGGTATTCCGCGGTGGCACAGCGATGCACGCGTCTCACTTGTTGTACGCTCAATGCAGGACGCACAGCGACGTGGTACTGGATCCGATGCAGAGGATAAAAATGGTGAGTCTGGTAAATCTGCCATGACGCGCCTGCGACAGGCCTTCGATGATGGCGTCAAGGCTGGGGTGGAAGCGCGGGAAGACACAGTCGCACTCGTCGAGGAGGGCATTACTACGACGGTGGCGGAGATGCTTTTTAATGGAAAGTCAAACGTGAACCTTGCAAAGAGCGTTGCCGACCACGGTGTCGATAGCCTCATCGCTGCCGAGTTACGCAACTGGTTTCACCAGGCTCTAAGAACAAATCTCCTGATGCTGGATTTGTTGGACGCACACACGAGTATCAAGGCGCTGGCAGAGAGCGTCGTCGAGAAGGCTCTGGTGAAATGATGGGATCCACGGTGCTGCTGAAGTGGATAGAACGTGTCACCAACTAGACGGTATGGAAACAGTGTAACATAGTATAAGAAACTGTCTGAGATTGGTCCGGAGTTAAGAATTCTACTTTCCAAACCAACATGGTCGGCGGCAGCGTCAAGTCCCCGTTAATCCCGCGTCTGCATATCTTTGCTACAATCCCACGCTACATAATTACTTCTGCGAATCAGAATTGGTTTTGCGGTTCGATAGGCTTCACCCCACAAATGAGCATGGTTGACCAGTGCTTGGACATATGAGGATCGACCTGTCCCTTGCCTTGGTCCCCCCACGCCAAGAAACAAGGACAATTACGGGTGATGGGTAGCAGCACAGCGCTACTCTACAGTCACTGAGCCAAGAGCCCTGTTTGTGTTTTCCGGTCGCTAACGGTGTTAACTTTATTGACATAGGTCAGAGGGAGTTGATGACTATCAGATCCTCCAGCACCAAAAGCCCTCATACTCCTACCACGCTTATTCTTCCCGCAACCAGTCACAAGCAGTACTACTTATAGCCTTGTACAAGAGATGCCATCGTCTGCGCTCCCAGCGAATGCCGAGGGGGGTGCTCTTCCCGGGCCTCCTAAAGAGCACGCTCCGGGATTTAGCGACGACCCCAAGAGACCAATGACTGGTTTCCGCGTAAGCTGTCCCATAATGCACTTCTACGTGCCCTGATTCTGACTCTGACTCTCAAATATAGTGGTTTCTTTTCGTTACTAGTACCTTGATAGCAATCTTCGTATATTCCCTAAATAACACCATCGTCGCAAATCTCATTCCGGTATCTACTGGCCCTCTAGCACTAAGACGCCGATATATGCTAATTATTATCTTCTTCTTGCTAACAAATCATCGTCAATGATTTGAATGGAGTTGAGAAATTGCTACGGCTTTCTATAAGGTGAGTGCTATCTTTGATATTATGTCGTCTCGTCCGAGGCAAACCTTTAACTACGCGACTTAATATGCTATCGCGCCAGGTTCATAATTAGTGGTATAACAACTATTCTATTATTAAGAAGACTTTATGTTACTTATGACTCTAAGTAGGTTTATATCATTTCGTTTATATTATTCCTAACCGGATCGGCCCTTTATAATGTAATACTTACCATTAATGTAAAGATAGTTAGACGTGTTATAGCTAAAGCTAGTAAGTCCTTTAACTCGGATCGATCTCGTGACTACGAAGTTCATAAATCTAGCCTAGACAAGTGGAAATGGTATATACTTCGGACTATAGGCACTCATGTTAATGTATACCATTAATAAAGAGCGGCCGGCGTATCTTAGCTATATATAAATACCTAAGAACATTTAATAACGCTCTACGATGAGGATTATGCTAACATTGCTTTAGTGGTGGCATGTAAGGTGTTAGGACTGTTTATGGCCCGGCCGTCGGCGGTGCTTTCTCCCTTTGGAGTTAGAGATGGGGCTTCTATATTAATCTCCTCTTTAGGGCCATTCTTTTGCCCGTATACATATTTATCATTCCGTCTACCAACCCGTTGCCTATTAATACGCAAGCTGAAAAGCTAGCTCTTATAGACTAAGTAGGGGTACTCACCAGTGTTAGGGCCATGGCGACGATTATTATGGCTATTAACCTAAGAGGTCTCGAGTTTGCTTGGCGAAGCGGTGCGGTCATTACACTGTTTGTCTTGAGTGGCATAATATAGATTCTGTTCTTTATTTAACAATCACTTTGTATATTTACCATAAAAGACAAACGCTTGTTCCTTATACCCTTGCTTCGTCAGAAGATGCTTATCCGCTTATTTATCGCGTGCGCCGGTGGCTCTTCTATCGCCTATATGTCCACTTATTACATTCCCATCTACTTCTAGTTCGCCAAGGGTGATTCAGCAATCTATACGGCGGTTAGATTATTGCCGTACATTTGTATTATGATTACTATGATGCCTTTGAGCGGCCATCTAATAGGACGATGGGGCTGGTATAAACCCTGGTTCATTAGAGGGAGTGCTTTGGTGGTTGTCACGGCTGTTCTTATAGGTGAGTCTTACCACATTGTCTCTTATTACGAAGTGGCGGAGGTTACTCCGATGCTAATGTTAACGCAGCGCACTATATCGATAGGCAAACCTCGCTTGGTATATTTTACGTTATCGAGCTTTTCCTAGCAGCTAGCGTTAGTGCCTGTGGTCAAAATGCATTTGCCGTTGTTCAAACTGTTGTTACTCCTAAATACGCAGTTAACGGGCTGACTCTCATGTTGGTCGGTAAGTAATATTATGGAATGAAGTGTTCGTGGCTCATAAATGCTAATCATGGGTAATCCTTAGCTCAACTAACTGGTATAACCTTGGGGCTCTCTATTAGCGGTGTAGTCTTCGTAAACACAGCCACGAATGGACTCATGGCCGCCTTGCCAACGATCCCAACTAATTAGTTGTTTAACATTCTCGCCGGAGCTAGTAGCGGTGCCATACAATTGCTAAGCCCAGACTAACGCGTCCTAGCACTTGACATTATCGTCTCATCGTAGCAGAAGACGTTCATATGTGTATATGTTAGCGCCGTAGCAAGTCTTATAACGTCATTATTTTTTAACGTAAGACACCCTCTTGGATAGGTTGCTCTTATCATTTTCATGTTACGTTCGGCTAACATAAGGACGACAGAATACGAAAGCCAATGTCAACTCAACCACGGTAGCTACGTGACTGTAATACATATTCACCTAGCGGTGTTTTGCTTGCTCGTTTCGCGGATTAACCAAGCACATCACTAAGAGGGTGGCAGGGGTGTATTAATGTTAACATGTAAATCGTGCCGGTGTTAAGGATTATATGTTTAGGGTCTTGTAACCCTCGTTGTAATTTGTCCCGACTGTTAAAATTTCTGTATCTATACTTATTAACTCGCGATCCTCCATTACGTCATAGATGTTTAATAACAATTAGTTTTAATCTTCATCTCGGGAACTACTTTTTTCTATAGTTTACCAAGCAACTTCTCTATATATATTCAAAAACGTAATAGTCGGTCCATCCTCGCTCAATATGGCTAGCTCAACAATGCACTACGCTATAACATTAAGTAAATCGCCATAAGTAATGCCCGGACCGAGGTTAGTGTTAACTAAACCTAGACAAGCAATGTTCACAAGCCCATGGGAAGGTCGAAGAATGCGGGCATAGTTTAGTGCTAACATGTTGAGTGTAGCTTTACTAGCATCATATGCCCTATAGTCGATATCGTAAAACGGGGTACCCTCGACCTTGGCCTGGGCGAGAGAGCCCATGATGGAAGACACGAAGACGATACGGGGCGATAATGACTTTTTGAGGATTGGCAAAAGCGCCTTTGTGAGACATACCGTGCCGAAGACGTTCGTGTTAAATGTCTGAAAATACAAGTCACGGGTATTTAGGCGAGCCCGTTAATGGTCCAGGAGTACCCCTGCATTATTAATAAGAACGTCCAGACGACCAAACTAAGTCTCGATGGTTTTTGCGACCTGCTGGATCGATATATCTGAGCTCAGGTCCAATTAAACGCTTAAGGCGGTGCAGCCCTCAGCTTGTAGCGAGGCTGCGACTTTTGCACCGGCGTCCACGTTGCGCGAGCCGATTACAACATGATGATTATGCTCTTTTGCCAAGCGTTTGGCTATAGCAATTCCAAGCCCTTGGTTCGCGCCCGATATCAAGGTGATTGTAGAAATATTTGCTGGCTGTTCCATTTCAGTCATAACACAGCTTTACGAAGTGGCTACTTGCTTAACGGGCTCTCGTCACAACTAGGGAGGAACATTCTCATAACCACGCTAGACCGAACGGATTAAAGTCGAGTTGTTGTCTTTTGTTAGGTTGACTTCGTTTCAGCCGACGAATCTCGGCTAAGCCAAGTGACCGACAATCCTCAGTCCGCTTGCCGGCCCAATCGGTCTTAAGCTAAAGTCCTGGTAGAAATGTATGCTACTGCATGCACAGACAAGACGGTGGAACATGTCATCATGCACTATTACGTCATTCGTATGAGGGCCTCTCTTTCTTTGGAGCTACGAAGTGGGGTGAAGTCTTATATCTCTTCTAGGCCTGAAGACATCTATAAACGAGACAGTAAGGTTCTGTTTGTTTATATTGTGCAATTCAAGAAGTATACTTTCGAAGTCCATCGGAAAACGTTAATCCAACGTCAGAAGTATCCCGCCGCCAAGATGTCTGCTCAATACGATGTTCCGACGTATCTGCTAGACAAGGAAAACATCCGCGACACTGTTATTCGTATGGTAGGTAGACGATATATTCTCAACTACGTTCTTGTCCTCCCTTGCCTGTTGGCCTGCAAAAGCTCTCGTAGCCCGAAAACCAAGACAGGTAATTTGCTGATACACCACAGATGTTCGCCTTCGACCAAGGTGCTACGTTGGTCTTGGTGAACAGAGTTTATACCCCGGAGATCATTCTAGACTACGACACGCTACTCATTGGCAAGGGAATCGAGAACATCGCAAGTTCCGAATGGGCCAAGAGGCTCGAAACTATGCATGATCATTTTGATACGACGCAACACATTGTGCAGTGAGTCTCAAGTTCATATTCACCCTCCCTCGAAACGGGTTAGTACCTAGTCCACCAGTGGTGAGCCATTGAATAGAATAGATTTCACATGTTTCATCTTCCTAGGAGCCCCTGGATAGCTACCATGTGCTGAAAAGCAGTGTGCTCCAAGTTAATACGTGACTAAATCCCATGCTCCCTAGGAACCTTCTAGTTGAGTTGCCGCAACCAGGATCAGCGCCGAGGCCTGCCCGCTGCACCGTCTTCGCCTACGCCCATGGGTGGTTCTATAAGCGTGATGGGGAAGGATGGCCTCGTACGCTTGGTAAACGCAATGGAGTAAGTCATCACAATTCTCCACGCTTTGAATTCATCCGCCCTTATCTCACAAGATGACGTGATGACATGGGCTCGGACTCGAGCTTTTTCTTACGCAAAGACAAAAAATCCCTCTAACCTAGATTTGACAGGCCAACTACGAGTTAGAGCTTGTAAGAAGTGATGATGAAAAGGCTAAAGGAGGAAATCCTTGGAGAATTACCAGACAGAAGGTTCGTTTAGATTTTCAAGATTTGGGTGCATAAAGCTTGCTGAACATAAATATTCACGATTGGTAATGGTCAAGAAAATCTAATGTTCCTCAAATATCCTATTGTATTTTGACCAAATCCATGTACTCCAGCTAGATGGTTTGAACTCTAATGCTTTATGAACTTAGGATGCGAAATGACCAGTGGCTAAAAGAAATAGTAAAAACTGCCTGAGTTAATCCGAATTACTACGATTTAGATGATGCGACATTAAACTGGAAGCCAAGCATTCTTTCATTGGAGATAGAACTGGTTTTTAAGACTGAAGTTAGACTTTTATTCAATGTGTGTAATGTGTTCATGACCTTTTCGTCACTATAAACGGCCCATCAATCTCTTCTGCTCTGCTAATGGAATCCTCGAGATTATCTAATAATACCTATCTTAAGCGCTATTTACTTTGTGCTCATGTGCGAATCATGAAAACTCTCCTACTTTTGAGTCTGAAAATTGCAATCGTATCTACCCTTGGACTGTAATTTGATCAACAGTGGCTGCAAAATCGCTCCTATATTGTTTCGCTGCCGGCGGGATGATGGGGTTGTAGTAAGCAAACTTGTTGAGCGGATCATACTGAGCTTTGAGAGCACGTAATCTCTCCAGCCTCCAAGGCTCATATCCATACATGGACTCTATAGGCTCGTGCCCAGCCGCATAATTGACATACGTCGTCGGCTTCCTGGATGGCTGACCAGCGTTCCATAGATCTATTGTATCTCGAGCCCACTCCTGGGCAAACCCCTCCAGTCCAGAACCTGGCTCTGGGCTAACGTCGAAGTACCTGTGTACCCGTTTAGTAGCCTTGTAATCTAGTTCGTTCTAGCTCATAACATGAATACGAACATCAATACGTAATCATCCCGGAGTGGAAAGGCTGAGTCATCTGAACGTCCGTTTCAAACAGCCTCCACTGTATAGCCTTCGTGAACCAGCCTGGCATTATTCAGTCCTGGCTGCTCGGAGACCTTTTCGTCGAACAATTGGTAAAGCTGACGCTGTGTTGTGATGTTGTAGACTTGAAGACCGGCAGTTCCAATAATATGAGTTTGATTCGGGGAACATAAAGGAGAATCCAGGCCACTGAACAAAACGTCTGAGACGGAAGTACAGGGGACATTTCCTTCTTCCTTGGTCACAGCCTTGAGAAGGTCAAAGTTTTCGAGCAACGGTTCGGCGCTCGTCTGATCACCTGCGTAAACAAAGATCCAAGTGATCGCAGCCTAGTAGAGGTCAGATATCAAGAAGAATCGAACGAGCCAATGAGTCAAGTTGCACTTACGCTCTCGTTGCCCACATCCGGGTTTATGGCGTACACACCAAAAGAACCAACCATCTGGTTGGTCAAAGTCCCATTGCCGTGAAATGCGTTGAGTTTCTCAAATAAGTCTTCTAAAACATCTCCGGTAAAGATGTAGCTTCGATAATAATATGTCAGCACCGTAGCCGGATAGATTTTCATTTCGAAACTCGTGACAACTCCGAAGTTATGGCCTGCCCCACGCATGGCCCACTATAAGTCACTGTGGCTCGTTTCGTTAACAATGATGGCCGTTCCGTCTGCCAAAACAAGGTTCATGCTGATAACATTATCGCTTATTAAGCCGTGTTGCCTTTGCTAGACTCCATGGCCCCCTTATAAGTATGCATTGCGCCGTATACCCTTTGCGGATTTAAATTCAGTGATAGAAACCAGCGCTAAGGATTGACTAGGGGTATACGGATTTTCAAAGGATAAGTATATAGATTTACTAGGAAACTAATGTTCTTATTATCGTAACAAGCTATAATTTTGATAAATAGGTAATTTAATTATTATAATCTTAAATTAGTTGTTAAATTCCGGATTAAACTTATAATTATAGAGATATTTTAATAAGAAAAGTTAGGGTAAAAATGTAAATGTTCCTCGTTAAAAACGTATAGGCTAGCAAACTAACTAGGCCGGAATAATATTATAACTTATAATTTATTAATTAATTAAAAAATGTAGTAATATAAATAATTATAAATGTTTATAGTGTATAAAGAGCACTCCGTATACTAAGGCGACGAGTGCGTAAATTACTAAACTTAAGAAGTGGTAATTACGTAATTAAGTTAATAAGTATATTATTATAAACCTAGTTAAAATGTAGGCTAAGGGCCTTATATATATATAACCGGTAAGGCGCTTAACGGCTAGCCCGATAAAGAAAGGTTACGTAATAAAAAAGGTTATATAATAGGAATACCTTTAAATTAATAAGCTAGAGGTAAGTATAAATAAAGAATTACTGAAGTAGTGAGTGTTGGCTGTACCAATACTACAAGGGAGCCAAGTGGGTCGTACGACCTTCGTCGTGGTTGTCCGGGGTCTGATCAGTATAAGGTCGAAGGGATGGAACTTGTAAATAGTCGAACGGACATGCTTCTTCACACTTTTGATTTCGGTAGCGTGGTCAGTTTATGCAGCAGTGCATTCGGAAGACGACGAGAATGGCTCGTCGTCACTAATTAACATTATTTTGGTCATCAAGTTCATTCTTTCCATTCATTCATAAGTGATCAGTCCGCGAGTGAACCAGCGAGTTCGTCGTGAGGCTTATAACCTAAGGGACAAGACAGTGGTCCTGGTTCAATATAAGTATTAAATTGTTAATCTAAAGGCTTTAAGTTCGACCCTTAATAGTTTTAGGGTTAGGGTTAGGGTTTAGGGTTAGGGTTAGGGTTAGGGTTAGGGTTAGGGTTAGGGTTAGGGTTAGGGTTAGGGTTAGGGTTAGGGTTAGGGTTAGGGTTAGGGTTAGGGTTAGGGTTAGGGTTAGGGTTAGGGTTAGGTTAGGGTTAGGGTTAGGGTTAGG